AAAAATATAAGACAATTTTATTGATTGATGTTTACACATCGATTTCATATCAGTCGAGATACTTCAAAGGCATTTGTGTCGCTACTTAATTGTCTCTTTCTTTATTTTGACACTTGAATCAATAAACGCACAGAATATTGAGTCTTTTGGGGAGGAAAATGAGGTTGTGGCTTGAGCTTATTGATAAGTTTTTGTAATGGAATTATTATTTTTTTTCTAAATGAATCTCAGCTTAAGTACGAAGCTCAGCTTTAGAATGAAGTTCAGGTTAAGAATGAAGTTCAGCTTTAGAACGAATCTCAGCTTTAGAATGAAGCTCAGCTTTAGAATAAAGCTCAGATTTAAAACGAAACTCAACTTTATAATGAAGCTCAGCTTTAGAATAAAACTCAGATTTAAAATGAAGCTCAGCTTTAGAATGAAGCTCAGATTTAGAATGAAGTTCAGCTTTAGAATGAAGTTCAACTTTAGCATGAAGCTCAGTTTTAGAATGAAGGTCAGCTTTTGAATTAAGCTCAGCTTTAGAATGAAACTCAGCTTTAGAATGAAGCTTAGCTCTAGAATGAAGTTCAGCTTTAGAATGACGATTAGCTTCAGAATAAAGCTCAGCTTTAGAAATACGATCAGGTTTTGAATGAAGTTCAGCTTCAGAATAAAGCTCAGCTTTAGAAAGACTATCAGTTTCAGATGAAGCTCAGTTTTAAAAAGAAGTTCAGTTTTAGAAAGTTCAGTTCAGCTCTAGAATAAAGCTCAGCTGTAGAATGAAGCTCAGCTGTAGAAAGAAGCTCGGCTCTAGAATGACGCTCAGCTTTAGAATGACGCCCAGCTTTTAAATTAAGCTTAGCTTCAGAATGACGATCAGCTTTAGAATGAAATTTAACTTGAAAAATGACGATAAGCTTTAGAATGGCGCTCAGCTTTAAATCATTACTTTTTCCCAGAAAGATGCTGAGCCTTAAGTTTACTATTTTTTAACAAAACATGACCCAATAATTAACAATTTTTTTTAAAACTAGCCAAATTAATCATCCGTACATCCCTTCCGTTCCTCAACTCTCCCACACCGATAATTTTATTTTCTCAATTTTCATTAATTTTTCATAAACTTCCCTTCAATTTGTTCTCAAAATTATTCCCATTTACACTCATCACATTAACCTGATAAACTTTCTTTCCCTTTTCAAAAATCAACGAGATCCTCTCAATTACAAACAATACAGCATAAACCTCCTACACAAACACACACAAATCCAATCATCAAAACCAAATGTTTACTGATCCGTCCATTCATTTATTTATTCTTTTATTTCACAAGGGACAGTCCAGGATAATTTATAACAAAATATTGAAAAATTGAGGGCCAGGTGGCTTTAAAGCGTGCCAGACGGGCTGTGCTCGTGACATTCAAAAAATTGTAATTTTTTATTTTTGTTGGTCTTTGCTTGAAAATTTTGATCACGCAATTTTTTTTCGGAATTAAATGTTAAATTTTTCTTTCTTTCGTTTTTTGGTGATTGTTTGCTGGGGATGGAGAAATTGGCAGCAGAGTGTGGACTGCAGGTGGACGGAAATGAGTGCAGAATTAATTAGGATTGTTATAAGAATTTTATGCCATTTCATCTGGATAAAAAGGTTAATTTTAAGACTTATGAATATCTAGAAAAATGCCCAGCTTGAAACTGAAGCACAGTCAGAAAAACTTTCAGCTTAAGACTGAATCTCAGCTAGTAAAAACGCTCAGCTTGAGACTGAAGCAATGTCGAAAAAACGCTCAGTTTGAAACTGAAGCACAGCCAGAAAAAAAAGATCAACTTGAGGCTGAAGCACAGCAAGAAAAACGCTCAGCTTGAGACTGAAGCAAAGTCGGAAAAAGGATCAGCTTGACACTGAAGCACAACCAGAAAAACGCTCGGCTTGAGTCTGAAGCATAACCTTAAAAAAAGCTCAGCTTGAGACTGAAGCATGGCCAGAAAAACGCTTAGCTTGTGACTGTAGCACAGCCAAAAAACGCTCAGCTAGAGACTGAAGCATGGCCAGAAAAACGCTCAGCTTGAGACTGAAGCACAGCCAAAAAAACGCTCAGCTTGAGACTGAAGCACAACCAGAAAAACGCTCAGCTTGAGTCTGAAGCATAGCCACAAAAAACTCTCAGCTTGAGCCTGAAGCATAGCCAGAAAAGCGCTTGGTCGCAAAAACTCACTCCATACTCTTCAATTTTCAAGTTTCGACAAGCCAAGCTCATATTACGGAAGAATTATTTTCATTTGATAAAATATGAGTTATTGAATTGGACAGCATTGTTTATGCGATAAAGTTGTTTAGACTTTTTTTTGTTCATAATTGTTTGTTTGCTTTGTTGTTGGAATCGCAAGCGATTTTCTTCAAATTTGATTATATTAAGGCTGTGAAAACGTGAATGTGAAATGATAAGGGCACCATTAACACGGGTCAATGATAATGTTCAGCAAAAACGTGTTAATGAGGTTTCTGACGGGGTACAAGGGGAGCAAATATTTGAGAAAAATATTGAGAAATTCAAAAAAGACACAAAAAATCAAGAATAAGTCGTAAATAATCTTTAAAAATTCCCCTTAAAAGAACTGACGATTTCCATATGTTAAAACGTGTTTATGTCCTGTGAGAACGACGACTATACAGAAACGACGTAGTTTCAAATTGCATCACATTAACTACATCCATGTTGTATAGCACTGCATAAATGACACAGTAAAAGACGGTAAAACACGTCGCGTTTAACTTTTTTCCATTCTTTTCTTTTATGATTTCATTTAGTTGTGTAGAAAAATAAATTTAAATATTATGGTCCAGGTTTTTTTTATGGAAGGTAATTTAAATGTGTTAATATGAGTGCAGATTTGGTAAGAAGTAGAAATTTAGGTTGTATGAAGAGGTAGGTTAGGTAGGAATTGATGTGAACTTCAAATAGATATTTTATCAATTTTTGAAAATTTTTTTAAAATCTTTTTTAATATTTTTATTTTTTTTAAAAAATTATGATTTTCAAAAAATTCAATTTTATGTTTTTTTTAATATTCAAAACTTAACTTTTTAAAAAAGTTAAGTTTCATTTTTTTAATATTTCATTCATATTCAATATTTTTAAAATTTTAAAATATAATTCTTTAAATTCTTTAAAATTTAATGATTTAAAAACAATAAAAATTCAATTTTTCAAAAATGTTAAAATTCAATTTTTTAAAAACTTTAAAATTCAATTTTTTTAAAAACTTTAAAATTTAATGATTTAAAACAATAAAAATTCAGTATTTCAAAAATGTTAAAATTCAATTTTTTAAAAACTTTAAAATTCAATTTTTTTAAAAACTTTAAAATTTAATGATTTAAAACAATAAAAATTCAATTTTTCAAAAATGTAAAAAATTCAATTTTTTAAAAACTTTATTTAAATTTTTAAAAGTTTTAAAATTCAATTTTAAACAACAAAAAAAGATTTAAAAAAACATTCAATTTTTTAAAAACTTTAATTCAATTATTAGAAAATCTAAAATTCAATTTTAAAGAACAAAAAAAGATTTAAAAAAACATTCAATTTTTAAAAATAATTTTTGATCGCATCATCATCAAAAATGACTAACCACGTCCTTTAAACGCCCATTAAAAGTACCTTAGCCCCTCCCTCAATACCCCAACATAACCCCAACAATTCTTAACCTCCAAAATAAAAAAAAATTCCAAAATCCATAAAACTCTTCCTTAAACTCAATCTGACACACAAAAAAGAGACACTTCGAGGAAATAAAATACAAAAAAAAATTCAATTCTGCTTTATTTTTTTGTAAACATTGCATTCACGCACACAACCATATAAAGCCAGTCCACGCACACATTCACATTTAATTTTTTTTAATAAAGAATCTTAAAATTATCAAATTTCAATGCGATTTTTGCTAGTTTTTGGTGGAATTTTTGTGGATCAAAGTTGATTTTGTGATGAGTTGTTGTGTTTTTGGTTCGATAATGGGGAATTGGTGGGGTAGGTTGGAGGGTATCAAGGAGAATTTGAGGAAATATTGAGCAGGTGTCAATGATTTGAAGCAAATTTGAGAAGATTGGAGAGTTTTTGGGGGTTAAAGGTGGTTTTTGAGGAGTTTCAGTAGAGATTAAGGGGGTTAGTGGGTCAGAGGGGTCATTAAACAGTAAAATTTGGCCCAAGTCCAGCAAAGTAGAGTCAAACGAGCCAAAAACAACAACAACAATCACACAAAGTCTTTTAAAATCCCAACAACAAATTGCCTTAGTCGTACACAATATTTACACAATGGAACTACAAATACATACGCAAATCTTCTGGCCTCTGCGACAACCACACGATTTTCTCTTCTATCCGCAGATCTCTTTCTTCTTTTTCACTTCTTTTTTTCAATTTAAACTTTTTTTTTACTTAATTCAATTTTTTTAAATTCACAATTTTTGCTTTAAATTTTTTCACATTTTTTTTCCGACCCGCGAAAATGCCGGGGTTCATGAAATTTCTCCTCAATAAATTCACAACCTTTTTTTTGTGGTGCTCTTCGTTTTCTTTATTTTTCGTGTAACACTGAAAATTTCACATTTTTAATTAAAAATCGTCAATTTTAAACACTTTATTGAATTCTTGTCGACTTTATCCACAGTTTGGGGCGATTTTTTAACTCGAAAATCCACAAAATTGTTGTAAAAAATGCCAAAAAATCGAAAACCGCGGATGAGAAAAAAAAAGATTTTTTTTTCCTTTACTTTTTCCAGCGATTCGACAACAAAAACTAAACTCAATTGAAATAAATTCTTTTTTTTTCTCTTTACTCTGTGTTTTGTGATTGAGCAACGACTGAGCAACGACGGGGGATTTTAGAGAGATTGTGCAATTGAGCAACAGGATGTTCAACATTTGAACTGAGTTTGAATTTATTTTGACCGTTATGGAAATTTTATTTATTTTTTTAACTTTTGTTTCCAAAATCTAGTCAAATTTACATTTATCAATTCTTATTCTCTTTAGCTGGCGGTGGATCAGTGATATTGTCCTCATACCTCACATCCGGATAGACATTTTCGAGATACCATTTGAAGCTCTTACATCCAAGTGTCTCCTTGATCTTCTTCTGCTTACTTACATCCCCAAAATCACGATTATCGAAGTTGGTTGCACGATGGTAAAATCTTTTGTATTCATCAAGCCACACTTCTGCTAGACGATCTGTGTTCCGACGAATTTCAGTACCGCCACCGGGGAATGTGTATGGATGCTTCTTCCTGAACATGTGAGCTGCATGACTGCATGGAACTTGATAGATTTCACCGCCGCACATCCAAACCTAAAATATGAAAATTTTGAACCAAAAATTAAACTAAACTTAGGATTCAGTCTAATTTGTAACATTTGGCTACTAGGAACAGTGTTAAGAGAACCTTCAGACTCAATTCCACATACCTTAAAGCTTAATTCCAAGTTTTCAGCACCCCAAGTCTGAAATTCTTCATCATACATTCCAACTCTTAAGAAGCTGTCCTTCATAATGACAAAAAATGCTCCAAGCATCGTTGGTGTCCTGATTGGTGCACATGGGTGACTCATTCTTTCCTTTTCTTCTTTTCTGATCGGGATCCAATCGTAGATTAGGTTCCATTTGAAGCCACCGACCTGGGAAGAGGAATTTTTGGAGGTTATGAATTTTAATTCGAATACTTGTTGTCAATTTTCAAACTTTGTTGTCAATTTAAGAATGCTTCAAAGTTTTGAAAAATTTCCATAAAATGCGCTTTAGACACATTACTCAAAAAACTTTCTTACTTGACAATTTTATATCAAAAGCACTTCAGTTCCTTCCATAAAACTCACCATATAAGTCTCAGGATTATTATTGAATTTATACTCCAATGTATTTGCATCCAGCCCATCCACAACAGGCAAAGTTGATGACAATGGGTTTTTGACAAGTGGATCTAGTAAAGGTTCAAGCCATCCAGGAGTAACTTCAATATGCGCATCTAATAAAGCTAAAGCAGGTCCCTCAGCATTAACACATCCAAACATTCTAGCGCGAATCAAGCCAACTCTGAGCGGAATTCTGACAAGTTTAATCTTTTTGTAAGGTGCGATGAAGTCCTCAAGTGGTTGTTTGAGGTTAGCTGGAATTTATAAGTAAAATTAATAACATAACCTAAAAATTCTAGTAATCTCCAACTCACCATGAGTCGAACAGTCATCAACAAGCACAATTTCCTTCAACAATCTCGCAGAAGTTCTCTTAAAAACAGCAAAAACAGACCTCAAAATCATCGACAACGGCTCATTGTGAAAAACCATAATGACTGAAGTCATTGGCAAATCATCAACATAACTGACTGTTCGGCAATATTCCGGTCGAATATCAGGCAAGTCACGATCCAGCGGAATTAAAGTTGACACGAACTCATTAATTGAATAAATTTCCCAACTTTTGTTGATTTTTTGGGCGATGTCAGCTGGTAGGTTAGCTGGGAGGTTAACTGGTTGACCCATGTGACCAGGATTTGTGAGGTTAAGGATCCTGTGTAGTTCCTTGACTTCTTCTGACAGCACTGGCCACACAAATAAGTCTTGTGTTGTTCGTTTTCTGTCTTTTTTGGTGAGTTTTTTGGTTTTTGTAGAATTTTTACCAAGTTCGCCGATTAATTTGAGTCTTGGGTCTTCATACTCATCCCCAATCTGCAGTTTTGCTTGTTTTAATTGCAGAAAGTCTAAGTTTTCATCAGGTTCTGGTTTATCATCAGACATAGATGATGTGTAGAAATAGGCAAGTAAAATGAGCCAAAACAGACCCATAAAGATGAAAAAGTTCAAAAGTGAACATCGACGGAGCATTTTGCCCATGTTTGGGGGTTCTTTTTGGTGTATATTCTTTTAAGGTTAGGAAAAGTGATGCCTAAAATGGAATAAGTGGATGAAATGTCGATAATAATCCAGCAGTTAAAGCATTCGAATGAATGATACATTTCTATTATAATGACAGACATAATGGCTAGTAAATTCAATCAGGAAGCTACATATGGCTTCTTATCGATCTTGAAATGTTTAAATCAATTATTTCAGTTGACTCAAATGCAGCTTCAATTGCACATTGATTGCATTTTCTTTTAGTCTAAGATTTATCTTCAGTGAGTAGTCAAGAAATGATTTATTATTTTATTGATAAACTCATCCTAAGAACTGAACTTATCCTTAGAACTGAACTTATCCTTAGAACCGGAATAATCCTTAAAATTGACCCTATCCTCAGAAAAAAACGCATAACTTTAGTTGAACTTATCCTTAAAACTGAGCTAATCCTTATAACTGAACTTATTCCCTAGACTGAATTAATCCTGAAAACTGAGCTTATCGTTAAAACTAAACTAATCCTTTAAACTAAGCTTTTCCTTAGAACTGAGCTTAGCCTTTTAACTGAACTAATCCTTAAAACTGAGCTTATCCTTAAAACTGAACTTATTTTCAAAACATACTAATTCTCAGAATCAACCTTAATTCTAAAGTTGAAGTTTCCCTTGAATTCTCTTGCATAATATTCCTCCAGTTCATTGCCCAACCTCAAAGTAGTCATCAACTAGCCTTCAAATTCACTTACATATAATTTAAAGTTTCACGACTTCCTCGATTACAGAACTTTGATAATAGCCTTCGTGACTTAAAATATTACTGTCAAATTTCAAACTTCCTTGCAATTTTCCTCAATGTTGTCCGTTTCAAAGCTCATCGACGACTAAGCACCACGATTAATTTTCGAATTTTCGTTCAGTTCCAATTTTAAAAAATTAATATCCACGATTTCAGTCTTGTCGAAAGTTTATAGCTACTAAGTTTGTCGTCAGTCAAAGTATTCCATCAAAATGCCACGAAATCGACCTTCATGGGGTAGAAAATTCATCCGGTACTCATTTATCCGCTTCATTGTCTCTGTTGCATTCTTTTACATGATTTTCATGCTGTGGATGTCACAGTGGAACAAAGAATTGCTGACTGTTGTAGATGAACAAGAACTTGTCAACGTCGATGTGAGGGAAATGATTCGTGGGAAAATAGTTGATGTTGCTGGCAAGGAACAACTTGTTGTGGATGATTTTGGAGATTATGGACCAGGACAGAAGGATCAGTATGAGGATTACATCCTAGATTCTATGATTCCTGTGGAAATTAATGGTGACATTAAAGACAGAAATTTTGTGGATTTATCACCAAACTTAGTTGGACTGCACAGAATCCCAAAGCCAACCTTTTCGCCTGAAGTTGTTGCTATCCACAGAAGACTGAACCTAACAAATCCAGGACATATGGGTGCACCTCTACTGCTCCCACCAAACCTTCCACAAGACATCCAAAACATGTTCAACAAAAGCTGGGAAACTTATCAAATTAATGAATTTGGATCAACTTTGGTTGCATTGGACAGAGAACTTCCAGATATGAGGACACCATACTGTAAAAATAAGACATACAGTCCTAATATGCCAATGGCATCGGTCATTATGGTGTTTCATAATGAAGCTTTATCGATGATTATGAGGACTGTCTACTCAATATTGAACATGTCTCCGCCAAACTTGCTGAGAGAGATTGTGCTTGTTGATGACTGCTCGACTCATGGTGAGATTGTTGAGAACCTTAACCTCAAAATTCAGAGTCCTAACCTCAAAATTCAGAATCCTAACTTCAAAATTTAGAGTCCTAACCTCAAAATTCAGAGTCCTAACCTCGAAATTTGGTATCATAACCTCAAAGTTCATCATTCTAACCTTAAAATTCTCTCAACTTTTCAGAAAACCTCCACACAACCCTCGAACAATCAGTAGCTCAGCTTCCAAAAGTGAAAATAGTTCGAGCACCACTTCGAGTAGGTCTCATGAAAGCTAGAATGTTAGGTGCCGTCAACTCTAAAGGACCAGCTTTGATATTTATGGATAGCCATATGGAATGTACTCATGGATGGCTTGAGCCACTGCTTGACAGACTAGCAATTAACAAAAACATTACAGCAATCAGCAGTGTCGAGACTCTGAACTATCAAACACTTGAAGTTTACTTTCATAAAGATCCAGCAAATATTCCAGTTACTGGATTCGATTGGAACTTGATATTCAACTGGAAGCAGCCACCAGAGTCGGAAAAGAAAAGTCGTGGAAATCCAAACGATCCAATTGTGTCACCGACTATGCTTGGTGCATTCTTTGTGATTGATAAAGAGTATTTTGAGATGTTGGGCATGTATGATCCTGGATTTGAGATTTGGGGTGCTGAAAATTTGGAACTGGCTTTTAAAGGTGAGTATTTGGACTTTTGGTTCAGCCTTGATTAACAGCATGTTATGTAATTTCAAGTTTGGATGTGTGGAGGTAGAGTTGAGGTCATACCTTGCAGTCGAGTTGCTCATTTGTTCAGGAAGAAGTTTCCGTATGCGGTAAGGTTCCTTAAATTTGTTAATATTGAATCTGATTCTTTAATATTTACTTGAAGTTTCCTGTTGGCGGGGGTGAAGTGCGTAGAAACACTGATCGACTAGCTGAGGTGTGGCTCGATGAATACAAAAGGTTTTACTACAGAAAAGTTGGCAATCATAAAAGAAATTACGGAGATATAACTGAACAGAAAAAGTTGAGGGAAAAGCTGGGCTGCAAGAGCTTCAAATGGTACTTAGAGAATGTCTATCCAGACCATCAGATTCCTCAAGAGCTAAGAGATCCGGTTGTTGTTCAGAATCTGAATGTGCAGAACCAAAATCAAGTTAATGCTCAAAACCAGCAGCAAAATGGTGGAAATCAGCAACAAAATGGTGGAAATCAGCAACAAAATAGTGGAAATCAGCAACCAAATGGTGGAAATCAGCAACAAAATGGTGGCAATCAGCAACAAAATGGTGAAAATCGGCAACAAAATGGTGGAAATCAACAACAAAATGGTGGAAATCAACAACAAAATGGTGGAAATCAGCAACAAAATGGTGGAAATCAGCAACAAAATGGTGGCAATCAGCCACAAAATGGTGGTAATCAGCAACAAAAAGGTGGAAATCAACAACAAAATGGTGGAAATCAACAACAAAATGGTGGAAATCAACAACAAAATGGTGAAAATCAGCAACAAAATGCTGGAAATCAACAACAAAATGGTGGAAATCAGCAAAAAAATACGAGCAATCAAAAGGATTTGCAGAACCAACCGAACGCACAAAATCAGCAACAGAACCTGCAAAATACACCGCAACAACAGGTTCAGCAGCAGAATATCCAAAAAGTCGATCACAATCAAACTGAAAAGCAGCAAGCACCAAATGCAGCTCCAGTGGACAGCAATGACCAAAAAGCAGAAGCAAACGTAGCTGAACAGATGCCTGTGAATGTGAATAGCACAAAAACATAAGTTTCGGAACTAAATTGTATAACAAAATGTAAAATAAAGTAAAATTTCTATTTTATTAACAGATTTTTGTATTTAATTTTTAGATTTAATTTTTTGTAATTTATCTTCGACTTCCTTTTTAATTTTTTCCACTTCTTTTTTCAGTTCATCGTTGCTCTTGGTGTCTTTATCCTTAGCATCGTCTTCAGCTTCATTGTCTTCGTCCTCAACTTTTGTGTCTATTTCATCCTCTTCCTCATCATTTTCCTTCGTATCCACTATAGTGTCTGCCTTCTTGGTCGTCGAAGTTGTTGTGTCCCTAATCTCAATAGGAACTTCATACATTGGATAGACATTATCTAAATACCATTGGAAGCTTTGACACTTGTTCCTAATCTCCATTCTCTCAGAAATGTCACCAAACTTTCTATCTTTAGTGTCTCCAACTAGTCTATAGTAATACTTAATATAGTCCTGCAGCCAAACTTCAGCAATCCTGTCTGTATTCCATCTATATCCACCTTTGTCCTTTGAATGTGTTGTGTATGTATGAGCACGGAACATGTGACAGATCATCGAGCAAGGAATCATTTCAACACGTCCACCACACATCCAGGCACGGAATCCTAGCTCAACATCCTCACCACCCCAAATGTCCATGTCGACATCAAAATATCCAATTTCTTCAAAGAAGTCCTTCCATAGAGCATAAGTCGGTCCCATAAAAGTTGGTGATGCTTTAGGTGCGTATTTTTCAGTCGGATGGTCACCTTCGTACCATTTGACGTCTATCCACTTAAAGTTCATTGCCCAGTCGAAAGCTCCGATCCCACCAACTCCGTCATCAACTGATAATCTCAAATCTTTCTCACCAAGTCCTGAAATTTTAGACCAAATCACTAATTTTGGATTGTCTCTAAGTTGATCTAGAATTGGTTCAAGCCATCCAGGCGTACATTCCACGTGAGAATCGACAAATATTATAACAGGACCGACTGCATTTCTAGCACCAAGCACACGATTCGCAACAATTCCAAGTCTTCGTTCAGATCTGATGATCCTTACTTTTGGAAGTTTCTTGACATAATCATCAAGTTGCTGCTTTAAATGCTCTCTAGTTGAATAGTCATCAGATATAAGAATTTCCTCAATAAGGCTCATATTTGAGTACCGAATAATCGAGTGGATTGTCCTCAATAAAAGACTCCAATCGTCGTCGTGTATAGGAATGACAACGGAAGCTTTTGGCAAGTCAGTTCTGTAAACTTTCGTTTTACAATATTCACTTCGCTTATCAGGAATTTCTCGATTAAGGCTGACTAGTGAGGACACGAAGGCATTAAAGCCGTAAGTTTTGTAGCCGTCATCAATTTTTTGCTGAATTTCTTTCGACACGTTGAGTGGAAGGATGACTGGAGCACCAAGATGACCTGGATTTGTGAGGTTAAGTTCTGTTATGTAACGTTGAGCTTCGTCAGTAATTCCATCATCGAGGACGTATTCTGGCTCGTCAATTTGTGGCTGTTCATCTTGAACTTCCGCGTTGGCTTCAGCGATGCCATTTTCATTCATCATTTCGAAATCTTCAGGATCTGGCTGTGCATTTTCTGTCTCATTGTTGCCGTTAAAGTTATTCCACCCATCAGCGTTGTAGATTCCATCTTGGATGACTTTAAGCTTGTCAAATCCACCTTGAATGAAGTCTTGAAGTTTGTCTTTCAGGAAGAAGTTCTCTTGCTGAAGTTCTTGCTCCTTAAATGTGTTTTTGACAGCTAAGAACATGACGAAAATGAGTCCCATGACTACAGTAATTTTAGCGACACTTCTGAATCTAAAGCCAGACATTGGCGGGTGCTTTTTCGATGGGAACATTGCTTAAAATTCAACACGTCCTCAATCTTAATATTTACTGACTTTATTCTTTATTCTTTACTGTCTTAAAAGTTCCAACTAAAGCCTCAAACATCCAAAGCTTAACTGACCAATTTATGGAATCAGAAAAATATTAAAGGAACTAAGTCGTGACTTTCCCTTGAGAATTAAATTGCAATTTACATTTTTAAACTTCGAGTTAAATAACTTTTTGAAATTTAATGTCTGTTGTCGAGGACAGTTTTCAGGGAAAATCGTGATTTTGGGAAGGAAAGTATGAGTTGGTGCTTATTGATTAACACTTTTGGTGATTGGAATTTACTTGATAATTGCATTGAGGTTGACTATTTGATGATTTTTGTGGTAAGGTTAGTCGCAATTTTACAAATCAACTGCAGTGGAAGGCATGTAAAATGAAAGTGAATTTTCTTATGGATTTATGACAGTAGTTTAGCAAAGGGCGGCAATCTTAGGCCCTCGAAGTAGGTCTAAAGGGTGAAGCTCAACAGATTCTGTTCTGGTTGATTCGGAGTGCCTCCAGATCAGATGTGGGTCTATTCCAAAGATTTATCTTATTTATAGTCTTGAAACTTGTACAAACTGGTCATTGGTAGGCTGTCTGTTCGTCTGTTTTTCCAGATTCTTGATCAAAAAGCAGGGTATATCCCGTTCTCATAGATGAACTCGGGATAGACCGAATTTTCAAGCATTTTTCAAGAAAAATAACCTATAAAATCGAGAAATTAAGGATTTTAGTCGAGTCTCAGTTAAAAAAAAGCGGAACTATCCTCAAATCGCTCAAAAGTACGCAGTTGGACAACCTAGCCAAGCTTAGCAATTGGAGCACAAAGAGAAGCCAAAAAAGCAGATTAACATGAGATAGAAGGACAAATGGGTCGAAGAAAAAGGAATAGAGCTTCCATTGGGTAAGCTGAGCTTATGAACTCCAAGTGGAACACTTGACATGATGGCTAGTAAATTGGATTGTTCCTACATTATTGTCAATAGTCGTTCCTACGTCTGGTAATTTACTAGACATCATATCAAGTGTTCCATTCGAGAACGGGTCATTTCCACTCAAATTCAACAGTCTAAAAGTCTGTAAAATTCCAATAAAAATCATAAAAAGTGCTACATACTCCAGGTGTTCCTAAACTAGTATCAATCAGTACCGCATAATATCAAGCTAACCGTTAATGAAGAACTACAGCTAATCATCAAACAATCGATCATCATATCCACAACAGTACTCAACTAAAGTCCACAGTCGTGCGAAAAAAAATTCAATCAAAATATTTCCGTTATTTATAAGCACCCATCGAGCCATGTCATGTCTCAAGCACACCAAAATATTTTGACACAAACTTGAAATCTTAAAAACCAACACTTTTGCAAGTTTTGCAGACGAAAAAGAAGAAGAAATTAAAGAATTGTTCAATTCTAAGCTTTTACACTAATACAGATGCACACAAATACAATGATAAGTTGTGAATGTGTTAGTGTAAAATGTTTACATTCACCACACAAAGCTCAACATCCATCTCATTCGTTAAGATCGTCTCGAACAAGTCGACGTAATTTTTATTTTTTCTTCAAGTTTTTTTTTATTTTATTTTTTTCGTGGACGACAAGAAATTTGAAATTTTTTAATGTTGTGTCTAAAATGTGACTTTAAAAATTGTGAAAAAATTGTGAAATTGTCGAGTGAAAATATTGGAAAATTTTATCAATGAAAATGTGGAAAAGAAAAGTTGAATGGAAAGTTTAAAAGCTGAAAAAAAGAGAAATTTTTTAATACGTGAAGCAGAAAAAAAATTTTATTAAAAAGAAGAATTTTTTTGTGTTTAGAAAAATATAATAAAATTTTTGGTGAATTAAGTGCTAGATTTTGGAAGAATTGAACGGGAAAAAGTTGATGAAAATGTGGCAGAAAAATTAAAAAAAATTGAAAAGTTAAGAAAAAATCATTTCTGAAAAGTTGAAGAAAAAAAGTTAAATAACGGGGTTGTCCGTAAAAATCAAGAATTTTTCATAAATAAATTTAAAGATTTTTCAGCTTTTTTTGAAAATTGTGATAAAAATATTGTGAATTCAAACTAAAAACTAGACGAAAAGCTTCAAAATAGTGATAAAAGTTTCCAAAAATTGTGAGAAAAAATTTTTAAAAAATTGTCAAGTTAATTAATCATTTTGTGAACCACAATACATTAGATTTTTGTGACATCGCATACGATTCGTGTCACGCAATACAAAGAAACGTGTTACACAACATAAAGTTCAAGTCACACCACATAAGAGTTGTGTCACATTACAAAGAAGTAGTGTCACGCCAAATTAGCTTCGTGTCACGCCACACTAGCCTTTGTGCCACATCACATTATCTTCGTGTCACGCCACATTAGCTTAGTGTTATACTACATTAGATTTCGTGTCACACCACTTAAAGTTGTGTCAAACCACATAAACATTGTTTCACATCACATAAACGTTGTGTCACACCACATAAAAGTTGTGTCGCACCACATAAAAGTTGTGTCACACCACATAAAAGTTGTATCATACCACAAAAAATTTGTGTCACACCACATAAAAGTTGTGTCAAATACAAACGTTTCGTGTCACACCACATAAGTTGGGCGCCACATCACATCTCTACCACAAATTCATCCGTACCACAGCAATATCAATCCCAAATCCACGCACCAAAAAAAAGCTCAACATTCAAAAAACTTCCAAAATTTCCCAAAACCCTCAAAAAACCCAATTCAACTCCGTTCTCAGAACCACAACACAACAAAAACTTGTCTTCAAGGTGAAATCGCAGCATTCTTCAAGACTCAAGCGATTGGAAAAGAAAGTGAGACTCAGCAACAATTTGTGACTGTATTTCTCGACTGCACCAACATTTCCTCAACTTTTGTACCACAGCTGTCGACTGCTTTGTGTACTTATTAGCTGTTAACTGTGTTTGTGACTTGTCTGACGTCATTAAGTGCTTCAAGTCGTGTTTATTCTGTTATTTAACGATAGATTCACAACATCCGTGAACCGATCGGGTTGAAAATAATCAAAAATTGTGAAAAATCGTTGAAAATTGAAGAAAATTCAGTGAAAACTTCTCAAAAATCTTTAAAAATCCCCCCAAAAAAAGTGCAATAAAAATGCCGCGAATCTTAAAAAAACAATAAAAAGTCAACTCAAAGAAAAGAGAAAGTTTTTTGGACAGCAACAAGACAGTCCACAGCAAACAAAAGAAATTTCATAACTTGCGCAACACGTCTAGATGTGCTGAATAAAATGATGAAAAATTTGTATTTACAAATTTTTGTCGTCTTTTTGCTGTCAACGGCACATTCGCGTGGATTTGGTCCCGGAACGATTCAAGTTGACAGGAACTGGAATATTCAGGAAGCGACGAAAGTTGGAACTTTAGTGAAAACTGTTCAAGTGTCTGGAATTAACAGGAATGTGACATACTCGCTTGAGAATGACGAAATGCTTAGTCGAGATTTGGATAATCCATTTTGGATAGACCCGAGTACTGGATATGTTTACTTGAATAAGAGTTTGGAGGGATGGGTAAGTTGATCTGCTTTTAGGGGTGGTTCGGAAATGACGTCAAGAGAAGTTTGGGGTTTTTTTGGGTTTTTTCTCAGAGCGGTTCAAACTTAAAGTTCCAGATTTGCTGGAAGATTGATGGAAACTTCTTTGAACCTCCATAAAATGTCTGACGTCATTTATGAACCAACCCAAAAATAAACATTTTTTTTGTCAGTTTAAATGAACTCTTGAGCATGGTTGTCTGTGTGGTCGGTTACGTGTTCAACCTCGATCGATATGAGTCTGCAAAATTTGGGTATCTCGATTACACAACAGTTGTTATGTTGGAAGATAATATTTGAATAATCTAGAGCACTTTGAGGAGCTAGTATTGATGATTAGTGATTAATAATGGCTGTTGAAGCTTGTTTCTTAACAATCTTGTCAGTGGAGACTTGTATTCCTAGGAAATTTGCCATTTAAACGCAACAGAAGCTACAATCAATTCTTACTTCCTCAAACTTCAAGCACATTTAGTTCGAACTAATCGAAAATATTTTCACCGATGCACGTCATGCGTTTGAAAAATGAAAGCCAATTTATTAACGAAATTTGCATTAAAGTAATTGCTCGTGAAGCTCTGATTACTTTTGGCTCATATTTTAAGGTTATTTAGAGCAAGCTTGGGATTATCTGATGTAAATTATGTTACATTATCATGAATCCCACCCAACCCTCTCTATGAAGCCCTGATATTCAGAACTAGTCTGCAAAAAATTCCAAGCAAAACGAAAAAAATTCTACAATTCCATTTCCTACAACCCAAAAAGTTGACAAGTCATTGTTCCCAGAATATTCGTCATTAACTCAAAATCTTAGAGTCATTGAACGCTTCAAGTTTGCTGTCAATTTATTCTGTTAGACCCGAAAATGAAAAATAGACTTGCAAATTGCTTCCATACACACAAACAATTATTATAGGGAATTCGCGAGAATTGAAATAGGAAGTCTGTCCATAACAACAATGAAAAGAATGTATTTGAGGCTGTGTTGAGCAGTTACGCATGCTAATTGATGCTCTGTTTAAAGAATTTCGCATTAATTTTTGACTTAACCTACAAAATTCAAACCATAGACCCCCTACCCATGCCATGCCAATCACCAAACTTATAACTTTATCCATTAAGCATGCAGACCTCGTCCAAATCAAATAATAGACACACAACAGCCCAACAAAAGAATTCAATTAAGCTACAAATATGATCATCAATTGAGAATTGAAGAAGCTAAACTTAAAATTGAATAAAATTGAATTAATTTTCTAATAAATATTCTCGCACCTTGAATCTCTGCTACTTTTTTGCGCAATTAACTGGCAATTATTGATTTGGGATGTAAAAATATGAGATTCACGTGTAAATGGAAGTAAATTGTGGGAATTTTGAGGTTTGTTGTGGAATTTCAGCTAGAATTGGAGTTTTATAGATCAATTGATGCTTAAGATGGGTTTTGAGGGGTCAACATCTATGAAAACCCTAAACTCTCCTGTCCGTAATTAAAAACATATCTTTAATATCCAAAAAAACCCAAAACTTGAACTTTGTTTTCAGTTACATAAGCCATTATTCCATTAACTTATGCTGGATTACTTTACCGCTTACAACATGCAATATGAAAGAGCATGAAACAATAAATAAATTGAATCCGGTTCATATTATATTGAAGCTATGAAATAAAAGCAAAGCAAATGCGGATCAAAAATTGAAAAAATAATAAACAATCAATCGAGTTAAATTTTTTTTGATACTTTGTGGGGATATAAATAGATTTTACGGATGCATTTAATGAGTGGGAAGTTTGAGTTTTTGGAATGGATCTTGTTTTGTTGGTGAATTTGAAAAGGTTGCGGTAAAGATTAGGTTTGAAGCTTAAGAGCTATTGTTTAAGAACTAAATTCATAGAACTTAAGTTTTAGAATTAAGGTTTTAGAACTAAAGTTTTAGAACTAAGGTTTTAAAACTAATGTTTTAGAACTAAAGTTTTATAACTAAGGTTTTAGAACTAAGTCTTTAGAACTACGGTTTTAAAACTAAGGTTTTAGAACTAAGGTTTTATAACTAAGGTTTTAGAACTAAGGATTTAGAACTAAATCTTTAGAACTAAGGTTTTAAAACTAAGGCTTTAGATCTACGTCTTTAAAATTAAGGTTATAGAACTAATGTTTTAGAACTAAGGTTTTAGAACTAAGGTTTTAGAACTAAGATTGTAGAAATAAAGTTTTAGAACTAAAGCAATGCTAAAGTTTATTTTTTTCGAAGCTTCATCATCGTCAAATTAACATAAAATCAACACAAACCTCCAAAACTAAACAAATCTTAAAATCTTTATCCAAAAAATCCAAGTCATCCACCTTAATTCCCCTTTTCTCATTCATCAAGTCCATTCCAACACATTAACAATCATCACTTGGCTGATTTTTGACGCCTGACCGCTACTTTATAGTCTCTTTCTTGTGCAAACTTTCATATTTGCTATTGCAACAAAACAGCACACATTTTGTATCCTCAAGAGCACTTTTACGACTCTTAATTGCCGTGCAAATCTGCAAAAATTATTTGCCTTTTTGTTATGCAATAAATAATAAAAGTTTCAACTTCAGAGCATTCATGGAACTTTATTTGTGAGGAGATGCTGATGATTGATTAAGTGCAGTGTAAATGTGAATGACTTTGGGATGGATTTTGTAGTGGAATATTGATGAATGATGCTTGAGATTGGATAGATGGTGATGAACTTGAATTCAGAAGATGTTGACGGTGAATTATTTTGGACCATGTTTCACTAAAGCTGAGCGTTTTAATGGCTGTGCGTCACTCTGGCTGAGCGTTGTTCTGGCTATGCGTCAATGCAGCTGAGCGTTATTCTAGCTTTACGCTAATAAAGCTGAAAGTTGTTATGGCTATGCGTCACTAAAGCTGAGCGTTGCTCTGGCTATGCGTCATTAAAGCTTAGCGTTGTTCTGGCTATGCGTCAGTAAGGCTGAGCGCTGTTCTAGCTATGCGTTACTCAAGATAAGCGTTGATTAATCTATGTGTCACTCGTGTTTATCATTTTTCTGGCTGTGCTTCACTAAACTCACTTTGTATTCTTGCATGACTTAGTAATCAACCTGCAACACTTGATTAACTGATTAGCTCTAGTTTCTCTTCATGCCATTTGATTCACAGAATTATTTTTTTAAAATTTCCAATTATTTCTCATTTTAGAAGACACCGAATCCATTCATCCTCTCAGTAGCAGCCGATGATGGCAGCATTCCAGTCAAAAATCAAGTTCTAGTTCGAATCATTCCAACAAATGGCCCACAAATCATCAACAGCTTTGAGCCACCACACAAAGCATTTCCAGTTCTTCCAGATTTATCATCCCTTCCATACCCGCCAATTCCATTTCCAAATGGTCAACCAATCTCAAGACCACAACCATCAACAAGACGTCCACAACCTGATATAAATATAGTCATAAGACAAAATAATACATACGTTGAAGGATCAACAATAGAACCGACAACGGAACCAACTAAGAAGACAACTACAACAACACCGGTTCCAACAACTATAACAACATCAACAACAACAGAGGCTGCAAAGACAAAGATTGAAAAGGACAGCGACAACCTTACAGCATTAGTAACAATACTCATAGCAGTCCTGTCTATATTCCTAATTGCAGCACTCGTAGGTGTGATTATATTCCGTAAGCAAGTCATGCGACCATTCAGTCGTAAATTCAAGAAAAGTAAAGTCGATAAGGCCAAAAAGAGCAACCAAAGTATTAATGTCATAACGCTGTCTGATGAGAGCAGCAGGAACTCAATGGTCATGCAACATTGGCAAGGTCCATTAGCTTTTAATAATCGATACACACCGTGGTCACATGATGACATCCACGGACAGATATCAAATTCAAGCTTCACATATAGTGGTGGTGGTGACATCAAAGTGCCGGGATATGATCGATGGGAATTCCCGCGTCATCGACTTAAGGTCTTTAATATCCTTGGTGAAGGTGCATTTGGGCAAGTTTGGAGATGTGAAGCATCAGATATTGATGGTGTTGAGGGAATATCCACAGTTGCTGTAAAGACATTAAAAGAAAATGCAACAGAAGCTGAAAAGAAGGATCTTATGTCAGAATTGCAAGTCATGAAGACCCTCGAGACACATGTGAATGTTGTGAGGCTACTCGGATGTTGCACTGAAAAAGATCCAATATTTGTGATTATTGAGTATGTAGCTTTGGGTAAGCTGCAACAGTTCCTGAGGAACTCAAGAGTTGAGAAGAATTATCATAATGCCAATGGAAAGTCAAAGACACTTACGTCACGTGATCTCGTATCATTTATGTATCAGGTTGCTAGGGGAATGGAGTTCTTGTCGTCTAGGGCGGTGAGTAGCTACACATTAAACATTTTATGAACTGATCCGTACTCTTTGTACGACTTTTGACTAGGTTGATTATGATTGAACCAGAGTGGTGTTCTGAACACGACTTTTGACACTTTATTACTAGTTTGTATCAAAATCGTACGTTGCACACGACTTTTGACACTTTTTAACAAGTCTGTACCAAAATCGTACGTTACACACGACTTTTGACACGTTTTTACAAGTCTGTACCAAAATCGTACGTTACACACGACTTTTGACACGTTTTAACAAGTCTGTCCCAAAATTGTACGCTTCAAACGACTTTTGACACGTTTTATCAAGCCTGTACCGAAATCGTACGCTACACACGATTTTTGACATGTTTTTAACAATTCTGTACAAAAATCGTACGTTGCACACGACTTTTGACACTTTATAACTAGTTTGAACCAAAATCGTACGCTTCACATTACTTTTGACATTTACTATCCAAGATGTACCATATTTGACCTGGGATGTACAATAGTCGTACGAAGCTCACCACTTTGAACCATTTTCACAACTTTAGTCTTTAATCTAACATAACCTCAACAATCTTTATCCACAGATCATCCATCGTGACTTAGCAGCCAGAAATATCCTCATTACAGAAGACTTTACCTGCAAAATTGCAGATTTTGGATTTGCAAGAGACATCGAGACTTCAACAGTCTATGAGAGAAAGACTGGTGGTCGTCAGCCTATCAGGTATGAATCAATGACTCTTAATAACTCAACAGATTCTTAAATTCTGTGTCTATTTGTAGATGGATGGCCATAGAGTCACTCTATGACAACATATTCTCAGTCAAGTCTGACGTCTGGGCATTTGGAATTCTCATGTGGGAGATAGCGACCCTCGGTTCAACGCCTTATCCAGGCATGGGTGCCGCAGAAGTGATGAAAAAAGTACGAGACGGATTTCGACTGGAGAAACCAGAACATACGAGTAGGGAGATTTACAATTATATGTATTATTGCTGGGACGGTGACCCGAAGAACCGACCAGACTTTTCGGAAATTCGAAGCAATTTGGATAAATTGTTGTCGACATCGACCGACTATATTGAACTTGAGAGATTCCCTGAACATGATTATTATAATATTTTACATAATATTAGTGGCGAAAAGCTCTAGTGAATGACATTTTTTGAGGTTATGTTGTGTTTTATTTTGAATTTTTGAATAAATGATGAAATGTAATCCAAAAAATTATGAATCGAAGCTGGAGGACTGATGACATAATGTGCTGAGATATTAAGATAAAGTTTTGAATTTTTGAGGTTAAAATTTTGATTTTTTCAACTTTTTTATTTTTTTTTATTTTTTTTTTATTTTTTCAACTTTTTCAACTTTTTCAACTTTTTCAACTTTTTCAACTTTTTCAACTTTTTCAACTTTTTCAACTTTTTCAACTTTTTCAACTTTTTCAACTTTTTCAACTTTTTCAACTTTTTCAACCTTTTCAACTTTTTCAACTTTTTCAACTTTTTCAACTTTTTCAACTTTTTCAACTTTTTCAACTTTTTCAACTTTTTCAACTTTTTCAACTTTTTCAACTTTTTCAACTTTTTCAACTTTTTCAACTTTTTCAACTTTTTCAACTTTTTCAACTTTTTCAACTTTTTCAACTTTTTCAACTTTTTCAACTTTTTCAACTTTTTCAACTTTTTCAACTTTTTCAACTTTTTCAACTTTTTCAACTTTTTCAACTTTTTCAACCTTTTCAACCTTTTCAACTTTTTCAACTTTTTCAACTTTTTCAACTTTTTCAACTTTTAAACTTTTTCAACTTTTTCAACTTTTTCAACTTTTTCAACTTTTTCAACTTTTTCAACTTTTTCAACTTTTTCAACTTTTTCAACTTTTTCAACTTTTTCAACTTTTTCAACTTTTTCAACTTTTTCAACTTTTTCAACTTTTTCAACTTTTTCAACTTTTTCAACTTTTTCAACTTTTTCAACTTTTTCAACTTTTTCAACTTTTTCAACTTTTTCAACTTTTTCAACTTTTTCAACTTTTTCAACTTTTTCAACTTTTTCAACTTTTTCAACTTTTTCAACTTTTTCAACTTTTTCAACTTTTTCAACTTTTTCAACTTTTTCAACTTTTTCAACTTTTTCAACTTTTTCAACTTTTTCAACTTTTTCAACTTTTTCAACTTTTTCAACTTTTTCAACTTTTTCAACTTTTTCAACTTTTTCAACTTTTTCAACTTTTTCAACTTTTTCAACTTTTTCAACTTTTTCAACCTTTTCAACTTTTTCAACTTTTTCAACTTTTTCAACTTTTTCAACTTTTTCAACTTTTTCAACTTTTTCAACTTTTTCAACTTTTTCAACTTTTTCAACTTTTTCAACTTTTTCAACTTTTTCAACTTTTTCAACTTTTTCAACTTTTTCAACTTTTTCAACTTTTTCAACTTTTTCAACTTTTTCAACTTTTTCAACTTTTTCAACTTTTTCAACTTTTTCAACTTTTTCAACTTTTTCAACTTTTTCAACTTTTTCAACTTTTTCAACTTTTTCAACTTTTTCAACTTTTTCAACTTTTTCAACTTTTTCAACCTTTTCAACTTTTTCAACTTTTTCAACTTTTTCAACTTTTTCAACTTTTTCAACTTTTAAACTTTTTCAACTTTTTCAACTTTTTCAACTTTTTCAACTTTTTCAACTTTTTCAACTTTTTCAACCTTTTCAACTTTTTCAACTTTTTCAACTTTTTCAACTTTTTCAACTTTTTCAACTTTTTCAACCTTTTCAACTTTTTCAACTTTTTCAACTTTTTCAACTTTTTCAACTTTTTCAACTTTTTCAACCTTTTCAACTTTTTCAACTTTTTCAACTTTTTCAACTTTATCAAAAAAATTAAAAAAATTCAAAAAAAAAATAAAAAAATATAAAAGAACCAAAAAACAATTCAAAAAGGTTAAAAAATTTCAAAAAAGTTAAAAAAAATAAAAAACTTCAAAAAGTTTTAAAAAATTCAAAAAAATCAAAAAAACAATATTTCAAAAAATTCAATATCTCAGCAAAAAGTAAAATATTTATTAAATTATTCTATAAAATTATTAACTTTGTGTGTTTGTATTTTATCGCATATTTAAGCAATTAAGTCGTGAAAGCAATAAATTATGTAATTTAAAATCCTAAAATTCAATTGTTTTAAATAAGCTGTTAACCCAAATAATTCAAATATTGACAAATAAGTAAATTATTATTTCACTTCATTTTTCATTTTTTGATAATTTTTTCATTTTTTATAATTTTATAATTTTTTATAATTTTATAATTTTTTAAAATTTTTTGATAATTTTTTAAAATATCCAAATCAGCAACTCAGCTGTGCCAAATTCAATAAATGTTTATTTAAAATTCAAAATTATTCAATTTTTCAAACTTAATTGCAAAAATTATAAAAAAATAAATTTTTCCGTATAAATTAAAATGTTTTTGTTTTTTTTTCTACATTTTTCCGTCAACCCACAACTTTTCCAAGCCCTTTCGTCGTCCCATCATCAAAAATATCCCCATAAAGTCGACGACAATCGACCATTTTTTTACCATTGACCAAAAATTCTATAATTATAGTTCCACGCCATTTCCCACAATAATGATGAGGCACGCTGTCTAGCAGATTTTCTGGTAAAGTAAATTAACCATGTCAAGTGTCCATGTGACCTGAAAAATGTCAAAAATTGTCAAATCAGGCTTTGTTCCTGCATAAATCTCACCCCTTCACCAATAGGACATTCCGGAAAGTTATACAAATGTGGATAAAAAGGTTGTGTCTTATCATGAGCAGTAACGCACATGTCATCGTATTTTCTATCAAAAGCTTCCATAATCCAACGACCGCGATCATATCGTTCAGTAGTAATGTGAGTTGGCGCTGTTTTGAATCCGCTATTGAACCTTAATTTGCCATTGAAATATGCATGAGTGTCATTTTCAATATGAATTTCGAGGTCTGAAGTGTCGACCACATTTGCTTCTTTAGCTTTGTATTCAGCGCACCTCTCGATTTCTGGTTGATGGGGAATAAATTGGGGATTTTAGAGGTTTAGTGAATGATTTTTTGAGTGATATCAGAGACTTGGATTCTTCTTTGGGTATATTCTAGGGTTACCTGGTATAGAACCTAGCAAGACTGGCATAAAATTAGGAATCTGGCTGAATGTTTTATGATTCTAATAAATCTGACCTATGTTAGATCTAGTTGTGGATTAAGACATTGCCTGTGAGGCCAAAGAACATCTTTCACTTGAATCAATTAGACTTGAACACTAATCCGAATAGCACAAGTCGGTTAATCGAATAGAATTTCGATATTAAGCTGGCGTGACTCTGACATAGCGCTAGATTCGATTTATGTCTAGCACCATTCCAGAACCACACCAAGCTCCACACCGGATTAATATTTGATTAACTAATTTGTGCTAATCGGGTTGACCAGTATACCACAAAATAATTTTCGTCATGATTTATTGGGTACAGGAGGACCGTATGTGAACTTAATGCCAAAATATTAATTTTAGTAGGAATAAAAAAATATTTTTCAAAAAGTTTATTTTTATTTAAGTTATTTTCTTGTTCCTTGAGCTTTGCCGCCCCCCCCCCCCCCCACCCCTTTCTGGCTATTTTATTTATCTCCCAACCAACTTCTTCAATCCCATCGTCTTTCCATCATCATAAAAATCACCATAAGCTCTGCGACAATCAAATTTCTTCGCACCATCGACTATAAATTCAAAAATGACAGTTCCACGCCACTTTCCACAATGATGAGGAGGGATTGAGTCGAGTAAAAATTCAGGTAAAGTATATGGAATCATGTTGAGTTCCCATTTGTCCTGTAAACACAAAATTTTGCTGTCAAAATCAAAATGCTGGCATAATTACTTACCCCAGCTTTTACAGGACATTTTGGAAATGCATCCAATCTTGGATATGAAGGCTGCTGCTTATCATGAGCATTAATACACATGTCTTCATATTTCCTGTCTATAACTTGAACAATCCATTGACCACGTTCGTATCTTTCGGTGTAGAATTGAAATGGAAGAGCATCGAATGGACTGTTGAACTTTATGGAGCCAATGAAGTAAACGTGAGTGTCATTCTCAATGTGTGTGTCAACTTCTGTTGTGTCGACGATGTTTGCTTCTGGTCCTTTAAAGTCAGGGCATTTTTCTAGCTCTGGAAAGAGAAGTGGAAATGATGACGAATTGACTTAACTTCTTATCTAAAATAAGGGAGGATTTCTAGACCTAACCTAAGTCTAAGGCTGCCTTTGGTATCTCCCCTGCTTAGCTAAATATGTAAGTCTTAAACTTAGATTGTAAGAGAAGTCTGTTTGAGGATTAAGTCCAACTTCTTTGTTCCTTTTTTATTGCAAATTTACCAACTTACGATAGCTAGGAATGAATGCAACTCGTGCATCTACCAAAAAGACACAATTCACCATCCAGAGACCAAAAAGTTGAAGAAACATTTTTAAAAAATTCAAACACTTTCTGAAAAAATTATTCTGAACATAGAAAAGCTTGGAACTTAATTAAAGATGAGCAATAAAAATCTGTAATTCAAAAATGTAATTAAACCTTTTTATTGATCTGCTGATGATGTTCATCATGTTGTAACGTTGCAAGATAAATGCTAATAAATCGCAATTAAAAAACAAAATTATTTTTTTTCATTTTCATTTTATTGGCTTTTTAAAAAGATTTATAAATATTTTTTTTTTGAAATTTTTGGAATTTTGTTTGCAGCTAAAATAATTTATTATTTTTGAATACTAAATAAATACCTAAGGCATAGTTTTGGGGTCTAGTCAGGCAATTAGCCAAGGGAAAAAATGTTTCTACGAAGGGCAGGCGCGTAGCCAGAGGGGGGGGGGGGGGGGGGGGGGGGGGGGACAAATCCCCCAACATTTACAGAGATTTTTTTGTTTTGCTAGGGTTTTTATAGAAAAATCACAACCCCCCCCCCCCCCCCCCCCCCCCCCCCCCCCCCCCAATTTTTTGTCCCCCCTCTTCAAATTTCTGGCTACGCCTCTGACGCAGGGGTGGAGTCAGGAACAAGGGTGTGGTACTAGTGAAATGATCAAAAAATTATCAAAAAAGATCAAAAATGATCAAAAATGATCAAAAATTGTCAAAACGTAATAATTCAGTTCCACACCCTTGGTCAGGGGGACAAAAATATTTTTCTTGAAGGGGGGATGGAGGGGGGGGGTTGACAATTTGCATTAAAACCACCCCCTCAAATGCTTCTACCCAGGATATAGTGAAAGCTCATGTCCACCATTACCAATGAAACTAAGCAGTCAGAACCCCTGCAAATGATACTTTATAAGTTACTAATGTTCATGTCTTTGCTAATGCCACCAACTTATGTAGAATATTACTTAATTATTGCACTAAGTACCATCGAAATAAATATTTTTTTTTTTTAAAATTTTAAATAAAATGTTATGATGAATTTTAATATTGACAGTGATTTTAAAGGGGATAACAACATGATGAGGGAAAAATCATAAAAAATCAAACTATCAAAATTCACTAAAATGAGTCATTTGTAAAACGATTTTCCTCAATTGTCATTGAATTTCAATCAAAACTTATCACGGAAAATACAAAAAAATTCTTGAAAATTTCCCATCATGTTGTGTTTCCCTTAGATCTCTCACATCTCGTATAATAAATTAATCGGAATTATAATTTAATTTTCTATCTAAAATTTAACAAGAAAGCATTGCGCAATTTATCACCGGAAGCTTCTAACACTTTTTAGAAAATATTCTTAGCTATTTTAAGAGCTTTTTCACAGTCTTACAGTCTAGATACCTAATTAAGTTGTGATGTTATGATTAATAAGATTTTTGGTGAATTTTCAGAGATTTTTCTTGACAAATTTAAAAGACTTAAAGCTTTTAGCTTGACAGAAAATACTTAAAAATTCACCAAACTTTAAAAAATGTGTCTTTTGAAAAAAATCTTTTAAATTTTAAGTTGCTTTGGAATTTTGGTGAAAAATGTTAAAGCCAATTTCGAGAAAATTGAATTTTTTTGGGGGGATACCTTAGAGCCCAGTGGTGGTCGATCTTTGTGACAAGGTACAGTCGATTGTTACATTGTTAAGTGTAGGACACTAGGAATATGCATCTCCAACCTTTCGACAAGAATTGATCCTTCAAATTCCCCACTTTGGATCCTTCAATAACTCAAAAATAGAATGTATAGCCAGAAGTGGACTACCGGAATAATCGATGAGTATCCTCACAAAAAACAATCAATTTATGTGAATTTGGCTTTCATTAAGTTCTATTTTCGCACAATTATGGGCTGCTGAAGATCGCTGTCGTCAAAGAAGAATGCATCGGATGCTATCGTGTTGTATGGCTGCTCGTAGTCGCAGTGGAATTCTAGAAATGCACAAAAATATAAATTGATTAATCAAGTTAATATTAATTTTTTGAGAAAAATGATTTAAAAATGAAAATGTTTGAGATGCCAAGGGCGTAGCCAGGAATATTAAGAGAGGGGGGACAATTTTTTTTGTATGGATAACTTTTAGGGGGGGGGGGGGGGGAGTTTTAAATAAAAACTCTAGCAAAATGATGAAATTTCTCAAGACGAAAAGGGAATTGGCCCCAAAATCCCCCCCCCCCCCCTTGGCGACGCACCTGCACCTGGCTATATCTCTGTTAAATCAAGGGTTTTTTTTGAGAGGGCATTTTTGAGAGGGTATGGACCCCTTCGGCTACCCTTCTTCTATTAACTCATCTACGATTTTTTTTCCTTTAGAACTAAAGCTCCGAGGACCATAGTTCGAGAAACACTGATCTAAACTTTTGATATTTTTGGTGCAAAACCCTGACTGAAGCTTAATGATGTCTAGTCTTGATTCAAGTTATCTTATCAAATTTTTATTGCATCAAATTATTAACTCAAAAGTCGTCAAACGATAGCAAAAGTGTCTATAAGATAAAATTTATCTCTAAAGTGCCTCTTAAAAACTAATTAAGATAACGATAAGGTGCATTTAAAGTCATAATGCGGTTAACTCTTGTCGCGAATGGATGCAACAAGCTCTAGAGCTCAAACTTGACTGGAATTTTTGTTGATTTTTTTAATTCAAGTTGAGTCGATTTAGCTTAAATTCGATTGAAAAAGATCGACTTATGTTTAATCTTTGTTTAAATTTATAAAATCATTCTGTAAGCATTAAGCTAGTTACTAAGCAGATTTCAGCTCTAATTTACTAGTCCTGTCACTTGTCGGCTACCTGTTAAGTCATATGAGCTTAACAATCCTTCAGACTAGACTTCATTCAGCAAGAATAGTGAGTAGCACACTCATTAAGACCAACTCTCAATTTTAATCCAAATGTAGTGTGCTAATGTGCCAGAAACCAGTAATTAAAAGCTACTAAGCTACACAAAAACGTGCAAAATTAAAAGCAGCAACAAAAAAATTATTTAAATGTGCAAAATTATTTTATTTCAGTTAATTTTGAACCAATCAGTGTTAAATATGTGCGTAAACTAATTCATATAGATATTTTAAGGGGTCATTAATCAATTTTGTACCATTTAAAAAATTTCAAAAAATTAAATTCTTAACTTAAAATACGACAACCTTTTATGTTTGAGCAAATTATTAAAATTAGCTTTTGTTGACAATCTGAATAATTCAATTTCTCAGTCCTAACTTTTATTATCATCTCGATTTATATCAAAATTTTCATCTTTGTCGTCAGCTATGGCTTCAACTTCTGACTTTTTCTTACCGTGTGGTCCGTAAATTCTTTCGAGAATCCATTGAATAATTAAATGACATACAAAGAAGACTGCAAATGCCAAGGCATAGTATCGGAAAGTTATGGCACCTCCATATTTATCCATTAAGATGCCACCGATGAAACTGCCTGTGGATACTCCAACTCCTTCAAAGACTGCTCCGACGAGACCCTAAAAATGTGATTTTGTTGTTATTTTTTTGCTTTCCTGGGATTATGGGGATGGTCTGATCCCATACAACCCTAATGCAACTCAATCTTTAATTTTTTCTTACCTGTAGCGTAGCTTCTGTCCCTTGGGGAGCAACAGAACTTGCATAACTGGCCATAGTTGCATAGAAGATACCAAAAGTGACGCCATTAAGCAGCTCAATTGGAAGGACATACCTAAAAAATTTAAATTAATTTAAATTGAGTCAACTAGGGATCAAGTGTGGCTGGGTTACATAGCTCAAGGTCTATAGTATATTCTTAACTTATCTAAGCTTTAAGGTTCAGCTAAACTTTATCTAAACCTAAGCTATTCCTATTCTATACCTAACCTAACCTATACCTAACCTATACCTAACCAATACCTAACCTATACCTAACCTATACCTAACCTATACCTAACCTGTACCTAACCTGTACCTATTGTAACCTAAACTTAACCAAAAATGAACCTAACCTCAACATAACCTCAAATCAAGAATTCAAATATTTGCTTACCAAGGATTTGACAAAATCGAATACAAGAAAAATCTCAGCACGAATCCAACAAGCACCAAATTCATTGCATTTATATGTCCAATCTTCTTCAACAGCTTTCCAGACAGAAAGAAAAATGGAACTTCTCCACCAAAACATTGAATTCCCATAACTAATCCTTGTAATGTCTTCATACTTGAGTCATAGCTGCACGACTCTTGAGTTGCTGCTAAGTTCTCCAAATGCCAGAACAAGAAATTCCAGACCATTGCAGTTCCAATTCCAACACATATGCACCAGATGAAGAACACAACGACTCTGAAGGATTTAAAGATTTTTCCAACATCTTTGAGTATATTTGTGGATAATTTCGTTTGTGTATGCTTTAAACGTGATGAAACAATCATGTCGAATACTAAAGCACCAGCCATCAAGTAAAATCCAATACTGTAGTCTTTTGATGTCTTTCCTTCTGAGAATTTGTCGATGAGAAGTCCAGCGATGATTGAGAATGTTCCCCAGCCTACTGAACCCCAGAGGCGTTGATAGCTAAAATATAAGAACGATTAGGTAATGATTAGCTTGACTGTAGCTAGTCTCAAAGTGATCAGCTCGACCCAAGCAAGTCTCATAAAGAACGGCTCGACCCAATTAGTCTGAATGGAATCAAATGGACTCAAACTAGTCCTCAACTCGACTAAAGCTACATTAAAACGCAACCAAACACTCACCCAAATTTCTGTGGCTTATTTCCCAACATCTCAAAGCAAATAGCATCACCAATCGAGACAACAACAGCCATACCAGCCCATGAGATAACCAACATCATAAAGAACGTCCAAAATTGATATGTAGTCTTGACTTGATCGTCAGTAGCACCAGCAAAAAGCTCACTTACAGTCTCACTTTCAAAATCAACTTGACAACTCATTTCGACCTTGTCTTTGTCTTTTGGACAGTAAAGAGTCGTGGAATGGTCATTAATTGTGCCATTTGAAAATACTAAATGAAAGCAGTCGCCAAGCCTCTCGATTCTGTTGTGTGCGATAAACGAATTGATCGTGACTGACTTGTCGGATGACTCACAAAGTCCTGGAACATTCCAGTAGCTGCAAACACTCCGCCATGCTGAATTCTTTTCACATTTCATATGCGCTCCAAATGTATTTGCATTATTCTCGTCCACAACTTGCTCGATCATACATTTATCAATCTCATTAAGGTTTGGTGGACAGAATTTCATCAGAGTCGCACCATTGTGACAATGAAACTCTGAATTAGCTGGTATTGATGGGATGAAGTTGATGGCGAAGAATGAAACAATGATGACTAATTGAAAGATAATGAACAGTCTTTTTTGAATGTGAAATCTATCACCAATAGCACCAAATAGTGGTTTTGATATTAGACCGACGATCGGTAGAATTGTGTAGATTATGCCGACTATCACGGATGAGTAGCCAAGTTGCTTTGCTAGAGTCTAAAAATATAAGAAAAATGGGTTTGTTGTTGGTTAAGTATGGATTGATCAGCTCGACCCAAGCTGTAAAATTCTTCAGCTCGACCCAAGCTAGTAACTTAATCTGCTTGAACCAAGCTGGTCAATTGATCAGCTCGACCCAAGCTGGTCTCTTGATCAGCTTGACTCAAGCTAGTCTCTTTATCAGCTCGACCCAAGCTAGTCTCTTGATCAGCTCGACCCAAGCTAGTCTCTTTATCAGCTTGACCCAAGCTTGTCTCATGATCAGCTTAACCCAAGCTAGTCTCTTAATCAGCTCGACCTAAGCTAGAATCTTGATCAGCTCGACCCAAGCTAGTCAATTGATCAGCTTGAACTAGGCTAGTATCTTGATCAGCTCGACCCAAGCTAGTCAATTGATCAGCTCGACCCAAGCTAGTCAATTGATCAGCTCGACCCAAGCTAGTCTCTTGATCAGCTCGACCCAAGCTAGTCTCTTGATCAGCTCGACCCAAGCTAGTCTCTTGATCAGCTCGACCCAAGCTAGTATCTTGATCTACTTGAACCAAGCTGGTCAATTGATCAGCTCGACCAAAGATTTACGTACGACAATACAACACTTAGCTAGCCTTTAGAGCATTTAATAATTCACAATCAACAACAATGTTGCTCAGTAATCATTCATAACCCAAACACAGAATAAATCATCTTAAACAACACATCAAGTCTAGAACAATCCTATGAGGGTTCTTCACATTTGCTCTAATTTAATTTCATTTTATCAAATTTATTTCTATGTCTGAATAAACTTTATCATGAATAATTTGATTAGATTCTTTATTGCTTATTAAATAAAAGATGTTTAACTAGAAAATTTTTTAGGAGTAATTGAAGAAGTTGAGACGAGTTGTGGTTTTTTAAGTATTTTTTTGCGGATGTATGCAATTTAAAGTTTGAGAATTGACTGTAAAATATTCTGGTGGTCTAAGTGATTGCGACTGACCTCTAAAAATGCATCAATTCACCATTATGAGTCCCAATTACTCATTTCAAGTTTAAGTCAATCAATATTTACAACTTCAATCACCAACAAAGTTTCATAGACGAAAATCAATCAATTCAGTTTGGGTTCGTTCACTTATTACGTAACGCACTAGGGGGGGAGGGGGGGTCTAAGATTTTGTTACGGTTTGTTACAGGGGGAGGGGGGGGGGTCTAAATTTTGTTACGTAACTTTTCAAAAAATATATTTTTTTATAATTTTTTCTATATTAATTTTAAATTTTAAAGGAAGTATAATAAACATTTGATAAACAATTTAAATGAAAAAAATTATTGTTACGTTATGGGGGGGGGAGGGGGGGTCTAAGATTTTGTTACGCTTTGTTACAGGGGGGGGAGGGGGGGTCTAAAAATTCGTTTTTTTGCGTTACGTAATAAGTGAACGAGCCCTTTTGATTGTGGGGTAAAATCCCAAAAAGCACGTGCTTCATGCAAGTAATTCAGCGTCTAGATAAAGCTCCTTATTTAATTAAATCTTATCAGATTATTAACTTTCATTGTTGTCTTATCAGACACTTCAAATAAGCTCTAGAATGGGTTGAGAACCCGAAATGTTGACCTCGGTTTAATACATTGTAGGTAGCTTGGACATGATTGACAGCTTTTGCTTACCAGAAGTAAAGCCAGGAAGTCGTTGAGGAAGGAAGTTTAGAATCACAACATAGCCACTCGGTACATTTCGGCAAATTCATATAAATCTCAATTTTACCGTCCAATAACCGTTAAAGTATGTCTGATTAACCGCACTGTTCCTTTAAATATTCACAAACTGACCAGGAAAATCAATTAAGCAGCATGACTCACTAATCCAATCTTAGCTTTACATCTCCGATAATACCACAAACACTAAATTGATAAGACATGACACTGTCGAATGAACAGTCAATACCAATACTCAATCATTTACTAAGTCACACAGCTTTAGTTCCATAGTTCACATAATTATCACTCAATAACTATTTATTGCGTACAGGCATTATGCAAATGAAAATGAAAACACAGCAAATTATCATCGGCAAGTAAAGCTGAACTTGTAAACATTGTATTGTGGCTGTAGTTTTTATTTTTGGAGCATTGCCAGTTCCTCTGTATGGCTGGCTGTCTTGCTATTTTAATATCTGTATGTCTGTGTGTTTGTCTGGCTGGCTAAGTCTGTTGTTCTGACTCTCACTCAAAATCATTCAAAAATTTCTTCAAATCATTCACAAAAATTCACGAGAACCAAAAACGCAACCTCAACTTCCCACTTCATTCCCAATAAAATCCAAAATTTCAAACTTACAGGTATGAACGGCACAACCGGAGCAGTTCCTGCAATGAAAAAAAGTAAAAATTTTACAAAATATTTTTTCACCTTTGCACTTCCGAAATAAATCTTGCAAAAAAATGTTAATTTACCTGCATTAAACAAAAAGTAGTGACCCTTCATGGGCAGCAAGTGCTTATCGACCTCAACAACCATCTTGACTTAAAATGTCTTTCAAAAAATCTCTCAAAAAATCTTTTTTTTTATCACAATTTTTCCTTTAATTTGAAACTTTTAATTACATTTTCTTGGTTGTTTTTGCCACAAACGATGCACACAGACTGACTAGTCAATTTCCTTATTGTTTTTTTAGTCTACTTTAGTGATGTTTGTTGTTGCTGGTTGAGTTGTGATGTCTCGACGAATGCTTTTCGATGTGAATTGAGGAAGAAAAAATGTAAACATAATAAAAAATAAAGTTCTGAGGTGATGCAACGGAATGTTTCTTTTCATACGCACTGTTTGGGTTTGTGTCTTGGAAAGATTTGAATTTTGAAAAATCGTTATGAGAGGTTGGAAGTTTTGCAATGTTCTGGTGTCTTTAAAGTTCCAAAACAAAGCTTATTTGACTAATGGTTTCTTTAAAATGTGACTGATCAAAACTCACAAGTTTCAGACCCCCAATTAAAAAAATCAGGTCGCACCCCATCCCTTGCGACACCCCTGAAATAAGATTCAACCTAAAAACTCAAATAAAATCAATTTTTCTCAATTTTTTATTCAACTTAATAAAGAAAAATCAATTTTATTCAATTCAATTCATTCGTATAGTTGTCAATCCATCCAGTAAATGAGGATATTCTAGTGTAAATATCAGGAGCTGCATCAACTTGACCACAAAGACGAACTCCACTGACAACAACTCCAACGGCTTCACCATCTGCAATCAGCATTGATCCTGAGTCACCTAGAATTTTTTTTTCATAAATTAAAAGAAAAACTTAAAAAAATTCATAATTAAATTCCCCACCAAAGCAAAGTCCACTGGCTGGTTGAATTGTACAAATGTGGCTTGTTGGATGGATGATTGGCTTGATTAAGTAAAATGGATTTAAGGCATTGAAAAATGATGTTCGGATGTTGCATTCATTGTGGCTAATAATCGTTGCTGGCATGTATTGTAGGTGCCTTGACATCACCCATTCAGTTGCTGGTGAATCTATAGTTATATTTGGTGAATAAGCACCGAATCCAGCTGCAATTGCAGGTAAGCTTCCAGTTATTCTGCGTCTTCCGAGTGGAATTGGTCGAACAAACTCATTGAAAATTATTTTTGTTGTTGTTTTGAGCAGTCCGATACTGAAGATAAGGAATTGATTAGATTCTTGAAGCTACAATTCTGTATTTATAAAAACTCACTCAAACCAGTTGCTGGTATAGAATGGAGGAACATTAATCACATAAGATGGATGACGAACAATCTGCTCAACGCTGTAAACATCTCCATCTTCGTCCATTCGAATAGTTCCGACAATTAAGGCATACAGTTCAGTTCGGTCGTTCAGTAAGCAGTGAGCTGCACTAAGGATCCAGCGTTCGTTAATGATTCCAGCTCCACACCCATGACTATGTAAAGGATAATATTAAAAAAAAATTAGGTTTTTTTGTGTTTTGGTTCGTATCAGTCTGGTTTTAGTCTTGGTTCTTGGTTCTTTGTTCTTTGTTTTTGATTCTTGGTTCTTGGTTCTTTGTTCTTTGTTTTTGATTCTTGGTTCTTGGTTCTTGGTTCTTGGTTTTTGGTTCTTGGTTCTTGGTTTCTTGGTTCTTGGTTCTTGGTTCTTGGTTCTTGGTTCTTGGTTCTTGGTTCTTGATTCTTGGTTTTTGGTTCTTGGTTCTTGGTTCTTGGTTCTTGGTTTTTGGTTCTTGGTTCTTGGTTTCTTAATTCTTGGTTCTTGGTTCTTGGTTCTTGGTTCTTGGTTCTTGGTTCTTGGTCCTTGGTTCTTGGTTCTTGGTTTTTGGTTTTTGGTTCTTGGTTCTTGGTTCTTGGTTCTTGGTTCCTGGTTCCTGGTTCTTGGTTCTTGGTTTCTTGGTTCTTGGTCCTTGGTTCTTGGTTTTTGATTCTTGGTTCTTGGTTCTTGGTTTTTGGTTCTTGGTTTTTACTTTTGGGTTCTTGGTTGTTGGTTCTTGGTTCTTGGTTCTTGGTTCTTGGTTCTTGAGTATTGGTTCTTGGTTCTTGGTTCTTGTTTCTTGGTTCTTGGTTCTTGGTTTCTTGGTTCTTGGTTCTTGGTTCTTGGTTTTTGATTCTTGGTTCTTGGTTCTTGGTTCTTGGTTTTACTTTTTGGTTCTTGGTTCTTGGTTCTTGGTTCTTGGTTCTTGGTTCTTGGTTCTTGGTCCTTGGTTCTTGTTTCTTGGTTCTTGGTTCTTGGTTTTTGGTTCTTGGTTCTTGGTTCTTGGTTCTTGGTTCTTGGTTCTTGGTTCTCGGTTCTTGAACCAAGAGCCGTCTGTCTGTAAGTATAAACATGTAATTACCTTCCACGATATCCAGCCGTTTGTATTGACACCATGTAAGGAAACTGACCAGGCCGTGCGTCATTGCCGCCAACAATTTGAGGTGCAACTTCAACATCAGCTGAAGCTGTTCCTAAAAATGCTATCAATTGAATCAGAAGAACAAATTTAAACATCTTTGCAAGATTTTAGTTCAAATAAAACTGAAATGTGATTTGAAAAAATTGAGATTTTTATATTTACTAGAAATTGAGATAAGTTTTATCTTATCAAAGGAATTAGGAGCTGATTTGAGATTATTTAATCGAGATGATTCATTACTTGTTGATTTTTAATGTCGATAGTCTGAATCATACACGATGCACATCAACTTTGACGATAATAACTTAATTGCAGGAAAAGCATTCAAAATTTGAAAAATTTAAATCTGCTATAAAAAAATGCATTGTCTTTTGAGTTTTGAAGCTATTCAGACAATGAATCTGAAAGTTCTTGTTTATCTACAACTTTTTTCACAAATTACAGCAAAAAGGATAAAACAAACTGAATCATTCACAAATGGCACCAGATTTCGATCCATTGAATGCAAAGCTGACAATTTGACATCAATTTTCAATTTTTGCTACATCAAAGCGGTTTCAAGGAGAGTCACTACATTCAATGTTGGTTATAAGATGCTAAAACCTATCAGCAAACCATTTTATATCCAACTTATCCTCTATTATCGATACGGTTTGATTTACCGAGAAGTAATCGACACAAAGAAGCAAGATTGGTGTGAAATTATGAACGGAAAGTCAACGCATTTGTTTATTTCTCAAACAATTGCTCAAGTTAAGGAAGGTGCACCTTTTATGTTCCATAAATGTCCATACGAAGGTGAAATTGTGGTTAGAAATTTAACACTTAACGATGAAAAAGGTTTTGATGTTTTCCCAGAAGGAATTTATAAGTTTTCTTTATTAGTTTTTGATAAAAAATTTGTGAAATTCTCGGAAATACATGTGTCTGCTCGGATTAAATCGCATTTAAAGGAGTCGATGGGGTAGAAGCCACGTAATGGTTTTACATGGTTTTTTTACACCGTAAAACTTAGTATTGTGTACTACTAAGTTTATACATATTAAATATAATTTTTTGTAATAACTTATTATTAAACTATTTTGTTTAAAACAATTTATTAATTTGATTAAAATCAATAAAAACTAATTACAAAAAAAAATGTTTGTGCATCTTGAACAGACAACCAGACATTTATACAACCAAACAACCAGAGAACCAGACAAACAAACATTCAACCCATCGATTCCTTTAAAGGCGACTTAACCTGTGCCGTTACATTCATCGAAAAAACAGGTTCGACAACTTTTTCAAAAATTATCACGGACAATTTGTAAATTCCTTCTGGAAAGACATCAAACGACTTTGTATCATCAATTGTCAAGTTTTTAATTTCAATGTCAGCGTCGTATGGACATTTGTGGAACAATCCAGGTACTGATGCCTTAATTTGAGCCATTGTGTGCAAGAAAAATACATTTTTATTCTTTCCGTCCATTAAGTCACACCAATCTTGTTTATTAGTGTTGATTACTTCACGGTAGATGAGTCCGTAGCGATAATGAAGGATTAATTGGATGTAAATTGGCTTATCGAAGCTTTTAAGGAGCTTAAATCCAACGTTTAAAGTCACAATTCTCTTTGAGAATGCTTTAATGTAGCAGAAGTTGACAACAACTGTTGAATTGTTTGCTTTACAATTAATTGATTGGAATCGTGTGCCAAAGACATAAGAATTTGATGCTTTTGCACATTTTATGGCTAAAAATGTTAAAAATTGCAAAAAAATTTGAATTTTTAGATTCATTTCTTTTGGTTGTTGTACTGAAATGTCAAAAGTGCAAAAATTTGAGTGAAATTAAACTTTTTTAATTTTTTTAATGATTTCCGGTCAGTTTATTTATAGCATCAAAAACTTTTTTTGACATTCTAGCCCATTGACTCTTTAATTGGTGACTTAACCTGCGACGTAATGTTCAATGCAAAGACAGGCTCAGCAGTTTTGTCAAAAATCAGCACTGAACCTTTGTAAATGCCTTCTGGGAAGAAGAAGAATTGTCAGCTTTACACTCAATTGACTTGAATCGTGCGCCAGCAACGTAGGAATCGTCTAGTTTTGCAGATTCTGAGATCAAAAATGTCAGGAACTGGATGCAAATTAGGATTTTTGGATTCATTAATTTTTGTATTTTTATGGAAAAAGTGGTGAAAAATCAACAAACTCAAGCGACACTTGAGACTTAAATGGTTACAAAAATTAAATTTTTTATCGTTTTCTATTAGCTTCCTGTTGTTGACTTGATGGGATCAAACATTTTTAATGTCAACATGATTAATTTTAGGCGGTCCGAAACTGTTAGGGTCCAAAAATGTTAAGGGGATTCGAAATTTCTAAGGGGGTCCGAAATGCTGATTAGAAACTTAATGTTAAAGGAGTTGAAACGAATGGTTGTTGGGGTGATGGCAGGAGGAAATAGGAATGGTCCGAAGGCAATCCGATTTGAAAATCAATCCACATTATAAAAGCCCAAGTCACTGACTCACTGACTCAAGAACGGAAGCCACGTGAAGCCATTTGTGAAGTCGTGTGAAGCCAAGAATTTAAGAAGTGTTGACAAGGTGGGTGTCAGGTTGGGGAGGTTGACAAGGTGAGTGTCAGGTGGGTCCGAGTTTGAGGGGTTTGTGAAACCATGTGAAGTTTTGTGAAGCCGTTTATAAAATTTTTGTGAGATTAAGGAAATCCGAGTTTGAGGGGTTTGTGAAGCCATGCGAAGTTTTGTGGTAGGATTGACCTTAGAAACATTATTGTTATTTGCGTCTTACAGTTATATACATTTTAGTAATTAAATTTAAACCCTGATAACAGGCGCCACGGCCTAGTTTAGTAGATTTTTGGAAAAAAAATCTAAATTTGCTCAAAGAGGTTGGGGGGGGGGGGGGGGGAAGGGGTCCTCAAATATTGTGGAAAGCCTAAAACTTTTTATGAGTAGATGCAAAATCCTATTTTTAAATGGATTTCAGGGGTAAGCAACTCCCCAGCCAAAGTCCCCCTGACAGAGCTTCAGTTTCTGATTTAACCTCAAAATTTAAAATTTTATTTTTCAAAAAGTTATCATAGATTCTACAAAACAATTATTATTCAACAATTGACCATCAATATTTTTAAAATAATCAATATAAAATCAAGAAAAATATCATTTCGACAAAATCAAATTGGAACTAGCTTGCATAGCATTATCACTAAGAATTAACCCTTTTTTTAATAATTTTTGAATTTTTAATAATTTATTTTAAAATGCGTAAATCAAAAAAAAGCTTTGGCTCAAGATTCCGATCAGTTGAATGTCGTGCAAACAATTCCCCAGCAATTATCAACTACTGAAATGTCAGAGCCATCACCCCTTTCCTATCCCCCCCCCTCCCCCCTTATTTGCCCATAGTCTCCTTAAGCGAAGACTTGATCTGATGTGTCAAATTCATTGAAAAGAATGGATCTTCATTCTTATCAAAAGTCAGCACAGATGTTTTATAATGTCCAGCAGGAAAAACATCGAAAGACTTTGTATCGTCAATTGTCACATTATTGAGTTCCACTAAATCTTCGTATGGACATTTATGGAACAGTCCAGGTGCTGTTGCCTTAATTTGAGCTAGTGTCTGTAATATCATTGGATGTGCTGACTTTCCGTCCATAATTCCACACCATTCTTGCTTCTTTGTGTTGATTACTTCATGATATATGATTCCGTAGCGGTAATAGAAGATAAATTGGACATAAATTGGCTTATTGATGGGCTTTGTGAGCTTAACTCCAACATTTAAGGTCACGACTTTTCTTGAAACTGCTTTCATGTAACAATAAGCGATGGTTGCTGTTAAATTGTTGGATATGCATTCAATTGACTGGAACCGAGTGCCATCGTTGTATGAATTTTTTTGCTTTCCACATTTGACTGTTAATATTGTGAGAAATTGTAAGAAAATCAGGATTTTTAAGTTCATTAATGAAGGTTTTTGGATCTAACATGAGCCGCAAATGCCTGATTTATGATTGTGTGACTTGAATTTTAGCCATGAGCAACTGATTTATAATCAGAAATCTTTTCTATGATTGATGCTGAATTTAATAATTTTTAATTGTCTGTGTCAATTTTTGTAATTTAAATGATATTTTCGAAAATTATTTGATTTCTAATCTTTTTAACTTTCAAATTATTAATAAAAAAATTATATAAAAATATTAAAAATCAATTTTAATGCTTTTCAATAATTCAAAATTTAACGGTTTTTAAAATTTCAAATTTACCGGATTTGACAATTTAAAGTTAAACGGTTGTCGAAAATTAAAAATTAACAGTTTCAAAAATTCAAATTTTAACGGTTTTCGAAAATTCAAATTTTAACTGTTCTCAAAAATTTAAAATCTATCGGTTTTCACAAATTCAAATTATAACGGTTCTTAAAAATTCATATTTTGACGGTTTTCAAAAATTCAAAATTTATTGGTTTTCAAAAATTCAAATTTTAACGGTTCTGTAAAATTCAAATTTTAACGGTTTTCAAAAATTCAAATATAACGGTTTTCAAAAATTCAAATTTTAACAGTTTCCAAAAATTCAAAATTTATCGGTTTTTAAAAATTTAAATGTTAACGGTTTTCAAAAATTCAAATTTAACGGTTTTCAAAAATTCAAATTTTAACGGTTTTGAAAAATTCAAATTTATCGGTTTTCAAAAATTCAAATTTATCGATTTTCAAAAATTCAAATTTATCGGTTTTGAAAAATTCAAATTTTAACGGTTTTCAAAAATTCAAATTTTAACGGTTTTCAAAAATTCAAATTTATCGGTTTTCAAAAATTCAAATTTATCGGTTTTCAAAAATTCAAATTTTAACGGTTCTGAAAAATTCAAATTTTAACGGTTCTGAAAAATTTCAAATTTTACCGGTTTTAAAAAATTCAAATTTATCGGTTTTCAAAAATTCAAATTTTAACAGTTCTGAAAAATTTCAAATTTTAGCGGTTTTCAAAAATTCAAATTTTAACGGTTCTGAAAAATTCAAATTTTAACGGTTTTCAAAAATTTCAAATTTTAACGGTTTTCAAAAATTCAAATTTTAATTGTTTTCAAAAATTCAAATTTAACGGTTTTTTGTAAAAAAACAAGAAGTTTAGATTTATTAAAAGATAATCAAACAACTTTTAAAAAAATTCAAATAATTGTTCATTATTGCATCCTCTAATTTACCCCATAGACTCCTTAATTGCAGACTTGACCTGATTTGTCAAATTCATCGAGAATATCAAATCCTCATTCTTATCAAAAGTCAGCACAGATGTTTTATAATTTCCAGCAGGAAAGACATCGAAAGCCTTTTGATCGTCAATTGTCACATTTTTTAATTCCACATCACCTTCGTAAGGACATTTATGGAACAAACTTGGCGCTGATCCTTTAATTTGAGCTACAATTTGTAGAAGCAATGGATGTGCTGACTTTCCGTCCATAACACCGCACCATTCTTGCTTCTTTGTGTTGATTACTTCCCGATAAATCAGTCCATAACGATAATTGACGATAAATTGGACATAAAGTGGTTTATTGAAGCTTTTAAGCAGCTTAACTCCAACATTTAAAGTCACAACTTTCCTTGAAACTGCTTTGATGAAGCAAAATGTGACAAGTGCTGTTGAATTGTTGGCTTTACATTCAATTGACTGGAACCGAGTGCCATCTATGTATGCATCTGATGACTTTGCACATTTGACTGTCAAAAATGTTAGAATTTGAAGGAAAATTATGATTTTCAGGTTCATTTTTAATAGGATTTTGAGGATCTAAAATGATCCACAGACAACTGATTTATGATTGAATGACTTCGATGCTGCTTCCGTACTGACTGAATCATTTAATTGTTTGCTGCAAAATTTAATAACTTTTAATGCTTCCTGTAATTTAGTTGATAATTTCAAAAATTATTTAATTCTTTTAAATTGAAGTAAATATTGATGAATAAGTAAGTTTAAAAATTTCAAAATTTAACAGTTTTTGTAAATTTAAAATTTAACGGTTTTCAAAAATTCAAAATCAATCATTTTAAAGTTTAAAATTTTAAAATATTCAAACAATTCTAAATTTAACGTTTTAAAAAATTCAAAATCTTAACGGTTTTGAAAAGTTCAAAATCTTAACGGTTTTAAAAAATTCGAATTTTAACAGTTTTCAATAATTTAAAATCAACTGTTTTCAAAATTTAAAATTTAAAAATATTGAAAAAATTCAAAACCATCGGTTGTCAAAAGTCAAAATTTCAAAGTGTTCAAAAATTCAAAATTTAACGGTTTTAAAAAATTCCAAATCATTGGATAACAAAAATTCCGGTTTTTAAAAATTCAAAATCATCGGTTAACGGTTAAATTAGAATTTTAATGATTTTTAAAAATTCAAAATCAACCATTTTTAAAATTCAAAATTTATGAATTTTTAAAAATTTCAAAATTTTAACGTTTTTTAAAAATTCAAAATCAATCGTTTTTAAAATTCAAAATTCCTTATTTTTTAAAATTTCAAAATTTCAAAGTTTTTCAAAATTTCAAAATTTAACAGTTTTCAAAAATTCAAAATTTTAACGGTTTTAAAAATTCAAAATCTTAACAGTTTTCAAAAATATGAATTTCAACAGTTTTCAAAAATTCAAAATCAGCTGTTTTCAAAATTTTAAATTTTAAAATATTTAAAAAATTCAAAATCATCGGTTGTCAAAAGTCAAAATTTCAAAGAGTTCAAAAATTCAAAATTTAACGGTGAATAAAAATTCAAAATCATCGGTTAACGGTTAAATTCGAATTTTAATGATTTTTGAAAATTCAAAATTTACCTTTTTTGGAAATTCAAAATTTATGAATTTTTAATATTTCAATATTTTAACGTTTTTCAAAAATTCAAAATTAACTATTTTCAAAAATTCAAAATTAACCGTATTCATAATCCAAAAAATTTCAGATTTTTTTAATTTCAAAAGTTCAACAGCATAACCTAAAGTCCAAATAGAAACTTGAAGCTACAAAGCAACCGTAACGTTCACAAAAGATTCAAACATCCGATCAGCTGATCAGTATAACATGTAAGATAACGAATATCCAACACTAGTCTTCCCCTCGATTCATGCGATTTCATGTAATATTGTAGCAGGAATGTAATATTGTAGCAGTTCCTGAACGCCTGAAGATGAGAGAATCAAAATACCTGAAAAAAATGATCATAGACACTGATAAAACCTTCAAAACTAATGAGATGCGGTAAGTTGAATTTATTTATATTCAATTTTGATGAGTTTTGATCATGTTGGAGCATCTTGAGTTACTCTAGCCTAGATTTGATTAATATTTGTCAGATTTAAACAATTTTGATCAGTTTTAATCATTTTTGGCTAGTTTTGATCACTTTCGGCCAGTTTTGATAATTTTCGGCCGGCTTTAATTATTTTTGGTCAATTTTGATTACGTTCGGTCAGTTTTGATAACGTTTGTCAATTTAATCGCGTTCGGTGAGTTTCGATCATTTTCGGCCAGTTTGATCATTTTCGGCCAGTTTTAAACTTTCTATCAGCTTTGATTGTTTTCGGTCAGTTTTAATCATTTTCGGTCAGTTTCGATCATTTTTGATTAGTTTTGATCATTTTCGGCCAGTTTTAAACTTCGGTCAGTTTTAATCTATTTTGGCAAGTTATGATCAATTTGTGGTCAGTTTTGATCACTTTCGGCCAGTTTTGATCACTTTCGGTCAGTTAAGTTTTTAAATTCTTTTTCCACATTCTATTTTTCCAGGAAATTTGCTGACAAAGTCCTCAATATCCAAAATTACACAATGGATGACATCATCGCAGCATTCTACAAGATAGCAATCTCCAATGACAAAGATTTTGAAAAGTTCCTCAAGTCTTTCCATGACTTATGTCTTAAGTGTCCATATCCATCAGCCATTGCTTGCATCGCCAAGTTCCTGTGCTTAGAACTCAAGCCATTCGAGTTTCGTGAGAAAATATCAAAGCTGATTTGTGAGGACTCAAATAAGAAGATTGAAACTTACGATGAAAGATTGGATGACTTGAAAAATAATGTGGACATTATTATACTTGTAGCTGCTGAGTTCTATAACTATGATATCATTAGCTGTCAAGCCTTTGTGTCTGTTCTAGAGAAATTGGCATTGAATTTGAAAACAACAACGCGAATTTTCATTTTTCATCTTTTCTTATTCACAGCAGCACTAAAGTTAATCCACACAGGCGATGGATGTGATTTACAGACAGTCTATCACCATTTTAAGAATAAACCAACCAAAACCATGAAACGTGAGCTGTTCCGTAGATTTAAAGAATTCCAAGATCATTTCACGACTGTATTTGAGCTGTCAGTAGCGACTGTCAAGGAAAGTCAAAAGAAGTTTAACTTTTCGTACATTATGGACAGTTTAAATGAAAAGAATTTCGATAGTTCTATTTAGTTTGTTGAGCGACTCGAAGTCTTTAAATGTAAGACAAATGCAGGAATTTTGATCAAAAAAGTAATGTCGAACAAAAAGAATTTGGAACTGTATGTCAAGTTTGCCAATGAAATCGCAAAGTTTAGGTTCGATTTTCGTGATTTCATTCAAGGCTTACTTTTTGTTGAATTCGGAGTTTCCTTGGATGTTGGTAAGGACATACACGCACCAATTAAAATGAAGCCACTAAAAGAATGTGAGCTTCCGAGAGCCATGACCATTATAGACTTCCTTATAGCTTTATATACATCAAGGTTCTGCCATTCTGATTATTTAGATTTATTTTTACAATTTGTATCCCAAGAACCTTGCGAGAATCGACTAAAATGTGCTGGATATTTGCTAAAGATTATCGGAGCTAAACTCGAACGCGAAAGATCAAGCACGATCGAAGAAAGTTTTGCAAGAATCAAACAGAACCAAAAAAGTCAAAAATATAAAATTTTATTCGAAAAAATTGAAAAATTGTCAATTAATAAATGGATATTTGATTCCGAAGAGGATGAGAAGAGCTACATGCTGGCAATGGGTGCTGATTGGAAGAAAAATGAAGAGGAAGTGCAAGTTGATGAAAAGAACAGTAAATTTGAAACTAAAAGTAGTGTAAAAGCTAGGAAGAAAGTTAGGAATAAAAAAGAGAAGATATCTGAAAGAGCAAATCTTGAGGAATTGAGAATATGTGCTGTTGGAGATAACATGGACAACAAAGAAGTATCATCATTGTTAAAACTAGACCAGAAGAGATCTATAGCTTCAACTGAAGATCAAGAAAGACTTTCAGGTTCCAATTTAGATCAAGGAGAACCATCGACATCTAATTTGCACCAAAGAGGACCTTCGACTTCTAATATGAACTAAGGAGGACATAAATCTATGAATCTGGACCAAGGAGGACCTAAATCTACGAATCTGGACCAAATCGCTACCTCAACTTCAAATTTAAATCCAGGAGGAATTAAGATATCAAATCTGGACCAAAATCAACCATTAACCTCAAAATCAAATCCAGGAGGAGTAAAGTCATCAAATCTGGACCAAAATCAACCATCAACTTCAAAATCAAACATAATTAAACCTGAACCACCACAAATAGCATCAGAAACCAAACCCAAAGCCTCTGAAACCACCATCCCAGCAACTCCACAAGATATCGAACCCACAACACCTTCCCAAATCAAAAAACATTTCGAATTTTTCACAAAAACTGAAAGCGACTATGAAATTTTCCTGAAAACTCTTCAAACTTCACAAGTAAATTTCCTCACAACGTGTCGAGCAATGGCGAAAAAAGTCACAAAATCAGAAGACAGTCAAAATGATTTTTTCCAGAACATTTGGAAGTATTCCTTGATTGACGCAAGTTTGGCGACTGAAACTGCTGAAATGTGCAAAAATTTGACAAAAACAAGAAAATTTCAGCGAAGTTATTGAAAAATTCGTCAGTAATCGAATAAATTCACTTCTAGCCATAGCTAAGTCAGCGGATGTTAAGGAAAACGAAGGAGTCAGGAAGAGAATTGCAAATGCTTTGTTGTTTATTGCAGCACTTTATAGTCAAGACTTAATCACTGACAATATGTTTCAATTATGTTCTGTAAGTAAATTGACATCATTGTTGAATTGTAAGGAAGTTGTGGACATGCTGGTTATTTTGGCTAAGAAGATCAATGTGGATTGTGATGAGAACATTCAGTTGAAAGCAAAAGTTTTAGGATTGGAGTGCCTTCAAGAGATGAATTTTTCGGAGGTTTTTGGGATTATTAAGAAGGACTTGATGGAAATTAGAGGAAATTGAGTTGGACTTGATGCTTAATTTTATGAAATATCATTAAATATGGTCTCAAAAGACACAAAAACTTGCTGGAAAATTAAAAAACCCAATTATTTTTTAAATTAACTTTGTTCTTAATAGTTTTAGTTTATTTTATGTCTTTTCTACGGGGTCGTTAATAAATGACGTCAATCAAACTTTTTTTTGCAGATATTCATCAACAACTCTCCTCATTCCTTAATTCCTTCTAACCTATTTCGGACATTCTCCACTTTTTATTTCATTAAATTGTATTCCATCATTGTAGCAAAAATAAGTCTCAAGAACACAGCTGTTTTGGAATGTCAGCCCATCCTTAGGTTCATCGTAATATCCACAAAGTGGTTTGTATTCGTCTGTGCAGTTTGTGTTGCACTGGTTGGCTTCTTCATCTTTGAGAGAAAATTCATAAAATTAATACAACTCATTTAATTGGACCCTGACCCTAGAGCTACGTTCCCCGGGGAAGTTAGGTTACCCTAAGGTATTTATGATACCTAGGATGTCGGGTCCTTGGGCTTGGTTTCTAGAACAACCCAGAGCACCACGAGCGAGTCTAAGTTTAATTTTATTTAATTGAAGTAGACCAAGAAACGGGAGAACCACTGGAAATGTCATTTCATGTTGATCGTAGCTGACAGTGGCATAGCAAGATGCTGGAGCACTTGCAAAGCATGAAATATTCAGGGATCTCAAACCAAGTCAAGCTATAGTTCAGTGTTGTCCAAACTTTTTGAGCCACAGCACATATTAAAGGTAAGCCATGACCTAAATCGCACACAGCATGCAACTCGCGTCATTTCCAAAAATTTTCTATAGCATAGTAGTGTACCGCGGCAAATAGTTTGGACAACACTGCAGGGACGTAGCCAGGAATTTAAAGAAGGGGGGGGGGGAAATTAAAGGGGATTTTTATGATTTTTTCATAAAACTCCTAGCAAAATTAAGAAATTTATGTTAACGTTGGAAGATTTGTCCCTCAAATCCCCCCCCCCTGGTTACTTGCCTACAGTATTGCTATAAATCATCTTAAATCTCTACTATGCGACCTTTCATACCTTGTGAATGAATGCTGACAATTGACACTGTTAAAAATTAAATTATTATAAATGAAGTTTCAAAATATTAACTAGGCTGTCCATCTGCGCATTTTCAACAAGTAAGTCTTGCTGTTTTTAAGAATTTCAAGATAAAATTCTCAAAATCCCGCTTTGAGGCCGTTCACTTATGACGTCCGACATTTTGGGGGGAAGGGGTCTAGGATTTTGTCACAGTTCAAACAATGGAAATTTTTTTCTATAGAATTTTTTTGACAGAGGGGGGAAAGGGATTCTAAAAATCAGGTTTTTTGATGGACGTCATAAGTGAACGACCCCTTTTGCAATTTAAATTCTTTATTTTGACACGAAAAATGCTCTTAATTTTTTGTCAATTTCGCTTTCTGACCGTAAGTTGATGTCCAGCCTAGCTTTAATTGCATTTACATACCAGCAATAATGAAGAATATTAAAAATTTCATTTAAGTTTGTCACAAATTCACTTCAAATCTGTTTCCCAACCTTCTCAGTAAGGCGACTGACTTTATAATATGCAAGATATTCAATGATCCTTAAAACAGCAGATTTATTGGGAATTCCACAAAGAAATACTGAGAAATTCCAAAGAAATCTCACAAAATTGAGTAAATATTCTCTCTTAGCAGCATCTGAGCGTAACAGTAAGAACAAGAAGTTGTAGGCACAGATTTAACGACGTAAAGTTTGCTCTCTCAAACCACACACGTTTGAATTTTAAGTAGGAGAGTTTAAAACGCCCACAAAAGAAGTGATTTATGGCAAAGCAGAGGCCATATTCAACACTCTGAACCCCCTCCCCCCAAACCCCACCACCAATTCAAACAAGTGGTTTAAAATTTTTTTACAATTTTATTTAAATCGAATGACATTCTCTGAAGCTTAAAGGTTCAAGCAGCTAGTCCAAAAGTCATGTCATCTCATTCCTAATTAGGGCAATCACCAAGCAACTTGCCCTTAAACTTTTGTCCACTTCTCTTCTCACACGCAAACTTGTCCATTTCACATTCACTCTGGAAGGTCATTCCAAACTTAGGATCAGTGTCATAAGCACAGACATTCAATGGTTTCGGTTCACAGTCCTTCATGCAGGTGTTTGATTCCTCTGGAGTTTCTGATGGTCGGAAGTTGTCTGGATTCTTGGATGGCTCAAAGCTATTGGAGTTCTCGGATGGATTGAAGTTGGATGTAGTTTGTGGCATCATGTTGGGGAACATGTTGAAGTTGTTGGGCTGCATGTTGAAGTTGTTGGGTTGTGTGTTGAAATTTGGGAAGTTTAAGTTTCCAAAGCTAGGGAAGTTGAATTGTGGGAATTGGAAGTTGGGCAGCTGGGGTGCAGAATTGACTGAAATGGCTGGAAAATAATAAAAAAAATATATTTTTGACCTCATCAATTTCGAAATCATCCCAAACTTACCCAAAATACACAAAACAAAAGCAATTTTCATGATTTTAATTTTTTTTATTTTTTTTTTGTGAATTCCAAAGTTTGTTTTCATTAACACCGCGACTCAAACTGTCAAAACAATCTCAAGTTCTTATTGACAAGATTATTGAGTAAAAAAAATAACCAGCAGCAGATTTTGAGAAGATCAAGAGCGTAAAAATTGATGATTTTGAGAGAATTTCTTCTTTTTCTGTGCTCAATTTTGAGTAAGATTGATGAAATAACAAGAAATTCAGCTTGGCTGTGACGTCAAAAATCAAGTTATTGTCGAGAAAATCCTCCAGATGATGATCCACCCGGTGGAGTCAGCGGCGTGTGCTTGACTATTGGAAACTTGATTCCATTTTTACATTCATAGATCAGAAGTTCACATTGACTTGGGAAGCAATGACCTTCATCAGAGTTATTTAAGTATCCACAATAAGGATCATAAACCTGAGAACATGCACGTGAGCATTTATCTGGTGGTGGTCCGTATTGGGGAGCTGCTGTGGCTGAAAGTGCTGGAAAAATGACACAAAAAATATTAAAATTAATTTTTTAACAGATTTTAATATAAATTTATGAATTACCAATTAAGCACAAAACGAAGACGATTTTCATTATTTTGAGAATATATGCTGACCAAAACCTTGAGACGGCTACAAAGAACTGATCCTCAAGTCCCAACAAACCATCATTTAAATAGCAAAAACAAAGAAAACCCCACAACATAAAATTGAGAGCAAACATTGGGATGCATGTCGGTGCGAGAATGTAACAGTAAATCCCATAAGTCATCCTGTAACAGGTTTCACCGGCTCTAGAACGCCACTGCAGGACAATCAATTCACAAAATCTTCACAAAAAATCATCAAAATTCATAAAAAAATCTAAAAAAAATATTTATTCCAAAAAACCTCAACCAATAAAGCCATTAAATCCATTACATCCACCATTAGTGACATTTTTGAATTCACGACCATTTCTATTTTCACAAACATGATAACTTAATGAGCACTCATTTCTGAACTCTTGACCTAGCTCAAAATTGCTATTTTTTGCACAGATAAGCTTAAAACTTTGAGGACATGCGTTTGAGCATTTATTGTTGCTTGATTGTTGCTGAATTTCGAAAGCATTTGGATTAAAGTTGTATGAATTGATGAAGTTTGGCTGCAGGAAGTTGAATTGGGGAGCGGCTGAGATGGTGAGGGCTGAAAAGATAAGTTTAATTAAGAAATGACAAATTAAAAACTTGAAGATTGTGAGCTATATACCTAGGAAGCACAAGACTAAAGCTATTTTTATCATTTTTTTGATTTTTAATGTCGATAATAAAATTGTGAATATTAAAATTATTTACTTCCTCATTCCTTAAATAGCAAAAATCATGAAAATCCCTTTAATTTGTTTTGTCAACAGAGAATGCATCTCAATTGAGAGCTCCTGCATCATAGCTGTCCATGCAAGTGAGAGTGAGAGGAAGAGCAACTTGCTCTATAAAATTACGGCTAAAATGAAAGTTTCTTGCTCTCCAGTTGAGGATTTTGCCTAGAAGGTGTTGTTAAATTCAAATTCTAGCTGTCTGGAATTTTAGATCAACTAGTTCTGACTTTCATATGCTAAGAATAGAGAAATTGGGGTCCACTTGAGGCTCTGAAGTTAACTAAACATTTAGAAGCTTACTACGGAATTGATGATCATGCACTTGATCTACTTAAATGCCAGAAGCATTGTGCTAATCCTTGTCATACCGAAAACACTCTAAGTCAGTTGTGTGCAACCTTTTTTGTACCATGTAACAGCTTTTAGGTAAGCCATTACCGAAACCGAACACCCACTCGGTTTGTGAAATTTTCTGAATTTTTGGGAAACATTTTAGTGTGCCACAGCACATGGGTTTGCCATCACTGCTTTATGTTTTGGTTTGAAAGATCAGGCTCTGGTGGGAACCCAAAGTCCTCACAAGCGAGCGAGTCTCGGCCACAGATGCTTAAATCTCACGTTGGTAAACCCCAACAATACATCAATCGATACTTCAGCTACATCTCCTAATTAATCTCAAATCCAACCCCACAACCCACCCAAACCCAAAATCACAACATCATAAAACTCACCAATACATTTAAATTGGTTTAAAGCACTCCCCACGAAGAACATCCCTGAACGGCTGACCACCTCTATCCTCACAAACGTACATCTGAAGGAAGCACTCATTGGTGAATTGCTCTCCAAAACTTGGATTGTTGTCGTATCCGCAAACTGGAGCGTAGTTCTGTGTACATGACCTTGAGCATCTTATCATGCTGTATGATGGCTGAAATCTCCGATTGAATTGTGGAAATTTGAGTTGTGGTGCTGCTGTAGCTGCGATGGCTGGAATGATTGTGGTGAAAAGTAATTTTAGTGCTAAACTCCTGGAAAGCTTATTCTCTTTAGGAGGTCCATGACTCTATTCTTGCAATAAGAACTCAATAAAAAGGCTCGTACCCAGTAAAGTCAGCACAAAAATCGTCTTCATAATTATTTCAATAATTCTCAACTTCAATGCGTCGTGTCTCCTCAACAGAACAACTTATCTGAATACCACAAGCTGCAAATGGCTAACCCTTTAAGTACAAAATAAAAAATTGACAAAATGTGCAAAAACAGACAGCATAAGCAGCTAAAAAGAGCATAAACTGAGAGAATAAATGTCAATAAGTATGGGTGAAGATCAATGGATGTAACGGTAAGAATAAACATGTTCTGATAATGTTCCGGATCGAAAGTGATGTTTATGGAAAGTTTCAATGTCATTTGGATGGCTGTGCCTGGAAAGTTCTATTTTTATTATTGTCAATTTTATACAAAATTATTTTTTATGGTCAGAATTGGCTATACTTGGGTCTATCCTAAAACAAGGGTGCGGAACTGATGAATTAGATCTCGATTAACATGATCATTTTTGATCATGTTTGTCCTAGAAATCCCCACAAAGCTTGAGTCCCCTTTGTTTAAGGACATTCCCCAGATATAACATGTCGGAACTTTGTTCCAGTCTGGCACTCATTAATTCTTAATTGGCAGCTGTTTGAGAATGTAATTCCATTTGTTGGAGATGTGTTGTAGCCACAAACAGGATTGAAGTCAGCTGTACAAACAAAATCGCAACGTCTTCCGGATGCAGAGGCTGGAAAAATGTGAATTTGAGATTTTAAGATGTTGTCGATGAAGTTCAGCATTAGCGGGGATGTAAGTTGTGTTTAGAGTCAGTAATTAGACATGATTGGGGTGAATTGAGGTGTCTAGGATGACTTATCAGAAGATTATGAAGTTAGATCCTCAATAGACCTCCGGAATTAGATCCAAATTGTTAAACTTGCTCATTCTAATGAGGAAATAAGGACTTACCTGAGCAGGCTGCAGCAACAACTACGAAAATTTAAAATAGAAGATTAAAATTAAATTATTTTTTGAAAAAGTCAAGTTTATTCACCAAATAAGCACAAAATTAAAGTTCCTTTCATGATTTAGATCTCAATTGCACCTTCCGTTCAATTCAAGACCACAAATTTAACTGCAATATTTATTCTGATTTAAATATTATTTATATACTTTTGATTTGTTGCAAATCATCGTATTTATGATTAAATTGTTATGCAAAAAGCAGGGAAAATCCACAGACCTTAAAGGGCAATGATGATTATTATAATGACAGGTGTGTATCTAGTTTTGAATCTTAAAGAGAAATCAAGAGCTTGCTAAAGGTTCTCTGCCCTAGTCACAATTAATGCTAAAATGAGTTTGAATGACTGCTTTACTTTAGAGCTGCTTTAGCTTTCCAAGATTCCAGACTCCGTAGAGACATAACTTCAACTCCATTCCCGCATAACTCCTCTCATGCAAGAAGTGGAACCTCAGGATTAATCCCCAAAAATCTGAAAAAAATCCCTAAGCAAATAAACATGGAAATGTGAAATCCTTTTTGAATCCTTGATGCATTTGATGAATAATTTCAGGATTTAAAAAGGAATTCACATTTTCATGTTTATAGCCTCAGGAATGTTTTTAGGATTTTTGGGATTTTTCTGAATTAATCCTGAGTTTTCACGCCTTGCTTCCAATAAGGGGATGTGGACTTATGACGTCACACACTTACAGGGGTGAGGAGGGTCTAGTGTTAATCATATCAATTTCATGATGGGGAGGAGTCTAAAGATCATGCTTTTTGATAGACGTCAGGGGCATAGCCAGGAAGAGGGGGGAATTTTTTCGTATGGAAAAATTTAAGGGGGGGGGGGGAGGGTATTTTTGTGATTTTTTCATAAAAACACTAGCAAAATAAAAAAAATTCTGTTAACGTTGGGGGATTTTTCCCCAGAATCCCCCCCTGGTTACGCGCCTGATGGACGTCATAAGAGAATGACCCCTAAGTCACTGAATGTGTTTTTAAAAACAAGTTAAATTACACATTTAATTACAAATATTTTTTTATTAATTTCAACTAATTCCGTCAAACATTTAATTTATTTTAATTAATAAACTTTTTCAACTCATTTTGTAGCTTTTTCCAGTTATTATGGTTTTGGACATTTTCCTGGTTTCACGTTAGGGTATGTTTGTCCTCGTTTGCAGGCATAATATTGCATTACGCAGCTGTTTGAGAATGTTTCGCCATCCTTTGGCTCAGAAGTGTATCCACAGACGGGTGATAGAATGAAAGGACAAGCGTCACTACATGGGCCTGTGAATGAAATGATTCATTTGATTTTTGGGGTTCTTCATAAATGATGTCTTTTAATAATTGGGATTTCTTGAAGATGTCGATTAATAATTTGGACTTTCTGAGGATTGAGAATTTAAACTAAAATGTTCTGAAGGTTTTTTACAGCGGTAGACTCCCTACCGTACCCTCTCTAGATTATATGAATGCATGACACACAATTCAACAGCATTTCTTACCATCCGGTGCAGCAGCCACAGCAACAACTGAAAATATCAAATGCAATAAAATTCTCAGTATTTCTTTCATAAAATATGCCATACTTAATAAACACAAAATCAGCACAAACTTCATAATTTTTGTGAACCTTGACTGGAAACGTCTGATAACTTTGGCACTGAAATTTCAAATGTCTCAATAAAGAGATTTTTTGGGAGCATCTAATTCTCTCAATTATGAGCTAATCTTTAATTGCTTCAGATGCCTCTCAGAAGGTCTAAAAATCTCATTTTCTGATTGACGTAATTTATGAACATCCCCTCAGACTATTCTTATTCAAAATAATTTTTTTCACATTTTTATTGATTTTTTAAAGTATTTTTTTTAATTGCTAATTTCAATTTTGTTGCCTGGACAAAGGCCATGAATTATGTTCGTGAATGTTGTTCCTCGTTTGCATGCAAAATACTCCAAAACGCACATATTCGAGAATGTCTCACCATCCTCTGGCTCAGTATTATAGCCACAAACAGGCGCTTGAATGCGGGGACATCCATCATCACATGGATCTGTAAGTAAGGATTTAATTCCAATTAATCAGAAATTTTAAGGAAAAATTAATTTCACTAACCTTCTGGAGTGGCTGCAGCAGCTACAACTGAAATGTCAAATGCATTATTAATCACTGTAATTTATTAAACAATAATTCCATACTTAATAGACACAAAACAACAGCAACCTTCATAATTATATCAACCTTGAATGAGCAGCGACTGATAACTTTGAAAACAAAACTTAAAATGTGTCAAAATTAATCAAAATATTTGGTCAAATTGAGAATTCGGGAGTCATTAAGCCTCTCAATTGAGAAACATTTTTAGACAAAGAGCTGCAAATGAAGATAAGAACAATAATGAGTAATTTGTGACGCAAAAGACGTATTTTTAAGTAAGCGCTATCAAGTGAAAGTGAATGATGCATTTTGGTAAGGGGCTGTTCACTTATGACGTCCATCAAAAAATCTAACTTTTCGACCCCCTCCCCCCTCCTCCCAATTCTTTCACAAAACTGTCACAGATGTCAATACCCCCCCCCCCCCCTTTGTAACGTCCAATTCAAGACACAAAAGATAATAATTTCCTGATTAAAACATTGGATGTCACAAATTTCCTGAACCCCCCCCCCCCTCTAAATGTTGGACGTCATAAGCAGGGGCGTAGCCAGGAATTTAAAGAGGGGGGGGGGGGGGCAAATATATTTTTGGATGGAAAACTTTTAGGAGGGGGGTGTTGGATTCGAGTTTTTCATAAAAACTCTATCCCTAAACCCCCCCTCCTCCCTGGTTACGCGCCTAGTCATAAGTGAATGACCCCTGGCCCATATCTCAATAAAAATACACTCAAATCAATTTCAATTTTTGCCTTTATTATGATCCATTTAAGTACTGAATTTCAGTCAAAACAGCCAAACTTCGTCCATTCCTTATGACAACCTGACTCCCTTCGATCCAGGACACTCTCCGTTAGCCATTCCAGCAAACTTTTTTCCACCGTGTTCACAGACGTAAGATTCAAGAACGCATTTGTTTCCGAATGATTTTCCATCCTTGGGCTCCTTGTCGTAGCCACAAACTGGTGTATAGTCATCTGTACAGGCCTTTGCGCATTGATTTGCTTTTGGTGGGGCTGTGGAAAAATTAAAGGAATTATAATAAAATTGTGTGAAATAAAATGTCTAAGCTGGTCAATTTTACTAACCTTTTGGAGCTGCTTCAATCGCTAGAACTGAAAAATACACACAAAAATTAATCAACAAAACCACGAAAAATCGAATCGAAATTTCCATACCCAAAAGACACAAAACCACAACAGCCTTCATAATTTCTTTGAAATCACAACAATTTTAAAATTAAAACGTCCAGCAACTTTAACACCACAGCTTCAACTGCCGCTCTCAAGCTCACATTTATCGTGTTAAACAACAGCAAAAAAATTCCGAGTAAAAAAAATTTATGCAAATTTAAAAGCAAAACAAACTGTCAATTGAGAATTATTTATTTACACAAATGAGAATATCGCATCGTTGACTAAAGCAAGCAGTAAGCACAAAATGCCGTGACAAGATGAAATTTGACATTGAAGGTAGTTGTTTGATCTCATCTGAGTTAATCAAGCCGGTTGATCTGGTCATTAGTGAAATGTATTATTGATGATTGCGGTGTGAGTGTTGAGGTTTGTGGGGAATTCAATGGAGAGAAGGGAAGGGGCAGGGGGGAGGGGGTTATTTTTAAATAATGATATCAGAAGCTGGGCCCAGGAATTAAAAGAAAAACAGAAAAAAGTTCCAATGGAAAAATTGGGGGGGGTATTGTTGTGATTGCCCTCCCCTGGTTGTGATTTAAGGGGTGTGGGGAGGGTCAGTGTAGGTAAAGTGGTTGATCTAGCTTTACACCAGCTATAATATTCGCATTAAATGTTAAAATTTGCTTTGAAAAACAAGATCAAACCTTCTTTTTCCCCCAACTTAGGGGTGGGGGGGGGGGGGGGAAAGGGCTCTGCCAAATAATATTAATCAAATAAATACCAAAACTATTTAAACTGCATCATATAAATACCTATATACCCAACATTCGTTCCGACTGCCACAAAATATTCAAAAATCTCAAGTTAACTCATTATTACAAAACATATTTTCGCATCATTTCATCGCGTCAGTGACATTCTTTGATTGTGTGCAATTATCATTTTTCGTTGGAACGCTCTGATTGGTTGAATTTAGAATGTTGCTGTAGTAAACGTCTGTGATGATTTTTTTCGTGTCCGAATGTCACTGAGAAGGTCTTTCTTGAAGTTGAAGTTGTTTTTGTAAATGTTGAAGTTTAGAGGTTAAAGGGGTTTAGGGGGGTGGAGCCAGAAAACATTTATTAGTGGGGAGGTTGGAAGGGAGGGTTAACTGATTTGTAGTAGCTCGATGCTTTGTGTTGTTATTTTTAATTGATATCGAGAGTCGGGACCCCCTTTGCTCCCCCCCTTCAATAGAGGGGAACTATGCCACTACTTCGAGGGTTGATTTAAATTTGGTTCTTTTTGATGTTTTAAAGGCAAAACCTTGTTGTAGGTTGCAATGTGTATCATATTGAAGACTGTGATTGATGTGGCTCAAAAATCCTGTTCCTCCCCTTTTTATACTTCAATATTAAACAGAGTTGAGTTGCTACCCTCCAGCAAAAATACAAAAACGCCCCAAAAAGTTTCCAAAATTCCCAAAAACATCTTCATAACGGCCACAAAACTCAAAGTTTCCTTACAAACTACAATAAACATACAAACTTCACCAACACATATATAAAAAGCGCTTCTAAACTCAATCTTACCATCAATTCCACTCAAACTTCCACCACAATTCGGCAAGTCGTCAACACTTTTTTCCTCATCATTCAAACTTTTTTCACTCATTCTGAATTAAACTTTCAATAAACTAAGACGTAAATTTTATTAAATTAAGTATAAATTATAATTAAATTAAATTAAAAATGAAAACTGTGTCGAAAGTGTTGGTGCTGTTGGGTGCCGTGGCTCTTGTGAGCTGCGAGGTGTTCTATGAAGAAAAGTTTGTAGACGGTAAGTGTCTATTGTCTGGAATGTTCTGGAATCTGAATAGGTAGACGTGGTAAAAATTGGTCTTGGAGGTTTAACTGGTCATCCAGACAACCAACCAGTCAAAGATTCCAGATTTTTCTGTCAAAATTTACACACCCAAAAAATTTCTAAAATTATTTAATTAAAATTTAGATTCTTGGGAGAAGAACTGGGTCCAATCAAAGCATCCAGGCAAAGAATTCGGCGTTTTTAAGCGTACCGCTGGCAAATTCTTCAACGACGAGGAAGCAGATGCAGGTAAGCCGGAAATCTCTTACGTGTACTTTTTTGTGATGCATTTCACACTACAATGACACGTAGACACAGCGGCAAAAATTTGCAATGTCTGTGTGCATGACGTACATGTGCTTTCACTGGATCTTCTTGTTATTTATGGAAATTTTCATCTTATAGGTCTCCAGACATCACAAGATGCTAGATTTTATGGAGTTTCAACTAAATTCACACCATTCACAAATAAGGATAAGCTACTTGTGATACAGTTCTCAGTTAAGCATGAGCAGAATGTTGGTGAGTACAAAATTGGATTGTCTGGGGTGCGTGGGGGGATGAGGGGGTCGGCAAGGGTAATGAGAAGGGTTTTGTGGGTTGCGACAGCTTGATTTTGGGCTATAAATGATAGAAAATTGAGGAATTTTATGGAAAATTAGCTTCAATTTTAGCAAACTTTAGTCAGTTCTACCTGCAAATTGTCAGGTCATTAAGACTTAATACATAAAAATTCCATTAATTAGCAATTTTTCCCAAAAAATTCATTTAAAAAATTCCTATGAAAATTCTTATCAGACGCACAGCTTTGCATAGTACACATCATGCTTTAAAGTCCCAAATGAGATTACGTAGGCTAATTTTGTTGTCAATTTTTACTGAGTCATACCTTAATATAGTACAACTCATGTCAATTAAATGGCATAATACATTTGTAGATTTTTATAGGTCAGCTATGGCCTTTAGTTGCTTGTAAAGCACACGTTTTGGTAAATTTTCTAGAAAATTTATCTTTTTTGGAGTTACTTTAAATGAGAGTTTGCCGGATATTTAAGTTTCTTGAGCAACATAATATTATTTCATCCCGTAACCTTTGATAATGCTCAATGCTATCCAGGCGCGTAGCCAGGAGGGTCTTGTCCCTCTCTTAAGCGTTTTAGACCTTGGTTCAAAACGTTTAAGCGGAAGACAAGACCCTCCTGGCTACGAGCCTGATGCTATCGCCTCTCATAGATACTTTTTTACGAAAATAATTTACGGCTGTGCTTATCGCTTAAGAGACAATAATGATAAGATAAATAACTTGTCTATCTTCCTAAGGGGCCGTTCACTTATGACGTCCAGGGGGGGGGGGGGTCAACAAGAAAACAACAATAGAAATTCCTGGTTTCATTCATTGTTCTTTCCATTGATCTTTTCCATTTCCATTGTATTTTTTTGAGAAGTGACCGTTAATTACGGACGTCATAAGTGAACGATCCCTAAGGGGTTCTGGCATTGGCCAACGGCTCAATCAATTCCTAAATCACTCAAAATAAAAAAAAAAAAAACAAATCCAGCGATTAACAGGCTGTCCACCGGTTCTTGATCAAAAAAACCTGACCGTCCCAATATAAAGCTCGCAACTGGACAGCCTAGAGATCAATAAATTATCGATTCCAATTCATTTTCAAATATGTGCGAATAAACTTTACAGTTTCAAACCTGATCAATTCTCATGACTGGTTTCGTGACTTATTCAAATGTTAAAAATCTATTCTGACTTAAAAAAGAAGACAAAAATTCTTATCTGTGGAGAAGAATTCCAAAGATTTAACACAAATACCAGCATAGCATGTAGAAAGTGTGGATTATTCTAGTCAGCAGATAACAAAAAGCCTCATTTTTAATTTTTTATCTCCCATAAAATTGATAAAAAATGCAATATTTCATCACAAAACATATTTTGTAAATTTCAATCATGTTCTACACACACATAGACAGCGATAAGAAAGAACTACGACATAAACAGACATGGCAAAATCACATTTTATACCTGACAATTTTTCTTCTTGCTTCTTACTTCTTTGCTTGTGTTAGTTAAGTGAATGCCCTCATCAGTTGATTGATTCTGTTCACATTGACTTGTTAAATGATTTATAATAGCGTAAGTCTAGTCAAATTAGAGGCATAATGTTGATGAAGATGACTTTTTTCTAGCTTATAGTATGCAAGTTCCACTCTTTTTGATATCAGTGCTGCTTAAGCTTTGCTCTGTGGCACGTTAATTCATTTTATTCACATTAAAAGTTTAGAATTCATCAAAAATTGCTTAAATTTGATCAAAAGTCAGATAAACCAGTGGTGGACAACCTTTTTAAAGAGTCTGCACACTTTGGTAGTAAGCTGTGACCAAAACCTTAAATGCCAAAAGATTCGTGGGATTTTATGAATTTTTCCGAGTCACACTGAGTTCCAAACTCTGAAACTAGGTGTGCCAATCTCAAAACAGTTCAAGAACCCCTGCCCCATTGTATCAATATTAATTTTATAACTCACCTTATGTAACATATTTGATCAACTGCATCAATAGCTTCTATCTTATCTAAATCAACATCATTGTCTATTGACATGCATGCTTAGCTATTCAAAAAGTACACGTCAGTGTTCATTACAATTGAAAAACATGTACAAATGTTGACTTTGTAGTAAAATTGATCAATTTTGTAGCTGTTTTTTATCTTTGATATTTTACTTGTCACGTAAAATCAACACCACGTCAGGCTTTATGGGGTCATAAATTTAATTACTTTGGCAATAATCGATTTTCCAATTCACGATTTATTTTGCAACATTTTTGACTGAATCATTAAAATTGACAGAAAATAACCAATTTTTATTTTAATTCTACCATTTTTAGACTGCGCCGGAGCCTACCTTAAAGTCTTCGACTGCGCTCTCGACCAAAAGGATCTCCACGGTGAATCACCATACTTAATTATGTTCGGACCAGACATCTGTGGACCAGGAACCAAAAAAGTTCATGTCATCTTCAGCTACAAAGGAAAGAATCATTTGATCAAGAAAGAAGTCAGATGCAAGGATGATGTCTTTACACATTTCTATACACTCATCGTTCAACCAGACAATACTTATGAAGTTTTGATTGATAATGAGAAGGTTGAGTCAGGATCACTTGAGGAAGATTGGGACTTCTTGCCACCAAAGACAATTAAGGATCCAGAGGCTAAGAAACCAGAAGATTGGGATGAAAGACCAACAATTGCTGATCCAGATGACACAAAGCCAGAAGACTGGTAAGTTTATTGGGATTTTGGGATGAAATGAGCAAGTTTGGGGGCACTGAACTTGTCTGAACTGTCGACTATCCCGACCAACCTAGTTTCTCTTCGTATGAACCTTAAAACGATAAGGTTCACTTAATGATACTCCACGCCTCACTATGACCCCACAGATAGTACATCAACCCACTAAACTATCAGCAATCATCATAACCTTAGTAATTCTCACAACTTCCTCAATTTACCCACTCAAAAACACTTGTCGGATGCGTGACATAACAAACAAGCATTTTTAAAAATTTCATAATTCTACTAATTGTATCTAAAATTATCAGCGCAGAAACAAAACATCTGTAAATTTATTTGAAATTTTCTTGTTTATAAATACTCCGACAGAAAAATTATCTAATAGTTCCAAAAATAGATAACATGTGGATATAGTCTAGGAGAGATCTGTGGATGAGATTAAAATATTTTAGTAAATTTTCTACACGAACTTGCTCAATTTGTTAATAATTGTTATGATTTTAGAATGGAAAAATTAACGATTATTTTATTTGGTCAATTTTAGGGACAAACCAGAACACATTCCAGACCCAGATGCCACCAAACCAGAAGATTGGGATGATGAACTTGACGGAGAATGGGAGCCACCACAAGTAAGTTTTGATTTCAATACTATAGTACACTTACTTGATTATACTTACTTGATCAAACTTACTTGATTGAACTTACTTGATTGAACTCACTTGATTGAACTTACTTGATCAAATTTACTTGATCAAACCTACTTGATCAAACCTACTTCATTAAACTTCCTTGATCAAACTTTCTTGATTGAACTTACTTGATCAAATTTACTTCATTAAACTTACTTTATCAAACTTAATTGATCAAACTTACTTGATCAAACCTCCTTGATCAAACTTACTTAATCAAACCTACTTGATCAGACTTAATTGATCAAACCTACTTCATTAAACTTACTTTATCAATCTTACTTGATTGAACTTAATTGATCAAACATACTTGATCGAACTTACTTGATCAAATTTACTTAATTGAACTTACTCGATAAAAATTATTAAATTGAACTAATTTTATCTAAATACTTGATTAGGCATACTTGATAAACCTTACTTGATTGAACTTACTTGATCAAACTTACTTGATAAAAATTACTCGAACAAACCTAGTTGATCAAACTTACTTGATTCAACTTACTTGATTGAACTCACTTGATTGAACTTACTTGATCAAATTTACTTGATCAAACCTACTTGATCAAACCTACTTCATTAAACTTACTTGATAAAACTTTCTTGATTAAACTTACTTGATCAAATTTACTTCATTAAACTTACTTTATCAAACTTAATTGATCAAACTTACTTGATCAAACTTACTTGATCAAACCTACTTGATCAAACCTCCTTGATCAAACGTACTTAATCAGACTTAATTGATCAAACCTACTTCATTAAACTTACTTTATCAAACTTACTTGATTGAACTTAATTGATCAAACATACTTGATCGAACTTACTTGATCAAATTTACTTAATTGAACTTACTCGATAAAAATTATTAAATTGAACTAATTTTATCTAAATACTTGATTAGGCATACTTGATAAACCTCACTTGATTGAACTTACTTGATCAAACTTCCTTGATTGAACTTCCTTGATTGAACTTCCTTGATTGAACTTCCTTGATTGAATTTACTTGATCAAACTTACTCCATTAAACTTACTTTATCAAACTTACTTGAGTATAGAACTTAGTATCCTGGATACAACTTAGAACTTATAAAAACCTACAAAACTTTACTAAATTGAATATTTCCTAATCCTCTCTTCCAGATTGACAACCCAGAATACAAGGGCGAATGGAAAGCAAAGCAAATTGATAACCCAGCATACAAAGGAGCCTGGAAGCACCCAGAAATTGACAATCCAGAATATGCTGCCGATGAGAACCTTTACCTTCGCGAAGAAGTCTGCACAGTTGGTCTCGATCTCTGGCAAGTCAAGTCAGGTACAATCTTTGATAACTTCCTCTTCACTGATGATGCTGAGTACGCTAAAGAAGCTGCTGCTGGATTCAAAGCTACACAAGACGGTGAGAAGAAGATGAAGGATGCACAAGACGAAGAGGAGAGAAAGAAAGCTGAAGCTGAAGCAAAGACAGAAGAGAAGGACGAAGACAATGAAGATCTCGATGATGAAATTGAAGACAAGGCTGAAGGAGAAGCTGAAGCTGAAAACCACGACGAATTGTAAATCACGAATCATCTCCCAAAAAGAAATAATCGGCAAAATTTGCTGAAAAATTAAGTTTTTTTTTATTATTTTGTACTGAATTTAATTTAAACAAAGAGAAAAAAAAAAAACACATTTTGTCGTCGTGTCATTTTCGAGAGTCAAAAGTCTTTAAACAAAATGTTTTTCGTAACATTCTTAGCATAACTTTTTTTTAAATTAAATTAATTTAAAAAGTTTTTTGTTCTTAGTATAATGAAAGATCCATTGTTGATATAAGCAGTTAATAAACCTCGTCACAATTTTAGTTAAGCTGTTAAACATCTCTCAGTTCTCAGTAAGAGTTATCACAAAAAAAAAACCAAACTATTTTGTGTGTTTTGCGTGCAAATTAAATTAATGAAAGATTTTTAATTCAGAAAAATGAGAAAAAAATTGAAAAATAAAATTTGAAAAAAATTTTAAAACAATAATTTAAGTTTTTTTATAAATTTCCATTTCAGGTGCCTTTACAATAGAGTTGCTAGGTTCATATGACTTTAAACTAGAGTTGCTAGGTTCAGGTGGCTTTACACTAGAGTTACTAGGTTCAGGTGTCTTCACGTTAGAATTGCTATATTCACATAAGTGTTGCTAGGTTCAGGTGTCTTCACACTAGAGTCGCAAGGTTCAGGTGCCTTCACACAATTATGGCTAGGTTTAGGTGTCTTCACACTAGAGTTACAAGGTTCAGGTGTCTTCACAATAGAGTTACTAGGTTTAGGTGTCTTCACATTGGAGTTGCTAGGTTCAGGTGTCTTAACACTAGAGTTGCTACGTTAATGTGTCTTTACATTAGAGTTGCTAGGTTCAGGTGTATTCACACTAGAGTTACAAGGTTTAGGTGTCTTTACACTAGAGTTAAAAGGTTCAGGTGCCTTCACAATATAGTCTTATCGTCAGGTGCATTCACATTAGAGTAGCTATGTTCAGGTGGTTTCACATTAGTGTTGCTAAGTTCAGGTGACTTCACACTAGAGTCGCTAGGTTCAGGTTTCTTCACGTTAGAATTGCTATATTCGGGTGGCTTCACATAACTGTTGCTAGGTTCAGGTGTATTCACACTAGAGTCGCTAGGTTCAGGTGTCTTCACGTTAGAATTGCTACATTTGGGTGGCTTCACATAAGTGTTGTTAGGTTCAGGTGTCTTCACACTAGAGTCGCTAGGTTCAGGTGTCTTCACGTTAGAATTGTTATGTTCAGGTGGCTTCACATTAGTGTTGCTAGGTTCAGGTGTCTACACACTAGAGTCACTAGGTTCAGACTCCTTCAGAATAGAGTTTTAGTGATAATATTGTAAAGTTTTTGAGGTTAAGATGACAATAAATAGAGTTTTGTGTATAGTCTTCAATTCATCATCGAGCACCTGAGGCTATGCAATTTTGCATACTAAAATTGCATAATCTATAGGCAAAATGAAAACCAAAAACAATTTACAGCCTTAAAAATCCTCAATTTTATTTAAAAAAGTATAAAAAATGAATCCTCAATTTATTAAACTTAAAATTCAATTCCTCCTTAAATTAATAAAATAATTTTAAAATTCGACTGTCAAATTATGATCGAAAAAATTAAAAATTATTTAAGGACCACCATCAGCATCATCAGGATCACAACAGCATCTATTACCGCCATAATTCTCAATAGTCCATCCATCAGGACATATAAAAGTTCCACATGGTGCTGAAATTGTTGGATCGAGCCAAGTGTCATCAACACAAGTTGGTCCGTAGTTTGGATGGCCGGCATGTGAGAAGCTGATCATGGCTGATGGATATGATTTTTTAAAAATATGATGATCGAGGTTAAGGAGGTGATTAGTAGTACAGGAGTGCTTAACTTACCAGCCAATAAAATAAAAATAAGTTTTAACATTTTTTTTATAATTTTCCAATTTCGGGAGTTGCTTTAAAACCTTTTGACTCGGACTGATGAAATCCTCAGAACTTTCAGTCAATTTTATACTCGAAATATTTCAAAACTTCAATCATTAAAATCGGAAAAAGCTCTTAAAATTTTATTTTATTGTTTTTTGAGAGCCGACAATTTTTTGTTGTTTTCAAAGATTTTATTTCATTTCGTGGCTGACTACTAAAATTAGTTGCATTTATTGTCGTCAGCCTAAAGCATCCTATTTTCTTCAAAACCACAAAAACATAAATTTTAAAATTTATCAGAATAAAAATTTATTTAAATTTCAGATATTAAAAAAGTACAAAAATTTATATTTTAAAATTTCAGAATTTAAGTCTTCACTAAGCTCTGTTTTTATAGCAGCAATGGTTTAATCCAAAGTTTCTGACACAATAGCCTGATGGGCAGATAAATGTTCCACATGGAGCTGAGGAATCAGAAAAGTTTTAAAGATCTTAACTAAATCTTCAAATTTTTAAAAAATTTTTTAAATATCCTTTTTAAAAATGGTTAAATTATTATTAACAATCTTTCTTGCCCTCGCTGGTAAATTAAGTTTCCTTAAAAACATTTTTTCACTTAAATTTAAACTTTCAATTGCTTTAAATTTTTTTATCTTCGGAGTGTTTTTAATTTTTTTTTTCAAATTTAAATTTTTTTAACCTTTTTTGATCTGTTTTGAACGTTTGATGATTTTAGAAATTTTAAATTTTCATAATTTTTGATTTTCAACTTTATTTTAAATTTTATTTAAGTTTTCGGAAATTTTCAATTTTTTTTCAATCCTTTAAATTCACAATTTTCCTTTAAATTCACAATTTTTCCCTCCTTTATTCCTCTCAATCACAATTCTCTCTCAAAAGCATTTTAATTGTTTACTTTTTACATTCTTTTTACTCACAATATCAGCTGTGCAAGCCACAGAAGCAAAGTTCTATCAAATTGCTGTGCGAAAAAAAAAGTGAAAAAATTTATTAATTCAATTTTTCTTGTGATTCTAGTGTCAATTTTTATTATAAACTTTAAAATGAATTAATATTTTGTTAATGCAATTGCAGTTTAGCAAATTTAGTTAACTTAAATGTGAGTTTTAAGGATTAATTAAGAATTTCATTAAAATTTGATGATTTTTTGAGATTTTGGAGTCAATTTTGAATTTTTCGATGCGATTTTTATATAAAAATGTTAAAAACATTTTTCAAAATTTCATGAAAAATTTCAAAACCCAAAAAATCATAAATTTCGCTCTAAAACTAGCAAAACTTGCAATTTTCACATGAAAATTACGATGAAAATAATTCAACACGTCACAAACACAACCAAACCATGTCCTATATTCAAAATTAATTTTCCCAAAGCTGTGTGCGTCGCCACGTGAAAGAGAGTTTGTTTTGATTAAAATTTGAGAGCTTTTGGCTCTCATTCTCTCAATTAACAGCTGATTTTCTGATCAAAAACTAGTTTTTCTATTTAATAAGGTTGTTTATAATGAAGTTGAAAGTATTTTGTATGTCATTAAGGAAATTTGGAAATTCAGGTTTTTATTGCGTGGTGAACTTGAAGCTGTAAAGAAAATTTGATAATTTTGATGTTTAAATATTTGATTTTTGATATCATTTTTGAGATAAAGATTCAAGATAAAGGCTATGAGTTTGAGGCTTACGAGTTCAGTTGTTTTGTTTATTTTGCTTACTTAGTTGCTAACTGATTTACCGATTTAATATCTGACAAACTTTTCGATCGACAATCTGGCTATCCACCCTTATTCCAGTATTGTTTCTACTCTTTCCAATCTCTTTTTAGTCTCATTCTAGCCTTTCTAGTCCCCTTCAAGTTCCCTTCCAGCTCCCTTTAAGTCCCCTTCCAGCTCCCTTTAAGTCCCCTTCTAGTCCCCTTCCATTCTCATTCCAGTCTCTTTCCAGTCTCTTTTCAATCTCATTTCAATCTCATTCCAGTCTCTTTCCACTCTATTTTCAATCTCATTCCAGTCCCCTTTCAGTCTCTTTTCAATCTCATTCCAGTCTCCTTCCAGTCCCATTCCAGACTCTTTCCAGTCTCCTTTCAGTCCCCTTCCAGACTTCTTCTAGTTCCCTTCCAGTCTCTTTCTAGTCTTCTTCCAGTCTCTTTCCAGTCTCCTTCCAGTCCCATTCCAGACTCTTTCCAGTCTCCTTTCAGTCCCCTTCCAGACTTCTTCTAGTTCCCTTCCAGTCTCTTTCTAGTCTTCTTCCAGTCTCATTCCAGTTTCCTTCCCATCTCCTTCCAGTCTCTTTCAAGTCCCTTTCCAACTTAACCATCCGACTGATACGTGAACGGACCCTCAAAATTTCAACTTTTTTAACAAACATCTAAATTAATTCATTCGACTTTATTTTCTATATCCAGATACTCCAAAACCCTCCAGTTAACGAACCCCAACTATATTCAACATGCGTACCAACAATCCTCAATCTACCTCAGTTACCAGCATTTCGTCATCATACGAGAACAATGAAACCTTCAACTCCAGACTTATTAACGAATATCACAGAAATCCATTCCGATGTTCCTTCAATTGTAGAAAAATCAAACTTTACAGCATTACAGAATGCAACTTAGCTCGATTCTTTCCAATTTTGACAGCAAATGAGGACAGATCAGCGGAAATAAGCTTCGTCCTTAAGAAATTCAAGCTTTGGAGTGACGAGAACTTTTGGCATCGTACAGAGATCCAGCAGGCAATGAGATTTTATTCAAAAGCACATGAGAGGTTCCGGGAATGTAAATTGAAGAATTTTTTCAGCATTTTAATGCACGACTGGTTCGAAGCAAGTCAAAGTCGAGGACCACACTTCCTCAAACTCAAATTTGACATTTTTGCAAAGTCATCGAACATCAATCTGTTCCAAAAGCTGTATGAAATTATTAATGATGAGAGTCTATATCCATACCATCATGTGTGCCTTATGATCATCTATCACTACATGTATGAGGTGGAGAAGCTCGAGGGTGAATGGAGTGAAGAGTTTCAAATTAACAGACTTGGTTCCATCGATGACATTTTGAACTTTAAAGTCAGAAATTTTGACTATCAAATTGAGATTCTTAAGATTCTTGTGGTTCATTGGAATGTCGATTATTGGCGCATTACTTTTCATCTGACTAGTTCCAATGACAAGAAGAATTTGTATGAAAATTATAAAATTGCAATTTTGAACATTTTTGCGCATAAGTTTCATGAAAATTTGTCACAAATTAAGACAATCTACACGTGGCCGAGGAACTTTAAGCTTGAATGTGACAAATTCTTCTTCAGACTCGCGTTCAGCCTTAAAGAGATGCTGCCTAAGAAATTCGAGTCGGAATTTGAAAGATATGTGAAGTTCTATCAGGATGGGTACGGAGAATATTGGAAGGTTGCGATCAAAGCTGATGTTCATTTGTTGCTTAGAATTGCGGATGGTTTGGAGCTTTACAAAACTGTGGAATTCATGTTCAAGCAATGTCCATTTATTGCATTAAATTGGAATATTTTGATGAGTTATGAGGATGTTGGGGAGTTTTATGAAGTGATGAATGAGCCGACAAGGGAAGCTGACAGAAGGAAAATGGTGAGTATTGTTGACCTCCGGGTTTTCTTTACTCTTACCAGCCCCAAAAACCTGACTACCTCAGAACCCCTGATCAATACATAAACCCTTGATAAATTCAGACCCCTGACCAATTCAGAACTCCTGACCATTCAAAACTCCTGACTAATTTTGAACCCCAGGCTAATTCAGAACCCCTGACTAATTCAGAACCCCTGATTAATTCAAAACCCCTGACTAATTCAGAAACCCTGGCCAATTCAGGATCCTGAATAATTCAGAACCCCTGAATAATTCAGAACCCCTGATTAATTCAGAACCCCTGACCAATTCTGGACCCCTGAATAATTCAGAAACCCTGAATAATTCAGAACCCCTGATTAATTCAGAACCCCTGACTAATTCAGAACTACTGACCAATTCTGGACTCCTGAATAATTCAGAAACCCTGAATAATTCAGAACCCCTGATTAATTCAGAACCCCTGACTAATTCAGAACTACTGACCAATTCTGGACCCCTGAATAATTTAGAACCACTGACTGATTCAGAACCCCAGGCTAATTCAGAACCCCTGACTAATTCAGAACCCCTGATTAATTCAAAACCCCTGACTAATTCAGAAACCCTGGCCAATTCAGGATCCTGAATAATTCAGAACCCCTGATTAATTCAGAACCCCTGACTAATTCAGAACTACTGACCAATTCTGGACTCCTGAATAATTCAGAAACCCTGAATAATTCAGAACCCCTGATTAATTCAGAACCCCTGACTAATTCAGAACTACTGACCAATTCTGGACCCCTGAATAATTTAGAACCACTGACTGATTCAGAACCCCTGACTAATTTAGAACTACTGACCAATTCTGGACCCCTGATTAATACAGAACCCCTGACTGATTCAGAACCCCTGACTCTAATAAAATTGAGAGATTCCCCTAGCCACGTTAACCATCTGTTAATCTGTTTTGCCCAAATATCCATCACATCATCAACAATATCAATTTCACCATTAAGTTATTCAAAAAACTAGTTTTTCTTCTTTCATAGCTACCAAAAAATGTTGCAAAATATGTTAAAGTAATAAATTTTTTGGTGATTTTGATTCGATGATATTGACTTTGACCGAGATTTATAAAGCCGAGTCGTGTGAATTTTTTGAATGAATAGCAGAAAAAAAAATAATTTGTTAAAAATGAAGTCAATTGCACCTCTAAAAATGGAACCTTCATTAAACAATTGCTATTTCGTGACGTTTTCATTTATTAGAATTTGTTTCTAACCTTTTAGTGGCTGCAAACTGATTGTTTTAGTTTATTGACCTAAACTGGTCAAAAGTTTCATTAAATTAGCTTTTTTTTGACAAAGTTGCCTTTTACGGAACCGATATACTCGTTACCAAACCTATGTACCACTGAATGAAGCTATGAGCCCATTATTGAACCTCGAAACCTCATGTAAACTTCACTGAATCTATTTTCTCGTTCACTGAACTTGCAAACCCTTCACAAAACCTCATAATCCCTCATTTAACCTCTGCGTTACTCGCTGAACCTTTAAACAACAATTCTAAATCTAAAATTCTCCTTAAACCTTATTTCTAGCTCATAATCCGTCGAGAGTTCAAGAAAATTGACGAAGCTCTCAGCCAAAACATCAAAACAATCCAACAAGACAATGAAATATTCGCAAGTGCCGAAAGTCTCAGTAAGTCTCCATCCAGACGAAGCTTTTACTATGAAGACGAACGATTCTTATCCAACAGTCAATCATTTGATGAATATGAGACAGCAGACAGCACGGAAGTTGACATTGAGTTGAGAAATTTTGAAAGTTTAAACAGATGTGAATTGAAAATTCGAGAAAATTTGAACATTGCGTCGAAAATGAAGACAAAGATATTGAAGAAGTATTTTAGGAATATCAGAAATGATCGAAAGTTGATGTTTGGCAGACGAAGTGCATTTGAATTGAGCTTTTTTGAGGAACTGTTGCTGACTTCGCGTGGAAGTTCATTTGTGAATTTTGCGTGGAGTGAGTTTAAGTTGTGGAAGATACCGGAGCTGTTGACTTTGGTAAGATTGATATTTATCTGGTGGTAATCTGGCATAAGTTGACAGAATTCTGCCGGATTTTTAAATTCTGGTAGAAATCCGACATTTTGTGACAGAATCTTACCGGATTTTTTGAAATTTCCGGTAAAAATCCAACATTTTGTGACAGAATCTTACCGGATTTTTTGAAATTTCCGGTAAAAATCCGACATTTTGTGACAGAATCTTACCGGATTTTTTGAAATTTCCGGTAAAAATCCGACATATTGTGACAGAATTCCACCGGATTTTTTGAAATTTTCGTTAAAAATCCGAGATTTGGTGACAGAATTCTACCGGATTTTCAAAAATTCGTTCAAAATCGGACAGAAAAATGACAAATTTCAACCAGGCAGCAATAAAAATCTGACAATTATCATAATTTTCTCATTTTCCACAGAAAAATCCACTCGGTCGCCACCTCCTCGAATACGTGATCGACTCAAAAGACGACCTTAACCTCATGACATTCCTACTACCTCAAGTGAACCACAAAGCTGAATTCACAAGACACAAGAACTACATGAAGATCCAAAACAATCTTTATGATGAAGTCACAGGAAAGACCCTCCTTGAGTTCTACTTAGAAGTAGCTATGGACGACCGAAGCTCAGAATTTGATCAAGATGACTATCAGGTGCTCTTATGTCGTCATGTGATCCACTTACTTGAAGAAATTGGAACAATCAATAAAGTACAAAAGGATTCGCTTATTGACAGACTCATTGACTTAGCTGAAGATGACAATTTCTATGAGAAAATCGTTCGACCAGACAGTGACTTTAAGATTCCATCTAAAAATGACAGACGTAAGGAAAAGTTTCACATTGATGACCTTCTTGGTCGAATGATTGTCTACTGGAAGCCAAATCAAGACGAGAAAATAAAGAACAACTTCTATCCGATCTACAAACGCCGCCTCATCCGAATCAGTCCATTTTTCGAACTTTTATTCAACATAGTTGAGCATCGATCGAAGTCCTTCAAGAATAGTTTCCGATCAAAGATCCACAAACTCGAGCAGATGTACGATCGACGGTACGCAGATATTGCCAATTCCGAGTATCACACATCATCATTCACATTCGTCTTACTTTTGGCAGCTATCCAAACCAATCAAAGAAATGTCATTGACTTCATCTTCGATCAAGACATTTTCGAGACAATCAAATTTGATTTCCCAAGCAATATGAAAATTAGTGAGATTCACTATTATACAGCATTAATGTTGCTTAAACATGGCCATGAACTTGGTAAAGATGTAATTCCTGAGGAATGGATAACACCAGCTGTGCTGTATGAATACTTTGATTCTCAGATCAGATATTTTAATCAGGATTTGATTGAGATTAACTGCTGTGGAATGCTGCATTCGGAGACTAGGAAGACGGTGGTTAAATGTGCTAATGATTTGACTGAGAAGGTAAGATTGAGTTGAGTTTAGTTTGATATTGTCTAGGGTTTGTTAAAATCTGATCTTAACTCAGAGTTTATTCAGAGTTCAATCTTAGCTAGGTTAAGTCGGAATCTGATCTTTGCTAGGATTAGTCAGAGTTTGATCTTAGCTAGGTTAAATCGGAGTTTGATCTTAGATAGCTTAAGTCAGAATCTGATCTTAGCTAGGTTAAGTCAGAGTTTGATCTTATCTTGGTTAAATCTGTGTTTGATCTTAGCTAGGTTAAGTCAGAATCTGATCTTATCTTGGTTAAATCTGTGTTTGATCTTAGCTAGGTTAAGTCAGAATCTGATCTTATCTTGGTTAAATCTGTGTTTGATCTTAGCTAGGTTAAGTTAGAATCTGATCTTATCTTGGTTAAGTCTGTGTTTGATCTTAGCTAGGTTAAGTCAGAGTTTGATCTTATCTTGGTTAAGTCAGAATCTGATCTTATCTAGGTTAAATCTGTGTTTGATCTTAGCTAGGTTAAGTCAAAAGCTGATCTTATCTAGGTCAAGTCTGTGTTTAATCTTATCTAGGTTAAGTCAGAATCTGATCTCATCTAGGTTTACTAAGATCATCTTAACTTCATCCTTTCCTCATTCTCTTCCAGATGATGCTTTGGGACGATGACAGAACCCTCGAATACATACTCAACCATAAAGCAATAAGTGGTATCATTACCCATCCAGTCATCTCAACATTCATCGAACTTAAATATGCAAAACATAAAATGATATTCCGAATGAACTTTTGGTTCTTTGTGATACTTTTCGTCCTGCCATTTTCTCTTTTTATATTTTATGATCGTGATGAGATTTCATGGAAACTATATGGAGTCTGTATTGCAGCTATTGTCACATTTGTGGCAAAGGAAATTTTCCAGTTCCAAATTGCGAGAAGTCCACATGCTTACCTGAAAGATTTAACAAATAAAATTGACATTCCATTAGTGATTTTATCTGTTGTTTTGCTGACATCTTTTGCATTCAATTGGGATGCAGAGATTCAAGCATTGTTGGAAGTTCTCTTTATATTCTTCATGACATGGGATGCAATGACAATGCTACCAATCGAGGCTGTAGCAAGAACATTAAACATCATCAAAAAAGTCATCATGACATTCGTAAGGGTTTTCTGCAGTTTTGCATTGATCATCCTCGCATTTGCATTCTCATTCCGGATACTTTTTGGAAGTGATGAGCTTGAAAGATCAGTTAAAGCAAGAAACATGACACTTAACGAGGAAGATCCACCGATTGTGATTGAAAGAGAACCAAATATGAAGAACTTTGAGGGGTTTTACACGACGTTTATTAAAGTTCTTGTTATGATGGCTGGTGAGTAATTTGTTTCGAGGGGGATGACACTTTGAACCAGAAGTGAAAAAAGGGTGTGAAACTATGAACCAGAAGTGAAAAAAGGGTTTGAAATTATGAATCAGAATGAATGAAGGGGTGGGAATCTATGAATGAGAAAAAGTAAAGGGGTTGTAAAACTATGAATCATAACGATTAAAGGGGTGTGAAACTATGAATCACAACGACTAAAGGGATATAAATCTACGAATCCTAAGTCAAAAAAGTATTTAAGTATTAATTAAAAGAACAGAAAGGATGTGAAACTATGAACCAGAATGATTTAAGGGGCGTGAAACTATGAATCAGATTGATTTAAAGGGCGTGTAACTATGATTGAGAATAACTAAAGAATTGTGAACCTCCTAATCAGAAAGACTGAAAGGGTGTAAAACTATGAATCAGAAATCAAAGGGGTGTGAAACAATTAATCCAAATGATTGCAAGGTTGTAAAACTATGAATCAAAACCAAAAAAGGCATACGAAACTATGAATTTTAATTAATACTGTCTTGTATAATTTAGGTGAGTATGCAATCGAACCTAGCACTCTTCGGTGGTACCAACTTATTCTGTTCGGGATCTTCGTGGTGTTCTCATTCATCTTGTTCAACTTACTTCTTGGTATGTCCATCGAAGACATTCAGAATCTCAGAGAAGATGCCCTTCAACGAGATTTGGAGAGAAAAGCTAGAAAATTTATTGAAACGAATGACAAATTTGAAGAGATTTATGCTGAAAGGACGTAAGTTTAATAATAATTTCCAAGATTTTAACAAAAGATTTAAAAGTTTTCATCATCCAACAGATTCACAAAGTCCCCAAAAATCAGCCTCAGCAACAGATTCGTCTACAAACTCACAAAATTTTTCCTATCCGAATACATTTTCCTGCACAATTTCCACAAGCTTTACGTCAACATTCGCACGAGAGAAGTCACAGTCATTGTCAATGCAAAACATGAGAAAATCATGAAACGACGAATTATGTGCTTAAGTCGAAGGTTCTACTTAAATAATGAGATATATGATAAAATTGAGGATATTATAAGCCTGAGAGATCAGGAGAATTGCTTGAATATTATTAAAAGAAGTCAGCATTATTAGTGATAAGATGTGCAATATTAAATGATATTTTTTGGGGTTAGGGTGAAGATGTTGGGTGATATTGAAGCAATTATTGATAAATTGGCACCTGTTAGTAGATTAGAATAATTTTTCGCTAATAAATGAGACACATGAGAAGGGTCTGGATGGGGTTGGGTACCCTAGGAGGTCCAAACCTCTATCAGAGTAAATGGCCAACACGATCCTCATCCTTAAGACATTTCAATTGCCATAATTAAATGAGACCTGTAATAAAAAGTATTTAAAAAAAATCTATGAAATTTAGTCACAAATGCACTGAAAACAATTACAAAAAATTTGAAAAAATTGTAAAAAAATAAAGTTCGAATAAAATGCACAAAAATAAACCAAAATATCATTTTTTATTAACATTGACCATCAAAATCGCGAGAAGTAAGTTTTGCATAATCAAAATAAATTTCGTAATATTTTGCTCGATTCGAATCTTAAGTGGGTCAATAGTATCAAAGATGAATGAGAAAAAGTGACAAAAATTTAACATTTAATGACTCAAAGTTTTGAAACTTATTAATGACAATTTCGGAGAAGATAAAGGCTGAAGGTGCGGTAAGTTGGTGAATGAATGTGTGACTTTACAACAAAAGCCGGTTGATTGATTGTAAGTTGGTATTATTAATGATGCTAAGTGCTGGCTTTTGTTATTGAGTTTTTGAATTTGTATAGAAAGCGCGTGCTTCTTATTCAGGAGAGAAGCGGAAGGGGGGGGGAATACATTCATAATGACCCCCCCCCTCAAGTTAAAAAGTTTGTACTGATAAACTATTTCGATTTTTCGAGTCACGGCACATCTTGATGGTAAGCTATAAGGGGTCGTTCACTTATGACGTCCAAAATTAACTGTCATTCTTCAAAAAGAACAATTGATTTCCAGGAATTTCTATTGTTCTTTTTTTGCAGACCCCCCCCCCCCCCCCTCCTCCTGGACGTCATAATTGAACGGCTTTTAACCGAAATCGCACAAAACTATACGGTTTGTCGGATAATTCAAAATTTTTCACTGCACACTAGTGTGTTGCGGCACAAGGCGGGTTGGCCATTAGGATGTTACCAAATTTTGCCCCCCCCTCATTTGAAGCGAATGAAGTTCAACAAACACAACATAGCTAAATCTGACTCAATTTTGACCAGTTACAGTAAGTAAACGACACCAAAGAGTGAAACCAATAGACAGAAAGAACTTTAAAATACTTTAGATCAGTGTTAGGGTGACCATCTAATTTTTATAAAAATACAGGACACAAAGGAAAATTTGAAAATTAACGGAAATTTTCGTGAAAAAAATACAGGACCTGGAACAAAATTTTCAAATTTATACAGGACAGGGTTTTGAAATACAGAACTGTCCGCTGTAAAACTACGCAGATGGTCACCCTATTCAGTGTTGTCCAAACTTTTTTGAGCCATGGCACACCTTAAGGGTAAGCCATTACCAAAGTCGCACATAGCATGCGGCTGGCGTCATTCACTAAATATTTCTACGGCACACCTGTGTGCCGCGGCACACAGTTTAGACAACACTGCTTTAGATTGTAGCTAAGCACATTACAGAACATCTCTTTCCTCCCCTGGATTTTTTAAAAAAAATATTAACAAGGGGCCGTTCACTAATGACGTCCGACATTCAGGGGGGAGGGGGGTCTAGGATTTTGTGACAGTTCAAACAATGGAAATTTTTTTCTATAGAATTTTTGTGACAGAGGGTAGGAGGGGGGTCCAAAAATCAGGTTTTTTGATAGACGGCATAAGTGAACGACCCCCAATTTCTTCAATTTTTTATAAAATTTCTAAAACAAAAAAAAATTCAAAACATTTTTCTAATTAAATTTTATGCAAATTATCACAAATTTATTGATTAAAAAAAATTTCGAAATTCACAACTTAAACTAATTTCACTAATATTGATGCATCTTAACATTTAATTGGATAATACTTAAATCTTTGTATCAAATTATGATTTTTTGAATTAACTAGTTTGATTAATAATTTAATGTTCCACATAAATGAGAGATAATGAAGCTTATGACAAGATTTGAGCTATATTCCATGGTTTCTATCCTGAGCTCGAACATAGCCGATTATACATTATTGGTTGAGTCACTGGGATCGGTAAGCTGGACATCCTCTAGATTATACCCAAAAACATCAATTTACATCCAACATCGATCCACAGACACTAAATTCATATAAATTTCCATACACAACACTTTAAACTTTACACCGAATTTTCGTGAACTTTTAAGATCCTTTTCCTGACAAGAATATACAAAGATCCAACAAACACCACAACATAGACCGTCAGATGCATCGACCTCGACTCCCAAATACTCATACATCCAAAATCCTGTGCATAAATGAATCGATTCCTGACTGCATTCTCGATGTGCCAAATTGTCAAGTCTTTACTGCTGATTGGCTGATTGTAAGCTAGTGCTCGCATTTTTACAATATTTTCTGTGTATTTTTGCTTTGTCATCTCCTTAATCGCTGAACCTAACCTCAATCCATCAAAATCATTCAAGTCCATTTCCAATGCAATTCCATTTTTAGCCATCAGCCGTGCATTCATGAATTGATCGTAAGCCAGTGGAAAGACAATCATTGGAACTTCCCGGTCAATAGCTTCATAAGATGTCAACAAACCTCCATGAAAGATCAACAATTTGACATTTGGATGTGCTAGGACATCAGCAAGTGGCAGCCACGACACAATTTCAACATTATGTGGCACTTCCAGTCCTTCCTCAATCTCATGCAGCTTCCAAATGACATTCATGTTCGTCTGATTAAATGCAGCCATGAACTGCTTGACATTATCAACTCCTAAGCTTCTTGTGTCAGCTCTGGATCCAAGTGCCATGACTATAACTCCATTTTCTGAATTATCCAAGAATTTTTTCAGTTCCAGGTCTGCAATTTCCTTTGGTTTTTCAACATGCAGGTAGCCAATTTGAATTGTGTTTGGCATTAATGGACGGATGTGTCCAAAAGCTTGATTTGTGTTGGTCAGCAGAAGTGAAAGTCGATCCGTTGGTGACTTGACAATCTTCCATCCTAAATGTCCAAAATGTTCGATGTTCAGTGCCGCGTTGTTGTAAAAAAATGCAGAATTGAAAATTAATTCGTAAAATGCTTGGAAAATTAAGGAATTGATTTGCTCAAAAATTGACATTGTTCCATGAATGTAAGGCAGTGCTAGTGATTCTGAGTATTTTAGAGGATTTACGTCATTTCCAAACATCCCATGGATCATTGCTGGTGCGTCTGAAGATGCAACCATAGCAATTGGACAGTCAAAGACTTCAGCAAGCAGTAAGAATGGACACATGATGCACTCAGTGATGATTAAGTCAAAGTTATAGTCTTCGCTGTTCCTGATCATCCTCTGCATCTCTGGATGTTCCATTTCCTTCTTGCCAGACTCATAGAATGCCTTAATCTCATACTGCATCAATATTTGACTCCAATGAAGCTTCTTCTGCTTGTACATCAGCATGTCTGTATATTTAAGATGGATATCGACTGTCTCAGCAAATATGTGCTGCGTGACATTCGGACTGTCTCCATAATCCTGCGGATGTGTCGTAAAAATTGTCAAGTTGTGTCCACGTTCGATTAGAATTTTCATAATTGCGTGATGAATCTTTTGATGACTAAAGTATGGATATGGAAATATCCCAAGAATATTCGCGGTCTCGACTGCGACAAGAATCGGACAAAAAATCGCGATAATTTGCACAAACTTCATCTCTATTTTTTTCTGTGCCTTAATTTGATCTGTTCGGATTGACTGCTAAATTTGAACTGATTTGAAAGTTTGATTCGCGAAAAAATTTGTGTATCTGTGCCATTGTCAGTGAGTTTTTTGTTGTTGTTGTCTTACGCAGGAGATGTAAATGGAGACGAGTTGGAGTTATGCAATCTAGTCACATGTGTGTTTGTGTCTGATGACATAGGATCAAAATATGCGAATAATTGGAAGTGAATTTGCATAAAAATTTGAATTTATGTCTAAATGGCCTGAAAGATAAGGTAGGCATAGCTTAATGTTGAGGAAGGTTAGTGCTTAACATGCTCAAGGTCAGTAAAAATCACAATTTTCATTTTTTTGAATTTATTTTTATTTTTTTAATTTTTAATAATTCTTTCACAATTTTTTTAAATGCTGTTTAACTTCTTATCTTAGTCTTGTCTTGGTTCTGTCTTACTGATTCTCTAAGTGCTGCCCAGTGTTGTCTTAGCCCTATTCGTTTTCTTGTCTTATATTGTCCTGGTCCTTTACTTAGTCAAGTTCTAGTTCAACTCTTAGTCAAGTTCTAGTCCTTCACTTAGTCAAGTTCTAGTCCTTCACTTAGTCAAGTTCTAGTCTTTCACTTAGTCAAGTTCTAGTCCAACTCTTAGTGAGTTCCAGTTCTTCATTTAGTCAAGATCTATTGGAACTCTTAGTCAAGTTCTAGTCCAACTCTTAGTCAAGTTCCAGTTCTTCATTCAGTCAAGTTCTAGTCCCCAACTTAGTCAAGTTCTAGTTCTCCTCTTAATCAAGTTCTAGTCCCCAACTTAGTCAAGTTCTAGTCATTATCTTAATCAAGTTCTAGTCCTTCATTCAGTCAAGTTCTAGTCCAACTCTTAGTCAAGTAATAGCCATTATCTTAGTCAAGTTCTATCCATTATCTTAGTCAAGTTCTAGTCCCCAACTTGGTCAAGTTCTAGTCATTATCTTAGTCAAGTTCTAGTCCTCCTCTTAATCAAGTTCTAGTCCTTCACTTAGTCAAGTTCTAGTCATTATCTTAGTCAAGTTATAGTCCTCCTCTTAATCAAGTTCTAACCCTTCACTTAATCAAGTTCTAGTCCTTCTCTTAGTCAAGTTCTAGTCCTACACTTAGAAAAGTTCTAGTCCAACTTTAAGTCTTGTTTTTGTCCTTTACATCCTAGTAGCAACAGCTACATACCTAAAACTTACACTTATTTACTAATCTTATCCACAAAACAAGTTCCAGCTCCAGTTCCTCACTTCTCACATTCGCCATCCTCAACAGCCTCAACTTCCTTCTTCTTCCTCTTCTTTTTCTTCTCATCTGCAAAAAAATTTCAAATGTTTATGTCGAAAATATTTTTAATTGATTTTTAAAATTTAAATAATTTTGATTTGATTTTTTTTGTGTGTGCGTTTTTTTGTCAAAAAATGTGAAATTTATTAAATTCTTAAAGATTCTCAATTAATACCATTCTTTTCTTCTGGTTCTATAGTTGGAACAGCACTAGGAGGAACTGCTGATGCCGGTGGACCAGAAATTGGTGGTCCTGGATGTGCTGGATTTGGTGGAAGATTCGGAGGTGCTACAGAAATTGTTGGCTGTGCTGGTTGCATTGCATGCATTGGTGGACCTTGTGGTGGATATACTGGATGTCCTTGTTCACCAGCATATGGTGGATGGTGATAATTCTGCTGATATGGTGGAATGTGATGTCCATATGGATAATTTGGATATCCTTGTTGGTATGGCATGTGACCATAATATGGACGAGGTGGATGTCCTTGCATTGGATATCCGTAGCCATGCTGCATACTATGTGGCAATCCCATACTTGGATTAACAGTCACATTTGGTGCTGGAATTGGTGGTTCCTGTGAATGCATTGGACCAGTCGGTGGTGGGACATTTTGAGCAGCTGGTGGACCTGAAACTGGACCTGGTGACATTTGAGATGATGAAGCTTGAGTTGGTGGTTGTGCTGGTTGCATTATGTGATGCTGTGATGTTGGAACATCTGGTGGTTGTAGAGCAGTAGGTGGTTGTTGCTGTTCAGAAGCTTGTGAAACAATCGGCATTGGAGCTTGTGGCTGTGGAGATGTAATTGGTGGTTGTGGCTCAATTGGAGCAACTATAGCTTCCGGTTCCTTTGAAGCAATGATTGGAATTGGAGCTTGTGGTTCCGATAAATGATTGACTGTCGATGGAGTCATTGTTTCCAATTCTGTCGTCTTTGTCTCTTCAATTTCCATCGGCTGTTGCTTCATTGGTGGCTCAATGTCCATTGGCTGGAAAGTTTTTGGGTTCGAAAATTTTGAGGTTAAATTTTTTTTGTGGTCAAAATTGAAGAATTTTTGTGAATTTAAAAGTGAATAAAAAATCAACACAAACCAGCAAAGTTAAGATTTAAACTAAAAGTAATTGCAGATTGTAAGTTTAAATAATAAAAGAATTCACATCACCGACTACAAAATATTAAAATCGAAGAAAGTAGAGAAATGGCTGTAAAGTTTAAGATAAAGAAGATTTTGAGGGGAGCAGGGGTGAAGATTTTGGTGGGGTGTAAAATTCTTTGAAGGGACTTTGTGTTAATAATGGATCTGAAAATAAAATAGAGGGACAAATCTCAGATGCAGGGTTTTGTGAGGAAAAAATCTCAGATTTAGGGTTTTGGGAGGGGAAATCTCAAATTCAGGGTTTTGGGAGGGAAAATCTAAGGTTCAGGGTTTTGGGAGAAAATAATTTGAGATCCAGAGTTTTGGGAGGAAAAAATCTCAGATCCAGGGTTTTGGGAGAAAATAATTTCAGATGCAGGGTTTTGGGAGGAAAAAATCTTAGATTCAGGGTTTTGGGAGAAAAAAATTCTCAAATTTAGGGTTTTGGGAGAGAATATTTTCAGATTCAGGGTTTTGGGAGGACAAAATCTTAGATTCAGGGTTTTGGGAGGAAAAAATTCTCAGATTCAGGGTTTTGGGAGCGAATAATTTCAGATTCAGGGTTTTGGGAGGAAAAAATCTTAGATTCAGAGTTTTTGGAGAGAATAATTTCAGATTGAGGGTTTTGGGAGGAAAAAATCTTAGATTCAGGGTTTTGGGAGAAAAAAATTCTCAAATTTAGGGTTTTGGGAGAGAATATTTTCAGATTCAGGGTTTTGGGAGGACAAAATCTTAGATTCAGGGTTTTGGGAGGAAAAAATTCTCAGATTCAGGGTTTTGGGAGCGAATAATTTCAGATTCAGGGTTTTGGGAGGAAAAAATCTTAGATTCAGAGTTTTTGGAGAGAATAATTTCAGATTGAGGGTTTTGGGAGGAAAAAATCTCACATTCAGGGTTTCAATTAAGTGAAAAATTATGATTCAAGAGTAAAAGTAAATTTTTGGCGCAGAAATTCGAAGATTTTGAACTCAATACACCCACTCCGCACCACTAAACCCCCCTCAATTTCAAAAAATAGTAAAAACTTCAGCAAAACAACTTTTTAAAAAATTCTACAAAAAAATAAAAATAAGTAAAAAAAAGAATATTTTTCATGCAAATAATTTCAACATTTTTAATTTAAAAAATTGTTAATAAATAAAGTTCTATTCAAAAGTAAGATATGCATCATCATCATCAACAACAACTAACAACTGATTGATATTATTAATATTAAGTATCCATTACCTGTAAGTGTAATACGGTCATCTATGTAAGTACGATAAAATTAATTTTTAAAAAGTTTTGTTTCAAAAAAATTAATTTTTTGTCAAAAAATTGTTTTATTAAACAAAAAAAAAGGGGGAGAAAAAAAAGTGTGCAAAAAAAATTTGAGGTTAGGTTAAAAATATATTTTAAGGTTATGGTTAATATTTCATAGTGCTAATCTACCTAATATGCAAATAAGTTACTTTTTAACTACAGATTTTCTAGAATTTCTCACCTCAGATGTCGACTGAGACTCAGCTGACGGTGCTGGTTCCGTATTTGATGCTGGCTGTGCTGCATTTGCAGCGACTGGAACTTCCTCAGCTGGTTTATGTTGTGGTGCTTGTGGTTGTTGATTTTGTTGTTGTAGCTGTGTTTGTGGTTTGCTTTGGTCGTCTGGAACTCTTAGTCGTTCACGTTTCAATGCTTCATACTGCTTCTCAACCATTTTCTGGAACGTATCGTCATCCACAGCTGGTTTACAATGCTTCTTTAGTTCATCTTGAAAAATATCTGAAGATTCATTGAATTTCAGCTTTTTAGCATCAAACTTTTCCTCAATTTGCTGCAATTCAGCTTGCAATTTCATTTGATGCATTGCCAGTGACTGAACTTGTCGCTTCAGGACATGCATCCTTTGTGTTGTGACCACTGAACGGACATCAGGAACGACAGCGTCTGAGAATATTTCATTAATTAATCGATGATTCCTCATGTAACGTGAATAAGCGACTTGTTTGAATGACAGACCGTCATCTTGATCTTCTTCATCTTCTGCTGGTTGGATGTCGACTCGACGATCTTGTTGGCTTTTGGAGCTTGAACGGGGTGGATCGTGGATGTCTGGGACATCTAAGTTGAGTAGTTTGAAGGGGTATTTTAGTGAATTGATCATAATTTTGTGAATTTAAGGATGAAATGCAGATTTTATGGTAAATTTTGAGCTGGAATAGAGCAGAACCATGCTCTGCTCTACTCAATATCAATTTCAACTCAATATCCTGCCATTCAAGTGCTGAACTCCTTCAAAATGTTCAGAATTGAAACGATTGTGGATCATTAAAGTGACTTGTTTTAGATAACTAGCATCTGGTGAATTTGTAGCTTAATAATCAGCAGATATTAGTTCCAGCAAGTACATCCGAGCGACACAATTTGGCAAATCACTTTCTTTATTCTAATTGAGTTGAAATCAGCAATGAATGTGCCAATATAGCAACTACGTAGTGTAATAGTGATGCCCTACTGAACTATGTTGTGCTGCTCGGGATATAATGATCCACAAACCTAGTCTAAGTGTCACCTACCACTCTTCTTGCTCTTAGCTTGCATATAAGCCAAATACGCGGGTGTATTGTGATAAACTTTTAGTGCCTTTTCATACTCGATCTGTGAGAAAACAACAAAAATAAGAAAAAATGTGAGAAAAAAAATAATAATAATTTGTGGGTTGAATCAAAAAAGTTGGTCTGTGTGTGACTCGGGTTTGAGCCTGTTTTATTAAAATTGTGGTTTTTAAATCGACGTAGTTGAATTTTCGAATTCAGGAACATTGCAAGTTAACAATGAGTTGCTGTTTTGTCTTTTTAAGTTCAAATCCCAGTGAAGGTTTTATGGGCCGTTCACCAATGACGTCCGAAATTTGGGTGGGTTTAGAATTTTGTCATAACTTAAACAAAGGAATTTTGATCCATAGAAATTTTGTGACTGAGAGGGAGGAGGACTAAAAATCATTTGTTTTGACAGACGTCATTAATGAATGACCCCTCCCAAAAAACTACTAAAACGTGACATTTTAATCTAAATTCAACATAAATCAGTGTCTTGAAGATACAACAACTGATCAACAATACCTCTTCTTTTGTAACATTTCATCCAACTGATGAATTCTGGAGATGCTCGGAATGTTCGAATTTGTTCGAGGTACAAGTTCTTAATTTTTGGGGGTTCGTACAGAAATCATTGAACTTAAACATTTTAAAATAATAGAAAATCACCACAAACTCACCTTTTCAGCCTCATATTCATCAATGTAGACCTTCTTGTCCTCATCTGGAAGGTCTTTCCACAGCTAAAATTCAAATTTAGGCATTTAAGAACAAGAAATTCACAAAATATTGACGACTTACAGTTCCGATTTTCTTGCCAACCTCCCACAACTTCAAATCAGCATTGCTGCTCTTGACATTCTCCCATTGCTTCTTTGAGTATCTCATGTATGGCATGAGGGGCTTCTCTGGTGCCTTTGGGGGCTTTGGGTAGCGAGCTTCAATCTGGAATATGAAAAAAGAGCAAATGTGTCAAAAATTTTGAAAATTTTGTGGCTTTTGCTGGTTTTTTGAGGTTCTGTCAAGCAGCTTTAAGGAACATAACCTCAAAACAATCTCAATAATCCACCAAAAGCCATCAAAAATGCTTGAAAATCTCGATCAGACTTTTTTACTCACACTAGCTGCACTAGCTTTACCAGCCTTTTGAGGCACAAATGCTGGATTTCCATGAGATGAATGAATGAACGGTGACTGATCCCGACGATCACCAGAACTAGATCCAGATGGACGAAGACGCTCTGTTTTCGAATATTCAAATGCTTTTTCAGTTTATTATAAAGATAATTAAATTTGTTGTTGTGGGACCCCCGGTTTGGGGGGCTCCCATCTTGAAAATTCATTCATAAAAAATTGCAAAAAAAAGAAAGCACATAAAAAAGGTACAGAAAGAAGCATAAATAAGGATAAGAAGCAACAAAATAAAAATAGTGGTTAGTTAAATGCTCAAATAAGTCTGTAGATGTGCAAATGTAGCATAATTATTTCCATTTAGATTTTTTTGTGCAATGAAGAAAGGTGCGAAGGTTAAAATTAAGGAATTTAAGATTTGAGATGCCAAACAAGATTCCAACTGGATTTTTGACATCCCAAAAAAATAAATTCTTAATTTTTTTTTTGAATTTTCCACGATTAATTTTGATTTTGCAAAGATTGTCAATTTACCTTTCAAAATATTGAACGTAACTGGATGTCCGGCGGTCATAAGATCTGGAAAATAATTTTGCTCATTGTTTTTTTTTGTGTTTGACTAAATGTTTTTTGGATTGTCTTTCATGCAAAAGTTTGAATTTTGACCCCCCCCCCCCCACACCCCTAACCCCTATAACCCTCTTCGAACCTAATTAAGAATCTATGCCCGAACAGTACAAGTCGGTTAAATGATCATAAATCTGGAATCAAGTCGGTGTGGCTCTGGAATGGTGTTGGATTTAAATTGAAATCAGCAACATGCCAGAGTCATGCCGTATTCACGATTTGACCGACTTGTACCACTCTAGAGGCATAAAAATACTAATTTGGACTTTATTCCTGTCAGAGAAGCATCAAAACTCAAATGAAGAGAGTCCAACTGGCCTAAAACTGTTGAATTAACAACCAAAGGTGGTCCTAGACCCCCGTTAAGCTTAAAACTTGTCTGAAAAAAATCAGACCCCCTAAAGCCCCCTTAAAATCATTAAAGCAATTTTTCCAGTTGCTTTTGAACATATTAATTTAATTAAACTATAAAAAGTAGTTGAAGACATGCAAAAGTAAATTATTTAATTTAAGACTCAAAAATTTGAGTAATTTTTAAAAATAAAGAATCAAAATTTTGCATAAAAAAGCAGAGGAAGTAACAAATAAAGCGCAGTTAATAAGTTTTCAATAAAAAAATTAATATTCTTAATTTGGGTTACAAAAAAACATAAATTTTCTTAAATTTTTGACATTTTTAAGCGACATTCTACGAAGCGGATGAAAGAATAATTTTAAAGGATAACTTTTGAGGATTTTAAGACTTACGTGGATTCGGTGTGGCTTGTTTGTAGTTCGGCAGCGACATTTTAGTTCCTAAAATATTAAAATTTTCACTTTTAATTCTATTGCCGGCCATTTATAGACACAATTATGATGCCAAATATTTTACCTTCAAATTTTCAACTTAATTCAGCAATTTTTGAGATTCTTAAATGAAATTTTTGATCCTTTTGCTTTGTTCTGCAAGTTTAACTAGCTTTAGTCATGAAATTCTTCAACAATCCAGTCAAACTTTAATTTTTTGTGATTTTTGTTGACACTTTTTTCTAAGTTTCGTGAAAACAATTTTATTGTGTAGTTTTGCACCCTTCAGAAATCGTCTAAAAGTTTATCCATAGGCGTCAGTTGAGAAAGTTTTAGATTTAAATTTAAAAAAGTTGTTACGGATTGTTTTGAATTTACATTTATTATTTTAGAAATTTTCAACATTTATTTAAGTTTTAATCTTAATTTAAATTAAATTAGTTTCTTATTTTTGTTCTAATCAATTTTTCGGAGCAATTTTGAAAGAGTTGAAAATTAATTTTGAAGCTCAGCCTTAATGTTCGGCTTTGCAACTCAGCCTTGAAATTCAGCTTTGCAGCTCAGCCTTAATGTTCAGCGTTGTAGCTTAGCCTTAATATTCAACTTTACAGCTCAGCCTTAAAATTCAGCTTTATAACTCAGCCTGTGGTTCAGCTTTACAGCTCAGCCTTAAAGTTCAGCTTTGTAGTTCAGCCTTATAGTTCAGCTTTACAGCTCAGCCTTTAAGTTCTGCTTTGTAGCTCAGCTTTAAAGTTCAGCTTTACAGCTCAGCCTTAAAGTTCAGCTTTACAGTTCAGCTTTAAAGTTCAGCATTACAGCTCAGCCTTTAAGTTCAGCTTTGTAGCTTAGCCTTAATGTTCAACTTTACAGCTCAGCCTTTAAGTTCAGCTTTGTAGCTCAGCCTGAGTGTTCAGTTTTACAGCTCAGCCTTAAAGTTTAGCTTTACAGCTCAGCCTTAAAGTTAAGCTTTACAGTTGAGCCTTAAAGTTTAGCTTTACAGCTCAGCCTTTAAGTTCAGCTTTGTAGCTTAGCCTTAATGTTCAACTTTTACAGCTCAGCCTTTAAGTTCAGCTTTACAACTCAGCCTGAGTGTTTAGTTTTACAGCTCAGCCTTAAAGTTCAGCTTTGTAGCTCATCCTTAAAGTTCAGCTTTACAGCTCAGCCTTAAAGTTCAGCTTTACAGTTCAGCCTTAAAGTTCAGCTTTACAGCTCAGCCTTTAAGTTCAGCTTTGTAGCTCAGCCTTAAAGCTTTGTATCTCGGTCAAAGAGCTCAGCTGTAAAGCCAAGCCAAAAAGTTCAGCTCTACAGCCCAGCTTTAAATTTTAGCGTTTCAGCTCAGCTTCAGTTTCAAAATTCCCAACATTCCAACTCGTTCTGCTCCTCAAAAACTCCACCTCATTCATTAATCTGCTCATACTGCATATCACCAGGTCCCTTTGACTTCCTCTTCCTCGATATTCCATAATGTATATTCATATGAGCCTTTAAATTGTACCGTTGAGCAAATCTTGATCCACATTCATGACATTCATAGTTCTTAACTCCACTGTGAGTCTTCAAATGTCGATTCAAATGAGATGTTGACAGGAACGACCTTCCACATTCCTTACATGTATGCTGCTTAACACCTTTATGGGCAACCATGTGCATATGGAATGAACTTGAATGGAAGTATCGCTTTCCACACAATTCACAGACCAGTGGCTTGTCTTGTAAATGAAGCCCAAAATGTCGAGTCAACAGTGACTTGTTTGAGAATGTTTTCGGACATCCAGGACATTGAAGTGCTGAATTTTTATCTGTTGGATGTTTAATAACGTTGTGGAACTTCAGTTCTAGTTCCGTTGGAAAAATATTGTCGTTAATGTCATCACAAATTTCACAAGCAAAGACTTTAGCTCCATCTGGAAGATGCGCAAGTTTTATGTGCTGTGAATAGTCGCGCTTCTTTTCAAATGCTTTGTTGCATGTGCTGCATGTGTAGGACAAGATTTCCGTTCGCTTCCGTTTCTCTCTTTGCTCATTTTCCTCGCTAAACTTTCCATCATCTTCCTCATCCTCATCATCACCAATGTACTCAATATAACTGACAACTTCATCAACCTCATTCTCATCAATGATGCACTCGTGGTTGTCAATGTCTTCATTGGAATCAAATCGTGTAAAGCACTTGCCACAGGCTGTAAACACTTCCGTTTCTTTGAAGCTCTTTTGAGTTTGTTTGAAATTTTCTGAGATTAATTCTTGGATTTTTGCAGCACGTCGGCAGATCTTTTCGTATTCTTGGAGCTGGTTTAGACACTCGTCACAGAGAGCAGCTTTTGTTGTTGGTGGGAGGTCAAGTTTGAGTCCGACGAAGGATTCTGGAAGGAGAAAGAGATTAAGTATTGAGAAATTGAGATGGTTTAATGATCTACAGCAGTGGTAGTCAACCTTTTTGGTGCAAGTGCACACTTGGTGGGAAGCTTTGACTGAAACTTTACAAGGCGATAGGTTTTGTGTGCCGCAGTGGTTGACCTTCACTAATCTTCAGGAATGGATTTGCTTTTTGGACAATGGACACATTAAGTGTGGCTTAAAGACCCTCGATCAGTCCCCAGAACTTACCTATGAATTTATAAATTGGTTTTTGTGAGAAATTCGTTGAATCCATAATTGATCTAGAGTTTGGCTTTAAATCAGTTCCACAGACAAAACAGTTGTTTTGTTTCACAATCACTTCTGTTGTGGACATTTTTATGTTTTTTGGGGAGTCTTTTGCAATATTTTTAATGATTTTGGCTAAAATTGACTAAGTTTTGGTGATTAAATGATTAAATATTCCATTTTTACAGAGTTCAAGCACAAATTTTGATTTTTAAAACTTTATTTTTCACTTTTTTGAATTTTTTTCTTGATTTTTCGTCAATTTTCCGGTTTTTAAGTCAAATTTCCAAACTTTTTAAACAAATCCAGTCCAAATTACACAATTAAGTCCACAAAATCTCAACAAAATTCCACAAAATTCTTCTTCAATGCCACAAAAAACATTAAAAATTCCTCGAAAAACTTTCAATCCAAAAAAATTCAAACTCGTCTAAAAAACGTAAACAAAAAACTTTTCATCATCTTCAAAACTTCCCCTCCGTCCAATTCAACGACTTTCAATGATTTCACAAAGATTTAAAAAAATTGTCGTCGAAAAATATAATTTTTTTTTTGGTAAACAAAAAGTAAGAAAAAATTGTTTTAGTGAAAATTTTTAGTTGAAATGAATAAAGTTGTAATTTTAAATTGCGACAATTGCTTTATATGCAATGTGTATCTTGGACCGTTTCGGAATAGCTTGAATTCGAGCACGGAGGACAGTGATAAGCCGATTTATGAATTGTTGGGTAGGTGATGGAAATTATTTTTATTTTAAGGAGTTCTTTGTGGTTTTGTGGGTTTGCTGAGGTTTCTACTAAGTTGTGCACAAATAGTGAAGCTAGTGAAGAGTTATTCGTGATAATTGAAGCGATTTTGTGGATATTTGTGTCAAACTTGAACATCAACATAGTCTACACCTTTTAAGTTACACAAATTATTAAGATTTTGAGATTATTGTGGATTTCTGTGAGTTCCTTCATACTTTATCTGGGTCCTATAAAGTTATGTACATAAATAATTGTATTAATAAGCAAACTACAAGATCCAGCTCAACATTTCAATCAGAATACAAAAATTTTACATTGTAGTCTTCAATTCAAACAGCCTGCAAGACAAAAAACAAAGCAGATGTGCAACAGATACTATGTTATACCAGTTTTCCATGATCAAATGCCTTAAAAACAAAAATTCTGATATTAAGGAGTCTTCACATTAGAATTTCCATATTCAGGTGGGTTCACACTAGAATTTCTTGGTTCAGGTGCATTCACAAAAGGTTTAATTAGTTCAAGTGCCTTTGCATCATGTTTTATGATTTTAAGAGACCTTGGACTTGAGTTTTTTGAGATTCAGGTGCCTTCGCACTAGAATTTCCATATTAAGGTGGATTCACACTAGCGTTTTGATGTTCAGGTGACTCTTAAATAGTATTGTGTGGTCGAGGTGCCTTTACACATTCAAATACTTGTTGGCACTTTAAATCCCCATTACGTTTTTGTTGTTCAGGTAGATTCACACTTAATTTTCCAGGTTCAGGCTCATTTACAATAGGTTTATCAGTTCAGGTGCCTACGCAACATGTTTTATGATTTTAAGAGACTTTTCACTTTAGTTTTTTGAGATTAAGATCCCTTCACACTAGAATTTCCATATTCAGCAGGATTCAAACTAGCGGCTTGATGTTTAGGTGCCTCTACAATAGTGTTGTATGGTCGAGGTGCCTTCACATTAGGTATTTGGACGCACATTAGATGTGCATAAGGTTTTTGGTGTTCAGGTGGATTCACACTAAACTTCTCATGTTAAGTTACATCTACAATAGCTTTGATTACTTCATGTGCTTTTGCACTAGAGTTTCTGGGCTCAGCTGCTTTCACACTAGAGTTTCTTGGTTCAGCTGCTTTTACACTAGAGTTTCTAGCTTCAAGATCTTTCACACTTGAGTCATTTATGTTTGAGTATCTTCAAACTACAGTTTCTGGTATTTATGTGACTTCACACAAGAATTTTTGAAGTTAAGGCGCCTTCACAATAGACTTCTGATGTTCCAATACCTTCACACTAGAATTTTTTGATATTCAGGTTCCTTAACACTAGAGTTACTAAGGTTCAGGTGTCTTTACAATAGAATTTTGAGATTCAGATGCCTTCACATTAGAGCTTTTCATCTATGTTATACTAATGTTTCTCTTTTCTATTTTTAGAAACCCTCATCAACATCCGCATCACCAGAAAAATCCAACACGAGTCATCAGTCTGTCAAGAATGTTTCCTAAAAATCGAAAAATACAATAATCTACAAAGGGAATGTTACGACATCCAACAAACACTCTACGATCTCTACCACAACTTTCACTTAAACCAACGACAATCAGCAATGGATTGCAATGAGTTCTTAGCAGTTAAAATGGAAGAATCCACAGATCCAGTCGTCAAAATTCGCTGTCAAAAGTGCAACAAATCATTCAGCAATATCCACGAGATGGGCAACCACAAAGATTGCAAAAAGTCAAATACGACAAAAATTGACAATCAAAAAATCTCAAAAACTTTCATTAAACATGCTGGCAAGATGGGACTTAACTACGACTACGAATCATTCCAAAATGCATTCTTTACAGATGCTGAGAAGGAGGCATCTGGTCGACCAGTCAATAAGAAGCCATTGCCACCGTCCAAAAAGAAATTTGATGAAAAAATATCAGAAAAATTCAAAAGAATGGCAAAATCGAAAGGAATTAACTACAACATTGATGCCTTCCATCGTGCATTCTTTACCGAAGGCGAAATAAACTCAAAAAATAAGAAAAAGGAACCGACATCGCCAAAAGTTCAGTCAGGACAGAAGCAATCACCACAAGCATCAGCAAAAAAGAAGCAAGTCGCTAAAAATTTCGTCAAAATTCTCGAAAATGACGGCATCAACTACAACCTCGAGACATTCCAGCGTGCATTTGGATTCACTGAGGATGGTGAGTACAAAAGGAAGCTGAAGCGACTCCAAGACAGAGAAAGTGAATTTAATCAGCAGAAAGAGAATGGAAGTGTCAAATGTTCTTACTGCGACGAGCGATTCTCATCCCGAGCATTATTTGTTGAGCACACGAAGATCCACAAGCCAGCTAATGAGTTCCACTGCGTTGACTGTGACAAGGACTTTAAAACGAAGAATTGTCTCGCATTTCATGTCGCGTCAGATCATGAACGGAAGAAGACTGGACCATTTGAGTGTCCAATATGCTTTAAGACTTATCCTGATCGAAATGCCTTCCGTGCTCATTATTACATCCATATTATGGACAGGAAGTATCTTTGTGTTAGATGTGGTGCCAATTTTTATCATAAAAAGTCATTTGAAATGCATGTGTTGATGCACGACGATATTCGACCATTTGCTTGTGAGATCTGTAATAAGGCATTCCGTACGAAAGGAAAGCTGAAGATTCATTTGAGAGTCCATACTGGAGAGAAGCTCTATGAATGTCCACATTGTCCTGGAAAGAGATTTAGACAGAAATGGGGAATGGATTTACATATAAGGAAGACACACATGAGTGAAGTTCAGAACTTGGTTCAGTGTAGGATTTGTGGTATGCAGTTCCAGGCAAAGTCTAAATTGAGGCAGCATTTGGCTAATGCACATGAAGTTGCTGACACTAATGAGCCATTTAATATTGGTGATGATGATTAGGTATGGAAGGGGGATGTGGGGTTGGGTTAGATGGAGTGGGGTAGAATGTATTGAGTGATATTGAATGAAGAAGAGGTTTTGATGGAACCTAGACAAGGAAATGTAGACATTAAGACAATTCTGAGGCAAAGGGGGTCTGAAAATTGAAATGTTGAAATATAAATCTTTTTGAAAAAAAATGTATCCCACTTGAGGGGGTCCGAAATCTATTCATACCACCCCCCTCCCCTCCCCATCTACCGCTCATTTAATTTTATAAAATTCTAGGTCTAAAAAATGTATTAAAAAGTCAGTCACGCATGCCAAATTTTAAAGATTTTTGAGAATGAAGGGGGAGGGGGGAGGATGGGGAAGGGGTGGGGGGTAATATAAGTGGTAAACTGAAAGTTTGGAAAGCTGGAAAATAATCAATCACTTTTAAAACTCTAAAATGATTTTTTTCTGTCAATAAAGAAAAATTGTAAAAATAATTATTAAAAACTTCTTAATAAAATTAATTTGAAAATTATTAAAAAATTTATTACATTTTTTTATTGATTGAAATACCGAGGCTGTAAACCCAGCATTGATAAAATAATAGAAATGGCATAAAATCAGGAACGTTGAACATTTTTCTAGGAAGCGTCCACTTTGATGACTAGATTTTAAAATTGCCATTCTCAAGAGCTCATCTTGGAGGTACCACAGAACTAAGATTGTCCAACACTGGACTTGAAACCCATAAAATCACACATTATCAAGCAAAAAGCTACAACTAATTCAGGAAATGTCAAACAAATTCAACAACTTTTTACTTCCTGTCCAAAAATTTTCTTAATGCCCGCTCAAAGCTTCAGAATCAGTCTCAATCATGAAATTCACAAATCTACAGCAATTCATAATATTCATCCTAATTTTCAAACTCAGCCCATCAACATCCATCCAAATCACAGACATTGACTGTAACAGTCCATTCAAAAACTTTATTCATCCATACGAGTGCTGCTACTATCCAACACTGTTCATCAGTAATACAACAGCTCATTCGTGTGTCAAAAAATGTACGATAAATAAAAATAAATTTTGTTGTATTTTCGATTGTGCTGCAAAAAGCTTAGAAATTTACAAAAATAAGAAATTTATAATGAAAAATTTAGTAAAATTTTATGAAAACAATGTGAAAAGTGAGTGGGAGATGTCGACTGAGAGGTGGATGCCGGTGATAAGACATAATGTTGCTGTTTGTGATAAGATTAGTAAGTTTGTGCTATTTAAGTTGTCAAGTTTACTATTTTAGTGGTCAAGTTCACTATTTTAGTGGTCAAGTTCACTATTTTAGTAGTCAAGTCAACTATTTTTGTGGTCAAGTTTACTATATTAGCATTCAAGATGACTATACTAGTAGTAAAGTTTACTATTTTAGTGGTCAAGTTCACTATTTTAGTAGTCAAGTCAACTATTTTAGTGGTCAAGTTTACTATATTATCATTCAAGATGACTATACTAGTAGTAAAGTTTACTATTTTAGTGGTCAAGTTCACTATTTTAGTAGTCAAGTCAACTATTTTTGTGGTCAAGTTTCCTATATTAAAATTCAAGTTTACTATTTTAGCAGTCAAGTTTACTATTTTAGTGGTCAAGTTCACTATTTTAGTAGTCAAGTCAACTTTTTTTGTGGTCAAGTTTACTATATTAAAATTCAAGTTGACTATATTAGTAATCAAGTTTTTTGTATGGTCAAGTTGACTTTTTTGAGATTAAGTTTACAATCTTAGTAGCCAAGTTTACAATTTTAGTAGTCTAGTTGATTATTTTAATAGTCAAATTTACTATTTTAGTAGTTGAGTTTAGTTTTTGTGTTCAAGTTGACTATTTTAGCAATCAAGTTGACTATAGTAACATTCAAGTTGACTATTCAAGTAGTAATGATTACTATTTTAGAAGTCAATTTGACTATATTGGTAGTCAAGTTTACTATTTTAGTATTCAAGTTTACTTTTTTAGTAACCATTCAAAAATATCCAATTCCAGTTCCCCATTCAAAATGCACATACGATCCATGTGAGACACCATACTACATCATGAACATCATCAGCTGTGTCTCAAAATTAAACTTCATTTACTGTCCAACATTCATGCACAATCATCAATGTGAAGAAACTTTAAATTTTGTTAAGAACTTAAATAAATGTGGCGAGCGAATTAACGGAAATTATTTCATCCATGCTGACTATTATGCAACACCGGATGGAGATAAGGATATTGAAAAGGAGGCTGAGGTGTAAAAACGAGAGACTGAAAGTGAAAATTGATTAATTATTGATGATTTTTATTTTTTTTAACTTAATAAATAAATCCAGTTGAATTAGTTTGAAATATTTTTTATAACCTCAGAAAAAAATCCTAACCTCAAAATTTTTTAAAATCGTCAACCTTTTCAATCTTAAGCATTCCAACTTCATCTTTAGATTCCCTTTCATTGTCCATAGAAATTGTAAAAGATTCCCGATCAGTCTTCTTTGTAATTGAAACATCAAGCTGCTCAATCAGCTGCCTGTAAGTTAATTGATCAATATTTCTAGCCAACAACAGAAACAGGAACCAATCTCCAATGTCTCCATGATTAAATACCGACTCAAGTATATGAAAATCAACGATTCGGTTTCTCATCCGCAATGTTTGAAGTCGAAATTGTGGGCTGCTGCAAAGGATGCAACGGTAGATGATTGAGAAGCCGGTGACGACTGCAAGGAACATGTACCAGAACCAGAGGATGATGTAGATCTTCTCATTGATTATGTTGAGAGGAAGAATGCACAGTGCTGGAATATGAGAAGGCATTGATTATTAAATTCACACAATTTAAACCCAAAACTACTCACAATCAAACGTCTGAATCGACCCAGATGCGCCATACTTATGAAATATGCACTTAGTCACTTTTGGAAATATCCTAGTCATTGGATCCGTTCGATATTCCGAATCCATTTCAGTAAATGACAGCACCTCAGTTCCATAATTTGAAAATTCATAGTCTAAAAATCGATCAACAAGCCAAATTTGCACAACAACATTCACAAAGTTGAGCATCTCGCATATAAAGAATCGAGCTGCGTACCATTTGTGGAAACGGAAGTTATCTTTTAGGTACATTGTGAGACTCTTGAGCTGCTTTGTCTTTTTTTCATCTTCCAGGATTGGATTGTTAAGGTCACTGACGAGATTGCGGACGCGATTTGATTCCCAGATTTTCCAAAGGTAGTGAGGAACGTAGAAGCACATTGCTGGAAGTAAAAATGAGAAAGAGGAGTATTAGGGAATTGGGGTTAATTAAAAATGATGTTTGATATATTAGATGGAGCAGAGGTGCATCAAGGGTTTATTCACATATTCCGTTATAGACTATGGGGCAAAATAAAAAAAAATCGGACATTCACAAATATTTTGGAAAGTATAGCTATAGAAAAAATGATTTTTAAACCCCTTTTCCCCTCTGTCACAAAATTGTCACAGATGCCATTACCCCCCCCCCCCCTTTCCTTTTGACGTCCAATCAATTGTTACCAAAAATTATGATTTCCTTTTTGTGAAATTGGATGTAACCAATTTCCTGGCCCCCTTCACCCCCTCCTCTGTCACAAAGTATCACAAAATCTTAGACCCCCCCCCCATTATCTTAGACGTCATAAGTGAACGACTCGCAAAGAGCAGAAGCTAAAGCAAAATCATCGAATTTGAACATATTTAAAACTTGCTAGGGTTTTTGGAGAAAACCTTAGTTTACTAGCCCCCCCCCCCCCTTTCCCCCAACCTTCTTCCCTCACCTTCTAATGAGTGAATTAATAAAATTAAGCTACGACCAGAGTAAGTTGCCAAGTTTTGCGCTTGAAACTAGGATCAGAGCTGTCAAACGCTTCATATGAGATCCATCAGGCGCGTAGCCAAGTGGTAGATTTGGGGACAAATCCCCCTTTTTCTTGAGAAATTTCTCCATTTTGCTAGAGTTTTTATAAAAAAACTCGAAAAAATCTTCACCCTCCCCCTAAAACATTTCCATACAAAAAAAATATTGTCCCCCCTCTTCAAATTCCTGGCTACGCTCCTGAGTTCCATATATTCTTTCTTATGACAGACATCATTTATGAATAACCCCTTTGATTTTGCAGCAACTTTTAAGAGAACAAATACTTCTTTGAGTCGAATTAAGTATCGAATAACTGAAATATCAGCAATAAAGCGACAAAAGCAAGTTATTTATTGATATTTGACTAAATTATTATGAGTTTAAGTATTATTAATTTATTTTGATTCTTTAATTGATTTAATTAAGTGGATTTTTATAATAAAAGCTAGATTTGGGATTTACTGTTAAATTAAGAAGGTCTAAATGGGGTAGCTAAGCTATGTAGCTTGAAGAAATTATCACAGCTGTCAGTTTCTGGATTTAGACTTGCTCTTCTTCTTCACAAGACCTATCCTCAAATAAAGTATTAAAGAAACTAGTTTAGCTACCAAAAAACACACTTCAGAGGCTACATCCTTCATCACACTTTAAAATTCAAGCTCAATTCTATCATAAACATATCAACACAACAGCTAGTCACAATCTAAGTCACTTGACCATTTATTGTCTTTCTCTAAAAGTTCATGTTTAGTCTCTGAAATTTGACGAGAGTTTGACGACATGTAAATTATTGTAAACACGTGCTGAATGGATCAAGTTCAAAGATTCATTTTCTGGGAAATTTTACTATTGTTTGAGATTAGAGACTTTTATGTTGAATTATGATATTTATTAGGTGTGCTTAGTGATGATTATGATGATGAGAAGTGTAGATTAAGTTGGATTTTAAGGAGTTGAGGATACTAGTGTTGGGAAAGGTGAACAGCCAAACAAACAGACAGAACTGAATGAAGATTCAATGTTAAACTTTATTCACAGCTACTTCTTCCATTTATGCTACACATTTTGCATAGCTTTGCACATAAACACAAAATTATTCCTGGGAATTCATATTGACACCTGATCCATTTCTTCTCAGCAGTGATTACTCATCAGACCAAGTTTTATAAATAAATAATAAGAAATAAACTTGAAATTTCTAAATGGGAGTCGTTCATGAATGATGTTAATGACAAAATTAGATTTTTGAGGCTTCATTCAAGTGATTTTTATCAATTTTTGACAATTAAATCTTCACAAAACCTCGAATAAGTCTCTTAACCCACACCAAACCCCCACCAAGCCTCTAAACCCACACTAAACCCCCACCAAGCCTCTAAACCCACACCAAACCACCACTAAGTCTCTAAACCCACACAAAACCTTGAAAAAGTCTCTTAATCCACACCAAACCCCAACCAAGCCTCTAAACCCACACCAAACCGCCACCAAGCCTCTAAACCCACACCAAACCACCACTAAGTCTCTAAACCCACACCAAACCTTGAAAAAGTCTCTTAATCCACACCAAACCCCCACAAAACTCCAAACCCAACTTACCTTGAAAAAACAGCATAAACACAACCCATTGATAATATTTGTGATACTTTTTTTCATGTTGTCCATCAACGTAACTTCCAACACCATCATGAGCCACCTCCTCACCAGCAACTCGATCCAATTGATGTGGCAACGTAAAAGTCGACTGAATCCAACAATAAGTGTCCATAACTTTTTGCGGAATTTCATCTGTAATGCAAGTTATTGGATCGCCAAAAAATTGCTTCGCTGTCACCATTATTGAGCAAGCCATGAGTAGGCAGACGGTCGCTTTATAATGAAGTTGGAATATGTGATTATCGATGCAGACTTTGTTGAGTTTGATGAGAGATTTGACGGATTTGAAGAGGTCGAGCATTTTTTAATATTTTTTTTTTCTAGTTCACAATTTTTTTAATTTTTAATTCCACTAAAGTCGATTACACAACAGCTTCATAATAATATCCGCAAGTTCAAAAAATTCTTTTTTTTGCTGAATCCACAAGAATTATATTTTAAAATTTTAAAAAAAATTACAAGACTTAGTGTTGGCAGTGCAAATGAACCCGATCGACTAAAGTCATTACAGCAGTTCTAAGGAGTAAATAAAGAACTTTTTTTGCATGAAATTTGAAGCTTTCGCTCATTAGAATGAGTTGCTTATATATGTGAAGTGAGCATTAGTATGTTGAGTTTGAGGATCTGATGGATGTGCTGACTGAAAAGCACTTTGTAGATTATTTTTGTTTTAATGGTCAAAGCTTGATATTAAAATAATTAGATCTGAAGTTTCTCAATTTTTTCTTATGCCGCATTAAGGTGCAATTGTAGATTCTAAGACTTTTTGGCGGATGTTTTGACTTTCGATAAAAAAAAAACGGCTGTGGAATTTTTAAAAATAAAAAAAAGCTTTTTTGATTTGAAATTTTAAGCTTTATGCAAGTGGTTTGTCTTGTCTATTTGTTTTAAGGACCAGGAAGCTACGCAAAATTGAACAAACACATGAGGGGGGGGGGGGGATGGGGGGAGGGGGAAGGGGGGGGGGGGTTGACCTCCAAAACTAAAATCAACTTTTTTTTTGTAAATTTGACAAATAAAAGTTATTTAAAAGTAAAACCAGAGGGCAAAGTCGACTTGAAATTTGTATGAAGTCGAGTGAACTCAAGTCGACTTTTCCATACAAAATCCGAGTCGACTTCGCCAACTGAGTAAAACTAATAATCAATCATTAACAAGTATTGCATTTTTCTTATCAATTGTAATTTTACTTTTATTATAGACAGTTAAAGCTTGTGTGAAAGTAAAATCAAGATAATTTTTCATTTGTTGCAAAAAAAATATGGATGAAGATTTATTTAATAAAATTATAATTGAAAAAATGACGAATTTTGTGAACAGTTTTTCATCGGTGGATTACGAAAGGAATTTTTTAAGATGCACTTTGAATGATAAAATTGCTAAATTTTTAACTAATGAACAATTAAAAGGTAAAAAAACTAATAAATCGAATTTGATTACGATCAACAAATGCGCATTTAGCTTGCATAGAGTTGCACTTTATGTCTAATTTGAAATGTCGTAAGTACGGACGAGTACACTAACACACAGACATCAAAAAAAAATTAAAATAAATCATTTAAAAATAGGAAAAAATAATTACTTTTTATTATCACCTGTGAAAATTTAGTTGCAATGACTGAAAGTAAGGCAAGTGCATCTCAAAAACTGTATAGAATCTTTAATGAACTTAAACGTGATCATGCTGAATTAAGATCAAAATATGAGGCCATTGTGAAAAGACAAAAGAATTGAAGCAGATGATTGTACGCAACAAAATTCAAAGATTGACGGATGACGAGCAGATTTAAAATTGGCTCAAAATCTGCAAAAAAAAATTAATTTTATTAATTTTATAAACATTAGAAAAATAAATATTTAAATTTTCTTTAATAAAATAGGTGTTAAGCTTTGTCTTGGATTGAGAACAACAGTTCATGAAAATAAAATGACTGTTGATTCTTATATCTGATCTAGTCCTGGTCCATAGTATTTAAATCAGTAATCTATCCTCAATCCTAATCCAATTTCGTCTTCAAAAACCCACCGGCAAAACAACAAACTACCTCAATAAGATCATAAAATGCCAACATCAATCTCAATAAATTCCAAACATATTAATCACCTTGCAATTTTGCCGATGTTATCAAACTACCAAATCTCTGCAATCAAACACAAAAATATTTACAGCATTTATCGCAATTCTATTGAGTGACTCAGCTCCCAATCAGAAGAGTCCAAAAAAATTCATTAATTTACCATGTGAATCATGACTTTATTGATAAAAATCGATGACGATCTGATTAATATTTTTTTTGTCACTATCTTATCATTAATCTGCTTAAATTTTGTATTTTGAGGTGACTGCTGAGTTCGTTTGCTATTCAGTTTTAGTTCTGGTCTCGAAGTAGACAAAAGTGCAAATTACAGTGAGAAAAATTAAAGGGTTGGCCGTAAAAATCGGGAATATATTTAATTAAAAGTGAATAAAATTATGAAATTTATCGCAATTTTTTGCCTTATCGCGGCAGCATCTGCCCAAAATGTAGTTCCAACAGAGTTCCTTGCTCAGATCTTCCGTAATGAGACAACGCCAACTCCTCAACAAAACTTCCTCGCACTCGGTGTCATGATTAATCAACGTCACATTATCACAGTCGCTCACGTGCTCCATGCAGTTCCAACTGATCAGCTTCGCGTTCATTTACAATCAGCAACATTCAGAGAAGCAGTTGATGTCCGTGGTGTTGATGTCGCAATAGTTCATAGTCAATTCCTTATTGCCAATCCACGTGTCAATAACATTGCCATCCTTCGAATTCCATATTCAGCACTCACATCAGTCACAACAAGACCAAGAATGTTGGGAACATTGACACCACGTGCATGTCGTACCTTCATGTTCCCTGGATGGTTTGGTAATGTCGTCACAACTGACATTAATGTTACAGCAACAGACTGTCCACCAAATACACCATTCTGCACACCAAGATTCCCATTAGGTCAAACTATTTCATCATGTACAGGTGTAACTGGATCTCCAGTCATTTGTGAGGATGGAAACTTTGTTGATGGCATCAATATCGCTGAGATGGACTGCGGTGACATGGCATTCCCATTACAAGCACAAATGTCATTCTTGAGCATCCACGAGCATGTCAATTGGATCATTTATCATTCAGATGCCAACATTAATTCCAAAGTTTCAGTCATGTTAGTCCTTTTGGGGGTTGTCTTTGGAAAGATTCTAATGTAAAGGCATCCGGGGAGCTTAAAGGATTTATTTTTAATTTTACTGTATTCATGATAAGATTGAAAAAGATTTCTTGTGACTGATAAGATAAAAAGTTAATGAAAAAATCATGATTCTTGTAAATCTGGTAGAATAAATATCAAAAAAATGTTATTTTTTTCTATAAATGGTTTTTTGTTGTTTTATTGGAGCTTGATGAGGTTTATGTGGATTAGGAACGAATAAAGATTTATTTTGATAACGAAAATTTGGCGTTTGTGAATTTTTAATGAGTTTTTTCAGTAGTTTTGTCATCAAATTTGGCTCTGGTTTGTCATAGCCAACAGGAAATGCTTGGTTTGATGGTTCTAGGTTCAGCTGATACTCTAAAAGTCCTTATAGTTTCACTGGTTGTGTGTTATGCCGAGTGGCTGGTTTCTTCAATTCATTGTATTAAGATATCACTCCAATGGACAGTTTCTATGACTATTTATGTAATCCAAGCCATAGAATCCAAAATCTAGCAAAAAACATGTCTTTAAAGAGCTTCTTTAAGAGCTCAATACTGATGAATCACAAAAAATAATTGTTGACCTTAAACTTTTTCATCCAAAACCCCCCACAAATATGCGCATCATTTTTTATTGAAGATTAATGTCGAAAACCTTTAATCCCATAGGAATTCTAGCTGCATCGCCAAAGCGCAAATGATAAAAATTTTTATCTACAATTCCAGATCGACATTTGACAAGATAATGAGGATTAATTTGTGATTACTTAGAACATGATATTACTAATTCAATATTAAGGTATGGAGAAAAACAAAGAAATCCTGAAAAAACATTGAGTCTTTGAATTGATCATTGCTGACATCGTGTGTGTGAAGCTGGCGGGAACAGGTTCTCAGAACAAGTTGAAACTTTGTCAGAATTACGTCCATATTACGTCCATTTACGTCCCGTAATTACATATTTTCGTCCTACTTCCTACTTCCATAAGTGCCAGATAAAGATAGAAAGTAATTAAAAATCTCCATTTTTTTAAAAAAAAATAATTTTTGTGCGTCATATTCTGAAAAACAGTTTACTGTCTTCCTCAAAATGGCGCACGTCAATCTAAAATGACTCAAGTCAAGTCAAAAGTACTCTTTAGGCGCGTAAAAAGGGGGAGGGAGTGGGGGGTTGAGTGACAAATCCTCCTAGCTACGCCCCTAGTGCTCTTCAATGATACTCTAAAGCAGTGTGGTCAGGGGCCTAGCCAGGAATTTGAAGCGAGGAGAAGGGAAGGCATTTTAGGAGGTTAAGATTTTTTTATAAAAACCCTAGCAAAATGAAGAATTTAAATCCTCTACTTATCATAATCTGAAGCTGTTAAAAATATAAAAATGACTTTTACCTCACACAATAAACCATGTTCAACACAATGATCAAGTAATATCCAACAACTTCCTGTACAACCAATCTAATTTGACTTTTCAAAAATTGTTCTTTTACTTTTCATTTATTGAAATCATTTTAACTATTCAACATGACGTTAAAGTTGATTCTGCTGTTTTTAATAAGCTTGACTAGCTTTGCCACATCACAACCCAACTTCAACATTTCAGCATTTGACAGTCAGCTTCATGACATTTTTAATGGATTGGTTCAAACTGAGACGAAAGTTGGAAGCTTTTTGAGTAATTTAAGCAGCTTTGTAGGCGATGTAAATTTAAAGTTAAACAAGTCACGACTTTATATGGAACTTAGCCATCTTCAATTGGTTCTACAGCTTCAAAGCAGCATTTGGAACTATGAATCATATCAACAATTGACAGGCTGCAGCAATGTGGCATCAAAAATATCAGAAATTGAAGTCGATTTGATGAAATTCGCAGATTTTGTGGATCGATTGGAACTAAACATGACTGAGCTGTACCAAAGGAACTTACGTGTCACTTACGAATTAATGCTGAGGCCTAAGCAGATGGAAGGTTCACAACAAGATGTTATAGACATTATTATGAATGTAAATGAGGCAATGGTTCAATATTTGTTCTACATTTTGCAGCTTCAAGTCAACATCAAGTACGAGAAGTCAATAGCTTCAAATTTAAAGCTTTACCTGAAACATTATTGTAAATGCAGAGATAGTACAAATGACGTAGCTCAAATGACTGAGAATTCACCATCTATAGACAATATGGAAGCTCCTCTTATTGGCAAGCAAGCTAGACTTGTATCTGCAGCTAATAATACCTTAAGTGAAGCACAGAACCTGACAGAATCCAAAAATGTAACTGGAAAAGCAAAAGTTTTGACTAGAAAAGTGTCAGCTTTATGCCGAAAAATAGGAAAGTTTGAGGACTTAGGCAATTCCACTTCACTTGCCACAAATTCCTGCTCAATTTTGACAAAAAATCAAAACTTTCTAATCTATCGCAGGTTCCGGTACACACAGGCGTTGTCATTTGTGTCAACTAGCAGTTCTGTCCTTGGATTCTTCAGAGAATCTTTTAAGGATATATTGAATGGAACAGCTAAGCAGGAATTAAAGTCATTTAATTCATCCTTTAATGTCCTTGATAGTGAGCTCAAAAAATATGCAACGGAACTGAAATATCAATTGTCGTCGTCCGGAATACTAAAAATTATTCGACAAAATATACAAACTATTTTATTGTTCTGTGGATGTACAGCTGCTAGAACTGAAACAACACCAACTGGTATGACAACGACTAAGGCACTGGCAACTACAACAACCTCAACATCATTAGGAACCAAAACAACGACTAAATTGACGACTTTTGGAACAACTTCAACATCCAGTAAATCCATGACTACCTCAACATCCACTGGATCTCCGACATCTAATAATCCTTTATCGACTGCAATATCCAAGACACAACCAACATCCAGCAGCCTATCAACAACAACACCCAAAATCCAACCAAGTTTACCAAAAACCTCAACTTTAGCGCCCTACTCAAATCCAGCATGCAGCTTCACAAAAACTCTTTCTGACAGAAATGGAAATTACATCAAGACAGCCTGCTTAATCGAAACTGCATCTAATGGAAGCTATGCCAATTCAACATGTCAAGACAATTTCATGCAGTTGATGGCTGTTGATTCCAACATGACGCAAACAGCTTTGACTATTTTCGTCCAGGAAACTTTATCGGAAGGAACTTTTTGGATCAATGGTGGAAATGGAAGTGATATTTGTAATTTTATTGCTGTTAATGGAACTGGACCAACTATAAATCAAACTAAATGCAGTTGGTACCAATATTATAGCATCTGCGAGTATAAAGATCCGAAAGTTCCAGTAAAAGTCAATTTTGAACCAAATCTCGATGCTTGTGGACTTGTCCTTCCGATTATGGGCAATGACTCTTCTAGGTATGCATGTTTTATGTCCTACACAAGATCATATGATGACTCAAGCTACAACTGTATGCTTAATGGAATGGAAATGTTCAAAGTAGCACCAATGTCAGTTGTTGGAGATCTAAATGACTTTTTTGTTAGATTTTATGGCAAAAATTCGGGTGTTGTTATGTGGATCAATGGAACAGCTCAGGCTGGAAGCTGCTCATTCTTGGATGGAAGCAAAAATCCGTTTGAAGTTGCTCGAGGTGATTGTGATCAGCTTTATTGGAGTATTTGTGAAACTGCTTATGATGGAACTTACTAAGGATATGTTGTATAACGGTTTGGGGTCTGGCTTGGTTTATGTAGCATTTTTGAAGCATTAAAATAAAATCTGCTGAATTAAATATCTTTTAAGGCTTTTACATCCCTTAATCTGCAGTTCTGTCTTTTGTGGCTGGTTTCTATGGATCTTTGGATTGCCTTACCTTAGTCAAAGCAAAATTATATTCATATCCAAGAGTTAAGTACCAACATTTCGGTTCTAAGGTAAGAAAACCGGCGTAGCTTTAGGAACTATCCCAAAAAATCTATCAAAATCGTCAATCATGTTGACATATTATTTAACCTTCATGCCAGCAAACCCAACAGACTTAATCAAATTCCACAAACTTGTCAACAACGTCCGGTACCAAAAGTTGATCAAAGTTTTTAATACTTTTCTAATTTAGTTCTCATTTGATCGACAACTTTTGACCAAAATGCAGAAAATAATAATTTTATTAAGCTTGGCTGGCGTTGCCACATCAAAAAATCCTTTCAACATTTCAGCATTCGACAGTCAGCTTCGTGACATTTTTAATGGATTGGTCCAAACTGAGACCAAAATTGGAAGCTTTTTGACTGATTTAAGCACTTTTGTTGGCGAAGTTAATTTGAAATCAAATAAGTCGTGCCTTCGTATGGAACTAAGTCATCTTCAGTTGCTTCTACACAGGGGCGTAGCCAGGGGGGGGCCATAGGGGGCCCGGGCCCCCCCTACGAAAATCTGATAATTGTTTTATTCATTATTTATAGAGAAGAACCAGTTAATGTAGAGGAAGTGATGAAAGAAATGTCAAAATCAGCACGAAAAATCAAATTTAATGTATGAATAATGAATTAAATATTTAAACTTATGAAGAATGAATATAGATTTAGGGATACAAAATAACGGTTTTTTAATTTACGAAAATGGGCCCCCCCTTAAAAATTTTCTGGCTACGCCCCTGCTTCTACAGCTTCAAGGCAGCATTTGGAACTACGAAACTTATCAACAATTGACAGGCTGCAGCAATGTGGCATCAAAAATATCAGAAATTAAAGTTGATTTGAAGAAATTTGCAGATTTTGTGGATCGATTGGAACTGAACATGACTGAGCTGTACCAAAGGAATTTACGTGTCACTTATGACTTAATGCTGAAACCTAAAGAGCTTCAAGTTGCACAACAAGATGTTATGGATATTATATTGAGTGTCAATGAGGCAACGGTTCAGTATTTGTTCTACATTTTGCAGCTTCAAGTCAACATCCAGCACGAGAAGTCAATAGCTACAAATTTGAAGCTATTTCTGGTAAATTATTGTGAATGTGATGAAAATGTCTACGGAGTCTCTAAAAACACCAACCAACACTCATCATTAAATTCAATGGAAGCTGCATTACTTGCTTGTCAAACTAGAATCACTTCTGCAGTCAATGTGACCTTAATTGAGTCACAGAAGCTAGCCACATCGAAGAATGTCACTAAAAAGATGAAAATTCTAACCTCAAATTTAGAAATTTTCTGTCAAAAAATGAATAGAGTCGATGACTATAGCAATGCCTCAATTCCAATCACGAGTTCTTGTCCTGAGCTGATGAATGTGCAGAATTTTTTGACTTACAGGCACTTCCACTACACACAAGTTCTGTCTATGTCTATGACCAACACTTCTATTTTGATATTTTATAAAAATTTGATAAATTCAATCATTTCCGATGGCAGTTCCCAAAATACAAGCATTCTCAGTGCAGTTTCGAACCTGGAAACGGAACTAAAGAATTACACAGACGAACTAGCTGTTCAGCTTTCGTATTTGACAGAATATTCAAGTGTAATGAGAAGAAATGCCATGATTCTGCGTCTATTCTGTGGATGTAAAGTTCTTGAGCCTAAAACAACAACAAGCACAACCAGGAAGTTGACATTCACTTCTGCAACATTTATGACAACTCAATTAGGTCATACGACGAAAAGAACTCCAAAGACAACCAAAAAGAAGCTTGTAACATCCACGACATCAACAACATCAGCAACTACAACATCCAAGCTATCGACATCACCAAGAATCACTCGTCCAACCGTACCAAAAATAACAACATTGCCGCCATTTTCAAATCCAGCATGCAGCTTCACAAAACCTCTTACTGACAGAAATGGAAACTATATTAAGACAGCATGCTTAATTGAAACTGCATCTAATGGAAGCTATGCTACTTCCACATGTTTAGACAATTCCATGAAGTTGATGGCTGTTGATTCCAACATGACGCAGACAGCTTTGACTATTTTCGTCCAGGAAACTTTATCTGAAGGAACTTTTTGGATCAATGGTGGAAATGGAAGTGATATTTGTAATTTTGTAACTGTCAATGGAACTGGAGCAGCTATAAACAGAACTAAATGCAACATGAATCAATATTATAGCATCTGCGAGTATAAAGACTCTAAAGTTCCAGCTAAAGTCAGCTATCCAAGAAATCTTGATGCTTGCGGATTCATTTTTCCAGCTACGGACCTGATTAACGATGATAATCCAAGATATGCATGTGTAATGGCTTACTTAAGATCTTACATTGATTCTAGTTACAACTGCATGCTGAATGGAATGGAAATGTTCAAGATTGCACCAATTAAAGTAATGATGCCAATGAATGAGTTCCTTGTTAGCTTGTTTGGCAACAGCTCAGGTGTCATGATGTGGGTCGATGCTCCTGGTCGAGTTGGAAGCTGCTCATTATTGGATGGTGGCAAAGTTCCATTTGCAGTTGCTGATGATGACTGCGATAAGCTTCATTGGAGTATTTGTGAAACTGCTTATGATGAAAGCTATTAGAAGATCAAGTTTTAATGAATTTTTAAAATTCAAAATTTAACGACTTTCTAGAATTCAAATTTTAGCGAGTTTAAAAAATTCAAAATTTTAGCGAGGTTTCAAATTCAAATTTTAACGGGTTTAAAAATTCAAATTTTAACGGTTTTTTAAAAATTAAATTTTAACGGGTTTAGAAAATTCAAAATTTAATAATTTTTTTAATTTCAAAGTTCTTTAAATTGGATCTATTAAGGGACTGTTCACTTATTACGTAACGCGAAAAAATGACTTCTTAGACCCCCCCCCCCTCGTAACAAAATTTGTATGAAAAAAAAATTTCCTTGTTTGAACCGTAACAAAATCTTAGACCCCCCCTCCCCCTAAAAGCGTTACGTAACAAGTGAATGGCCCCTAACCTAAATTGAAAACTTAAAAAAAATAAAGTTCTGTTTCCGAAATCGCTTAAAAAGAAATAACCGTCAAAAAAATTCAAAAATTTGCTAATTATTTACTAATAAGTCACCAACCCCTCTCAGTTCCAAAACAAATAATGAAATGACACAAAAATAAAATATAACAATGGAAGTGAACGTGAAAGAAGAGCTACAGTTTGACACTTTAGAGTTCCTCGAAGAATCTGTCCAGTGCTGTTTACTATGTCCTGATATTAAGTCCATTCTCAATTCCCTTGCAGATCATGTTAAGAAATTTCATTACGATGGTAAGAATTGGAGTTGGTTTTGAGATATTTTGTGGGGTTTTGGATGTGATTGATATTGATTGGATGAATCAGCCTTAACTGAAGTGGGGTGCTTTTCAATAGGAGTGAGCTCAAGATTTCATGTTGGTGGTTTACGTTTAGAGCTGTATTGACAGCTTTCTGCCATACCTACTCTTAGCCCTATACTTAACCATAGCAAATACCTAACCCTAACCTATACCTAACCCTAACCTATACCTAACCCTAACCTATACCTAACCCTAACCTATACCTAACCCATACCTAACCCTAACCTATACCTAACCCTAACCCGAACATACTATATTTAACCTTTCCTCTCTACTTTCAGCCTACACATCAATCCAGAGCCTCACCACAAAACTATGTGATTGCAATGAAGTCCTACAGCTCCAAATCCACCTAGTCAACCACCTCATTTCCTCAGTAATCTCAAAAGACACGAAACTTGAAGCACTTACAAATCCCATCGAATATGACAGCCTAGACATCGAAAAGGCAAAAGACATTGAGGATGAACCTGAATCATCAACAGAATCAGATATTGAAGATCTACTTCCAAAAACAACGAAAAAACGAGGTCGAAAACCAAAACAATTAAAACTGCCTGAAAATGTGCCCAAAAGTACATCAGCATCGTACCTTCCGCCAATAAGGCACAGCCAGTTCATGACTGAGCCACAATTTCCGTGTGACTATTGTCCAAAAATTTTATACACAAAAAGTGGCTTGTCTAAGCATTACAACATGATGCACAATCCAGATAATAAGTTTAAATGCACAAGATGCTCGGCTGGACATTGCAATACTCTCAAGAATCTACATGCTCATATGAGGGCACACGAGGATGTTCGATTAGATACAAAAGTATGCAGGAAATGCGATAAAAAGTTCCAGACAGAAAAGCAACTTTATCATCACATGCTGCTGCATAGAGAGAAGCTACTCGAATGTGATCATTGTGGGATGAGATTTAATATGAAGCAGCCACTGCAGAAGCACATCTTCACCCATTTTGACATTAAAATTCACCGAGACAATGAAATAAAGAGTTTGTGTGAAATTTGCTCAAAATGGGTGACGTCATCGAGAATGAAAAGACATTTAGGTACGCATTTTACAGACTGCAAGTCAACCTACAAATGTGACCATCCAGGATGTGATAAAGCATTTACAGAAGTCAGGAATCTCCAAGATCATCAAAATATGCACAAAAATTTAAAGCCTTACGTCTGTGAATTTTGCAATATGGCATTCAGGCATAGAGCTGCTTTAAGACAGCATAGGATGAGACACACAGAACCTGAAAAGCACAAATGTGAAGTCTGCATGGAATGTTTTGTGACAAATCAAAGTTTAAGGAAGCACATGACGAGACAGCATCAGGATGTTGGGAAGGATGTGAGGTCATTTGCTTGTGACTATGAAGGATGCAATTCGATATTTAAGTACGAGGATTTTCTGTTCAGGCACAAGAAGGATGTTCATAATCGTGAGTATTGGGATTATTTGAAGGTTAGGGGAGGGTGGGGGAGGAATTAGTTGTACCTCCCAAGAGCATTTGTAGCCGGTGATTAATTAAAAATTTGAGTCACCTTGCAATTCTGTATGAATCTTGATGGTCATTTTCGTGTTGCCTGGGGTAATGTCTATGTCTATGTACCCCGGGGGGTCAAAAAGTTTTTTTTTTTATTTTACCCATAAATTATAATTTTCTTTGCAATGAATTTTTTCTGGAGGGGAGGGGAGGGGGGGGGGGGGGGGGGGGTCTGAAACCTATGAGGGGTCCGGAACACCCAAAATAAAGAAAAAATTAAGTTTTTTTATTTTTATTTTACAGCAAAACCTCAAATCGAGAGACAGTGTGAACATTGCAGCTATACAGCACACAACACAAAAAACTACTTCCAACACATGAGACGGTCACACAACATAAGGAAGCGAATAAACAATCGAGTCTTTCCAACATCAGCTGCTTTGGAAATTGAGGGTGGGGAATATTCATAAATTGTAGGAAAATAAAACAATTTTTGGACATAAAATAACTAAAAAAGTTAATTTGAAAGGAATCAAAAACTTGTTTCCAGCACAACGTTCGTAATTTAAGAATCCATGAAATGCTTAATAATGAAAATTAAAGAATATTTTCAATAATCCCCACAATCCAAAAAATGTCTGTACAAATCTCATCAATTTAATAGTCAGCAATTCCAACAGAAATCCAATAATTGAAATTCCACACGCACACAGCCACAAAACAAATCCAAAACTTAAATCATCGATTGTCAAAAATTTTGGATTTTTGTCCTCAATTGGCTCGTATTTCTTGAACAGCATCATGGTATAATAATCATTTAAATATTCAGGAATTCCTGTTGGTACTATTTTCTCTAAAATTATATTAAGATGTCTGTACATAAAGCTATTATGTTTTGTATATAAAGCTGCTGATGATGCACTTTCTTTAAAATTTCTAAGCCTTACAGCAGCTCCTTTACACAGAGAATTATACGTCACATACTGCATATCCTCAATAAAAAATGCAAGCTTTGCACTTGAGTTGTCGTAGGAACTGCAGTAAATATCAAGAATGTCCAAACAATAGTTAAAAATTTGGACCTTCTTCCTGCAACACAAATTGATGATGTAGATCAATGAAATAGCGTAGGTTAGGTATAGGTTAGGTATAGGTTAGGTATAGGTTAGGTATAGGTTAGGTATAGGTTAGGTATAGGTTAGGTATAGGTTAGGTATAGGTTAGGTATAGGTTAGGTATAGGTTAGGTATAGGTTAGGTATAGGTTAGGTATAGGTTAGGTATAGGTTAGGTATAGGTTAGGTATAGGTTAGGTATAGGTTAGGTATAGGTTAGGTATAGGTTAGGTATAGGTTAGGTATAGGTTAGGTATAGGTTAGGTATAGGTTAGGTATAGGTTAGGTATAGGTTAGGTATAGGTTAGGTATAGGTTAGGTATAGGTTAGGTATAGGTTAGGTATAGGTTAGGTATAGGTTAGGTATAGGTTAGGTATAGGTTAGGTATAGGTTAGGTATAGGTTAGGTATAGGTTAGGTATAGGTTAGGTATAGGTTAGGTATAGGTTAGGTATAGGTTAGGTATAGGTTAGGTATAGGTTAGGTATAGGTTAGGTATAGGTTAGGTATAGGTTAGGTATAGGTTAGGTATAGGTTAGGTATAGGTTAGGTATAGGTTAGGTATAGGTTAGGTATAGGTTAGGTATAGGTTAGGTATAGGTTAGGTATAGGTTAGGTATAGGTTAGGTATAGGTTAGGTATAGGTTAGGTATAGGTTAGGTATAGGTTAGGTATAGGTTAGGTATAGGTTAGGTATAGGTTAGGTATAGGTTAGGTATAGGTTAGGTATAGGTTAGGTATAGGTTAGGTATAGGTTAGGTATAGGTTAGGTATAGGTTAGGTATAGGTTAGGTATAGGTTAGGTATAGGTTAGGTATAGGTTAGGTATAGGTTAGGTATAGGTTAGGTATAGGTTAGGTATAGGTTAGGTATAGGTTAGGTATAGGTTAGGTATAGGTTAGGTATAGGTTAGGTATAGGTTAGGTATAGGTTAGGTATAGGTTAGGTATAGGTTAGGTATAGGTTAGGTATAGGTTAGGTATAGGTTAGGTATAGGTTAGGTATAGGTTAGGTATAGGTTAGGTATAGGTTAGGTATAGGTTAGGTATAGGTTAGGTATAGGTTAGGTATAGGTTAGGTATAGGTTAGGTATAGGTTAGGTATAGGTTAGGTATAGGTTAGGTATAGGTTAGGTATAGGTTAGGTATAGGTTAGGTATAGGTTAGGTATAGGTTAGGTATAGGTTAGGTATAGGTTAGGTATAGGTTAGGTATAGGTTAGGTATAGGTTAGGTATAGGTTAGGTATAGGTTAGGTATAGGTTAGGTATAGGTTAGGTATAGGTTAGGTATAGGTTAGGTATAGGTTAGGTATAGGTTAGGTATAGGTTAGGTATAGGTTAGGTATAGGTTAGGTATAGGTTAGGTATAGGTTAGGTATAGGTTAGGTATAGGTTAGGTATAGGTTAGGTATAGGTTAGGTATAGGTTAGGTATAGGTTAGGTATAGGTTAGGTATAGGTTAGGTATAGGTTAGGTATAGGTTAGGTATAGGTTAGGTATAGGTTAGGTATAGGTTAGGTATAGGTTAGGTATAGGTTAGGTATAGGTTAGGTATAGGTTAGGTATAGGTTAGGTATAGGTTAGGTATAGGTTAGGTATAGGTTAGGTATAGGTTAGGTATAGGTTAGGTATAGGTTAGGTATAGGTTAGGTATAGGTTAGGTATAGGTTAGGTATAGGTTAGGTATAGGTTAGGTAAAGGTTAGGTATAGATTAGGTATAGGTTAGGTATAGGTTAGGTATAGGTTAGGTATAGGTTAGGTATAGGTTAGGTATAGGTTAGGTATAGGTTAGGTATAGGTAAGGTCTAGATTCGGCATAGTATGTACTTACCAAGCCTCGTCTCCATGAATAATCTGCATCAGCTCAAGTAAATGACCCTGATCGCATGTCAAAATCTTGTAGTTTCTTTCAACCAGATCCTCAATTGTACTTGGCGGTGGCTTCCTCATATCCGACGTCATAAACTCAAACAATTCGCTTTGATAGCAAGTTCGGAAAATCAGACAAAATCCAATAAAAAGCATAAGAATGAAACGAGGAACTGACGAGTCTGGCAGCTTCATTTGTGAAATTCCGAAGAAAACTTGAAGAACATTGAGACCTGGGGTCATTACTTCTCGCCCAATGATTAAGCTTTTTATTGAGTTGGTCAAGAATTTTGCCAAAAAAATCACCAAGAAAGCAGACAGAAAAGTAATTAGCAAGAGCACCCATGTGACGTCATCAAAAGGAAGCCAAAGCTTCTCATAATTCGTGTAAAAATCACTCGGCGTTGCAGCTATTACGAAACTTGATTTAAATAACAATGAGGTTTGAAAGCCAAAAGACTTGTTAAATGGTCCAACTAGCAATTCAACGATTGGATTCTTTTCATTTTCGATGTATGGCTTTGTCATGTCTTCACTGACTTCAAGTTTGAATTTCGGTGTAAAATTTGCAATTTTCGATGTCATTTTGAAGAAATCAACAAAAAGACCTTGTGGCTGCTCTTCTTGAGATATTAAGGACATGACATGCTTACAATATGACCGATTTTTAAGGATGCAGTCAATAATTTTCTGATTTCTGTTGACAAAGTTAAAAAATGTTCCAAATTTTTCAACCAAAACTAGTTCGCAGCCATGAAAGTTATGAAATTTGTAGTAATTCCTCAACGGTGTCTTCCATCGCATTGTCTGCTTATTCATACTGTTTATAGTCACTGGATAAGGCTCATTGCAACGATTCTCATTGAAATATTCTTGAGTAAAAAATGTTATGTGATATTTTTCATTCCGTATGTAGTAAAAGTAAGCCACAAGATCCACGGTGTCAAATTTAAACTTTCGATGTGTTGGAATCAATTGGATGTCTTCGTCAACATAAATCAGAATTTTCATGTCTACTTTCAGCTCATCATGATGATAACGTGCTGCATCTCTGAATGATTCTAAAGTATCGAAATCCAGCATGAAGACAACTAATGGATGTCGAACAGAAATCGGTAGATTAATAAAGATTTCCTGGATATTCCTAAGATACACTCCAATACTTCTCAAATTCATTCTGTATAAAAACTGATAAATGACGTCACTGAGGTGATCTGATCTTTTTCCATAAATAAGAATTTCAAAATAAATCGATTGTTCGATGAAGAATTTTTCAACAAGTGACGTGACTGTAATTGCTATCAAGTCAATGTTTGTGGCGTGATCTGAACAAAATGTTAAGCTTAATGATGTCAATAATGTTAAAAATTTAATTAATTTCATTGTTTTCCCGTTTAAAATAAAAAATTATTAATTTATTTTTCTGAAAAGTTTAACAAAATTTTCCTCAAGATTTCCAGTTTGGTTTCCAGATCAAATTCCAAATTGGAAAAATTGTCCAAAACAGAGAAGGAAGAACCAAGAACCAAGAACCGAAAACCAAGAACCATGAAACAAGAACCATGAAGCATGAAGCATGAATCAAGAACCAAGAACCAAAAACCAAGAACCAAAAACCAAAAACCAAGAACCAAGAACCAAGAACCAAGAATCATGAAGCATGAAGCATGAAGCATGAATCAAGAACCAAGAACCAAGAACCGAAAACCAAGAACCGAAAACCAAGAACCAAAAACCAAGAACCAAGAACCAAAACCAAGAACTAAGAACCATGAACCAAATACCAAATACCAAATACCAAGAACCAAGAACCAAGAACAAAGAACCAAGAACCAAAATCTATGAACTAAGCTCTAATCCTTAAATACCACTTCAACACTTCCAAAATTCCAAAAACTCCAACAAAATTGTGAATCGACATTCTCATTCTCAATGTCATCAATTCCAACAAGAATCCAACCACTGAAATTCCACACGCACACAGCCACAAAACAAATCCAAATCCTAAATCATCAACTGCTAAAACTTTTGGGCTTTTGTCCTCAATTCTATCAAACTTCTTGAAAAGCAATGATTTATAGTAATCAAATAAATATTGAGGAATTCCGGCAGGTATGACTTTATCAAGTGTGGCACTTAAATGTTTATGAATGATGCTCCTATGTGTTGTAAATAAAGTAATTAGAGAAGTGTCACTTTTAAAGTTTCTGAGCTCAATAGCAGTTCCATGACACATTGAAGCATATGTTGAGTATTGACCGTTGTCTATGAAAAATGCAAGTTTAGCACTTGAATTGTCAAAGGTGCTGCAGTAGATTGTGAATATTTGAGAGCAATCGTTGAAGATTTGGACGTTCTTCCTGAAAAACATGAGGAATTAGATTTTACAGTTGATAAAACTAATGAAGCAAGAACCAAGATCTAAGAACCAAAGAACCAGAAATCAAGAACCAAGAACCAAAAACCAAAAACTAAGAACCAAGAACCAAATACCAAGAACCAAGAACCAGAAACCAAGAACCAAGAACCAGAAACCAAGAACCAAGAACCAAGAACCAAAAACCAAGAACCAAGAACCAAGAACCAAATACCAAGAACCAAGAACCAGAAACCAAGAACCAAGAACCAGAAACCAAGAACCAAGAACCAAAAACCAAAAACCAAAAACCAAAAACCAAGAACCAAGAACCAGAAACCAAGAACCAAGAACCAGAAACCAAGAACCAAGAACCAGAAACCAAGAACCAAGAACCAAACACCCTAGAAAAAAGTACCAAGAACCGATATGCATCCTACCAAACATCCTTTCCATGAAGTATCTCCACCAATTCATCCAAATCTCCCTGATCACATGTCAGAATCTTATAATTCCTCTCAATCAGATCCTCAATTGTACTTGGCGGTGGCTTCCTCATATCTGTCGTCATAAACTCAAATAATTCACTTTGATAGCAAGTTCGGAAAATCAAGCAAAATCCAATAAACAGCATGAGAATGAATCGAGGAACTGACGCGTCCGGCAGCTTCATTTGTGAAATGCCAAAAAAAAATGTGAATGACATTGAGTGCTGGTGAGTGAACAACTCCTCCATAGAAGAACAGCTTGAACCTTTCAGGTAGGAAATTAAGGATGAAAATGACAGCAAAAGCAATAAGAAATGTCAGATACACGAGACTCCAGGTCTGGTCATCAAAAGGCAGCCACAACTTCTCATAATTTGTGTAAAAATCACTCGGTGTTGCAGCTATGATGTAATTTGATTCCATAATGAATGGTGTTGGATATCCAATGTCTTTGTAGAGTGATCCAATAGTTAACTGAATGACTGGATATTGTTCCTTAATATTGTAGAATTTCTCAATGTCTGTTGGAAGTCTAAGCTTAAAAATTGGTGTCAAGTTTGCAGACTTTGATGTCATTTCGAAGAGATCAACAGCAAGTCCTTGTGGCTGTTCATCCTGTGATATGTAGTACATGATGTGGGCGCAGAATGGGTGATTGTTGACCAAGCAGTCAATTATGTCTTGATTTTTATTTTTATAATTAAAGTACGGTCCAAAATTTTCAACCAGAACCAATTCACAGCCGAAAAAGTTCTGATAAATGTCATAGTCAAGCAGTTGAGCCTCCCATCTCATGGATCTCTTATGATAAACATCGATGATGCCTGGTTCAGGTCGATTGCAGCTATGCTGATTAAAATATTCCATTGTGAGGAAGACGACATGATTCAACTCATTAAGGATATAATAGCAATGATCCAAGAGATTAGTGCTGTCAAGTATGAACTTCTGGTGACTCGGGAGTATTCGGATATCCTCGTCTAGATAAATGAGGATTTTCATGTCTGAATGAAGCTCGTTGTTAAGCTTTGCTGCATTTATGAATGATTCTAATGACATTTTGTTCCTCATAAAGACTATTAATGGACAGTCAATAGACAAATGTCGTCCCCAAGAATGTTTCAGGTACACTGGATATTTATTTTTATTCATTCTGTCCAAAAATCCACTAATGACGTCACTAAGGTGATATGTCGTGCCTCCATAGACAAGAATTCCAAATCTTATCGATTTTTCAATGAAGAATTTTTCAGTTATTTCTGTAATTGCTGTTGACATTGCCAAGTTGTCAGTAACTGATGGAACCAAAAGCTGATTTATACAGAATATTGAATTTATTGACAGAATAAGCACCAAGAATCTCATAATTCTTAATTTTTTAATTACTTCCTGTTCCAAAAATACGACGGCTAATTTAAAGTTCCACTCAAAGGTCATATTTATTATTGAAGTTCCTATTCAACCCACGTAAAGCTTCATTCCAAATTTTCCATCGTTCTAGGACAGTGATGGACAACCCATGTGATGCGGCACTCTAGTTTGGCACGAAAACAATGGGAAATCCCACGAAATGTATGCTGTGGTCATGTCTTACTACCAAGCTGAACCGTTGCATAAAAAGGGTTGAGCACCACTGCTGGAAGAGCCCCTCTCGTCCTCCATCACCAAAAAATTTACAATACACTCCTGATTTCAGTTCATTAAACTTCAACAAAGACTGTTCATGAAAGTTCTTAAATTTTATTTAATTTCAAGCTTAATAAGTTCAATATTTTGCAACATAGTTCCAATTGCTTACATCCAGGACACCACAGCACTAACAGAAGCAATCTCATCAATTTGTGAGACATTATTTATCGAAAATTCAATTCAATTCACAACATATGTTTATGGATATACAACAAGTCAAGAAAATGACGTCATTAATGGCTTTCTACGTCGAGTCACTCCAAAATTTCAAACTAGACTAAGGCACTTAAGGATCATCAATGTAAGGCACATGATATCAATTTTTGGATCGGCTGTGATTTTCATGCAAGACTTAGCAGCACTAGCAACATTCAGCATGAGCTCAAGGTTTGGCAGCAATTTTCCGTTGGATGTGAAAATTTTAATATTTTTATATGACGAAGTTCAGTCGGTTCCAGTGCCACAACCTTTCCAAAATGACTCTACAATGTTGCTTCATTATTTCTATTATTTAAGGAATGAGAAGGACATGATGACATTTTTTACAAGCGATGCCTTTACTTATGGACGATGTAATCACCCAACTTTGGTAGCTTTAAATGTGTTTGACAAAAATGCTCAAAAATGGCAATCAAAATTGGAAGGTCATGAAAAGTTTGACAACTTTAATGGATGTGAGTTGAAGTTGGTTGAACTTTGGAGTCAATTTTTGAGTTTTGAGTTCAATAGTCCAGAAATAATGGAGTGCATGACTGGAAACAGGAAATATGAAGAGTGTGTCGAGCTCTTGCGGTCTACAAATGAGAATATTGAAGGACTTTATGCTGAATTGTTTAAAATTTCATCAAAACGTAGAAATTTTACATCAAAACTTCAAATTGGCTTGAGAAGTGAGGATGAGTCATCAAAAATTCCAATTATTCAGCTACAGACAGTTTTAATGAATCAAGGGTCACTCTTTCCTATTGCTTACTTCCTCGAATCAAGCTACATGTTTGCTGTAACTCCAACTGATGTCTATTCAAATTATGAGAAGCTGTGGAAGCCTTTTGATGATGTCACGTGGATTCTACTGCTGATGACATTCATAGCTGCATTTATTGTCATTTTTGTGGCTAAGTTCCTGACAAATTCAGTCAGAAGATTCATTTTTGGACGAGAAGTTCTAACTCCAGCACTGAATGTCCTTCAAATTCTCTTTGGAATATCACAAATTAAACTCCCAGACTCGTCAGTTGCTCGCTTTATTCTATTGCTTTTTTTATTTTTTTGTTTGATATTTCGGACCTGTTATCAGAGCATGCTGTTTGACTTTATGACATCAGACATGAGGAAGCCAATGCCAAGGACAATTGAAGATCTAGTCACGATGGATTATACGATTATATCATGCAGACAAGGACATGAGAGAGAAGTCAGACACATCTTTGAGCATCTGAATGGGTATGAATGATATATTCAGGGGGGAAACAACTTGATGTGGAAATTTATTTTTCCAACTTTTTCGACCCTTTCAACTTTTTTCAATCGAGGATTAAAATTTGTAAAAAAAAAAAATTTCCCACCAAGTTGTTACCCCCCTAAAATATCTGATGAGTCTATCTCCTTTATATATTATTTTATAGCTCAAAAATCAAAATATATCAAGAATGCAACGAAATTGGACATTTGTATTGTCAGCATTACAACTCAGCAAGTCAGCGACTTGCATTCTTCATCGAAGACAATCAATTTCCAGTTTTCAATGCAATTTGTCACGGATCAGCACTTAAATTGAAGAACTTTCACTCATATCCATCATTGACGCCGCTGGTTACTGCTACAAATAGTTTCATGCATCGAACATTTAAAGATGTTATGGAAAGGCTTGTTCCTGCTGGAATTCCTCAACATTTATACGAGTATCAAGAGCTAAAGATGTTTAAGAAGTACGAACCTGAAAATCACAAAAATCCAAAAGTTTTGACTGTCAATGATTTATTGTTTGGATTTGTTTTATGGATTAGTGCTTGTGGGATGTCCATTTTTGGATTCTTGATAGAAATTATAAGTCTGAAACTGAGACTGATTTTTAGAAATTTTATAGGATTTATTGCCATTTTAAAGCTGTTGCGAAATGTTAGATTTGAAGCTTTTTAAAAAAAGGGTTTTTTTCCCATCATGTTGTTTTCCCCTTTGAACTAACTTTAACTTTGACACTAAAAGGAATAAGGAGGAGGGAAGAGGGGTAAAGGGGGAAAGGGGAAAGGGGAAAGGGGGAAAGGGGGAAAAGGGGAAAGGTGTAAAATGGGAAAGGGGGAAAGGGGGAAAGGAGGAAAGGGGGAAAAGGGGGCTCAAATCATTGGAAAGGGAGTTCAATCAAGAAAACTAATGCTCAATCAAGGATGTTGAATAGTTGAAAGTGAAAGAGGGGGTTTAACACTTAAAACCCCTCCAACCCCCCCCCCCCCCCCTATCTTCCCCTCCTCAGTACACACAATAAAAATCATCAAATTTAAATCACAAATTTCAATTTTATTTATTTTCAAAATATTTCTTCACAAAAGCTTCACATTCCTTCAATTTGTTCAATTTAGTGACTTTCGCATTGAATCTTCCATTCTTTCCATTTCCTTTGCCATCCAGAATCTTAGTTATTTCACCGCCCAGTGCATCAACATCCTCTGGACTTCCCTGCAGCACTAAACTTCCACTTTTTGAATCAATTCCATCAGAAATTGTGATGAAGAAGAAAATTTGACTTTTTGGCTTTGCGTTTCTCAAAAATGTGTTTGCAAAGTCAATTTCAACGCCGTCGCTGCGATGAAGGAAGTAATAAGGCTTTGGATTTGGTTGGTCGTTTACTTGTTGGGCTAGGATTGCTGCTAGCTCACGAGATAATTTCTGAATTGTCTTTTGAGAATTTTTGCCTGTTGTTTGGAGTTTTTTGATGAGATCTTTGTGGTAATCAGGTCCACCACTGGAATTAAAATGATTTTCATTAGAAACTAAATTGAATAAAAGTCGGACAAAATTCTGGGTTTGAAATAAAATCAGCCAAAAATCCATTTTAAGTTTTCCCGCTAAAATTTTATCACCAAACTTACTTCAGCAGCACATTCAAGTCCATCTCCCTCTGGTAAGCATCATCAAGCTTCTGAATAACTCGATTGCCAGCCAAAAAGTGCACCAAAACTTTTCCTTTTCCTTTCTCAATGCTCATCAGCTTGATAACTTGCAGCTGTGCTAAATTCTTGACATGAGTTCCACAGCACATGTTCGAATCAATTCCTTCAATCTTAATGACTCGAATGGGACCTGATAGGTCAACAGGAAGACCACGAGATGCACGAGTTACTTCATCACCAGCGTCTTCTGGTTTCTCAAAGATTGCAAGATTGACGGGAATTGCTTGTGATATGTAGTCATTGCAGAGTTTCTCAATCTTTTGCATTTCTGGTGTTTTGACGTCACCGTCGAGTTCAATGTAGCTTGAGTCAGTTCCTAGCCACCAAGCTGGAATTAAAGCAGCATTTGTTGGATATAGATCTTATAAGAAGCAGACCATTAACTCACCTTTAGTATTATAATTACATTCCCTTTCAAACAGTGCAGTTATCAAATGCTGAGCTGAATGTTGCTGCATGTGATCGTACCGACGTTCCCAGTTAATCTTCTGAGCAACTTCATCGTTCACTTTGAGATTAGCTAAAGGATCATTGTCATCACTTAGAATATGAATAGCTTTAGGTCCTCTTCGGATCACATTTTTCACTTTAAATTCTTGCTGATCAGTTGACTTTGTGAATAATCCTTCATCGTTTGGCTGTCCGCCACCTGAAAATATAGTTATGGACTAGATACGTTCTAGATAAAGACTATGACTAGGTGTAGATCAAGTCTAGGTACAGATTAGGTCTAGGTACATACCAGATCTAGGTAAAGATCAGGAATAGGTATAGATCAGTGCTAGATACAAACCAGTTCTAATAGAAACCAGTATTAGGTACAGACCAGGACTAGGTGTGGATCAAGTCTAAGTACAGACCAGTATAAGGTACAGACCAGGACTAAGTGTATATCAAGTCTAGGTCTAGATCAGATCTAGGTCTAGATCAGGTCTAGGTACAGACCAGTTCTAAGTACAGACTAGGACTAGGTGAAGATCAGATCTAGGCATAGATCCAGAAATCCAGATAATGCAGTCTCAGTTCAAATCTTTAATATCAAACACCACAAACCTTCAGGAAAGAAAACAGTATCAGCAAAAGTAACTTCAATTGATCCATTTTCAGTCTTTTCGATGCTTTCGACCTTCGTCGTGTATTCCTTTTGGAAACTATCTCTCTGACATTGAAACACCATTGCTGTGAGTTTCTGGAGTTTTGAATAAATAATGATAAAAAATGTAAATAAAGATTGAGAAGACTTTGAGATTTTTACAATTTTTTCAACTTCTCAGCTCAGTTTCAGATGATTTGTTGCTTGGTTTCGAAAAATTAGCTCCAATTGCTTCTAATTTCACCATTAAATTCACAAATCACCTCACAGCTCCTTCAAAAACTTGAAAATATCCCTCAAAAATATGTTTTTCACTCACCTCTCTCTCCACAATTTCGCCGACTGAAAAAAAATCTCTGCATCTATTTACATCTCATCCGCATCTCCTAACATGTCCTTTATTTACATCTAGTCACACGCCCCTCTCAATCATTAATATTTGCAAAAAAAAACTTTTTTTCATGTAAATTTCAAATTATTAAATGAAAATGGAAATTCCGATCAAAGTGGAGCCACTTTTTGACGACATTGGTGACATTCAGGATGCGATTCAGTGCTGCTTCATCTGCAAAGATGGTCAAAGTATTTTTAAGGAACTTTTAGAACATTTTAAGGGAAATCATTATGAAGGTAAGGATATTAGTGGTTTAGTGACATTTTTGTGGGGTTTGATGGGGGATCTTGAGTTTTGGAGGGATTTGGATAAGGTATTGGGGTAAATGTGGGTTCTGGACTGACATTGAAGCTTCTGTTGTCTAGAATTGGGAACAAAAATTGATTAAAATCATTTACATATCTTGTTAGACTTAATGTAAGGTACATTGGTGAATCTAATGTATAATTTTCCAACAAACTCACCCAAGGCTATGTCAATGGACCCACCTAACATACTTAAGTCTCAAAAACCACCAAACTTCACTCAAAAACAGCAATTTTGACTGAAAAGCTCACGAAATTCTCACTTTTTCAATATTCCAGACTACAACCAGCTCCCAAACGACTCAATCGTCCAACTCTGCAGCTGTCCAGACGCAATCCAACTCCAATTTAAGCTCCTCAACCACATCCTCTCAAAATCACTTCCAAAAGCTCCAACACAAGACAATTCAGATCTCAAAGAAGAAATTACAGCAATTTTCACATCCGAATCTGAGCCATCAGCCATAGATCATGTAAAAGTCGAACTTCAAGAGGATGACGACACAGACAGCAGAAGTTCAGCCAGCGAAAGCGACTACGAACCACAGCCAAAAAGAAAATCACCACAAAAAGTTGACAATTCAAAACGAAGAAGAAGAAAACGCGTGGAAGTTGAAGTTTCTGAGAGCTTTACAGTCAAATGTGACTATTGTCCGAGGCTGTTTACGAAAGTTCAGAGTCTGCAGAATCACTATGATCTCATGCATGATCCAATAAATCAATTTAAATGCTCAAAATGTGAACATGGACATTGCAAGACTTTAAGGAACTTAAACTCACATTTAAGGACACACGAAGAAGAAGAAGTCAGAGCAACAATGACTGGCGATTGCTCAAACAAGATCTGCCCAACATGTGGTAAGGAATGGAAGACAGATTTGCAGCTTTACCATCACATGTTGACACACAGGGAGAAGCTACTCGAATGTGATCATTGTGGGATGCGATTTAATATGAAAAATACTTTATGGCGACACATCCTGACTCATTTTAAGGAGAAAAGGATTAAAGACAAGTCAAAAGAGAAGCGAACGCTGTGTCAGTACTGCTCAATGTGGATATCCTTCTACAACCTCAAGAGACATATCCGAACAAGTCATTCAGAAAATAAGCACATTTACAACTGTGATTTTGAGGGATGTGGAAAGTCATTTACTGAATCACAGACACTTAAGGATCATAAGAATCTCCATTTTGGACTTAAACCTTATGTCTGTGAATTTTGTAATCAAGCATTTCCACATATCGCGACATTAAGGAGGCATAAGTACAGACACACAGATCCTGAGAAGTATAAATGTACAATTTGCAGTGAATGCTTTACGACCAGAAAGAGTCTGACTAATCATGTCCAGAGACAGCATCATGATGTCGGGAATGATGCTAAGCCGTTTGCTTGTACTGTAAGTAGATTTGGGGTTTGGATAGCTGTTGTAGAATTGTCATCGAACTATATCAGGGAGTTAGAAGATTTTGTTCTTTATAATCTAGCAACAAGAATAGCAACTAGATACTACTAGATGATACTAGACTAGCAACTTGATGCTAGACTAGCTACTAGATACTACTAGACACAACGTGACACTACTGAACACTACTTGACACTACTAGATACTTCTATACACTACTAGACTAGCAACTAGACACTTCTTGATACTACTAGATACTTTTTGATACTACGAGACTAGCTCCTAGATACTAGACTAGCTCCTAGATACTAGACTAGCTGCTAGATACTAGACTAGCTACCAGATACTAGACTACCTACTAGATACTAGACTAGCTACCAGATACTAGACTAGCTACTAGATACTAGACTAGTTACTTGATGCTAGACTAGCTACTAGATACTACTAGACACTACGTGACACTACTGAACACTACTTGACACTACTAGATACTTCTATACACTACTAGACTAGCAACTAGACACTTCTTGATACTACTAGATACTTTTTGATACTACGAGACTAGCTCCTAGATACTAGACTAGCTACTAGATACTAGACTAGCTAGTAGATACTAGGATAACTACTAGATACTACTAGACTAGCAACTATATACTACTAGACACTACATGATACTACTAAATACTACTAGATACTACTAGACACTACGTGATACTACTAGATACTACTAGACACTACGTGATACTACTAAATACTACTAGATACTACTAGACACTACATGATACTACTAAATACTACTAGATACTACTAGACGATACGTGATACTACTAAATACTACTAGATACTACTATACACTACGTGATACTACTAAATACTACTAGATACTACTAGATACTACGTGATACTACTAAATACTACTAGATACTACTAGATACTACTAGACACTACGTGATACTACGAAATACTACTATACACTACATGATACTACTAAATACTACAAGATACTACTAGTTTTTTTAAAAAAACCAACCGCTATTTCCAGATCGACGGATGCAACTCAACATTCAAGTATGAAAACTATCTACAAAATCACATGAGGGATGTCCATATAAAGAAGAGGAGTAGGATTAGGAATAAGGATAAACAGCATCAGCAGGAAGAGTCATCAGGTAGATTTTATGACTTTAGTGAGTCTTCAGTATAATAATTAGTAGGAAATATCTTTGAAATTAATAAAAATTAAATAAATAAATGCATTATTGAAATTTTTATGTCTTTATTGATATTAATCATCAATTTTAATTGACAAAATTATATTTTTATCATAGAAGACTCATCATATTATCCTGTGAATTTACGACGTTTTACTTCTGGAGCTTTAGTTGTCGTTATCATCTTCATTGAATCTTCAACGTTTAAAAGTTTTTCTAGCGGAACTGAACTGTTGGAACTAGAGCCTTTAAAATCACGATTCTCGATAATATTTGGCTTCTTTTGACATCCCTGCGTGTTAACATATTCAAATCCATCAATGCATGAACAGAATCGGATTTGATCTTTTGCTGCACAATTCTCATTAATCCCGCATGAGAAATAAATGCAAATTTTCAGACATTTCCCTGGAAACACATTGTTTGTTAAGTCACAATATTCATCATCAGAACAGTGATTGCTGTTGGTGCAGCCTTTAGTGCATTTGTTTGTTGTAAAGTCACAAAATTGATGATCTTCACAACTTTTATCGTTACTGCAGCCGTCCATACACTTTTTAGATAAATGATCACAAAATTCATCAGTTTTGCAGCTTCTGCTGTCTCTACATCCTTTAACACAGTCACCACTTCCATTAGCATCGCAGTATTCATCTTTCTTACAGTTACTGTGACTAGAGCATGGTTCTTTACAATTTGGAGGCATTCCAATAATTCCAGGTAAGCATTTACAGTATGGACCATTATGACGTTGGTACAGCAAATCATCTTTTTCGTCATGACACTCAGCATTCTTGCCACACACGTTTGACTCTGCTTGAGAGCATTTTGTTATTTCACCATATGCTGTAATTGATGAACAAAACAGGATCTGCAAAGGTTTTAGAGAAAAAAAAGTTTAATTCCTAAAATCAAATTATGGTCCGTAAGACTCCTTGACATCACTGGTCCTATATCAATAAGGACATGAGTTGTGTTCCTTTAAAGTCCTTAAAGATAAAGCTACTTACCAAAAATATCACTTTCATGTCTATTAATTCTCTAGTCCAATCAACTCAACGGTCTACGCTTGACTGAATTAACCAAGAGTCAAAGTCATTTAACAATGTGAATGATTAGAAATCTTTTATTGTTAACACCTGCGATGGTGCCAAACTAGATGTGTAAATTTTTGAATAGATATTTAGGCTGGAAAAGGAGCTTTGATCTCAAAAAAATAGCAAAAAATACCAAATTATTTGATAAAAAAATTAACAATCTAGTGCAGTGGTCGAAAACCTTTATGAACTTCGGCACATCTTGATGGTGAGCCACACACAAAGCAGTAGCCCTCTTTGTTGATTTGGAGGACCCCCTACGTAAGCAGAAATTTCTTCATTTTGCTAGGGTTTTTATTAAAAAATCTAATCAAACTAATGTGCTTCGGCACATAGGTTGGCTCTAAATGATCGAACGCAGTGATGGCTAACCTAAGTGCCGTCAAAAGAGATTGAAAATCCCAAGACCCCTATGACATGTTCGGTTTCGGTCATTGCTTACCACAAAAGGTGTACCGAAGAGCAAAAAAAGGTTGTGCACCACTGATCTACTAGTCCAAACAAGTTCCATTATCTTAAGCACATGCTTGCTATTTATTCTTTTGAGCCTATCCATTCCTAGAACTTGACGATACAATAATAACAGTTTGAAGTGAAAAAAGTTGATTTTCAGTTTTAGGTTTGAATGGTTTTGGCTTATCATAAAAAAGAGAGTCAGTTTGAGGACGTGACTCATAAGGATCAGTTGTATATGTCACTGGACAGTGACAACAGTTTATTCCATCAATTTCAGAGCATAGACTTGGGTAAGTGCAAGTATTTTCACAATTTGAATTAACTTTTCGATAATTTTCCTTTCTACATCCTTTACCTGCACTGTCGGGGATATATCCATCCATAAAGGTACAATACTTTTGATTAAATTGAGCCAAGCACTTCCCATGCGGTCCACAAGAATAAATTTCACAAATTTTCATACAAATTCTAGATTTTCGATCACAAAATTCATCTGAGCTGCACTGGAAGTCCACTTTGGATCCAAATTTTAAAAATCTCAGCAACAATTGAAAAAGTTCTCAAAAAAAGTTTCACAATAATTTCAAATCAGTTTGTTCCCGCACAATAATCAAAATACACTGTCAATAAAAAGTTTCAGTATCAAAACAGTCTGCATCTCACCACAAAAGTTTTCGCATCACCATTCCTTCCTCATTCCAACATACCTGAGAAACACAGAAGGAAAAAAAAACTTTCTCAATTGAATTTTAGTTCAAAAGTCACAGCAAATTGGATCAAATCATTCATTCAATCATCACACAGTCATCATGTCACATATGGAGATATTAAAGAAGGAACTAAGGAAGGAATTTCCATCAATTGATAAAGATTTACAGACTTATGTGGAAGGTTTGTGGAACAAGTTTTGTAATTTTTTTCAGTGATTTAATTAAAAATTATTTAATTTCTTTTTAGATGTTTTGGCATCAAGTGTTGAGGATTTTGAGAATAGTGAGGATGTGTATGAAGCTATTGGTGAAATCCTGCATGAAGTAGCCAACGATAAGTCAGAAAATGATATCCGCATGCTTTGTACGAAATTTCTCACAATTTTACGACCACACAGCAATGGAACTGAAAAGCCAGGCATGAGAAAGATTCTAGCAGCACCAGTGAATCTTGGTGATATGGCAGCAGAGCAAACAACAGACGTGTTTGATGTTCAGTCCATATGGATGCAGGGACGTAATGAGACATCAAAAGTTGATGCTAAAAAATTAGAGAAAGCTGAAGCGAAACTTCAACAGAAGTTGGAGAGACGTGAAGGTGCAAAGCCAACGACAGTGGCAGTTCCAGTGCTTCAAACAGCATCAGCATCGCAAGTTATGAGCAAAAAGGATACAAAAATGGATGCAAAAGGTCAATCGCGGTCAATGGACATCAGAATTGAGAATTTTGATGTTGCATTCGGTGACAAGGTGCTGCTCCAAAGTGCTGATTTGATTCTATCGACTGGACGACGTTATGGCTTTGTTGGACGTAATGGACTTGGCAAGACGACACTGTTGAGGATGATAAGTGGTAAACAACTTCAAATTCCATCACATATAAGCATCCTGCATGTTGAGCAGGAAGTTGTTGGTGATGATACAATAGCACTCGATTCCGTACTCGAATGTGATGAGAAGCTTAATGATTTATGGCGTAAGGAGAAGGAATACAGCAAAGATCCATCAAAGTCAAATGAATTGACGGAAGTTTATCATGAGCTTCAAGCCATTGAGGCTGATAAGGCTCCAGCACGTGCCTCAATTATTCTCGCTGGTCTTGGCTTCACAAAAGAGATGCAAGCTGCACAAACTAGAACATTCTCTGGTGGATGGCGTATGAGATTGGCTTTGGCTAGGGCACTGTTTTCCAGACCCGACTTGCTATTACTTGACGAACCGACAAATATGTTGGACATTAAGGCTATTATTTGGTTGGAAAAGTACTTGCAGAATTGGCCAACGACATTAATGGTTGTGTCTCACGACCGAAACTTTTTGGACACGGTACCGACTGATATTTTATATCTTCATACAATGAGGATTGATGCTTATAAAGGAAATTATGAGAATTTCGTCAAGACTAGAACGGAGAAGCTTAAGTCACAAAGGAGAGAATTTGAGGCTCAAATGGCTCATCGATCACATGTCCAGGAGTTCATTGATAGGTTTAGGTATAATGCCAACAGAGCTGCAAGTGTACAGAGCAAGATTAAGATGCTGGAGAAATTGTGAGTATTTTATATGATTGTGTGGGGATACTGAGAGGTTCTGAAGGGTTTTGTCAGCCATGATCTTATCCTGTAGAGCCCAATTGGCTTCCTGATTGGTTCTAAGTTGTCTAGATAATTCCCAGACATGTTCAGAACCTATCCTTAATATCCCAACTAGCCTCCATACCCAATTATATCAAACTTGCTAACAATTCCTTTCAATTCTTTCAGACCCGAACTCAAACCAGTCGAGAAGGACTTCGAGGTATCACTCAAATTCCCAGAAGTTGAGAACCTTAATCCACCAGTCCTAACAGTCGACGAGGTGACATTCAAGTATCCAACCGGTGATCGTACAATTCTTTGTAATGTGTCACTTGGTGCTAGCAGTGATTCACGAATCTGTATTGTTGGTGAGAATGGTCAGGGCAAAACGACCTTATTGAAGCTTATTATAGGAACTCTAACGCCAACTGGTGGATTCATAAGACATCATCGTGGACTCAAGTTTGGATATTTCTCACAACATCACGTTGATCAGTTAGAAATGAATGTTAGCTGTGTGGAATTGATGCAGAGAGAATTTCCAGGAAGGCCTGTTGAGGAATATCGACGACAATTGGGTAGTTTTGGAATTAGCGGTGATATGGCATTGCAGATTGTTGCTAGTCTTAGTGGAGGACAAAAGTCGAGAGTTGCTTTTGCTAAAATGTGTATGGCTAATCCAAATTTCCTGATTCTTGACGAACCTACTAATCAGTAAGTATTTTTATGAACAAAATCTTAAATTTGAGCAATATAACCTTAAAATTGAGCAACATAACCTCAAAATTGAGCAATTAAACCTCAAAATTGAGCAACATAACCTTAAATTTGAGCAACATAACCTCAAAACTGAGCAACTTAATCTCAAAGTTGAGCGACATAACCTCAAAAATCTTCAAATTTCCGAAAATTCTAACCTCAAATTTTACTTTTTCCTTCCAGTCTTGACATTGAAACCATCGAAGCCTTAGGAAAAGCAGTCAATAAATTCTTAGGCGGGGTGATCCTCGTCTCTCACGACGAACGACTCATCCGAATGATTTGCAAGGAGCTCTGGGTGTGCGGCAATGGAACAGTCAAAAGTATCGAAGGCGGATTTGACGAATATAGACGAATTATTGAAGCTGAAATTGAAGCTGCTGCAAGCAAATAAATCAACAAATTTAGCTTTTCAAATTATCTCAATGAATCCTTCTGTTTTTTTATTTAACTTTTGCAAGGAAAATCGCATAATTTATTTAAAAAATAAACTTTTTTTTCTGTTGTTGTTGAAATAAAATTTGTAATAATTTTTAATGAATAAATAATAAACAGCAATGGCATAAAAATTATTTTTGTAGAGTTAAATTTTAATTTAAAAAAAAATAGATTTCCCATCGAGGTTTTTGTCCTATAATGTTGTCTTCCCCTTGTATAGGACCGTGGTACACAGTTGAGACAACACTGCCTTAGTCTGACGTTATTACACCAAAGTAGACTGATTCAAAGATTCTAGACTAGACTCCACTCCCTAGGATAGGTTTTCGGACTTCCAGTCATACTCCAGTCATAGATTTCTCCTTTATAGTGTCTCAGATAACCTTAGAAATCGAAATCTGATCTATACTCCTTGATATCCATTGACTATCTTATAACCTCAGAATCATTTATGCCTCTTTAACTTCTTTAACTGCTTGATACCTATCCTTGCTCATGACATCATTCTTAAATTTATTGTTTTGGGACAGACAAGTCAAAGTTCAAGAGCTTGTATGAAAAAATTCAAAACAAATTACAATTATTTTTGAATGTTCTTAGTTTGCTCTTAGATTGAAAGCTTTGAAGACGTATTTTTGAGCATATTCATATAAGCTGATTTGTCAAATTTAGAGGATCAGCGCAATTTAAGGTTGAAATATTTGAAAAAATGAGATATTTTCATTTGTGAGTATGTTTCTCGAGCTTAGAGCCTATAGTGGTACTGTAGAGAGCACAGATTGAGATTTCCTACCTTATCAGCTTCCTCTCAGTCCTATAGTAACAATAGCTCACTTTATATAGTTCTCAGCAAGCTACAATTGACTACATCTATCATCCCACCATTCTAGATTCATCACATGCTTACTCATCATCAATTCATCCAACTTATCAACAACAACTGACATTAAATGTCATTATTCAGCTTCAAGCTACTTCATTTTAGGTAGTGTCTACGCCTGTCAAGTTGATCACAGTTCGCACATAAAAACTCGAGAATCAGCAAAAATTACTTCAGTCAATGGACAGCATTTGAGTGCAAAGACTGACATCGATGTGGTTGGTATTGAGGCTACTGGCATGGAAATTCATTATTTTCCCCAAAACTTACAAAATTTATACCCGAACTTAAAGTTGATTCATTTTGTGGCATGTCCAATTGAGGACATTTTTCAAGCAGATTTAAAATTTTATCCAAAATTAGTTTTTCTTTATATTGCAAGGTGCAATGTTGAGGTCCTTGAAGCTGGTTTATTTGATTTTAATACAGAATTGGAAGTGCTTGGGATTACTGGAAGTCGAATTCAGCATATAGACCCAAATGTATTTGATAATTTGAATAAATTGTCGAGTTTTTGGTTTGAGAATGTTCCATGCATTGAGACTAGCAATATTTATGGATCCATACCGAAAGTTAAAGCTGCAATCAAAGAGATTAAGACTAAATGTGAGGATATTGAGTTTTGGGCGTTTGGAGTTAAAATTGACAGCCTTAAAAAGCAGTCAGAAGTTTTAAGTTTCGAGGATTTTAAGCGAAAAGTTGAAAAATTTGAAATTGAATTTAAAAGCTCCAATTTCTCACAATTTCAACCACTAAAACGTAAGTTTGAGGATCTGAAACACATTAAAGTAATTCAATAAACTAATACCAAGAAGTTGGAACCTCCAAAGCTCCAAAAAAATGAAAAATTCAAAATAAAAAGAAATAAATTTAAAATTTATTGAAGAATTTTTTAATTTAATTTTAAGATATTCCTTTAATTATATCTATCGAGAGTTTCTTCGCTGACTCCACAGAAAGTTCCAACGGCGCACAGTTCAGATTCATGAAACTCATTTATGAGGACTAATGTGAACTCGACCCCGGCTAGCAATGTTATGAGCTAAAAATATTCAAAAATTGATTAGAATTTTCCTTTACAGTCCTGTCCTTACCCCCCCCCCCCAAACCCCCCTTCCCCCAGCCCCCCTTCTCCTAGCCCCTTTGCCCCAACCCCCCAACCCCCCCTTACCCCTAACCCCTTCATCCCATCCAACCCCCTAGACCTTTTCATCATCACATAACTCACCTGCAATCCAACAATAACCAACGAGCTCAACATAAAGTCCGCAACTCTCTCACGATACATCCTAACAACAAAGTCACCTTTACACTCCCTCATTGGCATCAAAAAGTACAGCAAAGCCACAACTAAAGCTCCAAGTGCCATCCACAAAAGAAAATGAAAGAATCTCATGACTTTCACAGACTTTAAAATCACACCGAGAGTTCCAATCAGATTAACTGCTGCCGTGGCTCCAAATATTGAAATTAGAGTGACTGGAAATACAAAGGATGCGTATGGACCATTGCGGACACTGTAGAGGTCGTACAGGCAGTAACCGAAGGCAGCAAATGCAACAATTGCACAAATTGTGTTGCAAACTTGAAAGAAAAACTTTTTGAATTGAAATTGTGAAATTTCTTTGACTTCTCTGGCTGAAATTTGGGATAAGTGAGATGCGTGGGATCCGTGGTGGGATGTGCGGGAAATTTGTGACATTTTTTTGAGGTTATGTTGATTTTGTGGAGCTTTTTGTTGCACAAATTTTAAAATTTTTTTACACAATTTTATTTGCAAGCTTCTGACTTCGTCAACTGATCGACTTAAAGTGATGCAAAAAAATCTAACCTAAGACACAGAAAGTCAATTTAATAAATTAATTGATCAAAAGAGAGAGAAAATGTCAGCAGAGTGGAATTTAAAGAAATACAAAAGCGAATTAGTAGAACATTTTTAATTTGTAGGCAAATAAAGCTTGGATGGCTTAAGGTTGAAATTGTATAGGTCCGGCTTAAAAGATTAAATTTGGTAATTAACATAAAATGGAGTTGGGGTGCATTCAGAGTTGATATAACCATTCAAGACATTTACGTGTTCTAGTTTAAGACTTGAAAATCAGGAGCTTATTGAACCATTATTAATAAATGACATCACAGGTAGCAGGGGGATGAGGGAAGGGTACACAGCTCCAGAACAGAGCTCCTGAATTAGAGTAGAGATTTTGACGCCAAACCCCAATCTTGCCTACTTCCCTGAACTCTCCTATCCTCAGTATTGATATCAAATCCACAGCAAACCTTGTCACAAAAAAACTATCAACCCGATCAAATTTCAACTCTAAATCACTCGTGTAAATTAATTGATGAGCACAAAAAAAGATGCAAAAAACGATCATTTAATGAATAAGAAAATTAGCGCATCAATTTACAAATTGAGTCATGCAAATTAGTGACCCCAACTGACACTTTATTTCACACCCACATTTTTCTGTTATTTCATTTTTGCATGTGTGCTGGGTGGTTGTTCACTTTTTGAGGTCTAATGTAATATCGACGGATGTATTAATTTAAACGATAGGGTAACAAAGAAGGGAGCACAATGGATATTTACTAATTCTAAACAGAAAAGAATCTTAAGTGTCGAGTCATATTTAAGCGAATCTGCCAGTGTGTGAGTTATGTATTTGTGACGCAAGTGGTTAAGCAAGAGATCGGATGTCTGTAACATTCTTTAGTGAGGACGTGGGTTCAATTCCTACGTCAATCATTTAATAGAATGTTGTCGTCATGACAACATAGGAGCAACAAAGCTGCATAGAATCGGGTTCTCTATTTTTTGAGGCCATTAATCAGTAAACCATCTGTTTACTAGGACAAAACTAGGGTTTTTTGGGGAGCAGGAATGCTCCACAACCATATATTGAGAGACAATGTGAAAAAGAGCAGAAAAGAAAGATGAATAGAGCTAAGTAGGATGTTACTAGATAGTCTAAGGAGCATAAATACTAAAGAGGACATAATAAGTCATCGATAAACCAAAGAGAATCCAAAATAGCACCAAAAATTCAATGTTGAGTATCAAGATCAAGAAACTCAAGAAATAAATTCCAATAACCTTGAACGAACCGGCATAAAATCATCAAAATACTCATCTTGAATTACTCATTTTTGCCTTACTGACCTCAATAAAAATAAAAAATTAATCAAATGATAACAATGAATCCATTCAATTCATCCAGAAATCCCACAATTGCTCTCAACTTTCCCCAGCCTCATGACTCATTACATTCAATTATTCCCATAAATGCTTACCCAACGTCACGCGCTGCATCTCATCATCGATCAATTTACATTTTTTTTATGCATAATGCTTAATTTTCGTTTATTTTGGGAGAATTTGACATTGAAAAAAAATATTCTTTTGTGAATGAAAGAGAGTCTGAGAGGAAATTGAGAGAATCTCGTAAGATTGCAAATCAGAGCGAGATCAGTCACATGAAATCATGTGCAATAAATTAATCAATTTTGACTTAAATGCTTCCTGATTTACTTGCCGTGAATATGTTGCATGTTTTTAATGTGGAATAAATCGTGTAAAATGCTTTATGGACATGCAGTTGATCTAATTGGGAAGATTTTGGGTAACTTGGGAACTTGTCGTTTTACTTTTGGAAACCTTTCAAATGTAATCTCTTTTTTCATCGAACTATGGGAACGGTTCTACTATCGATCAGAATCGCAGTGCCTCCAGATCATCGTGTAGTAACACATCGTTTAGCTGTAACCCTCTCAAATTCTTATTATTCACCAAACTATGATGCAAAAGCACAACAACTAATCCTATTGCTTCCTACATGCACAACTTAATATTCAAATTATTCCATCTAAGGTGTGATATTAATGATAATAAGTGTATTAATTTATGACCGACAAGTGATTGCAACCAGCAATTATGATACATTAATATCCAATAACTATCAATTTTAATCAATGTTGCTGTACTTATTGGCAGTTACTGAATGAATGTAATTAATTGAGATTGCATGCTGTAACTTAGCGTGAATAATTTCTAATTTATGGATTTTTAAGGGGGTCTGCTTAGGATTGAAAAATTATCTTTTAATATTTTTCTACATTTCTCGGCATTTTTAGCATTTTTAACATTTTTTCACAATTTTTCTCAGTTTTAACATTTTCAACATTTTTTTCACATTTTGTCACATTTTTCTCAATTTTAATATTTTTTCACATTTTTTACTTTTTTCATATTTTTAACATTTTTTCACAATTTTTCTCAATTTTAACATTTTTTTCACATTTTTAACATTTTGTCACATTTTCCACAATTTTAACATTTTTAACATTTTTTTCACATTTTTAACATTTTTTCACATTTCTATCACTTTGTCACATTTTTCTCAATTTTAACATTTTTTCACATTTTTTACTTTTTTCATATTTTTAACATTTTTTCACAATTTTTCTCAATTTTATCATTTTGTCACATTTTTCTCAATTTCAGCATTTTCAACATTTTTTCACATTTTCAACATTTTTTTTTCACATTTTTAACATTTTTTCACATTTTTATCATTTTGTCACATTTTTCTCAATTTTAACATTTTTTCACATTCTTTACTTTTTTCATATTTTTAACATTTTTTCACAATTTTTCTCAATTTTAACATTTTCAACATTTTTTCACATCTTTAACATTTTTCACATTTTTCACATTTTTCTCAATTTTAACATTTTTTCACATTTTTTACTTTTTTCATATTTTTAACATTTTTTCACAATTTTTCTCAATTTTAACATTTTCAACATTTTTTTCACATTTTTTACATTTTCCATAATTTTAACATTTTTAACGTTTTTTTCACATTTTTAACATTTTTTTCACATTTTTAACATTTTGTCACATTTTCCACAGTTTCAGCATTTTCAACATTTTTTCAAATCTTTAACATTTTTCACATTTTTAACGCTTTTAACATTTTTTCACATTTTTTCACATTTATCAAATTTTTAACATTTTTTCACATTTTTATCATTTTTTCACATTTTTAACATTTTTACACATTTCCAAAATTAGTTTTTAAGTCAGTCGTGGTCCCCTCGAGCAGCAACAACAATAAATATAATAATAATCACAAGATCTCCAATTAAACTGCATCTATATCAAACATGTTATTACACTTATCGACATCACTCACTGCCAAGACATCTAATTAATAATCACAACCGACACGACTTGCATATTTTGTTCAATAACCCAATTCGTTTGCATAACTCATTCACATTCTCGTGATTTTTTTTCCCTACATTTTGATGCAATAAATTGTTAATAGCTATAAAGTGTTGTGAACTTTACTGCGTTTTATTAGAAAAAGTAGGTTGTGAAAGAGATGAATGATTTGGACTTTGTTGTGGCTGAGGGGTTGATCTTTTAGTGGATCATATGAGCAAATGGTTCTGATTTCACTTTTGGCTTGAATTGTACATTTCGTTCTAATGCAATTGAGACGCAGCACCTCGTGTTCTAAGGCTGGGCCCTTTCCTCGTGATTCATCTTTTTGGATAAACCAGTCTCTAGTTGATTGATAAATTTTGAGAAAATTCCCAATTTTATGAAATAATTGAATGAATTTTTTATAAACAAATTGCATCCGTAGATGACTTTTAGACAGCACATCTGAAATCCCCAACTAATCTAATCAGTCTGAAAGATAAAAACAATTCAGTTAAGTATGAAACATTTTAATTTTCACAATGGTCTTTATTGGCACTTAAATTACAGCTTAAAAAAATCTTACATATCATAATACATTTCACACATTCGCCATCATCTCCAAAAACAATCTTAATCAATTCCTTATAAAAATATTTTTCAATTATTAACAGTTTTGTTTATTTTAATTTTATTGATGTCATTCATAGCACTTCCGACTGTTCCACAGGATACAATAATTGTGAATAAAAAAGTATTAAACTTTCTGATTGATCATAAATGTCTGTTTTGATGACTCAAAATCGTTTAAGATGTAACTGATGCTGATTTCTCGTTGTTCTTTTTGCATGTCGCTTAGGAACTTTGTGCCGATGAATTTGCAGAGGAGCTGTGGATTGAGATTCGTAATTTTGGATAAGTTGGTTGTTATGTGGATTTTAGGTTCAATTATAACCTCAAAACTGCTCGGATTTAAAAGTTTAACCTCAAAACTGCTCAGATTGAAAAGTTTAACCTTAAAAGTGCTCAGATTCAAAATTCTAATCTAAAAAATGCTCAAAATTGAAATTCTAATCTCAAAAATTCTCGAATTCGAAATTCTAACCTCAAAAGTGCTCAAATTTAAAATTCTAACCTCAAAAATGCTCAGATTCGAAATTCTAACCTCAAAAGTGCTCAGATTTGGAATTTTAACCTCAAAAGTGTTCAGATTCGGAATTATAAACTTAACAGTGCTCAATTTTGAGATTTTAACCTCAAAAGTGCTCAGATTTGAAACTGTAACCTTAAAAGTGCTCAGATTTGAAATTCTAACCTCAAATTCTTAACTAGGTTAAAAACAAAAGGGAAAACAGCTTGATGATATACTTCCTACTAATTTCTCATCAAATCTTTTCCCCATCATGCTGTTTTCCCCCTGACGAAACTCCTATCAATCCTCACCTGACATCCAACGATAATACAGCAAATCACGACCAATTGTTGAAGATAAGCATAAACAGTCATCATAACAGCATCTTTACACTCATCACCTTCACATCCAAGCCATCCCTCGACATCACGTCTCTCGAATTCCTTCATATTACCAAAATTCTCATTCACAACAGCTCCAATATGTTCCTTAAACATCAAAAAGTATGTGATGAACAGCAAATATCCAACAAATGTGATTGATGTGAGCACCAAATAAGCAGTTGTTGCTGCTGTCGATTGAATATCAGCACAGTGACATCCATAAATCGTCAAAATGACAGTCACAAAGGCAAGGATGATAGCGACTTGCAAATAATATTCATAATCTGTGGATATTGTCGGTTCCAATTGACTAAAATGTTTTTGGATTCCACCTGTGATGAAGAATGTTGTGGCTGCGATGAATCCAGTGATGACATTGAGAACGATGAATGCAATTTTTGACAAGCTTGAAGTTGACACTGTTGGAAGTGAATGTGGGATGTTGGATTTGATGACTTTTGAGATTGTTGGGAACATTTTTGGTGTGTTTTGATGATTTTTGAGGATTAAATTTGATGATTTTGATTGATTGTTGACTACAACAGATGATTTTGAAGGTTCCTTGATGATAATTTGGTGATTTGCTTTACCTTTGAGTTGAATTTTGAAACTTTCTGGAAAAATTCACGAGAAAAATTGATATTTTTAAAAATCGAAGGTTATTATGAAGATCATTGTTTAAGCTATTATTGGCTTATAATGAGCCAGAACCCCTGGTTAATGACTCTTTGGGTTTAGGAACTGCCAATGAACTCAATTTATCTTTTAATTAACTATACATTCAAAATGTCAGCTCATATGTCTCAAATATGTCTAATTTATAGCTTTTGCATAGTTTAACACCCCTGAAAAACAAAATGGCGTCAGTTTCATGTTTAAGTACATCAAAATTTAACTGGATGCATTCAAGTGATATGACTACTGTCTCCTTGGACCCTAACACTATTACTAAGCTGATCGCTTAGGGGCCGTTCACTTATGACGTCCAACATTTAGAAGGGGGGGGGGGGGTCTAGGATTTTTTGACAGCTCAAACAATGGAAATTTTTTTCTATAAAATTTTTGTGACAGAGGGGGGGGGGGGGTCAAAAAATCAGGTTTTTTGATGGACGTCATAAGTGAACGACCCCTTTATACAAAATTCTCAAAACCTCACCAAACTCCAATTACTCAACTTATGCAATCCCATAACTCACTTGCTTTATAATTTTTGACAATCATCAACTTCCTCAACAGAAACGAGACACTTTTGTCAACCTTACATTTTATTATTCCTCTACCATAAGCAGTTCTGTGCTGCGTCAAGACTAACAATGTTTGGCAATAAAGAATAGAATTGGGTAACAAAGAACGTTTATTTTACCGATGTCGAGTCTTTTTAATGTTGGTAAATTTGAATAGAATAGAAGAATCGCAAGGTCAACTGGGTAATAAATATTGTGTCTGATCAGATTCATCAACTGGTTTTCAGTTTCGTTATTTTTTGGAATTTTATTGATTTTGTTGGATTTTCTAACAGTCGCGGTAATGATCCTGTTCGTACCTATGCTGATTCAGTTGGTAAGTAAAGTAAATCCGAATGACACAAGCTGATTAATTGATTTAAAACCCAGAACTAAGCTAGCGAGACTCTAGCATGGTGGTGGACTTAAATTGAATACAGTGCCATGCTAGAGTCGAATTTCGGATTAGAGAACCGACTTTAGCTAGTCTGGAGATTTCATGGCCACAAAAAAGAAGGTTTGACAAAAATTTTTAGCTAAAATGCATGAAATGACAAAGTTCAATGACATTTAAATTAAGATAAGATATAAAAAAAAAAACAGTTTTACGATCAGTAAATGGATATAAATTCTCGAATGTTATGCACAGACATAATTGACTAATTTTATGACACAACGATTTAGTCAGCTGTTGAATAATATATGAAAATCACTCTGATTTAATATTGAATTAATTATTTAAGGGACCTTATTAAGTCCTTTTACCAAACAAGAGCATTGGATTTATTTTAAGCTTGCTGAGGTTGATTTAAACTTTGTGCAGTTAACAAGACATTATTTCAGAGAAATCAGGAGCTTAGAAATGATTTGCAGCTTTCAAAGGAACAGTTAAATGAATGAGAATGAGTAAGAGTTGAGATTGGGCTGGTGGATGGTTTTAGGGGAACATTAACTAGAAGAAAGCTAATGAGTATAGAATATGCCTCCTTTGCTAGGTATACAAGGATATACTAGCATCTGGATTACTTCTTTACGGCATCTTGCGCACACGAATTGTGACTAGTTATATTGCAGGGTACATCAGGTCTTATGACGTACTCGTGTGTGTGCAATGTGCAGAGCTTGCAAGTGGTTCGGATCCCACTATAAACGGTAGGTCTAAAGGGTATGGTACAATAGATTTTTTACAAATTTAATCGCAGTGCCTCCAGCTGAAAGGCTGGGCCCTCCACACATTATTATTATATTATATAGACTCGATGTCAAGTAAGAACCGCCTCAAATGCACCCCTTCAAGTCATCATTATCTTGATGAGATGTTGGCTTTCATTTTAAATTCGTTGAAGTAAGTTAAGGTTCGGAATAGGTCCAACCAGAGCTCGAAGTCAACTCGAGATTTTCTATGAATTTTGTATGGCGGAGTCTATTCCGAGTCGACTCGATTCCATACAAAATGTAATCGACATTGAGCTTTAAGTCTAACTATGGAGTTGATCTAGGTTAGAAGTAGGTTTAGTTTTAGATTAACTTAGGTAAAGAAGCAGATCTAGGTCAAAAAACCGACTTGAGTACCGTTTGCATTCCCAGTCCTAATCAATGTCACAACATTTAAAAGATTATTCACCCAAAAGCTTCAAGGCAATCCAAATAATCAAATCAAGTCAATAAAAAAGCCGCCCGAACTGATAAGTCAAGAATCTTTTTTTTTGCACATTGAACTTAACTCAAACACGGATCAACGCCGCACATTATTTATTCTGTTGTCAGGCAATTCCTGTTCTTGCTCAAATAAAATTATGTTGTGGCACATCCATAACAAAAAATCACGTGACTTTGGCATGCCTGACGAAAACGATTTCCTTATCATTACAAAAATTCTCAATTTTGTTTTTAATTTTTTTATTGACATTTAAAAAATTATTATTTTGTGACTTTATCGCACCTAACACAAATGAGAGACAAATTGCTTGTAAACACCTGAAAATATTGAGAATGAATTTTTGTTATGCCTCAGACGAAGTATGTGTTTGTTTACGGCTTTTTGTGTGCCGCATGCGGTCTATTTTAATTGTTTATTGATAAATTGTTTGGAATTTGTGTGAACTTGGTGATGAATTTTGAGAAATTTCTATTTTGAAGAAATTTTGCTTTTTTTCCTTTTTTAGCTTATTTTTTAATAGTTTAAAATTTTTGAAAAATTTGATATTTTATTTTTTTTTGGAGTTTTCATTATTCTTAAAAATTTGATTTTTTTTAAATTTTCAAACTTTTTTAAACTTTCAAATTTTTTAAAATTTTCAAACTTTTTAAAATTTTAATTTGTTTTACATTTTAAAATTTGTTGACCCTTTCAATTTTTTAAAAAAATTTAAATTTTTTTTAAAATTTACTTCTTTACTTCTTTACTGTAATAATACTTGAAATTAATGAGGAAGTCACGAGAATGATTTTTAGAAACTAAATGTTATATTTTATTATTGAGGAATTTCATTCGAAATTTATATCATTATAAAGAATATTTTGTGTTGAATTATTTTTATAGACCTTGAAAGTTCAAGTCCCAGAGTGAGCAAAAATAAATATTACAAGTGCAGTCATGGTTAGCACATAAAATTAGCAGTGTTATAACTTTTGCAACTATCGAATTGTGGATTTTTATTGATGAAATGCATTTGTGCATTCAATTGTTGGACATGATTTTTGTTAAGATATTAAAAAGTTGCAAAATTTTGAACAAAAAAAACATTTAAAATTTTAAAATATAGAATTTTAAAACTTTTGAAAGTAAAATAAAATAAAAATAAATTTAAAAAAAGACATTTTAAACATTTTTTTAAAGTTATTCTGTAAACTTTAAAAAATTGATTATTTTGAATTTTAAATTTGAACTGAACTTAAAAAATATTTGAAAATTTAAAAAATAATAAAATTGTTCAAATAAACATTTTTTTAAAGATTTTTGAAAAATAAATTTTCACAATTCAAAGAATTTCAATTTAATTTTTTCACATTTTTTTCTCACCTCTTTTGAATAATTTCACAAACTTTTGTAATTCAACTTCAATTCCTTCTCACAATCTGAACTATTCAAATGTTTTATCTTCAATCTACTGAGCTGCTTTTAATTTAAATTCATGTTTTATAGCACTTTATAACATAAACTCATCACTTTTTATAACTTTTGTTATAAAACAAACCACAGAAATCATCAATTCCGTCACATGTGACTCAATTGTCTACAAATTTGTCCATAAAACCTAATAAAATCACATAAAATGTCTTATTTTTCCAGAATTAAATGCTTATTCACACATAACAAATTTGCGACTGAATTCGATCAGTCTTGATTAACTGAATGACATCAAAGAGAGTCGCAACAGCTGACTTTTGTTGTCGATTCTCTCAGCAGCTATTGCATGAACATTTTGAGAGCTTTTCGCGATATCGAGAGAATAAATTGAGGTTGATTCGCATGTGAGCATGCTTCACATGATTGCTTGCCTCTCAAATCTGTGCAAGAGAGTCAATTAAATGATCTATGATGCAATTTGAGGTCGCATGAATGAATCAAGTGAATTGCATTCAATTTAAATTATTTAAAAATCTTGAATCTAGTTTTTTTCTGTTTATAATGTGAAACAATGTAATGAGAACTGATTTCGAGGTCTAGATGAAGTCCTCTCAGATTCAGCGACAATCTTAATTATTGTTCCAAAATGAGGACCTCCGGCTCAGATTCAGTTAAATTCAGGATTCCCGAACCTAAATGAGGACCTCCGGCTCAGATTCAGTTCATTTCAGGATTCTCGAGCCTAAATGAGGTCCTCCAGCTCAGATTTAGTAAAATTCAGGATTCCTGAGCCTAGATGAGGCCCTCCGGCTCAGATTCAGTTAAATTCAGGATTCCAGAGCCTAAATGAGGACCTCCGGCTCAGATTCAGTTCATTTCAGGATTCTCGAGCCTAAATGAGGTCCTCCAGCTCAGATTTAGTAAAATTCAGGATTCCCGAGCCTAAATGAGGTCCTCCGGCTCAGATTCAGTTAAATTCAGGATTCTCGAGCCTAGCTGAGGTCCTCCGGCTCAGATACAGTTAAATGCAGGATTCCCGAGCCTAAATGAGGTCCTCCAGCTCAGATTCAGTAAAATTCAGGAATCCCGAAATTTCATCCGCAGTGCCATTTTCTAGCTCCCGCAAAGTGGATTCTTGCTCTAAACAAAATTATTCAACACTCCAAAAATCAAATTTCAACTAAAATGTCTTCAAACCAGTCACAATCAGTCATAACATCCATCAAACCCCTTATCATAGCCACTCAGCTAACAGCCTTTACTTTATTCTCAATCAACACAAAAACTTGGAAATCCGAAGTCAAAAAATTCAACATTTTTGTCGGCTGCATGTCAACCTCATTCAGCTTGAGCCTTCACTACCTCTTCTGGACATCAGACTTAAGATTTGCAACTCAAGGAACTGAAGTAACAAAAAATATCATGCCAATGCTGGTTTATTTTAATCTTGTGATTTACACGATTGTTAAGCTTTGGAATTTTTTCAATACGCAAAAAATTGTGAACTTTTTGAGGCAAATTAATCAGATTGATGAGACATTTAAGGACCTTGGCATCTATTTTGACTACAAAAGGGACAGCAAAGTGATTGTTAAAATTTTAATTGGCATTTTTGCATTGATTATTGTGTCGACTGTAATCAGTGCGTGCCTACATATTGGATATTTGAATTCTGAGGGAATTTCGCTGTCACTTTTGAATTTTTATACATTTTCCTGTGGATCGATGCTGATTGTTCAGTTTGTTTCAGCTATGATTGGAATAAGAAGAAGATATGAGACTGTCAACAACTTCTTGATCCTCAAACCTAACCTCAAAATTCCAGAAATTAAAATATTATCAAAAATTCATTTAATGACAACGGAATCGATCGAAATGTTCAATATTGTCTATGGACCAGCTGTGATACTGTTCATATCGTTAGGTTTTGGGTGGTTCTGCATGTTCATATTCACTTTGGTTATGTTCCCGCCAATTATGTGGACAGACTTGCTGTTTGTTTCACTTTATAATGTTCTGGTTAATGTCATGTCATTCACAACTGTAGCAATTCTGTTTTATTATGGTGAGTGGACTAAGAAGGAAGCTAGAAGGACTGTTAAGCTGCTTTACAAGATAATTGATGATGTAAATTGTGAGAAAATTGAAAGAAAAATGCAGAAAATGATTTCACAAATTTGTGACATGAAAGTTGAGTTTTCATGTGGATTGGTTGACTTTAACTGGAAGTTCTTCTTTAAGGTAAGCTTGTTCACATCAGAGTGTAGACAGGAGCTGGTTTGTACCAAAGGTCATCTCAAAAAGTAGATTAAGGCCCCTTGGAACCTTTCCTAGATACGCCAATGATTCTACAGATTTGGTTCCATTTATTTTATGTTTTTGCCTGTTTCTTTTAGTTCGTGACAGCAGCCATCATGTACTTTGTGATTTTGGTGCAGTTTGAATCGTCTTTTGGCAAGAATAATAGTTTTAATGTAACAGGATCCAGCTACTCAACTTAAGGCATGTGTTTGACATCATTCAAGACAGCCATCAAGATATATGCCAAAGGATATGTATGTGCTGAATGTTTACTTAATGAATGTATTTACATTGCGTACGAAAAAATAAATAAATATTGAATGTCTTTTTATGTTTTCTGTCCAGTTTCGAGCATCTTTTGCCAAATTCACATTTTTTTGCAATCCGTCGAGTGTCATCAAGTGCTGAAGTCATAAAACTTGAGAATCTGAGATAAAATAATCCCAAAAAGTACCTTAAAAGTCAATCAACATGTCATCCCGTCCACAATCAGTCATTACATCTATCAAACCCCTCATCATAGCCACACAACTCACAGCCTTCACTTTATTCTCAATCAACACAAAAACCTGGAAAGCTGAAGTAAAGAAAGTCAACATTTTAATCGGATTTATCTCAATTTGCTTAAGTCTATTAATTCATTACATTTTTTGGCTGACAAATCTGCGATTTCATTCTCATGGAACCGAAATGACCAAGAATATTATGCCTTTGCTGGTTTACTGCAACATTGTGACTTACACGATTATTAAAATTTGGAATTTTTTTAATAGACAGAAAATTGTGGACTTTTTGAGGCAAATTTATGAGATTGATAGTAAGTTTAAGGTAAGGTTGAAGGGATTAAATGTCTTCATCAGTTTGGAACTGACAAAAATATGATTTTTCAGTTCTGCACCTTTGGTCGAAATTTAATTGAAATTGTTCATTTCTTCCAGGACTTAGGCATCAACTTCAACTACAAAAACGACCGCAAATTAATCACCAAAATCATACTTGGCATGTTTGCATTAATAATCATTGGATTAGCCATCAGCCTTAGCATAAGCATTGCATTTTTTAGATTCAGTGGAATTTCCGTGACATTTTTGAATTTATATTTGTTCGCATGCAAGTCAATGCTGATTTTTCAACTAATTTCAGCGATGATTGGAATAAGAAGAAGATTTGAGGCTGTAAACATCTTTTTGGTCCTGGTTCCTAACCTTAAAATTCAAGAAATCGAAATTTTATCAGAACTTCACTTAATGACAACGGAATCGATTGAAATGTTCAACATTGTCTACGGACCAGCTGTCTTATTGTTCATATCATTAGGTTTTGGATGGTTCTGCATGTTTATATTTGTTGCTGTAATGTTTCCGCCAATTATGTGGACGAAATTCATTTTTGTATCACTTTACAATATCATTGTTAACATAATCTCGTTCATAACTGTTGCGATTGTGTTTTATTATGGTGAGTCGACTAAGAAGGAAGCTAGAAGGACTGTTAAGCTGCTGTACAAGATGATTGAGGATGCAAATTGTGAGAAAGTTGAGAGGAAAATGCAGAAAATGATTTCACAAATTTGTGATACAAAAATTGAGTTTTCGTGCGGATTGGTTGACTTTAATTGGAAGTTTTTCTTTAAGGTGAGTTTGGGTTGGATTTTTATTGTTTTTAAATGGATTGGAACATCCAAATGAAATTTAAGAAGCTTCTTTGAAAGGTTTTAACCCTTTCTCCGGTCGAAAGTATCTTTGTCAGAGCTAGGGCCTGGTTTCTAGGTCAACTCAGGGCATGCTCAAGGCATGCCAAAAATTAAGTTCGATGGACTACAATATGAGGATAAAAATTAAATTAAACTTGGACTAGGGTCGTGTGCTCTAGGTAGCTCTAGGAACCAGCCCAGGAATTTTACTCGTTCCTTATTATAATAGCATAAATACATGGTTTGAAAACTTTTAACCACTCGATGGGCCAATAAATCGATAGTAATGGAGCTAATAAAACAAACCCGAGCTCTCTACGATGTCTGGTTAAAAAGTTTTTCTTCACCCGAGCAGCCGAACAGCCGAACAAAGTGTAATACTAAGCTACCTTTTAAAAACAATTTTCAAAAATGCGCTAAAAAGATGGCCAGCCTACCTAAAAACCGACTTTTGCCGTCAACTGAACTTATTAAGCTTAAAACTTCATTTTTATTTCTAGTTTGTGACTGCAGCGATCATGTATTTCATCATTTTAGTTCAATTTGAGTCGTCATTTGATAAGAATCACTAAGACAATGAGGAGGTGCTTCATAAATGTCATCTTTGACTTCCTTGGTCTTGCTTGACCCCATCATAGACGAAATGACAGTGGGTTGTAGCTCTTTGCATCACTAGAGCCTTGCAAAGGTCATTTTAGATACGTTCAGCAGCATTACATTACTTTACAGGAGACCTAACCTATTAAGAAGGACATCTAACCTCAATTTAAAAATTTTCTATTTGTCAAAATTCTAATTTCATATCCAAATTCAATAAAAACTACAAAAATCTAACACAAAACCTTAAAAAAATTATAATTTTCAATCAACTTTCCTTAACGTATTTTAAAAATTCAAACTCAAAATTTTCGAAAAATTCAAATTCAAGTCCGAAAATTCATCAACAAAAAATCGTTTCGGCAAAATAAAAAGTAAACAATAACAAATCAACAGCATAAAATGTCAAGTGCAGTCAATTTTATTTATTTTCTCATTTTAAACACATTAATAGTCATAAATGCTGAGGATTATGAGATAGACGAGAACGGATATGTGGCTTATTGTCCTTGTATGGGTGAGTTATTGTGGATTACATTGGAAAATTGGATTTTTGGGGGAGGTTTTGAGATGAAAAAGTTGAGAAATTTGGAGGGTTTTGTGAAAGTCTTGGAAGAAAATTGGAGCCGGAGGGTCAAACTTTGGTCCAAAATCTTAAGTTTGCAGTTTTTGACTTAAAATTCTTTAAATATGAGCCATTAAGTTTAAAATTCATGAAAAATTCCAATTAAAATGCCTAAAACTATAGAAATATTGACAAAACTATCAAATTCAGCATAAAGTACTGTGGCAGAGGGGCGACCCCCACCCAAAAAATATCAAACCATATGAGACACTCCAGTCAAGTCTCTCTATAGCTACAATAACAATAAATATGCAAATGAATCACATGAAAACCTTAAACAATATCAAATATCCAACAGCGACCCCGCCTCAACCCCCCCCCTCCACCCCCCACAAAATGACAAAAAATAATAACAAAACATTCCATTTCATTTGCAGGTCGTTTTGGTAACCAAGCCGATCACTTTTTGGGAGCATTGTCCTTTAGTCATGCCTTAAATCGAACCCTCATCCTCCCGCCATGGGTCGAGTACAGAAAAGGTGAATCTAAATCCATCCAAATTCCATTCACAAAATATTTCCGAGTCGATTCGCTTGAAGAATTCACAAAAGTGATTCCAATGGAGGACTTTATGGAGCACTTGAGTGACAAAGTTTGGCCTGCTGGACGTAGAGTTTCGTTTTGTTACAGCGAACGGAAGAAGCTGGATGGAACGTCAAGTGGAAGTTGTAATGCAAAAGATGGAAATCCATTTTTCTCATTTTGGGATGGATTTGGCATTGATTTTGATAAGTCTGAATTTTTTGGTCCACTGCTGACTTATGATGTGATTCATAGAGGAATGGATGCAATTTGGAATGAGAAATATAGTTCAAAAAAGTGGCCAGTCTTGGCATTTACTGGAGCACCAGCAGCTTTTCCTGTTCAAGCTGAAAATGTCCATCTGCATAAATACTTAAAATGGTCAAACGAGATTGAAGAAAAAGTTAAAAAATTCATCATTAATTTGCTGCCAAAAGGCGCATTTATTGGAATTCATCTTCGGAATGGAATCGATTGGATTCGTGCATGTGATCATATTAAGGATGTTAAGCAACTTTTTGCATCAGCTCAATGTCTTGGCTACAGCAACGAAAAAGGCTCACTGTCTATGGACATCTGCCTGCCATCTCAGGAACAAGTCATCAGAAAAATTAAAAGAATTGTCAAAAAATTCAAAGAAACTCACAAAAATAATGAAATAAAGTCAATTTTTGTGGCATCTGACAACAATCACATGATTGAGTACCTTAACGAGCATCTCAGAAGGATGAAAATTAAAGCTTTTAGGCTGCCTGAAAACAATCCACATGTGGATCTTGCGATTTTAGGACGTGCAAACTTTTTCATTGGAAATTGTGTGTCGTCATTTTCAGCTTTTGTTAAGCGGGAGCGGGACTCGAGGGGATTTCTGTCAGAGTTTTTTGGATATCCTAATGAGAAAGCACAGAAGAATGGGGCAAAGCACGAGGAGTTGTAGATTTGAAGGAATTTGAGCTGGAGCTGGTAGATGATGGTGTGGAGTTGGGAGTTATTTGACTCATATGGAGCATAGGGCTACCTTAAAGTATAGTCAAGAGTTAGATAATAGTAGCCTTAGGCAGTAGTGGATAACCTTTTTTGTGCCACGGCACATTTTGATGGTGATTTAACAGTACACGGAATACGGTTCGTGAGATTTCCTGAAATTTTTTGCGGCATGCAAGTGTACCGCGGCACATGGGTTGGCCATTGCTGTCCTAAGGTTATCCCAGAGCATAGCTTAGGATTCTCTATTGTGTAGCCTAGAGGAACCTACAAATATGTCTTAGGTTTATCCTAGAACTAAGCTAGAGTAAAGCTTAGGTTTAGCCCAGAGTATGACCTTGGATTACTACAGAGTAGCCAAGTAGTGTGGCTTTAAGTTACTCCAGATTGTAAAATAGATTCAGCTTAAGCTCTGACACTAGATAATTCCTAGACTATATCTTGGAGTAATCCTATCAACAAGCTCCTAAAGCTTCCAAACCCAGGCATACAGACTGTCAATTTGACACCACATTCTCAACTCTACTCGAGGCGAGTTAAGCCAGATTCACACAAACGCATGACACCAGACTTCTTTAGATTCCAACTTAGTATTCTAGATTTTAAATTATAATTCCAAAAAACAAACTCAATTCTCTCAGAAAACACTCAATTTAACGGGTAAATAAAGTTATAAAAATTCTCATAAAAGGCAATTATTTAGTGATATAAAATGTATGAATGCACAGGAAGTATCAAGTTTCTGAAAATAAATAAGTTAAGTTACACTTTGTCAATTAGAATGGAAATTTTTATGGCAATTATTTCAGTCTTCAGCACAATTTAGGTACAAATGGATCAAAAACTGTTTAAATCAGCCAATATCGATCCTAAATCGTCAGTTTTAACAGCAATCCGTCCACTAATTGTGGTCCTACAAGTCACAGGATTCGCCACTTACTCGATTAATCCAAAAACTTTCCAAGTTGAAGTCAACTTTTTTAACATTTTGTCAGGAATTTACACAATTTTATTCAACTTGCTGCTTCATTACATCTTTTGGCTCTCGTACTTTGACTTTGATGTCCAAGGAACTGAAATAGCCAAAACTGCAATTCCAAAGCTAGTCTATGCCAGCATCTTTGTCTACTCATTTGTGAAAGTTTTAAACTTTTTAAGTCGACGAAAAATCGCAAAATTTTTACAAAAAATCCACAAAATTGATGAATTGTTTGCGGACCTGGACATCCACTTTGATTACAGACCTCAAAAAATTAAAATTTGCCAAACTTTATTCTTAGTTTGTGCCTTAACAATATTCATGTCAATCCTTGGATTCTGTGTCCAAACGAGCTTATCAACAGACATCGACATGTCACTGTCATTGTTCCATTTTTATGGAAATGCTTGTGGATTTCTAATGACTTACCAAGTTGTCATCGCTATAATCGGAATTAAGTCAAAAATCGAAGCTGTAAACACCTTTCTAACCTCAAAAGTCTACTCAAACCTTCAAGAACTTAAAGTTTTGACAGAAATTCACTTCCAGGCAACGGAACTAATTGAAATGTTCAACTCAATCTATGGACCAGCAATCATGTTGTGCATGATGTTGGTCTTTTCATGGCACTGCATTATCTCATTCATGACAATCATGATGTCCTCGGTTATGTGGACTAAATACACTTTAGTAAGTCTGTTTCACATTTTGATGCATTTTGTGATGATGTTGACTGCTGTGATTGTGATTTATTATGGAGAACTGGCTAAGAATGAAAGCAGGAAGACTGTAAAGTTGCTGTATAAGAAGCTTAATCAGGCTGATTGTGAAAAGATGGAAGGAAAAATTCAAAATTGGATTAATCAAATTTGTGACACAAAGATTGAGTTTTCTTGTGGATTGGTTGACTTTAATTGGAAGTTCTTGTTCCAGGTAGGTTAAGTTGAGAGTTTTGAGTCAATGTTGTATTCCAAATGTTTGGTTGTTGTGGGATAAACTCCAATAATCGGAATTATAGTCACGGCCGTTTAATAGGTCTTTCCTGGGCACCCTAGGTCACAATGTGATTCGATATTTTTTTTTGTATGGAAAAAATGGGGAGGGGGGGAAGTTTTTTTTGGGGGGGGGGGGGGGGGAGATTTGGGGGACAAATCCCCCTTCGTCTTGAGAAATTTCTTCATTTTGCTAGAGTTTTTATGAAAAACTCGAAAAATCCCCCCTCCCAAATCCCCCCTCCCCCTTAATTTTTTGAGTAATTCTTTTGGATTAATTTTTTTGTATGAAAAATTTGGGGGGGGGGGGGATTTTGGGAGGGGGGGGGGGGGGGGGGGGTTCGAGTTATTCATAAAAACTCTAGCAAAATGAAGAAATTTCTCAAGACGAAGGGGGATTTGTCCCCCAAATCCACCCCCCCCCCCCCCCCTTTCCAAATTTTTCATACAAAAAAATTAATCCTCCCCCCCCTCCCTCTTCAAATTCCTAACTACGCCCCTGTATAGAACTGATCAACATTGGTCAAGAATCAGTTCCTTATCATTGTTTTCAAAGCAACTGATTGTCTGGCTGTAAAATATTCTAATAAGAAGCTATTCGCAGCTATCAATGCTATCTAAAATCAGTGATGGCCAACCCATGTGATGCGGCACGTAAAACTTCGGAAAATTTCACGAGCTGTATGCCATTTGTGCTATCAGTCATGATTTCCCATCAAGGTGTGCCTTGGCACAGAAAAGGTTGACCACCACTGATCTCAATATTATTTGTTTCTAGTTCCTAACAGCAGCAGTAATGTACTTCGTCATCCTCGTCCAGTTTGAATCTTCTTATGGCAACGAAAAGTGTCAGTCAATATAAAAGTTAATTTATTAAATGTCGAGTTCGATATCAAATTGCTTTATTTGATGAATAAATATTGGAGCATCCTTTCGTACTCAAATTGGTGTTTTTTTTCACAAGTTGATGCTCATTTGCTGCTTAATTCTGGCAAAGTAAACCTGAATTGTAATTAATAAACCGTCAAGTTCATCAACACCTCAACATGGACCCCGAAAATACAAAATTCAATCCAAATCTACAATATTCAATTCTATCAGCCATCCAGCCTCTAATCTACATCCTTCAAGTCACAGGATTCGCAATATTCACAGTCAATCCAACAACTTGGAAAGCTGACATTAAAATTTTCAACATTTTCTCAGGAATTGTCACAATTATCACAAATGTCTGCCTGCATTACCTTTTTTGGATATCCTTCTTCGACTTTGACATTCAAGGAACTGAAATTGTCCGTACAGCACTTCCGAAACTCGTCTACAGCTGCGTCTTTATTTATTTTTTGGGAAAAATTTTCAGTTTTTTTAATCGACAAAAAATTGTGAAATTTTTACAAAAATTCTGCGAAGTTGATGAGAAATTTAAGGAACTGAACATCCATTTTGATTACAAAAGTGACAGGGCGAGGATTACACATACTTTGATTCTGGTTTGTGGATCAATTCCGACAATATCCATCATTGCCTTTTGCATTCATTTGAGGCATCCCGTCAACATCGACTTGTCAATGTCAATTTTTATATTTTTCGGCAACACAAGTCAATTCCTCATAACTTATCAAATAATCATCGCAATGGTTGGAATCAGACGTCGGCATGCAGCAGTCAACAACTTCCTAACCTCAAAATTTGACCAAAAAATTTCAGAATTTCAAATTTTGTCAGAAATTCAATTTTTAATTGTTGAAATTTTAGAAATTTTCAACTCAATTTACGGACCAGTCAACATGATGTGTGTAGCTTTAGTTTTTGGATGGCACTGCTTTTCGACTTTCCTGATTGTCATGATGTCGTCAGTCATGTGGATGAACTTTACTTGGGTGTGCATTATTCATGTTTTAATGCATTTTGTGATGTTTTCGTCGACAGTTGTGGTTATTTATTATTGTGAGTCTGCAAAGGATGAAGGTAGGAAGACTGTGAAGGTTCTGTATAAGAATTTAAGTATGGCTGACTGTGGATTGATTAGGGAGAGGATTCGTAGCTTGATTTCGCAGATTTTGGATACAAAAGTTGAATTTTCTTGTGGATTCGTGGATTTTAATTGGAAGTTTCTGTTTCAGGTGAGGATTTTTGTGATGAGGGGGGGGGGTCTAGTATGGAAAATGATTTTCTAAATATGACTTTATTTGTTTCAGTTTTTGACAGCAGCTATCATGTACTTTGTGATTTTGATACAGTTTGAAGCATCTTTTGACAAAGCTAAGAACTAAAACAATGATGTTGGTGATCTGCCGTACTCCCCCTCCACCTCCCCCCCCCCCCCCCCCCCTCCTCAACTCTTTGTTTGAGTGGCAAGGATTAGAGAGTCATGTAACCTCCAAACTTACCTGTTTGATATCGTCATTGCCTTTTCTCATCTATAGTTTCATCTGGGTCGTGCCCCCCCCCCCTTCCCCCTCTTCCTTTAACTATGCCCTTGAGCATAGTCTTATGTCCCTAGTCACTTTCATCAGGGGCGTAGCCAGGAATTTGAAGAGGGGGGGACACATTCTTTTTTGTATGGAAACTTTTAGGGGGGCGGGGGGGGGGGGAGATTTTTTATCTGATTTTTCATAAAACTCCTAGCAAAATGAAGAAATTTCTGTTAACGTCTGGGGATTTATCCCCCAAATCCCCCCCCCCCCCCCCCTTTCCCCTGGTTACAAGCATGCCTTTCATTATTAATCACTGTGAATCCCATTAAAATAAAATTTCCATCAATTTACTCTCAAAATTAAACATTTCTCTTTAATCAGCATCTCAAATGAGCACAAATCTGTAAAAAATAATGAGAATTTTAAGTAAAATCGTCATTTCTTGTTTAGTTTTTGCAGTTGAAGGGTCAAAAAAATTAAAATTCTATAAAAAGCTATCAAAAATTGTTCAAATTTATTCAGAATAATTCAAAAAATGATGAAAATTGTTTTGTAAGTTTGAATAAAATTATAAAAATGTAATAAAATCCTTAAAAATTCATAAAATTGAGATAAATCACAAAAACTTATTTTTTTTTTCATAATCCTAGCTCTCTCGTATGCTTCATGCTCTCACTGAGCATCTCAACGTCATCAACCAACCTCGCATGCAAATATGAGACTACTAACTACTATAAATTCGGTAGCTTATACCATTGCAACATAGTTACAGCTTTATACATAACAACTCAAGAATCAGCACAAATTGGAGCAATCAGTGGAGTTCATACAGCCTTAAAAACCAACGATGACGTGGCTGGAATTTATTCTTATGGAAAAACTATTGAATTATTTCCGCGTGGGTTCGAGAAAGTCTTTAAAAATATTAAAGCTATAACTTTGGGTTCCAGTAAAATTAAGGAAATTTATCAAGAAGATTTGAAGCCATTTCCTAAGCTTGTTTACCTTTACATCCCATCAAGTGATATTGAAGTCCTTGAGGAAGGTTTATTCGATTTTAACCTAGAACTTCAAATCCTTGGCATCGAGGGAACCAAAGTCAACCACATTGATCCAAATATCTTCGATAAATTAACAAAATTGGATCATTTTTGGTTCCAACATGTCTCTTGTGCTGCTACTGACTACATTTATGGCTCTAGAACCAGAGTTGAAGAAGCTATCAAGAATGTCAAGACAAGGTGCATTAGTAATGAGTATTTGGAACATGATGCTAATATTAAGGGCCTGGAAAGTGAAATTACTATTTTAAGTTCCGAAGAATTTAAGATAAAATTGGAAAATTTTGAAAAAAGCTTCAAGAATTCAAAGTTTTCCAAGTTTCGGCCATTAAAGAGTAGATTTGAGGCTCTAAAGTCTTCAAAAATTGACAATTCAGAATCATCAGTCAGTTCCGACCCCAAACCAAACTCTGATCTTGAAAAATGTTCATCCAAACCTAATTCCTTGAGTTTTATGATCAGCGAGCTTAAGGACCTCACCCTTGACCTGAAATCATCCCAATGTGGACTCAAGGATCACTTAAAAGGTCAAATTAAGGAATCCACAACTTCATCATTAAATGACATAACCTTAAAAGTCAACGACATTAAATCCACAAGTTCACAGCTTCTTGAATCACAAATTTCTGCTTTTACTTACCTCAAATTGAGTCAGACTGACTTAAAAGAAGCTATCAGCATCTTGCCATCAAACATTATCGACTCCTTGATCAAAAATCTCAAATCATCTCATGATGACGCCAGAATTTTGCAATATGAGATCAAAGGATCAGTCAGTGACATGGAATCAAGCCTCAGTGGACTCAAGACATTCCAAAATGATGTCAAAGTTGCGCTGATTAAGCTCAAGACGACTCAAAATGAGATAAAAATTTCGATTGATGAGCTTAAAGTTGGAAACAGTGAAAATTCTGATGGAAGTTCAACAGTTTGTGGTGGAAAATCTGGAAATTTGGAGAGACTTGAAAGTCAATTTGGAGACATCAAAGCTGAAAATGCTGAAAATTTTAAAAATATTCAAAAGGAATTGACCAACAAGCTTCATAAAATGTCAATCAATTTTGATGAGAAAGTTAAAGGAATTGAAAGCAGAATTATGAAGAAGATTGAGGAAGTCTTGGATGAAAAATTGGGGAAACTATTAAATGCTAAGTTGTGAGTTATGCCTTAGCCGAGGCGCGTAGCCAGGGGGGGGGGGGGGAAATCCCCCAACGTAAACAGAAATTTCTTTATTTTGCTAGGGTTTTTATGAAAAAATCACAAAATTCCCCTCATTAATTTTTTCGTACAAAAAAAAATTGCCCCCCCCCCCTCTTCAAATTCCTGGCTACGCCCCTGTCTAATCCGGATAAAGCTAGAATTAATCCATTACGCATTGCTTAATGTAATGAATTCAAAAGTCTAAAAAAAAAATATATTTTTTAAGCATTATTGTCTTTATTGACTTTAGGGGGAGGGGGGGGGGGGGGGGGAGTTAACTGATTTAGTAAAAAGGTTCAAATGCTGATGGAGGATGGCTATATGGCTATCTGTAAATAACGTCCAACATTCAAGAGGGAGGGAGGGGGGGGGGGGCTACTTAGGGGCCGTTCACTTATGACGTCCGACATTTAAGGGGGGAGGGGGTCTAGGATTATGTGACAGTTCAAACAATGGAATTTTTTTCTATAGAATTTTTGTGACAGAGTGGGGGAGGGGGTCTAAAAATCAGGTTTTTTGATGGACGTCATAAGAGATCAACTCCTTAGGAATCAAACGTATAAGAAGTAAGCCACGCCCTCTCCCTCTATTAAATTATGGTGAAATTCAACATTGCGGATATTTTATTCTGTCATGCTTGATGGGGTGCAAAAAGACCGTTCATAAATGATGTCCAACCTTCTTGAGAAGGGGGGGGGGGGGGTTCTAGCATTTAATGAATTTGACTTGCATTCAAAGTGCAAGAGGGGTTTTAAAAACTCATTTTCGAAGGACGTCATTTAAGAACAGCCCCTAAGCTAATAAATTCTTTATTCATTCAAATTTCAATTTTAAGTACATTTGCTTTTTATCATTTCCACAAAGTTTCACATAAATCCTGACTTCTTTCTCAACTTTTTAATCTCCTGAACCCCTTCGACCCCCTTTTGAGCCACAATTTTACTCTCTAAATTTTCAACAATTGCTCTCAACCACTTCTCCTGCTTGCCCATCAAAAAATTGTCATCTTCATCATATTCAACTGAATATTGCAAAATGTGTTGCTGGAACTTCTTCCTCTGTCTGGATCGACGGCTTGCAATGTTGTTCTTTGTCCGTCCTTCAGCAATTGATGGATTTCCATAATTTGTGCGGATTCTTGACTTGTTTGGGTTGTAGTCGTAATTAATTGGAATTTCCTCATGAATATTGTTAATCACTTCCACTTTCATGATGTGATTGTCACGTAACATCCTGTCGTACTCAAGCATCGCTATGTCTGGCATGTTATGGTAAATTGTTGATCCACACCATTCCGTGATCTTTTCTGAAAACAGCAATTTCCTCAACTTTTCTGGATCATTTTCCAAATAATCTTCATTTGCATCCTCAATGTCATGAATTGTTGTCGTGTCCGGTGTCAAGTCGATTCTTTCAGGTTCCGGTGTTTTGCTTGGCGCGTAATTAAAAATGATTTTTGGTTCTGGGATTTGACTTTCGTTGATTTTCACATTTCCTGGTGTTGAAGTTGTCATCAAGTTGGATTTAAAGGAGTCAGCAATTGGTGATGCTAGTCGTGGTTCTGGTGGTGGTGTTAAGGCTGCATAATGTAGCTGGTTCCTCATTTGATGCTCGAAAATCATTTGCTGTAGGCTGACTGGATCAACTGACTGATGATTAAGCTCAAACATGAAGCGGAGCAGGTCCATCTCCCCGAATGATGACTGCTGGAATTGATTCATCTTGCTGGAAAATGGTTTGTGGAAGGTTCAGTAAAATTTGGAAAAAAAATGCTTAATAAATTCCTAACCTCAAATTTGAAGGTCCTGTTGAAGTATTCACAACTTTTGGTGGGATAACCCTCTTTGGTCCTGGAATGTCCAATCTGGATTAATCTTAAGTTCTTTTGTTTGGGATGTTTTATACAAGAAAGTTTTGGATTGTAAAAGGATTCAGGTAATAAGCTTTAAAATTTTCAAATTTTAGAGGAAAATTGTAAATAAAAAGTTTCAATGAATTTGGGAAACTTTGCGGTTATTGAACAAATAACACAAGAAGGGCAATTCATAAATGACGTCAATCTTGGAGTTATGAGTTCAGCAAGGATGTAAAACTGAAGAATTACATTTCTATCAATTTTGATCATTTTTTCAGTACCACACCCTTGAAGTTCAGTGCAGTGATGTCCAACCCATGTGCTGTGGCACACTAGTGCTGCAAAAAATTCCACGAACCGTATGTCGTTTCCGGTTTCGGTCATAGCCAGAGCTCGAAGTCGATAGGGTTCGAGTCAACTCGGGTTTTTTGAGTCGACTCAACTTTTCTCGAGTCAACTTCATTTTCTCGGAGTCAACTCTGAGTAGACTCGACTTGAGTCGACTCGAAGTCGACTTCTTCATACAAAAAAAATTACCGAGTTGACTCGAAGTCGACTCAAGTCGAGAAAATGAAGTTGACTCGAGAAAAGTTAAGTCGACTCAAAAAAACACGAGTTGACTCGAGTCGACTCCAGTCGACTTCGAGCTCTGGTCATAGCTAACCATCAAGGTGTGCCATGGTACAAAAAAGGTTGACCACCACTGGTCTAGTGCAACTTGCCCAAATCTCAAATGTTATTTATACCCAAATTGATCCACAAACAAAAAAAATCCCACAATTCAAAGTGACGTCATTTATGAACACCCCTCAATTTTTTTTTAATTTAAATATAATTTTATTCCTTTTCATCTTCCTTTCCATTTTCATTATTATTAGCATTTAAAGTCTGCAGCTCAGTTGCATTTGCTAGTTCCACTTCAATTTGATCTTTATGATGTTCACAGAACTTTTGATCGCCAATGGCTAGATCAGATATTAATCCAATCATGAGAATTCCTAATCCAATCCATTTGACATTGAGCATGTGATCATCTGCAGACAGGATTGATCCGTCGATGATTCGCTCAATAATTGTCACAAAGACATCTTTAGTTGCATAAAGAATTACAGATGTAAGGACTCCGTACTCAACAATGATCAAGAATGTGATGAAGTTCATGACAAATCCAAAAAGTCCCATGACTCCAATATCAAAGTAGACATCGAGATTCTCAACAGAAAGGACGAAGAACTTGAATGATTCATCATAAATTATTACAGGAATGAGGAACAGCGGAGCTGCAAAAAGATTAATCCACATGATGTAACTCAATGTTGATGGACTTTTGGACATTCTGACTCGTTCTGTAAGTCCTTGAGTGGCTCCAAAGATGATGACAAAGAGGATCATGTAGACGACACCAAGAACATCCCCAGAACTAGGTTTCGAGTCATTCAGGTGCCAAAATAAGCCAAAGATTATTGACATTACTATGAAGTACTTTTGGACCTCGTAGATCTTCTTTGACAGGATTAAACTGCTGATCTGGAAAATTTGCAAAACAAAATTTACCGACTTCCAAAAATTCAAAATTTAACGACTTTCAAAAATTAAAATTTTAACGACTTTCAAAAATTAAAAATTTAACGACTTTTAAAAATTAAAATTTTAACGACTTTCAAAAATTCAAAGTTTAACGACTTTCAAAAATTCAAATTTTAACGACTTCCAAAAATTTAAAATTTAACGATTTCCAAAAATTTAAACTTTTACGACTTTCAAAAATTCAAATTTTAACGACTTTCAATAATTCAAATTTACGACTTTCAAAAATTTAAATTTTAACGACATTCCAAAATTCAAATTTTAACGACTTTTAAAAATTCAAATTTTAACGACTTTCAAAAATTCAAATTTTAACGACTTTCAAAATTTAACGATTTCCAAGAATTCAAATTTTAACGGCTTCCAAAAATTCAAATTTTGATCTATTTCCTCACCAAAGCAATCAATGGCAACGACGATGCAAAGGCTGTATAAATTGAGTAAGTCGTATGCTCTTTTCCCAACTGTGAGAATGTCGATGAGAGCGCAATGCCGGCTCCGATAAACCAAAATAAAAGTTTTGGCGCCTTGCTCTCAATTTTACTCTCAATATTTGGCATCTGGTCCATTATAATCATTATTGCTGTAAATAGAGGAGTTATTTTGTGTGTTTTAAAGGAGGTCATTCACATATGACGTCAAAATTTGTCACTCACCTTTTGCCACAGCTGCATATAGAATCAATAAAATCATTTGCATCACATTATCTTGACTAAATTTGTGTCCACGGCATTCATTCTTTACAATATCGCCGTAGCAATGTGCGTGGATTGTTTTGTTGTAATAAGTTGAAAAATATGTGAAAACTACATAAACTAAAGCTAGGAGGAGTAGACGTGGTCGTGAAGATGGCTTGAGACTGTCAGTTATGATGTTCTTCATTGTGATACTCATCTTACTGAAATTGTAAGTTAAATGGTAAAATTTGAATAAAATTTCAAAATTGAACAAATTAAAAAAATTATTAAAAGTTCAAAATTTAACAAAAAAAATCAAAAATTTGACAATTTTAGAGCGAATTCACTGGAAAACACTTACAAAAGGCGAATTCATTGGAAAATGGGCATTTTAGGGCGAATTCAGAACCAAGAAATTGGCATTTTTTCAATTCAAAAACTCCAAAAATTCAAAATTTCAAATAACTTCGAAATTTCAAATAATTTCAAAAATTCAAATAATTTCAAAAATTCAAATAATTTCAAAAATTCAAATATTTTCAAAAATTCAAATAATTTCAAAAATTCAAATAATTTCAAAAATTTAAATAATTTAAAAAATTCAAATAATTTAAAAAATTCAAATAACTTCAAAAATTCAAATAATTTAAAAAATTCAAATAACTTCAAAAATTCAAATAATTTCAAAAATTTAAATAATTTCAAAAATTTAAATAATTTAAAAAATTCAAATAATTTAAAAAATTAAAATAACTTCAAAAATTCAAATAATTTTAAAAATGTCAAAAACTCAAAAAATTCAAAAATTTAAAATTTTTTCAAAAACTCAAAAAATATTAAATGAAGTTTTAAAAGATTACATTTAAATATTGTTTAAAAAAAGTCAAAATAACAATAGATTCAAAAAAAAAAGTTAAATTTCTCACATCTACAAATATTTCCGTATTCATCAACAAACCTGACCTTGAACTTATTTTATTTTATTTTATTTTGGAAAAAAAATGATACGCGAAAAAAAATTGTGTGATTTTCTTTATTCTTTATTGAATCTACCGATTTAAATTTGCATAGCGGAATTTCAACTTTATTTATATTTGTTATTTTTTTATATAATATTCTTGTGTGAATTTTTAAAGTTTTTTGCGGATTATCAAAGTCAGTTTTATTTAAATAATTAATTATAACAATTCTTAAGATAACGTTTTATGAAACTGAGGCAGATTGAGGATCTTAAAGCAGTTGAGTGCCTGAATTATTGCTGTATATTGGATAACAGGGTCAATTTAGATCCAAATATTGACTGTTATTGAACCTTGCCCTTCTTATAAGTTTATTAATTATTTATCAAATCTGATTTAATTCAACACTTTGCACTACGGCCTTAATAAGCCAATAAAAATATTTAATTTATTTTTTAAAAATTATAATTCTTTAACTCACATAAACTATTGCGTGTGTGTGTGCTTGATGAGCTGCGGCTGGCCAACGACTAATCAGAAGAATAACAAAATCACCTGTTGATTAAGAAAAACGACTCTCTGGATTTTTTTTATTCGCTCTGCATTTTGAAATTCTCTCAAAAATGTATTGTTGATGCTGAATCATGAGCGGTGCCATTTGGCTACTCTACATTGAGGCGGGCGAAGGCTGTAAAAAATCAAAATTCACACAAAAAAATTTATTTTCAAATCTCAAACTTCTTCTTTATTTTGATTTAATTTCTCAATTTCCTCCAACTTTACATTCGTAAATTCAAAATCATTTGTTGTCGACACAACCTGAACATCCTCGCCTTTACGTCCGAAAATTTTCTTTTTTCCAAACAATATGTCAGCCAGCAGTGCTGAAAAGACAATTCCAGTTGCGATCCATTGACGTGGAATCAACGAATTTCCAAATAGAAAGACTGAAATTAAAACATTGAAGAATTTTCTTGTTGTTGTTGCTATTGAGCATGGAAGTGACCCAAAGCCGGCAATCATGAGGAAAATGAAGATTTGTCCAAGGGAGCCAATTAAGGATGCAAATAAAATTTTCAATAATACTTCTGGGAACTCAACGACAAAATCGTAAAATTTGAAGACTTCGGTTGTTGCAACAACTGCGACAACGAGAATGACTGATGACCAGAAATTTAAGGCAAACATGATGCTTAATGCTGATGGATTTGTTCGATTTCTGATCCTGTCTTCAATTCCACCGAGGACACCATCAGCCAGAAGACTCATTCCAACCAATGTTAAGCCGAGCCATGAATTTTCCTCACCAGGCTTTGCTTTTCCTTCTTTGTAGACGAATAGGATGACTCCGATGACGATCAGGATGACGAAAAAGTATTTTTGGATTGTGTAGCGCTTTTGTGCTAGGAACACGCCGAGAATCTGGAAGATTTAGGATTTTAAGGTTATATATTTAGTTAAAGGATGTTTTTTATGGTTCAGAACCCCCAAAAGCCTTCAGAACACCTGCAAATCTAGAAAAAAACTCCTCAAAAAGCCTTCATAACCCCTGAAAATTCAGATTAGCTCCTCAAAAACCTTCAGAACTCCTGCAAATCCAGATTATCTCCGGTAAGAGACTTCGGAACCCCTGAAAATCTAGATTAACTTCCCAAAAGCCTTCAGAACCCCTGCAAATTCAGATGAACTCCTCCAAGAGCGTTCTGAACCCCTGAAAATCCAGATTAACACCACAAGAGCCTTCAGAAAACCTAAAAATCTACATTATCTCAACAAGAGCCTTCAGAACACCTGAAATTACAGATTAGCTCTTTAAAAGCCTTCGGAAACCCTGCAAATCCAGAAAAGTTTCATCAAGAGCGTTCGGAACCCCTGCAGATTCAGATGAACTCGCTCAAAACCCCCCAGAACAACTGCAAATCTAGATTAACTCCTTCAGAACCCCTGCAAATGAATATCAATTCCCTTACCATCACAGGAATTGGTTTCGATGACTTAGCAATAACTTGTGTCGGATATGTGATCCATCTTAAGGCCATTGTACTGCACACCATAGCAGAAAGGTAGCAAAAGGCAACTGCTATGTACCAGCCAACAAAAGTTTTATCTTCTCTCAAGTTCTCGACAAATGGAACACGGTTGTTGGCGTACATGAGGACTAAAATTGAAAATTTTGAGGTTAGAATTTATTTTGAGGTTATAAAATAATTTTTTTTGAGGTTATAAAATATTTTTTTGAGGTTAAAAAATAATTTTTTTTGAGGTTATAAAATAATTTTTTGAGGAAATTTAATAATTTTTTGAGGTTAAAATACTCACTTTTCGAAAATATCGAATACCAAGCACAATAAATCAGCACCAAAGTCAATTCAAATTCAAACTTCTTTCCACTGCAAACGCCGTCCACAAATTCACCGCCATAACAGACTCGCATGATCTTTTCTTGCAGCATTCCATACATGGAGAAACAGACAATGATTCCGATGGCAAAAGTCACCATTCTGAAGGTATCGTTGGCCCAGAAGCCTTTGACGGAGTCTAGACATTTTCCCATTTTGGTTAAGTTTTCTTTGAGGTTGTAAGGTTGTTTAATTTAGGAATGATCCTTGTTTTAGTGAAGCAATTGATGTTTTAGATTCTTGATGTTAAGCTTATATGTAGGATGAGGTAATTAGTGATGGTTTCTAGGTTGTAAACTGTTTAATTGATGATACACTGTAAAGTTGATGCGCTTGATGGGTTCTTCGACTTGTCTAATTCACAGCTTTGATTAAATTGGTCCAGTTTTTACTAAAATGAAGGAAAAAATTGTACATTTAATGTTTTATTGGTTTTCTGTTGATTTGGGGCAGTGTTTCTCAAACTATACTACGCGAAGCTTTACTGTTCTTCAGAATAATTTTAGATGTGTCAATAGTGGTTGTCAGTGTGGCTCGGAAACATTAATTTACGATTTACTGCTCGGCGACCTTAAAAAGTTTGAGAAACACTGATCTAGAGGAAGTTTAAAAGGTTTGGCTGGTGTTACTGGTACTTGGATGGCTAGGGAATGATCCACCTCGTTTAGTATACGACTTCCTGGATAAGTTCAAGGGGCCGTTCACTTATGACGTCCAGGGGGGGGGGGGGGTCAGAAAGAAAAGAACCATAGAAATTCCTGGAAATCCATTGCTCTTTTTTGAAAAATGGCCGTTAATTTCAGACGTCATAAGTGAACGATCCCTAACCATAAACCTTGAATTTATCCCTAAGCTTTCTTTTAAGACACAATTCATAACCACACCAAGGCATTCAATGCTCTATAAAACTCCAATTAACAATGACATCCAGTAGCTCAACAGTCTACAATACTGAGACAAACCAGATGTCAAGTGCAAAACCGTCCCATCTGTGGAATTCCATTGCTAGAATTTTAATATGTACAAAAATCATGGATTTCTTAAAATAACTCGAAACATTCCAGCCTTGAAAACAAAGATGTGACTGAGCTAATTCAATGAGAATTATTTTTACGCATTACTTTGTATGCTTTATGATCGCAAGTCGAAGGTCAGCGGTAGAAATTAATTTTGCTTAGTGTTTAATTTGGTGTTACATCCGAAACGATAATTATTTGGAGATTTAATCTCAAAAACACAAAGACAATTGATATGAAGCTGGGTTGGTTTGATGCTGGCGTGACTTTAGTTGTGTGCAAACTTGATGACAAGCAAGCAATGTGACAGTCCAACATCAAATCATTCAATAACTAAGCAAAGGATTGAAGCTGAATTCGAGCAATGCATGTAAAAAATTGGTGAAAATTCCAGTGGTGGACAACCTTTTTTAAGCAACGGCACACGTTTCTTAGTGGAAAGCAATGACCCGAACGGAACCGCACACGGAAAATGATTCTTGGGACTCTAGTGTTCGGCGCAGTGCGTAGCCAGGGGGAAAGGGCGGAGGTTGAGATCAAGCCACAATTTTTAGAAACATTTTCTTTAATTAGGGGGAGGGGAGGGTAATGGTGATTTTGAGGGAGGAGGGTAAGTTTAGATTTTTTGTCCAAAAACCTTAGCAAATTCAATAAGTTTTTTTAAACTTGTAGAAGGAGGAAGGATCCTCCTCGCTTGCGCAGCGGCAAATAAGTTGCTCACCACTGTCTTGAACAATCGATTTCCATAGTTCCAAAAATGATAAACAACAAAAAAGTTATTTTTTTTTGCGCATAAAAAATGATCTTCAAAAGAGCAGAATGCGAAGTTCTCTCAAAAAAGAGCAAAATTCTTGTTTATATACTCAGTCAACGCATCGAGATGAACGAATTTACTTCTTATTTATTCATTTGATCATCGGCTTAACATGACTCATGCCACTTAGTTACTCATTCTTTTCTAGGCATTTAAATTGAAATCTGATTCTTTTGTATTTAAATTTAAACAAATCTAATTTGAAATGGACATTTGTAGATCATTTATTGGATGTGATGCAGGCGCGTTGTCAGAAGGGTGTTGCCCTCCTCCCTCCTAGAACGTTTTGAACTGCAGCAAGAGCATGGCTCAAAACGTTGAGGGGGCAAGACCCTCAGGCCCCGTGCCTGATATGATGCTTAATGATGGTCGAGTGGATATAAAAAAAATTAGATTTTGGATTTGAGGTGATTGTTTGAGAGATTTTTGGATGTTGTCTGCCTTTGTTGATGTCTTGACTGAAAGGATTTCTAAAGCTATGCCTCAAAAATTGACTAAAATCTGACCGAGACTGTAAACATCGACATTCTTACTTCATCACTGCTTCATACCTTTTCTAATAAGACAACACGCAATGACAATATTTTAAGGCAGAGGGTGATCGATCCCTCTTAATAGCTTAGCTTATATCAACCAGTAACATCAATATATTAAATTGGGGGAACCAGTATCGACAGATGTGTGCAGTATTGGACATAATTGCTGAATAGTGTGTAAAAATTACACATTTTACCATCAAAACATTGAAAACTGAAGTTTTAAAAAACTATTATTTAATAATATATAGAATAAAATATTCATGCAGTGGTGGAAAACCTTTTTTTTGTGCCACGGCACACCTTTGGTGGAATTTGATTTTAAAAGCCGCACAAATCATAAGTTTGGAGGAATTTCTTGAATTTTCAGTGTGCCGTGGAACATTGGTTGACCATTACTGATTACTAGTGTCTCACCTTCATGCTAGCTACTTAATTGAATTTTTATTATCTACACTAAAATTAGGAAGTGTTTCAGTTGTGTGTGAATTTATTATTTTGGATTTGTTTTGATTTCTTGGTTCTTTGCGTTTTATTTTGTTGAAGTTTTGTTGAATTTTTCTTAAAAAATTAATTTTCGATTTCAAATTTTGGAGATTTTTGAAGATTTTTGAAGAGTTTTGTTTAAAATGTTTTGATTTTTACTGACTTTTTAACGTTTTTTGATGACTTTTTTTTTGGAAATAAAATGAGACTTTTTTAAAAAATTTATTTAAATTTTTAAACTAATTTTTAAAATTGATTTAAATTTTTAAATTAATTTTTAAAATTGATTTAAATTTTTTATTCATTTTGTAAGAAGTTTTTGTAAGTTTTTAAACTTATTTTACCTTTTTTGGATGTTTTTTTTTTTTTATTTTTTAAGCAATTTTTAAGGAGTTTTTTTTTATATTTTTTAACTTTTCTTGTTTTTTATATTTTTATTTTTTTTATCTTTCTTGAAATTGAATTAAATTTATTTTAAATTTTAAATTGTTTATTTCTGTAAATTTTCAATTATTTTATTGCAATTCTTTATTTTTTCTAATTTTTTCACAATATTGCGTTCAATTTAAACAATATTGCATTTTTTTCTCAATTTACAAAACAAAACTTCAAATTTGTACAGCAATAAAATTGTTCGAGAACCTTTTTCATCAGCTTTTCATCGTTTTCCTCAAATTTTCACCTCAATTTTTAATTTTAACAATTTAAAATAATTTTTTTCACAATTTTTCTTAACTTTTTCACTCCCTTTTTGCCTCCTCACTCCAAAATAAACTCCAAAACAATCGAAAATTCTTCCCAACTTTACTCAACCGAGTTGCAAGAAGAGAGAAACTGAACTAAAATCCACAAAAATCCTCAAACAATGCCGGCAAATTCTCTCAATTTTCTCTCAAATTTTATATTTATCGAATCGTGAAAATTCTCATTTTTTTGTAGTTTATGAAGTTGTTGAGCATCTGTTGATTCTTATAAGAAATGTGTTCATGCAGGTGAGCTGGTTATGCCACTGTGATCTCAAATAACGGATTTTCGACATTAAAATCTTTTTAAAATTCAGATAAAATCAGCAAAAGTCATGCACGTGTGGAGTTGGATGCAAATTATTTTGACTTTTATGGCCAAACTTGGTATGAGGAATGAAGTAAGATGACCAAAAATAAATCAAGAATGACTCAATTCTGAGTTTGAAACACGACAAATGAGTTTCTGATGACTGTTTTTTTTCTTCTAGCTGTCGCCTTATCGCATGCAGTTCTGGATGTCAAAACATTGTTATCTTTACTTATTGTTCGCAAACAATTGATTAAATTGTTCATGATTTTTTTGAGAAACTGCTCATTTTCGGTGAATGTCAACAAGATTTTATTTATATTAGGGATGTAGCTAGACAGCTGTTGAAGTGGGGTTGTTTTTTCTCAAAAAAATTCCAAAACGGGGGGAGGGGGGGGGTTCTTGATGGTTTCCCCTCATCCTCCTTTCCTTAAGTTTCTAATATCCGATTTTTGAGGGGTCCGCAACAGGAGCGTAGCCAGGAATTTGAAGGGGGGGGGGGGACAAAAAGTTTTTGTAAGGAAAAATTTAAGGGGGGTGATTTTTTCAAAAACCCTAGAAAAATAAAGAAATTTCTGTTTACGTTGAAGGATATGTACCCCAAATCCCCCCTCCCCCCCTGGCTACGCGCTTTGTGCTTCGGAGGAATCCGGAGTGTAACCAGAAAAATTTTGGTTGGAAGGAGGTGGGGGGTTATAAGAGTAAAGGGAGAGAAGGGCGATGTGAGGACTTTTTCGTCCAAAAACTAAAGTAAATTATAGACATTTTCGCTAGCTGGTCCCCTGGCCCTACGCCATTGGTTTTATTGAAATTCCATGCACTAGAAAATGAGATACTAGAACATGGGATATAACTTTAGGGTTGAGTGCCCCACGTACCCACTAGAAGCTAGCCATTCACATCTACCAACATTTTGAGCAAGTGTCAGTGTCATCTTTAGGTCAAAATTATTATTATTCTTGCAGCTAATGCCATCTTGATGATAAATAGCCAAACAACTAAGAGTTCAGTCAATCCACCTATTAGTCAATGACAGAAGCTTGATATACAATTAAGCACGACATCTTTTTGTCAAAATCACGCATCCAAGACACAATCAATAGCAGATACACAAAAGAAGCTAGAATAGAAACTGAGACTACCTCCTGAGACTTCCTCTGGGATATAAATAAGATTCAATTTGACTGTAACTTGGATAAAGCAATGCATGGTAGGAACGTAGCCAAGAGGGACTCGACCCCCTATAAAGTTTTGAACCTGAGCTACAGTAAGGCTCAAATAAGAGCCCCGAGCCATAATTGTATTGATTTATAGTTCCACAGGGGAGAGTGACGTCATTTATAAACAGCCCCACATTTACTATAAAAAAATAAATTTCAATTAAATTTTCTCACTTTTTATTAACTTTTTGAACTTTTTTAATTGAAAATTCCATACAAAAATAACAAAAGAATCGGCAAAATTGTTGCTAGTTTTGAGATTGATCCATTGTTCTTCAAGCTATTGTACTCATTTTTCAACGGACGGTATTTCGAAAATATAGAATTATTAAAAGTCATTTCAAAATTGTAAAAAAGCAGTTCCAAATCTTCAGAACTGATGTTTTGTCTAGTTTCAATTTTGAGGATTTCAAATTGATTTTTTAAGTCTATAAACTCATTTGCTGTGCATTGATTTTTAACAATTTCAATTGCATCTATAACTTGTCTTCGTGAATTACGGACTTCCTGCTCAATGCACGGAACATCCTCGAACAAAAAATATCGCAAATTTGTCAATTTATCAAATACATTTGGGTCAATGTGGATCATTTTTTTACTATTAATTCCCAAAACTTGCAGCTGTCGATTATAGTCAAATAAGCCTTGCTCAAGAACCTCAATCTTACTTCCATCAATTTTAAGGTAGACAAGATTATAAAATGACTTTAAATCTGTTCGATAAATTTCCTTAATTTCACTCGACTTGATTACAATCGCTTGAAGATTTGGAAAATATTGCAGCATGTATTTTGGAAAAACTTCCATTTTACTTCCGCCAGCTCGAAATCCAATCACATGTGTGTTATTTCTTGAATCCTCGTGCTTACCTTTTACATTAGTGATCATTGCTGTGCCTGGTGTATTCATCTTTGGATTGTTAATGACTTCACAGCGATAGATTTTGCCCAACACATCGTATTTGTGGTCGTCAAATTCACATTCAATTACGGATGATAATGATGAGCCGCAAATGATGATGATGATGCAAGCTATGAAGCTAAGGTTTGAACATTAATGAGAAAAAATTGTTTTTTTTTGGGGGGGGGGGGGGGGGCGTTCGTAAATGATGTCTTTTTTTGAACGGAGGAGGTGTTGGTTCGAATTTTTAACGCATTTTTCTTAAGAAACAATTCGTGTAAAGGTTCACTTTGGCTGGCTGACGGACTGATTGACTGTTTGGCTGGCTGGCTTGCTATTTTTCTCAAAACTAGAAGCAATTAGAAACCCCAGCAGATCAATATATATATATATTTATGGCTTTAATGATCTACGCAAAGACATTCGCATATTCATGGACATCATTTATGAACTCCTCCTTTGATATTTGATTTTCTTGGCAATTTTTACATATACTGAGCCTTCCAAACCTCATAATATCATAAAATCTCACTTAACTAAACCACTTTTACCTTAAATTGATCATTTTTGACATTTTTAAAACACTTTTAAACGCAATCTAATTTTGACGCTCCCAAAAATATCGAAAAACAAAAATAGATTTGAGTCTTACAGCTTCCACAGTCGACACAATTCTGCAAAACATATGCAAAAGTTATTGAAAATCTCAAAAACAAATAATTTTGCGATTAAGAAGAAAAAAGAAAAAAAAATTCTGTTTGGTGATTTGAGATTCTGTGGACTGTGGACATAGTCGAGATTCAAGAAAATTATTGTTTGCAGTTCATAAATTGACTTGTAGATGGCTGTAGAAGTTGAAACTTAAAATTGAGAAAAATATATTAAAATCATGAAAATTTTCACTTTTTGACGTCTTTAAAAAATTAAGATTTTAATAAATTGTTTAAAATAATTTATAAAATGCCAGTAAAATAACTAATGAAAGTTTTGGATGTTCTTTGACCGTTGCAATGTTTTTGAGGTTCTCAAATTTATTTTTCAGCGGACGAAACTTTGAAAATTTAGAATTATTAAAGCTGACTTCAAATTTTCCTAATTTTTCGTTAAAATCTTCAACATTTAATCTCAAAGATTGATTTTTTAACTCCTCAAGCTGATCATTAAGTTCCAAATACTCTAGATTTACACATTCAGCTCTAAACCTTTGAATTGCTATTTTAATCTCATAATCATATTCAGACCGCAATTGACCACTACAAGGAACAGCATAAAAATATAAAAGCTTCAATCTACTCAAATTATCAAAGACATTCGGATCGATGTGAATCAGCTTTGATCCGTCAAAAATTAAATACTCTAAATTTGGATTATAATTAAACAAGCCTTCCTCAATGACCTCAATGTCACTACGGCCAATTAAAAGATAAGTCAATTTACTCAACGACTTTAAATCCGACTGAAAAATTTCCTTCAATGGACAAAAGTTTAGAGAAATTGCTTCAAGATTATTAAAGATTTTTTCAGCATTTTTTGGAAAATATTCGATGGATTCACTTTCAGAAAAGAGTCCAAGGACATCACTGTTGGTCTTTGTGTCTTCATGGTCACCGTGAGCTGATGTTATTATTGCTGATTCATGGGAATTCATCTTTGGGTCATTGATTATGTTGCAGCGGTATTTATCACCAAAGAAGTAGAAACTTTTAACTTCGTATTTGCACTGGATTCTTGTTGATGATGAAATGGACATGATTGTGAGGATGAAGAAGGTTTGGAGCCTGAAAATACAATATTTTTATTAATTCGTCTACTACAGTGGTTCTTAATCTGTGTGTTTCGGCACGCGAATTGTTATTAGAGTTAAAATAGTGTGAGTTCCAAAGACCCCTCAAACAAAGCCTTTAAAGCTGTAATCTTAGGTTGCATCTTCTCCAAGACATGATAAATAATGCAGTGGTGCCTAAACTGTGTGTCGCGGCACACTGGTGGGCTGCATAAATTTTTTGGAGACAATGCGAAATGCATGCTGTGTTAAAGGCTCATTTTTAAGGTATGCCATGGCTCAAAATGTTTGGACAGCACTGATCTAGTGTATAGCCTAAGTTACAGACAGACTTTAACCCAAATCACATTAATTATTAAGAAACTTAAACAATCATTACCTCATACTGAATATTTTTGCCATTTTAAGACACTTTGCACTTTTAAAAATACACAAAATTATCAACAATTAAAGCCAAATTTGAGTCTTACAGCTTCTACGGCTGCCTCAAAAATGATCTCAATTTTAAGAATTTGCAAATGTATTGCTGACGTAACTGATAAGTTCATACTCTTGTTAATCAATCTGAGACACGCATCAGCTCTCCATATAGTCAAGATTCATATTGCTCTAATAATTTTTCTCTTGAAAATCTACAAAACATTAAAAATGAATCTTTACTAACAACTAGAGTCTTGATATAAATTTGTAGAATTCTAGCATTGATGATTGATATCAAGGATCAGCTGAAAGGAGAACAACAAAGTTCAGACACACAATTTTGCTAGCAGTTTTGATTTCTCTTTCATAAATTGACATGTAGATGGCTACACAGGTTCAACTGACAATTGAGAGAAAGAAACTAGACATCCTGTACCTTAGTTGAAAGGATCTTAGATCTATATAACTGCCAGTGATGAACAACCCATGTGCCGCGGCACACTAGAATGCCATTAAAAAAATTCTAGAAACCTACAAAGCATTGGCTGTTTGTGATTTCGGTCATGGTTTACTACTAAGTTGTCGTGACACAAAAAAGGTTGGGCACCACTGGTTTACTCTTAACAATTTATGATACAAGAGAACCAGACCTAAAAAAATCATTTTTTCGAATTGCTTGGAATCAGTGGCTTAGCCAGGAATTTGAAGAGGGGGGGGGGGCAAAAAAATTTTTTGTATTGAAAAATTTAAAGGGGAGTGGGAGGGATTTTTGTGATTTTTTCATAAAATCCCTAGGGCCTGTTCACTTATGACGTCCAGGGGGGAGGGGGGGGGGTCAGCAAGAAAAGAACAATAGAAATTCCTGGAAGTCTATTGTTCTTTTTTGAGAAATGACCGTTAATTTCGGACGTCATAAGTGAACGGCCCCCTAGCAAAATAAAGAAATTTCTGTTTACGTTGGGGGATTTGTCCTCCAAATCCCCCCACCCCCATGGCTACGCGAGGCCCTGCTTAGAATTAATTCTTAATATTTTAAAAAGTGTCTACTCAAATTGTAAAAAGTTTCAAAGACTTAGCAATTTATGAACGGCTTGTTTACAAAATCTTGAACCGAAATTAATTTCTATCAAAATTCTTATGATTAATGATCAAAAATCTCAAACAAAACTGCATCATGCCTTCAATAATTAATAACAAAAAATATCAAATTTTCTTCAAAAATTTTTAAATTCTCAGAAAAAGTTACAAAAGAAAGTTCAAAGTAAACTGCCAAAATATTTTTATGACAAATTATGAATCTTTAAGTGACTCAGCATTAAAACTCAAAAACTCAAAAAAAGTGTCAAAATCCTCATCATCATCCAGAAGCATCAAACAAAGCACAAATTCGCATTAAAAAGTCAAAAAAGGTAGCATCAGTGGTTGTGCTGAGTATTATTAAAAAAAAAGCAAGGATTTCATGACCAATTATTTTTTTGTTTGTCGAGCTATTTTGTGTGTGCGTATCATTGACAGTTATGACAATCGTGTAAGGATGGAACAAAGGAATGAGAAGGTAGAAGGGAAACAAGACAAACAATTGCTGGCAATTATTAGCCTCAGAACAATATTTACTCACATACGGTGTATTAAAAATAATCATGAAAGAAGGCACAGGTAAGAATGTTTTTAGGTTAGAGGTGGTTTAGGTGCATTTTTCGTAAGAACTTCAGTTTCAAACAATGGTTCAAAATTGAAGCACAGCTTTAGACTTAAAGCAGAGCTTTCAAGTTAAAGTACAGACTTGAAGCACAGCTTTAGAACTGAAGCAAAGCTTTTGAATTGAAGTGCAGCTTTAGAATTGAAGCACAGCTTTAGAATTGAAGCACAGCTTTAGAATGGAAGCAAAGCTTTAGAATGAAAGCACGGCATTAAAATTGAAGCTCAGCTTGAGAATCGTAGCTCAGCTTGTGAATTGAAGCTCAACTTGAGAATTGAAGCACAGCTTCAAAATTGCAGCACTGCTTCAGAATTGAAGCTTAGCTTGAGAATTGCAACACTGCTTGAGAATGAAAGCAAAACTTTAAAATTGAAGCACGGCATTTGAATTGAAGCTCAGTTTGAGAGTTGAAGCTTAGCTTGAGAATCGAAGCTCAGCTTGAGAATCAAAGCTCAGCTTGAGAATCGAAGCGCTGCTTACGAATCGAAGCTCAAATTGAGAATCCAAGCAAAGCTTTAAAACTGCAGCACTGCTTGAGAATCAGAGCTCAGCTTTAAAATCAAAGCTCAGCTTGAGAATCGAAGCACCGCTTTAAAATTGCAGCACAGCTTGAGAATTTAAGCACAGCTTTAGAATAGAAGCAAAGCATTAGAATTGTAGCTCAGCTTGAGAATTGAAGCACATTTTCAAATTTATCTTAAGGCGACGCTTCATAAATAAGCGCTGCCTTAAAAATCGCAACCAACTCAAGTCAAAATTACATCAAAAATTCCCTCAAAATTTCTAATAGTCCAGCTAATCACCAGGAATCTCCTTTTTGTTGATATGAAAAAAAAAATAATAACAATAAAAGTGAGTAAGCAAACATTAAGCAATGCCAACAAACAAGTAAACAGATGAGCATACAGTCAAAATTAAACAAAAGAATTTCCAGTATGTAAATAAAGACTAGTAAAAGTCGTAGGAAGAAGAAGTAAAAGAATAATCAATAAAGAGGTGAAACATGACGGAACAGTAAACAGCAAATGTCACATCAAATCAACATGAAGTTCTTCTTCTTCTTACTTTTCTGGTTCCTCATTCTTCTTCGGAATTTTCTGTTTTTGTGTTGTTTTGTTGACATTTTTATGAGGAAAGAACGGCAATTGTCAATGAAAAAAACCCTTCTGGGAATGACTCAGTGTGAGTTGTGCATTAGATTTTGATCGTTAAGGAGATGCTTTAACCGCAATGTGATGGTAATAACTCTTTATTTTCGGCTGGTGGTGTAAAGGGAATTGAGGGAGGAACTGAGATGAGTTTTTGTGGAAGTTTAGAGGAATTTAGGTTGAATTTTCGAATTTTACTGAAATTTACTGAAATTTTTGAATTTTACTCGTGGGCTAAAGAGAATTTTGAGGTTAGGAGAGTGCTTCTTAAGCTATGTGTCATGGTTTAGGGTACGGAACTGCTCAAAATGATTAAAAATAGTAATACAATCTAGTTCTAACGCTTCTTCTAGTCTATGGTGTGTCTAGGTTAATTTATTGATGTTCAAGGAGAGGAGGAAGTGTAGATCTTTGGAAAGTGGCAGAAGTAGGAGTGTGAATAAGGACAGGTTTAGTTACAAGACTAAGTACGAACCGTAGTAACAACTTTAGGGCATTCAAATCGATGTTATGTCTCTAACTTAGATTACAAGAGCTTAGTTCTATTCTAATTAACACAATCAATGTCTATTTAACTCTATTCAACACTAATTAACAATATACATCCCAGCTTAGCCCTATTCCGAGTCAATTCAAATCTATTCAACATTATGCAATTTTAAGCTACCTGACTCAACTGTAGCCAACCATATTCAGCCTTGTTTAACCCCATTCAACCTTGTTCAACCCTTTTCAGCCTTGTTCAACCCTTTTCAGCCTTGTTTAACCCCATTCGACCTTGTTCAACCTTAATCAACACTCTCAAACTCTATTCAATCCTTTTTCAACCTAAACATTTCCTAATCAACCTTATCCCTCCCTTTACAACTTGATAAAACTCAATTCAACCTAATTTCACACTGTGCCATTCTATTTAATATTATTTAATCCTTCTTAACTCTCCTTGGACCCAATACAGATCAGGTCAATCTTTAACAACTTTATCCAAACCTTAACCGACATAAATCCTTCTCTAATGAACCCTAATCAGCACGACTTAACAATATTCAACCTGATTTAACCCTTTTCAGCCCGATCTAGCTCTAGTCAACCATATTCAGTCTTATCCAACCCAATCTCACTCATCCAACTCATCTCAATCCACATAAATCCCAAAAACTAACACAAATTCCCATAAAAATCAAACCAAAAATAACCAAAACTCGTGTAAAAATGCATCAAAAGAAATTCTTTACGAGCTGCTTATTATCATCAATCCACATATTCACATTCTTAAACTCACAATATTCCCAAGTTAATTTAACCAGAAAAGATAATCAAACTGAGAATTTTTGTGATGTCTTTGTAACTGCTAATGATTGTTAATGACTTAATGGATTGAAAATGAAATAAAAAAAAATTTAAAAATGGAACAAAGAAATGAGAATTCATTTTTGAGATTGAGTTTTATGACTGTGTGGGGTCTCGGAGCGAATGGAGGCTGTGATGATGATTTTTATGAGGTTTTAAAAAAATGGAGAAGTAAGGTTGAAATTATTTTTTTTGAGGTGATGTTAAATTTGAATTTTGGGAAGTTTTTAAATGAAAAATCGAAAAAAAAAATTTAAAATTGTTTCAATAAACTTAAAAATTCATAGAAACTCAAACCTTCCATTCAAGAATCCCCAAAACAGACCCACTCCTTCCATACCCAAAAATCCAAACCACAAAAACCATAATATTCCCTTAAAAGCATTCACATGTCATGTTTTGAGTCCCTCACAACTAAAAAACTCAGTCAATTTATTGTGTTTTTTCAGTTCCAATCCCAAATCAGCCGTTCCTCCACATCCAAAAGCATATCTAACATCGGATATGCATAGAAATTTTACCCAAACTTTTTTTTTCAAGGATTTTCCCATCGCAGTTGTTATCAATTGTCACACTCGTGTGCTCTTAAGGACTCGTCCCAAAGTCCCAGTTTTGTTAAGTCTCCGCCCATCTGAAACAAAATTCTTCATAAATTTTATACAAGTCCATCCCATTTACTGCTGTATCGTCATCGTAGCTACATGAAAAAATAAACTAGTGTGTGTAAAAATTGTGCATGTATGTGTGCATATCGTACATTGATGTGGGACGTGTTAATCTCCGTGTAAAAAAAAAAGCTACGCAATGCGCAACGGAACAACAGCAATAATCGAGTGGATAGGAGAGATGGCAAAGTGCCTCACAGTTGAAATGTGAGTTGTTCAGTTGGGTATTCAACGTCACTCGGGAACGCCGCAGCTCTCTCATCTGCCTCAATATATATTCATTCTCCTGTGGCTTCACACTGTCTGCCAAGAAATCATCATCAACAATATTTATTTTTTTTACACACATTCTGTGTTTTGTGATTTGTTCCTTAATTTTTTCCTGATCTGTGGAATTTAAAAACTATTGTTTAAAAGTTGAGGAATTAATGACACAAGTGTGACGAGTGGTCTCGTGTGTGAATCTCAGATTTGGGATTCTAGGAAGTATTAAGATACTCAAGTTGATGTCTGAAGGGATATTGAAGGTTGAAAGTGAAGTTTTGATGAATTTAGAGGCTGAATTGATGGACGACAAGTGAAATTATTGAAGATAAGAATTGATTAAGGAGGAAAGGAAGTGAAAAAATGGATTCAAATTGAAGATTATAGCTGAAGCTAGTCTATAGAATTGAATTAGTGAACGAATGATTTTTAAACCGGTTTATAATCTGCAAAAAAGCTGATTAAGTTGCGAAAATCGGAAACAAAAAATTGAAAAAATTGAATTTCAATTTTAAAAAAATTAAAAGATCAAAAAATCTGGTTTTGAATTTTAAAAAATTAAAAAAATTGTAAAACTTCACAAACTTCAAATTTTGAGCGTAGAAAAAAAAATAAAAAATTCAAGAACTCAAAAACTTCAATTTGAGGCTGAAAAATTAGAAAATTGGAAAAGAAATTAAAACAAAAATTTAAAAATATAAAAATAATATTTTTAAAATTGAAATTAAATTGCAAAATTGAAAATAAAATTTAAAAGACAAGAAAAAAGTTTAAAAAAATTGAAAAGAGAATTTAAAAGTAAAAGAAAAATTAGATAAATAAAATAAATTCTACAACATCAAAAAAGTTAAAATAACCCAAAATAAACATATCAAAATTGAATCAATAAGACACATGATCCAGCAATAAGGCACCATATCCCCTAGCATACAGAATCTTCACACATATTGATGATAACCAAGTAACATATCAAATAAATATCAATCATCGTTAGCAAAATATATCCAAAAAAATTGCGAAGAAATAAGTTGAAAATTGTGTTAAAAAAAAGTTAAATTAAAATTGACAGTTGAACGTGAATTTAAATTTCTAAATTCATACAAAAATAAAATTGAGTCAAAAATCTACTAAAGTGACAAAAAAGCTAAAATTCTAATGCAAAAAATCATAAAAATTGTCAATAATTCAAGTGAAAAAACTAAGAATTAAGTGAAAAAAAAATAAATTTCGCAAATAAAAAAATATTCAAATTTTCAAAATCAACAAATTAAAAACTCCAAGCTACTCCCAAGCATTTTCAACCCCAAAGTCCTTTAAAGCTCAAAAATAGTCTTCACACTGCGTTCAGACGAGCCAGTTCCGGGCTTCAGCTCGGCCTCACCATGGCCAACGTTGGAGCTCGAGTGGGGTCGCAAGTTGTATCCCACAAGTGGCACACGCGGAAGTAGCTTAATGTTTGGATTGCCACCAGGTGGTGACCTTAATCAACCTCGTGGACCCGTCACAAGCCTCAAAGAGGAACCATTGGGTGCGAGAGCATGGATGCAGCAGCCGGATCAGAGCAAGTGAGTTGATTGAAGTTTAAATTTGAATTTATTGAATTTTGTAGGAATTTTTTAAGATTTCTTAGAATTTTTCAACTTTTTAAGATTTTCGATTTTTTCAATTTTTAAATTTTTGAAAATTAAATTTTTTTAAACTTTTTCAAAACTCAAATTCTTTAAAATCTGACAAAATTTTTTTCAAAAAATCTCAAAAATTCCTCAAAAGTTGCTCAAAAGATAAAAAAATCCCTCGAAAAAATTAAAAAATAATCCCCGACCCTCTTTAAAAAATATTCCATAAACCAACATTCAACATAGTTGCATAGGAGAATCCCTCAATTACCTCGCGGCAATTTTTATGTGTAGAGTAAAATATTATTTTTTTTTTGCTGGTAAAATATGTGAAATTGATACGTTCGTGCATTCTGTTAACATTTTATTTTTTTTTTGTGTAAATATGTTTCACTTTAACTGGAGTTGTGGGCGATTATTGTGATTTTTTGAAGTGCGAAAATTTAATTTTTTCATTGTTAAATTTGAAATTGTTCACAAATTTATGCATTTTAAATAATTCAAAAAAATTTAAATTTTAAATTTATAGATTTTTGCAACTCATAAATTTAAATTTTAATTACATTTTTGAATTTTTGATTTTATTATATTTTTTTTGTTGAAAATTAAAAAATTCGAATTTTCAAAATTAGTGAAAAAAATCTAAAACTTCACAAAACTTAAATATTTTTTTTTAAAAAAATCAACTTTTTAACAATATTGATTATTCTATAATTTTTTGCAGTCTTGGAATAGGCCGAGCTCATTTCGAGAAGCAGCCACCGTCAAATTTAAGGAAATCAAATTTCTTTCACTTTGTTATTGCACTTTATGATCGAAACGGTCAACCAGTTGAAATTGAAAGGACAGCTTTTATTGGATTTATTGAGAAAGATCAGGTAAGACTTTAATTATTTAAATTTAATATTTTCTGGATTTTTAAGAAATTATTAAAATTTATAAAATGTTTTTAAAAAATTCAAAAAAATTTAAAAACGCCAAAATAAATTTTTAAAATAATTTCAAACATTTTTATCTTTTGGCGCTTTCAAAAAAGCAATAAATCATCAAAAACCATCAAAATTTAACACTCAATTTACATCCTACAAGTCAGTTCCTTCCTAATATCCAAACAAAATCTTTCATGTTCCACTCCAAACTCATAATTTACTTCCTAAAACAATTTCAATAAATATCAATAATGTCCAATATTATGACCACAACTTTTGTCTTGTAAATCCACACGAGAACATCCTAGGCCATAAATTTTTCTGTGTCATTTCCTTAAGGCTCAAAATAATCTCTTTTTTTACACATTCACTAAAAATATTTCTAGGAATTCCCATCTGTGCTTCTTCTTCGCACTCTATTTACTTCCTATTCTCTCGTGCTGACTTCTTAACTTGACCCGGAATGACCTTTTTCATATTTACTTAATAATTTTTATTTTTTTTTGGTCATTTTTTAAACAGGAAATCGAAGGACAGAAGACGAATAATGGAATTCATTATCGACTGCAGTTGCTGTACACAAATGGTGAGTTTTGGATTTATGCTTTGGGAGAAGTCGAAACCCGGAATCTTGAGAAATCTAGAAGTTTAAGCCAGTGGTGTCAAACCTTTTTTTCACTACTGCCTTGGTGGGAAGCCATGACCGAATTCGCAAATTTCGCGTGGTTCGTGGTTTTTTCTGAATTTTTCTCACGGAATTTTAGTGTGCCATGGCACAAGGGTTTGCCATCACTGACCTTTACGGATTTCAGCTACTTTATCTTCATTTTGGTTCCACAAAAAGTCAATCAACCTTGAAATACCCGATTTAAAAATTTATTGCACACTAAAAACACATCCTCAACCCCCAAAGTTGAGCTAACTTCGATTTCACACCAAAAATAAATACTAGAAAAAAGAATTCTGCCAATTTAAAATGATAAATGTGAATTTTTACCTTCAAAATTATTTTACTTCTTAGTCTATGAACATTTTCTACTCAATGGTTGAGCTTTATAATGCAAAATCTATTTTATAATGTGGAATAAAAAGGATTGAATCAGTCGGAAAAAATTGGAGTGCAAGTTTAATGTTGTGGAACATTTTTGAGGTGGAAAAGTTAAGTTGAGATGGAATTTTTCATATTTTTATGTAAAATTAGACTCAAAGTTTGCAATAATTTTGCTTGCTAATCTAGTCAAGCCACTGAAGCTAGCTGGATGCAGGTTCCATATCTAAAACTACTCTAAAATGTTCCTAAATGAAATGTGACTTGTCGACACATTTTTAATCCAATTAAGCTCACATTTCACATCCTTAAAATTCCACAATTTTTAAGAAGATTTTCCACTTACACCTTGACTTTTTCCATCCCCTCTTTTTGTCTATTGCTTTCCTCAAATTTCCCCTCCATCCACTTCAATTTTTCTTTCCATCTTCTTCTTCCTTCAATTCAACCATCGCAACCGGCGATGTAAAAAATAAAAATTATTGACCAATTTTTCAATATGAACACACTTACATTGATGATATGAAAGAGATTCTTATCCCACGGGGGAATTTTCCAATTCCAATAGAGAATTCAATTCAAGCTGTGTGTGGCGCGGTCGGTCACTAATTGGATTACTATCGCAGAAGTAAAGTAAAAATTGATCTTGTGGGGATTTTTTTGAGTGGACTGAGGAGAGTTGGGAGTTGATTCTAAGTTAATTTTGTTGTATGCAACTAAGCTACTATTAATATATAGCTCCTCCTTACATAGACCTAACCCTTATCTATGCCTTATCAAAACCTAACCCAAACCTTACCTAAACCTTACCTAAACCTAACCTAAACCTAACCTAAACCTAACCTAAACCTAACCTAAACCTAACCTAAACCTAACCTAAACCTAACCTAAACCTAACCTAAACTTAACCTATACCTAACCTATACCTAACCTATAACTAGTGCAAATTGCCTCAAGTATGCTCAAGAATCATCAAAAATACTCAAAATAGTTCAAGATTCAGCTCAAACTCCTAATTAGCCTCAAAAACACGATATTAAAATTTCACCACATATTTCTATAACTATGCAGCATAAGTCAAGCTATAACAACTTTCATAATTTATTACACAAGCTCAGCAGTTCAACAACTTTACTTCAATCACGTCATTAATTTTTATTTTTACTCGTTTTGACTTCTGTACAAGGAAATAAAAGATTGGATTTATTGAGGGTATCAATGTCGTCATAATAATCTTAATTAAATTAAAATAAATACAATTTTAATTAAAACTTGAATGAAAAGTCGAAAGAAGAGCTGATTAATAATTAGTGGAATGGGAGAAGTGGATGTGGAAAAATGCGATGATTCTCTTAAACTGTTCGAGATTCTCCGACGTAAAATTAATTTACAGAATTAAAAATTGTCTGTTTAAAGAGGATTTTTGGGAGGTTCTTAGTGGTCTATTTAAATTAAATAATTTATTTTGTCTCAGTTTTAATTATTTATTATCTTATTTGCAGGTGCTCGACAGGAGCAGGACATATTCGTGAGGCTTATCGACTCAGTTACCAAACAGGTGAGTTCAACTTGACTTTATTCATGAAAATCCTCAATTTTTAACAATTATTTTTCAATTAATCCAGGCAATTATGTACGAAGGACAAGACAAGAACCCAGAAATGTGTCGAGTACTCTTAACACACGAGGTCATGTGCAGTCGGTGTTGTGACAAAAAGAGTTGCGGTAATCGTAACGAGACTCCATCAGATCCTGTTATCATTGATAGGTGAGCGTTTGTATGTGAAATTCCGAATTGAAAATCTTCAAGGCACTCTATGAAGGGATGTGGACGAGTGGGTATAGGGTTTTGTGTCTTAAGGGGGAGATCTTGGCCATGGGTACCAATGTTAAATTTGAAGATCGATACAAAAGTTCTAAGACAGCAAAGAGTCAATATAATTTTTAAGGATCAATCCCTCACCAAACGTGGAAGTTCACTTCAACACCCAACCCAACGCGGAAGTCCAACCAAAAAATCATCTCATAAGTCTCCCAAACCTTTCCTCACAATCATCATTCCTCAAACTACAAAAAAAAATCTCACATTTTTATTTTCTGTGTCAACAAAAATTCATCAAAAATTTATGAAATTCATTTTAAAATTCAAAAATGCGTAAAGAATAAGAGCAAAACAAGAAATAAAGACAAAAGACAAAAAAAAACTTTAATCACACAAGAGCAAGCAGAAAAAAATTTGTAATTCCAATTCGACCTTCGCCTTTTCCGTAATTTCTTACGTATTCAAAGGAATAAAGTGACTCGCGGAGGTCCAGCAAGGTAGAAAGAGTTGAAAAAAAAAGATTTTTCTTTAGAATGAAAAGAAAAAGTAAACAAAATGAACCGCATTTGGCGGTAAATGTTCTTGAAATGAAATTTATATAAACAGCAGTAGCAACAACAAAAGAAGAAGAGGTTTGCAATTACGGGAAAGAGAAAAAAAATGGCAAGTAAGAAAGTCACTTGAGGGTTCAGAGAGTAGAGCGAAAGTCCAAAAGTACTACAATATTAGAAATCTAGTCCAAAAGTACTGCAATCTTAAAAATCTAGTAATAAAGTACTAAAATCCTGGAAATCTAGTTTAAAAGTACTGAAATCCTACAAATCTAGTTTAAAAGTACTAAAATCTTACAAATCTAGTCCAAAAGGACAAAAATACTCAAAATCTAGTCCAAAAGTACTAGAATTCTAAAAATCTAGTTCAAAAGTACTAGAATTCTACAAGTCTAGTCCAAAAGTATTACAAATCTACAAGTCAAGTCCAAAAGTACTAAAATCCTACAAATTTAGTCCAAAAGTACTAGAATCCTACAAATCTAGTCCAAAAGTACTAGAATCCTACAAATCAAGTCATAAAGTACTAGAATTCTACAACTCTACTTCAAAAGTACGAGAATTCTAAAACTCTAGTCCAAAAGTACTAGTATTCCACAAATCTAGTTCAAAAGTACTAGAATTCTACAAGTCTAGTCCAAAAGTACTACAAATCTAGAAGTCAAGTCCAAAAATACTAAAATCTTACAAATATAGTCCAAAAGTACTAGAATCCAACAAATTTAGTCCAAACGTACTAGAATCCTACAAATCTAGTCCAAAAGTACTAGAATCCTACAAATCAAGTCATAAAGTACTAGAATTCTACAACTCTACTTCAAAAGTACTAGAATTCTACAACTCTTGTTCAAAAGTACTAGAATTCTACAAGTCTAGTTCAAAAGTACTACAATTCTAGAAGTCAAGTCCAAAAATACTAAAATCTTACAAATATAGTCCAAAAGTACTAGAATCCTCCAAATCTAGTTCAAAAGTACTAGAATATTCCAAATCTAGTCGAAAAATACTAGAATTCCACAAATATAATCTAAAAGGACTATAATTCTACAGCTCTAGACCAAAAGTACTAGAATTTTACAACTCTAGTTTAAAAGTACTAAAATTTGACAAATCTAGTCCAAAAGTTCTGAAATTATCAAAATCTAGTCCAAAAGTACTAGAATCCTACAAATCTAACCCAATAGTACTAAAATCCTACAAATCTAGTTCAAAAGAACTAGAATCCTCCAAATCTAGTCCAAAAGTACTAGAATTCTACAACTCTACTTCAAAAGTACTAGATTCCTATAAATCTATTTCAAAAGTACTAGAATCACCCAAATCTAGTCCAAAAGTACTAGACCATATGAATTGGACATTCCGACACTTCCAAACTTCTTCACATCCCCAAAATCAATCTCAACAATCAATCCAAACAAAGAAGGACAAAAATTGACAAACAAGATGTCATAAAAGATTCATCAACTAACCGTCAATATGCTCACAAGTGATCGTTCATTCACCAGTGGTACGGATTTGGGATTTGTACAGATGGGATAATGCCTTGATGAATTATATTCACGTGCCCGAGCCTCACTGCCGCTGTCTCTCGACACACACAATCCACAAAAAGAGAGATGAAAGACGACTTAAAATGGATTTTAATTGGATAAATCGATGTTTCATTGCGCGAAACTCTCTTTTTTTGCTACCGCATCGCCAATTTTTGATGTCTATAAATGGATTTTACTGGTTTTTATTATACGTTCGTCTCTGACTTTGCCTGGCTACATCTACCCCACAATATGATGCACATTCATATTCTGATTTGTGGGTAAGAGAGAACTAAATCAAGTGTTGGCCATAAATGGATGATGAGAGGAATTGAAATGATATTGAAGATATTGTGGGAATGTTTTGAGGTTTGGTTGGGTGGCTGGGCTAATAACGTTAGAGATGGTTTGGTTGCTAACCTAAAATAAACTTGTTCTCATGGTCAAAATCAAAATGGTTCGTAACCTTAAAATTAACTGGTTGCTAACCTCAAAATGATTTGGTTTATAACCTCAAAATAGTCTTGCTCCTAACCTCAAACTTATTTGATTCCTAACCTTAAAATGGACTTGTTTTTAACATTAACAGTATTCTCAGCTTAACCTCAAAAAGCGCTTTATTCTCTCAACCCACTAGTGACTTTCTTACTTGTCTATGTTGCCGCGAGGCAATTCTGCTTTGCCTATGTCGAACTATTTTATTGAAGCTCTTTTCATTTGCCGCTCATCAGCATAAACTTTTTTAGAAGGAGTTTATTCGTGTTAGATTTTTTTGCCAGGTGTTGATGGAGTTTTGGTGTTAAAAATGTGGAAACTATGAGGAAGTTTGGGAGAAAAAAATATTAATTGAGGAGTCTCTAATGAATAGTTGGGATAGAATTGTAGAAAGTTTGAGAAGCGAAGTTAAGGGTTTTAGAATCCTAATTTTACACCAAATTTGAATAATTTTACGAATAATTTTCTCTTTAATTTGCAGATTTTTCTTGAAATTTTTCTTAAAGTGCAATCAAAATTGTTTGAAAAACGCTGGAAATCCGAGAGACATGAGAAGGTTTCAGGTATGTCGATTTTCGCTCCTTATTCTATTACCAACTTTTGGCTTAACCTTAAAAAAATTTTAAATTTTAAACCTAACCTCAAAGTTCTAAATTCTGAACCTAACCTCAAAGTTCTAAATTTTGAACCTAACCTCAAAGTTTTGAATTATAACCATAACCTCGAAATTTGAAATTTTGATCCTAACCTCAAAAAATACAAAAAATTGTAAACATAACCTCAAAAAAAATTCACAAATTTAATCTGAACCATTCTCTTCCTCAAATTCTACTGCAGGTCGTCATCTCAACCCAAGTGAGCGTAGAAGGTCCACTGTTAGCTATCTCAGACAACATGTTCGTTCACAACAACAGCAAACATGGTCGACGTGCCAAACGACTAGATCCAGATGGAAGCACCGCTGCTGGTAATTCTCCGTTGTTATCAGCTCATGCATTGGCCCCGGACAGTACGTACGACGGTCCGTTTCCAAGTGAACCCCTTTTTTTATTTTTAAACTTTATAATTTTTTGTTGGTTTGCGTTTTTTGAGTTGATTGGAGATGAAAAAAGAGAATCAAGAAGAAAAAGAATTGCTCGTCGTTCGTACAAATCCACCGCACATAAATCAAACTTGTTTTATTATCGTTTGAAATTTTTTATTAGAAAATTTTGTGAATTTTTGCTTTTTTTTTATTTTGTGTAAATGTTTTTGATTGCAAATTTTTTTTATTATTTTTCATCAAAATTTCACAAAGCACGAAAAATCTTGGAACCTTAGGGAAATTTTGTCAGAAATGAGTGAACATAACCTCAATTTTAAGTGACATAACCTGAAAATTGAGGAACTTAACCTCAAAATTGAGCAGCTTAACCTCAAAATTGAGCAAACTTAACCTCAAAATTGAGCAGCTTAACCTAAAATTGAGCAACAGAACCTAAAAATTAAGCAACCTAACCTCAAATTGAGCAAACTTAACCTTAAAATTGAGTAGTTTAACCTAAAATTGAGGAACATAACCTCAAAAATTACCAAAAAATAATCTCAAAAAGTCTGACAAAACTTCTATAAGGATGCGCTTTTAACTGTTCATACCCAGCCTTTATCCAACAATTTTCACTAATTTGTCATATCAATTCCTTAACCTCTCATTCAACAGGCATTTATCCACCACTTCCAATGGCAACACCATGCATAAAAGCAGTCTCACCATCCGAGGGATGGACAAAGGGCGGCGATTCTGTCATCATTATTGGTGACAACTTCTTTGATGGATTACAAGTCATTTTCGGGACAATGTTGGTGTGGAGTGAGTTGATTACCACACATGCTATTCGTGTTCATACACCGCCAAGGCATATACCGGGTGTGGTTGAAGTCACATTGAGTTATAAGAGTAAACAGTTCTGTAAAGGATCACCTGGTCGATTTGTTTATATTTGTAAGTATTTTTTTGAGATGATTTGGTGGATTTTAAAGCTGACGATTTAAATATTTACAGCACTTAGTGAACCAACAATCGACTATGGATTCCAGCGACTTCAGAAACTTATACCAAGACATCCAGGCGATCCTGATAAGTTACCAAAAGAGATAATCCTCAAACGAGCAGCAGATATTGCTGAAGCACTTTATTCAATGCCGCGGTCACCATCAGGAGGTGGAGGTTCAGGATTTAATTCGTATACGGGACAGTTGGCAGTTAGCGTTCAACCAGATGGAAGTTCACAGTGGGCTGAAGGTAGGCATTGTACTTATTATATACTTAACCTCAAAATTCTATAAAATAACCTCAAAGTTCTATGAAATAACCTCCAAATTCCATTTTTTAACCTCAAAACTATAAAAAAAGACACTTCCAAAAACTCAAAATTTTTTAACAAAAAAGAATTCTTTTCAATTCACCTAGCCGATGAGTATAGTCGAGCACAAAGTAGCAGTGTAAGTCCGCGTGGCGGCGGTGGATATTGTTCAAGTGCTTCAACACCACATTCATCAACTGGCGGGTCAGCATCTTATGGTACAACATTAACAAATGGCTATGGACCACCAGCACCAATTCAGATGACTGGATTGTCAACATCGTCACCGGCTTCATCAGGAAATGTTTTCAATTCAGCATCTAGTGAGTGTAATGATAGTTTTGGATACTTAATTATTGTTGTCTGTGTAGATGTTTGTTGGATTAACCTTAAAAAATTGAAATTTTTCACTTTCGAAATTAAAATATTTTATTTTCGAAATTAAAAATATTTCACTTTTGAAATTTAAATTTGATGTCTACGAAATTCAATTTTTCAATTTCGAAAATGAAATTTTTCACTTTCGAAATTAAACTATTTTATTTTCGAAATGAAAATATTTCACTTCTAAAATTTAAATTTTTACATTCGAATTTTATAATTTTTGAAAAATCAATAAAAATTACTAATCCCATTTTTTCTCAATTTCTTTACAGTTTACTACCGTTAAGCATCACGACATCATCGAAATTTATCTAATAAATAATCAACAAAAAACAACACAATTTAATCTAGACTAGATGAAATAAATCTTAAAGTTCATTGCTTGTAAATGGATGAGCATTATTTAAAAATATTCAATTAACAAAATCAAATTTTTGACCATATCATGGGAAGGAAGACGACACAACATATCTGTGGAACTGCACATCATCGTTATTAATGAGGAAGATTTTTTCAAAATTATTTTTATAAAATTCTTAAATTCGAATATCGATTCCGAAAGTAAAAAAAAATAATTTCGAAAGTGAAATAATTCAATTTCGAAAAAGAAATAATTTAATTTCGAAAAACAAATAATTCAATTTCGAAAATTAAAAATTCAACTTCGAAAGTGAACAGTTTCAATTTTGAAAATGAACATTTTTTTAATTTCAAATGATAAAACATATCCACACTAATCATCATCACCATTTAAAAAAAACGAACCACAAAAAATAAAATAAAAATAAAAATTGAAACAAAAAAAATTTAAGATCAAAATAATAAAAGTCAAGAAATAAACTTTCTAGCGCATTCATATTCGTAAAAATAGTCATAATAATGATAAGGAAAATAAAAATCCTCACTTTCTATGTCTCAAAAAAATATATTCACACATATGAGAAAAAAAATTATTCTGTGGTGCTTCTTTTAAGTATTTTTACTACTTTTTAAAATGCTCTCATTTTAGGATAATTTTCTTGTACAGATAAGATAAAAAGAAATGAGCAAAATGATGTCTTTTGTGAGAAATTTCACCCTTGAGTAATTAAATTTTCACAATCTTGAAGCTTTTATGGCATTTTAATGACGTGTTCATCATCACTTGAATGTGAATGGATGAAAAGATTTGGGTTAGTGCTGTTGAGGTTGAAATTAGTCGTTATGAGTTGGTTAAGATGAGGATATAGAAGTGTTTAAAGATAATTGGATTGTAACCTCAAAATATGAATTCCATCCTTAATGTTTGGAATTATAACCTTAAAATTTGGAATTCTTACCTTAAAATTAGAAATTCTTAACTCAATCTTTAAATTCTAACCACAAAACTAGGAATGTAACCTCAAAGTTTAGAATTCTAACCTCAAAGTTTGGATTCTAACCTGCAAGTTTGGGATTTAACTTCAAAATTTGAAATCCTAACCTTAAATTTGAAATTCGTATCTTAAACTTTGGAATGCTTAACCTCAAAATTGTGAAAATTATTACCAAAGTCAGTGACATTTAACCTCACAATTAAATTAAATTTGTATTTATTTAGTCATTATGTTGAGGTCCCCTTATGATAGGTACTCTTTAACTAGGGACGTCAACACCAATATACCCTGAATTGAATACTCTTAACCAATTTTTATGTACAAATATTTTATTAAAGAAAATTCTTTGTAATTTATTTTCTGTTTTTATTCACAAATTTTTTGTAATTTATATCGTAATTCACTATTAATCATATTTAACATAATCTGTAAGTGTTTTTTAAGGAGGCTTTAAAACAACTTATAAAATAATTAAATTAAAAAAAATTATTAATCATCTTAACAAAACTAATCGATAAAGTTAAATAAATTAATTGAAAAAATATTAACAAAATCATTTTTAATTGAATAAAGTTATTGAAAATTTAAAATTGAATTTGATCAAAAATCTAAAATTTTCTCAAATTCAACATTAAAAATTCATCAATAAATTTCAAAATATTTCTAATCGATAATCCCAGTGACATTGATGTAATTAATTATTTAAACTTAGAATAATGGAAAATTCACTAACAACAACAACAACAATGTAAACTTTTAACTGCCGTACGGCGTGAAAGATAATTTATGCAAATTTAAAACAAAATAAACAACACGCAGAAATTTTATTGAAATTTAACTAAAATTGAAGAAAAAAAATTATTAAAAAATGCTGAAATAAAAAGAAACAAAAATTATTAAAAATTTAAAATAAAATTTTTCACTTAAGTTTGAGGTTATGAGTAGATTTAACCTCAAAATGATGAATTTTCAGTGACTTTACCTCCAAAATTATGTGACATAACCTCAAAAATCATCAAAATCACCAACATAACCTCAAAACTTCACAAATGCATTAACATAACCTAAAAAACTTTCAAATTCAGCAAAATAACCTCAAAAATCCACAAATTCATTAACATAACCTCAAAAACATTCAAATTCAGCAGCATAACCTCAAAAACTTTTAAATTCAGGAACTTTATCCTCAAAAATCCACAAATTCAGCAACATAACCTCAAAAACTTTCAAATTCAGCATTATAACCTCAAAAACTTTCAAATTCAGCAACATAACCTCAAAAACTTTCAAATTCAGCATCATAACCTAAAAAACCTTCAAATTCAGCAACTTAACCTCAAAAATTCACAAATCCAATAACATAACCTCAAAAACTTTTAAAATTCAGCAACATAACGTCAAAAATTTACAAATCTAATGACATAACCTCAAAAACTTTCAAATTCAGCAACATAACCTCAAAAACTTTCAAATTCAGCAACATAACCTCAAAAACTTTCAAATTCAGCATCATAACCTAAAAAACCTTCAAATTCAGCAACTTAACCTCAAAAATTCACAAATCCAATAACATAACCTCAAAAACTTTTAAAATTCAGCAACATAACCTCAAAAATCTACAAATCTAATGACATAACCTCAATAATTCAAATGTTAACCTTTTAAAAATCATATCAACATCACCGTAACCTAAAAATCACACCACACTGACCTATAAACCTTCATATCCAGTATCTCACAACAATCAGCTGATCACACCTCACAAATTCAAGCAAAATGCCTAAAACCATCAACATCAACAATCAATATACACAAAATAGTAGTAAAAAAACGTAAACACTGTCTAGCCAGCATCATGCCAAGCTGTTCGATATATGATGCCATTTAAGACTCCGCTGAGAATAACCCGGCAGCCGAACATCCCAAAGTCCCAGCAGCATGATAGCATCGGACCTTGGAGGGACGGAATTTCTTTCTCATGTCTTGATGACTTTGTTTAAATGCCGAATTGTGCGTGTTCAGCCTTTTTTTTTCGGATGTGGAGGATGTTTTTTTCCATTTTACGATTTATTTCCATTCAATTGTGATGGTTGGGTAGGTCAAAAAACGCATTTTCTATCTAATATTACAGTTCTGATTACATCAGATGTGGGATACACTTTTGTTTGTGTGTATTTGTTGTGAGATTCTTTTATGCTTGTGGATGAGAATGTGGATAAATATGTAAGAATTTTAATCCCATCTGCTGTAGTTTAGAGGACTTTATTTGTTTGGAAACTTCTTGGATTGTTTGTGTTTGTTTGAGGTGGAAAAATGTTGTGAATGAAGAGTCAAGAAAGGGTGACTTTAAAGTGTGTTTAAATAGATTTTGGTGATCGAAGGTTGAATTGCTTTATTGAATATTGAAAATGAACCTTATTGAAGCTGCATACTCCTTCCTAAAGCTGGATACCATTTCCGAAAGCTAGATACCCCTTCCTAAAGCTTGATACCCCTTTGATAAAGCTGTGTACCTCTTGCTAAAGCTGTATGCCTCTTACTGAAGTTCCATACCCCTTACTTAATCTGTATCAGGATCTGTATACCCCTTACCAAAGCTGCATACCCCTTATCAAAGCTACATTACCCTTACCAAAGCTGCATACCCCTTACCAAAGCTGCATATTCCTTACTAAAGCTACCTACCCTTTAAAAAGCTGCATACCTTTTACTAAAGTTAAATACCCTATAATGAATCTGAATACCAATTATTTAAGCCAGATACTCCTCAAGAAAGCTGGATACCCCATCCTAAAGCTAGATACACCATACTGGAGCTTAATACTCTTGTTAAAGCTGGTTAAACCATTACTAAAGCTTGATACCCCCAAATCAATACATTATCAAACGTACATGAATCCTATAAAATTATCAGCCATCTTCCATCCATCTCCTCCATATCTCACCGAACAAATAATATAATTTCCATTTTGCAATAATTTCCATTCAGAAAATTTTCCCATTTTTACTTTAAATTGCATACGCAAAAAAAGGAGAATAAAAATCATCATACGCATCCTGGTGACCATGACAACAGAATGAATTTTCCTTCGGGTATTGCCAGTCGCCGACGACAATGAAAATTATTTTTTTTTGTGTATCCCTCTCGAGGGTATTTGATTCTTACACATACATAGACGAATGCAGAACAGAAATAGAGAAACTAAAGATGAAAAATACACTTGGGAAATCGAACGCACAAGTCATGAAGGGTGAAAAAAAGGAAACATCAAGAATCCTTAAAGTGATGCGTAACATAAAATAGAATTATTGGAAATTCGTAAAAGATGTTTTTCCTCTCCTTTATTGTTTTGTTGACTTTAAGATGGCCTCGTGTGCCAGATGGACATGCTTGTATGACAACCGTTTTAACAATGTATCAATGTGTTGTTGACTTTGAAAAGTTTGTTGTAGTTTTTTGATAGAATTGTCTCAACTTGAATTCTACTTGATTGGGCAACCTATCTGATTAAATCAACTACTTGACTAAGACTACTACTTGACCACGACTCCTACTTACTTACTTGATTAAGACATCACCTTGATTAAGACACCGGCTTCTTCAAGACAACTACTTAATTAGGACACTTACTTGATTAAGAATCATACTTGATTAATACACCGACTTAATTAAGACACCTCCTTGATGAAGACACTTACATGATTAAGACACCTACTTGACTAAGACTCCTACTTGATTAAGAATCCTACTTGATTAAGAAACCTACTTGATTAAGACACTTACTTGATTAAGACATCTACTTGATTAAGCACCTACTTGATTAAGACACCTACTTGAGTCAGATACCTACTTGATCAAGATACTTACTTGACTGTGAATTCTACTCGATTTAAAAAATGCGCTCCATTACTCAACAAATACCAAACATTTCCTCACTCATCACATCAATAAATAATTCCCAACATTTCCAACTATCCTCATCAAGAATAGTAATAGTGTGATGACTTGATATTGTAACATATAATTAGACCAAATTAGTGAAAATTATTGACATAAATAAATTCGATTACTGAGTGAATGCTCGACATTGACAGTTTTGTGCGTTCATTTTTGTGGGTGGTTGTGGGCTTATTTAAGATGTAAATAATGTCGTAAAAATTAAAGTCTACAAGTTGTTGAATTTGTGGATGCTTTAAGAATTTTATAAACACAAATTTATATTTTTAATTAATTTTATTGTATTTTTAGGTTAGATTTTTTAAATTTTGCTATGGTTTGATAAGTTTAAAGCTTTTTTTTTTAATTTGAACTGTTTACAGCTGTAATATTCAATTTTGGTAAGGATGAGATGCATACAACAACACTGGAAAATTATTTCATAAGAATACATCAAGTTTGGGCACATTTGAGATTTGGTACAGTTATATTGAGATTTAGCAAGCTAAGGTAGAATACAATATATTTTAATTCCATTTTTCATTAATTGCTCAATCTTTGGTCCACATTCTATCACAATCCTTCTATTACTTTCATACCTAGCCTATAGCTAGTCAACACATAACTCTGCCTTAGTCTCATTTTAACCCTCCCGATGACTAATGTTCAAGAAAACTTGCTCAAGTGACATTTGTGTCAATGCATAATCTTTGATTCCCATATCATTCTTAATCTGTGCCAACTTCCTGAATACTTCTGAATATTTCAAATCAATGTTCTTCAAATGATAAGTCAGAATGTCCAAATAATTTTCTTTCAGTTCCGCACTTCTGAATTTCTCAACAATTCGTTGCTTGACTTTTTCAGTCAAATTTTCATCAGTAAATCCAGTTTTGATGGTCAAGACAAAGCCTTTTGAGAATTTATTCTTTAAATGTTGAACTGGACCAAGACATTGGAACTGACCAGCAACCATGATTCCAATTCTTGTACACAAAGCTTCACATTCATCCATGGAATGCGATGTGATGACGATTGAGGATGAAAGTCGATGATTGTCACGGATTCGCTTGATTGCATTCCAAATTTGACGACGAGCTTGTGGATCGACTCCTGTTGTGCATTCCTATATGGATATACAATTTTTTGAATTTTGAGGTTAGGATTTTAAAAAATTATTAAACTTACATCCAAGAAGATCAATTCTGGATTTCCGAGCAATGCTAAGGCAGTCGACAGTTTTCTTTTATTTCCACCGCTGTAAGCTTTAACTTGCTTGTCCAAATGCTGTTTAAAGTCAAGTTCACTTGCTATTTGGTTGATCATTTCTGTAATTTCATCCATTTTGATGCCACGGATCAATGCAAAGATCTTCAAAGTTTCACGTCCAGTCAGTTCAGGAATGCAGTTGTCAAATTGTGGACAGTAACCGATGAATTGATGAGCTTCAAGTAGTTGAGTCTTCAGGCACTTCCCTTTAATCCAAATGTCACCAGAAGTAATTAGCTCATCTCCAGTCATCATTTTGAATGTTGTTGTCTTTCCAGCTCCATTGACACCAAGTAGACCAAAACATTCATGCTTATTAACATTCAATGATAATTGACGTACAGCAGAGAAACTTTTGAAAGTTTTAGTTAAGTTCCTGAGAACAAGGTTGGAACCAAGCACATCCTTTTCAGACATTGAATTGACTCCTTGTGATTCCATCAAGACATCATCATCAACAATTAAGGATGATAAATTTGAATCAATTGGTTGAGTTTTGTGCATTTTATAGTAAATATATGCAAAGATGTTATAGTCAATGAGTAGAACTACTATGAAGTACAAGGAACCAGATACAAGGCTCATTACCATAAAGTTATCAAGCGAGAATTCTGGAAATTAGAGATTGGTTAGAAACCACTTTAAGCTTGTGCGTCCGTCTGTTTCTAATACATACCTTTTTGACCAGAAAACGCACTAATCTTGATTTCAGGTTCAATGTTTAATGCAAGAATCTCAAGCTGCATTAGTCCCTCAACATACCAAGCTATAGCTTCTGTTAGAGAAAACATCCCGAACCACATACCAATCCAATAAAGAACTCTACTATGGCTCCTAGTTTTCTTGTTTGAATAGAATATGAAGTAAATTCCATAGATGATTGGAACTGAAATATGAGGAAGTTTTGTTCGAATTATCCGAAAGCGATCGGACTATTAAAAAAGTTCGGATTATCCAAACAAGTTCGGATTATACAAAACGTTAGGATCATCCATCGATGTTCGGATTATACAAAACGTTAGGATCACCCATCGATGTTCGGATTATCAAACATTGTTCGGATTATCCATCATTTTTCGGATCATCAAAAATGCTCGGATCTCCAAACAATGTTCGAATTGTCAAACAGTGTTCGGATTATCAAACAGTGTTCAGATTATCCATCGATGTTTGGATCATCAAACAATGCTCGGATTATCCAACGATATTCGGATTATCCAACGATATTCGGATTATCCAACAATGTTCGGATCACCCAACTTATAAATACTTACTAACAAGAGACACAAACTGTATCATGACCTCTCCAGTCGATGGCTTACTAAATAAATAAGAGAACAAATAAATAAAAGGTATCCATGCAAAGCCATAGACCACAGCAATAGTCATCAAAGCCTTAAACTCCTCATACAGATAGTCATGACTGTGCATTCCATACACAAAAGTCACAGACAGCACCAAAAAGATAAAAGTCAGCAAAATGTAGTCAAGTAGGAAGTTTGTGAACCAAAAGACAAGTCGATTTGTGCCCCAAATGAATTGAAGGAACTTAAACTTCATTTCTCGTTCCTTGATGTAAATTCGAACAAAAATCATAGGCCATAACATGAATAGGAAGAAGACAGTAAAGAAGTCGAAGACTGCATTCTCTTTGCTATCAAAACTGTCGTGGCTGTCCTTCTTAATGTATGGCTCATTAGTCACTGAGATGTCATAGTCACCACCAGCTATAGACTTCAATATAGCTCGATTGATTGTATTGACTGTCAATGGAGTCGTGTGGTATGGCTGGGAATTGAACCAAGCTGTAAGTTCACCGGATTTTATGGTTGCAGCTATGAGGTTCTTGTGGTTGACTGTTCCTAGAGATTCATTGGACTTTTTGAGGATCGTTTCTTCCAAAGTTTTATTGAATGTCTTGCTGACGTCGATGATTGTGTCCTTACCAGTGAAAAGACTCATGTAAGCATCAGACAGGTTCGACTTCTCGTCAATTTCTATTAAAGTTTCAGTTCCTTCATATGTATCAAAGGATATCCTCAATTCTGGCATGTAAGTTGTAGTACTCGACATCATTTTAGGCAGCAAGAATATAGCAAGTGCTGATAAAACCCCAAAATACACAAAAGTCTTCCACATTTCACGATAAACCCAAATTTTCTTAAGAATCATTGCATAAATTTGGTAACAAGCCATCGAACTTTCCTCGTCCTTTTCAAAGACTTTTGAGCTTTCAACCAAAATTGGTTGGAATTCATTAATGATTTGATTGTCATCAAATGTTCCATAGCCGAGTTTCAGGAACACATCTTCAAGTGACGTAAAACTACATCCAAAACTTGATATCTTCAGCTGCTCAGCATTGTCTTCAAGGCTTTTAAAAATTTCATCAAAATATGGCAATTTATCATTTGAGATCACAATGACTGCTTCGGTCTTTCCTTCACTTTCAATGAATGCTTCTGGTGCGTGTTCTTCAAGGACATCGAGTACAGCATGAGCATCAAATCCACTTTGCTTGACTAAAGTCAATCGATAGCCAGTTCCGAATCGTTTCTTCAGGAAGAATGAGGAACCAACTGTTCTGAGCTGTCCTTCAGTCATTATAGCTATTCGATCGCCGAGGATGTCAGCTTCATCTAGAATCGGAATTAAAATGAGTTTAGCTGTGTTTAATGTTTGACTTTGGTCAATAGTGGTGTGGAGTGTGCGATTATTGACCAAAGTATATTGTAGTGTATGACATTTGATCCAAAATCGTGCGCAGAACACGACTATTGACCATACCCAAGCAATATACAACCATTGACCCATAACCGTGTACAGAGAACCACTTTTGCTCCAATACCTACCCATGAAATGAGTGCTGATCAGAATAGTCTTATCCTTCTTCTCTGATATTAATAAGTTCCATAAATCCCTCCGTGATGAAGGATCCATCCCCGAAGTAGCTTCGTCCATGATCACAAACTTGGGATTTCCACACAGTGCCAGTGCTATGGACAACCTTCTTTTCTGACCACCACTAAGGTTCTTACTTTGTTCCTTCAATTTATCAACAATTCCTAATAAATTTGTATATTTATCAACTTGACTCTCAACTTGAATCACATCAATCATTCCTTTAAGTCTACAGAAGAACTGCAAATGTTCCTCAACTGTCAGTTCCTCAAATAAGATGTCATGTTGTGGACAGAATCCAAATGATCTTCTAGCGTCTTCAATTTCAGTTCTTATGTCATATCCATTGATGATTGCTGTTCCTGATGTTGGTGCAAAAAGTCCAGTCAGCATTGACATTGCTGTGGTCTTGCCAGCTCCATTGTGACCCAACAGAACTGTGATTTGGTTCTCAAATAGATTTAATGATAGGTTTTTGACTGCAAATTTGGTTCCAAATGTTTTTGATAAATTTCGAATTTGAATTCCGACTCTTAAATTTATAGGTTCCTCTTCTTGGTCTGCGGGTCTGCATAGGAGTTGACTAGCATCTGAGATCTCAGAATCATCGAAGTTGTATGAAGCGTTCTTGTTAAGAACCTTATAAATTGATTTGAGTGGAAAGTACCAAGGCTTGGGGATGCCAAAATCTCCAGGAAAGACCTTCTCAATGTAAATGGTCAACAGCATCAGAATGGCACTGCCAACATTCATCCAGACCAACAATTCACCAAACGAGAACTTCAAGTCAACAGATCTCTTAAACAGGTTCGAAAATCCAACTCCATCATCATTAACTTCAGCCATAAGAATCATTTTAATGCCTTGACCCATGTTTGTGTTAGTCAGCATGCAGAACAGCACTTTCAGTCCATATCCAAACCTATAAAAGCTATCATGATACATCATGTAAGGCAGAACAGTAGCAATGAAGATAATTGAGCCAACAATTCCAGCACGTGATGACTTTTTGAAGATGACACTGACAAGGAAGCAGAATGTGATCATGGATGTGATGTATGAGATGAAAAAGAACCAAATGATGAGTGGATTGCTGTTGGCAAAAATTGGAATATCCGAAATGATGCTTGTGACTGTCAAGATGAGGTTGATTGTGAAGGAAATGATGAGAATAATGAAGCTACGCATGAACCATGATGACCAGTATAAAGCACTCGACAATCCCATTATTTTCATTGATTCTGTTAGACGTGACTCGCGTTCGATTGTTATGTTCTGGAAAATTTTTGAGGTTAGGTTCAGATTAGATGAGATTTAAGGATATAAACTTAAAATTAATAATCCTTACCTTAACCAGCACTTTTGATGAAAATATCATGCAAAACACAAACAAAATTGGAAATCCATAGGCAGCGAATTCCATAAAAAAGTCCTCAACTATACTTGGGTACGGGAAGTACCTCAAAGTTTCCAATTTAACAATTTCCATATCAGGCTTTAGAGACTTCATAAATGCTTGATCAATCTCATTTTGCAGCATCAGAAAACAGCTTGGATAATATAGAGGAAAGCTTGCTTGGTTTTCGCCAGAATATCTGCGATTGTAAGTTACACTGATGTAGTAGAGAATGTCAGTATCCCATCCGTAGTAAAAGCTACCAGATTGTGGAGCCAGAATTCTATAGCTGAAGTTTTTGGGAGGAACTGTTGATGACTAAAATGGAATATAAAGTAATGGATTAGTGAGAAAAGAGACTGTTTTTATATCTTAATCTAAACGTATCATTTAACTGAACATAGCCTTTTACTGAACATGTCCTTGTTTGAATTGAATTTGTCTTCAAAATAAAATTATCCTCAAGTCAAATGAATTATTAAATAAACCTTATCCTCAAGCTGAACTTATTCTTTAACTGAACTTATTCAAAAACTGATCTTATCCTAAAGCTGAACCTATCCTTAAACTGAACAAATCCTAACGTTTAACTTATCCCAAAGCTTAACTTATCCAAAAGTTGAACTTATCCCAAAGCTAAACCTATCCCAAAGCTGAACCTATCCCAACGCTGAACTGATCCTTAAGCTAATGTTATTCTCCAACTGAACTTATCCTCAAAATATCTTTCTTAACTAACCTCATCAAAAGCAACCCCGATTGCTGGCAAATTTTGCTTCCGTAACCAAATTTTCAAATTTTCCTTGTTGTCATGTCCGACGAACTTTAATGTTTGGTTGAACTTCTCTCTGTCATCAAACATGTAGTCCGTATCCTTAATATCTGATAATGTTGAATTGAACTGCATGTAAACTTCGTGCATTAATTTTTGATAATATGAGCTATTCGGTGAATATCCAAATTGATGAATATTTTGGTAAGTTATCCTGCATTCTGATGGATTCATGCTGAATTCCTCCCCAAGATCTAATGGGGTTGTGCGTTCTGGAATTTCATTTTTCACCCATGTGAAGAAAACGATGACTGCAATGGGGAAGATGAACTCGAAGGTCACTAAAATTGGAGCAAAAAGAAGAAATACTTGACAGTCAGTAAGTCTGAAGATGAATTGTGTTGGAAAAGGTCGTAAAAGTTTTAATTTGAGGAAGTTTTTATTGACTTTGTGACCTTGAAAGAGACTTGGAAAATGATTTTGCGGATTTGCTGTGGAATTTAATTAAAATTGCAGCCTTTTTGACTTCAAATAATAAGCTTTTCATGAAAACTGATGAATGATCCACAGCAAACCTTCTTCTTAGTTAATCTCACCTGCAATTGGGTGTCTTTTAACCAAAATCCAATTTTTCCAAAGCAGCAATTTGAATTTTTGCAGCCACATTGTTCAATGTCCCACTGAGAACTGAATCAAATGTAAGAACTGAGATGAATAAAATTCACATTATTGGCGCCACTAAGACTGGACTGATGTCTCAGTAGTTGGCTTACTGCTCATGTTCGGAAAGAAAAGATACAATTTGGGACAGTTTTGATTATGTGTGATAAAAATAAAGTTGATGCTGTAATCGATGTGAGTTAATCGAGTGTGAACTTTATGGATGTGGTGCAAATTAATATTTATTGAATAAATTAAAGATTTCAAAATTTTAAGTTTTTGAATTAAAGGATTTTTTAAACTTTTGAAATTTTTTGAAGAATATCGCAATTTAAAAAAAGATTAAAAGTTTGATAAAAATTCAAAAAGTTCCAAAAATTTAAATTTTTTCAAAAATCCAAAAAATTAAAAAATTCAAAAACAAAAGAAAAATTCAAAAACAAAAGAAAAATTTAAAAACAAAAGAAAAATTCAAAAACAAAAGAAAAATTCAAAAACAAGAAAAATCCAAAAAAAATTCAAAAAATAAAAAAATTTAAAAACAAAAGAAAAATTCAAAAACAAAAGAAAAATTCAGAAAGAAAGGAAAAATTCAAAAACAAAATAAAAAAAAATTCGAAAACAAAAGAAAAATTCAAAAAAAATAAAAATTCAAAAGAAAAAAAAATTCAAAAACAAAAGAAAAATAAAAAAAAAATAAAAAAATTCAATAACAAAAGAAAAATTAAAAAAAAAATAAAAAAATTCAAAAACAAAAGAAAAATTCAAAAACAAAAATAAAATCCAAAATAATCAAAAAATTTAATAAATTTAAAAAAGTTCAAATTCATGAAAAAAATTAAAGATAAGAAATAAAAATTCACTAAAATTTCAAAAAATCCAAAAAAAGTTCAAAAAATAAAAAAATTGCACGTTTTAAAAAAGGAATTTAATAAATAAAAAATCCAGATAAATTTAAAAAAGTAAAAAAAAAAATAAAAAAGCTTTAAAAAGCAAAAAAAAAATCAAAAAATTTAAAAAGCTTTAAAAAACAAAAAAAAATCAAAAAATTTTAAAAAAATTAAAAAAAATTCCAAAAATGTTTTGTTGATCAAGAATTTGAAAACACCATAGAAACTTTAAAGTTCAAAAGCATTAGTATCTTCATCAACACTATAGCCCAGTCACCATAGTCAGCAATCACTTTACGTGACGGAATCACATGTGAGTATTACAGCAGACCGGCAATATCAACTCAAATCAGCTGATTCTCAGAAAACATTAAAAAACAGTTCTTTTTACAACTCAGTGATGATGCTCAATAATTTTTGATTCTCATTTTTCTCTCTGTTTACCCAAAAATGTCTGTTCGTCTAGTTTTGATGATATTTGTGTGCGTTTTTTTGTATTTACTAGAGCGCGAAAATAATCTCTGTTGGGAAAAAAAGTGATTGTTGTTGTTGTTGTATTAAATTTGATTTGGATTCAAACTTTTTTTTCAGTTTGTAAAAAAAAAACATTACAAAAAAAACTTTGGGTTGTGAATGATTAACATTTGAGTTCAGCTCAACACCGCTCAGAACTTCTTTTCTGTGCCTTGCCATCCAATAAACACTCTTCTGTAACTCTACCTTTAAACATCAGTTGCTGTGTGATTTTATATCATTTGACTATCAAATTTCCAAGAATTATTTATTCAAAAATTAACATTTAACTTCAAATTTGCACATAAAAAAGGTTTTGTTAAGAATAAAAATCTGCAGAGTCTGTATAAAAAGAGTTTAGAATTGATTGTCATCAATCAATACATCGTAGACTGTCAAGCTGCACTCGTCATTGTTCATCATCATGAAGACTATTTGGTAATTTATTTAAATTATTATAAAAAGTATCAGTTTATACTCATCATTCTCCTCTATTAGGTCCATTACCACCCTCATCCTATGCCTTTTGAAGCCAACTCTAGCTTTTGATATTCAATGCAACTACACGACCGACCACAGCTACTATGTGCTAGGCAAAATTTACCGCTGTGTCCTGAAAAACAATCTCAACATTAATTCAAAATATTCAACATTTATCAAGTCAGCTGCCGGTTCCCACAGCTCAAGCAAGTCCAACAAAGATGTTCTCGGCTTTCAAGCTGACCAAAAAAACATTGAGTACTTCCTATCAGGTTTAGACTACATATTTCCGAATCTTCAGCTAATTGCAATCACTTTTGGACGAACAGATTTACGTCCATTTTCAAAATAAATCACAATTTATGTTGACAATAATGACATTGAGGTGATTGAGGATGAATTATTTGACTTTAATCCATACTTACAAGCTGTATCATTCGTCAGCAACAAGCTCGTTCATGTTGGCCAAAGATCATTTGATAATTTGACTCAATTGAGGTATTTGTGGCTTAATAAGAATCCATGCATTGATGGTGAAGCTTTTAATGACACAACGCTGGTTAAGAAGCTTGTCCAGAACATCAAAAGTCAGTGTATTAATGTGAAATATTCTAAAATTCAGACTGGGATCAGTGTTGAGGTTCTGAATAGAATTAATGTCATTATTGGTGGATTTAAGACTTTTGAGGTTCAAACATGTTCAAATATCAGAGCTGAAAGCTTCGAGGACTCATTGAGGATCGTGAAAGACAGCATAATTCGACAATTGAATATTTTGAGGAATGATTTGGTCTCGACATGCAAAGCAGAACAAGAAATTATCAGAAATTAAAATTTTGTTTTAAAATTTTTGAATATTTTATTAAACTTTATGTGAACTGTTCTAAGGCCCTGCCACTAAGAGCAAAGTCAAAGTTGAAATTTTTATGGAAATATTAGGAAATGTTGATCATACCAAGTGTACCAGCGAACCCCATCCCTGGTCAAAGACTCTAAATAATTCGTACTGTAGCTACATACTTAATAAAAATATATTTCGAGGTTAAATTTTATAATCAATCCAAATTGACGTTTTTGTCATCCTTTGTCTAATCATCAGAATCGATCAAATCAAGCGGTCTAGCTTTATCATAAATTTCATTTCTCTGATCTTTTTTGGTTTTAATCTTATTATCAATTGGTCGGATGTTTTGGTCCTTATTTGTTTCATATTTTTTTGAACTTTCACCCAGCTCTGGTATGACATCAAATCCTAAAGCATTGTCACCTAATTTACTATTTTTGTGGGGATTACGTCCGAAAAGAACCTTGTACCATTTAGGTTTGTTCTGTTTTGCCTTCTCATTTTCCTTTTTAACTGCATCTTCTATTGCTCGTCTTTCTAATTTCCTTTTTGCTAGTTTAACTTCTTCCTCTTGTATTCTTTGTTGCTCTTCTTTATCTTTTAATATTTCATTAGCTCTTATGCTTGCTATGGTTTCGATCTTGTCACTTATTTTATGATTTTCTGCTTCTTTTGCTTTTCTTTCGGCTATTTCCTGTTCTCTCCAACGTGCTTCTTCATTAGCTATTTGCGTAGCTTTCTCTTGAGGTAGTTGAACTTTTTGTTTGCAAATGTTCAGGAACACTTGCTCAAGTGACATTTGTGTCAATGAATAGTCCTCAATATGCATCTCCTCCTTTACTTCTGCTAACATTTTGAAGATTTCTGAATATCTTAACTCAAGGTTTGTCAGATGGAAAATAAAGATGTCCAAATATTGTTCTTTCAATTCAACATCCAGGAACTGCTGCACAATCTTTTTTCTTAATTTTTTGACTTTATTTTCATCAGTAAATCCAGTTTTGATTGTCAAGATGGAGCCTTTTGAGAATTTATTCTTTAAATCTTCAACTGGACCAAGACATTGGAACTGACCGGCAACCATGATGCCAATTCTTGTACACAAAGCTTCACATTCGTCCATGGAATGAGATGTGATTACAATTGAGGATGAAAGTCGATGATTGTCACGGATTCGATTGATTGCATTCCAAATTTGACGACGAGCTTGTGGATCGACTCCTGTTGTGCATTCCTGTTTGGATATAAAATATTGTTTAGAATTTTGAGGTTAGGTTCTTAAAAATTATTTAACTTACATCCAAGAAGATCAATTCTGGATTTCCGAGCAGTGCTAAAGCAGTCGACAGTTTTCTTTTATTTTTGATGCTGTAAGCCTTAACTTGCTTGTACAAATGCTGTTTAAAGGCAAGTTCATTTGCCATTTGGTTGATCATTTCTGTAATTTCGTCCATTTTGATGCCACGGATCAGTGCAAAGATCTTCAAAGTTTCGCGTCCAGTCAGTTCAGGAATAAAGTTGTTAAACTTTGTCTTCTGATTTTCATACCTGACCCAGACATCACCAGATAAGACTGCTTCATCTCCAGTTATTATTTTGAATGATCTAGATTCAAATGTGATGGCTGTGATATTTAAGTAAGCTTTCAGTAAATTTTTAAGGTAAATTGAGGATTCATTTGTGTCTTCATTAGAAGCATTGGCTGCATATTGACTTTTCAGTATTGTTTTTGACAAATTTTGCCTTTTTGGTTTTCTGAGTTTTGGATACAAATATTCAAAGAAGTTGTAATCAAGTGACAGAACAATCAGGAAGAAGATGCAACCAGACACAAAATTCATTCTTATGTATACATCAAGTGTTGTGTAGTCAAAGGGTCTCGATCCTGGAATATTAAAATTTAAATAAATTTTTATTCAGTCTTCAAATGAATGTTCTTACTAAAAGTCGCGATCTGATTCATCTGAACCAAAGTAAATGGAGCGAACATCACTCCAATCCAGTGATAAATTAAGGCTAGAAAATTGTAACTTTTATTTTTAAGTCCAGCTTGAAGAGCGTAGTCAATTGCTGATAAGATGCACACTATAAAGGAACATTAAATACTGATTTTTGGTATATTCGAGTCAATTGGAAGTAAAACTTACGAATAATCGACGTAAACAGCAACATAGTCTCTCCAGATGATGGTTTACTGAATAAATAAGAAAAAGCATAGATGAAGCATATCCATGAGAATCCATAAGAACTTCCAATAGTCATTAAAATCTTAAACTCTTCCAACTGTTGTTCCTTATCATAATTTAAGCACACAATGCATCCAAACAGCACCAAACAGATGAGAATGAATAAAATGTAGTCAAAGATTAAGTTTGTGAACCAAAAGACGAGTCGATTAGTGCTGCAGATGAATTGAAGGAACTTAAATCTTATTTCTCGTTCCTTAATGTAGTGTCCAATATAAATCATCGGCCAAATAATTAACAGGAATAGAATAACAATAAAGTTAAGCACAAAATTCCCTTTCGAGGTTGCCACATCCTTAATAAAATCCAATTTATTGTTAGACTTCTCGTATGGATGATTAGTCAATGTTATGTCGTAGTCACTGCCAGCTACAGATTTGAGAATAGCTCGATTGACTGTGTTGATAGTCAGTGGCATGGTGTGGTATGGCTGGGTATTGAACCAGGCAATGATCTCGTCATTTTTAAAGGTTGCAGCTATGAGGCTCTCATAGTTGACCGTTTCTAATGGCTCATCAATAAAGTCTAGGGAAGTTATTGTTATCTTGTGTTTGTTGTTGAATAATCTCAGGTAATGATCAGAAATGCTTAAGTTTTTGTCAATTCCGACTAAAATTTCAGTTCCTTCATATGAATCAATTGAAATTTGGAGGTTATTTGAAATATTTAGATGAATGTAAAACAAAATCGGCATCAGTAATATGGAAAAGATTGAAAAAATTCCGAGTTTCATAAGCATTGTCCATGATTGTCCGAGGACATAAAACTTCTTCAGGAACATCGCGTAAAATTGTTGAAGAATTGCCAAATTTTTGTTGCATTTCGAAAAATCTTTTTTAGGTTCTTGGATATTAACTAAGGTTTGCTGTTCTGAATTATCAACATGCTTGCTGGTGCTTTTATCAACATTTAGGAACGACATTCTCAAAACGACATCTTCAAATGATGTGTAGCTGCATTTAAGGCTTAAAATCTTAAATTTTTTTAATTTGTTTTCGAGTGATTCAAAGATTTTGTCAAAAATTGGCAGATTTGCCTCTGATATTGTGAAAACTGCTTCTGTGTTTGATTCAGATTGTTTGTCTGTTGCTGTGGCCATGTCTGCATCATAAGCTGCAATATCTTTTGAACCTTCGACTTTCTTAATCTCATCCAATACAGCTTGAGCATCAAATCCGTCTTGTTTAACACAAATCAATTTGTAGCCAATTCCAAATTTCTTCTTAAAATTTCTTATGGATTCGTCAGCAAGTAGTTGACCTTCGGATATGACAGCTATGCGGTCACCAAAAACATCAGCTTCATCCATAAAATTTGTTGTGATCAGAATTGTTCGGCATTGTTTCTCAGCATTTAGTAAGTCTCGTAGTTGTTGACGTGATGATTGGTCCATGCCTGATGTAGGTTCATCCAGGATGACAAACTTGGAATCTCCACAAAATGCAATTGCAATTGACAACTTCCTCTTTTGTTCATCTTTAAGTGCTTTAACTTGACTGTTCAGGTCATCAAAAATCCCCAATAATTTTGCATACTTCTTAATGTCACTTTGGATAGCCTCAAGGTCAACCATTCCTTTAAGCTTGCACAAGAACTCGAGATTTTCCTGAACTGTCAGTTCCTCAAATAGAACGTTATGCTGAGGACAGACACTAAGAGACCTTCTAACTTCATCTATATTAGTCTTAATATCAAATCCATTAATGACTGCAGTGCCTGATGTCGGCTGACACAATCCAGTTAGCATGGATATAACTGTAGTGTTTCCAGCTCCATTATTATCCATCAAAACAGTGATTTCGTTCTTGTTAAGCTTGAGGGACAGATTTTGAACTACAAATTTATTTTTAATCTTTTTGCTTAGTTTTATTGTTTCAATTTGATCATGAATTGAATCATCAGTATTTGTAAAAAATTGTTCTGTTTCTCCAGCATTAGGACTAGTTGAAATGATTTCCTTCAAGTTGGCATTTGAACTTTCAGCTGTTTTTTTGACAACTTTATTATAGAAATGTTTAAATGGCATGACTAAAAGTTTAGTAATTTCTAGCTCTTCATATAAAACCTTTTCGATGTAAATGGTCAACAGCATCAAAATGGCACTGCCAACATTCATCCAGACCAGCAATTCACCAAACGAGAACTTCAAGTCAACAGATCTCTTAAACAGGTTCGCAAATCCAACTCCATCGTCATTAATTTCAGTCATAAGAATCATTTTAATGCCCTGACCCATGTTTGTGTTAGTCAGCATGCAGAACAGCACTTTCAGTCCATATCCAAACCTATAAAAGCTATCATGATACATCATGTAAGGCAGAACAGTAGCAATGAAGATAATTGAGCCAACAATTCCAGCACGTGATGACTTTTTGAAGATGACACTGACAAGGAAGCAGAATGTGATCATGGATGTGATGTATGAGATGAAAAAGAACCAAATGATGAGTGGATTGCTGTTGGCAAACATTGGAATATCCGAAATGATGCTTGTGACTGTCAAGATGAGGTTAATTGTGAAGGAAATGATGAGAATGATGAAGCTTCGCATGAACCATGATGACCAGTATAAAGCACTCGACAATCCCATTATTTTCATTGATTCTGTTAGACGTGACTCGCGTTCGATTGTTATGTTCTGGAATATTTTTGAGGTTAGGTTCAGATTAATGAGGAATTGGAGGATATAACCTTAAAATTAATAATCCTTACCTTAATCAGGACATAAGCTGAGAATATCATTGACAAGACAAACAGAATTAGGAACCCATAAGCAGTATCATTCATAAAAACATCAACTTCTACTTCTGGATATGGAAAAGTCTTCAATGTCTTTAATTTCTCAACTTTAGATCCATTATTGACTGTCTTAATGAATGCCTGATCAATCTCATTCTGGAGTTTTAGGAAACATGTTGAATAGTACAAAGAATCCTTAAAAGATAAGCTTTTGTTTCTCGGTTCCTTTGATATTCCTGTGTAATATAGTTTGTCCGTGTTCCATCTGGTTGAGGCTGTTATGTTTTCTGGCATCATTATTGCATACTTGAGGTGCTTTGGAGGTTCTGCATAGAACTGCAAATTATTAAAATAATATTAAACATTTTTCCAGTCGGTCCATCATTATTGCATTAAAGAACCTCTTCAAATAGAACAGCAGCAACCGGTTCCGACTGATTTCTTATCCACTTATTCAGCTGTGCTTCATCCTCAAAGACAATCAAGTCCACATTGAAATTTTTACTAACATTTGTCATTAATATGTTAAAATAGTCATTTTCTGGGGAATATACAAGCTTCGTGATTTCTTGAGACTGATATTGACACAATGGTGGATTGATGTTGAATTCCTGACTTGGTTGAGCTTCAATTTTAATTTTATCTTTCAGTCTTCCATAAACAAGAAAGATAAGAAAGGCAATGACGGGAAGTACGAGCTGTAAAATTGCTATAAAAATAAAACTAGTAAAGAGGTGATCACACATGATCGACCAAAGCGCATTTTCTCTGCACAGAATTCAAGTGAAAAATAAAATCCAAAAACTTAAAAAAATTGAAAAATGACGGTCAAAAAATATGTGAAAAATCGATTGAAAATTATAAGAAGGTCATAAGTGCCTTATCACCTTGATGGCAACTCCTGACCTCCATATTTCCGCGCGAAAAGCCATAAAATTGCCTTGAAAAATCTGAAATTAAATTACAATAATAAATCAAAAATTAAAATCTGGATTTCAGTTAGGAGCATCTAAATTGATGTAAATTCCTTCTGTGTGTGCGTTTATGATGTCAAAAAAAAAGAAAAATATGTCCGGGATATTTACGAATCTTAACACGACCTGAAAAGGAAATCAAGAATAAAATATTTCATCAAAAAATTATCTTTAAAATAAAATTAATTAATAATACATACAATCATAATTGAACGATCCAACATCTGATAAACATAAATATGAAGAAAAATACAGCTTTAGAAGAGATATCGCTGGCACATTTTTCGGTTCACCTTTTGCTTTATCATTTGATATACGTTTTGATAGATTACACACCTAAAATAACAATTGAATTGTTTAGATATGTTAAAGTTGAAAAATATAATAATACATACCAAGTTATAATGCTGTTTCTTTAATTCAGGATCAAAATTTGCTTGTGTGTCAAACAAACTTAGCTTATGCTCAACAAAATCGATTAGTTGGACGCTTTTAATTGGAAAAGTTCTTATTTTTACAATAATTTAAGCACTTTAGAATTACTTACAACTGATGACTTCCATATCGACGTCTCTTGTAATGTTTCAAGTCCAAAAAGGACTTTAAACTGACTCTTTTTAATTATGTCATTAATTGACGAACCGAACACGTTGAACGTCTACTCTATTGTTATTGATGGGAGCCACAAAGCAGTCACAAGGCAATTAAAAGCGAAATTGCCTTACAAATGCCTTAATCTTTTCATCGCAGTGTGGTGGCAGTCTCAGGACTGCCACTGCCACAAATTAGGGCTCGCGTTTGTTTTATTAGCTCCGTTACTATCGATTTATCGGCCCATCGAATGGTTAAAAGTCTTTAAATCATGTATTTATGCTGTAATTAAGGATTTTTGTTTTGTTTTCAGTGTAACCTGTCCAAATTTTATTTTATTTCCATAATTTCAACATTACCTCTATAATTTCAAATTTTTTCTAGCCGTTGTAAAATTTGAATTTCAAAAAACCGTTAAATGATAAACCCATTTTGGATGGGAATTCATTGCAACAAATTATTAATTACACTAAAATAAATTATCTTCTCATGATCTGTAAATGAACGCAAAATAATTGGATAATCAAATACTGATCGCTAACACAAAAATGCGCTTAAGTCCCTCGATTAATAACACGAGAACTTCTGTAATTTTTTTTTTCTTGCCAGACACAATACAAATATTATAAGCCAAAAACCGCTGCAACCGAGAAAAAATTCTTATTTTTAACATTCTTGACGTATTAATCATCACCACAGGTGACGAACATGATTGATGCGTACTAAGAAAATAGTATAGAAGGAACAATTTCTATTCAATAAAATTCAGTCTTATCAGAACACTTAAGCAATTAAGTTCTTTTTAATAGTGAACAATAATTTCAGAAATTTTGGATTATCTTATATAAATAAAAGTCCAACAAACAGAGATAGCTGTACAGACAGACATACACACGGACAAAGTGCGGACAAAAGTGTCTTTTCTTGAAAAAAATGCGTTAAATATTTGACAATTTAACCTTGCACTGTATACACTCACTATTACTCATTCAAGCATTTTTTCCGCATGCGTTAACATTTTATTCGAATCTATTTTTACTCACCAAATACTCTATTACGCTTAAAAACAATCCAATTCTTCCAAAATAACAGTTTTAAATTATTCACAAACAATTTAGACATATTAATACAATTGTTTTTTTTTATTTTCTTATTTTTGGAATGTTTTACCTTCGTAACTGCGTATTTTTATTTTTTGCCTGATAACTTAATTGTTATCCATATCTTTTGATAAAAAAATCCAAGTCATTGATAAAATTTCTTTCCAAATGAACAATGTTTTCTATCAAATTAAAAAAAACTGAACTAGCAATGCTAAAAACACACATGTCTGTGTTGATTCGCATTAATATTGGTTAAAATTTACGAAGTTTTATTCATTAATGTTGTCAAGATGTTTTGCGTCTACAGTTAACCTCAGTCTGCTTTCTGCGGTTACTACGAATGACCTTGAATCAATATATTATTATTTTGGAATAAGATAAAAATTAACTGTGACTAGGGTTGAACCTAGTCGAACCTAGTCCAACCTAGTCCAACCTAGTCTATCTCAGTCCAACTAGCGACCATAGACTAGCCTCATTAATTATGCAAAACTTACCGTTGACTTATGAAATTTATTCCTTTTTAAACTATAAAAAAATTGGCGAAAGTCCTCGTGTTTTATATTGAAGGACTTTAGCGCATTTTTGTGTTAGCGATCAGTAATTGATTATCTAATTATTTTTTTCATTTACAGATCATTAAAAGATTAGAAAGTCATTAATTTTAGTGCAATTAACAAATAATTACAATAAAACCTCACATAATCATTTAACGGTTTTTTGAATTTCAAATTTTCTAACGGTCAATAAATATTTGAAATTATAGTGGTAATATTGAAATTGTAGAGGAAGTCAAAAATTTAAACAGGTTACACTCTATGAAGTAAATTTTTCACAGGTTGCACCGCATTGAAATTGAAAAAAAAAACATTAATTATAGTATTTAATGGTGGTTTTGAGCTTTCAAACTGATCGATGCGCCAATACCTCGATAAACTCGAGCTAACGTAAAAAACTAGAACTCTATGCGATTTCCAGATCAAAAGTTTTTGCAAGCAGCCGTACAGCCAGCCGAACAAATCGTATTATTAAGCTACCTTTTCGAAAACAAGTTTTCAAAAATGCGCTAAAAGAGATAAACCAATGATCAAAAGACGTAATTTACAAACGAATCTCATCCGGTATTAAATGCTAAAAGGAAATGTGTGAATAACGCTGTATATATTTAATGCTAATAAACCAAAAAGCTTTTTCAGTGTATTTGAAGAGAAAAGAATAAAAAAATAAGCAGCGCGTTGAGAATATTAAACAACTGAATAAACAGCAAGTCAACATTATAGTTTTTTTTTGGTTATCGAATAACATTGTTATATTTTAGTAAATGTTTAAACTTAACGGAATTTATAAAAATAATGTTCATTTAATCGGTGGGTTTAATCAGGCTTGAATTGGGAAGTTTCTCAGCTTTATTTTCTAATTTTTAAGCTGTAATGCTGTTACAATATAAGCTACAATATAGGATAACTGGTATGACTAAGTTTATACCAACATGCATATGTTTGCAAAAGAAATCTGGAAGTGTTAATAAACTCAACTTATTAAAATCAGTTTTGGCCTTTTTATTGAGAAATCTTTAAAATTTTGGCTAAAACTTTGACTTTTTTCAGAGACAGGTGCGTAGCCAGGGAGGGAAGGGGGATTTGGGGGACAAATCCCCCAACGTAAACAGAAATTTCTTTATTTTACTAGGGTTTTATGAAAAAATCACAAAAATCCCCCCTTCCCCCTAAAATTTTTCCATATAAAAATATTTTTTGCCCCCTTCCCCACCCCCCCCCCCTCGTCAAATTCCTGTTCAGAGATTCTCAACAATCATAACTTAATGTGACCAATTAATTCTGACTAATATTCAAGAAAACTTGTTCAAGTGACATTTGTGTCAATGCATAATCTTTGATTCCCATTTCATTCTTAATTTCTGCCAACTTCCTGAATACTTCCGAATATTTCAAATCAATGTTCTTCAAATGATAAGTCAGAATGTCCAAATAATTTTCTTTCAGTTCCGCACTTCTGAATTTCTCAACAATTTTTTGCTTGACTTTTTCAGTCAAATTTTCATCAGTAAATCCAGTTTTGATTGTCAAGACGAAGCCTTTTGAGAATTTATTCTTTAAATGTTGAACTGGACCAAGACATTGGAACTGACCGGCAACCATGATGCCAATTCTTGTACACAAAGCTTCACATTCATCCATGGAATGAGATGTGATTACAATTGAGGATGAAAGTCGATGATTGTCACGGATTCGCTTGATTGCATTCCAAATTTGACGACGAGCTTGTGGATCGACTCCTGTTGTGCATTCCTATATGGATATACAATTTTTTGAATTTTGAGATTAGGATTTTAAAAAATTATTAAACTTACATCCAAGAAGATCAATTCTGGATTTCCAAGCAGTGCTAAGGCAGTCGACAGTTTTCTTTTATTTCCACCGCTGTAAGCTTTAACTTGCTTGTCCAAATGCTGTTTAAAGTCAAGTTCACTTGCTATTTGGTTGATCATTTCTGTAATTTCATCCATTTTGATGCCACGGATCAATGCAAATATCTTCAAAGTTTCACGTCCAGTCAGTTCAGGTATGCAATTGTCAAATTGTGGACAGTAACCGATGAACTTGTGAGCTTCAAGAAGTTGAGTTTTCAGGCACTTCCCTTTAATCCAAATGTCACCAGAAGTAATTAGCTCATCTCCAGTCATCATCTTGAATGTTGTTGTCTTTCCAGCTCCATTGACACCAAGTAGACCAAAGCATTCATGCTGTTTGACATTTAATGACAGATCACGGACAGCAAAATTGTTTTTATAAGTTTTGATTAAATTCTTGAGGACAAGATTGGATGTGTCAATGCTCTGACTTGACATATTGTGTACTTCTTGAATTTCTTTTTGAACATCATCGTCATAATTTTGGATAGCACTGAATGCATTTGCTGGTTTAGTTGTTTTGTAAAAAATGAAGGCAAACAAGTTATAATCATTTAGGAGAACGATTAAAAGGAAGATGCAGCCTGACATGATATTCAAAATAATATAGTTTTCTATTTTAGAGTATTCGAATGGCCTCGCAGCTAGAAAGAATGAAAAGTTTAAGTTTAGAGGAATTCAACATCCAGGAAGTGCATGCTTTATACTTACAAGCACTGACAATAGTGTTAATCTTAACCAAAGTAAATGGAGCGAACATCATTCCAATCCAATGATAAATATTAGCCAAGAACTTGTACAATGGGTTTTTAAGTCCAGCTTGAAGGGCGTAGTCAATTGCTGATAAGATGCACACTATAAAGGAACATGAAATTCTGATTTTGGTTTATTCGAGTCAATTGGAAGTAAAACTTACAAATAATCGACGTAAACAGCAACATAGTCTCTCCAGATGATGGTTTACTGAATAAATATGAAAAAGCATAGATGAAGCATATCCATGAGAATCCAAAAGAACTTCCAATAGTCATTAAAATCTTAAACTCTTCCAACTGTTGTTCCTTATCATAATTTAAGCACACAATGCATCCAAACAGCACCAAACAGATGAGAATGAATAAAATGTAGTCAAAGATTAAGTTTGTGAACCAAAAGACGAGTCGATTAGTGCTGCAGATGAATTGAAGGAACTTAAATCTCATTTCACGTTCTTTAATGTAGTGTCCAATATAAATCATCGGCCAAATAATTAACAGGAATAGAATAACAATAAAGTTAAGCACGAAATTCCCTAACGAGCTTGCCACATCCTTAATAAAATCCAATTTATTGTTAGACTTCTCGTATGGATGATTAGTCAATGATATGTCGTAGTCACTGCCACCAACAGATTTGAGAATAGCTCGATTGACTGTGTTGATAGTCAGTGGCATGGTGTGGTATGGCTGTGTATTGAACCAGGCAATGATTCTGCTGTTATCAACGGACAATGCAATTAGATTGTCATGGTTGACTGTTCCGATTGATTTTTTGGATTTTTTGATGATGTGATCTTCAATGTCCTCAGACACTTTTGTGACTATGTCCTTTCCATGGAATAAACTTTCGTATTGAGTCAAAAAACTTGAGTTCTGCCTGATGTCAATTAATGTTTCAGTTTTCTCGTAAGTATCAAATGAAATATTCAGTTCCGATGGCTCATAAGGCTTAATTTCCAACATTTTAGGTATCAAAAATATAGCCACAAATGACAAGATCCCAAGAATCAAGAACATCATCCAAGATCGTCGAATTACATGAATTTTTTTGAAAATCATTGCGTAAATTTGATACAAAATTCCAGTCATTCCATCAATCTTTTGGAAGTCCTTGTGAACCTCAACTTCTATAGCTGTAGAGTCGTTTCTGATGCATGCTGGACTTCCAAGGTCACTGTGAGCTAATTTCAGAAAAACATCTTCAAGTGATGTAAAACTGCATCCAAAGCTTGAAATCTTCAACTTTTCTGAATTGTCTTCAAGCTTCTTAAAGACATGATCAAAAATTGGCAAGCTGTCCTTTTCAAGAACAAATATAGCTTCGGTCTCTCCTTCACATTCTTTTAACGCTGTCGGTATAATCTCCTTAATCATATCCAGAACAACTTTAGAATCAAATCCAGCTTGCTTAACACAAGTCAATCTATATCCAGTTCCGAATGTCTTCTTAAGAAAGAACGAGGAACCGACTGTTCTTAATTGACCTTCGGACATGATTGCTATTCGGTCACCAAGGACATCAGCTTCGTCCATAAAATGAGTTGTGATTAAAATTGTTCGATTCTTCTTCTCAGCAATCAGCAAGTCCCACAAATGTCGACGTGATGATGGATCCATGCCTGATGTGGCTTCGTCCATAATGACAAACTTGGAATCGGCACAAAGTGCAATGGCAATCGACAGTCTTCTCTTCTGTCCACCACTTAGTGTTCTACTTTCTGAATTTAATTTCTCAGATATTCCAAGTAGATTTGTGTACTTGTGGATATCCCCCTGGATGTTGCTTTTGTCAGTCATTCCTTTAAGCTTACAGAAGAACTCCAAATGTTCTTGGACTGTCAGTTCCTCAAATAGAACATCATGCTGAGGACAGACACCAAGAGACATTCTAGCATCATCTATATTAGTCTTAATATCATGTCCATTAATGACTGCAGTACCTGATGTTGGTTGGTATAGTCCAGTCAGCATTGACATTGCTGTCGTCTTGCCAGCTCCATTGTGACCCAATAGAACCGTTATCTGGTTCTCATACAGCTTCAATGAGAAGTTCTTGACTGCATACTTATCACCAAATCTTTTACATAACTTCTTTATCTCAATTCCAACAGCCAAATTTGACGGAACTGCTTCTTGGTCAGCCAAAAACTCTTCAGATTCTAAATTGGAATCAACAGGCTGAGTCCTGAATTTCTTATGTATTAATTTAAAAGCATCGCTGATTGGGAAATACCAAGGTTTTGAAAGTCCAAACTCTCCAGGAAAGACCTTCTCAATGTAAATGGTCAACAGCATCAGAATGGCACTTCCAATATTCATCCAGACCAGCAATTCACCAAACGAGAACTTCAAGTCAACAGATCTCTTAAACAGGTTCGCAAATCCAACTCCATCGTCATTAATTTCAGCCATAAGAATCATTTTAATGCCCTGACCCATGTTTGTGTTAGTCAGCATGCAGAACAGCACTTTCAGTCCATATCCAAACCTATAAAAGCTATCATGATACATCATGTAAGGCAGAACAGTGGCAATAAAGACAATTGAGCCAACAATTCCAGCACGTGATGACTTTTTGAAGATGACACTGACAAGGAAGCAGAATGTGATCATGGATGTGATGTATGAGATGAAAAAGAGCCAAATGATGAGTGGATTGCTGTTGGCAAACATTGGAATATCCGAAATGATGCTTGTGACTGTCAAGATGAGGTTAATTGTGAAGGAAATGATGAGAATGATGAAGCTACGCATGAACCATGATGACCAGTATAAAGCACTCGACAATCCCATTATTTTCATTGATTCTGTTAAACGTGACTCACGTTCGATTGTTATGTTCTGGAAAATTTTTGAGGTTAGGTTCAGATTAATGAGGAATTGGAGGATATAACCTTAAAATTAATAATCCTTACCTTAATCAAGACTTTAGCTGAGAATATCATTGACAAGACAAACAAAATTGGGAATCCATATGCAGCATAATTCACGAAAACATCAACTTCTACTTCTGGATATGGAAAGGTCTTTATTGTCTTTAATTTCTCAACTTTAGAACCATTATTAACTGTCCTCATGAATGCCTGATCAATCTCATTCTGGAGCTTTAGAAAACATGTTGAGAAGTACAAGGAATTTTTAATTGAATAGCTATTGTCTCTTTGATTAGCTGACAGTCCAACATAATACAGCTTATCAGTATCCCAAGTTTCATGAAATATCAAATCTTCAGGCATTTTTATTGTGTAATTGAGATGCTTCGGAGGAACTGAAGAAGTCTGAAATTTTTTTGAGGTTATAATTTTAAATTTTGTTTATTTTCAGATTATTTACGTCTTCGAATAAAACTCCAGCCACAGGTTCACTTTGATTATGCGTCCATTTGTTTAATTCTGTCAAATTTTCAAATCCAATCAGTTCCATTTCAATGTTTTTAACAACATCATCCATTAATTCGCTGTAGTAAGTGTTATTCGGTGCATATCCAAGATACCTAATTTTATTATAAGAAAGTGAACAGCGGGCGTCACTGATTTTGTATTCTGTGCTGGGTGTTGCAGGTACGACTACTTTTTCAATTAGGTTTCGGATCCCAGCGAACAGCATTATTATTAGGATTGGAAAAACGAGCTCAAAAATTGCTGAAAAATATTTTTTAACGAAAGAAAAGAAGTTTTTCAGAAATATTTCAATTCATAAACAAATCAGTATTTTTTATTAGGTTGGAATTTCCAAGTATTTACAGCTGGATGACCTTGAAAATATTCATATTGCTGCATGACTTTCATGGAGTATGAGTCATGAATTTAAGGCTAATATTTGTAATTTGTATTATGCAGAAGCGTTGTTAGCAGGCGCGTAGCCAGGGGGGAGGAGGGGGGGGGGGGGGGGGGGAGGTGATTTGGGGGAAAAATCCGTAACGTAAACAGAAATTTTCCTAAGGTTTTTATGAAAAAATCACAAAAATACCCCCCATTCCCCCCCCCCCCCCTTAAATTTTACCATACAAAAAAAAATTTCCCCCCTCTTCAAATTCCTGGCTTCGCCCCTGGTTGTTAGGAATATAAAAAGGAATAAGTACGATTTTTTAAGAGGAAAAAATGAAGGCTAAGGGGGGGGGGGCTCGATATTTTTACAAAAATGGATTCACTGTACTAACGGTACAATAGATTCTATCATCGATCAGGATCGCAGTGCCTTCAGCTCGTCGCAACGTGTAGTAACACACCGCCAGGCTGGAACCCTCTTCGATATTATTATTATTATTTACTAAGGAAGTTCTAAAAATATCCCCCCCCCCCATTCAATTAAAATTTTCCCCTTTAAGGAAGTCAGAGATTTTTAACAGTTCAATATAAAAATTCTTTCTTCTTACAAAATTTGGGGGTTGGGACTTTACCCACTGGTACTTTTGATCACTGGAACATTAGCCAACTGGTAACAGAGGGGGAGGAAGGGGGTCCAAATACGCTAATAAACGTTTATCTATACTTACCGGCTATAGGATGCCGCTTGACTAGAATCCAATTCTTCCATAATAATAAATTAAATTTGGTCAGCAACATTTTGGTTTTATTTAAATATTTTTTTTTGTTAAATTCGAGGATTTTAATGTCGAAAATTGTTGATTTTCAGGAACTTTTGACTTCTTAAGGCTTGATTTTGTAGGAATGTAGATGATAATCTGGCCCTTTAGAATGATTATTCACAGTTTATTATAGTTTGACACTAGATTTTATAATAAATTCAATTTTCTCAATACAATCCTAAGTTTCTAGATTTATGCACAATTTTCTATATCAATTATAATTTCACCATCAGCCAAGGATTTATGCATGCGTAGAGCTTTAAATCTTTTATTTTAGATAAACAATTCAAAGATTTTTCAAACTTTATTGTTATTGAAGCAACTTGTTGATTCTTAAGGCACTTAACAGTTAATTAAATTCGAGCTTATTCCTAATCCAAACTTAATTGTCAATTTTAATTCAAAATCACACAATTTTTCAATTTTAAAACTAATCTAATTCCTAAATTAATTAATATTTATCGACAATTCCGCTCATTTTTATCAAAATCAACTGTACAGCTGAGTCAAGTTTCACTCAATAAACTAAATCATCTTGAACTAAGCTTACTCGCGAGTCTAAAATTCTAAGAAATTTCTCTAATTTATAAAAAAATAAAAAATAAAAATACTGGGCCGATTATTCATCCGCCGCACCTACACTAACTTAAAAAATTCATAGTTTTCATTGTCGCGAGCGAGCCGTTGAGAATGTGTGGCAAATGTGAACAGCTGATCGAGGCAATTTGCATGTGTCGGTGATGAACAAATTTTTTACTCATCGGAAAGTCGGTTGAAAAACTGAACAGAAAAAACCAAACAATTTGGATATTTATAATAATTAAATTTAAAAACTTTATTATCGGCAACAAAATTTTTAAAAACTATATTTGTATATTATTGGGCATTCTGTAAGAACAAGATTATGGCAACAACTTTATGAGCAAAAATGTAAATTATTCGAAAAAAAATTACAAAAGTCCTCTTTTTATTGATCGAGGGACTTAAGCGCATTTTTATGCTAGCGATCAGTATTTGATTATCTAATTATTTTGAGTTCATTTACAGATCATGAGAAGATCATTAATTTTAGTGAAAAGGCTTTAACATTTAACGGTTTTTATAATTTCAAATTTTTTACCAGTTAAAAAAAATTCGAATTTCTGAACGCACTCATCACGTGTTTTTCATATGAAATAAAAAAAATCATTAATTGAAGTATAAATACACTGTTTTAAGACTTTTTACTGTTTGGCCGGCCAATAACTCGATAGAACTTAGCTAATAAAACAAACCCGATCTCTCTACGATGTCTGGTTACAAAGTTTTTCTTCGCCCGAACGAGCAGCCGAACGAACGAACAAACATTTCGCATTATTAAGCTTCCTTTTTGTATACAAATATACAAAAATGCGCTAAAAATAATATAAATTGAGCATTAATTATTCATCAAGAAATAAGAGCCGCCATTTTGAATTTGCTGTTCTCAATAAAGTTTGCAATCATATAAATGCAATTAAAGCAGATCTTGCTTCTCTTTAATCATTCTTGGTACAAAAAAGAAAGGAGAACATTTGATGAAAATACCCATGTTGGATTATGATAGATTCCCCTGTTAATTCTTGCTGTTCATCCGGTAATGTTGATCGAGTTGCTGTTTCGCCTGCCTTTTGTTTTTCTTTTTCTTCTTTATTTAACTTTTCATTTGCTTGTTTTGCTAATTTTATAGTTTTTTTCCTTTTCTTCTTCATCTTGTTTTGCCTTTCGATCTGAATCCTTCTTTGCCAATTGTTTAGCATTTTCCTTTTCTTTTAGATGGCTGCATCTTTCTTTGCCTTTCGATCCGCTTTTTTGCTTATCTTCAGATCTGCTTCATCATCCTTTGTCTTTCGTTCATCTTCTTCTTCTGCTAATATTCCAGCTTCTGCCTTTGCTGATCGGTCGGCTTCTTCCTTTGCTTTTCGTTCAGCTTCTTTCTTTGCTTTTCGATCAGATATTTCACCTGATCTCCAAGTGGTTTCATCCGTTTTAATTTGAATGGCCTCCACTGCTGAAAGAATATTCTGTTGAGTAATGTTAAGAAAGACTTGTTCCAATGACATTTGTGTCAATGTATAGTCCTCAATATGCATCTCCTCCTTTACTTCTGCCAAAAAATTTTGAATATTTCTGAGTATCTTAACTCAAGGTTTGTCAAATAAAATGTAAGAATGTCAGAATATTGTTCCTTGAATCAAACATCCAGGAACTGTGGAATCAGTGAAGAGGTTCTGAACAGAATTGATGTCATTATTGGTGGATTTAAGACTTTTGAGGTTCAAACATGTTCAAGTATCAGAGCTGAAAGCTTTGAGGACTCATTGAGGATTGTTAAGGACAGCATAATTCGACAATTCAATATTTTGAGGAGTGATTTGGTCTCGACATGCAAAGCAGAACAAGAAATTATCAGAAATTAAAATTTTGTTATAAAATTTTTGAATATTTTATTAAACTTAATGTGAACTGTTCTACGGCCCTGGCACTGGTAGAGCAAAGTCAAAGTTAAAATTTTTATGGAAATATTAAGAAATGTTGATCATACCAAGTGTACCAGCGAACCCCATCCCTGGTCAAAGACTCTAAATAATTCGTTCTGTAGCTACATACTTAACAAAAATAAATTTCGAGGTTAAATTTTATAATCAATCCAAATTGACGTTTTTGTCATCTTTTGTCTAATCATCAGAATCGATCAAATCAAGCGGTTTAGCTTTATCATAAATTTCATTTCTCTGATCTTTTTGGGTTTTAATCTTATTATCAATTGGTCGGATGTTTTGGTCCTTATTTGTTTCATATTTTTTTGAACTTTCACCAAGCTCTAGTATGAAATCAAATTCTAAAGCATTGTCACCTAATTTACTATTTTTGTGGGGATTACGTCCGAAAAGATCTTTAAGCAGATTAAATGATTTTTTCTGTTTTGCCTTCTCATTTTCCTTTTTAACTGCATCTTCTATTGCTTGTCTTTCTAATTTCCTTTTTGCTAGTTTAACTTCTTCCTCTTGTATCCTTTGTTGCTCTTCTTTATCTTTTAATATTTCATTAGCTCTTATGCTTGCTATGGTTTCGATCTTGTCACTTATTTTATGATTTTCTGCTTCTTTTGCTTTTCTTTCGACTATTTCCTGTTCTCTCCAACGTGCTTCATCATTAGCTATTTGCATAGCTTTCTCTTGAGGTAGTTGAACTTTTTGCTTACAAATGTTCAGGAACACTTGCTCAAGTGACATTTGTGTCAATGAATAGTCCTCAATATGCATCTCCTCCTTTACTTCTGCTAACTTCCTGAATACTTCTGAATATTTCAAATCATCACTTATCAAATGGAAAATAAAGATGTCCAAATATTGTTCCTTCAATTCAACATCCAGGAACTGCTGCACAATCTTTTTTCTTAATTTTTTGACTTTATTTTCATCAGTAAATCCAGTTTTGATTGTCAAGATGGAGCCTTTTGAGAATTTATTCTTTAAATCTTCAACTGGACCAAGACATTGGAACTGACCGTCGACCATGATGCCAATTCTTGTACACAAAGCTTCACATTCATCCATGGAATGAGATGTGATGACAATTGAGGATGAAAGTCGATGATTGTCACGGATTCGCTTGATTGCATTCCAAATTTGACGACGAGCTTGTGGATCGACTCCTGTTGTGCATTCCTGTTTGGATATAAAATATTGTTTAGAATTTTGAGGTTAGGATTTTAAAAAATTATTAAACTTACATCCAAGAAGATCAATTCTGGATTTCCAAGCAGTGCTAAGGCAGTCGACAGTTTTCTTTTATTTCCACCGCTATAAGCTTTAACTTGCTTGTCCAAATGCTGTTTAAAGTCAAGTTCACTTGACATTTGGTTGATCATTTCTGTAATTTCGTCCATTTTGATGCCACGGATCAGTGCAAAGATCTTCAAAGTTTCACGTCCAGTCAGTTCAGGTATGCAATTGTCAAATTGTGGACAGTAACCGATGAACTTGTGAGCTTCAAGTAGTTGAGTTTTCAGGCACTTTCCTTTAATCCAAATGTCACCAGAAGTAATTAGCTCATCTCCAGTCATCATCTTGAATGTTGTTGTCTTTCCAGCTCCATTGACACCAAGTAGACCAAAGCATTCATGCTGCTTGACATGCAATGACAATTGATTAACAGCTGAATTTTTTTTAAACTTTTTAGTCACATTCTTCAAAACAAGATTTGATTCAAGTCCATCCGAATCAAGCATATTGCTGACATTTTCTTCCTCTTCATCAGTTTGTATTAAGTTCGCGGATGGAGTTTCATTAAATTTGTAATATAAACGAGCAAAAACGTTGCAGTCTATCAAAAGAACAGCTGTTAGATAAAAACATCCAGACACAAAATTCATAATGTAGCTGATTTTTACATCCTCGTCAGTAACTTTGAAATCTATAAAATGTTTTGAATATAATTTTTTTTGAATTTTTTTATTATGATTTACTTACCTGAGTTCAAAGAGTACTGCTTGGCACTCATTTTGATTAGAGTAAATGGCGCAAACATCATCAGAATCCAATGGAAGATATTTGTTGAAAGAAGGAGAACGGCTGTGGCATATACTGGAAAGATTCAAGAAATGATTATTATTGTTGTAAATATTGCAAATTGAAGGGCACTCTGCATACAAATTAGAACCTCAAATGAGTTGATTTCCTAACCAGAGTCATCTACCCAAGTTAAGGTTAGACCAGAACTTTATCTTTGAGCTTCAATACACCCTCGACTCTACATAGTGTAATACCTTATTCAGATGGTACTTAGGGTTGGGAAAGATACACTGTATAGTGAACCTAGAAGCAACCTAAATATGCAACGCCGTGGAAAAGGATACACTTCATAGCTGCCAACATACTTACATACAATCGAACTAATTATCACAGCTGCCATTCCGTTTGTAACATTATTGAATAAATATGAAAATAAGTAGATGAAGCAGATCCATGAGAATCCATAGGAAGCTCCAATTGCCATTAAATTTATAAAATCTTGGAATCGTTGTCCTGGTTCATAAGCAATCAAAACAGCATTTCCAAACAGCACGAAACAGATGAGTATGAACAAAATATAGTCAAAAATTAGATTTGAGAACCAAAAGACAAATCGATTGGTTCCAGAGACTAGCTGGAGAAACTTAAATGATGTATTTCGTTCTGTAATGCAGTTCCCGATGAAGATAAGTGGCCAAAGTGTCATCAGGAGAGGAACAATGAAGGAACTAAGTAAATCATTGTTAGGTGATTTTTCAAAAGAATATGGATAGTTGGACACTGAAATGTCGTAGTCAGCACCAGCTATAGACTTCAGAATTGCTCGATTGATTGTGTTGATAGTTAAAGGCATTGTGTGGTATGACTGAGTGTTGAACCAGGCAGTGATGGCGTCATTTTTGAAGCTTGCACCTATTAGGTTCTCAAGATTGGTTCTGGCTGGAGAACGTGTGTATTTATTAAGGATTTCAGGTTCCATGTCTGTGGATATCTCAACAATTCGGTCCTTTCCACTGAATAATGACGAGTATTCTTTAAAGTACTCATAGAACTTGTTAAAGTCTGAATGCATTTCAAGTTCTTTGATTGTTTCCGTACGTCCGTAAGTGTTGAGTGAAATTGGCAGCTTATTCATAGATTTTAAGATTTTGAAGCCATGCGGAAGCAAACAAATAACTCCAAATGACCAAATAGCAAGAACCAAAGGCATTTTCCATGACCTTCGAAGGATATAAAGCTTTTTCAATAACATTGCATAAATTTGCATCTTAATTTTGTTGTCAATCTGTGCTTCATTTTTTGGTTCGACTTCCAAGACTGCATCTTGGACAGGATCTTGAATTTTATCAACAGTCTCCAAATAAATATCTTCAGGTGACATTAAGTCACAGCTGAGACTTGAAATATTGAGAATATCTTGTTTGTCTTCAAGATCTTTAAGCAGCGCTGGAAGATTAGGCAAATATTCGTTAGAAATTGTATAAGCTACTTCCGATCCATCCTCAGATGACAATTTGATGTGTGGTGCATATGTTTGAATCATATCCAACACAGCTTGAGCATCAAATCCATCTTTTTTGACACATGTCAATCTATATTTTTTTCTCAGGAAGGCTGAGGAACTAATATCTTTGATTTGTCCTTCCGACATGATGGCAATGTGGTCACCTAAAATCTGAGCTTCGGCTGAAAATATTAAACATTAGTAAAGACATTGATCAACTACAATAAGAATGTTAAACTTACCATCTGATTGAGTTCCGATTAAAATTGTTCGATTTTTTGTTTCAGATATTAGTGACTTCCAAATGTCACGACGCGATGTTAAGTCCATACCTGAAATTGAGAATCTGAATTAAGTGATTTCCTAACTACCCGATTGCACTAAATCCAGCGAAGTGCCACATTTTCGACCATTTTTACCCCAGATATTATGAACTGTCTCAAAAGGAACCCAGTGCAAACTAAATCAGTGGTGGACAACCTTTTTTCGAGCAAGATCATCTCTTGGTTTTAAGTCATGACCAAAACCACACACGACTTATGGTTTATGGAATTTCTTGACACACTAAATTCTACCTCAGCACATAGGTTGACCATCACTGACCTAACCTAATAATAATAATGTGTGAAGGACCCAGACTTTCAGCTGGAGGCACTGCAAATCAATTAAAGCCTAACCTGACCTAACCTAGTCACAGTCAAATTATAAAGTTCAAACCTGTTTGAACTTAACACTTACCAGCCGTAGGTTCATCCATTAAGATAATATTAGAATCTCCACACAGTGCAGTGGCGATTGACAGTCTTCTCTTTTGGTCAAGATTAAGTTTTCTAATCTCACTTTTAAGTAAATCATTGAATTTTAATAAATTTGAGTATTTTACGATATGTTCTTGGATGTTGCTGCTCATTCCTTTTAGCATGCAGAAGAACTTCAATTGCTCTTTAACTGTCATGTACTCATAAAAAGCATCATGTTGCATAACGACTCCCATGGACCTTCTAGCTTCATCAATATTAGTTTTTATGTCATAGCCATTAATGCTAGCAGTTCCTGATGTTGGTTGGCAAAGTCCAGTCAAGATTGACATTATTGTGGTCTTGCCAGCATCATTGTGATCCAAAAGAACTGTGATTTGATTCTCATAGACGTTTAGTGACAAGTTCTCGATAGTTTCTTTTTTGTCAATTGTTTTGCTAAGGTTTTTAATCTTAATTACTACATTGAGACCAACTTGGTCATCTTGTTGATCAGAAGTCAAGTTTAATGGTTGTAGCTCTATTGGACTGCTATGCTGAATATTGAAAAATTTCCTGTAAATATTTTTGATGGGAAAATTCCAAGGCTCAGCAACTACAAAATCCCATGGAAAGACCTTCTTAATGTAAATAGTCAGCAACATGATCAAAGCACTTCCAATATTCATCCAAATCATCAATTCACCAAATGAAAACTCAAACTCAGCAGGTCGAGTAAAGACATTCCCAAGTCCAACTCCTCCGTAGCCATTTTCAGCCATAATAATCATTTTGATTCCCAATCCCATATTCGTATTAATCAACATGCTGAACAGCATCTTCAATCCATAGCTGTACTTATAAAAATCTTCATGATAAATTACATAAGGAGCAATAGCTGCCAAGAAAGTCACAGAACCAACACTATTGGCTATTGAAGGTTTCTTAAAGATGACACTGACAAGGAAGCAGAATGTGATCATGGATGTGATGTATGAGATGAAAAAGAACCAAATGATGAGTGGATTGCTGTTGGCAAACATTGGAATATCCGAATTGATGCTTGTGACTGTCAAGATGAGGTTGATTGTGAAGGAAATGATGAGAATGATGAAGCTACGCATGAACCATGATGACCAGTATAAAGCACTCGACAATCCCATTATTTTCATTGATTCTGTTAGACGTGACTCGTGTTCGATTGTTATGTTCTGGAAGATTTTTGAGGTTAGGTCTAGATTAATGAGAAATTCAAGGACATAACCTCACATTTGGGGATAAAACCTCACAATTTTAAACTAAAAATTTCAAGTTCAGGTCATAACCTCAAAATTATAAAACGTACCTTAACTAACACAAAAACAGAAAATAGCAGCGAACAAATTAACATAATCGGAGTTTGAACTGCAAAATCAACATATTCATCAAAACTTGCTTCTGGAATGGGAAATGACTTCAATGTCTCCAATTTATTGATCACTGATTCATTGCTGAATATTTTGATAAATTCTTTGTCAATTTGGTTTTGAAGCATTAAGAAGCATGTTGAATTGTACAATGAATGGTGCTGAATAGTCAAATTAGATCTTAGTTTATTTGAGATTCCTGTAACGTGTAGCTTGTCCGTGTTCCATATAACATTATTTGATCTATCCTCGGGCATTCTTATTGTGTATTTAAGATGTTTTGGTGAATATAATGTGTCCTAAAAAAGAATGCAATCATTTAATAAGGGACAGGGGCGTAGCCAGGAATTTGAAGAGTGGGGGACAAAAATTTTTTTTTGCATGGAAAAATTGGGGGGGGGGGGGGGGTGTTTGGATTTTTGTCCCCCAAATCCTTGCCCCCTTAATCATTATAAAAGAATGTGCTAATATAGCGTCCAGGGAGAGAAACATTTAGCAAAAAAAATTCAAACTCCTCCCTTCGATCCCCGATAAAAAAAAATGATCCCCTCCTCCTCTTAAATTTCATGAGCCTAGCCTAAAATATTTTGGATTTGAGTGAGGGGGGACTAAAACTTTTTTAAAAGAAGGAACAATTTATGACTGGTTCTTAGTTTTGCAAACAAAATGAATGTTTGGAGGGAGTAGGTGGGGGTAATGAAACCCCCCTTCTCTCTATAATTTCATTTTTTTCTCTATGTGAAAAAAAAATTTGAAAAGAAATTTTAGGAATTTTTCATCTGGGGGGGGGGGGGAGGGGTTGGAACTTCCTCTGGGGATTGAAGACTCCCTCCCCCCACTTACCTCTCCGCATAATAAAATAGTTTTCTTAACGTAAAGAAAAAAATTAGGATTTAGGTTTCGAAATTTTTCCGAAAAAACGGATGGTGATCCCCCTTCTCCCCCCAAACGGATTTAAAAATTATATAAACATTTTAGTTGCCCGACCCCTGAATAATACGAAAGAACTGAGCTAATAAAACAAACCCGAGCTCTCTACGATGTCTGGTTAAAAAGTTTTTCTTCTCCCGAACGAACGAACAAAGTGAATTATTAAGCTAGCTTTTAGAAACAAATTTCAAAAATACGCTAAAAAGATACAAAAATTACACTCACATTCTCAAAAATAACACCAATGACCGTATGATTTTGTATTTGAGTAAACTTCTTATTCATGTTATCTTCATTATATGCTGCCTTCAATTTCATGATGTCACCGAATTGTAAAATAACTTTATTCATTAAATTTGTATGGAACTCATTTTCAGGAGTATATAGAATCTCTATATCTTTACATGAAGATGGACTGATGCTGTATTCTTGAATTGATTGTGGATCAATTGTAATGTGATGGCGATAAATTAAGGAAATCAGAATGGGAATAATTGGAAGCACAAACTCGATTATTGCTGAAAAAAAGAATATTTTTTTTATGAAATCTTTCAATTAAAGTTAAAGTAATCTTACCAGTCCATTTATTTCGCTTTGTATGCACCCAGTTTTTCCATATTAATGCTTTTATTTTATTTAATGTCATTTTTATAATTTAATAATCTTAATTTTTTTAATGGTTCTTTTTCACTTGGACGACATTTTACTCGATTTTACAACGACATTTGAGGTGTTCTAAATATGGCTAAGTTGAAATTAAAAATCAAATCCACAGACAATGCGTAAACTGTCCTATAACTTAAATATTTAGTGCAATTATTTAACTTTTTTCTTATTTACTTAAAGGGACTGTTCAAAAATGACGTCTATTAACAAACAAAATTTTAGACACACCACCCCCTCCCTTCCCTTCTTCCCCGTCTGTATTCCCTCCACCCATTTCTACCCCTCTCCCCCCTGTCTCTTCTCTCCCCTTTCTTCCCATGTCCCCCCTCTCCCCCTATATTATATTATTTTTATATTATATATATTATATATTTATATTATTTTTTCACTCCAGGCGCGTAGCCAGTAGGGTCTGTTACCCCCCCTTAAACGTTTTGAACCACAGCAATAGCACAGCCTAAAACGCTTAAAATGAGGACAAGACCCTCCTGGCTACGCGCCTGTTTCACTCCATCCACAATTGGTGCTACTTAAAAACAAAAATTGTTTTTTTTTACTACGTTTTTACTACGTTTTTCTTAACTTGCTTTCTTATCTGTTTATGGGCAATTCTACGAAAAGGTTTCACATAAAAAAAAGGGAGTTATAATTCTTCTTCAACTTGAAAATTTAAAAAAAAAGTAACCGTTTTAAAACCAAAACAAATTTTAGCAAATAAATAATTTTTTTTGATTTAAATAAAATAATTTAAAGGATTTAATTAACTTTTAAATGAGCGACAAGGTCAAAATTTACAGAGAAACTCTGAAACTGCCAGAAAATGCTGAAAATCGAAAAAACTATTTGAAAAATCAGCGTAATTATAATAAAAAATATATTATGAAGCAAAAGTCAGATCCAGAAAAGGCTAAGTCATTCAAATCTAAAAGAAATGAGCAGCTGCGACGGTGTAGAATTCGTAAAAAGCAGGAGAAACAAAAAAGAGAAGTTGACGGCGGTTTTATTAGCAAAGTAGCCAAATCTAGAGCACTTACAAAAGCTGAAATGGCTCTTCCTAAGTCATTAGATAAAAAAATGATTATTTTAAAGGAACTAAATGCTCGTTATATTGGTGAACCCATTCCAGAAACGAAGACGCAGCATAATAGACTTGGAACCAAAGAGACTGAGGTACTAGCTATAAATTTTTTAAGTTCTGATATTGTTTCTCGCCAATTACCAGGAATTAAAGATTATATTATAGTGAAAACTGCAGGCTCAAAGACAAAAATTCAAAAAAGGATCATGACAATGCCATTGAAAGAAGCTTATGACGAATTCAAGAAAGAATATACTTCGCAAAAAATGAGTTTTTCGAAATTTGCACGAATGAGACCTGATCACGTTGTTCTTTTTTCTCAGTCAAAACAGATTTCATGCCTATGTATTTACTGCACTAATTTAGATTTCATAGTTATTAGTCTACTTCCATTTTTTACTTGTCCTGTTAGTTTGAAAGAACTTATGTGTAAAATAAGCTGTCATGTTGAGAACTTCGATTGTGCCTCTGGATTGTGCACAGAATGTTTAAATGTTTCAAGTGTGGTCATGGATTTGTTGAAGCCTAATATTTTAGATCACTTGGTCAACTATCAGCAATGGGAGACTGTTGATAAAGTTGTTCAAAAAGTGACACATGCTCTCATCATAAACGATCTTATCTTATTACTTGAGGAAAAAATGCAAAAATTTAAAATGCATTATTTTCTAGTGAAAATTCAGCTTGCATTATTCCGCGATTTAAAACAGAACCTTGACAACAATAGTGCTTGCCTGATTGTTGATTATGCAGAAAATTATAACTGTAGAAGTCAAGACGAAATCTCTTCAGCTTATTTTGGTCGTCGTCAAATTAGTCTCTTTACATCAGTAGTTTATGTTGGTAATGAAGATCCTATTAGCATAGTAATTGCTAATGACTGTATTTCACATAATAAGGAACAAGTCTGGTTCTATATCAAATTTATTGTTGATTTCATTCAAAGCTTATTTGATGATATTAGAACTGTTAATGTGTTTTCTGATGGTGCTTGCTCACAATTTAAGAATCGCTTTAACATTTCTAACATAATGTTTGCTAAAGAAGATTTTAATGTTGTGGATATGAAATAGCATTTTTTCCCGACTGCACATGGTAAAACCAGCGCTGATGGTGTCGGAGCAATCATAAAGAGAGGTGTTTATGCTAGAGTTCTGAGTGGTAAATGGGAAGTAAAATGTGCTGAAGATTTTGTGTCTTGTGCTAATTCATTCAAGAATTCTATTCATACATTTGAAGTTAAGCAGCATGAAATCGACCGTGCATGTTCAACATTAAACAGTAGATATAAAAACATCAAATCCATTGAAGGTATTAGAGAGTTGCACTTTTTTGAAAAATCGTTAGTAACAGGTAGCATAATTGTTGCAAAAACGTCAAGAAAAGATGATTTAAAGCTTGTCAAGATCATAAAATAGAAAAAAATAAATACTTTACACTTTAACGGTTTTTAAAATTTTGAATTTTTTTTCTTTCTACAAAGCTCCTTCAAAATTCTCCATTACTCTGTTTCACTTGCAAATTTTTACGTAGAATCAAGATTGTAGTTTAATTAAGCCTTAATTTAGTAAAAAAAAATTTAAAATATACAAATTAAAGCTTAAACTGTAATTTTGTATACTTATCATGAGTGAGAACATTCTAAATAAAGCGAAAATAGTGAAAACTTTTTGGAGATTAAAGCAAAAAATTTCATGTGAAACAGAGTAATTTTTCGTAGAATGTTAATAATTCTTTAATTAACATCTTTTGATGTGTGTAAGCAAGGAAATTATGTAGATCTCGGTAAAATTTACTATTTCATACGTAAAACATGAGTAATAATGCAAAAGGAAAAGAGAAAAATCGATTTGGAGAAAAAATTGTAGAAAAAATTATTCGTAGAATTGCCCTTATCTGTTTATCTGTTTATCTGTTTGTCGAGGGCAAATCTTGTAATCGATTTTTCGACCACTTCTACTGCTCCAATCGAGCTAAAATTTTTAATGCACACGTATTCCCGGTGACAATACAATATTTTAACACTTTGGAAACACAAAAATGCTTAATTATAGTACAATTTATGTAAAAGTTTTTTATATGGGAAAAAATCCAATGTCAATGATATAAAATTTGATTTATATTAAATATTATACTTGTGATGCTCTAAAGTCATTTATATGACTCATTATAGTTTAATTAATATTACTAATTATTAATTATACCATAAATTTGAGCAGCTAAAGATATTCTGGTAAGACAAAAAAATTGACATGTAATTTTTTCATGAATATTCGTAAGTGAAAATTTGAATTTTCAAAAAAACCGTTAAGCACAAGTCCGTTACGAATTAATGCAAAATAACTATTAATATGCGATGTGCATTTAACACACATAGTTTGAGCATAAATTTATGCTGTTTTAAATGTATTGCATTATTTATAACACTTCACCAACTTAATTAAATTGACTTTTCTTTTTATTAACGGCTTGACGTATTTTTGCATAACATATAAATGATATTCATTGAATTTAAATTTGAAAATCCGTTATAAATACGTTACATATAGATGTGATTTGCATCTTTATGTTAAGAATCCACACGTTATGAAGTAGAAATGATACAGATAAACACAAAATCTTTACGAGTGATTTTTAATGTACTTTACTAATGAATGCTTTAAAAAAATTAAATTTTATAAAACGAATGAAAAATTTTGAAAGTCGTTACTAATTTCCCATTGAAAACTGGTAATTTATAAACAGTTGAACGCAACGAAGTGAAGTTCAACACACCTGTAACCTATAAACCTAATGTAATCTATAAACAGTTGAACGTAACGAAGTGCAACGAAGTGGAGTTCAACACACCTGTAACCTATAAACCTACTGTAATCTATAAACAGTTGAACGTAACGAAGTGCAGCGAAGTGAAGTTCAACACACCTGTAACCTATAAACCTAATGTAATCTATAAACAGTTGAACGTAACGAAGTGCAACGAAGTGGAGTTCAACACACCTGTAACCTATAAACCTACTGTGATCTATAAACAGTTGAACGTAACGAAGTGCAACGAAGTGAAGTTCAACACACCTGTAACCTATAAACCTACTGTAATCTATAAACAGTTGAACGTAACGAAGTGCAACGAAGTGAAGTTCAACACACCTGTAACCTATAAACCTACTGTAATCTATAAACAGTTGAACGTAACGAAGTGCAACGAAGTGAAGTTCAACACACCTGTAACCTATAAGCCTAATGTAATCTATAAACAGTTGAACGTAACGAAGTGCAACGAAGTGGAGTTCAACACACCTGTAACCTATAAACCTACTCTAATCTATAAACAGTTGAACGTAACGAAGTGCAACGAAGTGAAGTTCAACACACCTGTAACCTATAAACCTACTGTGATCTATAAACAGTTGAACGTAACGAAGTGCAACGAAGTGAAGTTCAACACACCTGTAACCTATGAACCTACTGTAATCTATAAACAGTTGAACGTAACGAAGTGCAACGAAGTGGAGTTCAACACACCTGTAACCTATAAACCCCCTATAATCTTTATTTCTCTATTTCATTTGAATAAGACTAAAAAGTAGAAAATAAAATACTTTATAAAAAAAACTTTTTAAAAAAACTACGTTTTTCGCGTAGACTAAAAAGTAGAAAATAACTTTTATTCTTGGTTGTAAAGAATTTGGTTTTAAATTTTCAGATTATATTTAATAAATTTTTATATCCTAGTCAATATTGTTCACAAAGTTTCGAATAAGTGCATTTTGATCTTATCGTATAACTCAACAACTTAAAAACGTGGGCGCATTATAAGAGAAGAAATAAGTTTATGTGAAATCAATACTTTATAATAAACTTAAATTAATGCGCCCACGTTTTTAAGTTGTTGAGTTATACGATAAGATCAAAGTGCACTTATTCGAAACTTTGTGAACAATATTGACTAGGATATAAAAATTTATTAAATATAATCTGAAAATTTAAAACCAAATTCTTTACAACCAAGAATAAAAGTTATTTTCTACTTTTTAGTCTACGCGAAAAACGTAGTGGGCAAGACCGTTTTTCGATTAAGTGTCAGATTTTGCTATTATTTTGTTTATATCTCTGTAACGAAAATACTTACAGTAAAACTAAACATACTGTTTTATAGAACTTTTTGATGCCTATCTTTTGGTATGTAACTTTTTATTGGAAGTACTATACTTAAGGCTGTAGAGCTTGAAAATAGGCAAAATCTGACACTGAATTTTTGGGAAGGGTATTTGAAATTTTACTAAAACTAGTCTATCTCGCTTAGTTTTACACCGATTTCGATAGTTTTTTCAGCAATATTTAGTTTAAAACAACAGTTATCATTAAAAAGTAATAAAAACAAAATGGCGACTTAATAAGTTAATTTAATTAATGTTTTTAACCTTATTTTCCTATTTTTTACTATCAATTTTTAACTTACTTAACTTTTTTCTTGACACAAATATAGTCTTAGACCTTGGCTTTATGATAGAAGTCAAAAAATTTTGAAAAAAGTAGTATAATTAACTTTTTTGGTCATTTTGTAAAATTGCCTTTAAATGGCAATTGAATAGATATTCTTTTAATTTTATGATGTAAAATGATAATTATACATCAAATATGCTTAGTTTTAGCAAAATATATCACAATATAATGTTATAGAACAAGAAAAAAGCAAAAACTTTAAAAACTTTAACCAAAAATTTTCAACCGTTTTTGAAAATTTAATTTTTTGACTTGATTAAAGAGTTGTAAAATAAACTTTTAGTTAAATTAACTAAATTAGAAGGCTTTATTGCAGTAAATTCTTGCAGGAAAGTTGTAATTTATCATTAATTAATGCTTTTTGAGGGACAATAATGAAAATTTCATTAAATTAATATGTAAAATCAATTTTGGTTAATTTAACTAATTTTGTGTATTAATTTGAAAATGTGTGTATGATAAATGAAAGAAAATAAGATTCTCAACAACTTTTATGAACATATCAGCTCCTTTTACAGCTTCCTTCTTGGATAAAAATCACTTTGAATGTTTGATTTAGAAATTAAACTAACTTATAAAGTCGCCATTTTAAAATTATTGGGTTAAAAATTCAGTTTTTATATTTGGCTATAAGCCACTGAAAGAATTGTGACGATTGAATAACTAAACTCTGAGTGAATCAACTTTCAATATTTGTTCACTTTTTTCGCGGTCTTGCCCTAGTTTTTTTAAAAAGTTTTTTTTTATAAAGTATTTTTTATCGGATAATTCAAAAATATTTCGTTTTTTCTAGTAAAAGATCCGAAGTTTTCTTGATTATATTTTATTCGCATCTTCGTTTCTACATCATCGTTCATACGCGAAGTTTTGTTTATTCTTCTTGACTGATGTTCAAGAAAACTTGCTCAAGTGACATTTGTGTCAATGCGTAGTCCTTGATTCCCATTTCATTCTTAATCTGTGCCAACTTCCTGAATACTTCTGAATATTTCAAATCAATGTTCTTTAAATGATAAGTAAGAATGTCCAAATAATTTTCTTTCAGTTCCGCACTTCTGAATTTCTCAACAATTCGTTGCTTGACTTTTTCAGTCAAATTTTCATCAGTAAATCCAGTTTTGATTGTCAAGATGGAGCCTTTTGAGAATTTATTCTTTAAATGTTGAACTGGACCAAGACATTGGAACTGACCGGCAACCATGATGCCAATTCTTGTACACAAAGCTTCACATTCGTCCATGGAATGAGATGTGATTACAATTGAGGATGAAAGTCGATGATTGTCACGGATTCGCTTGATTGCATTCCAAATTTGACGACGAGCTTGTGGATCGACTCCTGTTGTGCATTCCTGTATGGATATTAATTGTTTAAAATTTTGAGGTTAGGTTCTTAAAAATTATTAAACTTACATCCAAGAAGATCAATTCTGGATTTCCAAGCAGTGCTAAGGCAGTCGACAGTTTTCTTTTATTTCCACCGCTGTAAGCTTTAACTTGCTTGTCCAAATGTTGTTTAAAGTCAAGTTCACTTGCTATTTGGTTGATCATTTCTGTAATTTCATCCATTTTGATGCCACGGATCAGTGCAAAGATCTTCAAAGTTTCACGTCCAGTCAGTTCAGGAATGCAATTGTCAAATTGTGGACAGTAACCGATGAACTGATGAGCTTCAAGTAGTTGAGTTTTCAGGCACTTCCCTTTAATCCAAATGTCACCAGAAGTAATCAGCTCATCTCCAGTCATCATTTTGAATGTTGTTGTCTTTCCAGCTCCATTGACACCAAGTAGACCAAAGCATTCATGCTGCTTGACATGCAATGACAATTGATTAACAGCTGTGGTTTTATTAAAATTCTTAGTCACATTCTTAATCACTAGATTCGATGCATTAATGTTCTTCATGCTCATTTTATTAACAAGCATATTTTCATATCTAACATCTTCATCGAGACTTTGTGTAGAAGATCTGCGTTGATTTTGAATTGATGATTTATGAAGCTTGTAGTAAAGAAGATTAAAGAAGTTGTGGTCGTTAAGAGAGACAATTAGAAGGTACAGGAGTCCTGATGCAATGTTAATAGTGATGTATTTGTTGATTTCGGTGTAATCGATTGGTTTAGGGTCTGAAAGAGAAGAAGGGATGATTGGTGGGTTAGGAACAATGAAAAACAACACGATTTGACACATGAAATTCTGAATCTCTTAAGTCTAAGGATCATTATCCTTTCCATACCCAATAAAAATCCATTAACTCACCTAAATACATCCATTTGCTCATCTTCACAAGATTATATGGCGCAAACATAGTTGCAATCTTGGATACAATGATGTAAAGAAATCTGAACTTAGACTTCTCCAGCTTAGCTTCAAAGATTGTATCAAGAACAGCTAAGACATAGACTGTAAATAAAATAATCAATATTAATCCAAGATCTAACATTAATTTCACTTCCAGCTTCCCAATTGAAAACCAAGGTCACTAGCTATAGAAGCAACCTTCAGCAAGTAACCTAGCAACCTACAGCAAGTAACCCAGCAACCTTCAGAACCTTCATTATGCCCCATATCCATCAATACTCACAAATAATCGTCACAAACTGCAACATTGTCTCTCCCATCGATGGCTTGCTGAACAAATACGCAAACAAATAGATGAAGCATATCCACGAGAATCCATAAGAAGCTCCAACAACCATCAGTGCTGTAAAATCTTCAGTTTGATCCACTTTTTCATGAAAAGTCAGCACCATAGCGCCAAAGAATGTCGAGCAGATGATGATGAACAAAATGTAGTCAAAGATCAAGCTTGTGAACCAAAAGATGAGTCGGTTAGTGCCGCAAATGAATTGAAGGAACTTGAACCTGATTTCTCGTTCCTTGATGCAAGTTCCAATGAAGAACATTGGCCAGATTAACATAAGCAGCATGACAGACATGAAAGATTTAATGAAATTAGTCAATGCACTTCCGATGTCATTTGAGGATTTATTTTGGAAATTTGTGACTTCATAAGGCTTATTAGTCACTGAAATCTCATAGTCAGAACCAGTTACAGACTTCAAAATTGCTCGATTAATTGTGTTGACTGCCAATGGCATTGTGTGGTAAGGCTGAGTGTTGTACCAAGCAACTATGTCGTCATTCTTGACAGTTGCAGCTATGAGGTTCTCCTGATTAGTTTTGACTTGAGAATTTTTGTATTTTTTGAGGATTTCAGCTTCCATGTCTGTGGATATTCTGACAATTCTGTCTTTACCGGTGAATAGTTTGTCAAAATGTCTGAGGATGTCTTGTTCCTCCTCATCACCCGGTCCGAATAGATGCTCACTTGGGTCCATTGACTCAGTGTCTTTATATAAATTAAAGGATATCATCAATGCATTTTGACTAGGCGGGTTCTTGTGCTTGTAGGGCAATATGAAGATATTCAGGCATGACAAAAGAATGAGAACCAGAAAGAACCTCCAATTCCTCCTGAATATGTGAAATTTCTTGTAGAACATCGCATAGATTTGGTTAAAAATTGCAGCTACACTTTTGACTTTTTGAAACTTTTCAGGATTCTCGATTGTTATTGACAGGTCGCTTCTTTTACTGACTTCTTGTGGACCGGCGTAAGAAAGTTTGAGGAACACATCCTCAAGTGTCGTGAAGCTGCAACCAAAACTTGAAATCTTCAGTTTTGTCACATTGTCCTCAATATTTTTAAAGATCTTATCAAAAATCGGCAGTCTTTCCTCAGAAATTGCAATGACAGCTTCAGTTTCTCCGTCATGCTCTACATAAGCATCTGGTGCATATTTTTGGATCACATCCAATACAGCTTGAGATTCAAAGTCATCCATTTTAACAAAAGTCAATCTATATCCAGTTCCGAATGTCTTCTTAAGAAAGAATGAGGAACCGACTGTTCTCAATTGACCTTCAGACATGATTGCTATTCGGTCACCAAGGACATCAGCTTCATCCATAAAATGAGTTGTTATTAAAATTGTTCGATTCTTCTTCTCAGCAATCAGCAAGTCCCATAACTGACGACGAGATGTTGGATCCATGCCTGATGTCGGTTCATCCAAAATGACAAACTTTGAATTCCCACAAAGTGCTATAGCCACTGACAGTCTTCTCTTCTGTCCACCACTTAGTGTCTTGCTTTGACTTGTCAGTTTCTCGTATATCCCAAGCATTTTTGAGTATTTAATGACTTCATGATTGATGTCCTTAACATCCTTAATTCCTTTCAATTTACAAAAGAACTTTAAATGCTCTTCGACTGTCAGTTCCTCAAACAGCACATTATACTGAGGACAGATTCCAAGGCAATTTCTAACTTTATCTATATCAGTTCTGATGTCATATCCATTAATGAATGCTGTTCCTGATGTCGGCTGATAAAGTCCAGTCAGCATTGACATTGCTGTTGTCTTGCCAGCACCATTGTGACCTAAAAGAACTGTTATTTGATCCTCGTAGAGGTTCAGCGACAGCTTCTTGACTGCATAAGTCTGCCTGAATCTTTTACTCAAACTTTTGATCTCTATTCCATGCATAAGGTTTTCAGGTTCGTCTTCCTTGTCATATTTCTCGAAATGGACATATTTTGAGCTTGTTTCTGACTGTCGGACATCTCTGTCACTTATGAACAACTTGATGATTCCACTGATTGGATAATGCCAAGACTTAGCGACTCCAACTTTGCCTGGAAAAGTATTCTCGATGTAAATAGTCAGCAACATGATCAAAGCACTTCCAATATTCATCCAAATCACCAATTCACCAAACGAAAACTCAAACTCAGCAGGTCGAGTAAAGACATTTCCAAATCCAACTCCACCGTATCCATTTTCAGCCACAATAATCATTTTGATGCCTAATCCCATATTTGTATTAATCAACATGCTGAACAACATCTTCAATCCATAACTGTACTTATAAAAATCTTCATGATAAATCACATAAGGAGCAATAGCTGCCAAGAAAGTCACAGAACCAACACTATTGGCTATTGAAGGTTTCTTAAAGATGACACTGACAAGGAAGCAGAATGTTATCATGGATGTGATGTATGAGATGAAAAGGAGCCAAATGATGAGTGGATTGCTGTTGGCAAACATTGGAATATCCGAAATGATGCTTGTGACTGTCAAGATGAGGTTGATTGTGAAGGAAATGATGAGAATGATGAAGCTACGCATGAACCATGATGACCAGTATAAAGCACTCGACAATCCCATTATTTTCATTGATTCTGTTAGACGTGACTCCCGTTCGATTGTTATGTTCTGGAAGATTTTTGAGGTTAGGTTCAGATTGATGAGGAATTGGAGGATATAACCTCAAAATCAAAGGTTTACTGTGTGAAATCTACAATCCATACCTTAATCAGCACCTCCTTTGAGTAAATCACACAAAATACCATCAACATCGGTAGGATATAGACAGCCACAGCCTCAAACCTATCAAGCATCACTCTTAAAATTGGAAATGTCTTCAACCTTTCTAATTTTTCAATTTCTTGACCTTTGCCAAGTTCCTGGATGAATGCATGATCAATTTCATTTTGAAGCTTGACGAAGCATGTCGAATAATAAAGAGCAGCTTTTGGATCTTTAAGATCTTCATATCTTGGCTCTGTTGTTACTTGGTGATGATAAATCTTGTCTGTGTTCCACTTCCTGTCCATTGAGATGTCATTGGGCATTCTGATTGTGTATTGGAGATGGTTTGGTGGAGATGAGGCTGACTGGAAGTTGAAATTTTGTTGAAATTTAAGAATCAAGGAGCTAAGGATAGGTTCAGTTAAACTCACAGTCCCAAAAATTATTCCTGCTGCAGGCTCTGCTTGCTTTTTGATCCAATTGCTCAATTCATCTTCATCGTTAAAAGCAACGAATTGCTTCTCAAAATTCGTGGACACACTGTTCATTAATCTGTCGTTGAACTCATTTCTTGGTGCATATCCAAATGCTGATATATGCTTACTGCCATAAACACATGGCGATTGACTCAGCTTGAGTTCTTGACTGTAAAATATTGGAACTTCTTCTTTTTGGACTTCATTTTTGACAATTGTGAAGATGACAATAACAAGTATTGGGAAGAGAAGCTCGATTGTTGCTGGAAAGGAGGAGTTGTAGATATTGAGATTGGTGTAAGGAAGATACCATCAACTGGACGTAACATCCCAGCCTCAGCTGTTACTTATTCACCACAATTAATTAATCACATACCGGATATTGGATGTCGTTTGATGAGAATCCAATTTTTCCACATCAACAATTTGAATTTTCTCATCCACATCTTGAATGATGGATGCAGCTTCGTTGGAATCAACTCAGAGTCTTGTCAATCTTTTCAATTTTGCACAATTTTTCAAAACAACAACAAATTAATTTTTGGAATTTTCACTGCAAAAGCTCTCTTAATTAATTGTAAAATGAAAAAAAATTGTTGACATTTTTTAAAAGATTTCAATTAAACTGTTAAGAAGCTTGGAGTTCTTTGCAGCTAGATGAGTACGAAGATGTCCATACATTGAGCCTAAAGACTCTTTACATCTTGGTAAACCACATAAAATTGATCAAAATTCACGAAAAATTCATAATAATCCAAAATAAATTATTATAGCATTTCAATGATAAATGCAGAGCTGTGAAACCTTTGTTGAACCACGTTACATTTTTATAAGACCAATTCTGTACACCACAGCAAAAAGATTGACCATAAATGGCTTACAACATGACAACAATGTAGTCTGAAATTGGAATTTGCTACAAAATTTAACACGAAATCGATTGAATCCCAAAAAAAACATGAATTTTTCATTAAATTCTCGTGATTCTTGAGCCTCAATTTAATTTTGATTTAATTTTCCTTAGAAATTGACAAGTCTTTATCACCGCATTTGCTCTCTGTTTTGGTTGATTATGCAATTTTTGTTGGTTTTTAATAAGACTGTAGAATGATTTGTGTCACTTTGACTTGGATCTAATAAAAAATTTTGAAAAATGCGCTTTAAACATAATGTGAATTTTTTACTTGTTATATCCAGGAAGTCGATTCTTGTCCTCCTATTCCTCTGAGAAGGAAAAGGTTTGCTAAAAAAATCAAAAAAAATTTAAAAATGTTGATGCAAATTCACAAACCCCCCTAAACCCCCCGCCTTCCCCACCTTTTTCCACCCCTCAAAAATTACAGACTACGCTCCTTACTTGGAATTTCAAAGCTTATCAAAAAAATCTATATTTTACAGTGTCGAAGAAACTCAATCAACTTTTTTTAAATCAACCGCCCACTTCCCCCTCAAAAATGCGCTTTATCCACATCACCTCTAGTAACTCTCTTACTTGTTCCTCTCTCCCCATCTTCCTTACCTTCTTATTCTTCCCCTGAATTAAATTGTAATTCATTTCACGAGAAAATAAAACATCGTCGAGATTGATGAAGAAAAAATATTTTTTGTTTGCTCCAGAAAAAAAAGTTGCAGCAACAAGAAACTTGGCAGCAAAAACAAACCTCTCGCGGCAACCTGTGTTAAAATTAATTAAATTAATCGGATTCCTCAATCTTGATGTTATTAAGTCATTTTAAACGATGCACGGAATCGATAGCAAAGCAGCAACAGTTTTGTTGCTGTAATCATAAGTCTCATGAGGTGTGTAGGCAGATGGTCGACTGTACATCTGGCTGGGAGTTGGAGGAGACTCACATTCGGTTAAGATGGGTCTCATGGGGATGATGATGATAATATCTGATGACCATGTGCTATTTTTGGGACTTTTTTTTCCTCTCCTCCGTCTCTTTTGTGTGTGTGTGCTGCTTTGCTGCCTGCGTTGCATGAATTGTGGACATTTTTGTGAATGGCTGTTGAAATATTCATATGTGGGTTAGTTGGATGGAGAATTAAAGTGAGGATGGTCTTTAAAGAGAGGTTAAAGAGGTCAGTATTGTGTATTTTTTTGATGGATTTTTAAAACTGGAGCGGGAATTTTCAGTCAACTTGAGTAGGAATTTTAGTCAAATTGAGCGGGAAATTCAGCTTAGTGAAGAGGGAAATTCTGTCAAGTTAAAACATGTTTCAGTCAAGGCTAGGAGTAAATTCAGTCAACTTGAGTGGGAAGTTCTATCAACTTGAGAGCACAGTTTTGTCAACTTGAGTGGAAAATTCAGTCAACGAAAGAAAGTTGTATGAACTTGAGTGGGAAATTCATAAAATGGGAAAACGATTGCAAGCAAGTTCAGTCCAAAATTTCATCACTTTGAGCGTCTAATGATCAACTTTAGTAGAGAATTTAGTCAACTTGAGAAAAAATTCAGTTTACTTGACAGAATCATTCAGTCAACTTGAGAGAAATGTTAGTCAAGTTAAGCAGAAATTTCAATCAGCTAATGCGGAAAATTTTACCAACTTGAGTGGAAAACGTGTTCAACTTGAGCAGGAAAAGTCAGTCAACTTGAGTGAAAAATTCAGTCAAGTTGAGTGGAAAATTAATTTAGCTTGTATGAGAAGCTTAACTTCATAGTCACCATTAGACTATAACAATGAAACATAACCTCAAAATTATGTTTACATACAAAACAAACTCTCAATCGATTCTCAAGCATCACAGCATCCTGAACAGTCAACTTGCAAAAAAAGCCCCATAACAAATTATTGAATTACCTGAACTATCGATCATTTCATCTTCAACTTTTTTTAAACTCTATCAAATCCAGATTTGCAGTTAAACTCACCACGACAAAAATATATATAAATTTACACACAAAATTCGATCAAAAACAAGCACAGAAAGTGCATCAACATTTAATTCCAATAACAGAACACGAAAAAAAAGACAAAAACAGTAGTTAATGAATATTTTATGACATCTTATCCGGCAATTGTCTCCGACTTTTTACCTCTACTTCATCTCATTGTTTCGTTCCTTTTGATCTTTCTCTCGTTTTTCAATTGCTTGTTTTATTCTCATTTTCTTACCTCTTTTTATTGCCTGCCTCATGAATTCCTCGTCAATCTGTTTTTGGACATGAAACACAAAAAAAACAAGAATTAAAAAGTAAATAAAAAGTCAAACAAATTTTTCTTCTGTTGCTGTTGCAATTCTGTCAACTTACAATGCATGAAAATGATGAATTATTAGGAAATGTTGAAGATGCCAGCGGGAGACCTACACGAGCGATTTTTTTACGTTTTTCAATTGAATTTTACATTTTTGTGCGGAATTGATTCTTGTAAAATTTTTCGAGTTCTTGTCGTGGTTTTGGTATGATGATGCAAGGGGTGGGCATTGTAAGTCATTTTTTTGGGTATTTTAAAATTTGGCGTGCGCCATATGAAAAAAATTTAATGTCTCCTCAAATATTATGCACGTTTTAAATTTTCAGATTTTTTCGATAATTTTAAAGAAATATAAAAAAATTTATACCGTGCGTCATATTCAAGGAAGTCAGTAAACTGTTTCCAAAAATATGGCGCACGTCCGAAAATTTCAATGAAAATTTTGATTGAACTAGAGCAATACTAGCACCAAATCTCAAGTACCCACCTCTTCCCTAAAATAAACCCATCAAGACCATAATTAATTACAAAAAATTGTCAAGAAGACCAACAAGACGAAAAATCGACACAAAAAGCCAACCAGTAGAAGCAGCAAATAATCAACAAATAAAATAAATGTTAAGTTCATTGTCTTTGTCACGTGATAATTACTGTGATGAGAATCAAAAAATAGAAACCGAGAAGGAACTAAAGTAAGAAAAAATTTCCTCGTATTTTTCCCATCAAGATTGATGGCGTCTACAAATGCATGCTTCTTAGTAATGAACGAAACTATTAAGAACTTCCACGAACAGCTCTTTAAAGACTTAACGACATGGTCGATAGTTGGATGTAAAAAGGGAGTGGATCAACGGAACTAATTGCTTTCATTCAAGCATTAATTAAACATGTGAATGTGTTACAATTTTCTTTTGTTAAAGGGATAAGAAGATTTTTTGCTTGGTAAGGTGATTTGCTGACTGAAAAATTAACTTGTTTTAAAGTTGCTAGCTCTGGAAATTAAAGTATGGAGAAGATTAATGCATTGAAAATGGAATTTTTGTTCAAATTATGTCAAAAAAGTGAAAAAATGTACATGCGCCATATTCCAGAGAGACAGTAAACTGTTTCCCAAAATATGATGCACAGTTTTCTATAAAAATGTTTAAAGTTTTTTGAAAACTATCAAAAATCATACGTGCGTCATATTTAATGTAAACAGTAAACTGTTCTCAAAAATATGGCGCACAAAAATCAAAATCAACATCATTTTATAATTTTTATAATTTTTATTTATTTTCCGAAAATTGAATAAAAAATTTTACACATGAATAAAAATTCCCTGCAAAAAAACAGAAGCATCGAATGCGACATAATCCATTGAGCCTTTAACCACATGTGAACTACCACCACAAATTTTACTGTTGCTTCATTTCTGCTTACACATATGAGGCTGAAAAATTGTTGTGATGATCCTGAAAATGTACAATGTATCTATGCTGTAAATAAAAGTTGGGAATGGCAACGAATAAATAAAATGCGACTTTAACTCCATGATAATGATTTATTTATCTTATGGCATTAGTGTTGTGGGTTAACATTACAAATTACAAAAATATATAAAAAAGTAAGGTAATTTTTTGTCGGAGGCTAAAGGATTTTCTGTGATTTTGTTGTTGTTGGAAGATTTGCAGTAAGTCGGAGACTGTTTTTTTTCTATTAATGGATTTTTCATATTTTTTGTGTAAATCTGAGGATGAAATCTGTTCTTATTGCTGCATATGGGACTGCTTTTTAGGATGGATTGAGAGTTTTTGGTATGTTTTTGTAATTATGAGGTTAAGTTTATCTGAATTTACAGTTTAAAATGGATGAGGTTCCGTATACCACAAACTATCCAGATCTCCAACTTTTTCTTGAAAATTGCTTCAGAGCAAGGGGATAACAACATAATGGAAAAGCATTTTGATTGAAAAATCGATTAAAACAGGTGGAAAACAAATTTTTGAGAAAATGTTTTTCCCATCATGCTGTTTGCTCCTTCATTTACAACAATTTTCAATTTTCATTAAAAACTCATTCCCATCATGTTGTTACCCCCTTCATATAAAGCTTGTTCCATTTTCAAAATCAAGCTGTTACCCCCTCAATCCTTCTATGCAAATCAAGCTCCTCAATTTCTTAATTCTCCCAATAAAACCAATTCATTCCAAGCATCAAATAACAATCGAACTACTTCAAATAACAATAAAATCGAATATCCAACCTTTAGTGCTCTCAATTTCCATGTTGAAAAAAAATCATGTAGAAAAATCAACAAAAAATGAGAAAAAAAATTGTCGTATGTGATTACAGCTTACTGTCGTTCTGTTCTGGCATTGTCAGCAAAAATGACATCAGCTCGGACTTGGACTGTTTGGACGTGCAGTTGGAGATTTTTTTGTTGTAGAAGTCGAATTGTGGGAATCAGCAGGAAAGGAATAGAGGATTTATGGATGTTATTTTAAAACTATGGGAAGTACTTTTAGAGTTTTTAAAGTTTTTGGGGTTTAAGGTTTAGTTTATCTTCAGAAGTCGTCTTGTTTTTACAAAGGACTGCCTTGTAGAGACCTTGTAGAGCACTTAGTAAGTTAAAGCCAATTGACAAATCAGATTTGGATCATTTAAGTCAATTCTAATGAGTTACACTCCCTTGGTAGAAGCTTAGAGGTCCCTTACATCAGATATACTAAAAGTTGTGACACTAGCTGAGGTAAGCGCTTAATAGTAAATGATTTTGTATGACAGAATCAAGGATTTGGCTTGTATAGGATCAGAAGATGGATTAAGAATGAGACTTAGCCTCAATATTATTAAATAACCTAATATTCCTGAATTGCAAACTATTTGTTAAGACATTAATAAATTTATAGCACAGAAAAGCCCCTTCTCAATATCATATTAATTAAATTCAACATGTGAAGCATGAAATGAACAACATTGCAAGTTGCAAGGGATGGAAAACTCAAGATTGAAGACTTAATTTGGTTCAATGGCATCATCATTGGCAGGGCTAGAATACTGCAGAGTCGAAAAGAGACTACGATAAAGTTTCTTTGGTTCCAACCTGAATCATACGTATATCAGGTCTAAGTTGGCTTGGTTCCAAGATTATCTACCATTGTTGAGCACTGCCGCATTTAATTTTCATCAAACCTATTACTTATACTAGGTTACCACCCCTTGCCATAAAGTCCACAACTTACACTCTCCTTTCCAGTTCAAAACATCGAGCAACAACACAACAAGTAACTTGGATTTCAATTAAGAACAAACAGTCGCAACAACAATGAACAAAAATAAATAAATAAATAAATAAAATAATAGCAATGCACACACACACACACATGCACATGCCATATGAGAAAGTAAATTATGCAGTAGCATATAAAAAACAATTTTTATCCCGCCATCGAACATTAAACGGCAAACAATAAAAGAAGAGTGAAAAACAAGGAGGAAAAAAAATCATGAAAAATGCAAGACAAACATATAAAAATGTTAACATAAATGCAATTTACAGGAACAACAGTGTATAATGAAGCAAATGCAAACATTTAATGTACGACGGCACCGGCAAAAGAGAGTGAGTATGTCGATTGGGGGAGAGGAAATAAAGACATGAAAAATCATAAATACAAACAGATCGACACGTGGTTTTGATAATGTTTACCTAACTGTGTAATGTAATAGGAAATAATAATGAGGAAGGAATTGTCGGGATGGGTGGATGCAATGCGGAATTTCTTGAGGAAGATTAGCGAATAAAAATAATTCTGAATGAATTTTGGTTTGGAAAAATGAGGAAAGGAGGAAAATTAGGAACATAACCTAAAAATTTGAAAACTTAGCTTAAGAATTGAAAAACTTAACCTTAAAAATTTGAGCAACCTAAGCTCAAAAATTGAGTTGCTTAAAGTCCTATATCCGCAACTTAATCTTAAAATTCAGCAACTTAACCTTAAAATTTAGCAACTTAACCTCAAAATTCAGCAACTTAACTTCAAAATTCAGCAACTTAACCTTAGAATTCAGCATTTTAATCTTAAAGTTCAGCAACTTTACCTTGAAATTCATCAACATAACCTCAAAATTCAGCAACTTAACCTTAAAATTCAGCAACTTAACCTTAAAATTTAGCAACTTAACCTCAAAATTCAGCAACTTAACCTTAAAATTCAGCAATCTAACCTCAAAATTCAGCAATTTAACCTTAAAATTCAGCAACTTAGCCTTAAAATTCAGCAATTTAATCATAAAATTCAGCAACTTAACCTCAACATTTCGTAAATTTCAATAATATTCCCCCTGAACTAGAGGGTAGTTTCCCTCAACATCACTTATTTTCCTCTATCCAATTTTTAATTTTCCATCAAGTGCAAATAAAGGGCTGGATTGTAAGGCTGAATGTCACGACACGTGGCATTTAACAATTGAAGTTGCAATTGAATGTGCAAATCTCATTTAAATGGGCACTAAAAGTAATAATCTGATTTCTTTTTTTTTGTTTGATGATTAGACTGAAGGATTAAGATAATAAAATTTTTGATATGAATTAATGATGAATGAGAAATGGCTTGTGAGAAAGAAAGTGAGCAAATGTTGGGATGAAGGAGGTTAGTTGGGTATGGGGGAGGTTATATGATCAAATGACAGAGTAAATTAGATTAGTTGATTGAGTTTGGACTAAAATAAGTGAATAAATTGAAAAATAATTCAATATTTCGAGCTGTAAATGAATTTTAGTAAGGCAATGAACAGTTTTCCACATAAATGTTCTGAAAATCCTAGTTCTTGCCTTTACTGCAATTAAATTGTCGATGCACTTTACTAAATTGCTTTATTTTCATCATCAAAACAAACTATTAACCACAAAAAACGCAAAGCCGAGCCCAAAGAGGCATAAATTAACACCAAAAGACAACCGTCATTTGACCAATTAGCATAAAAGCGACTGATAAGACGCCTCAAATTTCATCATTCAAAAAATGACCATAAATTTAATTACAATTTTGACACAAATTGAAAGTGAAGGTAATTAGAATTAACATAAAAAGTAAGGAGGCTTGTTGACATAATTAAGTAATTTTTTAGAGGTGGATAATGAGGAGTTGAGGACGTGAGATTCGTATTGTGAGATAAGAGAAAATGTTTTAAGTAAAATGCTGGTCATTATGGTGAATCGAGGGGGGTTGTAAATAGGAAATGAGGATTGTTGAGTTGTCATGTAGATGATTTTTCACTTTTAAGTGAAACTTTGAATTTTAGGAACATAACCTCAAAATTCAGGAACATAACCTCAAAATTCAGAAGCATAACCTCAAAATTCAGAAACTTAATCTCAAAATTCAGGAACATAACCTCAAAATTCAGAAACTTAGCCTCAAAATTCAGAAGCATAACCTCTAAATTGAGCAAAATTCAAAACAAAATCATATAATTCAGGAATTTAACCTCAAAACTCAGAAACATAACCTCAAAATTCAGAAACATAGCCTCTAAATTCAGGAACATAACCTCAAAATTAAGAAGCGTAACCTTAAAATTTAGCCTTAATAATCGCAAAAATCAGGACAAAAATATAAAATTCAGGAACATAACCTTTGAATTTGGTAACTTAACCTCAAATCTGGCAACAAAGTCTCAAAATATACCACTTTATTAAAAAGATTCAAATTTTTGCTTTAAAATAATCTCGTGCGTCATATTAGGAACACTATACTGTCTCTGAAAAATATGACGCACAAATAATTTTTTTTTCAAAATCTAGTCAAACAACTCTAACCTTTCCAATCTTCATCCTCATTTACTATCAAAATATTTAATCCTACTTTCGAAAATAAACCATTAAAAATAGAAATGCATACAAACTAGTCAAGCACTTCAGAACATAGTTCTGTTAATAAGATATCAATTATGCACCCCTGTTGGTATTTCATGTCTATCTATCTGCCTTTGTTTCCCTTCCCTAGCAATTTTCAAATTTCTTTTTTATTACAATTGCATATGCAGTAATTTTTATTTTATATATTTTTTCCGTAATTGAAACTTGACACCGAACAGTCTTTTGCTACTTCCAATAAGTCGTGACTTTCTGTGCTCATTTTTTTTCAACATTTTTGATATAAATCATTTTTACAGCCCTTTTAATTTTTTTTGTCTCTTTTAAAGCTTCTCAAATTGCGCTGATTACATCATATCATGTGAATAATTATGACGACTTCGGAACTTCCCTTTAAATCGAGTTCATCTGATTGCCAATTAATGATAAAATAATTTTTTTGCTCTTTTATGTTTCAAATTGATGAAAAATTGTGCTGACAAAGTTTGAATTTTTTACAGATTTTTGAAGGTTATGGAGAATTTTTGTAGGTTAATGTGCCTTGCTACTAGAGTCTTTGAGGTTCAGGTGCCTTTACTCTAGAACCTTTAAATTGTAGCCACCAGGTTCAGGTGCTTTCACACTAGAGTAGCTTGGTTCAGGTACACTCATACTAGAGTAGCTAGGTTCAGGTGTCTTGACAATATTGTAGCTAAGTTCAGGTGTCTGCGCACTAGAGTAGCTAGGTTCAGGTGTCATTACACTGGAGTAGCTAGGTTCCGACGTTTTTACACTAGAGAAGCTAGGTTCAGGTGTCTTCACACTAGAGTAGCTAGGTTCAGGTGTCCTTACACTAGAGTAGCTAGGTTCAGGTGTCTTTGCACTAGAGGAGCTAGGTTCAGGTGTCCTTACACTAGAGTAGCTAGGTTCAGGTGTCTTCGCACTATAGTAGCTAGGTTCAGGTGTCTTTTCACTAGAGTAGCTAGGTTCAGGTGCTTTCACACTAGAGTAGATTGGTTCAGTTCCTTCACGCTAGAGTAGCTAGGTTGAGACGCCTTCACTGTAGAGTAGCTAGGTTCAGGTGCTTTCACACTAGAGTTCTAAAGTTTAGGTGCCCTCAAACTACAATCATATCCTCATAATTCACAAAAATATCCCATTTTAAATCCCATATTCAGTAAAAAGAGTATCATTTGGTCATATCGACTATCATTACAACAAGACTTATACAGTATATCCAGCATATGTATTCATATATGTGCTATTAAAGTAACAAAAAGGGTCGGTCGCATCAGAAGAAGAGGAAAAAGAAGAACAAATGCTACAATTGTAACCTTTTTTAAAGGGATCGACGTCATATAAACAACGAGGACACAAAATAAATGTTAAAGTGAACATCGGCAGACACGTGAACACATAATCGGATCAGGTTGTGTGATGCAAGTGATTTCTATGATTGTTATTTGATTTTTTATGACTGATTGTCATTAAAGTTTCGATGCTGATGCTCTTTCCAATGAAATAACAAGCACAAGGACGATTGGGAGGATGTAAGGGATGAGGCGGATGCTGATGGAATTGTAAGATAAGATAATGAGAGAGGCTGGCATTGAATGTTAAAAAGGAGAGTCGTGTGATGATTATTTAGGTCTTGAATGCCTTAATATTCAGCACAACTCTTTAAAATCACATCCAAAATTTTCCCATTCAAAAAAAAACTTCAATTTTTCCCATAATTTGTGCGAAAATTATCCGGAAGCTATAATGATTCGCTTATCGCGCTTAGTCATCTTTATGTGAATGCATCAATAACATGAATATTTTCGATGAATAGACGGACAATAGCCGGTTCCGAACGTATTGTGCTGTGGATGTGAAAAATAATTTTTTTTTTTGCTGGCTTTGTGTTGGCTTTTTTGGGAGATGTGAAAAATAGTTTTGGTATTGGAAGGGACGGGGGAGGGGGGGGCATGGGGGGTTATAAGGGGTGCAGCTTAGAGTAAACTTTTGTAACTTATAAAATGTTTTTTGAAATTTTCAAGAATTTCTTTTGAATTTTCCTTCCAATTTTTTTTAATTTTTCAATAATTTTTTCTTAGTCTTTCCGAAATTTTCCTTAATTTTTCACTCCCTTTCTACGCATCAGCTCCTCCCCTCCCCCCCACCAAATCCCAATAACATCATCCACTAGTCATCCTCAATTTCACTCATTGTTCAATAAAACGATTTAAAAATATGAAAATTTTCCACTAAAAGAATGAAAAGCGAGATGAAAATTTTGCGGCAGCTGTAAAAGTAGCTTACGGCGATTGTGTCATTGATGCTGATAATTTGGCTAAAAATATGGGACGAAAGGAATTTTTTTTTGTATGTTTTTATAATTTTTACTATTGCATAAAGAAGGAGGCTGTGTAGTTCTAGAATTTCAATGCCATATGTAATGATTATTATCGAATTAAGGTTTATTGTTGGTGGTGTGCTTGGGATGCTGTAGATGAGTTAGATGTGGATGGTTTGAGAAATGTTTTGATTTGAATTTTTAAATGATTTTAATTTTTAAATGCCTCCAATTTTCATAATTTTTAAAACTTTGATTTGAGTGTTTTAAAATAAAACTGAAATTTTAAAAAAATCTTCAATTGTTACACTTGTTGATAAATTCAAATCATTTTTGAAATCTTGAATCGTTTTTACATTTTTATAATTTTTAAGATATAAGATTTAAATATAGATATATTTAAGATATAGATTTTAATTATATAAGAAAATTCTTTTAAAACTTTTTAATATTTTTTTATCATTTGTCAATTTTTAAAAAAAAAATTTAAGAGTTTTTAAACACTTTTTCTAAAATTTCTAATTACTTTTAAAAATTTTAACATTTTAGAAATTTTAAAAATATTTTAAAAAATCTCAGAATTTTAAAAAAGTTTTTACTTTTTTCTTCAATTTTCAAAATATTTTAAAAATGTTATAAAATCGTTAAAAATTGAAAAAATTATTCAAAATAAATTTCTGCAATTTTTAATTTTTTTCAACTTTCAAACTAAATTTGAATTTAACTGAATGCCTTCAAATTTTAATTTTTATATTTTTCTGTAACTTTTAAGATTCACAAAAATTCTTCTAAAATCTTCCAAAAAATAATTTTTTCGAAAAATCACACAAAAAACTTTTATTCACTTCAAAAAGTGCACCACAACTGGTTCACAAATATCATCGCGGTTACCCACAATAAAGAAAAAACTTACAAAAGTAACGAATTTTCTTCTTATTTGTGCGGTTTTTCGGGAATGAAAAGTTTCACTTCTAGTTGAATTTTTTGTCTGTATTTTTCGTGTGTGGAATTTTTTTGTATCCATGAATATGTGAAATATTTTGTTATTCCTCAATTGTTGAATCGGATTTCGATGGTGCGATTGTGTTAGTGTGGATGTGTAGCTACTTGTCGAGTTTGTCATGTAAACACAGTGTAGAGTAGAATGTTGGTTAAACCAATGAGAACCGCAGTTTTTTGGATCGATAAAGCAGATTTTTATGTTTTGCGTCGGTTTTTCTTGTTCTTAAAGACTTCCTCCTTAATTTTGTTGAATTTCTTGTACAATTTTCACGAAAAAAAATCAAAATTTGTCGTCCACGAAGGTAAAATCTTGTTATTCAAGCCTCAATATCCGATCAAATCTCACAAAATACACCTCTGATCAACACCTTACAATAGAATACATCATATTTCGTCAAATCATGTCTACTCCCACCCTTCTGACAACATTTAGGTGCTGAAAATTAAAATCTCACGTAAGTCGTTTAGGGAATTGAAAAGAAACAGAAGACAAAGTTTATCCGATCCTTTTAATTATTAAAATATGAATTAAAACCCTTTTGTTTGAGGATAATGACTAGTTGGAAGTAATGAGGACTTTTTCTGCTTAATTTGAGATTTTTGGGGTGCATTTTTAGGTTATGTTGCTGAGTTTGAGGTTGTTTTTCTCACTTTTAAGGTTATTTTTCTAATTTTTAAGGTTAGTTCTAGAAATTTTGAGGTTAAGTCCTGAATTTCTGAGGTTAAGTCTTGAAATTGTGAGGTTAAGTTTTGAAATTTCGAGGTTAAGTCTTGAAATTTTGAGGTTTAGTATTGAAATTTTGAGATTGTCTTGAAATTTTGAGGTTAAGTCTAGAAATTTTGAGGTCGTCTTGAAAATTTGAGGTTAAGTCTTGAAAGTTTGAGGTTAAGTCTTGTAATTTTGAGGTCAAGTCTTGAAATTTCGAGGTTAAGTCTTGAAATTTAGAGGTTGAGTCTTGAAATTTTGAGGTTAAGTCTTGAAATTGTGAGGTTAAGTTTTGAAATTTCGAGGTTAAGTCTTGAAATTTTGAGGTTTAGTATTGAAATTTTGAGATTGTCTTGAAATTTTGAGGTTAAGTCTAAACATTTTGATATGAATCACTGCAAATTTCCATTCAAATCGAAAAATTCTCACAAAATCCATTAAAATCAGCACAGATGATACCCAAACAATTCACCAAAAAAATTATGACACATCAAAACACTCAAAATTAATTTTCCAAAACCCAAACGAGTTCCATTCATCCAAACAATAAATAAATATTATCAGCATAAATTTGAATCATCACCGACGACTTTTGAAGTATCGAAACAGGTCATTCATCCCTCTCAATTATCAATTCTATTCAAACATTCAAATATGTTGTGAAATTTTCATCTTTTATGGATAATAGACAGGACATTAAGCAAGTTTCTTTCTTTTTTGTTGCCAAAATGTCATAAAATATTTTTCAATTGTATCACTAACTGAATTTTTGAGTAAATTAATTATCATTGAAAATGGTACAAATGAAAATAATTTTTTATTATTATTATATTCACCCTTAGTGATGGAAATAAAAGTGAGAGGGATTAAGTTGAGGAGGCACTAGTAGTTTGGGTTGAGGTAAATAAGGCGCAATTTTTGAAATTTACTTTGAATGACTTAAGTATGCTAAGATTAGATTTCATATGGTAAAGGACAAGCTTTTAGAATAGACTAGTCTAGGTACTAGATTTGACTAGGTTGAACTAGTATTGTAATAGATTGAACTAGATTTTGTAAGAGATTGGAACAAGTTAAACTAGATTTTGTACTAGATTGGATCAAATTGGACTAGATTTTGTACTACATTGGATTAAGGTGGACTAGTTTTTGTACTAGATTGGATTAAGGTGGACTAGATTTTGTACTCGATTGGACTAGATTTTGTACTAGATTGGATTAAAGTGGACTAGTTTTTGTACTAGATTGGATGAAAGTGGACTAGATTTTGGACTCGATTGGACTAGATTTTGTATTTGATTTTACTAGATTTTGTGCTAAATTGGATTAATGTGGTCTAGATTTTGTAGTAGATTAGATTAAGGTGGACTAGATTTTGTACTAGATTGGATTAACGTGGTCTAGATTTTGTACTGGATTGGACTAAGATGGACTAGATTTTGTACTAGACTGAACTTGATTTCGTTCTAGATTGAACCAAGTTAAACTAGATTTTGCACTAGATTGTATTAAATTTTGATCTGAAATTAATACTTAGACAAACTGAACCAAATTAACTTAATGAAGCTCTTAATCCTTCCCAGCATATCTCTAATTTCTGCGTGCGTATAAGTTGCAACCTCTCAGTTACACTTGATGCTCCTTATCCGACTTGTTATAAAAACAAGCACAGCATGATAGCAAAAGATTCGTAGAAGCTACAAAGGGCAAAAGAGTGAGCATGTAAAAAATTGTACCAGATGTAATGACACTTTATCCAGTCAGTACTGCTGACTATTTGCTTATCCTCTCGTTATTCAATAATAATAACAACAATAACAACAAAACTGCCTCTTGAAGTTATAATGTATCGTTTGTGTGAGTGTGTATGTGTGTCCTCAACCTACATAATAATAGCAGCATATAGCACAACAATCAAAATACCAAATGTAAGCAAACAAGATAATAAATGAATTTTGATTCTCATCCCCTAATCACATATTTTTTGTACCCTTGTCTCACCCCTCTTAATTCTTTATTTTTTTTTCTTATATAAACTCGCTCGTACTCGAATATGTCGAAATAATTAACTATCCATATGGATAGATGAGCATGAAGAGTAGTAAAATACTTCCACATATAGTTGCGTAATATGTCAAGAAATTAAATTACTACTCATTTTTGCTTCTTTTTTTTCCTGTGCCGTATATTTCACAGCGGGTTGAGTGCTCGTGTATGATATTATATTCATAACATATTTTTTTTCGTTTGCTGGATGAGGATGGGGTGGTTAATTGAGGGATAAGAGTGAGTTTTGAGGCAGTTTGGGTGTATTTTTGAAGACTTTTGTTAGAACTGGTTAATAAGTTCAGAAATTACTGGCATCTTTGGGTTTTTAATATGAAAATGCGCTTTATCTACGTTGTTATGTTAACATTCTTACTTGGATTTTATTTGAAAAATTTGCGAAATAAAAAAAATTAAATTTCTTATTTTTGTAATTTTTTCATTTTTTTCTTCGTAAATGCGCCTTAGTCACAACCTTATAGTGAGTTTCTCAAGAATACAGTCGGGGGGGTTAGGGGTCCTTTACCCCTCTCTTTTTTAAAAAAAATTCTTCAATTTGACAGGGTATTTTGAGAAAAAAATCCGAAAATCCTCCTAAAAATTTTCCCGACCATACAACTAATTTAACACCCCCCTCCCCCCTCCCCCCCCCCATTTTATCCTCCCTTTTTTGAAATAAGTCTTCAATTTGGAAGGGTTTTTTTAAAACAAAAATCTTAAAATCCTTTCAAAAATTTTCCTGATCATACAAAATAATTAACCCCTCCCGCTCCCCCCCTTAAAATTAATTTGTGGTTACGCCCCTGGACTTTCTTACTTTACTTTCTTTATATTTTATTTTGAAATTTGTCAAAAACTCAATGAAACTTCACTTAAATTTAATTTTCAAATTTGAATAGTAAAAGTTAAGCAAATGCGCCTTAGACACCATTTTAAAATGCCTTTCTTACTTGTTTTTTTTCAAAACAAAATTCAAATTTTTTCAAACGAATTTCCATGAAATTTTAAAATCAAATTCACAAAAATGCGCCTCATGCACCCTTCACCCAAAAATCACTCATCAACTCGTTCCTCTCTTTTTTTTTCATCCTTACCCAATCTCATCTTTTGCTTCTTCTCTTTTTTATTTCAGTCATAGAAGGGACACGAGGCAAGCAACAAAATTTATTGCGGAAGGATAATCATTCAAACGGAGGTTTTTTTGCGCTTCTTCTTTTGATAAATGAGCCTTCCATTGTTTACATTTGCTATCATTTACTCTCCTTTTTTATTATTTCGCATCTGACAACGTTGTCCGGGGTAAAATGGTAAAGTGCAGGGAGAGATAGAGAAAATTGAACCATAATGCGAATATTTGTTTCGAGTGGTTTTTCATTATTTTCAAGTGTTTTTATTTTTTATTTAAATTTATTTGTTGTTGTTTTTTGGGTTGGAAATCTTTTTTTGAGGATTTAAATGATGCACTTGAGAAGAGTGTTTGGTAATTAGTTGAGGATACTTGAGGATGGGATGTAGATGGGGCTTTAAATCTTTTATTAAATTTCCATCAAGTTTTACATTTTTTACCAAATTTTACATTTATCAATTCTGTTCATCTTCGATCCTGCTGGACACTGAAAGTCATCTGAAAACTCTTCCAAATTCCCCAAAGTTCCAAATACACGGAATCTGCCTGGTGTATGTGGATCACACTCAATCTGATGCTTCATTCCTTCATAGCTTTTATTACTGCAGTAAAACTGCGCCATTGACAGCCAAAACAGCTGATTTGATGTAAAATTAGCATTTGGTAGAATTGGATCAAATTCCTGTACTTTTTGGAAGGTATTATAAGCCAACATCAATCCACCATTGTCAGCAATGTTCTCTCCTAAGTTCTTAGCTCCATTGATTCTCATGCCTGTCGTTGGTTCCACATAACTTCCATATTGATCCACAAAACATTTTGATTTTTCCAAAAACTTCTTTTCAGTTCCTTTTTCCCACCAATTTCTAGCACTTCCATTTTCATCATAAAGTCTGCCTTGATTGTCAAATCCATGAAATATTTCATGTCCAATGGCATATCCAGTTGCACCAAAATTCATAGCTTGTGGACGGTCAGTTGAGAATGTGTTGCTGTGGATGAGTCCAGCACAGATTAAAAAGTAATTAAAATGGTAAGTATAAAGCGCATTTGGGGTTATAATGTATTGTGCAGTCATGATGGTAAACAGGACTTCCTTATTGACTTTTGGGCTGGTTAAAAATTTTCTTTGATTTTTGTTTTTGAGTCTTGCGATTTGATCGATATTTTGGACTAAAGAATGCTTGGAGACATGTAAGTCACGATAATATTCTGACAGGAACTGTTCATTAACAAGCAAGTCTGGATATCCAACAAAGAACTTCATTTTTGAGAGTTTTACAGATACTGCTGCTCGTGTCTTACTGTCCAACCAGTCTAATGTCTTGAAAGTGTCTTGAAGTTGACTTTTCATAGCTATAATCATGTTTGTGACTTCCTGTCTGTCAGTTTGAGTTAGGGAGTGTTTGGAATAAACAGCAGCAACTGCCACATCAAGTTCCTTCTTTAACTTACAGATGCAGGAGGTGCAAACTGCTTTTCTGTTGCAATTTGGGTTTACAGAATCAAAATACAATTTTTCAGCTGATTCTTCATCGTCGTGTTTGTAAAAAAGTGAGATGTACAATGCCTCAATGTATCGCCAAAGCAGATAATCCAGCACATCATCGTCTGAACGAGTAAGCAAGAAGTTGTCAATTTTCATCATCGCTGCTCGATTCTTGACGCCAAGAACGAAAGTTTCGTCAATTTTTTCACTTCCGTTGAAGAAGTTTTCAATGAAGTTCGTCCAATTTATGAAGTTGAAGACTTCTTGGAGTTCCGAGATTTTTATAACTTCTATTTTTGCTTCTGAGCTACTCTCATCGATTAGTTCCAACAGTTTATTCTCAAATTTGAATGCTTTTACCTGCATATCCTCAACTTCTTTTTGATCAAAACCTTCCTCGACCAAATAATTGATAAAATTTCGATTAAATTCCTGAACTTTATCATTTTTTCTGTCCACAAATCCAGCCTTTGTCTCAAACTTTGGTTGATCTACAACCAGAAGTGCTTGTTCATCCACAAATTCCATTCTCATGCTGAATATGTAAGCATCTGAGTTTTGAGAGAACTGAAGTTCTTGAATAGCTTCCTCAAAATTCTCATAATCACCATCGGTGCCTACTTTTCGTCTCATGCTCGTCCCATCCTCAATAAAGTCATTCAACGATCCTCGATTATTCAGGCATGACATGTAGAAGATTTTGATCAATTTAACAAGCTTGCCGTCATGTTTTCGAAGTGGATCTGTTGCTAGTTTGAGGATCCAACGGTCGATGTTTGTAGCCTGATCAATCATTGGACTTCCGATGTCCTTGTAGTTTCCACATGCAAATTGGTAAAAGTCATCGCATGGAGACGCTGAGGTGTCGATTTTGGATAAGAGTGATTTTGATTGAAGTTGGCATTCGGGGGAGTTGCAGGTTTGGGGGGCTTTGGGGTGTGCTGAGGTTGAGTTGAGGGATGTCAGGCTTAATGCTGTGAGTATGATGAGCAGTTTCATGGTTTGAAGCTGTTTGTTCACTAAATGTCGGCTCTGATGGATGTGGACTAACTTTCTGATGAAGAATCTGAGCAAACCTAAGCCTTAATACTGAATATTGACAACAATTCGAGAATATTCAATGCAAACTATTCAGAATCACTCAGAACTTCAACTTTATATAGCTTAAAACAATGACCAGGAGGTGATTTAGTCAACAGAAGCTTCAACAATTGGTGATAAAAATTGACATTTATTTGTGGAAATTTAAATGCATCTGCTGAAGTTTGAATGCTCAATTACTCATTGTGACGTAGCCTTGGAGATGATCTAAGGCACGATTCATTAATCATTGGATTCTAAGCTTCACTGTTTGGTATTTAAATTGGTGGTTTTTGGTTCATTTGAATCAGTTGATTTCAAAAATCATGAAATTCTTACCAGTTCCAGCACTTCTATGCCTGATTAATCTCAAGCAATCCATCGCAAATCCAAAAAAACATCAAATTTGCAGATCACCCGAATGTTACAGCCAAGCAAAGTCAATTCTAACCAACATGGACACTTCAGTCTCACCATGCGATGACTTTTATCAATTTGCATGCGGAAACTATCAATCAAGTCCATCAATTGACTTTGTCGCAATCATTGAGAAAATTATATCGAAAAAGAAAGTCAAAAAGGACCAAAAGCACATGACTTTAGCTAAGCAATATCATCAGAAGTGCATGCATGATCAAGATTCAGTTGATGAGCACGTTGTTGATGTAATTAAGTCTATTGGATGGCCATTTGGAGATGAATCAATTGAACTGTCGCTTGCGGATTTTATCAACAATTTTCAAACTTTTGATTTCTTGAATAGCTTCTTTTTTAATCTTGAGCTTAATAGGAATGTGAAGAACCAACGGATGCTTATGATTTATCATGCCTCAAATGTTTTTAAGCTACAAAACTCAACTGAGCGACTGATTGAAGCTGAAATCACCAAATTCAACCGAATTTTTGGAACTAGCAAGCAAGAATTGAGGAAAGTTATGACCGAAGTTTTTGACTTTAGTGATGAATTTGGAGAAATATTGGAATCATCAGAAAATGACGTCACATCCAAAAATGTGACTATTAAAGTCCTTCAAAATGAAATCTTTTCAATGCTCGACTGGAATCAATATTTAAATAATATTTTCGATGGATCCTTCAAAGCTGCTGAAGTGTTTATTGAGAATGTTGAAAAATTGACGATAATCAACAAGTTGCTGCTCAAAACTCCACCGTATGTCATCAAAAACTTTATAGCTTATTCATTTTTCAATCAAATTCATTCCGATAAAGCCGAAGTTTCAGTCAAAAGCGACGATGATGAAATAACAAGCCTTAATAGAAAATCTGCCGACTTTTGGACACGTAGAAGTCCACATCCTCAAATCAACAGCAAGAACTCATCACTAAGCCGTAAATGCACAGTTAAATTCATGAAAACTTTAATGCCAGCAAGTTCAGCAATTTTTGGGCAACATTTTCTCACAAAAAGTTTAAAAACGGAACTGAACCAAATGATTGACATCATTAAAAGTGAAATAATTAAGAATTTTAGATCCACAAGTTGGCTGGACAAGAAAACAATGTCAAAAGCTGTCGAAAAAGTCAAAAAGATGAAGTTTGTTCGCGGATATCCGAAAGAATTCGATGAACCAAAATTCTTTGAAAATTATTACAAAAATCTTAATTTTGGTGGGAAAAGCTACTTCCGCATTCTTAAAAGCACCAATTTAGACAGGAAGGCACGATTTATTGAAGAATTTCTAAATCCGATGAAAATTCATGAATTAGAAGAAATGGAACTCCAGTCATGGTTCCTAAACGCATTTAATGATTTTGAAAGTAATAAAATCCACTTAAATGCAGCTTTAATGCAATCCATGAACTTTTCATCTACTTTACCAAAGTTTTGGAACTACGGAACTTTTGGATCTGTAATTGGACATGAAATTATGCATGGATTTGATAATTACGGACGTACATACGACTACAAAGGAGACAAAGTGAATTGGTGGGGCAAAAAAGCTGATCAGGAGTTCGTCAACAGATCTAAATGCTTTATTGACCAATATGGAAACTACACAGAACCAATCACAGGTCTGAATGTCAATGGAACTTTAACTTTAGGAGAAAACATCGCTGACAATGGTGGATATACTTTAGCTTATAAAGCTTGGTCAAAAATCAACATAGTCGACCAAACTTTACCAAATCTCAAATTCAGTCCGAAGCAGCTGTTTTGGATATCAAATGCACAATCCTTCTGTAGTAAATTGGATGCTGAGAAGATTTTGGATAGTCTTAAGCACGACCCACACTCGCCTGGCATTTTCCGCATCAATGGTGCATTTGGAAATTTTGATGACTTTTTGAATGATTTTCAGTGTCCAAAAGGTTCTGGGATGAACAGGAAAGATAAATGTAAGGTTTGGTAAATGAGGTTTAAGAGAATCAAGGCTGAAGGATGTGGTTTAAGTCAATTGTTGATTAGGGGATTGATTACTTGGGTTGGGGGTGTGGTGTGGGTCAATGGAATAAAGTCAGAGGTTTGACGGGGTGGTGTGGGTCGTGTAGGATTCAATGAAGTGAAATTGGGGCCGAATGACATGATATGGGTCGCTTAAGAATCAGTAGAGTGATTTCTAGCCTTACAAAGACTAAGAAGAGTCCAAATAAAAATAACAAAAATATAAACTCTAATTTTATGTCTAAATCATCCACAATACCAGCCAATATCCCTAATGCCACTCACTATAATCCTCAAATTCCAATCAACTTAATAATTCTCCACTTAAAATTTTCCATATCAACAAATTTTATGCCTTAATGCAGTGGTGGACAACCTTTTTTATGTGTCGGCACACCTTGCTGTTAAGCCATTACCGAGACCGCACGCAACATAAATTTTGTGGTATTGCTTGAAATTTTTGGTTGCAAACTAGCGTGCCGCAGCTCGAAGGTTGCCCATCACAGCCTTAACCTCCTTAACATGCCGTGACTAAATAAAAAATCAATCGAAAAAACAAAAATTTTCAATTTTATTAATCGAGTTCATGCAACAGCTATAAACATGAAACATATCATGTCATTTAATGACTGCAACTAGTTCATCAACATCATTCACCTCATTTACTTTCTCAATTCAATTCACAATTGTTAGTCACGGTTGATGAAAGTCAAGAAATAATGCAACGGCAAGTGAAATTAATGCACATGAAAAATATTTACAATTTTGGGGTGGAGTTGAAGTTATGAAGAAGTGATACAATAGCTACTGATGATTGCCATATGCAGTACATGTGCTGGTAATTTGAACTTCATCGACTGAAACATCTGTTGTAATTCTTTTCTTATTCTTTCGTTTGGCTGTGTGTGTGTGTGAGGTTTGTATGTTTTGGATGATGGGATATGTGTGGCTGTATGTCGGTTTTTGATGGATTCTGGAAGGAATTTTGATGATTTTTTGAATTTTTTTTTTGATTTTTTTCACAGATTTTGGCACAGCTTTATTAACAAATTATTTACATTTACTGAGAAACTTATACGGGCAGAGCCAGTGGTGGATTTCTTGTTATACAACTACGCCTGAACCTGGATTATAAGCTGGTGCATAAACCAAGTACAGGTGCAATTGTAGGTATAATTAGGGAGCTGTAGGTGTATACCGAGAAACCCATCCCGATAGGGACTTCCGTACCTTTAATCAAGGTTGCGATACAGGCACCTGTGCATAGCTTAGAACCGTACAATTCCTTGATAATTTGTAAGGTTTTATTAGAATTTGTATGGTTTTTTTAGAAAAACCTTATAAATTATCAAGGAATTGTACGGTTTTCACCTGTGCACTGGTGCCTGTATCGCAGGCGCTTAGCCACGAGGATCTTGCCCCCCCCCCCCTCCCCCCATTAAACGTTTTGAACCGCAGCAAGAGCACGGTCTAAAATGCTTAAGAAGGGGATCGCAACCCTGCCTTGAATAGACTCCCATTCATTCCTAAACCCCCTTAATCACATTTTATCCTCAAACTCTCTTTACATTCTTCAATTTATTCCTCAAATCTGAAAAGATCCTAATCTTCTTCTTGACATCATCTCGATCCTTAAAAGCAAATGCTAAAATATTATCGAAATACTCAAAAATTGTCAATTCTGTGTCGTTAAAATGCTTTTCAATCAACTTAACAAGTTCGTCCTCATTCCCACCTTTATAAAGTCCCTCAAGATGTGCTGCAAACTTCTCACAAGCCTCAATTGGTCGAATAAAAATCAAAGGAAATAGAAAATTGTTGGATTCACTGAAAATTGCTCGAATTTCTGACTTTTCGAAGGTTTCGTTGTAAATTTTCTCAACAAAGTCAATCGAACCTGTAAAATTGTCAGCAAACATATTGACATGCAGGACTTTTGGAGTCATGACAAAGAACTTGTAATGCATGCTGTAGAACTGTTGATGCTCGGACGAAGAACTATTTCTAAAATCATAAGTCAGTAGCTTCTTCCTGTCCTTAAGTTTCGTGTACTTAACCACAAAGTCCCAAACAATCTGAAGTTGTGGAAATGATCGAGCACTTTTGAAGATCAAGTGAGTCTGTTCAGCCATTTCGGATATTTCATTATTTGTTAAAAGCTGTTCTGTCTTTCTAACAAGCATGTCAAGTGACCGAGACTCAACATCACTTGAAATATTTAGTTTTGGTCGGAACAATTGTGGAAACAAGTTTCCAATGAAAAATGTCAGTTCCTTCTTGTCAAATAGTGTTGTTACTTCAGACCAGAACTTCTGATTAGTGTCAATGGATGCGCTGTGTTTGCGGTAAATAAAAGTCACGATTGGATTCAGGAACATTTGCTTTTGCTCTTCTTGAGTCAAGTTAGGCTTGACTAAGTCAAAAAAATCCCAAAATGAGGTTTCAGAAGTGATTGTCAAGTTGTGGACTTTGAGCTTATCAAATTCTTTTCTATCGAATATTCCGTACAGCATGACAGCCTTCTGGTTCTGACCATTTGTGAAATTATTGAATTCAGATTGAGTCAAGTAAGGTTCGACTATGTTTTTGACATGTTCGGGGATAAGATCTGTAGCCACATAGAAAGGATTGAACAAAGCTGTATAAAATGTCTCATTTTCATGAACTTTAAGCATGTCAAGCATCAGTTCTTTGTCTTTTTTAAAGAATTCAAAGAAAAACTTAAAACTGTCTTTGTATGGCTTATTGAGGATGTAAAGCAAGTGCTTCTTATACTTATTCTTGAGAATCTTCACAATTTTATCACTAAATGGTGTCATGTCCTTATCATCCTTAATATAATCCATAACAAAGTCAATGACATTATAAAATGACTTTGAAAATTGAATAGTAAGGAACAACATCTCAAGTCTTGCATCAATTTCCTTCTCATCTGAGGAACTATCGTCATTATAAATATTATCAATTAAATATTGAGCAATAAAAAATTCAGCATAAGTTTTATGAGCAAATTCAAATTTAGACTTATCATGGATGTACAGCATGCCTGTTCTTGAGACATCAGCATAGTTTTGTGGCATTAATTTTAATTTTTTAAAAATGTCAAGACTTGGGATTGCTGGATGTGTGCTGAATACAAATGGAAAAATGTCAATTTTCACCGCAAAATGCTGATAAATTTTAAAAATATTAAAATTGGAATTTGGTGGATTTTTGAGGAGATTTTTGCCGGCTGGGATATTTTTTTCATCATAAATTTTGTGCTTTTTATTGACAAAGTTGTTGAAAATTTCATACAAATTTGGATTGTCCGTTTTAACTTCAGCAAACATCGACAGGAGTAAGGGAGTGTCGTACTGTCTTTTTTCATTGTAGATTAATTTTTTGGTAACATTTAAGACCCGACTGACCATTTCATTTATAATTGACGAATTTTTAATGTTTTTAGCTTTAAAATATTCATTAAGAAATTCAATTTGCTCATCTTCATTAAATGGAACTAGCATTTGGGAATCGACATTAAAATTTTCATTTAATTGAGTCGAGTGCGAAGGTCTTGTGCAGATATATTGAGTATTATTAGTTTTTTCAAGGACATTCTTAGTTATTTTTAAGATAAAAGTCTCATAAAGTGGCGAAATTTCATCAAATCCATTCCATAGCAATACAACCTGCCCTGCCTTATAAGAATCTTCAAAAATCTTTCTTTCAAATTCATTTTCAGTCGTCAAATTTAAAATTTTCTTCAGCAACTCCTCAATCCCACCCGACACAAGATCATCCTGATACCAAGTTACATGATCTTTTAAGTCTATGTACGAAACCCACTTTGTTGGATGTTGCTTCTTTAATTCTATCGCTAAATGCTTAAATGTGACTGTTTTGCCTGCTCCAGCTTCAGAAGACAGCACAAAAATTCGAGAATCTTCAGTGTCTTTTTCAAAGGATTTATGGAAGTCTTTATAGCCCATCAATTTACCAATCGCTGCATATTCACTGATTCTATCAACAGAATTAGCTACATGACTTCCGTAATTTTCCCTGTGTTTCTTTAAATTTTCCGTTAGGTTAGCTTTTGGACGTGATTCATAAAATGACTTAAATGACTTATTAGCCCCGAATGCTGTTTTTTCGTACTCAATTTGAGCCACAATTGAGTTTTCAGGAATGAATTTTCTTTTTACATAAAATTTCGTCGACAATTCCTTAATTTTTTCTATAGACAATGCAGAATGTCCATCAAGGACTGTCATAATCTGTTTAGAAGTTAAAGACTCAAATGCTTTTGGATAAACAGCATAAAGGTCTTTAAGCTTAACATTTTGACCTCGAAACAAAATTGTGGAACTTAAAAATTTATCTTTTAAAGGTTTCGTCAAGTTGGTCCACGAAAAAAAGACTGAATCTGTTAAATACTTAAATTTTGAGTCACTTAGGTCCAATTTTTCATTATTGAATATTTGTGTCATGTGCTCGCATGTTAAATTTTCATAAATTTTGGTATTATTTAGATATAAATTCCATAAATTGACATCAACGTTTTTAAACCTAACTGTCGCGGTCCTGACTCTATCTTGGTCTAATTCAGATTTGCTGGCATATTTATGGCAAGGATTATAAAGCATAGAATAAAGTAAAAAGCCCATAAAACCCATCAACAAAAAAGAAATAATAAAACAAATAAAAATAATTTTATCACTTGACATCCTCTTTGCCTGCTTTCTGATCCTCGGCAGTGCTGTCGTGATTTCTGGAACCACCAGATCTTCATAGTATTCAAACATGTTCTTATAATTTTCCTTTACTTTTTGAAGTCTTTCAGGATTGTTGTAATATTGAGCAGTTAAATGTGGCGCCCGGACAGCCAACTCTGCATGATGCACATCTTCATTGTAGTTGTCATAAACCATCTTTATAAGGCTCTCGTCCTTCACATTTTTCTTACAAAATTTATTAATTTCCTCAAAATCAGATTTCCTGTCATAATCAAGACTTAAGTAAGGCTTACAGACGTTGTTGTATGTCAAATGCAATGCATGATGACACATTTCATGTACTAATGTCCCAAATGTCTCGTGCTCTGTACCTGGATCCAACAGTTGCTTAGCTCCAACACAAATTTTACCAGCTGAATGAAAAATCCCTTTTGTCTCTTTGCCAGCATTCAAGTCAACCATATGGACGGAGTCTCGCTTAAAGTCAAAGACAATTTCAAACTTTTTGGATGCAGCAACAGCTTCAAGGATGACTTTTGTGGATGGCATTCGATTGAGGACTTCATAAGCTTTCTTAATGTACTGCTCTTTGCCTTCATTGTTGTTGTCATCATGGCTGATTGTTGTGTTCATCATTAGGATGTTGATGTGGCTATCTTGGAGATTTTTTGAGCATCTAAAGTGGATATCCGTTAATTTTTGCTTCTCGCGTGGCGTTAAGAATTCAAAGAATTCTTCATCGTGACTCAACTCGACGCCATTGCTGAGTAGAATTTCATAAATATCAAAGAACTTTAACATTAGTGCTGCAAACAGCGCTGATTGATTCCTCAAGTCAAAGTAATGCTTTTGTTTTGGATAATTTTTCAAAATTTCTTTAACTTTTTTCTTATTTCTTGACACTGTGGCTAAATGCATGTTGAATCCAACATCTACAAATTCTTTAATCTCGTCTGATAAGCTGTTTATGTCGATATACGGCGGATATGTATATCCAGCTTTGATGAGCATCAGAAAAACATTCAAATGTCCATTCCTTAATGCTAATGCTTGCGGACTAAATGGACTACTTGGCATGTCTTTTGCTAGATCCATTGTGTTGTGCTTAATGATGACTGATATAACATTAACTTCACCTTCTTCTGCTGCATTTTGGAATAGGTTGCAGTATTGATGGTCGGACATGTCATTTAGGTCGATTTCGTTGTTTTCCCGGTTGTGGACTAGATGGAAGCCTAGAATGGTTATGGAAAGCTTGTTAGTTCCTGGTTAAGAGTAGTTTTGATCAAAGTCGAGGTCAGTGATGTCAAAACTGTCTGCCACGGCACACCAGTATGCCACTGAAAATGATTGGAGTTGCAGTTTGGTCATGGCTTATCAATAAGGTTTACTGTGGCTCAAAAAGTTTCAATACCTTAAGTCAGGAGTTCTCAAACTATGCTCCGCGGTGCTCTAGTGTTTAGAACTACTGCTCTAAGGAAACAGGAGCTAGGTGCTTGATTTTCTACTAAAAGAAGAGTATGGTCTACATATACCTAAACCAGTAATGGCAAACCTGTGTGCCATGAAAAAATTTGAAAAACATTTTGTGTGTGCGGTTCAGACATGGCTTATCGTCAATGTACAATAAAGGTTGGCCACCACTGACCTAAACCCAAAAGCAATACAATCTCTTATAAAGGGTGTTGGACATCTGGCAGAAAGTAAATCCTAGGAATTCCTAGGAATTTACGTAGTTCCTAGGAATTTTTACGTAGAGATTTACGTAGGCTCCTAGGAATTCCTAGGAAATACTAGGAATTTTGGAAAATCCTAGTAATTCCTAGGGACCTTATTTTAGGAACTAAAATTTTTAAATGATTACTATGATTTCCTAGTATATACTAGGATTTCCTAGGATAGCTCATTAAATCTTGGAGGAATTTCCTCAAAATCCTAGAAGTTCCTAAGATTCCTAAGTATATTAAATGAATTCTTCAAGGAATTTCCTTACTATTTGTAGAATTTACTAAGGATCCTTAGATTCCTAAGTATATTAAATGAATTCTTCAAGGAATATTAAATGAATTCTTAAAGGAATTTCCTTACTATTTGTAGAATTTACTAAGGATCCTAAGATTCCTAAGTATATTAAATGAATTCTTCAAGGTATATTAAATGAATTCTTAAAGGAATTTCCTTACTATCTGTAGAATTTACTAAGGATCCTAAGATTCCTAAGGATATAAAATGAATTCTTCAAGGAATTTCCTAATACTGAAGAATTTGCTAAGGATCCTTAGGATCCTTACAAATTTCTAGGAATTTTATTAAAGATATTTACTTTTATTTCTTGTTAATGTTAAGATTTGCAATAAACTAACGAGTGCCTATTAAAAAATTGGAAAAAGTCCTGGTGTTATATATTGTTTTATGCTTCAAAAATATTCGTTCGGTCAATAACTCGAAAGAACTGAGCTGATTGAACAAACCCGAGCATGCTTAAAAACCGTTAAAAAGTTTTTCTTCGCCCGATCAGCCGAACAACCGAACAAAGTGTACTAATAAGCTACCTTTAAGAAACAAGTTTCAAAAATGCGGTAAAATTTCTTAATTGCTAAACCATGTTGAAATTCCTAATTTTTGTACTTTTTCATTAACTTGTTTAATTATTCCTGTTACTTTGCGTATGAATTTTCAAGGAATTCCTAGGATTTCCTATAGGAAATTCCTACGTTTTACTTGTAAAATCTTACGTAAAGTAACAGGAATTCCTAGGAATTACTTTCTGCCAGATGACCATGAGCCTCTTATAAACTTACCAATATGATTGAACCTCAAAGAATTTAGCAAAAAGTCTCCAACGAACTCAAAAAAATCCACATAGTCTAAATCAGGAATTAAATCAAAGTTCTTAAGCCTCAAAAAATAGTCCATTCCAGCCAACTTCCAATGCACATGAAACTGTTGCGTATCTCTTTTTATAAACAACAAAACAAGTGAAGCATTCTGATAAATATCCGATAGCTCGTTGAGGTTAAGGGCTTCAAATTGGTCATCAATGGTGAGTTTTATTTGTATAGGCTCGCCTCGATGCTCTCCAGGCACTTCCGAATGGAAAGATTTTAAAAAAGTCATCGATTCTTGGATATTTTGATGGTTGAATGCTCTTTTTTGGTACGATGGATGTCGATTGTAAATCTCTTGATATGCTTGCTGAACATCTTGTGTGTATGGCGACTCTTGAATGCTAAACAAGACAGCTGGTTGAAGTGAAAATTCGGTGAGATTTTCAAATAGATAAGAAATAGTGTTAATAGGATTACTATTCTATAATCATTTTACATAGCTATGATCTTGGACTATTGGATGAGGATCTGGAGTGGATTAAGAAAGTCTATTGAGGGAGATTGAGAAAAAGACTGGCTTATTGTGCTAGTTGGTCTATCAAAACTTAAAATAGAACTATATTTTTGATTAGAAACATTATTAAATGTAAAATAAAAACAAACGCATAGTTTTTCGTAGATAAAAAAGTTCTAACCGCATACTATTAATTTATCAGAAGATTCAAGCGCCAAAAGCATGTGTTGCTATAAAAAATAGTATGTGACATAGGTCCAATGATAAAATAACAAATGTGTAAAATCAGTGATGGACAACCCATGTGTCGCGGCACACTTGTGTAACACAGAAAATAATCACGAAATTTATGCTCTGTGATGTTTTAATCATGGCTCATAATCAGGATGTGCCGTGGCACAAAAAAAGGTTGAACACCACTGGCGTGAATCAAGAATAGAGTCATCTGCTGTTTAATAAACATTTAATCTCCGTGAGATTTTCTTAATATTTTTAAAGTTGTTCGCAATTTCAATCAATTTCATTTTTCCTAGAATATTGTCAGTTAATAAACAAGGAGATAAGTAAGAATTGGAACTTCAGAAATCCCCAAGATTAATTTATTGGATTTAAGAATTATCAATTCTGAGGTTCTTTTTAATGACATAGAATAATTGGTAATTTATGACTTTTGCCAGTGATGTCGAACTCATGTGCCACGCAATAATTCGAGAAATTCGACAAATCGTGTGCAGTGTGTGACTTGGACTAAGGTGTCCCGTGGCAGAAAAAAGGTTGCCCACCACTGCTTTTGGGTAGGTTCACTTAAGGTTCAGGTGTATATTAGAGGGACAAAAGGGGTTTTGCCTCTAAAAAGTATTCATAATGGTTTAGTCTTGAGCTAGTCTAGTGCAGTGGTGGTCAACCTTTTTTGAATAACGGCACTCTTCTACGAAAAACCATATTGATTGTGAAATAGTCAGCATCACTTGTATAAAACTATTAAAAATTAACTGTGCCGCTGCACATAAGTTGGCCATCACTGGTCTAGGTCTAGATCATTATCTTATCTCTACTCCAGACCCAAGACAATGCTCATGAGAAAATCAAAATCAAGAACAAATCCAGACACCAAAAACTTAGAACACGAGCTAAACTTACCTTCAACATTTTCACCTGTTCGGTTGTCATTTGTTAGATTTGAGAACATTGCTACGAATTCAGTCATGCTTAGTGTTTTATTTAGTCATTAATCTTGTTTAAGAACCACTAAAATAATATAATAACTATTCACAATGTCCAAACTTAATTGTTTTCTTCCTTCAATAATTATTTGCACCATAAAATCAACAATATTTTTAAAATACAATAAACAATTAATTTTAAGTTTACACTGATGCTCAGTGTGTCAATGAATGAAAGCTAATGGATTTGTTTTTTGTAGATAAGCATAAAATAAATATGAGATCTGAGATGAGAAAGAGAAATGAGAGAATCATGTCTATATAGTCATATATAGTCATAAGAAGAATTATTTATATTTTATTATGACAAAGTTCAAAAGCCATAGTTGCAAATGTCTCATATTTTCAATGACTGGAACGAGCGTTTGCTTTGCTTTGATTTATATCCTGCCGGACAGGCGCGTAGCCAGGAGGGTCTTGTCCCCCCTCTCCTTATACGTTTTGAGGGTCTTGTCCCCCCCTTAACGTTTTACGGCATCTTGCGAACACGAATTGTGACTAGGCACATTGCGAGGTACATCAGGTCTATAGATGGACTCGTGTCTTTGCAATATGCAGAGCTTGCAAGTGATTCGGATTATAATATAAACTTTAGGTTTAAAGAGTATGGTATAATAGATTTAGTTCCAATTTGAATCGCAGTGCCTCCAGCTGTAATGCTGAGCCTATTACACATTATTTTATTATTATTTAATTCGTTCGTTCGTTCGTTCGTTTGTTCGTTCGTTTGTTTGTTCGTTCGGGCTAAGAAAAACTTTTTAACCAGACATCGTAGAGAGCTCAGGTTTGTTTTATTAGCTCCGTTACTATTGATTTATTGGCCCATCGAATAGTTAAAAGTCTTGAAACAGTGTATTTATACTTTAATTAATGATATTTTTTTTCAGTGTACCTTGCTCAAATTTTATTTTACCTTTCAAATTTCGATATAAAAAAAATTCAAATGTTGAAAACTTATTAACGAGCTTTTCATGCTGCATAGATTCAAGGCTGTAAGCTTTTTGGTGCTTTCGAAAGTGAAAACTAGTAAATTTAATAAGTTGCGATAAGGGTTGAAAGTAAAAACAACAATTTTTTTGAATTTTTGATACAAAACAAGCAATTTTGAGTTCTTTTTATTTACAAATTTGATAAAATCTTGATCGTCATTTATGAACAGCCCTTAAGCAGCCAAGTTGACAAAGTTCTAAAACCTTTCAAGAAATCAAAACTTATCACATGCCTTGAGTGTCTTCGGACAGTATTTTCTAGCCAGATGAATGTAAGCAACATTGTCATTTTTTGTTAAAGGTATTTTGGCATTTTGGGAGTTCCAAATGTGAACCATCAGTGAATCCATCAATCGATCAAGTGTCCGTTCCAAGTGCTTTTCCTCAAAAAACATTCTATTCTCAAACCATGTAATGTTGTAGCACTTCTCGATCGGTAAAACTTTAAAATTTTCACAAATGTCATTTTCAGTCATCTTTTTAACATCCTTAGTTCCGCATATTTTGGATAGGACTCTAGTAAGTGCCCGTGGTCCATTGTGAGCCCAATCTCGTCCATTAAAATTATTTTTGATTTCTCCAACCAGCTTTTCAGCAATTTTGTGACCAGATTCACCAGTTAAATGTATAAATGCATTATTAACTGAGTCATGTTCCTCAGCTCCTGCAAAATTCTGAGCTCCTTGCGAATCCAACGACTGCATCACAACAATATCTGTGGATTAAAAATTCATTTTAATATTTTCATAACAAAAAAATTATTAAAATCTTACCTAAATCTATGTGAGATCCTCCATACTTAAATAATGAAAGTAATCTCAAGACATCCGCAGTATGAACAGCTACATACTTAGACCTAAATAATGCGTCAGTCTTGATCCAATTTTCTAGCGGCGTGTTCTCAGCATATTTTGTGACATTTAAATAATTCAAATTAATATTCGGATATGAAAGCAGTGCATCAATAATTGGCAGTTCCGATGTGTTCCTGAATCCAACTTGTGAGGCAAACATGACGAAAATATTGTGATTCGGGTTTGTCAGTGCTGTGGGAAAATTAAGTTTTTGGTTATTTTGGAGTTTTGGTAGTTTTTAAGGTTGGGAGGAGTCTGGAGGGGGGGGGGGGGGGGGGGGTCATTGTAGGGAGGAAGGGGGTCCAAAACCCAATTTTTTAAAAAAATTAAAATTTAATATTTCTGTCAAGGAAAGAAGGCAGGAAGTGTCTCTTCCCCTCCTTAAACGTTTTGAACCGCAGCAAGAGCCCTTAAGAGGGGGACAAGACCTTCTTGGCTACGCGCATGAAATTTGACATGATTCTACACAAGCAAGACCCCCCTGCCTCAACTCCAAGCTAGGAAGCAAGTGAAAGCTGCTTCATCGTTTGAGTTAAAGCCACTCACCTGCCGATTCTATAGCACATGCCTGCCTTGCATTTAACCTTATTATTCCGTCTTCAATTAAGCTTGTTTCATGGAAAAATATATTTTTGGATGTCAACGACTGATGCCATGGCTTCAACAGCTTGTTGCTACTCGCTTCTTTTAATGTTTTTCCATCAAGCCATCGCTGTTTAAAATAGACATTTTCAGCAGGTCCATTGTAATATTTTATGGCAAGAATTATTGAAACAATTAAAATTATTTTTTGAAAATTTGAGAATTTTAAATTCAAATTGATTTGCCATTTAAGCTTATTTAGTTTGAAGGAATTCGATTTTAACTTCACAATTCCAAGATATTCCATTTGAAAATAAAGCTAAAGCTACAACTGACGTGATCAACGACTGGACAATAACTGATCTTAATTAATCGCGGAATTGAAAAGAAAAGATTTGAAAGTTTTGCAGCACAGCTGAGTGGGGTTGAGATTGACTTGAAATCACCATTAAGTAACAACAAGTTGTGTAATATCGACAAACTTTCAAAAATCAGGATTAAAATTTATTTTCACTTTTTTTCTTCGAATTTCTTAAATTTCAGCTTTATGATTTTATGCAAAATTATCAACTTTTTATTTCCTAAAATGTGATAATTTATTAAGTCTGTTGTTGCTGAAATTTGGATACAAGAAAAACAGAAGAAGAAAAGATTGTGTGAAGCTACAAAGCCAGAAATTCAGAAATCTAATAAATAATGATGTGCGTATGGCGTATAAGCATGTAAAATATATACAAAAGAAATATCAAAATTCACAGGAGGCTTGTCCAGGGGCGTAGCTAAGGGGGGGAGGGGGGGGGGGGGGGTGGGTCCTTAGGTTCCCGGGCACTTCAGTCAAAGCAGTTTAAAAAAAGATTTTTAATAAAAAAATCCAAAAAAATTTGTATGAAATTTCAATCTCAAAGAGGGGGGGGGGGGGTGCCCGAGAATTTTTTGACCCCCCCCCCCTTAAAAATCCTGGCTGCGCCCCTTTGCTTGTCGTTTTAAGTTCGCTTTATTTCAGATACCAGAAAGTAAAATCATTTATAAGATAAATTGTGTCTTCATTGAATAACAAATAACTGCGATTAGCATTTCTTTCTCTTCTGCTTTTTATCATTTCTGATCGTGGACATCAGTTGACTATTTTTGGAGCTCATGCATTTGATTATAATAACAATCCGAACGTGACTCAGCATGTCTTTAGTGAGTCAATGGTGAACTACAGGAAGACATTTAATATAACTTATGGACAGCAGAAGAAGATGCATTGGCTGAGGATTATTTTAATGCACGAGTCTTATGCATGCTATAAGAAAACTAGCGATGACATTTTACATCCGGAAATGCAGAAAATCATCAAAAATGACGGACAAGAAAAGTTTGATTTAATTATTATGGAATGTGCATTTTGTCAGCTGGCACTGCTTGCTGAGATTCATGACTGTCCAATAGTTAAGTTAACAGCATCCGAACCAAGTGTTGCCAGTCATTCAAATATTGGAAATGACGTAAATCCAGCAATTTATTCAGACTCAACTCGATTCCCATATTTACATGGCAAAATGACATTTTTGGAAAGGCTTAGTTCCGTTTTTTATCACTTTGCATATTTATGCTCATTTTCAATTCCAAACTACATTTATTACATGCAGAAAATTGAAAAGGAACATCCATTTCCGGGTATAACAAAATATGCTCATGAAGTCTACAACAGTCGACTGGCACTCATGATAGCCAATACAAGTCCTGAATTTGGACATGTCCGTGCATTGTCACCTTATACAATTCAAATTGGATTCTTTCATGTTGAGGAACCGAAAGAATTGACGAATTTTGAGGTTAAGAACTATCTTGACTCATCCAAAAATGGTGTCATTGTCATGAGCTTCGGATCAGCTATCAAGACAGCAGACATTGGAACTGAAAGTATCGAAAAGTTCTTGAAAGCTTTCAATCAAACCAGTTACAACATCTTGTGGAAGTTCGATGAACCAATTGATCCACAAATAATACCAAAAAATGTCAAATTGACCAACTGGATGCCACTTTCTGATGTCTTAGCTCATCCAAATGTTAAAATTATCATTCATCATGGTGGACTGTTGACTTCCTATGAAGCTATTGCTCGGGAAGTTCCACAAATTATTTTCCCACTCGTCTACGATGAAGGCGCAAATGCAAAGCTTCTGGCTGACCGACAAGTTGCCATTGATCTAGATTTGGATGACTTTGATGAATTCAGATTGATTCAAGCTATTAGAGATGTATCAGCACCACTTTTTAAAGATAATATTAAGCAGTTGAGGACACTAGCTTATGATCAACCAATGAACAAGAAAGATTTGGCAGTTTTTCATATTGAAAAAGTCATTAGACATAAAGGAAGGAATCGACATAATATGAATGTTGACAATACTGTTAGATATTTATTTGATATGTACTTGCTGCTATCTTTTGTTATATTCCTGATGACTGCTAGCTGTTATATAATTTTAAGAAAATTTTATTTGAATTTTGATAAAATAAAGTCTGAATAAATTTTAAAAACTTAGTCAAATATTTAGGTTATTAATCTTGTCCGCCTGTCTTAGTCTTGTCATGATCTGATTCAAAGCTTTGTCTTATTCTAAACCCTAGTTATGTGCTAGTTCTGCACCTATTCCTCTGACACAGACCTAACTTAGACCTGACCCCAGACTAGACCTAGACTAGAATTAGACCTGGCCTAGACTAGACCTGACCCTAGACTAAACCTTACCCTAGACTTGATCTAGACCTGATTCTAGACCTGACCTTGATCTGACTCTTGACTAGACCTGACCCTAGACCTGACCCTAGACCTCACCTAGACCTAACTCTAGACTAGACCCAACCGAATCGCACCTAGACATAACGTAATCCTGTTCTATTTCAGTTAATCTATTTTGTCAATCAATTACTCAAACCAATCTTGCATCTGTGTGCGTGTGTTGCCTTCCTTTCATAGCTTTCTCTTTCAGTTTCATAATGTCTGAAATTTTTTATGGCAAAGCTATAAAAGTGTTTAGTTGTCGACCGTCCGATGACTTGTATAGTCATGATTGATATTTAGTTTTGTGAAAATTCGCATATCTTCATAAAGCTCTGGAATTTAAATAATTTTAAATGCCATGAATTTAATCGATAAAGTTCCAGTCAGAATATTCAAAAGATTTATTTTTATAGTTTTACTTCAGTTCCTTATACTCTTTATTTCCTACTCAATCTTATCCAAAGACCTTAAAAATTATCGCGACAAGCAAGTTGACAACTTCCAATTTCAAGTTCCTTTCCAAAATGTCCCAAAAACTGAGCACAAAAGCGACAGCATCAAGTACATTTTATTCTGGACGAGTTGGTGGTTCTTTGAGAATTGGCAAATGGGTGATGAAATTCTTGGTGAAGAGTATTTAAAGTCTATCGATTGTCCAGTCACAAACTGTGTGTTTTCACATGATCGGAACTTTTTGCCACAGCCCACTGACTATGATGCATTGGTTTTCCATGTTGGAGACTTTAATGACATTGATGATTTGCCGGAGGTGAGGAGGGAGGATCAGATTTACATCATGGCTAATGAAGAGTGAGTATTGTGATTTTTGAGGTTATGCTGGAATATTTTGAGGTTATTTTTTTAATATTTTGAGGTTATATCCATTCAATGTTAATTTACAGACCGCCATTCTTCTCAAGGCATAACCTCAATTATGATAGAAACTTCTTCAACATGACGCTGACTTTCCGATTAGATTCCGACATCCTTTGGAACTACGGACTCTTCTTTGACATCGAGACAGGAAGTGTTGTGGCTCCATCAAAATATGCCAAGTGGAGGGAACCTGAAATTGTTGACGGTAAGCAGCTACTCAAGAAAGTTGATTTATTCTTTCATTTTTGATTCCTTCTAGATCCACAAATCTTAGAATTCGTAACTAAATCCAAGTCAAAGCTTGCAGCATGGTTCGTGTCTCACTGCGACGCACCATCAAACCGAGAAAGTTTGACCAAGAAAATTCAGGAATTTATGGAAGTTGATGTCTATGGAGATTGTGGGAACTTAACATGTCCAATGGGGAGGACAATTTATGACAAAGGCAATCGCCAGCACTGCACAGACATGCTTAATTCAACCTACAAATTTTATTTATCATTTGAGAACTCAATTTGTACTGATTACATGACTGAGAAGGTGTTCCTGAACATGGACAACTTTATTGTACCAATTTTATACAATGGAATCACAGACATGCAGCACTTCCTGCCACCACACTCATACATTCATGTCAATGACTTCAGCAGTGTCGAAGATCTCGTCAATTATCTCAAATATTTAGACAAAAATCCACAAGAATATGCAAATTATTTCTGGTGGAAGAAATACTATAAAGTGACTGAGAATGTCCATAAATATTCATACTGTGACATGTGCATGAAGATCAACAGTTGGAATGTCAAGAAGAAAAGAAAGGAATATTTGGACATAGCAAAGTGGAATAGTCATGAAAAATGTTACAATATGAGAGTCAATTTTTGAGCTTAGACAATGAGCTTGACGTTATCAGCTCAGCCACGGACATAAGAGTCGCTTATCACAACAAAGATAACCATTTATAGTTCTAAGATAATTAAAATTGTAAGTCCACAATACCAAATATAGAGACTAATCTTGGCGCTCCAAAATTCTCTCACAGAGTGATTTTCTAGCTCTTTTGAGAGGCACAAAAAAAAATAATAAAAATTCGCATTAGGTCGATAAACTTATTTTTTATTAAGAAAAACTGGTTTGAAGTTTCGTAATTTTGGACAAGGAGCGGTTTTGATGCTCAACATCTTTTTTCTATGAGAAATAAAAGTGAAACTTGATATTTTTTGGTCAAAAAATGTTTTATTGCTGTGGATTATGTGAATTTTTATAGATCTTAAGTAGCACGTTGACTCTGATGCTGACCAAGGTCAATGATTTTTTTCTTCTTTTATTCTAGCTTTGATTTAGCACTGCGATGAAGGTTTTAATGAGGTCGACAGGCTCAGATTCAGTCAAATTCATGATTCTTGAGCCTTAATGAGGTCCACAGGCTCAGATTCAGTCAAATTCATGATTCTAGAGCCTAGATGAGGTCCACAGGCTCAGATTCAGTCAAATTCCTGATTCTTGAGCCTAGATGAGGTTCACAGACTCAGATTTAGTCAAATTCATGATTCTTGAGCCTTAATGAGGTCCACAGGCTCAGATTCAGTCAAATTCCTGATTCTTGAGCCTAGATGAGGTTCACAGACTCAGATTTAGTCAAATTCATGATTCTTGAGCCTAGATAAGATGCTTTAGCTAACAATAAACCTTTGAGCAAGTAGTTGAGCTACTCCAGAAGCCATCAGACCCTCTTAATCCAAAATCACAAAAATCACAACTAAATCAAAATCATAAAAATTTCGTAATATTGCACAATAATTTTTCATCCAAATTAAATACTTATCAAATCATGCTGATAAACACTGCGTCGCACGTCTTCACACAATCTAAAATGAGAAAATAAATTAGAGAACATTTGCTCACAATTCTCAGTTCAAATTGAATACCCGACGTGTTCAGTCTGTCAGCATTAAATCATCGACCTAGACGAAATGGCATCACAAAGTAGCGACGATAAAATCAACACATTCTTAAACATCGAAACTGTAAATGATGATTTTTTCAATGAAATTGTCGAGCGTAAAATGAAAATAACGCGTGATAAATTTAAAATTCGGCTTGTGTTTATTATGCCAGCGACGGGAAAGAATGAAAATTATGTGTCTGTTGTTTATCGTGCGAAAATTAGCGTTGAACTACTTGAGACAAATGAGAAAGTATTCGTCAATGCGATTATTAAGGCATTAATCACAACAATTCCTGAATTAAAAGAATTTGGGGTCTTTCCAAGGGAGCGATACATGTTTGAGGAAATAATTGAAAGCTTTGAAGACATTTGGCGGGATGTTGGTGGAGAAACTGTAATTTTTGGACCAGGATGTCTTGCAATTCATTCAGATCCTTATGAAATTATTGTTCTTGATGATTTAAAAGCTGAGGGCTTTGAAGTTTTGGATAGAAAAGTCGGTGTCAATTTGGACCAAGCAAAGGCAGTTATGAAGACACTGGCAAAGTTTCATGCAGCTGGTGCTGTGAGGTATCAAAAGGTAAGATGTGACTAAACTTGGCTCGACCCGAGATGACAAACTCAGCTCGACCCAAGATGATCGAACTTAGCTTAACCCAAGATGATCAAACTTATCTCGACCCGAGATGACTGAACTTAGCTCGACCCGAGATGACCGAGCTTAGCTTAACCCAAGATGACCAAACTTAGCATACCTCAAGACAATCAAACTTAACTCGACCCGAGATGACCGAACTTATCTCGATTCTAGATGATCAAACTTAGCTTGACCCGAGATGACCGAACTTAACTTGTCCCGATATGACCAATCTTAACTCAACCCGAGATGACCGAACTAAGCTCGACCCGAGATGACCAAATTTAACTCTACCCGAGATGACAAAACGTCCTTATTTTCTCTCAATTTTTTTCAGGACGGAATGATCAAATCCATCCTTGATCGCAACTTGTCAGTTCCAAGGTTCCCTAAAGACGGTCCACTCGGAAAAGCATGCAAAAAATTCTTTGACGCATTTTTTGATGGAGTTAAAGACCTCAATGTGTCTGATTCATGTGTTGGTAAAATTGCAAGATGGGATCCAACTGAGTTACTTGATGCCAGTTTCAGAGGATGTATACCAATGAAGTCTGGATTCACAGTTCTTAATCATGGTGACGACTGGATTAACAACATGATGTTCAAGTTAGATGAAGATGGAAATACGGTCGATTTTCGATTACTTGACTTTCAGATGTCATTTTGGGGAAGTCCAGTTGCTGATTTGTTCTACTTTTTGATGTCATCTGTTAAGGATGATGTTAAGGTGGCTCATTTTGATGAGATTATTGCATATTACCATGAACAGTTGGTTGAGGCACTTGAGAAATTGAAATATGACAAGCATATACCAACATTAGAGGAATTGAAGGAGGAAATGATGGAAAAGAAGGAATTAGGTATGAAATTGTCAAACTTACATCATCATTTGTTAATTTTATTCTTTTAAATCCTTACACAGCCTCTGATGGCTTTGTCGGAATCATGTTCGTGTGCAAGTATACAGTAGCGCTCAAAATGATAAGGACAGCAAAATTTTTTTCACATTTTTATTAATTTTGACGCACAGGATTATCTAAATTTGCTGAAATTTGCACCAGTTATACAGTTTTAAATGTCCTTTCATACAATATATACTAATTGTACTTTAATTAAATATTTTTGAAAAAAACGGTAAAAAATCAAAATGGCTGCCGCTCAAAATGATAAGGACAGTAGATTATGTTAAGATTTTATTATATTAAGTAATATTATGGAACTTTTAAGACTTAAAACATTATGTTTGATGAATATTCTTTAAATAAATTTATAATTCACGCTTCTAGATGTAAGACTTCTTACTTAATTTTAGTGTTTAAAAATATGTGAAAATTTTGTCAATTTATGACAAATTTTCGTACAGAAACTTGTTTATTCTTTAGGTTAACTACCAAAAATTATAGATAATTTGATTATTTATCAATTTATGATCAAACATTTAGATAACTGTTAATTAATGTAAATTTTTTTCAAAAATTTTATTTTTTCTTTGCGAAATTTTTGTGAACTTAAGTCGACAATTTGAAAAAAAATTGTTAAATATTCGCAAAACAATGCTTAAATTAGTATATTTCTCTTCCATTTTAATTGTTTAATAACATATATCAAGCAATTGAACCACTTCGAAAGGATAAGTGACTAAGCAATCGTTCTCTATGAGCTTCTCAAGACGAAAAAATATGAAGAAATATCTTTTTGTAAAAATGTTAAATTTAGCACTAAAAAAAAACAAAATAGAGTGTTATTCGATTAAAAAAGCCAAATTTAGGTATTTTATGTTAAAACTTTACTTATGTAAATCATATTTTTTTAGGTTTCAACACATTTTTCATGTTTGCCATATCAAAAAGTCTTGTTGTTGAAAGAGAACGATTGCTTAGTCACTTATCCTTTCGAAGTGGTTCAATTGCTTGATATATGTTATTAAACAATTAAAATGGAAGAGAAATATACTAATTTAAGCATTGTTTTGCGAATATTTAACAATTTTTTTTCAAATTGTCGACTTAAGTTCACAAAAATTTCGCAAAGAAAAAATAAAATTTTTGAAAAAAATTTACATTAATTAACAGTTATCTAAATGTTTGATCATAAATTGATAAATAATCAAATTATCTATAATTTTTGGTAGTTAACCTAAAGAATAAACAAGTTTCTGTACGAAAATTTGTCATAAATTGACAAAATTTTCACATATTTTTAAACACTAAAATTAAGTAAGAAGTCTTACATCTAGAAGCGTGAATTATAAATTTATTTAAAGAATATTCATCAAACATAATGTTTTAAGTCTTAAAAGTTCCATAATATTACTTAATATAATAAAATCTTAACATAATCTACTGTCCTTATCATTTTGAGCGGCAGCCATTTTGATTTTTTACCGTTTTTTTCAAAAATATTTAATTAAAGTACAATTAGTATATATTGTATGAAAGGACATTTAAAACTGTATAATTGGTGCAAATTTCAGCAAATTTAGATAATCCTGTGAGTCAAAATTAATAAAAATGTGAAAAAAATTTTGCTGTCCTTATCATTTTGAGCGCTACTGTAGCTCAGAGCAAGAACTCAACATGGCTGAGATGTTTACAGGTCAAATTAGTGAAGAACAAATGCATTTGATGTACAGAAATGAAAATTATTTGAACGCATTAGAAGCATGGCTTCCATTTTTAGAGGAACGGGGATTTTTGAACAAATCAAAGAAATAAATTAAATTTATGTAAATTTCAACAAAAATTTTACGAAAACATTTGAGTAAAATGTTTGCTAACTTTCCTACTATTTCGCTGCTTTTGATCAAGAAGAAGATGCAAAAATTGCAATATTAAATTTTAGAGACGTGACTTTTACATTTTTTTTTACTTTAAAAGATATTTCAGTTGGAAGTTGAGTTTGCAGCAAAATGGACCAATCTAAAAATATTTTTGTTGATTGTTCCTTAGAATCAGTGAAAGAAAGTTTTGGTAGTGTCAAGAATATCAAGTTTTATCCTCAAAATATTAATTTTTTTTTATTTAACAGATAAATTTGATTTAAAAAGTTCTTTTAATTACCAAGAGGACTTTCATTCATGCAAGATTATGGATATTCCAACAAAGCTATGCATGTTGAGAAAGAATCACTCTCCAGATAGATCATTTTGCTTCCCACAATTGTGCACTGATGAAAAAATCCGCGACTTTATTGGAAAAACTTATGAAAACACAAACGGTTCAGTTTACGACATTGAATGTAAAAATATTTATGATCCTGAAACTTACTTCATTTTGGTCGGGTAAGATGATTTTACTTGATCTTATCTAACCTATACCTAATCTATACCTAACCTATACCTAACCTATACCTAACCTATACCTAACCTATACCTAACCTATACCTAACCTATACCTAACCTATACCTAACCTATACCTAACCTATACCTAACCTATACCTAACCTATACCTAACCTATACCTAACCTATACCTAACCTATACCTAACCTATACCTAACCTATACCGAACCTATACCTAACCTATACCTAACCTATACCTAACCTATACCTAACCTATACCTAACCTATACCTAACCTATACCTAACCTATACCTAACCTATACCTAACCTATACCTAACCTATACCTAACCTATACCTAACCTATACCTAACCTATACCTAACCTATACCTAACCTATACCTAACCTATACCTAACCTATACCTAACCTAGGAATCTCAATTCTAATGTTAATTCCAATTTCAGATCATTCATATTTCTTCTTACGCTGATTACATTGCTCAGCACCTTGATAAATGCAAATCAATCGAAATTTATCAACTTACTTCCATCTAAGATGCATGGCTTGGTAAACATGTCGTCAATCTTCTCGATTTCTGAGAATATAAAAACTTTATTTAACATGAAGTCGTCGTCAACATCAATCGATTGTCTAAATGGACTTAAAGCTCTTTCATTGATCCCAATTGTGTTCCTTCACTCAATGCAAAATGCTTGGCCTATCCCAGATCCGAGATTTTACAATACGTTGCTTTATGTCACAGGCATTTTACCAACTGATACGTTTTTTCTTGTGAGTGGAATTTTATGTGCAAAATTTTACATGACAAGGAGAAATATGTAAGATTTGTATTTTATGGAAATTAGGCAATTTTTTATAATTTTTATATTTTTTCAATAGATTTTCAAAATTCTTCAGAACCCTATTTGAACGTTACTTAAGACTCACGCCATCAGGTGTTGTTACATTTGCTGTCTTTATTGCGATTAAATTGTTTTTATCTCCTTTCGGTTATCCCAACCTTTTTCATCCTATTTTCGATGATTGTAAGAAGAATTGGTGGGTGATGCTCATTTATCTGCAAAATTACTATGAGTCGGAACATGCGGTAAGTGTCTTTGAATGTGTTGGTATCAAGGCAAAAGGTGCTTATACGCAGTGCTTCTCAAACTATGTTCCGCGAGCAGAAACTGTTCTTCAAAACCATTGTAAAAGTTTGAGAAGCACTGCTTTAAGCTATGTTACAGTGTTGAACAACCTTTGTGTCGCGGCACATTTGTGGAACGCTTAGTACAAGCTTTGTGTGGTTTTTGGCTGTGCCATGACATTAAAAAGGTTCGACAACACTGCTTTAATCTTTTGAATTTGTTAAAATTGTAATATAATTTCAGTGCTTCGGAACCTACTGGTTTGCAACAGTTTTATTCCAACTGTATTTCATCACTCCATTCATCCTGTTTATCTTAAATAAGTTAAAGTCACAGTTTGGGAAAATATTAATGCTTTTAATGTTAATTACAACTTTCGTTCCTGGATTCATGACTGGAATGACCAACAACTCGTAAGTTTTAATTGACATAATCAAGGTTGTGGAACTTATCAGTTCCGCTTCTTTGGAAATTGTTAACTACTTTGACTTGATTCTTCTTTTCTTTTAAGGTTTTATTCATTTTTATATATTGAAGCTTTATCACGATCGTATCCATATTTAGTTGGGTTATTTTACTACAGGATTACATCTGGTTCGGGAAAATTGGCATCAAATGTAGGATTTATATTGTTTCTATCCAAAATTAAGTCTTGACTCCAACCTCCTCATCAATTACTGGCTGTATGACTGACTGATTGATTGTCTAATTGGTTGGCTGGACTTATTTATTATTATTATTTACTAGGCTATCCGGAGGCGCCCGTGGCGCCTCTTATCAGGGTTAAAATTTGATTACTATTATGTAAATAACTGTAAGACGTAAATAACCATAATGTTTTTAAGGTCAATCCTACCACAAAAATTCACATGTTCACAAAACTTCACAGGGGGCCTCACAACCCCCTCAAACTCGGATTTCCTTAATCCCACAAAAACTATATAAATGGCTTCACAAAACTTCACATGGCTTCACAAACCCCCTTAAACTCGAACCCTCTTAATCCCACTAAAACTTTAATTCCCCCGAAACCCACCATGTCTTTTCACAAAGCTTCGCATGGCTTTACAAAACTTCACATGGCTTCACAAAATATACCTGACACTCCCCTTGCCCCCCCCCCCCACCTGACACTCACCCCCACCTGACACCCACCTGACACCTGACACCCCCCCCCCCCACCCAGCACTCCTCAAATCATTGGCTTCACAAAATATACCTGACACTCCCCTTGCCCCCCCCAGGGGCATGTTTATACATGTTTCACATTTTACATTGATTAGTGATACATTTCATATCACTATGGGTGACGTAGAATCAAGCTTCTAATCTTCAAATCTAGGTTTCGATTAAATTCAGGCTCTCGTTTCAATCTTCTGTGGGCGTGACGTGATACATTTCAGGTCCGTTCTGACAATATTCCATTATAAGGTAATTTTGTAGCTCTCGTTCCTATTTCTCCCGCTACACTTCAAGTTCCTGATCCGTTCCTTAATCCAACGTTGCCCAAAATGCCCAATTATGACTTGATCTCGTACATTAAGCAGTCGAAGTATCTAAACTTCTGAAAAAGAACAAATTTGGAAATGGCTGGATTCGAACCGACGGCCTTCGAGTTACCATACCAAATGTGAGCCAAGCACCTTACCTATTCGACCAGCAAGGCACTTAACTGCTATCTCCCGCCATCCCTTAAGCTAGGCATCTACCATTATGACCCTTAAACTGTAACTTTGTCCATCTTGATTGTTGTTCCTAGTCAATTCCTGTCCGACTGCTTACATCTCATACCTCTGATCCTCTGAAGCCACCCTGACTTAAACATGAACTAACCTTATCAATTCTTTTTTGTTTCACCAGACACAAACCAAACTGGCATGGATAGCAACAACATTAACACTGATCGTTCCACTGATTCCATTTTTTAGCGAATCAATGACAATTGAAATTTCAAATATCTTTTACATACCAATTCGGATTTTTTGGCCATTTGCACTCTGCTGGATTGTTCATGTCTGCCATAATGGATTCGGCAGGATTGTCAACAACATTTTGTCAGCAAATATTTTAGTTCCAGTTTCGAATCTTTCGCTTGGAATTTATTTGGTTAATGTTCTGGTTTCACATCTTTTGAGTTTTTTGACTCCTTTTATTCCACCTGTTGAGTCAAAATTGGTGAATTCTGTAAGTATTGAGTTTGTCACAGTTGGATGGGCGTCTGGCTGTTCACACAGTGCCTTGATCGTGCCTTTTGCTAGACAACTTAATAAATTTATTTTTTTCAGATACGATTCTTTATTGCAAACTTCATAATTTCGACATTTTTGGCAACTTTATTGTATCTTTTTGTGGAGGTTCCATTCACCCGAATATCCAAGAGTAGCTGCAAGAAAACTAATGCAAATCAAACAGTCAAAACTGTTTAGTAGCTATTGACAAGCATCAACCAACTTATCAATTATAAATGACAAAATTTTATGGGTCGTTCATAAATGATGTCACATAAAGTTATAAATTTAGACATCATTTTTGAACAAACCCTAGCAAAATTTACAAATAAAATAATTTTTATTCAGTCTCAATTTTAGAATATTTTTCCCATTTTATAGCAATTATTGCGTCCAAACCAATCTGCAATGTCCAAATATTCTTTTCTTTTCTTCTTGACATTCCAGCTGTTGATCTTCATGCACATGTCACAGTATGAATATTTATGGACATTCTCAGTCACTTTATAGTACTTTTTCCACCAGAAATAATTTGCATATTCTTGTGGATTTTTGTCTAAATATTTGAGATAATTGACGAGATCTTCGACACTGCTAGAGTCATTGACATGAATGTATGAGTGTGGTGGCAGGAAGTGCTGCATGTCTGTGATTCCATTGTATAAAATTGGCACAATAAAGTTGTCCATGTTCAGGAACACCTTCTCAGTCATGTAATCAGTACAAATTGAGTTCTCAAATGATAAATAAAATTTGTAGGTTGTGTTCAGCATGTCTGCAACAACACTTCCAGTTTTTTTGTCAATAAACAATCCGTAGTTCCAAAAGACATCTGAATCTAGTCTATAAGTTAAGGTCATGTTGAAAAAGTTTTTCTCAAGTTTGAGGTTATGTTTGACATAAATTGGACTTCTGGAATAAATTATTTTACTAATTAATGTTGAAGACAATAAAATCAAGAAAAGGCTCCTGGGGCATGTCTTAATCCAGAATTTTGACATCCTAGGACCTAGACCAGTGATGGCTAACCTAAGTGCCGCGTAAAAAATTGAGAAATCTCACCAACATTAAGTTGTCTGCGGTTTCGGTCATGACTTACCACCAATGTGTGTCATGGCACAAAAAAGGTTGTGCAACACTGATCTAGATTATACCCATAACAATCCATAACCCTCAGTTCCATAAACAAACTTACTCTTCATTAGCCATAACATAAATCTGATCATCTCTCCTGAATTCCGGCAAGTCATCAGGTTCCAATGGATCTCCAACATGAAAAACCAGTGCATCATAATCAGTCGGTTGTGGCAAAAAGTTCCGATCATGTGAAAACACACAGTTTGTGACTGGACAGTCAATGGACTTTAAATATTCAGCACCATGTAACTTCCCACCCATGTACCAGTCAGGAAATCGATACCAATTGTTCCAGAATAGGATGTACTTGATGCTGTCATTTCTAGAACTACTTTTTGGGATATTTTTGAATGGAACTTGAATTTTGTAATTTTTGATCTTATTTTCATAATAATTGTTTAGGTCATAAAGTAAGTAAATGGACATATAGAAAGCTATTGAGATGTAAATGAGATTTTTGAAAATTATTTCATTGAATTTAGGTTCGCGGCTAGCTGTTGACATGCTGAGACTTTGAATCTGTGAAAAAAAAAATGGAATTAAAGTTTATTAAATTAATCAAGATTTGACAAACCTGAAGACAGCACAAATGTGTCACAACGGACGTCTGGCTATGTCTGACAAAAAAATATTAGAAAGTTTAAACCTTAAAATTTAAATGGAAATGTTATGAATGATTTGAGATTGTCTTTATCTTCTCCTTTATGTGTTAAGTCTTTATTTCATCTCTTTTATCAGATTTTGCATAACCATTTGTTGCTTAATTATTGACGGCTGTAAAGTTTTTTTTATTAGCTATGCCAAAAAAGTTGATAATTAAATGCAAAAAAAAATGTTTTGATTTATAAAAGTTGTGTAATTTTATTTCCTGTTGTTAAAGGAGCGGTTCGCTTATTACGTAAAGCAAAAAACTGGATGTTTTTTAAAGAACCCTTCCCCCTTCCTCCTTTCCCCCTTCCTTCTTCCCCTTCCCCCTTCTCCCTTCCCCTTTCCCCCTCCCCCTTCTCCCTTCCCCTTCCCCCTTACCCCCATCCCTCCTTCTCCCTTCCCCTTCCCCTTCCCCGCTTTTCCTTCCCCCTCCACTTTGTCACAAATTTGAGTCATGTGCATCTTTTTGAGGTTATAGCTCAGAGGCGTGGACATAAAGTCACTTGGTTAAAAATCAATCCACCTCTTGCCCCCCTTCCTCTTCCACCCTTCCCTTCCCTTTCCCCTCCCCCCCCTCGCTTCGATAGAATTCTCGGTATCATACCTCTTTAGCCCCTTTCTGCTGCGTCTATTCCTAAGCTACTAAACTGACTTTACCGTAAAAGCCCTTTTACCTAAAATCTTCTACAATCATTTCCATCAACCCAGTCATCAACATCCAAATACACCTGCCTAACCTCCCTCACATCCCATTCATTAATTGCCAAACATAAGTCACAATAAGAATAAATCTCAGCATTTTGGACCAATTTATAATATTTCGTCCACCAAAAATAATTTGCAAATTCTTGTGGATTTTCATCTAAAAATTTGAGATATTTTGCGAGTTCTTTGATGCTGTTAAAGTCATTGACATTAATGTACGAGTGTGGTGGGAGGAAGTGCTGAATGTTTGTGACTCCATTAAAGATTATCGGAATGATGTTGTGCCGCATGCTCAGGAAGACATTTTCGGTGATGTAATCGACACAAATTGAATTTTCAAATGTAAAATAAAATTTATAATTGGAACTGAGGATGTTTGGGCATTTTTTGAGGTTATTTGAACACCACATTTGTCTAATGGACATTATTTATGAATGAACCCTAACCTTTTATAGACATAAAATATAGCAAAATTTGAGATTTTTGGTCAATTCTTTATTTTAAACTTTAAAAATTTTCAGTCATTTTGTAACAAGTCTCACGACTATGCCAGTCCTGCATGTCTGAATAAACTCGCCGCTTCTGAGCTGAATTCCAATTATTGAGCTTCATGCATAAATTACAGTGGATGTAAGGATCTCCATCGGGTATGACTTTATAGTACTTTTTCCACCAGAAATAATTTGCATATTCTTGTGGATTTTTGTCTAAATATTTGAGATAATTGACGAGATCTTCGACACTGCTAGAGTCATTGACATGAATGTATGAGTGTGGTGGCAGGAAGTGCTGCATGTCTGTGATTCCATTGTATAAAATTGGTACAATAAAGTTGTCCATATTCAGGAACACCTTCTCAGTCATGTAATCAGTACAAATTGAGTTTTCAAACGATAAATAAAATTTGTAGGTTGTGTTCAGCATGTCTGTGCAGACCTGACGTTCATCATGGCTATAAATGTCTCGTATCGGGCATGAGAGGTTTCCACATTTTCCATAGATGTCAACTTGCATGTATTGCTTCATTTTATTTGCTAGAATGTCTCGATTAGACTGTGCAACACAATGTGATAGGAACCAGGCAGCCATTTTGGTCTTTGAGGTACTTATGAACTCAAGAAGCTCAGGATCTTAAAAGAATCGGTAATAATTTAAAAAAAAAATATTGTTCCTATGAACTCACCATCAACAGGCTCTGGATCTCTCCATCTAGCTTTTTTTGATGGCGCAACAATACTTCCAGTCTCAAGATCAGCGAATACTCCATAATTCGAAAACACATCTGAGTCAAGTCGATAAGTGAGTGTCCAATTGAAGAAGTCAGCTTCCATTCTTAGATCTGGTCGAGATTGGTACGGACTCCTAAAATGGTTTAAAAACATAATAATTTCTGTTCTAACCCTAAATATGTAGCCGTCGCCATTTTGAATTTTAAGGGGCGTGAAACTACGTCAATTAAACTTTGATTTAGATGGCCAAATGAGGTAAAATTTAATAGGTAAATTTAATTGATGTTCTTGAGTATGGATCCACATTCAGAATGGACTCCAAGGGTTGGTAACTTGAGTTGTTCAAATTTCCTGAAGCTCAAAAAATTACTTCGGCTCTTTCAGTTTTACCCTATACGAGAATATATCCGCAATGTACTTACTCCTTGTTAGCAATGATGTAAAGTTGATCATCTCTTCTGTATTTCGGTAAATCATCAATGTCAGTTCTATCAGTCAGTCCCATGTGAAAGATGAGAGCATCGTAGTCAGTCGGTAGAGGAAGAAAGTCTCGATCATGTGAAAAAATGCAATTTGTGACTGGACAGTCCACAGATTTTAAATATTCTTCACCAAGTATGGGTCCTGGCATGTTCCAGTAAGGCAAGTACCAACATTTATTCCAAAAGAGGATATACTTAATGCTTTCATTCCTTTGATCTGATTTTGGAATATTTTTTATTGGCACATGAAACTTAAAATTTGTCACACTTGTGCCTTCATAGGAATAAAGATCAAAATTCACAATTACACAAAATATCAAAATTAAGCCAAATTTGAGGATTTTTATTTGTGAATGGTTCTTATAACGTTTGATTGTCTTGTGGCTTGATTCTATTAAGATATCTGATTTCATGACTTTACTTACTTATAAAATGGATATTGTGGTAAACAAAATCTGGTTGTGCGTGTGTGCGAAATTTTCAGCGTTTGGTATTTTCGACTCTCTATTTTTTGGAAGTTGCACAACAACTTTCTTATTTGCTCAGCGGACTTTATAAGAATTTCTAATATTTTCATATTTTTCAATATTAGTTGCCGACTGTACGAACATCTTAGGGAAGGATTGACCTAGTCAATTCAAATGAATTTGTCGAGGTTTATACCAGATGAGCCAGAAGCTCTAAAAACAGGAGAAGCTCATAAATGACGAGATCTGGATGATCATCGAGGTTCATTAGATTCAAGATAATTTAAATAGTTCTTTGAAAAAAGGTAAGATTAATGCAGTCAGTAAATAAGCAAAAGTTTGTCAATTAAAATTATGAATTTATTTCTAATTATTCAGCAAGCTTGATGCTCAAACCAAACTTTAACATCTCTATATTGCTGAAGTATACTTCTTGTATTCCACTCACTTAGCTTCATACAAATATCACAATAAGACTGTTCCTTTGTGTGCATGACTAATTTATAATATTTCGTCCACCAAAAATAATTTGCAAATTCTTGTGGATTTTCGTCTAAAAATTTGAGATATTTTGCGAGTTCTTTGATGCTGTTAAAGTCATTGACATTAATGTACGAGTGTGGTGGGAGGAAGTGCTGCATGTCTGTGACTCCATTAAAGATTATCGGAATGATGTTGTGCCGCATGCTCAGGAAGACATTTTCGGTGATGTAATCGACACAAATTGAATTTTCAAATGTAAAATAAAATTTATAATTGGAACTGAGCGTGTCCACACATTTTTCGGGATTCCTACTTGTGCATGAATAATTTCCACAACTTCCATAAATGTCCACATTCATGTAATTTTGAAGCTTATTTGCTAGTAAGTCACGATTTGATGAAGCTTTGCAGTTGGACACGAACCATGCTGACAATTTTGACTTTTTTGTTCTGATTGAATTGATAAAGGTTTGATCTAGAAAAGAGACGGTTGAATTGTAGGTTAGGATGATGGAAAATAATATCATACCTTGAACAATCGTTGGCTTTCTCCATTTGATTAAGTTTAATGGGTCTATAAAGAATCTCATTTCTGTGTCATAAAACTTGGCATGTGTCCATTGAACATCGGAGTCACTTTTGTATGAAAAAGTCATGTTGAAGAAATTCTCGTCAAATTTGAGGTTATTTTTGGTCGATAATGGACTTCTGGAATTGAAAATTAATTTATTTTGAGGTTAGGTTGAGCAATTAAGGTGCTTGAGGTGTCACAAAACATACATCATTTATGAATGAACCCTCAAAATCCTTCAAACTATCAAAACTTACACTTCATTAGCCATAATGTAAATTTGTTCCTTATTCCTTATTCCAGGCAGTTCATCAAGTTCCTTTGAATTTCCAACATCAAACATAATTGCATCAAAATCAGTCATTGAATGAAAAAGTCGTCGGTTCCTTGAAAATATGCAGTTCTTCATGTTGCAATTGACTGACTCGAGATCTTGTGACGTGTCATCATCGTTAGTGCTCGGATTCCATAACAAAATGTGCTTAAAGGAATCACCACGTTTCTCACCATGCGGAATGTAATGTGTGACTTCATTCAACTCATAACGTCGTGCTTTATGCTGCCTATAAAGTCCGAATCTAGCTATAGCATAGACAGCCAAGATTAAAATAATCCATGCCTTAAACTGATTTCTTTTTGCGATTTGTAAAGTTTTAACTAAAATTTGAATAGTTTTAATCAAGAAAATTCGCGCAGTTTTCTCGGAAAAGTCAATTTTTTGGAGTAATTTGACATTAATCATTTTGAGTGTTCACAAAATTTTAAACAATTTTCAGTCAACTTATCCATAAGCCACAGCCAACAACTCGTCACTAAATGTGAGAAATAAATTTGATCGCTATCAAGTTTGAGGAATAAAATTGACAAAAAAAAAGAAGCAAAATTGTGAAATTTATTTTTTTGCAGATTTATGTCAGTTCTGCTCGAACTAAGCTCCACGGACCCATACTGTTTGGCGAGAGAATCTTAGATATGTCAATAATAAGAGCTAGTTCAGAGTGGAAAGATGAGCAGAAGATTTGCTGATCTGCGGCTTGAAAAAGGTTGAGAAACACTGGTTTAAGCTATTAATTTTACATAATGGATGTTGAGTTTTTTGACACATTTTGCTGTTAAGTGTTGCATAACAAATGAATAAAATCAGCAAACTAAAAGAAATGAAGCTAAACAACTGAGCCATCAGCTTACATAACAGCAACTTGGTCTTAAACTATCACAACAGTCAAAAAATTCAAAGCTTCAACTCCATTAAAAATTATCTAATGCAAAAAATTGACAAAATATTCAAATTTCTGCCTCAAAAGTCTTCAAAATGTTGTTCAAGTTGGACGCTTCCGACAAAACAATTAAGAATGTAAAGTCCAAAGTTGTGCAAGTTTTGTGGAAACTTTTAAATTTTGCCATAAAAAATCAGTTCATTTTTTGGATTTTTTTAATTTTAATTTATTATTTTACAAAAAAGGAAGCGCTTCTTGAGCGGCATAAAGCACGTCGATTTGAAGTGAATCATGTTGAGGACTTTATTCCACTTGGTGTGATTAAGGAACCAGCAACAAAGCACATTTTGCTATGGAATCCGAGCACTCAGGCCGATGACTTATCACAGGATCACCAGACAGTCAATTGTGACATGAAGAACTGCATATTTTCAAGGAACCGACGACTTTTTCATTCAATGACTGATTTTGATGCAATTATGTTTGATGTTGGAAATTCAAAGGAACTTGATGAACTGCCTGGAATAAGGAATAAGGAACAAATTTACATTATGGCTAATGAAGTGTAAGTTTTGATAGTTTGAAGGATTTTGAGGGTTCATTCATAAATGATGTATGTTTTGTGACACCTCAAGCACCTTAATTGCTCAACCTAACCTCAAAATAAATTAATTTTCAATTCCAGAAGTCCATTATCGACCAAAAATAACCTCAAATTTGACGAGAATTTCTTCAACATGACTTTTTCATACAAAAGTGACTCCGATGTTCAATGGACACATGCCAAGTTTTATGACATAGATATGAACAACTTTGTATCAATTTCCAGGCAGATCAAGTGGAGGAAACCTGTGGCTTTTAGAGGTTAGAATCATTTATTCATCTAGTCTCAATAGATACATCATACACTAGTCGGATGTAGTCCTAAACCCTGCCACTGCCTTAATACTGATCCTTATAATATTGTAACCCTTTCTGTCTTTTAGATCAAACCTTTATCAATTCAATCAGAACAAAGAAGTCAAAGTTGTCAGCATGGTTCGTGTCCAACTGCAAAGCTTCATCAAATCGTGACTTACTAGCAAAGAAGCTCCAAAATTACATGAATGTGGACATTTATGGAAGTTGTGGAAATTATTCATGCACAAGTAGGAATCCCGAAAAATGTGTGGACACGCTCAGTTCCAATTATAAATTTTATTTTGCATTTGAAAATTCAATTTGTGTCGATTACATCACCGAAAATGTCTTCCTGAGCATGCAGCACAACATCATTCCGATAATCTTTAATGGAGTCACAGACATGCAGCACTTCCTTCCACCACACTCGTACATTAATGTCAATGACTTTAACAGCATCAAAGAACTCGCAAAATATCTCAAATTTTTAGATGAAAATCCACAAGATTTTGCAAATTATTTTTGGTGGACGAAATATTATAAATTAGTCATGCATACAAAGGAACAGTCTTATTGTGATATCTGTATACATCTCAACAAATGGGAGCCAAGAATGAAAAAGCAACAATATTTGAATGTAGAAAGCTGGTTCAACCAAAAGTCATGCATTGGACGACTTGATGATTTGTGAATTATTTTTTTATTGAATAAAATTGAACAATTTTTTATAAATTTTTTAAAAATTATTTCCCATGTCATAACAAGTCTCACGACTATGCCAATTATGGACATCTAAATAAACTTGCCGTCGTTCTTTAACATTCCAATTGTTTAATCTTTTACACATTTCACAGTACGTGTAAGGATTTGTGTCTGGTATGACTTTATAGTACTTCTTCCACCAGAAATAATTTGCATATTCTTGTGGATTTTTGTCTAAATATTTGAGATAATTGACGAGATCTTCGACACTGCTCGAGTCATTGACATTTATGTATGAGTGTGGTGGCAGGAAGTGCTGCATGTCTGTGATTCCATTGTACAAAATTGGCACAATATAGTTGTCCATGTTCAGGAACACCTTCTCAGTCATGTAATCAGTACAAATTGAGTTTTCAAATGATAAATAGAATTTATAGGTTGTATTCAGCATGTCCGTGCAGTGTTGACGACCATCTTGGCTATAAATATTTGGAATCGAGCAAGTCAAGTTGCCACACTTTCCATAAATGTCAACTTGCATAAATTCTTGAATTTTCTTTGCTAAATTCTCTCGATTTGAAGCTACGCCACAATGTGATGAGAACCATGCAGCCATTTTTGTTTTTGAAGTTTTGATGAACTTGAGCAGTTCTGGATCTAAAATAATAAAGATTTTAAGCTTTTTAAAATTCGTCCAGGAGTGCAGAATTGATCAAGAATGATGAAAAGCGATTAATCACAACCTAATCCTCGAACTAGTCTGCTTTGTGCTTACCATCAACAATTTCAGGCTTCTTCCATTTAACATCTCTCGATGGAGCCACAATGCTGCTTGTCTCAATGTCAGCAAAAAGTCCATAGTTCCAAAATATGTCTGAATTCAGTCGATAAGTAAATGTCATGTTGAAAAAGTAATCTTCAGTTTTTAGGTCAGGTCTTGAGTAGAATGGAGCCCTAGATGAGAATGAATTGGAATTTTTCTGGGTCAATTTTGATCGACTTAAGTCAACCTGGGTCCACTTAGTTCAACTAAGGTCAACCTTGATCTAGCCTTAATCAACTTGAGCTAATTTAAGTCAAGCTAGGTCAACTTGAGCTAAATTAGTTCAAACCAGTTCATCTTAAGTCATTTAAGGTCTACTTGAGTAGCTACAACCTTTATAAACTTACTCCTCATTAGCCACAATGTAAATCTGATCGTCTCTTCTGAATGCCGGCAAGTCATCAATGTCATTCATGCTTCCCATATGAAAAATGAGTGCATCAAAGTCAGTCGGTTGTGGTAAAAATGTTCGATTATGTGAGAATATGCAGTTTGTGACTGGACAGTCGATAGACTTTAAATAGTCTTCACCAAGGACACTAGCTCCCATATGCCAATAATCAAAGTTCCACCAACTCGTCCAGAATAAAATATATTTTGTGCTTTCATTTCTTTGGCTTGTTTTTGGAATATTTTTAAATGGAACTTGAAATTTGAAGTTTGTGACTTGATTGTCGCGATATCTTTCGATGTTTTGGTATAAAAATAGTGAGAATCCGATTAGGAATATGCTTTGCAGGTACTTTTGTGAGTGATTCCAAAATATCTTTAGCTTTTTGAGTCTTTTTCGAGATTTTGAAGACATTTTAAAACTAAAAGCAGGGAAAATGTTAGCTTTGGAGCTTACAGCGCTATTTAAGTAATCAAACTGACCAAAAATTATTAAAATATGATTAATCAATTCAAAACTCTTGGAATCTACACCATTTATGAATGATCACCATCAAAAATAAGATTCCTTCAAGTTTTTTTATGTTTTTAAAATTCAAACTTACCTTTTTTTATTGACTTTTCGACTCAACGGACCGAACACAACTGAGAAAGTGAAAGTTATTAATGATTTTGTGTTTAAAAATTGTGAGTTGCTGTAAAGATGGATTGATAAGGTCAATTAATATACAAATCAAAAATTAAGAGTAATCTGAAGGGTCAAAATGGGACTGTTTACGTTGTTTTGTTGACTGACAGCATTCGACCAAAATTAACAGATTTGAGGAGCAAGCATTTGACCTTAAAGGACAGAATTTTGACCAAAACGAACGCAATATTTTCTTAACTGACAGCATTTTACTTTAACTGACAGCATTTCACAGCATTTTGAACAAAACGAACAGCATCTCACCTCAACTGATAGAGTTTCATCTTAACTGACAGCATTTTTACAAAAACTGACAGCATTTTGGCAAAAACTGACAGCATTTTGACAAAAACTGACAGCATGTGAGAAGTAAGCATTTGATTTTAACTGACAGCATTTTTACCAAAACTAATAACATAAATTCGCAACGGACAACATTTTACCTAAACTGACAGCATTTTACCACATCTGACAGCGTTTTGAACAACATTTGACCCCACTGGACAGCGCTTCATCTTAGCTGACAGCATTTCACTACAACTGACAGCATTTTAACAAAAAACTGACAGCATTTGTCGAAATAAGCATTCAACGAGGAGCAGCAGGGAGTCAGCAGCAGTAACCCAAGCAAATTAAAGAAATTTTACGTCAAGCTGAAAAATTTGTTATAAAATCATTGCCAAATGACTTTCCAGAACATCCAAAATAAAGCATCAAAAGCCTAAATCTTGCCAAAACTCATTAACATATGAAATTTATTCCATAAAAGTTTATAGCTTGCCTTTTATTGCCGACTTTCTCTTGTTCGTCTCAATTTCTATCGGTTGCGAATTAATGTCTACGTGACGTAACAGGAAAGTTGATTTTTGATAATGAGCTTCCAATTGTGTTTGATTCGCAGACTAGTAAAGTCAAAAAAAATATAATCTAGTAAAATTTGATCTTAAAGATGCATATAAGCTTGTCAATCTGCAGCACACCAAAAAGATCATCTCGAGATAATCCGTGCAACTTGCTAATAAAGCTCACAAAATTGTTCATAGTTTTACTGCTAAGCATCTATTTATTTGATGACATTTCTACATACCGTGATACTCAAGTTGATAGCTTTAAACTAAGCGTGCCATTCACAAATGTCCCAAAGACAAGCCAGAGAAATGAAAGCCTTAAGTACATTTTATTTTGGACCACGTGGTGGTATTTTCCACTTTGGTATATGGGAAAGGAAGTGCAAGGTGAAGAGTATTTAAAGTCTATCGACTGTCCAGTCACAAACTGTGTGTTTTCACATGATCGCCACTTGCTGCCTCGACCAACTGACTATGATGCTTTGGTCTTTCATGTTGGTGATTGTCTTGATATTGATGATTTGCCGTCAGCTAGGAGAGAAGATCAGTTTTATGTTGTGGCTGATGAAGAGTAAGTGTTGTCAACTTGAGACTGCCTTGACTGACTTGACTGACTTGACTGACTTGACTTACTTTACTGATTTGACTGATTTGACTCACTTGACTTGACTGACTTTACTGATTTGACTTACTTGACTCGCTTGACTTGACTCACTTGACTCATTTGTAAAATATTTAAAATCCTTTTAAATTATTTCCAGAACTTCTTTCTTTTCCTGGCACAACTTCAAGTTGGATGATAACTTCTTCAACATGACACTAACGTATCGACTTGATGCCGACATCCTTTGGAACTATGGATTATTTATTGACAAAGAGACTGGAAGTGTTGTGGGACCTTCAAGACATGCAAGTTGGAGAAAACCTGAAATTGTTGATGGTAAGGAAAACTCAGAGCTGGAAGTTGGCTCGGATTTTGTATGAAAAAGTCAATTTTAAGTAATTTTTTAAATTTTTTCTTCTTTTAGATCCCGAAATTCTGGAATTCGTGAAAAATTCTAAAACAAAATTAGCAGCTTGGTTCCTTTCGCACTGCAATACCAACTCGAATCGTGATCATTTGGGAAAAAAGATTCAAGAATATATGAATATTGATATTTATGGACTATGTGGCAACCTTACATGTCAAATTCCAAGCATTTATAACGAAACAGCACGTCGGACATGCACAGACATGCTGAATTCAACCTACAAGTTCTATTTATCATTTGAGAACTCAATTTGTACTGATTACATGACTGAGAAGGTGTACCTGAATATGGACAACTATATTGTGCCAATTTTATACAATGGAATCACAGACATGCAGCACTTCCTCCCACCACACTCATACATTCATGTCAATGACTCGAGCAGTGTCGAAGATCTCGTCAATTATCTCAAATATTTAGACAAAAATCCACAAGAATATGCAAATTATTTCTGGTGGAAGAAGTATTACAAAGTGCTCACTAATGCTCACAGCTATGCTTACTGTGACATGTGTATGAAAGTGAATGAATGGAATACAAAACAAAAACGACAGTCTTATAATGATTTGAATGGTTGGTTGACTCAAAAGACTTGCTATAATATGAGTAAAAATTTCTAATTTATTGTTTTAAAATTGAATAAAGTTAAGTTTTTTTAAAAATCAAATTCATGAGCTGCTTTTTGGTACATGCGCTTTCCCATACCCTAGCCCAAACCCTATCCTACTTCAAGGGGTGTTAACTTATGTCAACTTAATTTTATCTTTTCTTATCGATTAATCTTTAACGTCTTCCGATTAAATAACAAAAAAGACGTTCCTAATTAAGTCAAATCAACATAACGTCTTTTGAATGCAATGGGGTCACGACTTCCTAACAATCAGATTCGTTAATCAATGTCAATAAATTCAGCATCATCGAAGAAATTCACAATTTAAGCCTATTTTTTTCTTTATTTGTCACGCTAATTCGTTGACTTAACGCACCCATTCGTAACTTTTTGGTGAATGGGAAGTTTGTGAGTTTTTATTTCTGAAATTTCGCTTTAAATTTTTTAGTTTAGTTCAAATCGCGCTTGAGGATGGACCGACTTTTAAGAAGCATCAAATTTTTATTTATTTTTGGAATTTTCTTAAGTTTCGAAAATCAATTTAATGTTTCTGGTGCAAAAATCCTCGCAATATTCCAAGATCCATCATACAGCCATGAGTTGACATTCCATAAGATTCTTAAAGCACTTGCTGATCGTGGACATCATTTGACTATTTTTGGTGCTCATACATTTGATTATCAGAACAATCCGAACGTGACTCAGCATGTTTTTAAAGATTCAGTCGAGAATTATAAAAAAAATTTTAATGTCACATATGTGGAACAGACTAAGACGACTTGGATGCGACTATTGCTGCAATATGAAGTTCAAACATTTTATGAGCTTACAAGAACTCAAATTGGACATCCAGAAATGCAGAAAATTATCAAAAATCATGACAAAAAATACAAATTTGACGTGATTATTATGGAATATTATTTCTATAATTTGGCACTGCTTGCTGAGATTTATGACTGTCCAATTATTGCATTTGCTGCATCAGAGCCAGCTATAGCAAATCATGGATTAATGGGAAATGATGTCAATCCAGCAATTTATTCAGATGCAACCAGATTCCCGTACTTACATGGTCAGTTGTCATTCAGCGAACGCGTCAGTTCCGTTGCTTATTATTTCACATATTATGCAATTTTTGTTGGAATTGTCTACAAATATTATGTCAATCAAATTGCATCAGAATATCCAATTAATGGAACTACAAAAGATCCACTTGATGTCCTTAATGATCGTCTTGCACTGCTCGTAGCTAATACAAGTCCTGAATTTGGTCATGTCCGTGCATTGTCACCTTATACAATTCAAATTGGATTCTTTCATGTTGAGGATCCGAAGGAATTGACAAACTTTGAAGTTAAAGAGTATTTGGATGCATCCATAAATGGTGTCATTGTCATGAGTTTTGGATCAAAGATTAAAACGGCAGATTTAGGAATCAAAAATGTCGAAAAGTTCCTCAAAGCTTTTAATCAGACCAGCTACGACATCTTATGGAAGTTTGATGAAATAATCGATCCCGAAAAAGTTCCAAAAAATGTCAAATTGACCAATTGGATGCCACTTTCTGATGTCTTAGCTCATCCAAATGTCAAAATTATCATTCATCATGGTGGACTGCTGACTTCCTATGAAGCTATTGTCCGAGAAGTTCCACAAATTATTTTCCCACTCGTCTACGATGAAGGCGCAAATGCAAAGCTTCTGGTCAAGAAAGGAGTCGCGATGGAGCTGAACATTAATACTTTTGAAGAGACAATGCTGACTGGTGCCATTGATAAGGTTGTGTCATCGGACTTCCGAGAGAATATCCGTGTGCTTAGATATAATGTCAATGATCAAATTATCGATCGAAAGGAGCTCGCCGTGTTTCATATTGAAAAAGTTATAAGGCACAAAAATGAGAAAATTTATAAATTCAAGTTAAATCCATTCGCGAGCTTCTTTCATCGACATTTACTTGACATATTTACATCCACAGCTGTTGTCATTGGAACTGTTTATTTTATTGTTAAAAACATTAGAAAATAAAATTTGAATTTTAGGAATATTGCTCTTTTGAATCAGGAACAGAGGCATAGCTAGGAATAATTTAGGGAGGGGGTGGGAAGGGTCTAGAGTTTTTTTTTGTTTGGATTTTAACGGGTTTAGGATTTTTTCTTAAAAAACTTACTAAAGAAAATCGAAAAAAGGGGGGGATGAGGGGGGGTGCACAATAACCCCCCCCCCCTTTCCTCTCCTGGCTACGTTTCTGACGAAGATGTAGCTTCAGTGATTAGGAATCTGGTGGAGCTATTCATTAATAATGTCAAAAAATGGTTTGACCCAACACGTCTCCCCCCCCCCTCTTTGCCCAGGCTACACCAGGAATTAAGCAAGAATTAGTGATTAGGAGTCTAAGATAACTAAGCATGAAGACTAATACTGTTAAGTAAGCAACTTCTGAGTAAGTTGTACACTTCGACAGCCTACACATACATATGCACCACCCCCCCCCCCCCCCAAGCTCTTTTACACGTATTATCTAAATTTCTATTGAATCTGCTAATTCAGTTGCTTTTCACACTTCCATCAACAAAGAGGTGTTTGTGTCAACAATAATAAAAGAGATGCGTGACGAACTTTATAATTTATTAAAAAATCATTCGGGAAAGATTAATAGAAAGCATACTTTTATAGTTATTACAATCATTACTTTAGTGTTCATTATAATTAATTATTTAATTTTATTTAAACATTACAAAACTACCGAAATAAAAGTCCACAACAGCCCCAAAAATGAAAGTTTAAGATACATTTTATTTTGGACGAAATTTTTCGAGACTGAAAATTGGGGAATGGGGAAAAAAGTTTTAGGAGAAGAGTTCTTAAAAAGTTTGCAATGTTCAGTTACGAATTGCATTTTTTCACATGATCGAGGCTTACTTTCATCGCCTGCTGACTACGATGCTTTAATATTTCATGTTGGTGAGCCATTTGACATCTACGATTTGCCGGCTACAAGAAGTGAGAATCAAATTTATGCAATGTTGAATCAAGAGTAAGTTTGGATGTTATGTTGACCGCCTAGCTCCAAAGGTTGTGCATCATTGATTTAAAGATGTGATTTTTGTCATTTTTTAGTCAATTGGATCTCTAGACAGCTTTAGTATAGCCATGGCGGGGTTCAGGGGGTCATCAATCATTCCCATCATAATTTCAGGATTAAATAAAATAAAATAATTGGAACCTTTAATTTTAGGAGACCCATTTACACATGGCATAATTTTGAACACGATAAAGGCTTCTTCAATATGACAGTGACATATAGGCAAGACTCAGATGTTTATTTTGGATATTCAAAGATGGTTGAGATCAGCTCAAACTTAATAGTGTCGCCATCAAAACAACACGTTTGGAGAGAACCGGAAACTGTGAATGGTATTTGATGTAATTCCTTAACCTATACCTAACCTATACCTAACCTATACCTAACCTATACCTAACCTATACCTAACCTATACCGAACCTATACCTAACCTATACCTAACCTATACCTAACCTATACCTAACCTATACCTAACCTATACCTAACCTATACCTAACCTATACCTAACCTATACCTAACCTATACCTAACCTATACCGAACCTATACCTAACCTATACCTAACCTATACCGAACCTATACCGAACCTATACCTAACCTATACCTAACCTATACCTAACCTATACCTAACCTATACCTAACCTATACCTAACCTATACCTAACCTATACCTAACCTATACCTAACCTATACCTAACCTATACCTAACCTATACCTAACCTATACCTAACCTATACCTAACCTATACCTAACCTATACCTAACCTATACCTAACCTATACCTAACCTATACCTAACCTATACCTAACCTATACCTAACCTATACCTAACCTATACCTAACCTATACCTAACCTATACCTAACCTATACCTAACCTATACCTAACCTATACCTAACCTATACCTAACCTATACCTAACCTATACCTAACCTATACCTAACCTATACCTAACCTATACCTAACCTATACCTAACCTATACCTAACCTATACCTAACCTATACCTAACCTATACCTAACCTATACCTAACCTATACCTAACCTATACCTAACCTATACCTAACCTATACCTAACCTATACCTAACCTATACCTAACCTATACCTAACCTATACCTAACCTATACCTAACCTATACCTAACCTATACCTAACCTATACCTAACCTATACCTAACCTATACCTAACCTATACCTAACCTATACCTAACCTATACCTAACCTATACCTAACCTATACCTAACCTATACCTAACCTATACCTAACCTATACCTAACCTATACCTAACCTATACCTAACCTATACCTAACCTATACCTAACCTATACCTAACCTATACCTAACCTATACCTAACCTATACCTAACCTATACCTAACCTATACCTAACCTATACCTAACCTATACCTAACCTATACCTAACCTATACCTAACCTATACCTAACCTATACCTAACCTATACCTAACCTATACCTAACCTATACCTAACCTATACCTAACCTATACCTAACCTATACCTAACCTATACCTAACCTATACCTAACCTATACCTAACCTATACCTAACCTATACCTAACCTATACCTAACCTATACCTAACCTATACCTAACCTATACCTAACCTATACCTAACCTATACCTAACCTATACCTAACCTATACCTAACCTATACCTAACCTATACCTAACCTATACCTAACCTATACCTAACCTATACCTAACCTATACCTAACCTATACCTAACCTATACCTAACCTATACCTAACCTATACCTAACCTATACCTAACCTATACCTAACCTATACCTAACCTATACCTAACCTATACCTAACCTATACCTAACCTATACCTAACCTATACCTAACCTATACCTAACCTATACCTAACCTATACCTAACCTATACCTAACCTATACCTAACCTATACCTAACCTATACCTAACCTATACCTAACCTATACCTAACCTATACCTAACCTATACCTAACCTATACCTAACCTATACCTAACCTATACCTAACCTATACCTAACCTATACCTAACCTATACCTAACCTATACCTAACCTATACCTAACCTATACCTAACCTATACCTAACCTATACCTAACCTATACCTAACCTATACCTAACCTATACCTAACCTATACCTAACCTATACCTAACCTATACCTAACCTATACCTAACCTATACCTAACCTATACCTAACCTATACCTAACCTATACCTAACCTATACCTAACCTATACCTAACCTATACCTAACCTATACCTAACCTATACCTAACCTATACCTAACCTATACCTAACCTATACCTAACCTATACCTAACCTATACCTAACCTATACCTAACCTATACCTAACCTATACCTAACCTATACCTAACCTATACCTAACCTATACCTAACCTATACCTAACCTATACCTAACCTATACCTAACCTATACCTAACCTATACCTAACCTATACCTAACCTATACCTAACCTATACCTAACCTATACCTAACCTATACCTAACCTATACCTAACCTATACCTAACCTATACCTAACCTATACCTAACCTATACCTAACCTATACCTAACCTATACCTAACCTATACCTAACCTATACCTAACCTATACCTAACCTATACCTAACCTATACCTAACCTATACCTAACCTATACCTAACCTATACCTAACCTATACCTAACCTATACCTAACCTATACCTAACCTATACCTAACCTATACCTAACCTATACCTAACCTATACCTAACCTATACCTAACCTATACCTAACCTATACCTAACCTATACCTAACCTATACCTAACCTATACCTAACCTATACCTAACCTATACCTAACCTATACCTAACCTATACCTAACCTATACCTAACCTATACCTAACCTATACCTAACCTATACCTAACCTATACCTAACCTATACCTAACCTATACCTAACCTATACCTAACCTATACCCAACCTATACCTAACCTATACCTAACCTATACCCAACCTATACCTAACCTAATGTGTTCCTAAGGTACATACCAACCTCAACCTTATGACTAAGCACACAACCAATCAATCAAACTAAAGTTAAAACAACTTTTGCCTTCTAGATCCTCAAATTCTCAACTTAATAGCATCAAAATCAAAAATGGCAGCATGGTTTGTGTCTCGATGTGGTGCATTCTCAAATCGGGATAATCTCGTCAAGCAACTGCAACAATACATCGATGTGGATGTTTACGGAAAGTGTGGATTACTCAAATGTCCACGAGATAATCAAAATCAATGCTTAGAAATGCTCAATACAACCTACAAATTTTATTTGGCGCTTGAAAACTCAATTTGTGTTGATTATATTACCGAAAAGACTTTCTTAAATATGCAAAATTTCATAATTCCGATTGTATATAATGGAGTCACAGACATGCACGACTTCTTACCACCACATTCGTTCATTAATATAAATGACTACAAAAGCATTGAGGAACTCGCAAATTATCTTAAATTTCTAGATGAAAATCCACAAGAATATGCAAATTATTTTTGGTGGAAAAAATATTACAAAATTTATGGAAGCAGTGGCTACTGTGATTTGTGCATGAAACTTAAAGAATGGGACTTGATGCAGAAGAAACAACAGCATTTGGACATAGCTCATTGGTGGAATCATAAGACATGCAGAGACACATCCAAAGATTTTTTATAGTTGTAATAAAATTAATTCTTTTTGGTTCCTGAAAAACGGAATTTTGAGGGGTACGGAGCATAAGTTGGGAAGGGGGGGGGCTGCACTTATTAAGTGCATGTAGAAGATGATATTAAGGATATCTGAGGAATCGACGAATATTAAACGAGGGTCAAAATAAAATTTTGTGTGTTTAAGGAGGGGGGGGGGTCAGTTCTAGTACCGGACCCCCCCCCCCCCCCAATTTCCCTCCTTTCGTATTTTTGTTCTTGCAATTTCATTTGTAACGTTAAACAGTTTGAACCCCCCTTTCCTTGTTCAATTACACGACCCCTTCCTCCCCCGGTTCAAGTACAGAACCCCCTCCCCTCGTATATTATGTTTCTGCAATACAATTTATTATGTTAAAAAATATGTGACCCACTCCCCGGGAGCACCAACCCCAGCTAAACTCCAGTTTCTATGTCACTACACAAACACTGACCCCAAATTAAAGAAAATGTAAATTATGTATTGTAAATAATAAATAAATCATGTTTGTTGTAGTTTAGCATACAAACAAACAGCTTTGGATGTCTTGGTGAATATGCGTTGCCATAGAAACCTTAACCGGCACAATAAGAAGTTTTGTAAATTTTATAAAAAAATAAAAATTAAGTTAAAATTGAGCTAATTAAACTTTTAATAAAAAATTAACCTCAAAAAAATGTCAGAACCATCAAAGGACATCCAGAACTTCCTCATCAATCATTTAAATTTCACACCACGTCGTCAACTTTTCGAAGAATTTCAAGAAAAACTTGTAAAAATTCGAGATCAACAAGATTTAGACAGCAAATCAACGCAAGCTGATGAACTTCCCCAAAATTATAACCTCAAATTTCTCCATCAACTGAATGACTTCAGGCTTAAAAATGCCCACGAGTGCATGAGCGAAATAAATTGTCGAAGATTAAAAAAAGAAAATGAAAAAGTTGAAAATTTCCTCAAACATTCTTGTGTCCATCGATTCCGACTTAATGATCGACTTATTCCAGTTCCAGTCAAGTCAAATGAGCTTGGAGAGTCGTTGTGCATAATTTGTGGAACAGCTGCTGACTCAAGTGCTTGTCATCCTTCAAATTCAATGATTATTAATGAGTCAAAGTATGAAAATGAGAAAAGGAAGCAAGGAAAGCAATTTTACTGCCTGGAAGGTGTGGCTGCAAAGAAAAAGACAGAAAATTGGAACAACTCATTTGCATTGAAATATCAAAAGTTTTAAGCTCCATCTGCTAGCTGATATCCACAAAATCTATTGACTCCTTCATGTAGGCAACATTAAGCACATCAGAATCGTTCAATCGATCATCAAAGTCTATGTACGGCTGCTGGCATATCCAATTAGGGACATTTTGATGCTGATGATGGGCGGAGCCAAAACTCAAAACAATGACACCATTTATGGATGCATCCAAATACTCTTTAACCTCAAAGTTTGTCAATTCTTTCGGTTCCTCAACATGAAAGAATCCAATTTGAATTGTATAAGGTGACAATGCACGGACATGACCAAATTCAGGACTTGTATTAGCTACGAGCAGTGCAAGACGATCATTAAGGACATCAAGTGGATCTTTTGTAGTTCCATTAATTGGATATTCTGATGCAATTTGATTGACATAATATTTGTAGACAATTCCAACAAAAATTGCATAATATGTGAAATAATAAGCAACGGAACTGACACGTTCGCTGAATGACAATTGACCATGTAAGTATGGGAATCTGGTTGCATCTGAATAAATTGCTGGATTTACATCATTTCCCATTAATCCATGATTTGCTATAGCTGGCTCTGATGCAGCAAATGCTATAATTGGACAGTCATAAATCTCAGCAAGCAGTGCCAAATTATAAAAATAATATTCCATAATAATCACGTCAAATTTGTATTTTTTGTCATGATTTTTGATAATTTTCTGCATTTCTGGATGTCCAATTTGAGTTCTTGTAAGCTCATAAAATGTTTGAACTTCATATTGCAGCAATAGTCGCATCCAAGTCGTCTTAGTCTGTTCCACATATGTGACATTAAAATTTTTCTTATAATTCTCGACTGCATCTTTAAAAACATGCTGAGTCACGTTCGGATTGTTCTGATAATCAAATGTATGAGCACCAAAAATAGTCAAATGATGTCCACGATCAGCAAGTGCTTTAAGAATCTTATGGAATGTCAACTCATGGCTGTATGATGGATCTTGGAATATTGCGAGGATTTTTGCAGCTGCGACTGTTTGAGATTCAATTAGAATGAAAATAATTAAAATATTGACAAGCCTCATTTTGAACTTGCTGAGCTGCAGTCTGCTAGCGTCAACGGACTGTTTTGAACTGACATGATTAGACAAAAGCTTGAAAGAAAGTAAATTGTTGATGCTAATTCGCTGGATGTTGTGAAATGCTTTCCATTTTGTCCTCCTTTGTAGTCATCAACACTGCTTATGTAATAAAAAATGTCTGCAAAAAAATTAATGATTTTGGAACTGAGTTGTGTGAAAATGTTGACAGTAAACTCAGCTCAGTTGGATGAATCAGTTGACATCGTTGATGTAAGTTTTGAATGAATTTTGAGTTCAAATTTGGTTATCCAGGAATGTAGTAATGGAGTGTGGGTGGGGGGTGTTCCTAACTCTTATAAGAGAAGGTTCCCCTAGTAGCAATAGAAGCTTGTCCTCTGACTCTGACTAATTAAATTTATTTTTTAAGGAATTCCAAAAATGGACTTTAAGCACTCAAAACTCACCAAATTATCCGAAAAACTTAGAAAATCTCTAAAAGACATCCACAGAAAGCACAGCACAAAATTAACAATCTTATGGATTTCCATCGCATTTCTCACTATCAAGTTGATCATCTATTGCCATCTACAGTATCAACGATACGACTGGAATCATGTCACAGAATTCATAGAACCTCAAAACACTTACAAAGACGTTAAGCACATTTTATTTTGGAATAACTTCTTTGACTCAAATTATTGGGCAATGGACAAAGAAGTTCAAGGCGAACAATACTTAAAAGATATAGAGTGTCCAGTCACAAACTGTATATTCTCACATAATCGAAAGTATTTGTCATCAGTAGCTGACTATGATGCTGTTGTATTTCATGTTGCTGAACCATTTGATGTGAGGGATGTGCCAAAGATAAGAAAAGAGAATCAAATCTACATTATGGCTAATCAAGAGTAAGTTATGATGCAATTATTAAGAACTAGGAGTGGTTTTGAGGGGTTTGGTTTAGTTAAGGATAGGCTGTAGCTTGAATTTAGTTCTATCCTGGTTTTTTAAGAGCTAAATTCGGGACATGTCCTGCTTTTTGATCAAATATCGGTAAAATTCGATGGACATCCTAGTTAAGAATGATCAAAAAGCATCGAATGGGGTTAGAATGGGCCAAAAGATGTCAAATCCACAAGAAGGCGACTTAATTGAGTCCAAAGTTGTTTAACACGGATCTCTGGTTCCAAATTATGGGCTAGAATCGCAAATCTGTCTGGAGGAGATGTATAGTCACAAATCTATCTGCTCTTGGCTCTCATGTATCTAAAATTTATCAACAAGGCACCACTGGGCCTCCTGATTATGCTTTTTGTCTCCACATAGTACAGTGTTGTCCAAACTGTGAGCCGCTGCACACTGGTGTACCGTAGAAATTTTGGAAATATCGCAAGCCGTATGCTGTATGCAACTTTGGTCATGGCTTACCCTTCAGGGGTGCCGCGGCTCAAATGATTTTTGACAACACTGACTTAGCACAATGTTGCACAAATTAATCCAAAAATTAATCAAAAATGAATCTAATCTTTCAGAAGTCCAGTTCATACAGCACACAACTTAAACCAAAACAAGAACTTTTTCAACATGACATTCACATATCGACTGGATTCTGACATTTTATTTCCATATGCAACTATTGCTGACATCAAAAGTGGAGCTGTTGTTGCTCCATCGAGAAAGGCTATATGGAGGGTGCCGGAAGTTGTGACAGGTCTGCATGAATGTCTTCATTTTCAACTTTTTTAATAAAATCATTTTTTTAGATCCTGAAATTCTTAATTTGGTGAAGTCAAAGTCGAAATTTGCGGCTTGGTTCGTCTCCAGATGTAAATCATTTTCAAAACGTGAGCTCTTAGCTGAACAGCTTCAAGAATTTATCGATGTGGATATTTATGGTAAATGTGGGACTCTTTCATGTCCAAGAGAAAATAAGGAAAAATGCACAGACATGCTTAATTCAACCTACAAATTCTATTTATCATTTGAGAACTCAATTTGTACTGATTACATGACTGAGAAGGTGTTCCTGAACATGGACAACTTTATTGTACCAATTTTGTACAATGGAATCACAGACATGCAGCACTTCCTGCCACCACACTCATACATTCATGTCAATGATTCGAGCAGTGTCGAAGATCTCGTCAATTATCTCAAATATTTAGACAAAAATCCACAAGAATATGCAAATTATTTCTGGTGGAAGAAATATTATAAAATCAACAATAATCCATATCCAAACTCATACTGCAATATTTGTTTAAAAATCAATGAATGGGATTCAATGACAGTTAGACAGCAGTACTTGGATGTATCAAAATGGTACAACCATAAAACTTGTAGGAATAAAAGCTCATTTTTTCAATAAAGGCATCAAAATTTTTTGTTATTCGAGGTTAAAAAGACACAATATTTTTTTTAAATTCGGGTGCCTTCACACTAGAGCTTTTAAGTTCAGATGACTTTACAATTGAGTTACCAGACAGAGTTGTTTACAAAAGAAAGTTTCTAGGTTAAGTATCCTTTACACTAAAGATTCTAAGTTCAGGTGTCTACACACTTGAGTTTCTAGGTTAATGTGCATTCACAATTTAGTTTCTAGATTCAGGTGTCTTCACAATTGAGTTTCCAGAATCAGATGCTTTCACAAGTGAGTTTCTAGATTCAGATGCCTTCACAATTGAGTTTCTAGATTCAGATGCCTTCACAATTGAGTTTCTAAATTCAGATGCCTTCACAATTGAGTTTCTAGATTCAGGTGCCTCCACACTTGAGTTTCTAGGTTATGGCACCTTTACACTAAAGATTTTAAGTTCAAGTTCTTTCACACCTGAGTTTCTAGGTTAAGGTGCCTTCACAATTGAGTTTCTAAATTCAGGTGCCTTCATACCTGAGTTTCTAGGTTAAGGTGCCTTCACAATTGAGTTTCTAGATTCAGGTGCCTTCACAATTGAGTTTCTAGAATCAGATGCTTTCACAAGTGAGTTTCTAGATTCAGATGCCTTCACAATTGAGTTTCTAGATTCAGATGCCTTCACAATTGAGTTTCTAGATTCAGGTGCCTCCACACTTGAGTTTCTAGGTTATGGCACCTTTACACTAAAGATTTTAAGTTCAAGTTCTTTCACACCTGAGTTTCTAGGTTAAGGTGCCTTCACAATTGAGTTTCTAAATTCAGGTGCCTTCATACCTGAGTTTCTAGGTTAAGGTGCCTTCACAATTGAGTTTCTAGATTCAGGTGCCTTCACAATTGAGTTTCTAGAATCAGATGCTTTCACAAGTGAGTTTCTAGATTCAGATGCCTTCACAATTGAGTTTCTAGATTCAGATGCCTTCACAATTGAGTTTCTAGATTCAGGTGCCTTCACAATTGAGTTTCTAGGTTAAGGTGTCATCACAATTAAGTTTTTCTAAGTTAAGGTGTCTTCAAAATTGATTTTAAGTCTAGAGTTTAGAGTTTTTTAGGTTAAAGTAACTTCACATTAGACTTAAAACCAAAACCATTTTAAATAAATTAACCATTTTATGTAAAATCATTTGGAGTTGCCAAATTTAAGCAAAAGCCTATAAAATATTACCAAACTATTCTTGCATAACAAACTTATTTTTTATTATTTTTTAATATCAACATTTTTTTTGTAAATTTTATTTTTGACCATCCTAAGCGATATGACAAGCAGCAGCACATACAAGAACATGTGCAGCAACTTCTTCTCAAAAACTGTGTTAGCTGATCTTATGTAAATTTTTTATGACTTTAAAACTTTCTCAATTCTCCAAATGACAAGTTCCTTGCTGCTTATTGGTAAATCGTAGACCAAATTCCTTAATTTCTTGATATTTTCAGCATATAAAGGCTTTCGCATCTCACCAATTGCCTTAACTAAAGAAGCATCATCAAAATTATTCAAATCCATCTCCAAAGCTACTCCATTGCGTGCCATGTGCCTTGTATTAATGTATTGATCAAAAACCAGTGGAAATACAATCATTGGAACTTCCCTGTCAATAGCTTCATAAGACGTTAACAATCCACCATGAAAGATCAGTAATTTGACATTTGGATGTGCCATGACATCAAAAAGTGGCATCCAAGTGACAATTTTGACATTTTCAGCTACCTCAACTCCTTCATCAACGCCATGGAGCTTCCACAAGACATTCATGTTCGTCTGATTAAACGCGCTCATGAACTTCTTAACATTCTCAATACCTAAACTTTTTGGATCAGCTCTTGAGCCAAGTGCTATGACTAAAACTCCATTTTGTGACTCATCCAAGAACTTCATCAATTCCTTGTCCTCAATATCTTTTGGATCTCGAATATGTGACAGTCCAATTTGAATTGTGTCAGGCATGAGTGGTCGGACATGTCCAAAAGCTTGATTTGTGTTGGTCATGAGCATTGCTATGCGACTCATTGCGTTAACATCATAATTTGTGACAATGTGTCCAAAATATTTTCTGTCTAATAATCGTGACTTGATGTGATAATACAGTCGATGCACTGAGCTTTGATAAAGGTACACAAACGTTGAGTAAAATTGCTGCGGAATTGACATTTGGTTGTGCATGAATGGTAAAAATTCAGATTCACAGTACTCTGTTGGGTCAATGGCGTTTCCCATCAATTCATGAACTGCTGCTGGAACATCAGAAGATCCAAGAATGACAATTGGACAGTCATAAATATCAGCAATATTTAAGTATGGACAGAAGTAGCACTCGATGATGATCAAGTCGAATTTATACTTTGAACTATTGTGGATGAGATCCTGTATCTCTGGCAGTTCCATTTCATACTCAATTGCTTTCATGTATGACTTCATCTCATAATTAACCATAATATCCCACCAACTTAGGTTCTTTCGCTTATACATCAGCATGTCTGTGTGATTTTTGTGAATCTCGACAGATTTTGGTAAATGAATTTGAGTCACATTCGGATTGGTTCCATAATCTCCAAGATATGTTGTAATAATTGTCGCACTGTGTCCTCTGTCAGTCAATGCCTTCATGTACGAGTGATGAAGAGTCGCATGACTAAAGTACGGAAATGGAAAGATTCCCAAAATATTCGCACCTTTAGATGACCCAAATAGGATGAATAAAACCACAAATAGTTTCATTTCTGTCATGCGTTCAGCTCAAATGTTGAAAGAAAACTGACAAATCAAATGATCACATAATTTTCATCTTTGAATCTATTTGAATATTTTTAAGTTTTTGCACAACTTTATTGACACTTAATGATCAAAGACATTTTGACAGGGTGTGAATGCATTTGAATTTTATGACTAATGTGAATGCACCTGAATTTTATGACGCAAGTGTGAATGCACCTGAATTTCACGACACTGGTGTGAATGCACCTGAACTTTAGGAGTCTGGTGTGAATGCACCTGAAATTTTTGAGTCTAGTGTAAATGCACCTGAACTTTAGAAGTCTAGTGTGAATGCACCTGAACTTTGGGAGTCTAACGTGAATACATCTGAATTTTACGACTCTAGTGTGAATGCACCTGAACTTTAGAAGTCTAGTGTGAATTGACCTGAACATTAAAAATCAAGTGTGAATGTACCTAAACTTTAGAAGTCTAGTGTGAATGCACGTGAACTTTAAGAGTCTAGTGTGAATGCACCTGAACTTTAAGAGTCGAGTGTGAATGTACCTGAACTTTAGAAGTCTAGTGTGAATGCACGTGAACTTTAAGAGTCTAGTGTGAATTGACCTGAACTTTAGGAGTCAAGTGTGAATGTACCTGAACTTTAGAAGTCTAGTGTGAATGCACGTGAACTTTAAGAGTCTAGTGTGAATGCACCTGAACTTTAAGAGTCGAGTGTGAATGTACCTGAACTTTAGAAGTCTAGTGTGAATGCACGTGAACTTTAAGAGTCTAGTGTGAATTGACCTGAACTTTAGGAGTCAAGTGTGAATGTACCTGAACTTTAGAAGTCTAGTGTGAATGCACGTGAACGTTAAGAGTCTAGTGTGAATGCATCTGAACTTTAAGAGTCGAGTGTGAATGTACCTGAACTTTAGAAGTCTAGTGTGAATGCACCTGAACTTTGGTAGTCTAGTGTGAATGCACCTGAAGTTAATTACATTGATGTGAATGCACCTTGGTTCAAGTGGTTCCAATAATCAAAAAATTCATAAAAAAATGTCAAATAGCCTAAAACATTTAAATTCCCACATCAGTTATTCCTAACGGCTACCTAAAATTTAAATAAATTTACACATCAAATTACACATCAAAACTTTTTATTATTGTTATTTATTTTCATTATTATTGTAAAACTCGATCAATTTGTCACACTTCAAGCTGCGATAACAAAGAATTACATTTTTATTTAATCAGTGTGCTTAACTACTCGATTCAAATAGTTGTTGTGGACTTATCTCAAGCGATAACAGCAAGAATTCATTATAAAAGTTAAGTTCAGTCAGTCATTGTTAAGCACAGAGTCCAGTCCAGTCATGTCGTTTCATTCGCAAGGCAGTCACACAGTCCAAATATCCATGAAAATGTTCAGGAACAACAGAAATCGAGTTGTTCAGGCATTGAAGGAAACAAAAAGAATTAAAAATGAGGAATCGACTTTTGTCATTCTTCAAGGCGGAACTGAGGATGCTTTTGGGTTTTATGACACGGACGTCAATCAGACAACATTCAGGCAAGAGTCGTACTTCCAATATTTATTTGGTGTCAGTGAGCCAGACTTCTTTGGAGCCATTAGAGTTTCCGATGGACATACAATCCTGTTCGCGCCAAGACTAGACAAGGAATATGAAGTATGGATGGGTCCAATAGCATCGACTGATCAAGTTAAGGCACGATATGAAGTTGATGATGCTTTTTATGTCGATGAGCTTGTCAAGGTCTTGTCAGATAAGAATTCGTCACTTTTGTTGACTTTGTCGAGCATTAATTCGGATAGTGGCAAGCTTTACAAACCACCAACATTTGCAGGCATTGAGAAATTCCCACAAGATGCTGACATCCTCTATCCAGTCATTGCTGAGTGTCGAGTCATCAAGTCAGCTGAGGAAATTGAGGTTTTGAGGTAATTTTGTGATTTTAACGGTTTTAAAAAATTCAAAATTTTCTAACGGTTTTCATTAATTCCCAGATACGTTGCCAAAGTGTCCTCAGACGCCCACAAGAAGGTCATGAAGATGCCATTCACAAAAGAGAAGCTTTACGAGTACCAAGCTGAGGCTGTGTTCCTTGCTCACACTTACTATGTCGGTGGATGTAGGCACTGTTCCTACACATGCATCTGTGGTGTTGGAAATAACTCAGCAATTTTACATTACGGACATGCTGCAGCACCAAATAATCGTGAGATCAAGGACGGGGAGATGTGCTTGTTTGATATGGGCGCGAATTATTTTGGATATTGTGCAGATATCACATGCTCATTTCCAGCTAATGGGAAGTTTACAGATGATCAAAAGTTGATCTACAATGCAGTTCTAGCTGCAAACATGGCTGTCCAAAATGAAGCTAAGGAAGGTGTGAACTGGGTTGACATGCATCTGCTTGCTAATCGAGTCATGCTGGAAAAGATGAAGGAAGGAAATTTACTAAAAGGTGATGTGGATGAGATGATCAATGCTGGACTTAACTACGTCTTCCAGCCACACGGACTTGGTCATTTGATTGGACTTGATGTTCATGATGTTGGTGGATACTTGCCACATTGTCCACAGAAACCTGTTCAACCAGGTCCAAATAGATTAAGATTTGCTAGAGATTTGAGGGCGGGCATGTATGTGACAATTGAGCCTGGATGTTACTTTATAGAACCGCTGTTGAAGAAGGCTTACAACAATCCATTGCAGGCTAGGTTCTTGGTTAAAGAGAATTTGGACAGATTTTGGAATTTCGGTGGTGTTAGGATTGAAGGTGAGTTAATTGAAGTTCAAGGGGGCCTAGCTAGTCACCAGTTGACTCAGTATTGACTTAAAGTCGACAATTTTATCACAATTTGACTTTAATTGATGTTTAAATCGAATATTAAAGCAATCGATTACTGATTATTTGATAAGGCATAGCATGCGCATGCTGATAACAGCTACGATATTGTCCATAACATTGTTGATAACTGACATTCTTGAATATTTATTTTTAGATGACGTCCTGATCACAAAATACGGAGTTGAGAACTTTTCCGTTGTTCCACGTACTGTTGAGGAGATTGAGGCTTGGATGGCTAGGAATGATGATGTTCCATATGTTCCTTACAAAGATTAATCAGCATTTGATATTTAATATTATTTTTTGCATATGTAGTTAAACTCATTAATGCACGGTATAATCTATATAATTCCACTTACTAATGTAAAAACGAAACTTGTTAAAATTGAAATTTATTTTTGTATTCGAACCCATGGACTGAAAATTTTGATATTTATCAGAAATAAAAGAAAGTTGTTAAAAAAATTTGAGCTGATTTTACACTTTTTTACAATTTTGAACTCTTTTGGATCATTTTGATCCATTCAGAGCCACTTATGACCTACTTAAATGCATTTACAACCTCCTTAACCCGACATGAACACTTTCGGATCTTTTTAAGACTTATTTGTGATCTTTTCGACTCGTTTAAACCTTCTTCTACTCCATTGAACCTCTTTCGACTTTCTTGAACCCCCTTCAAATTTTTAAAACCAGCTTCAACTCTTCAAGACCCCTTTCAACCCTTTTGAACCCCTTTCGACTCCCTTTAAACCTATTTTGACACCTTTGAACCTTTTTCGACTTCCTTAAACCCCTTTCGACTCCCTTGAATCACTTTTGGCTCCCTTGAACCTTTATTCGACTCTCCTTAACCCGCTTTAATTCCTTATAATCCCCTACAATTCTTTTGAACCCCCCCTTGACTCTCCTGAATCTCTTTCAATTCTCCTTAACCCTCTTTAACTCCCCTTCAACTCTCTTGAACCCTCTTCGACTCCTCTGAACCTTTTTTGACTTCCTTAAACCCGATTGGACTCCCCATTTAACCATCTTTGACACCACAATGCTCCATTTTGACTCTTGACACCCCGGGTTGACTGAAACCAATTTGACTTCTTTGAATGTTTGTGGATTACCAAGATCGGCTGTAAACCGAATTTAACCATTTTAGGGCTTTCTGGCTACACCACTGACTTACTTAAACACCACTGGAATCGCTTAAGTTTCGTTGAACTGCCATAGTCCACTTTGAATCACAATAAAGCTAGGCTTGAATAAAAAGCTGAATATTGCACTATGATTATGGCAAAACCTACCTTAAACTCTCCTTGACCTCGATAGCTACACAACTGACATCAATACACACCCACAGCATTTATCATCAGCCAATGCCTCCTCAAAAATTACACATTATTGACACAAATTTAATCCTTACGACACCAAAACAGCTCAGCAGATGTAAACAACAAATTACTCACTCAGATGATCTCCAAAAGGCAACAACAACAAAGAAGAGAAATGTGTGTGATAAGAATAGCTGAAATTCCTCACAAATTGTCAAAGAATAAAATTTGATTGAATAATTTGAATTTTTTTTTCATTTTTTTTATAATCCGTAAGCTGAGATTTATGAATGATAAATTGACTCGCTTGTTTAGTTTTATTTGAGAATTTGTGGCGAAATGAACTATCAGGAACTGAATTCAAATTGTGGCGGTGAACATCAGAGGAAACAGTTCAGGGATTATTTGACGAGAAAAAATTTGTGAGTTCGATGAACCTTTTTTTGGAGGTTATGATTAGGTTTTTTGAGGTTATGTGAAGGATATTTGAGGTTATGTATCGGATTTTTGAGGTTATTTTAAGGATTAGTCAGGGAATTATTGTGATTTTTTTTACGAATTTTTGAGGTTATGTTTAAGGTTTTTAAGGTTATGTTAAGAAAATTTTGAGGTTATGTTACAAAAATTCCAGGTTAGGTTGGTGAATTTTTGAGGTTTTGTTCAGTATTTTTGAGGTTATGTTTAGAATTTTTGAGGTTATGTTCAGTATTTTTGAGGTTAAATTAAGAACTTTCAAGGTTATGTAAAAAAAATTGAGGTTATTTCTACCAATTACTAATTTCTCAAATTTTTCCAACATCCAGGTGCATCACGTCCATCACCGCCCTTGCAATCCTTCTCATAACCTCAATTGGATTCAACATCTTCCAATCAATGTCTCCATCCTGTCAAAACCTAATAAAAGTGTCATTTGAAGAACAACGAACGCCAAAAGAAGCCAAACCAATTTACAATGAAACGCAAGTCATTGAATGTAAACGAGAATTTTTCCTTTTTCATCAAGATCAAAATCACGTCTGTGAAGTACAAAATATTTTAATTAAAAATGACACAAAAGTGATTGTTAAAGGCAATGAATTGACGACAGTTTTGCACATTTTCAGCCTGGAAGTTTACAAATTGCCACAAGAAATTTTCGTAGAGTTTAAAAATCTTAAAAATTTGATCGTAAATGGAAATCATTTGCAATTGATCGAGCGTGAAACGTTTAAGGAAGCAAAATTGTTGGAAGTTCTGCGACTAAGCAATAATGAATTAAAGGAACTTGGCGCAAAAGTCTTCAAATTTATGTCACATCTTAAAACTTTGGATTTAGGCAGGAATAAAATTGAGAGAATCGATGGAGAAGCTTTTGCTGGTCTGGTGAACTTGGAACGGCTTTATTTGTCTGACAACAACTTGAAAGTCATCAATTCTGATGTGTTCTATCCATTACTGAAGTTGCTGTTCCTTAGTTTGGAAAATAATCAAATTTCAAAACTTGATGACGATGTTTTCATGAAAAATACTCAAATGAAGTCACTGGGACTGTCAAATAATACTTTTAAGGATTTGCAGAATGAATGCTTTCATTATTTTGATAATTTGACTGATTTGTCGGTAAGTTGAGGTTATATTGGGACATAATTCATAGTTTTGATCTCTTTCTGTCATATTTGATAATTTTCGGCCAGTTTTGATCTTTTTTAACCTGTTTTGAGGGTTCGTTCACTTATTACGTAACGCACTAGGGGGGGAGGGGGGGTCTAAGATTTTGTTACGCTTTGTTACAGGGGGGGGGGGGGGGGGGGGTCTAAAAACTCGTTTTTTTGCGTTACGTAATAAGTGAACGAGCCCTGATCACTTTTGGCATGTTTTGATCACTTTCGGTCAGTTTTGATCACTTTTGGTCAGTTTTGATCACTTTCGGACAGTTTTGAACACTGTCGGCAAGTTTTGATCATTTTTGATTGGTCATTTATATTCAGATTTTGATCACTTCCAGTCAGTTTTGCTCATAATCAGCCAGTTTTGATCATTTTCAGCCAGCTATTAAAATTTGTTATTTTTTTAAGATTTCAGAGCTTCGAATCAGTTCCTTGGACCTTAATGGCACAACAGTCCAAACCCTTGTAATGAGAAATACTGACCTGAGAAATCTAACGTAAGTTCGAACAGCCTAGCAGCAAAAATAACCTCAAATTCATCAAACTTTCTATTCTAGTCTTTCAAACTTCCCAAAAATCCTCGTCTCATATGGAACTCCAATTGAGTTCCTTCAATTCATCATCAGTGAGACAACAGCTGACTTTTCAAAGATCCCCAACTGGGGTGGAATGTTTTACAATAAAAATATTCGATTTTTGTTCAGATTTCGGCAGGAAATTGCAACAATTGATAATTTGAAGAAATATGAGAATGCAGTCAGGGCTTACAAGATGGTTCCCGAGTTGGATTACAGGACGATTGATGGTGCACGATATGTTGCTGTGGAGTATGTCTCAAGGGTGTAGAAGGGAGTTTGTGGGTTGCCTTTGAATGGGGATGATATTAAGGAAGCTAGTGCGTAACTTTTTAGGGGTCTTAGGATAAAATTTTTGAGATTTTGAGTTGAAATTCCAATTAAAAACTAATTTTTTTCGTAAAATTTGTAAAAAGAATTGTAATAAAATTAAACAAATAAAAAATAAAACAAATTTAAAAAAATTTTAAAAAAAAAAATCGAAAAATTCAAATTATAGACCCCCGAAAGAATCCGTTAAATTCAAATTTCGCATCACTGACTGTTTAAACTTGTAAAAAGATGCAAAAAAAATATTAACTTCCAATTTTCGACACCAACTTGTAATCAACTGTTCCTCATCAGTTCTCCTTTGTTTATTTACAAATCAACAATGAAGAAAAAACTTCGTCTTTATTTTTTATTCAATTTTTTCTGTTTAATTATCTTAACTAATGCTTACAAGCCAGTGCTGCTGTTTCATGGTGTTCTATCAGATGCAGCCAGTATGACCATTATTGAGGATCGAATCAAAGAGGTTTGTTGATAGCTTTTATTTGATGAACTTTGACTGAATTTTCTATTAAATTTAAAAAACTTGAGCAAAATTAAATGAAGTAAAAATAAAAAAATTAAAAAGCAACACAAAAAATCAGAAATAAAAAAATTTAAAAAATTCAAAAAAGTTGAAAAGGTCAGAGATAAAAAATAAAAAAATAAAAAAATAAAAAAACAAAAAAAAAACCAAAAAAACCAAAAAAATAAAAAAATAAAAAAATAAAAAAAAAACAAAAAAACAAAAAAAAAATAAAAAAATAAAAATAATAAAAAAATAAAAAAATAAAAAAAAAAAAACAAAAAAATAAAAAGAATAAAAATTAAAAAAAATAAAAATTCAAAATACAATTTAGGGGCCGTTCACTTATGACGTCGACATTTAGTGGGGAGGGGGACTAGGTTTTTGTGACAGTTCAAACAATGGAAATTTTTTTCTGTAGAATTTTTGTGACAGAGGGGGGAGGGGGGTCTTAAAATCAGGTTTTTTGATGGACGTCATAAGTAAACGACCCCTTATCAAAAAAAGATTTAAAAAAATTGTCAAAATCATTCACATTTCCCAGGTCCACCCCGGCACAGAAGTCTACCTAATCAACAAATTCAACAACTGGCAGAGCCTCGAGAACGCACACAGTCAAATTGACTCTTTTTTTGAGGATTTAGATGAAATTTTTGCAAAACATCCAGAAGGTGTCCACATCCTTGGATATTCTCAGGGAGGGTTGCTTGCACGAGGCTTAATCCAACTCTACAGGAACCACAATGTTAAGAGATTTGTGTCTCTAAGCAGTCCGCAGGGTGGACAATATGGCTGTAAGCATCCAGCACTTCTTATTTGACTATTTTTGACAATCTTCCTTCAATTTTAGCCGCCTTCCTTCACTTAATCTTCCCGAATCTCGCAAACAACAATGCTTATGAACTGTTTTACTCTCGAATTGGCCAAAGAACATCCGTTGGGAACTACTGGAATGATCCACACCAACGTGAGCTGTACCTTAAGTACAGCAACTTCCTACCTTATGTTAATAATGAAATTTTAAGTGAAAATTCGACACAATATCGTGATAATTTAGTGAGGCTGGAAAAAATGATTTTGATTGGTGGACCTGATGATGATGGTGAGTAGTTGGTTGGGTATGGATGGGGTGTTGAGGTTCTTGGTCATCAATGTTGGTGTATACGGTTGGTTCAATGAGTTTCAATCGTTAATTGAGCTTAAGGGTGTGAAGAAAGCTATGAAAACTTAGGTGGAGGGATCTAAATGTTCCAAAAGCCGAAACCCCTGCATATTAAGTATTTTGCACTATATCCATTAACTTTCATGACTCTGAATTTTATTTAAAAATTATTGCAATCAACAACCATGAAACTTATCAACAATTAGATCAATTTATTGCTTACGCTGAATTCTGACTCATTATCCAACTATTTTCAGTCATTACTCCATGGCAGTCAGCACATTTTGGATTCTACAATGAGACACTCGATGTGGTTCCACTACAGGAACGTGAACTGTACACGGAAGATTCAATTGGACTGAAAACACTCGATGAGATGAAGAAACTTGAAATAATTACAGTTCCTGGAATTATTCATATTGGATGGCATCTCAATGTGACGCTGATTGATCAAATTGTTGTTCCACATTTTGACTGATAGGATTTTAAGGGTTGTGATGGTTCGATGTAGTTTTTGATGGAGTTCTGGCACGTAGCAAGGAGGGTCTTGTGCCTCCTTAAACGTTCTGAACCGCAGCGATAGCACGGCCTAAAACGCTTAAGAGGGGGACAAGACCCTCCTGGCTACACGCCTGATGGAGTTTATGTTAAAAGCACTTGAATTTATGATAATAAAGACTATTTTTGTGTATTTAGTTGTGTTTGAAAATTAGTAATTTGAGGTTAGCTAATAAGCACTAGAACAGTAGCTATGGATACTAAAGTGGACATGAAGTGAATAGACAATGCTTCTTAGCACCACATAAAGCTCAATAAACAACTTATAGGTCTACTGAACATAATTTTTATGTATTCAACTCAAGAGCTGCATGATTTGCGCTGTTCCGGTCAAAATCTACCAACAAAATGTCCCGTGACTCAAAAAAGATTCAAAAACCCTGGTTAAGAGAGTCCTGCGTCACATAAACTCACAAAATAAGTAAAAAATTCTCAAACTATCTTCAAAAATTGAGAGAATTAAGAGCATAATAAGGCACAATTATCAAGCAATGTTTCATGATTAGTTTCAATTAAATCTGTGCTTCTTAATCATCTTCAAAGAAGTCTGTTGTGTTATCAAAATAACAAAAATTAAGATATTAATTCTGTGCAAAGTTCATGTAAAGTTATGGCGAAGCTATTAATGTAAGCTGGGTCTGTGGCGTTGTGTGGTCTGAACAAAGAGGAATCTTGGGTGTCGAGTCATATTAAGTCGTAGGTTCAATTCCCATCAGAAACAGAACCTCTAAGTCATAGTTTAGTTTAGGCGCCTTAACAATTGCAGATCTTAAGTTTGTATGTCTGTATGTCTGTTTGTGTGCATGTCTGTATGTCTGTATGTCCACTATAAAGCATGAATTAAGAGTTTAAAAAAAATTAAATTATTTCTAAAATCATTTCCAGCATCTTCATTTTCACAGCTGTCATAAGTTACCTAGATGCTGTTGACATAATGTGCAAATATCAAATACTAGAGTTCATCCCTCTAGGCAGCACATACACTTGCTATACCACATCATTCTACCAAATAAGTTCCCGCAGTGAATCATCAATTACACAAACAACTGGATTGCACCTTTTTGGCAAAAATAATATTAATGTTGAAGGATTTGAATGGAAGTATGGCAACATTGCTTATTTTCCAACGAAATTAACATCAATCTTCAATAACCTTAAAGTTATATACATGGTTACGTACATAAAAGAGATTCGTCAGTCAGATTTGATGCCATTCACAAAATTGGTCCATCTTAACATGAATTATAATCAAATTGAGGTTCTAGAAGCTGGTCTCTTTGACTACAATCCACACTTAGAGTATATAAACTTCAAATCTAATAAAATCAGTCAAATTGATTCAAAAATATTCGATAAACTGCCAAAAATGAGATTTTTAGATTTACGGACCAACGAGTGCATTAACATGAAAGCTGAGGACAGTCTCACAGATGTTAAGGATGTCATCCAGTCAGTACAATCAAAATGTGATCCAGATTATTCAAATTTGTTGAAAAAGTTCAAGGAACTTAATGATAAAGTGCCAAATTTAAGCGCAGATGTTCTGAATGTTAAGCTACAAGAATTAGAAAGCAGCTTGATGTCCTTAAAGTTTGCAGAATCCAAACAATTCAAAGAAAATATCCAGAAACTTAAAAGTATCCTCGCAAGTAAGATGCAGTTATTAAGTTCAGAAGAAGATTCAGGAACTGTTGAAGCATGTCCAGCACTAAAATCAAAGTTCAAAGCTTTCATGTTCAGCATGGAAGATTTGGTGACTCAATTAGTAAATACAAGTGGAGTCGAGGGTCGGCACAAGGAATCAAATAAGTCAGCAGAAGGAGTGGATGAACTAGCAGTGAATTTGAAAGCAGCAGTCAATAACATCAACAAAGAAAGTTTAGAGTTCAGAGGAAGCTCTTCAAATCTTAACAATGCTGTGGCGAATCTTAACGAGAGTTATGCCAAACTTGCAGACATTGTCAGGCAAATCGAGGGAAAATTTGATAAAATTAAGACGGCGCTGAATGTTGCAGGTTTATGAAGATGATAAGGAACAGCTTTAGACATCAAATAATTGTTGAATCTGCAAAGAGACTTGAAAATGAGGGAAAAAGTTTAAATAAAATAAAGAAAAATAATTTTTTTCCAATCATTTATTGAAGGTTTTGGGGAGTTTTCAGGCAGATGAGCAAGTACCAAGTATCATCCACAGAAAGTCTCAAACACAAGCTATGTTTTAACAGGAGCCAAGTAAGATGCTCACAATCCTCGGACCCACAATAACTTAATATTCATCATTTGCAAATGGATGGTCGCGATGATTAATAGCCCTAAAAAAATCAAAATTTTATTTCAAATTAAAAAAAAATCATTCAAAAAAAACCTACGCCGATTCAAGACACAGACGCCTTCCACAATCCAGCCCATCAATCTCCTTAACCTCATTGTCACTCAGCATAAAATCAAAAATCTCAAAATTAGCTGCAATCCTTTCTTTAGTCACTGATTTAGGAATCACAATATTTCCACGTTGGACTTGGTATCTCAATAAGATTTGTGCTGGATTTTTGCTGTGATTTTTGGCAATTTCAACAATTTTCGGTTCTTCAACCAGCAAAGGCTCTCCTTTTTCAGCCCATGGACGAGCTGGACTGCCTAGTGGTGAATAGGCAGTGATTAAAATTTTGCGAGCTTCACAGTAGGCTTTAAGTTTTTGCTGGTTTAAGTATGGATGGCATTCAACTTGGTTGGTGACTGGCGTGATGCGGGCTGAAATTAAAAATTTTAATTTTCGAGCATTTTTCTTGTGATTTTACTTACAGTTTTTCAGCACCCTATCAATCATCCTAGCATTAAAGTTCGATACTCCAATGCTTCTTACTAATCCGCTGTCAACAAGCTCCTCCATAGCTTTCCAAGTATCAACAAAATCAGCTCCACCGTCAATAAACTCTCCATTAGCATCAAGTGGGAAAAGTTTATCTCCATCTTCCTTGTAGCTCATCGGCCAGTGGATCAAGTACAAATCGACATAATCAAGTTGAAGATTCTTGAGTGAAACCTCGAAAGCTGGACGGACGGAGTTTGGATGATGGAATGTGTTCCATAATTTGGTGGTGATGAAAAGGTCGTCTCTGGAATAATAAGCAATGTTTATGGTCTAAAAGTAATTGAGGATAACTGTTGGATAATGAAGGACTAGATAAATAAACTATGAATGGTTATAAAGCAGTGGTTCTCAAACTTTTCACTTTGTGGTCCATAAACGCTTGTTTTGAAAAGTTATTGGCACAAAATGAGTACATAAAGTTACATAAGCCTGGAAAATCTCAAAGGGATCGCGGAAAATAGTTTGAGAACCTCTGGTATAGCAAATCCTTGACCCGTTTGTCCCTCTAATTACAAATCTACAAGTTAAATCTATTGTCTTCGTGAGTGACCTGTTTCTTTAGCTACTCATTGCACCCTGACCAGAAATTAGACTTTGACTTAGTTTGTTCCACAAAATAGCTCAAGATACTAGCTCTAATTCCAAAATCTCAGACCTAGAATCCAACCAATAAACAAGAACTCACCTCTTGACAGTTCCATCAGTAATTTTCTCCTTTAATGCATTGCCAACTTCATGCTCATTACCATAGCAGTGTGCACAGTCAATCATTCGATAGCCACAATCAATTGCATCTTTAACGGCTTGCTCCACTTGACCTTTAGGTGACTAAATAGGAAAATTGATAGTGGAAAAATTTTTGAAGTGGTCTTTTAAGCATAAATTTTTAAGTCCGAGGTTGTTCATTTTAACTTTAGTTTTTTGGTAGGAATCAAGGACTGGTAATGTTCAGGGAACCAACTATGCTTGGTCAAAACACCTGTTTATTAAAAGCTACATAGTCTTTGCAATATTTCGTACCTAAAGTATTAAATCGAAGGGAATGAGCTGATTCATATTAATAAACAGAACCTTCGAGAAGCTAATTCTGTTTATTTTATCATCAAATGTCCAATCTAATAGTCTGAAGATTAGAACTAGAAACATTCAAGGACACGTCAATATTCCAACTTACATTCCATGTGCCTAAGCCAAAAATTGGCATGTCTCTTCCATCGTTTAACTTAACTGCTGGCACTTTTGACATTATTGAGTTATTAATGTCTAATAATTCCTTAAAAACTTCTCAAAAAGCGACCGGTTGATATAAATAAACACAATCGAGTGACGATTAATTTGCTACAAAAGCTTGATATTTACAAGTAGTTCCGTCTATATATAAACATGTGTGTTTTTACATTAGGTTGTATTGTGCTTGACTCAGTTATACACGAAGAGACTAGGTGAATGAGTATTAAGTAAGATAATTAGACGTTAATAGCTATTAATATTAAGCTACTCGTTATTCGGTACTAGATTACTAAAGGACTAGATTGTTGAACTGCTAAATTATTGATGTACTAGATTATTGAAGTACTAGATCATTGATGTACTTGATAGTTGGAGTACTAGATTGTTGAATTACTCGATCAATGATGTACTTGATAGTTGGTGTGCTAGAGTATTAGAGTACTAGATCATTGACGTACTAGATTGTTGAAGTACTAGATCATTGGTTTACTAGATCATCGATGTACTAGATTGTTGATGTACTAGATCAATGATGTTTTAGATTGTTAAAGTACTAGATTATTGATGAACTAGATTGTTAAAGTACTTGACCATTGACATACTTGATTGTTTGTAGACTAGATTATTGAAGCACTTGATCATTGATGCGCTAGATCATCGATGTACTAGATTGTTGATGTACTAGATCAATGATGTTTTAGATTGTTAAAGTACTAGATTATTGATGTACTAGGTTGTTGAAGTACTAGATTACTGAAGAACTAGATCATTGATGTACTTGATAGTTGATGTGCTAGATTATATGCGTACTCGATCATTAGCGTACTAGATTGTTGAAGTACTAGATTGTTAAAATACTAGATCATTGGAGCACTATATAATCAATGTGCTAGATTGTTGATGTACTAAATCAATGATGTTTTAGATTGTTGAAGTTCTAGATTATTGATGAACTAGATTGTTAAAGTACTTGACCATTGACATACTTGATTGTTTGTAGACTAGATTATTGAAGCACTTGATCATTGATGCGCTAGATCATCGATGTACTAGATTGTTGATGTACTAGATCAATGATGTTTTAGATTGTTAAAGTACTAGATTATTGATGTACTAGGTTGTTGAAGTACTAGATTACTGAAGAACTAGATCATTGATGTACTTGATAGTTGATGTGCTAGATTATTTGCGTACTCGATCATTAGCGTACTAGATTGTTGAAGTACTAGATTGTTAAAATACTAGATCATTGGAGTACTATATAATCAATGTGCTAGATTGTTGATGTACTAAATCAATGATGTTTTAGATTGTTGAAGTACTAGATTATTGATGAACTAGATTGTTAAAGTACTGAACCATTGACATACTTGATTGTTTATAGACTAGATTATTGAAGCCTTTGATCATTGATGCGCTAGATCATTGGAGTACTAGATCATTGATGTACTAGATTGTTAAAGTACTTGATCATTGACGAAATAGATTGTTGAAATACTTATATTGAATTAATAGATTAATAAATCAGCTTAATTCTAATGATGGAAATTTATAGTACATTAAAAAATAAAAATTATTAATGCGTATTAAATTTACCAAAATATTCTGACAGTTCACAATTCCTGCATCATTTTCTCACTTTTCAAAACCTTCATCCCGCATCAAATTTTAAAGAGCCTTTCTCATTTTGCTTCAAGGGATTTTAAAGTAAACAAAAACATTAAGTTTTCAAACCCTGAATTCTGTACATTTACAATCTCAGTGTAGAAAAATTCTCTCAGTCTTCACACAAAAAAAATAATAAAACTTTTTTCTGTCTCTTCCTCTTTGAAATTTAATTTAATTTAATTCGGCAATAATCGAACATGCCTTCAACACTTTTACTTGGAAAATTGGCATTTGTGACAGGTGAGCTGGGGTCCATTGGCAAAATTTTGGAAATTTTGTCAGCAAAAATTGTAAATTTCAACAAATTTGACCAAAAAAATTCGTTTTTTTCAGGTGCCGGCAGTGGAATTGGACGTGCTGTTGCCATCAGATTCGCACAAGAAGGAGCCACAGTCATCGCAGCTGACAGAAACTTCCAACAAGCTGAAGAGACTACAAAAAAACTCGGATGTAAGTCGCAATAGAATTTTTTTACACCAAATTTAAGGTAGAAATTTTCTCACAGTCACTTTGCTTATCTCTTGCTGTGTTTGTGCTTGTAATTTGCGATATGATTTATGGCTCGACATGCCGATTAAGGCCAAAAATAGCGATTCATTGAACTTTTTTTCTTCTCCCTTCAATTATGCAATAGAACAAACTTTTCTGAATATTAATATTATAATTTTTTTTCTTTTCTTAATTGAGGTTGAATGTGTGCACACACAATTTTGTAGTCGTACGGCACGTGTGACTGTGTATGCGGGTATAAATATGATATAAATAGATCATTCACATGTTGATGTTTTTCAACTTTTTTTTAATATTTTCTTATTTCTTGTTGTTGTTCTTTTGAAAAAAGTTTGTGCTATTCAATGACTTTGGGGGTCATTCAGATGAGATGTTTGATATTTATTGGGATTGAGGTGGTCAGGGTAGGCTGCGAGCATGGTTTAAAATTTTTAAGGGGGGTCCAGACCCTACTGGCAGTCGCGTAGCCAGGGGGTGGATTTGGGGGAAAAATCCCCCTTCGTCTTGGGAAATTTCTTCATTTTGCTAGAGCTTTTATGAAAAACTCGAAAAAATACACCCCCCCCCCTTCCCTAAAAGTTTTTGCCCCCCCCCCCCCCCCCTCTTCAAATTCCTGGCTATGCCCTTGCTTACTGGCTATGTCCGGAGTCAGAGCTGCATCTAGGGACGTGTTTCTAGAGCTAACTTAGGTGCTTTGTGCTGGTCACAGATAAATTTAAAGACTGAGACTTCGCCGGGCATCCTGGTTTTGATTTTGCTATGTTCATCATGATTGTAGCAAGTTAATCTAGACCCACAGCACTATTATGGTTGTAATAAGGATGAACAACGGATTTAAGAGCAGATCTTGATTTCCTTGAACTAAGAAGCTACTTTAAAAATACTTCAACTCCTTCCCAAACTTGATAAAAGCTCAAGACTCCTCAATATCAACACACATCACTCACAAACGACCCCCTTCAAGTTTTCTTTTGGGAATATTTTCTTCTCTTGTTGAAAAACAAAGTCTAGTTTACAGTCAGAAAGTCGTTCAGTTGTTACAAAAAAAAAGGAAGAAGAAAACTTTGTTTACTTGCTGCTCGTGACTTTAAATAATTTGTAGCATGATGTGATGTGATGTGAAAATGTTTATCGAAGCTAGACTGCGAACATTGCTTAATTGTGATGATTTTGTGGGTCTAAAACGACCCTCCTGGCTACGCGCCTGCTTAGTGTGTTTTGCACTTTTTTGGCTGCGCAAACTGCCATGACTTTAAGCAGTTGTTGTTTTTTTTTTTTGCTGCGCAAGCTTAAATTAAGCATAAAAATAATAAACTGCACAATAAATTATATGACTGTTCTGATTGACAGTCGGCAAAACACTGCAATGTATGGATGGTTAATGGGTACAGAGTCATGAGAGTTGCACTTAAAACGTCCAAAATCATGATTGACATAAGATTGTTGAAGAATCGACATCAAAAACCATCAATAATCAAGTTCAAGCTACAGACGACATAGAACAGCCGAAAATAATGGAATAAAGCCGACATAAAGCTAGCATTGAACCAAATTCAAGTCCCTCACCAGCCAAATGCAACTATTCTAAGCATTGTGACATTCGAGAGACCAAAGCCATGTCATACAAGCTACATATACCCAGATTAGTCAGTAAATCACTTTCCTTGATCCAATTATGTCATCTTAAACCACAAAAATCTGAAATTAATCACTTGACTTTGATTCTTGACACGACTAAATTAAGATTCACCAAGAAGCAGACTCTGCTACTAACATGTGGATATAAATTAACACCAATCTCATTTTACACGCGCTGATTGAATAAATATGAGCCTCATAATGAGCTAATCAGTGGCTAAATATTTACATTATTGTTTGCTGTGCGCGACTTTAATTTGAGTTTTTTTTTGCACTTTTAAACCACATGATTCCTGCCATAAATCGATACTTTGAGCACATGTAGAATTACATAAAATAAATCAATGATTCAATGACTTATGTGGAGGTTCACGTACATACTCATACAAGCCATGTGTTCAGTTCTTATCGCATATTCTTCTTTTTAATCATGTGAAACACGTGATGTGTGTAAAGGTAAAGTCATTGTCATGGTTTGAAACTAGTTTTGTAGTCAAATGTTGAAGAATTGATAGGTCTTTAATGTGTGTCAAAAGTGGTGTGCTGTGTACGATTTTAGCGACTCATAGATAAAAGTCATAAACTAAACACAATTCTAGCCAGATTTGGTCAATAATCGTGATTTGCTCACGGTTTGAGTCAATTTTAGTCAAAAGTCGTACGTTTCTCACAGTTCTAGTCAATTTTGGTCATTAGTCGTATTCTGCTCACGGTTGAAGTCATTTGTGGTCAAAAGTCGTACGTTGCTCACGATTTAAGTAATGCTCGGTCAATAGTCGTACGCTGTTCACGGTTCTAGTCAATTTTAGTCATTAGTCGTATTCTGCTCACGGTTGAAGTCATTTGTGGTCACTAGTCGTACGCTGCTCACGATTTAAGTAAAGTTCGGTCACTAGTCGTACGCTGCTCACGATTTAAGTAAAGTTCGGTCAATAGTCGTACGCTGCTCACGGTTCTAGTAAATTTTGGTCAAAAGTCGTATGATTCTCACAGCTCTTGCCATTTTTGGGAGCCCGCAGACCTTAAGCTGCCCCATTAGCCACCCGAAACACCAAACTTACCCAAACCTTTTACTTCTAATTCCAGCAACTCACATGCCAATCGAAGTGGATGTAACAAATGGAGACAATATTAAATCAGTTTTAGAAGAAGCAATCAATAGATACAAAAGACCACCATCTACAATCGTCAACTGTGCTGGAATCACTCGTGATGCATTCATTCTCAAGATGGAGGACAGTGACTTTGACTTGGTCTTGAATGTTAACTTAAAGGTGAGGAACTGGCTGCAAATTATGATGATATAATCTAAGAATCTATTATTTTAGGGTACATATCTAGTCATGAAGCATGCAGCTCAACGAATGATCGATTACAAGCTTGGTGGATCAATGATTAACATCTCAAGTGTCACAGCACGTATGGGCAACATGGGACAATGTAATTATGCTCCATCAAAGGCAGCTGTTGACTGTTTATCACGTGTTGCATCAAAGGAATTTGCCAGGTATGGCATTCGAGTCAATACAGTCGTTCCAGGCTTCATCAATACTCCAATGACTCACACCGTACCCGATAAAGTTAAAGACATGATTACAGCGAATGTTGCTTTAAGACGATTTGGGGAACCAGAAGAAATTAGTGATACAATTGCATTTTTGGCATCCGACAAGAGTGAATACATAACTGGAACATCAATTGAAGTGTCTGGTGGATTGGCTTAAAAGGAAGCTTTAATTATTTTTTTTATGTTCAATGGCAATGCATCAAAGTGCTTCATACTTTACCTCAATATATTGAAACTTTTTCTTCTACTCATGCATTTAGTGGATGTAAATTTACTTTAGCATTTAATTAATGGCCATGAATGGATAGTCAGGCAGGAATTAACAAGATGTTCAATTTTTTTAGCTAAGGGGGATAACAACTTGGTGAGAAAAATTTTCTCAAACAATTTTCATTTTCTGGATTGTTTTGGAATTGTTGGAAAATTTTGAACCTTTTCTTTAAAAAAATATTTCCCATCAAGTTGTTACCCCCCTGAATTTTTTTTAATATATTTTTTATGTGCAAAAATAGCAAATTTATATTTTAAATAACGCAGATTTCAAATCAATATTTTTTTTTTATATTAAACTCGATATGCAATTTTAAACGATATTAATGATTATGAGCAAGATGCAGAATAAGAGAGGATTTTTTGAATGAAGATGCTATACAGATATGAATTATATAATAAAGATATTTTATGAATATGATAATAAAAATGAAACAGAACGGTTCAGTAAGAATTTACATGATAAGTAGTTTTTTTCAATGTTTTTATTTGAATTTTTGAATTTTTTCTAGGTGGGGTTGACTATAAATGATGTCAAACATAAAATGAGACTTCTTGACTCTTCATTCGATTATATTCTATTGCCTTAGCCTTTAACTAGCTTACACACTCACTTAACTAGCTACTCAGTCACTCCGTCACTCTACCATCTTCCATCAACCATTCCAAAGCTTTGTAAGCGCTCTGAGTTAACTTAAGCCAGTGGTGGACAACCTTTTTGTGCCATGGCACACATTAACGGTAAGTCATGACCGAAAACGCACACGACATACGATTCGTGGGATTTCTCGATTTTTTCACTTGTGTGTCGCGGCACATGGGTTGGTTATAACTGACCTAGACCAGTGTTGGCAAACCTATGTTCCGCGGCAAATCCATGTGCCGTGAAATTCCACAAATTGCGTCCCGTGTGCGGTCATGGCTTATCATCAATGTGTTCCTCGGCACAAAAAAGGTTGCCCACCACTGAACCTAGATCTGCTTGTCCATCCAAACTTAATACTAGTTCCATATCTTCCTCATAAAACAAACAATTCCAACTAAAACTAATAAAAATCCAGCATTAACTCCAGAATTAGTCATCCTACTTCCATTACACAAACTTGATGAACAAGTACAGTAAGAAAGTATTGGATGACTACTCATAGGCCACGAGCATTGATTCTCGACGTCAACATTTAACTTATTAACAAGAATTCTTGATATTGAATCCACTTCATTGATAGCTTTCAAGTTTGTGAATCCGCAATTTCTAGACGTTATCAATTCATCATTGCTGATTATTTCAGTTTTTGTGCAGTATGACATCAAGTCTTTCCTATCGACTGTTTTAAGAAGGTCAATATACTCCGGTAGGAGGATAAGTTGGATCATCACAGTCAATTATTAATTTTGTTGCCGATGATTTGTCGAATAAATCATTGCATTCTGTGGATGTTGAGCTGTCACATTTGTAGCAATGAACTGCTTCAGATGCTGGAAATAGGATAGAATATGTTTGGTTTGGATTACGTTACTTTAGTTCAATTTTTTTTAAAGTAAGCTATAAGATACACTAGAGCAGAGTTGGACAATCGATGAGCCACGGCACAACTTTTGTAGTAAGCCACGACCGAAGCTGCACAAGTCATATGATTTATGGGATTAATGAAAAAAATTGTCGCGGCACATGGGTTGACCAGCACTGCATTAGAGCTTCTATGAATGGTTCGTTCATAAATGATGTCTAACATGCGCGTAGCCAGGGGGTTGATTTGAACAGAAGTAAACAGAAATTTCTTCATTTTTCTAGGGTTTTTATGAAAAAAATCCTAAAATCACTGCCTAATTTTTACATTCAAACAGGGGCGTAGCCAGGAATCTGAAGAGGGGGGGGGGGCAATATTTTTTTTTGTATGGAAAAATTTAAGGGGGGGGATTTTTGTGATTTTTTCATAAAAAACCTAGCAAAATAAATAAATTTCTGTTTACGTTGGGAGATTTGTCCCCCAAATCCTTCTCCTGGCTACGCGCCTGCATACAAAAAAATGTTTCCCCCCCCCCCTGATTGCTGGCCCTGATGTCTAATTTTAAGGGAAGACAAGTTTCAGACTTTTAATGACTAAAGATTAATTTTTGAATAAAATTCGTAATTAAATGAACGATTTAATTCTTAGAATTTTTACGTCACTTCTGAATGACCCCCTCAGTACTCTGAAGTTCCCTAAACCTCAAACCATAAAAAAGCAATCAAAAAGAAAAATTCAATTAAATTCCACACATCTGTAAACAATCTAACTGATCACATAAAAGCTTGACGACCTTCATTAATCTATAAAGTCTCACTTCACGTTCTTAATTATTCAATTGCTGTACTTTTGATGTCGGCAAAAAAAAATGCAGTAATAAATGGCTAATTATTCTAGTCATGTTGTGTAATTAAATTTTAATTTTGAATAATTTATTGTGTGAAATAATTTTATGTGACGTATTTTGAGCTGATTGATTGAGATTTGGGGGTTTAGGGGAGGCGCGTAGCCAGAAGGGTCTTGCCCCTCCCCATTAAGCGCAGAAAATCACGGTTAAAAATGATTAAGAGGGGAACATGACCCTCTTGGCTACGCGCCTGGCTCAGAAGACTTAATTTTAAGTTTAACTTGTCTTTATAGTCGAAAGTTTGCATTGGGATATAGAAAATTCAATTAGAAGTCGTTCTCATATGATGTCCTAGATTTAAGGGGAGTAGAAGGTCTAGGATTTTGTGACACAGTTTGACGGGGAGGGAAGGGGGTCTGGAAATTTTTGACATCCAATTTTGCGATTTTTTATCGTGAAAACATTGATTGGCATCACAAATGAAGTGGGGGGTACTGCTATTTGTGACAGTTTTGTGGCAGTTTGGTCCTATTAATGGACGTCATAAGTGAATGACCCCTCATTTCACTTACTCTTGATGAAAATTGACATTATTAATAGGAAAACTAGTTTAAATTTCATTATTTTCACACTTTTTAGCACATTAATTGGATTATTGCCCAACATTTTGAAAAAAAAGTTAAAAATTTGTCTCAAAACTACAGCTAAGCTCTAAACACGACTCAAAATATCAACAATTCAAGCTATATTGAGAGATAAGTGAGAGAATCACAGTAAAAAAATCAAATTTCTTATCAGTCAATAAATATTTATTTGAACATCGAGTTTAATCTCTCAAAAGTCACAGCAAATACAGCACAAATAATCATCCAGAACCCCTGACTCGACAGAGTTCGACTTCCATTACAATAATCTTCATCGCACGCACAATTCCAAAGTTTAATATTTTCACTTCCGAATCGTCTGACGCATCTTTCCTGCTCATTAGCACGACCATGATAAAATCCACAATCGCGGATTATTCGAACAGTTTCGTCCACAATTTGGATATTTTTTCGACAAAATGTTTTGGAGTCTGTAAGATTGATGTGCCTTCTTTCAGCTTCTTCTGTGCAATTTACGACATTTCTGACAAAAAAGTGAGATCTGAATGGATCGCCGCAACTTGGGTTGATGTAGCTGTTGCATTGGTAGCAGGAGGTGCTTGTTGTGTCTAAATATAAAGCTTTACAGCATAGAAAACTTAAATAATACCAAAAAATACTCACTTTTTATCAAATATATGAAAATAATGAGAGGCACGACCAATAAAATATTTTGATTCATTTTTAATATTTTTTGCTAATAAACCAAAACACTGAGTCAGCTGATTGCTAAAATCTTAATCTAATCTAGTCCTAATTTACCACGTGAATTTTTAAATTATTGATAGTAAAAAAATGTATGAAAATACACTTTAAGTGGATATGCGAGCGGCTGAGTCAATACTAAAAAATTGAACGGCAAAATAATTTTTTGAGGATAGAATCGGAAAGTGAATTTTAATGCAGGGGTGCTCAACCAGTTTTCAACTCTTGCTATGAAATCGACAAGTCAGGAAGACAGGTTTTTGTGCCATAGGAAGCCTGTGGAACATTTGGAATCATTATTTTAGTGGTCAGTTTCTTAAGCTTCTTGAACAGCATCATATGAACGCCTAGGAACTGGCTCCTGATAAACCCTCGGAGGGGCTTTAGTGTTTTGATGTTAGCTTTAACGAAGTCAAGGGATTTTTTTGTCAAAAAACTCTGGTAAATAAGAGAATTTTTAAAAATGGGGGTTGGGGTCGCAAAACCTTTGACCTTAACACACCCCTGAAAGTTGGATTAGATTAGGATCTAGAGAATCAAGTCAAATGAAGATCAAAGATGCGAAACTGATCAAAAATGATCAATTATTATCAAAAATGATCAAAATTTAATTTACCAGTTCCATACCCTTGATGAAGATAAAGGAACAAGTAAGCAAGTAAGAAATCTGTGGCCAAGGGCTTGGCTCGGCTGTGGACTAGGAATCTAACCCTCTATCACTCTCCTAAATACATCCATTTCCTTAATCCTAGTCTTGGTTTCTAGGTCTGCTCGGGGCACTCTAAGGTAGAAATTAATTTCGAGGTCTTAAAATATGGGATGTAAATAAAATCAATCTGAGTATAGGGAAGGGGACCCTGGCCCTGGATACTCATAGAAACTGGGTCCAGGATTGAAAATTCATTTTCTACCAAAACTATTAACTTTATTTATTTTATCAATAATACAAAATCTAAAAAGATTTCTATGACATTAAAAAGGTTAAGCAGCACTGCATGCTACAATAAATCTTATCACACACAACTTCTGATTGCGTCACTTTTGATCATAGCCTCGTTGAGTGATATGCCGAAGCAATGTGATTATATGATTTAGTAATTATTGATGGGTTTGCTGAAAAACACTAATTAATGCTGAATGTTCATTATCAAGTGATACATTGGTGAACAGTTTGTGGTTTGAAAGGATAGTAAAAATTCATGCGTGACTCAAACGTGCTTTTAGACTTGTTAAATGAAGGTAGATTTATGAGGAGGTGCTGGTGCGGACAAGGGGAGTTTTTGGGATCAAAACTTTTGAGTTCGGGGAAATGAGTAAAAACAATAAAAGTTGCCAGGAGGTGTTTGACCTCAACTTCCCCCACTCAACCCCTGATTTTGAAAAAATTTCTTCAATTTCGCATCGTCTTTTAGACAAAAGACTCGCAAAAAGTTCTCGTCGACCGAAATTTTGTACCTTCCCCCTCAATCCCCCCTTTTAAAATGATTCAGTCTATTTAAAAATCAAACTTCAAAAATAAAATCAATTTAATTTTGTAATGTAAAATAAATAATTTTATTACACCAAAAAAACATCAAAAAATTTGCAAACCAACAAAAAGAATTAAATTTAACAAAAAGTATCAAAGATCCCTAAACAATAACTTTATTACTGAATTCAGCTTCAAGGTCTCCATTAGATCCATTAGTTCCATTACTTTCATTTTCCTCAACTTGCTCCTCAAATTGATTTGCATTTTCCTCATTCTCATCCAATGGCTTTGTTATCACAACTGAATAAGTCAACTTCTTACTTTTAAAGTAGCTGTAGCTGTTGTCGAACACGACTGTGTCTGAAAATGGAACCAAAGTAATCAAATTGTAGTTAAAAAAAAAGATATAAAAAACATAAAAAAATTTTAAAATAAAAAAAAAAACAAAAAATAAAATTTTTCCCAACTTGCATTGACCGGGAATCGAACCCGGATCTATTGCTTGGAAGGCAACAATGCTGACCTTTACACCATCAATGCTCAACATTTGATATTTTATGATCGACAGAATTATTTTAATGATCACAAGTTGAGCATTTTTTTGGAGATCAATTTCTATTTTGAATTAATTTGATTGAATTTTGAAAATTAATAAAATTGTAAGTTTTTGAATTTTGAGGCAGTCGAGCTTAGTAATATTGAGAGCTGATGTTAACTTTTTAGGAGAGACGATAGAGAACAACAAAACAAGAAGAAGAAGAAGATGAATGAAATTGGGAACAGTTTTAAAAACAATCATTTGAGATGATGACTGAACAGATGGTTTGGACCAAGGGAGGAGCATCATGGGTTCGGATTTCGAAGGATACACTGAAGATTATGGCTTATATCACGATTCTTCGGCTAAGATACCTCCAGTAGAAGGTTGTCCATCGGTTTTTGCCAATTTTTGGATCAAAAGCGGGACGTGCTCTGAAAAAGCGGAACAGACCAAATTTTTAAACATTTCCAAAGAAAATTGATTTAAAAATCGGGGCTTCGAGGAGTGTTTTGTGGAGACTCTGTCCAGAAATGCGTGATTGTCTCGCTAAAAAGTGCAAAGTTGTACAGTCTATCCAACAGTCTTAGAAACCAGATCCCGATGTTAACAGAACTCCTTAAGTATCTATAAATTATTTAATAATTGAACAACTTACATCGACAATTCTTTTGACAACTTATGCAGCCCGACTCTTCAGTTTCATGTGATGTCGTTCGCTTCAGATCGACTTCACTGAATTTCTCACCAGTCGTTAAATTCACAGCTAAAATTCCAAACTTGATGTCATGAGATTCGGTCGTAAAATCCCATCTAAAACATGAACCAATGAGTCATTATTATCCTATCATGCTAGACCCCCTACCTCCCATCTCCATCCCCCCTCCCCTCCCTCCCTCCCCTCCCTCCCTCCCCTTCTCTACCCCTTCCCTACCCTTTCCCTACCCTTTCCCTACCCTTTCCCTACCCTTTCCCTACCCTTTCCCTACCCTTTCCCTACCCTTTCCCTACCCTTTCCCTACCCCTTCCCCACCCATCCCCCTCCCTTCCCCCCGCCCTCCCTCTTCTCCACCCCTCCCCCCTTCTTACTAAACTTACTTAAGTATCATGTCACTTTCAGTCACATCAAAATTCAGCTTCAGCTTTGATCCTTTCTTAACAATTGTGTTCTTATAAGTTGATGCATTGTTGTAAGTTGTTTCCTCGCCAGATCTGTACAGTTCCTGTGGGACTTTACCTCCCCAGCATATCTTTTTCAAGCATTTTGGATTTCCATCAGGATCAGTCATTTCACCGCCATAATATTTTGGTAAAACTGAAGGATCAATTCGTTCAAAAATAGCTGGCAACCATTTTGACTGATTGCTGTTGTACAAATTAATTTTTGACAGCGTATATTCGTCCAGGAACTGCTTGACTATGTTGAAGAAGAACGAGAAGATTGTTGGTGCTGTGGATGATAAAATAAATCAGAGTCTCAGTCCAACTCTTGACGTCAATTAATCAGTTCTACTCACCATTAATGACGTAACAAAACTTGAGAATTTCTGGAAAATTATTTGTGTAAATTTGAATTAATTCGATAATTGCTTCAATCGCTGGCTTGTAAAGGTATTGACGTAATGTAAAACCATCCATGTCAAAAATTGCAACAAATTTTCGAGCTTCTGGTCCATGTATTTTGCTTTGTTCGTAAGCTTTGTTCATAAAGTCTGAAATTTAATTAAAGAATCATGAAAAATGAGCCAAAACTGAGCAATAATCCCCAAACTTACCTTCAGCTAGCCTCAAAATGTATTTGATGACTTCCTGTTTGGATGAAGCATGAAACAGTCCATAAGCGTCGGTTCCTTTGAATGGAATGATTATCACAATTGAGCCTTCTTTATCGCATCCTGTTGTTCCGTACGGAATTCCATTAAGTAAGACTTCTGGGACATCCCAGCTTTGTAGCTCATCAACTTTGTTCTTTTGGCGGAATTTCATCGACTGGAAAAAGTTGGTGAAAATGTTTAAAAAGTTTAAAATGTTGAAAATGTTGAAAAAGTTGAAAATGTTGAAAATGTTGAAAATGTCGAAAAAGTTAAAAAAGTGGAAAATGTTGAAAATGTTGAAAATGTTGAAAATGTTGAAAGTGTTGAAAATGTTGAAAATGTTGAAAATGTTGAAAATGTTGAAAATGTTGAAAAAGGTTTAAAAAAATGTTAAAAATGTTGAAAAAGTTGAAAAAGTTGAAAATGTTGAGGATGAAAATGTTGAAAATGTTGAAAATGTTGAAAATGTTGAAAATGTTGAAAATGTTGAAAATGTTGAAAATGTTGAAAGTGTTGAAAATGTTGAAAGTGTTTAAAATGTTGAAAATGTTAAAAAAGTTGAAAAAGTTGAAAAAGTTGAAAAAGGTTTAAAAAAATGTTAAAAATGTTGAAAAATTTGAAAATTTTGAAAATGAAAATGTTGAAAATGTTAAAAATGTTGAAAATGTTGAAAGTGTTGAAAATGTTGAAAGTGTTTAAAATGTTGAAAATGTTAAAAAAGTTGAAATGAAAATGTTGAAAGTGTTGAAAATGTTGAAAAAGTTGAAAAAGTTGAAAAAGTTGAAAAAGGTTTAAAAAAATGTTAAAAATGTTGAAAAATTTGAAAAAGTTGAAAATGAAAATGTTGAAAATGTTGAAAGTGTTGAAAATGTTGAAAATGTTGAAAAAATTGAGAAAGTTGAAAAGTTGAAAAGGTTGAAAAAGTTGAAAAAGTTGAAAAGGTGAAAAAGTTGAAAAAGTTGAAAACTTAAATTCTCACCTCACACAACATTTTCTCTGCATTTTCCAAATTCCACTGCCTAGCACGAAGCCATCTGACCAAAAAGATGTCATCATGTTCAGGAAGGTAGAGAAGATCAGTCACAGCTTCTCGAAACTGGAAGGAAAAATGTGAATTAATCGTCAAAAAGTAAATGAATGATTATTATTATCAGGCTCTTTATAAATAGCCTACAAGTGTAACTATGATTAACTCATTTAATGACTAAAGTTAATTAATGTTGAATTATTAACAGTTTAATTAATTAGCATTGCTGTTTAATTTCTTTATTAAATTAATTATCTAGGAAGTTTTATTGATTACAGAGAAGCAGCTAGATTGAAGACGTCTTTAAGATCCCAAAAAAGGGTTCAAAAAGACGGGCCGCTTGAAAGGTTTGTTTGAGCTTGTTTTTATATCTCAATAGCAAGATCCAGAGGCGTAGCTAGGAGGGGGGGGTGGGGGGGGGGCATAAATCAGCATGAAAAATTAAATTTAATGTATGAATAATGAATTAAATATTTAAACTTATGAAGAATGAATATAGATTTAAGGATACAAAATAACGGTTTTTAATTTTTAAAAATAGCTCCCCCCCCCTTAAAAATTTTCTGGCTACGCTCCTGGCAAGATCCCTTCCTGGCTACACCTCCATTAAGTAACACCCAACTTAAACTCATTCAAAATGTTTTTTAAAAACTGCTCGAAAAATCACTTCTCATTAGAATAATTCTAAACTGATTACTTTCTACAATTTAACAACAATTTTATAAACATATAACTAATTTTAAGAATTGAGATACAAACACGTTTCACTGTTTTTGTTCTAGATCTAAATTACTCAGTCAATTGCGTCTGTTTTGCATTCATAAATTCCAATTAAGTTGTTTTATTTTCTAGAAAAAAAACTGTGATTATTTAAGTAGAATCTTACGTTGTGTCACTATTTTGACGTCTAGAAGCAATAGCTACATCTTGTAAAGTAATTTTAAAGCTACAGACTCCAATTAGAAGGACAAAAGTTGCTATGATATGCTTTTGCATCCAACAAAGATGTAAATGAATCTTAAAACTATAATCTTGAAGCTATTCAACCTTAGGAACTCAAACTAGAACCAATTAAACCTAGTTACACTCTCAATCATGCAAACATAGCACGAAGCACCTCCTCTACATCTCAAATCCGCCCTCAAATCATTCAAATCATCAAAAATCCATCAAATCTACAGTTCAAAAGTCATTCAACAATTTATCTTAACTTCCACAACAAATCAATTAAAATCCAAACAGCCTTTTTACAGATCATTAAGTAATTTACGTGTCTAGTTCTGCTTCCGCGAATTTTCTCTCATTTTTCTCTCAATGTTTGCCGGTCTGAGAGCAAAAAACATTAAAAATCAGCACCGACCTGCTCAATAAATTAAGTTTTGTTGTTGTTTTATTGACTCACAAATTGCACGATGTTAAGTTAAAGGAGATAAAAATCGGTACTTTTGTTGCCTGGTTGTTAATAATTTCTAGCATTTAGATTGTGAATTAATGATTAATGATAGCTGAAAACTTGCTGATTGACCTTCGACCGGGACTTTTCTGTTGATGAATTTTAATTTGAATGATTTTTGTGAATTTTTATGATCTTTTTTTGGTGAGGTAAGATTTTAGTAGATTTAAGGACGATTGTGAGGCTAAATGTGCAGTTTAATATTAATTAAATGTTTTTAAATTTAGAGTTTACTTGTTTAGCAGTTTTTGCATTTAAACAATTACCAAACATTTTAATGTGAATTAAACTCTTCTAGCATTAGGTAGCTAAAATTTTGAGCAAGGAGAAGGGTGGAGGGGGGTTCTGGATCATAGAATAACCTTCCTGAGCTGACACCTCTTTCCTTAACCACTTTCTACACCCATCAAATTTAAAATTGACATAAAGCATGTCGAATGGTGAAACCAAAGAAATTCCATTCAAACAAATCATTTTTACATGAATTCAGGGATTAAGGTTCTCAAATTCGAAGAAATTCTAATAAACACAAAAAGCGAATGACCCGATAAATCTGACTGACGCAAGTCAAACAGAAATAATTGATCTTGTCCGTCCTCAGACGCAAGCAAAAAGAAAAGAGTTGAGTACATTTTTGTGGACTTTCAGCTTCAATTGTTATTGGATTTAATGAGATTAGCTTTATATTTAAATTATTATAATAATTGCACAAACCTTTTCAAGCTTTATCTTCTCATCGTCCTTGAGATTTAGTGAATTTTGGTTTATTGCAGACATTGCTTGATTTTTATTTTTGGGTTGTGATGGAAAATTGATTTGAAGATTTTTTTGATTTTTTTTATAGTTTTTGATTATTTTTTTTAATATTGTTTATTTTTTTGATTTTTTTAATTTTTTAAAATTTTTGATTTTCTTGAATTTTTTAAACTAATTTAATATTTTTTTTGTTTTTCTAATGTTTAATTTTTTTATACTAATTTGATTTTTCTGAATTTTATAAAAAAAACTTTTTTTTTATTTGAACTTTTTGAACCTTTTGAATTGTTTTATTTTTTAGATTATTTTTAAGTTTTTGAATTTTTCGAATTTTTTGAATTGTTTGGATTTTTTGTATTTTTTTAAATTTTTAAACTTTTCTAATTTTTTGAATTTTTTAAACTTATTAAAGTTTTGAAACTTTTCGAACTTTTTAAATTTTTATTTTCACTTTCAAAATTATTTGTTTTAATTTTTTAGATTTTTTTTCACACTCGTTTATTTGTTTTGGTTTTAAAGATTTTTAGTCACAAAGAACTGTCAAGTTAGCAACTCAAAAACTGAAAGTTCCACAAATAATTCAAATTCAAAATGTTTAAACTGATTTTTCAAACCAAATATTGACTACGATTAAGTTTTTGAAAACAAAAAGTTTCTTAAAATTTCACTTTTTTGCACTTTTTTAAAATATAATTTGCAATCAACTGTTTTCAATTTTATCTACAATCAAATAATATTTTTAACTTTTTATCTAATCAAAATTTGATAAAAAATGAATCAAAAAAATTCGCAATAAAAATTCCTCAATTAATTCTTAGTAAAAATATTAAATTACAAAATGTCAAGTTGAACCGCGCAATTCGCAAGGATTTTCACTGACTCGATCTCAATAGCCACAACTGTTCCAATTGAACGATGAATTGAAACTGAAAATTGTTACTGAATTTATTTCACCTGCATCAATAGAACATTTTTCATTTCAGAGCATTGCAGGAACAGCAACAAAAAAAAATTAAATAATTTATTGATGCTCATTAGAACAGCAAATTAGAGAAGGAGAGAGCAATTGTTAATTATTGTTGTAGGAATTAATTGAGCAACTGAACTCGGAGATGAACTTTTTGGTGTTTTGAGATATTAAAGGTGCTTGGGAATTTAATGTGGACTTAATAATTAGTACTTACACCTTGCAGCTCTTGTTATCTATAAATAAAATTTAATCAATCTTCAGGAAGTGACCTTGAACTAATTTAAGTGTTGAACTGCTGCACTTTTTGTGATTTTTCATTTTAACTTGTCTGAGAGGTCATTTTTAATGGTGTCAAAGGCTCCAGCTGCTCAAGAACCAAGAACCAAGAACCAAAAACCAAGAACCAAGAACTAAAAACCAAAGACCAAGAACCAAGAACCAAGAACCAAAAACCAAGAACCAAGAACTAAAAACCAAAGACCAAGAACCAAAAACCAAGAACCAAGAACCAAGAACCAAGAACCAAGAACCAAGAACCTAGAACCAATAACCAAGAATTTAGAACCAAGAACCAAGAATCAAGAACCAAGAACCAAGAACCAAGAACCATGAACCAAGAACCAAGAACCAAGAACCAAGAACCATGAACCAAGAACCAAGAACCAAGACACAAGAACCAAGGACCAAGAACCAAGAACCAAGAACCAAGAACCAAAAACCAAGAACCAAGAAACGAGAACCAAGAAACGAGAACCAAGAACCAAAAACCAAGAACCAAGAACCAAGAACAAAAACCAAGAACCAAAAACCAAGAACCAAGAACCAAGAACCAAGAACCAAAGACCAAGAACCAAGAACCATGAACCAAGAACCAAGAACCAAGATCCAAGAACCAAGAACTAGAACCAAGAACCAAGAACCAAGACACAAGAACCAAGAACCAAGAACCAAGAACCAAGAACCAAGAACCAAGAACCAAGAACCAAGAACCAAGAACCAAGAACCAAAAACCAAAAACCAAAAACCAAAAACCAAGAACCAAGAACCAAGAACCAAGAACAAAAACCAAGAACCAAAAACCAAGAACCAAGAACCATGAACCAAAAACCAAGAACCAAAAACCAAGAACCCAGAACCAAGAACCAAAGACCAAGAACCAAAAACCAAGAACCAAAAACCAAGAACCAAAAACCAAAGAACCAAGAACCAAAAACCAAAGACCAAGAACCAAAAACCAAGAACCAAAAACCAAGAACCAAGAACCAAGAATTAAGAACCAATAATCAAGAACCAAGAACCAAAAACCAAAGACCAAAGACCAAGAACCAAGAACCAAAAACCAAAGACCAAGAAGCAAGAACCAAAAACCAAGAACCAAGAACCAAGAATTAAGAACCAAGAATCAAGAACCAAGAACCAAAAACCAAAGACCAAAGACCAAAGAACCAAGAAACAAAAACCAAAGACCAAAAACCAAAAACCAAGAACCAAAAACCAAGAACCAAGAATTAAGAACCAAGAATCAAGAACCAAGAACCAAAAACCAAAGACCAAAGACAAAGAACCAAGAACCAAAAACCAAAAACCAAAAACCAAAAACCAAGAACCAAAAACCAAGAACCAAGAACCAAGAACCAAGAACAAAAACCAAAAACCAAGAACCAAGAACCATGAACCAAAAACCAAGAACCAAAAACCAAGAACCCAGAACCAAGAACCAAAGACCAAGAACCAAAAACCAAGAACCAAAAACCAAGAACCAAAAACCAAAGAACCAAGAACCAAAAACCAAAGACCAAGAACCAAAAACCAAAAACCAAAAACCAAGAACCAAGAACCAAGAATTAAGAACCAATAATCAAGAACCAAGAACCAAAAACCAAAGACCAAAGACCAAGAACCAAGAACCAAAAACCAAAGACCAAGAACCAAGAACCAAGAACATCATAAACTGCATCCAATAAAAACACATCATTCGTCAAAAGATCGTTAAAAAATATTCAAATTTATTTTTTGCATCATAAACATCCAAAACAAAAACATCAACACATGCAAAACATCTGTTGACATTCAGCTCACACATGTTGATCAAGTTTATGAAGAAGAAACTTGAGAGCGAAAAAGAGAAAAAAAACATAAACAAAAAGAACAAGCCGAATTCAGTTGTGTTGTGAATTTCGAGATATTACGAAGTTCTAGTTCCTTTCCAAAACAATTTTTAAAGATTTTCAACCAATTTCAAGCAAAAATGTCGATCAATTATCAACTAATCGCCGAAGGATCGACAATTGCAGCAGTTTTAAGGAACGTCGAGATTCCAGAAACCTTAAGTTCAGTTGGATATGCACCAAGCTTCTATCAAAAAGGCACAGAAACAAAGTTGAAATTTGAAACTTGCATCATTTCATCAATTTCCGACTTTTTCTTCAAATCCAGCCCAAATGTCACTCAAATTGAAGTCAAAAACTCAATTATTGACCGAATTGATTTGAAATTTTTGAAAAAATTCACAAATTTGGAGGAATTTAGCTTCGTAAATTCGACTTTAAATGAATGTTCAGGCACAATTTTTGGAGGTTTGCGTGACTTTACACTGAAATTTGAGAAAGATGGAGCAACAAATGAGATTAAGTTGGCTAATGTGGACGGAAAGATTGACTTGAATGCTTTGGAACAAAAAGAAGAAGAGGACGTTGAAGGTCAATTTGGAATTATTTTTAATTAAGTTTTTTTGTTTATTTTATTTTAATTATTTTTGTAGATCAAGCATCTGGATCTGGTGTAGTTCCAAAGCCAAGCTTGAATGGCCGGCAAATTTTGGCTAGATCAGCTACTAAATTTCCAATTGCTGTTTGTCAGCCTGCTCATGCTTCTGGTATATCAAGCACACAAGGTCAAACATTTGGATCATCTGGATTAGCAGTAAGTCACAGTTGTTCAGCTCCTCCTCCTTCTTGGTTCTTGGTTCTTGGTTTTTGGATCTTGGTTCTTGGTTTTTGGTTCTTGGTTCTTGGTTCTCGGTTCTTGGTTCTTGGTTCTTGGTTCTTGGTTCTTGGTTCTTGATTCTTGATTCATGGTTCATGGTTCTTGGTTCTTGGTTTCTTGGTTCTTAGATCTTGGTTCTTGGTTCTTGGTTCTTGGTTCCTTGGTTCTTGGTTCTTGGTTCCTTGGTTCTTGGTTTCTTGGTTTCTTGGTTCTTGGTTCTTGGTTCTTGATTCTTGATTCTTGGTTCTTGGTTCATGGTTCATGGTTCTTGGTTCTTGGTTCTTGGTTTCTTGGTTCTTAGATCTTGGTTCTTGGTTCTTGGTTCCTTGGTTCTTGGTTCCTTGGTTCTTGGTTTCTTGGTTCTTGGTTCTTGGTTCTTAATTCTTGATTCTTGGTTCTTGGTTCATGGTTCATGGTTCATGGTTCTTGGTTCTTGGTTCTTGGTTTCTTGGTTCTTAGATCTTGTTTCTTGGTTCTTGGTTCTTGGTTCCTTGGTTCTTAGATCTTGGTTCTTGGTTCTTGGTTCTTGGTTCCTTGGTTCTTGGTTCTTGGTTCCTTGGTTCTTGGTTTCTTGGTTCTTGGTTCTTGGTTCTTGATTCTTGGTTCTTAGTTCCTGGTTCTTGGTTCATGGTTCATGGTTCTTGGTTCTTGGTTCTTGGTTTCTTGGTTCTTGGTGCTTGGTCCTTGATTATTGGTTCCATCAATTCTGTTTCTAACCAAAAGTTATCTTACTCTTTTCTAGAGTCAATCATTTAGTTATCAGCCATCAATATTCGGTTCAGTACAGCCTCCAATTACCTCAACAACCTTCGGAACTTCTTTGTTCAGCTCTCCAACATCATCAGACCAATCGACAGCTGCAAAACGATCCTGCGACCAAAATACTTCCAAAAATTTAGATCATCGAGCTCATTTGAAGGAAAAATACACAAAATCGCAGACAATTAATGCCAATTTGTCAAAGGATCTGGAAGTTTTGCGTGATCAAATCATGAAGCTTGAAGCTGAGAATAAAAAGTTGAAAGAATCTGGAATTTTGGCAGATTTAAAGAAAATCTTTCATGACGAAGCATTTAAAGACTTTACAGTCAATGTCAATAAGGAAAAATCGTTCAAGATTCACAAACTTTTGTTTGCTGCTCGCAGTTCCGTCATTGCTGACATGATCAGGAACAATCCAGAGGACTTTGAACTAAATCTTCAAGACATTCCACTTCCAATCTTTGAAGTTTTGCTGCATTTTATTTACAATGACTCAGCACCTGAGCATGAAGATGACAATTTAATTGCGACTTATGCTGCAGCTGGTCGATTAAACATTGTTGACTTGAAGAACTTAACAGCACAAAAGTTGATGGACAAAATTGATGAAAAAAATGCATTTCGAGTCCTGGAATTGAGCAACAAGTATGGCAATGATGAATTGAGATTGAAGGCATTCGAGGAAATCAAAAAAGCTTTGTCTGACTACAAATTGACTGACGAGTTCTCAAAGAAGCCTGAAAAGATTAAAAAACTATTGGAAATGAAGAAGAAGATGGACGAAGAATATGCAAGAATGCGGCAAGAGTTTGAAGACATTCAAGTTGTTAGTGATGATCAACAGGAGGCTGCAGAAGGTGGCAGTGATAGTTACGAAATTGTTGATTGAATCATTTTTTTATTAATTTTTTTTTATTTTTTTAAAATTCTCCAAAAATAAAGCTATAAATTTTCAATAAAAATTATGAAGTTTTTTTGTGACATTAGAGCGCATTTAATTTTAGTGGATTTTTGCCGCTCCCCTTGCATATTTTGCTGTTAGGAATCTATTATACTCCCAGGAGTGCTTCATAGTTTAGAGTCATGGAATATCACTTTAGCAGACGAGCATGCAATTGGTGTTTTTGAGAGAAGGATTTTCCAGAGGCATCTTTGGACCTAAGAATGAAGGAGATTTTTACAAGTGCAGGAGCAATGTGGAATTCTGTTTTTTACAGAAGCTAAAATCATTGATGATCATGATTCTGGCTTGGTGCTGGTTTTGATTTAAATCCAGCACCATGCTAGATACACACTAGCTTGGTTCCGAATTTCTGATTGATTAACAGACTTGTGCCATTCGGGTTGTAAAGAGTCATTCTCATTTTGGTGTATTTTTTGTAAAGACTGCTGTGCCAAATATGTTGGATATTTAATAATTGCAGGAACTGTAATTTTTATCGTGATTTCCGTGTCCCAAAATAGTTGAATTCAATTTAGTTTATTTAATGTTAATTTTTATTTTCTGTCATTTTTTAAGTCTCTTTAATGCAGTTTTTCTCAAACTTTACTCCATGGCTCCTAGATGAGTCAATAGTTGTTGCCAGTGTGGCGCGGTTAGATAATAAGATGATTTAAGCTTAAGAGTGTAAAAAGTTTGTTTTTTTATGAATTTTTTATGAACTAGCTCCAGTGGCTAGATTAAGGGGTTACTCAGGAGACCCGAAATTTGTCTTTAGTAACTTTTTTATATCTCATATTTTAGTGGTCCCTAGTCAACCCTAGTCGACCCTAATCGACCTTAGTCGACTATATTTGACCTTAGTCGACCCTAGTCGACTCTAGTCGACCTTAGTCGTCCCTGGTCGACCCTAGTCGACACTAGTCGACCCTGGTCGACCTAATCGACCCTAATCGACCTGGTCTACCCAAGTTAAACTTACTCGAGCCCAGTTAAACATTTTTTATTGAGCTACAAAACATTTCATTAAATTCAGACACAAAACTGTTAATTAAAGGCTGTCCATTTTTCGGACATGCCTTAATCAAACTATTGTACTCCATCGACTGTACAGCAATAAAGTCAACAAAAATTTCAGGATTTTTCAGCCTCAACAAGTTAAACTCATAGCTATAAACTATTAAGATCCTCTCGACAGGTCCTTCGATGTCTGTGCTGGTCACAAAAAATGTGTATGCTTCACCTGCTTCAAATTTTGTTTCCTTTTCATTCAAGTTGATTCTTTCGCTGGTTTTGTTGCCTTTTGAAATTAATTTGATGCTCAAAGTTCCAACATCGCCAGCATGGACTGAGCTATTTGCCATTTTTATGGTGATTTTGTTGTGAATCTTGCAGAATGGTGCTGACGAAGCTGTAAGGAGGTAAATTGGCTTCATTGGTGATTGATGAGTTGTGTTGAGCTGATTGAAGCTTGATTGACTATGGAATCCAAATTTGACACAAGCATGTCCATCTTCATTACAGCTGCTGCAAGTTCCTTTCAGGAAATCTTCGTAACTTTCACAGGAAATAGCCATAAATGGACATTTTGTGTTGATGCTCTCTGTAAACAGTTCAACAGCATTTTTATGGTTGCAGGTTCCATCAAAGTACTGTCCTCTACAAACTGGCTGATCTCGTCCACCATTTGGATAAAAGTCAACATGACCAATTTGTTGCTTCAATCCAAAGCTTTTCTCTTGAAATGTCGCAGAGTCTGTGTGAAGGATGTCCACAAATTGAGCATCTGATGTGTCAAGTCTGACAATTGGATGTGTGAACTAGATTAATGTGATTAGAATTTAAGTATTTTGTAGGTTATTTTGGATTTTTTACCTCAAAGTAGGGTTTTGCTGGATCTAGACCTAAAATAATACAAAATTGAGCATAAATGCATGTCAATTAGTGGTTGTTGAGGTTCCTTACCTGTGATTCGACCAACTTTCATCCCAAAATCCCTTTGTGTAAAGTAACCAGCATATCCACTGACATGTGAACCTAAAATACAACAAAATCAGCAACGGCAAATTCTTAATTTTACTTCTCATACCCAAGCTATGTCCAATCAAATGAAATTTATCAAGATTGTCCATTTCTAGCTCCAGTGCAATTCCCATAATGACATGAGCCACGACAGCACCAACAACCCGAATATTGGCAACAGCTTGATAATATGGCGGTGCTGAACCACCTCTCCAGTCTACAATAATAACTGTAGCTTGATTGTCGTAGTTGAGGATCTCATTCATCATGTTAATCAGCCATTTTGCATTGCCTAATTCTAAGAATCCGTGAGCGATGAAATAAATCTTGTGGTCTTTGTTGATTTTTAAGGATGTGATTGTTGATGGGTCGTTGATGTCTATTAAGGTTGGGGTTGTGCGGGTTGAGTTGGTGAAAGCTGGGAATTTTACTTTGAGGATTGATGGACTGAATGGGCTTTGTGGAAGATTTAAAGAAAATCAAAAAAAAAATGAAAAATTCAAAAAAATTCAAAAAATTCAAGAAAATTCAAAAAATTCAAAAAATTCAAAAAATTCAAAAAAATTCAAAAAATATACAAAAAATTCAAAAAATTCAAAAAAAGTCAAAAAACTCAAAAAAATTCAAAAAAAATTCAAAAAATCAAAAAAATTCAAAAAGTTCAAAAAAATTCAAAAAATTCAAAAAAAATCAAAAAATTCAAAAAACTCAAAAAAATTCAAAACAATTCAAAACAATTCAAAAAATTCAAAAAAAATTCAAAATATTCAAAAAAATTCAAAAAAATTCAAAAAAATTCAAAAAATTCAAAAAAAATTCAAAAAATTCAAAAAAAATTCAAAAAATTCAAAAAAATTCAAAAAGTTCAAAAAATTCAAAAAAATAAAAAAATTCAAAAAAAATCAAAAAAATGAAAGTTTGAAGAAAAAAATTTAAATTTCATTTACTAAACGCTGTGCGCCCTCTGATCCGAATTCCAAGGATAGTCAACAGGAAAGCATCCATAAATTCCGTAGCATCTCTCAAAATACCCGACGTCAGCTACATTTTCAGCTTCTTTATAAATATCATTAAGATTATACGCAGGTTGAGTCTCATTTTGTGTCACTGCATCGTCAGCAGAACTTAATGAATTTAGAGCGATGATGAAACTGAGGATTGTGCTAAGCTGTTGATGCATGTCTGTGCTAAGATGGAAATTTGTGGATTTTGATATAGAATTTGTCACAAACTTAGGATCTATGGTGACAGGACGTACTGTATGGCTGTAAAAACTAGTAAATTTGACACAAAAGTTCACTAAATACTCAATTAAGTTCCGATCCAGTCGCGATAACAATTGTTACTAACTTGAATCTCATTTATTTAATAAAAATAATCAATCACAAAATAAGTAATAATCAGCATAAAAAAATCAGAGCTACGAAACAGTTTTTAATGTTTCCCAGTCAGAAAATTCATATTCATATCCGCCAGATGAGACAAAGCATCGATTTCGTTCTAATTTACCTGGTAAATAATATCCATTGACTTTTGATCTGCAAATCAACATATTTCGACTTTGAACTCCATATATTAGTGATCGACCGTCACTTGCGTTCGTCCAGATGTAGTGCTTGTAAGCTAGAACCTAAAATTGTCAAAAATTGAGCCTCCTGACTACCAGACTGTCATTATAAATTATTGAAGGCCATTAGATACCTTCACAACCTAATACATCCTCAAAATTAACAAAATTCTCAATTCTAACCTCAAAATTCCTTTTAAAATGCTCCTCATTGTAGTAAGGTATTGTAGCTTCCTTCCTAGCTGGTGAATACTTTCCAACAATCATGCCGTGATCTTCATGAACTGCTCGGATCACAATTAAGTCTCCATCTTGATCTTTACCACCAATCACTGCATAATCAGGCAATCCATCCATTCGAATGTTCCATTGGACCCAAAATCCTCCTCCATTTTCAAGGACTTCTTCGTCTAAAGCTGCAATTAAAGTTTGGGGGAAGTTGTATGAATTTATTTGAATTTAAGAAGGAGGTCGGGGGTTGGTGGGTCTTTAATAATTTAAAATTTAAAATTTTGGTAAGTTTCCGTTCATTTACTCCCTCTAGCTCCTTTGTGACACAATAACAATCCTAATTTTACTCAATCTATAGAACAATCAGTTGAACCAACCGAAAATCAATTAAATTTGTATAAATTCTCTTGTTTACCAAAAACACAAACAAATCCGATGACGAATATAAACAACATTGTCAATCGCTTCATGGTCGTCTACTCAATGAGAGATTTTTAAGAGTTTTTTGTTTATCTCTCTTTACTCATTAAGATCTGTTGGTTAAGAAGAAGATGATGACTGTTTTGATGAGAGGAGACCGAACAGAACAATGTGGTATCTAAGACAATAGCAAGTCACCTTAGCAGGTGCGTAGCCTGGGGAGGGATTTGGGGGACAAATCCCTTAACGTAAACAGAAATTTCTTTATTTTGCTAAAGTTTTCATAAAAAAATCACAAAAATCCCCCCCCCCTTAAAATTTTCCAAACAAAAAATTTTTTGTCCCCCCCTCTTCAAATTACTGGCTACGCCCCACATTAGTGATGTATTTAGAAGAAATTTCGAGGTTAAGTGAGGGGCATTATTGTCAGCTAGAGCTTGATTCAAAATTTTAAAGAGGGGCCAGACCATTCTTGACTTGGTGTGAAAAGTTTTAGACGAAAACAATTTGGAAAATTCATCGTTTTCTTCATAAACTTTAGCAAAATGGAGATTTTTTTTGCATTATGACGGTGGGGTGAAGGGTTTTCGACTCCACCCCACCCTTACGCCTTTGCCACTGAGTCACTATATTACATAAAAAATATTTCAAAGGGTTGTAATTTTAGAGCAGTGTTGTTCAAACTTTTTTGAGCCACGGCTCACCTTAGGAGTAAGCCATTACTAAAATTGCACACAGCTTGCGGTTCGTGTAATTTACAAAAAAACAAATCTACGGTACAGCAGTGTGCCGTGGTACACAGTTTGAACAACACTGTTTTAGAAAATAAAGTGTACTTGATTTTGGAACATAAATGTTGTTATGAGGGGGGGGGGCTGGTTTTGTAAATTAAGCTTCAAGGTTAAGCAGAAAACTGAACTTTTGCACTCAATAATTAAAATAAGATTACTAAACTGCAAATAAATTGACTTAATGTGCAGCTCGGGTTTGACTATCTCTCAATCAGCCAGCTTGACAACGTGCAACTTTTATGTAAATTTACTCTCGTAAAATGAGTAAGTTTATTAGCAGTGGCGTTGGAAAGATTCTTGATCTGAAATTTAGTTTTGTCAGCGTGGAATAGCAGAAATTAGATAGAAGGCTCCTTCTTGGACCCCTCTTCTTCTACATGCTCTCAAAACCTATTTCGAGGTCGGTTTCTAAGACTATTTGAGTCAACCTATCGAAGTAGAGCTCAAAATATGTTTATGACTGAAGTTTAGAGCAAACATCTTTAATCCTAGTTAATGTAGTCCAAAAAGCCTTTGAAAACAGACCCTCGATCTTTTCAGAGCCACTTAATCCTCTCTTCAGTATGACAATAATCATTTCAAACTTGATACCTACACCACTGCTACTTTACATCAATTTGGCCTTGACTTTCAACTTGAAAGTTGTTCATCTTGATTTATTTTTAAGGTTTACGGTTGATTGATTTTGTAATTAATTATTTTCAATTAGTATTAATTATTATCTCATCTTGAGCGGTTAAAAGACCCGAAAAAAATTAATTAAAATTTAAAAATATCAAAATTCCACCAAAAGTGCCGATAAATCCAAAGTCAAGCCATGGACAACCCCATCAACATATTCGACTCCCTCCCATTTGAACTTCTTGAATTAATCTTCGAATATCTCAACCCAGATGACCTCAAATCTCTCCTCAATCTCTGTGGCCGGACCAGGAATGTCATCATTGCCTCCCCAATTTCAATGCGGAAACTCAAATTAACTTTGATGGAAAATTGGAACCAGAAAGTTCCATTCGTTCGCGAAAACGGTGAATTTGTAAAAATCTTAAATTTTGAATTTTGTGACTTTGACTCGCCAGAGCAGTTCCGTGAAATGATGAAAATGATGAGAAATATTGAGGAACTAAAGCTTGCAGACCTTCACATTGATGCTGAAAAGATGAACCGAAAATTCCGCAAATATTTCATTGATCTAGAATTTTTGAGGAAATTGGACGTCGACAATTCAAAATCTGTTGGGAAGCTCCTCAGACTGTACCTTAAGGACCTCCATGTCGACCACTTGCGGCTCGATTTTTCACATTTTAATGTTACGAATGAGTTTGTTCGACTTTTATGGCATCAGCCGTGGATTAAAACTTTGGAATTGTCTGGATTTGATAATATAATTTACAAGTCATTATTCTCACATGACATCAGCTACATGATCACATATAGCCTCAAGAAACTCGTCCTTAACTTCCGAATCACTCCAAATGAAAATTTTTTAAAATTCTTCAAGATCCTCGAGACTCTCGAGTGCCTCGAAATCCACAAAGAAGTTGAATATCCGGAATTTTTAAATGCAATTTTTGAGATGGATAGTTTGCGGTCGTTGACATTAGCGACGCATTTTGTGACACTTAGGAACATTGACTATAAAAAAATTGGAAATTCAAGTTTGACTGATTTGACTTTAGTGACCAGAAGTCAGTACGGAATTGAGACAACGATCAATTTTATGATTGAAAAGTTTTTGTGCCTTAAAAGTTTGAAAGTGATTAACCAGAAAACTGACTCGTCGGACCAAATGCTAGCCTTTGTGAAGCTTCGAGTTGAGAACTTTGAAGTTGAAAATTCAAAAATGAAATTTTTCCAAAATATAAAATTTGAGGGCTTGAAAAAGTTGAAAATCTCGCAAATTCATTCATTTTTAAAGTTTGAGGATTGGGAAAATTTCTTCAAATTAAACAATCAAATTGAGGAACTGATCTTGTCAGACTTTGAAGTCTATTACGTCACTGAGATGATCAAAATTGAGATTGATAAAATTATTTACAATTTAAGTCAAATTTTGAAGACTTTAAAGTATTTTGAGATCAGCCAGGAGCTTAGGTACCAGAAACCAATCAAATTGATCATCAAACAGGATGAGAAGCATAAAGTCATGATGGTTTCAGACTCTTTTATTAAAATATTCAGGAAAGAGTTTCACATGCTGAGAAAAAATCATAAATTTGATGTTAAATATATTGACGATGACTGCTTTCAGATTAATAATAAATATTTGGTTGAAAAATAAAGCTGATGATTTTTTTTAAGGTCATAATTGCCTTTCCACCCCACCCCACCCTCCCCTCTCCCCCTCCCCCATCACTTGGCTATTTCACATCCTATTAATGGTAAATATTTGGTTGGAAATTAAAGCAGCGGATTGTTTTTTAAAGTCAGGCTTACACATCCCCCCCTCCCACCCCCCCTCGTCCCTCTCCTTTCCCATCTCCCCCCCCCCCATCCCTCTCCCCTCCCATCCTCCCCCCATCCCCCTCCCATCTCCCCTCCCTCCCCACCCTCCCCCTCCCATCTCCCTCCCCTTCCGTTCCTCCTTCCTATCAACTTCTCATCTTCCCCCCTCCCCACCCTCCCCTTCCAGCCTAACCTTTTCTGATTTTAATTTTTTTGTCGTTCTTTATTAAAGCTATACAGGGGGGGGGGGGTGGAGGGGCAAAGTCAAAAAGAGTTTCAGTAAAAAACAGTATGAACTGTTGATGTTATGTACACATTATTCCAGGTTTTGGAACAGATAAAATACATTTTGATCATTTTTAGATCATTTTGATCAGTTCCACACCCTTGAGCCGGCAAGGGAGAAGACGAAAGAAATTCAGTCGTTACAGTTTGAACTATAGGCGTCACCTTTGCAAGCAAACTAATCAACAGCATCAAAAAACACCAAACAGAACATGTCAAAACGCGATCGTCACCGGTTTAGATACGTAAAATGCACGACTGTGTTTGTTTTCATAATCTTGCCGCTCTGTTTTTATCAAGGCGTGGACACTCAAAAATATGCTGGGATTATTCGGGATTATTGGGATTATTGGGATTATTTGGGATTATTGGGATTATTGGGATTATTTGGGATTATTTGGGATTATTGGGATTATTGGAAAAAAAATTATTCAAATATTTTGAATTTTTTGACGAAATGAACTGTAAGAAATATGGTATTTGAAGCCAGAGTGACTTGTAAAGTTTAAACAATGTGAAAATATATCATTTTGAAGTGTTTGTTGAGTATTAAAATATAAATTTGATCATATATAATAATTTTCAGAGGTCGAAGCCGACTTGAGTTCGCTCCGGTTCGGCTAAAAACCGATTGATTTTTGTATGGAATTTTTTCTGATTTCACTTGTGAAGTATAACTTTTCATACAAAATTCAATCGGTTTTTAGCCGAACCGAAGCGAACTCAAGTCGGCTTCGACCTCTGATAATTTTTATAGAATTTTGACTGATTCATTTAAACAATCGGTCAAGATATATAGATAGGCTCATACAGAGTATACTTGACCATACTCGACCATACTATTTTTTGTGTACTTATACAAACAAAAATTTTTAAAATTTTCTATTTTCAAGTTTTCATTTAAATATCGACAGATGCAACAACATTTGTCTTAAGTCAGTTTCTTTAAATTATAGCAAAGCATTTGCAATACTCCTGTATCAACAAAACTTAACAGAAAGTTGAAAATTTTGCAAAACAAAAATTAAAAATTTTCTTTTATAGTGTTAGTGTTTTTAGAAAATTCAAATTTTTGACGTTTAAAAACTGCGATATTTTTGTATGAGCACATCTATATATCTTGCAATCGGTTTTTGGAAATGGATTAGACATTTCCTCAGCGTTTTTAGTTGCAGTTACTAGTGTCCTAAGTAATGTCCATATTAAAACATCAGTCTAAGGAAAGTTTTTGGCTTTATTCCTAGTTTTTTGGGGTTTAATGAGCTACTGTACTAAGTATTTCAGACAATAACCTCACTTTGAGGAATCTTAAGGTTATTGTGGTAGATTGCTCGTCTAAAGTATGTTATAAATTATTATATAATTTTTTGTTAAAGTTTTGTATTTATTAAAATGTCCATTATTTTCCGCAACAAATTCTACAAAATGTACCATGTTTTCGATATTATATACATACTTCTATTTGCTGTATTATTTAAGTTACTGGGATATTTTCATGAATGATTTAAAAAAGTTAAAATTTCGATTTTAAGCATGTGAAAAAATATTTAAACTTTCGTTTTGTTCTTTCTCTTCCCGAGAAATATATTTTTGAACATAATTTTCTCAATTTTTTCAATTAATTTCGTTGAGTTGTTTTATTTTTTAAGATCATTTTTAAAAAAATCAATAGTGTTGTATGACTAAGTAAATTTTGGGTTTTTTAACCTTCACAGTTAAAAAAATTCAATATAGAATTTTCCTAAGTCATGTCCTTTTTCAAAATGGTGGCTGGTTTTTTTTACCTTAGATCTGAATAATAACAATGATCTAATTTATCCACTAAAATAAGTCCTGCTGATCTAGATTCAGTTCAACTCAATGATGTTACCAAATCTTATTACGTTAATACGAGTATGATATCCCGTAATCAATTACGGGCAGACTTTAGTACTTTCTGTTAAGTATAGTTTTGTTTTTGGATCTTTTAATTTTATAAAGTTAGTAGACAGACAATTATGCTTTCTCAAAATTCCGGTGCAGAAAATTTTCGGAATCGGGATCGAGATTGAAATTTTTTGGTCAGCGTTTACTGATACAACTACGATTAAAAATCTGTAAAAGTTTAAGTACGATTCATTGAGTGTAACAAAAGATATAGTCAAAAATGTAAAAATTTTAAAATAAGCTCGCCCCTTTTTTGGTGTGAAAATCCAACGTTATATAACATTAGAAATGGTATTAAGAAAATTTTAAATTATAAAGTTTTATAGTTTTTGATTATTCTATAACGCTGAAGTACTAGATCTCAAAAACTTTTTTTTTAAAAAAAGTTCCTAATATTTTCCCCATATAAACTTGTAATCAGGATTTTCAATTTCGATCTCGATGGCCCGATCCCATAATGTTGACAATAAATTGAAGATTTAACAAAGTTAGATTTGGTATTCACTGGATCTTATTATTTCTTAATGCATCGTTTTAAGTGTTTATTGCAGAGATAGAAGCCGATTTTTTCGGCTTAACTCAATTTTTGATTTTTTTTATAGAAAAATCGGTTAACTTGAAATTCTGAGCTTACTATTGCTACATTCTGACAAAAAAAAATCATAGTAAAGCATGTAAAATTCAATTTAAATAATTGAAATGGGCGCTAAATGGCTTTTTTCTATCAAAAAAGTCGAAAAAATTGAGTTAAACAGAAAAATCCGGCTTCGATCTCTGGTTTATCGCCATAAAAGCCAAAAAGTCAAAAATTTAACCATAGCTGTCATTATCACCGAGGACGCTACTAGCTTTACTAGATTTGTCGAATCAAAAACCTAGTTTGAAGAATTTTTTTTGAGGAAATATGTATTGTTTGATTGATTTTCGGGCTAATACACGATTATTTTGATTAGAACGCATAGTAAATCAATAAAATATAAATTTAAAAGACATTTTAAATTGATTTTTGTAAATTTTTGACTAGTGCACTAGATTTAGTTGGTAAAAAAATCACTTTTTGACGTTTTAAGGCTAGTTCATTACTTTAGCTAATTTTTAAATTAATATACTGAACTCAAAATGTATCCAAAGATTTTTGGGGACATTATTCTTTTCAATACTAGTCAAAATTTTAACATTTAATAAATTTTAAATTTGAAAAATTTTAAAATTATTTTAATAATCCCAATAATCCCAATAATCCCAAACCTGGGATTATTGGGATTATTGGGATTATTTGGGATTATTGGGATTATTTGGGATTATTGGGATTATTGGGATTATTTGGGATTATTTAGGATTATTGGGATTAATCCCAGTGTCCACGCCTTGGTTTTTATTTACCTCTTTTTCACACACATCGACTTCATTCAGTTTGACATTTACCATTGACATTGCCGGTTCAAAAAAAGTTGTTTCTTCTCGAAATCCTTTAATTTCTCAATAAAAATTGACTTTTTCTTGTGAAAATATTTTTTAAATTTAATCTTTTTCATCATGTCAACATACAAGCTCACTTACTTCAATTTCCCAGCACTTGGTGAGCCAATCAGGTTCTTGTTGAGCTACGGTGGTGTTGAGTTTGAAGACAATCGCATTGAGTGGTCGAATTGGCATCAAATTAAAGGCAGTAAGTCGTAAATTCTTCATCAAACTTGCTTATTGCTGCTTAAAATAATATTGGGAGTAGTTCATAAATGACGTCACATGCGATCAAAAACCTTGTGGTGAAGAAATTTATTGGAACTCTTTTTTCTTTGTTTCTTTGTTATTGAAAAATGGCTGTGATTTTGTGACGTCATTATAGGACAACCTCTTTATTTGGTTGATTATTTTGGGATTTGCCTTAGCGACTCTAACAGGCGTGTAGCCTGGGGGTTGATTTGGGAAACAAATCCCTCTTCGTCACGAGAAATTTCTTCATTTTGCTAGAGTTTTTATGAAAAACTCAAAAAAATCCCCCCCCCCCCTAAAAATTTTCCATACAAAAAAAGTGTCCCCCCCCATCTTCAAATTCCTAGCTACGCCCCTGGACCGTAACATATGTTCATAAAGCTTCTATTTGTTTTAACAAGCATGATTCTTAAGCTCAGTAAGCAAATGTCTAGAACGCATTTTGATTTTAAGTTCAATGTTTAATTCCCAGCTACACCCCTCGGACAAGTCCCAATCCTAGAAGTTGATGGACAAGTTTTTTATCAAACAATTCCAATTTGTCGCTTTTTGGGATCAAAATTCAATCTTTTGGGTGACAATGAGATGGAAAACTACCAAATTGACAATGTTGTGCAAACAATTACTGACCTACGAATGAGTAAGTATGAATATTTGTTAAGGCACGCGAGGTGTTGTGTAGAATTTGTCATGTTTTATCACAAAAAGTAGCTGAAATTCGGTTTAATATTGTGTCAGTTGTCAGCTGTGTTTGTATTGTGGTATTGATAAGATAAGGATAACGGCAGGTATGGCACTAAATTGTATGTAATTTATCAATCTACACATTTTTTGAAGGCCGTCTTTAACTAAAATGATCAAAAAATTAAAGTTTAAGCCAGTGGTTCTCAAACTGTGTGCCGCGGACGACTTTAAAAAGGTCATGAAAATCGTTTAGTTTAACGTGAGACTATTCAGGTGTGCCGGGAACAGTTTTATGTAGAAAAGTTTGAGAAACACTGGTTTAAGTTCTTCAATCTCGAAATAAGCTGCATCAATATACCCTTCAAGACCTGCAAGACCTCAAAAGACTTATTTTAGTTCCTTTCATGCTTCATTGACATTCCTTGATACTCTTAAACTGACCCAGATGCTCTAAAACTAACCCAGATGCCTCAATTCTCATCTTTATTAAGCTTATTCACTCAAAAACTCAATTTTCCTTTCCAGAAATCGAAATGGTAAATTTTGACAAATTCTCACCGCCAAATGTCATCGAAGAAAAGCGCGCTCAACTAAAATCGGAATCAATTCCATTTTTCTTAAAGAACCTCGAAGACATTGCATCGAAAAATGATGGATTTTTGGCAGTTAAGAAGCTGTCGTGGGGTGATTTGTACTTTGCAGCCATGATTGACTACATGAACTGGATGATGAAGGGAAATTTGCTTGAAGATTTTGAGAATTTAAAGAAGGTTTACGGGAATGTGATGGAAATTGATGGAATTAAGAGTTATGTTGAGAAAAGACCGAAGCCACAAATGGGATGAAAAAAATGTTTGAAATTCGTAAAAATGATTTTTGAATAAAAAAAGTCAAATTCTTTGCAATTGACTCGAGATTGTTTATACTTTCTCGACTTGAGCTTCAAATTACTAATTTTTGTTTATTTCTCTTCAGACTGCCTCATTCGCTCTTAGCTATTTGGTATTTGTGAAGTCAAATAAGCCTCAGTCGCTGATGTGAATGATTCAGATTGACAAATTTTAATTGTATTCGCATATTCAGCTGTAAAAACACTTGCAGACTAGGGCAATAAACGCAATTTGATCACGGGGCTGTTCATAAATGACGTCTATCAAAATTTTAGATTTTTTAACCCCTTCTCCCATCCTCAAGCTGAAAATTAGGAAAGGCAGCAATATCCTTTGTTTAAATTGTCATAAAATCCTTGAGCCGACCTTCGCCCTAAATGTGAGACGTCATAAATGAACTTTCCTATGTTGAATTTATGCTGACTGCTTCACAATTCTTGTTCTTGATTGTGCATGATTGCCTTGATCGTTCATTTGAGTTTGAGAAGTTTAGTCAAGAAGTTCGGCAGTTTTGTGTCATTAGCTGAAATAAAATTTTATTCAAAGATTTGCATTTGACCACAACAAGATTCAAAAATGAGGTAAGTCATTGCCATCATCAAAATATCATAATGGAAAGTTAAAATTGCTGACAAAACCTTTCAGTTCGGACGAGTTTATGGGAGATTTTGACGAGTTTAAGGAACTGTTCCAGTCAGTTCCATTCCTGGCAGTTGGCGGGACTTCAATCTTGATTGTTCTCTACATTCTGTACAAATGCTGCTGCAAGTTTGAAATTAAATTCTCATTGTGTTAAGGAAGTACTGATTTTTATGGTAACAATAAGATTGAATCAATAAAAGGAGGCATAAATTGAAAATTGACCGTAAAATAATTATTTTTCTTAAATTCTTATGAACGACAGGGGCAGGGTTGTAGCTAGTATGGGGAGTTGGGAGGGGGCGAGGGGGGGGGGGGATAAGATAAATAATCCTTTTATAGATTTTTTTTAATTTGCTAAGGTTTATTGAGAAAAAAAAATCCCACTTGACAGTCCCCTGGCTACGCCTCTGAACTGTTTATGCTTTCCCGATACCAAAGAACTCCTGGGAAATCTCGGTCTCGGTCTCGAGAATTAGTCGAGACCGAGAAATCGAGAAAGCATAGAACTGTTACGTTGAATCTTGTCCTGACCCTTCATGAGACTTATGTTTGATCAGAAATTTTTCAGGATGTTTGGAAAGCAGGGGAGGGGAAGGGTGTTGATCCAAACCCGCTTTCACCCCGCTGGCTAGAGTCGAGACCCTTTCCCCAAATCCAATGCTAAGAAATAATTGATAATAATTATAAAAACTCGAATCTTTTCATTCGAATGTATTATTGATGTTAAGTCATCGAGTCTGATTATAACAAAATATAACAAGAATGGAAAAAATATGTTTTTTTCAAATCCTCGATATAACATTGAGCTAAGTGAAAAGAAGAAAGATATTTCATAATTGTATTTTTCCTAAGGTCAGTCAAACAATAAGATTGATTGTGAAAGCATTATTAAGTTTTTAGGTTGAAATTTTATTTCATAATAAAAGTTAATCATGAGCCAAAGAAGTTATAATAATAAAAATTTGAGAAGGAGAATCAAAAAAGAGAAAAAACTTGAAAATTCCAGACGTAATCAGGAAGCGACATTACTGAAACATGAAATCGATCCTCTAAAAAACACTTTTTGCTCTAGAAATAGTCATGTGTTCTGGTTTTTAGGGATTGTGCTGTTTTTGGGAAGTGTAGCTACTATTGTGGCTCTAAATTATAATTTAGAAATCAATATTTTTGCTATAAATAAATATAAAAATCCACAATCATCAACAAATACTGATAAAATTCACTCAGATAAAGACAATCCAGAAAAATCGCACGACGAAAAGATTGATAAGTTTAAACGAAAAACTGAAGAATCCATTCCTCCATCTGAATTATCAGACAATTTATACAAATATCCACAAATTGCTGGAATAATTCAAATACTAGGCAACGACACTGAGTTCGGATGTCATGGAACATTTGTTGATTGTAAGTTTTACATTTAATGTCAAAATATTGCGAAAATTCAATATTATCAATTATTTTCTATCCTTACGATTAAGTCTCGCCATATATACAGAATGCGGTGTTGATAACAGCTGCACATTGTAATAAAAATGATGAAAACTCGACTATGTAAGTGCTTATGTGATTAAGATCATATTCAACAGAAATATCATTTATTGTCTACTAGGATATTTGGAGGCGCCCGTGGCGCCTGTTATCAGGGTTTAAATTCGATTCATAATGTTTCTAAGGTCAGTCCTACCACAAAACTTCACATGGCCCCACAACCCTCTCAAACTTGGACCCCCTTAATCCCACAAAAATTGTATAAATGGCTTCACAAAACCCCTCAAATCAGACCCACTTTACTCCACACCTGACACCCATCCCCCACCTGACACCCACCCCACCTGACACCCACCCCCCACCTGACACCCACCCCCCACCTGACACCCACTCCCCACCTTACACCCACCCCCCACCTGACAACCACTTTGTCACCACTCCTTAAATTTTTGGCTTCACACGACTTCACAAATGGCTTCACATGGCTTCCGTTCTATAGTCAGTGAGTCAGTGAATTGGGCTTTTATAATGTAGATAAAATAAACATCCAGTTCATTGACTCACTGACTCTAGAAGTCACTGAAAGCCGTAAGAAGCCAATAATTTGAGGAGTGTTTACAAGGTGGGTGTCAGGTTGGATTTGAGTGTCAGGTGGGAGGGGGGAATTGATGTCAGGTGTGGAGTAAGGCGGGTCCGAGTTTGAAGGGGTTTGTGAAATCATTTGAAGTTTTGTGGTAGGATTGACCTTAAAAACATTACGAAAATTAGCGCTTTACTGTTATTTACAAAATATAAATAATAAAATATAAAATCAAATTTCACTGATAACGGGCACCCCTTATAGCCTAGTTAAGAATAAAACCCTAAGTCAGTGTTTCTCTGCGGAAAAAAATTCTGTCATTTCTGCAACACGTTTGATAATTCTTTGTGTCATGTATGCTTGGGGGGAAGAAGGGGGGTTGTGGCACGAGGGCTTAAACCTTAAACACTAATTTTTCAATTTACTAAGGTTTGTTTGTAAGGAAAAATACCAACCCTACCCCCCGCACCCCTAACCTATTTTTGTACTATTACTACGAATTTCTGAATTTTTTTGAAAAAATTTTTACTGCGCCTCTGGTCAAGTAGATTGAGAACCACTGCCTTAAAGACAAATTCAACAGTTTTAATTGTTTTTGTTTTCATCTTTCAACAGCCATCAAATTTATTTCCACGACCAAAATCAAAAGAAAACGGTTATAAAAAATTCTGATGAATTTTACGTCATTTCGCATCCAAAGTTTAAGTTTGATGATCATGAATTTGGATATGACGTGTCATTGATAATTTTCAAGAATTTAAGAGTCACTGAATCAGCTCGTTTGCCTGAAGCTGGAGAGAAGCTTCCAGATAAATTTTTACGGTTTGAAATAATCAAAAACGGCAACAAATATCGATCAAGAATTGAGGAAGCGGAAGTAAAGAAGATCAACTGGAAAGATTGCGTGAAAATTTCTTTTGAATACAAAAAGTTTGAGCAATCTGATAGATTTTGTGCTGACAATGGAGGTTAATTTTAGATTTTAATTTACAAAAAAAAAAAATATTTCAAATTTTCATGGTTTCAAATTTTCAATAGCTTACACACCAACTGGCAACAGTGGTGCTGGTATTTTTACATGGAATGGAGAGCATTATGTCATTTATGGAGTATATTCGGAAGGTGGAACTAAAAATCATACGAGACCGGACATTTACATGAAAATGAAGTCATTAGACAAAATGTTTGAATCATTTGACTTGAATGAAGTTGGTAAAAAATTGAGGTTAAAATAGTTTATTACATTTATTCATTAGTAGCAAGCCCGAGGCACGAGGTGATTTTTCCGCCACAGAGATCATTTTCAATATTCAGCCCGACTTCTGTATTTTATCATTACTAGTAACGGTCCGAAAAAATTTAAATTTCAAATAAAACTGATTAAAACTGAATCAAAACTTTCTGAACAGTCAAATGTTAAAATCAAAATAAAATAATTTGTAAACAAAAAAGGAAATAAACTAAATTTTCAACAATTTTACTTGATTATTGTAATTTTAAAGGACATCAGGATCAATAAGTTGGACATCCAACCCAAAAATCATCACAAATGAAATCAACAAAATCAAATTAAACTTTAAAAATTTTGATATAAAAAAAATTTCTTATCATCATGACAAATTGCTACATTTGTGGCAATGAAGGCACGGAATGTGCCAACATTCTGGAAGCAAGAGCTCAGCATTCTGGCAAAATGTTAAAGGAACTGATCGGTAAGTTTGATTTGAATGCAATGAAGTTGTTTTGAGAAGTTTTAGATTGATTAAGAAACTCGGCCATATCAAATGTCACAGGATGTTGCATGATAAATGTCAAAAAGTATGAGATCATGAATGTTTCGTCAATGGAATATTTTATTAGTCATTTAAGTATAGGGAAGGATTTATGTGCTGTTTAGATACTTGATTGAGGGTTTGGTATGGTATAGGTTGACTCTTGGAATAATTAAGAGGTGCTGGAGCTGTTTTAAGCCTGCATAAAATTGTAGACCACTTTGCTTTATCAGTTGTGCCTTTGGCTGGTTTCCCGTTACACATCTGGTCTTTAGATCTAGTAGATCTAGTGTAGATTGGATACATACCCAAAAAAAAACGATCCACACCAAGTTTATCAGCACAGAAATCGACCTTCAAGTTGTCATGGTCCTCATCAAGTCAATCCAATCCTCAAAATCAACAGAAAAATTACCAAATTTACTAACTTAATCTCCTCAATTTTAGAACCACTTTCCGGCTACATGATTGAAATCCCCGACATAGTCTGCAACTTTTGCCTCCACAAGCTCAACGACTTTGACAAATTCTCGCTAAAAGCCGACCAGATTCAAAGTGAACTCAAAATGCTCATGCTCAATAAAATTTACATTAAACAGGAACCAAAGGAGGAGGCAATGGATGACGTGTCAATTGGAAGTTATGAGACGGAAATGAATACAGACAATGAGGATGTTACGGAGGTTCTATCGACAGATGTAGACACAAAGCCATCAAATATGAGTGCACATTTCGACTGGAACAGCACAAAGGACAATGAGGAATTGAAGAAGAGGAACTTGAGCATGTTTGGTGACCTTTCAAGTCATCCAAGAAAGAAAGTAAAATCAGAAAAATCTCAAAGAACGACACCAAAAAAGAAGAAAACCAGCGAAGTTTATCAGTGTACATTTCCGCCATGCGACCGCAGATTTCCAACAAAAACTCGACTGCTTAATCATCTCCAACTGCATTCAACCGACCGACCGTACCAATGCTCATTTTGTGGTAAATTCTACAAGACAAAAGACTGCCTCAGAAGTCATCAGCGAGTTGTACATAAGAATGCTGACTTGAGAGTCATTTGTGATACTTGTGGACTAGCTTTTACTAGGAAGCCGTCACTCGAGAGGCATTATAAGGCTGCACATTTGAAGCTTAGGTATGATTAAGCCTTTTGAACTATTACTTTTGCTTATTATTTCACACAAAATTCATCATTTTATTTTTAGAACCTTCATCTGCACTCTCTGTGGAGCTTCATACTGCAATGCATCATCACTTCAAGCTCACTCGTTCGTCCACAACAAAGACAACAAAAACTTTGTCTGTGAAATTTGTGAAGCTCGATTTCATACCCGCTCAAAACTCAACAGACACATGCGATGTCATGGAGAGAAGGAATTCGAGTGTGTCTTATGCCATAGAAAGTATAGCCAAAGGTACAATTTAACAGCACATATGAGACAAGCACATGAAGAGTATCAAATATTAAAACCTGAGCCGGCTCAGCCAATTGTTTGTCAATTATGTGGGAGGGTGTTTGACAGGCAAAAGACATTACAGAAGCATTTAAAAAACGTACACGAGGCTTGTCCTATTAATGTTAGTATGGAATGAATCTTATTTTGTGGGTTTGGAAACTCAAGGATGGCTGGAGTGAAGTCAAGGTTGATTGTGACAATTTATGGATTTAGTTTCTAAAGTAGTTTAACTTTTGATGGAGTCATTAGGTTTTAATTAAAGAAAAAGTACTAGATTAATGGCCAAAGTACTAGATTACTGACTAAAGTACCAGATTATTGACTAAAGTACTAGATTATTGACAAAATTAGTTAATTAATGACTGAAGAACTAGATTATTGATGAAAGTACTAGATTATTGACTAAAGTACTAGATCATTGAACAAATTAGTTGATTATTGACTGAAGTACCAGATTATTGACTAGAGGACTAACTTGTTGACAAAAGTACTAGATTATTGATTAAGTGACCAGATTATAGACTGAAGTACTAGATTATTAACTAGAGGACTAACTTGTTGACAAAAGTACTAGATTTTGGATTCAAGTACTAGATTATTGAGTCAATTAGTTAATTATGACTAAAGAACAAGATCATTGACAAATTTAATTGATTATTGGCTGAAGTACCAGATTATTGACTCAAATACTAGATTATTGTCTGAAGTACTAGACCATTAATTGGTGGACTAGATTATTGAATGAAAGACTTGATTGTTGACAAAAGTAATAGATTATTGATGAAGTGACCAGTTTATGGACTGAAGTACTAGATTGTGGACTGAAGTACTAGATTATTGACTGAAGTACTAGATTATTGACTAGAGGACTAGCTTGTTGTCGAAAGGACTAGATTATTAGTAAGCTTTCAGACTCTTGACAAAATTTTAACAATTTTAGAAGTCATCAAAGTCACAACTCCCCTAGAAATCAAACTAGCATCATAAATGACAAATTTACTCAATCACTGTGCATACAATTTATATTTTGTAAATAAATAAAATCAAATTTATATAAAAATTTGCTTTATTTCCTTTCAATTCTCACACAACTTCACCATTTTCTCCTTATTCAACCTAAAGAACTCCCAACCCTCGCTCTTAGTCAAATTTTCAGCATCTAGTTTCTCATAAAATCCCTTCGCTGGATTCCAGTCCAGTACATGAAAGTCAAATCGACTGCAATTTTGTTCATTTGCGAATCTGACATTTTCTAGGAACAATTTCTTTCCAACTCCAGTCATTCTGTATGCTGGCTTAACATAAATGTCCTCCATTAAGTAAGCCTTGCCTTGCCATGTTGAGTATGTAAAGAATCCAATTGAATAGCCGACGAGTTTTGGTTTATTGTCTTCAAGGATTTCTGCTACAAATGAATAAAAAAGTGGAGCTGCGCTTTTTGAGTCGAAGTTGCCGTCTCTGAGGAGGTCAATTGTTGTAAGTTGGGGTCCGGCTGGCATTTTCTCAAAGTCTGCGAGTTCCTGGATGTGAATTGATAAATAAAGATCAAAATTTACTGTTTTGATATAAAATTTAAGGATTTTCAGCTTACCTGGATCATACCGATGATGTCATCCAGATCAGCAGCTGTGGTTCTGCGGACAGTCAAATTTGACATGATTTTTAATGATTTCTGACTGAAAACTCAGGAGATTTGATAAGAAAAATTGCTGAATTATTAAGATTGTTTATTGTTAAATTTTGAAACTCGTTTTAACGATCAAAAAATATTCAAACTGAACCAAATCAGAAAATGAACCAAATTCTCTTATAAACTCCACAAACCTGCGTAACGGCTTTTTAAAATTTAAATAAATTCTTCCCGCCCATACCACAAACCTCAACTCGCACAAAAATTATTTTGCCCATCCAATTTTCTCTCGCACAAAACAAGACTTCGCAGAAATTGAAACTATATGACCGTGCGCAAAACCTCTATCAGATTAACCTTGCGTACGGGCAATAATCTAACCAATGAAGTACTAAACTGAGGTGGATTTATTGCGAATTGAAAACTTAACCAATACCTCGCGTTCACGACGCTTTATGTGTCGGGTACGCAATTTTTGCAAGCTCTAACGAGCTAATTAAATAAATACATAAAAATATAAACAATATGAAAGAAAGTAATTGTAAAAATGCGCTTTATTTAAGAACATCAAAAAGTGACTTTTTAACTTATTTTCTATTTTTTCTTAAGTTCTTCTTTTTCTTTTTTTGCTTTTTCTCTCATGTCATTGAGTTTCTTTTCGGTTTCTTCTTTCTTCTTCCATGTCTCATCAGACAGATATGAAGGAATAATTAAGTTCGGATGGACATTTTCGTGAAACCATTTGAAGGACTTGCAGCCAAGCTTCTTCTTGAGCTCCAATCTATCTGTAATATTTCCATAGTCTCTGTTCTTTGTTTCTCCAACGGATCTATAGTAATACTTCTTGTACTCATCATCAAGCCATATTTCAGCTATTCTGTCGTTGTTGTAAAGGACGCTGTTTTGGCTTTTTACTTTGGTTTCGTAGGTGTGCCATTTGAACATGTGAGCTACAACTGCGCATGGAATCATTTCGACTCGACCGCCGCACATCTGAAAATTTATTTTGAGGTTAGAATGAGGTCATAAGGTTGAATTTATAAATTTTGAGGTTAAAATTTTAAATTTTGAGGTTAAAATTTTAAATTTTGAGGTTAAAATATTAAAATTTGAAGTTGTGATGTGTATTTTAAGGTTAAGATGCTAAATTTTTAGGTTAAGTCGCTGAGATTAGATTGCTGAATTTTGAGGTAAGATTGCAGAGTTTTGAGGTTAGATTGCAGAGTTTTTAGGTTAAGTTGTTGAATTTTGAGTTTAAGTTGCTGACTTTTGAGCTAGGGTTCCTGATTTTTGAGCTAAGGTTGCTATATTTTGAGGTTAGATTGCAGAGTTTTGAGGTTAAGTTGCTGAATTTCGAGGTTAGGTGGCTGATTTTTGAGTTTGAGTAACTGAATTTAGAGGTTAAGTTACTGAATTTTGAGGTTAAGTTGCTGAATTTTGAGTTTATGTTGCTGATTTTTAAGGCTAAGTTTGAAAATTCAAGGCTTAATGAAGTCCGACAGCATCGTCTGAAATAATATTTTAATTTTCAAGACTCACCCAAGTTCTGAATGCCAGTTCTACATCTTCACCACCCCAAATGTCGAAGTCTGTAAATTAAAACAAGGCTTCATTATTAAATTAAAAAAAAATCACTGTTTCCTGGAAGTAAAGACATAAAATCCACATTTTACTGCCGTTTTTTTGATCATCACGACAACTTTCCCATTTGTTAACTAGCAAACGTGTTCACCATAAAAAAAATCATTTCATTTTCACTAAAACTTTAGTTTTTGAACTTCAACAATGAATTTTAAAATGCAGTTTTCAACTCACCTGGATCCAAATAGCCAATTTTGTGGTAAAAATCCTTCCTTATAGCATAGCAAGGTCCAATTATTGTTGGTGTTGGTTTCGGGTCATACTTTCCAGTCGGTCTGTTACCTTCGTATGAGCTGATGTCCAACCATTTGAATACTAGATCCCAACTGAAGGTTCCGAGTCCACCGGGGCTGTCGTCAAGGGAAACTTTCATTGTCTGTGAAGGAAAGAACATTTTGAGGTTATGAAATGTTTTTGTAATGGTTAGAGTGCAGTTAAGGAAGCCGCAATCTTGCAAAGTCACTAGCAACAATGACTTACATTAGCATCAATGCTTGAAATCTTAGCCCAAGCTAGTACTTTTGGATCTTCATCTAATCTCGCAAGCATCGGTTCAATCCATCCAGGACCCACCTCCACATGTGAGTCTAAATACACGATTACAGGTCCAATTGCATTCATCCCGCCCATGATCCTAGTTGGGATGATTCCTTGCCTTCTATGTGACCTGATTAGTCGAATTTTTGGATACTTTTTGATGTATTCATTGAGTTGTTGCTGATAATATTCTCTATCTGAATAATCAAAAACAAGAAGAATCTCTTCAAGCAGATGATCAGGAGTCCTTAGCAGAACCGAATGGACAGTCCGCATCAGCAACATCCAGTCATCATCATGAAAAGGAATCACAACAGAAGCTTTTGGAAGATTTTTCGGATACTTTTTGGTCTTGCAATATTCACTTCGATTGTCAGGCAATGCTCGATTAAGGCTGACCATACTGGATGCTAATCCATTGTATCCATAAATATCACGCAACATCTTATCACGTTTGAGGATGTAATCAATATTTTTAGCATCTATCGAGACTGGATCACCATTTTCACCAGCATTTGTGATGTTAAGTTCCTTCATAATCTGCCGAGTCTCATCAGTGATTCCATCATCAAGATCAAGGAACTTTGCACGCACTTGTTCAATCATAATGTTCGATTCCTCAATTATTTCAGTGTCCAAAGTTAAGTTGTCCATTCCAAAAAGCTTTTGATTCAAATATTGAACATTTCTGATTTTTTTATTCACATCACAAATTTTCTGCCAAATTTCTGCAAAATCTGCAAAACTGTTCAGCACAACGACCATCAAAAGAAGTAAAACAAATATTTTAATGTAAATGGAAGCTTGTCTTGGCAGTCGAAATGACGATGACTTCATTTTCGTTGACTATCTTTGAGTGAAATGAAGATCAAGGAAGTGGCAGATCAGCTTTTAAATGATTTTTTTTTCAATTATTTTTCAATTTTGAGTCACGACTAGCAGGTGGGATCTTTTAAGATTTTTGCAGCTGGAAAAATTTTTTTAAACTATTTTTGAGTATTTTGAAATTTTTTGAAAATCAAGGAAAATTATGTTTGGAAAATATTCAATTTTATTCAAAATTTTGAGGTTATACTGATTAATTTTGCATTTATGTTGACAAATTTCGAAGTTATGTTGTCAATTTTGAGGTTATGTTTCCAATTTTTTGTTATGCTTCCAATTTTTGAGGTTATATTGACATTTTTGAGGTTATGTTGACAGTTTTTGAGGTTATGTTGAGAATTTTGAGGTCATGTTGCCAGTTTTTGAGGTTATGTTGACAAATTTTTAAGGTTATGTTGACAGTTTTTGAGGTTATGTTGAGAATTTTGAGGTCATGTTGCCAGTTTTTGAGGTTATGTTGACAAATTTTTAAGGTTATGTTGACACTTTTGAGGTTATATTGAGAATTTTGAGGTTATGTAGACGATTTTGAATCAGATGTTGAGACCTTGTGATCGTTATGACCGTTGTGACCTCTCATACCTTTTTTGAGGTTATGTTAAAACTTTGGGGTTATGTGGACAATTTTTGAGGTAATGTTAAAAATTTTGCGGTTAATAAATTTGAGGTTTTGAAAATAAGTTGATTCATTTTTATTTCGAAATTAATAACCATTTTAGAAACTATGTACATTAAATATTGAAATTCTAAGTCTAAAGCTTTATTCGAATCTTTACAATTTAAGCCTTCTTTGTATCATTTTGTGTCTTATCATTTTCATTTTTCTTTAGTTCTACTTCTTGTTTCCTCTTTTCGTCCTCCTCCTCCTTCTTCTTCTTGTCTTCTTGTGCCTTCAACCAGTTCTCATCCTTTAGATTATCCGGAACATATCTCTTAGGATTGACATTCTCCATGTACCATTTAAATGATTTACAGTTTAATTCTTTCTTAAGTTCTAGTCTTTCTGTGATATTTCCATAGTCTCTGTTCTTTGTGTCTCCAACGGATCTGTAGTAATACTTCTTGTACTCATCATCAAGCCATATTTCAGCTATTCTGTCGTTGTTGTAAAGGACACTGTTTTGGCTTTTTACTTTGGTTTCGTAAGTGTGAGATTTAAACATGTGAGCTACAACAGAGCATGGGATGAGCTCAACTCGACCACCGCACATCTGGAAATTTATTTTGAGGTTAGAATGAAATTTTTCAGGTTAATCCGTTAAAACTTGAGATTTAGCTGACAGTTTTGAGGTTAAGTTGATCATTTGTGAGGTTATGTCGACGGTTTTAAAGTTAAGTTGATTATTTCGAGGTTAAGTTTCATTTTGAGGTTATGTTCATATTTGTCACTTACCCAAGTTCTAAAAGCCAGCTCTACATCTTCACTGCCCCAAATATCGAAATCTAAAGTAAAACAAATTTTATTTTAAATATTTTAATCAAAGTTGAATCGACTGTTTATAAGAAAACAACAAATGAAACAATGGACATTATTTCTCAACAATCAACAAAAGTGAAAAAAATTTACAACCCTAAATGTCACGAAAGTTAAGAATTTTTCTATTATTGCAAGCACTAGAGCTATAAAAAATTTTTACGACCCATTTTAAAACTCACCTGGATCGAAAAGTCCAATTTTCAACAAAAAATCCTTCCTGATTGCAAATGCAGCTCCAACAATTGTTGCCGATGGCTTTGGATCATACTTTGGTGTTGGATTGTCGCCTTCAAAAAATTCTATTGACACATACTTGTAAACCAAATCCCAACTGAATGATCCAATGTATCCGGGGGAGTCATCAAGTGTTACTTGCATTGTCTGTGGATTAAAAGAGATTGGAGTGGATTAGGAGGGTTGGATGGTAGGCTGGATGAATTATTAAGAGCGCTTAGAAGAGGATGTAGAGTTGGATGGAATATTGAGAAGGTCTGATTGTGCATTCTGATGATTTAAGATAGTTTAAACCTTCCAACTCTACTTTAAGTGGAAAAATCAGGATGAAATGAGGATCAATAAAAACAAAATGGCGGATTCAAAGCCTCTAAACCCACGCAATTCTACTAACCTCTGGATCTATCAAAGATACTTTCGGTCCTGCTAGTAGTGTCGGCTCTTCTGTCATTCTAGACAGTATAGGTTCAATCCATCCAGGTCCTACCTCACAGTGTGAATCTAAGTACACGATTACAGGTCCGACAGCGTTTCTACCGCCCAGAATTCTAGTTGGAATGATTCCTTGCCTTCTATGTGAACGGATTAGTCGAATTTTCGGATATTTCTTGATATATTCATCGAGATGCTCTTGAAGGTACTTCCTGTCTGAATGATCAAAGACAAGCAGCACTTCTGCAAGTAAATGATCAGGTGTTCTTAGTAGAATTGAATGAACAGTTCGCATCAGCAACATCCAGTCATCATCATGCACCATGACAATAACTGATGCTTTTGGAAGGTTCATTGGATATTTTTTGTTCTTGCAATATTCACTACGATTGTCAGGCAGAGCTCGATTAAGGCTGATCATACCAGAAGCTAATGCATTGTAGCCATAATTAGCTCGCATCATTTGATCCAATTTTTTAATGTAGTCTGTCTGATTGAATAAAATATTCAAAGGTTCACCATTTTCGCCAGCATTTGTGATATTCAGTTCCTTCATAATCCTTCGAATCTCATCCGTAATTCCATCATCAAGTTCCATCACTTCAGCTCTTTCCTTCTCACTCAGATCCTCAAACTTTCTTATATTCTCAATTTCAGTCTGACTAGCAGCAAAATTCACATTTTTCGTATAAATGTCCTTCGCAAGCACTGGATATCCACGTTGACCATTTTGTTGGAGGCGAATTATCGCGTCATTAACTTCACGAAACTTTCCCCAAAGTTCAGTAAAATTTAAGCAGCAATGAACCACAAATGTGAGGAATAAAATTAATACGAAAGTTTTTACAAACTGTCCAGCTTGACTTGTCTGTCTCATTGACAAATTTTTCATAATTTTTGCTAAAGCTTTCGGCTCGACCAGTGTCACAAGCTTTAATGACTGAAATTTTTGCTAATGTTTCAAATATAAAGGCAAAATAAAATTGCAAAATGTCGTTAACGATTTGTTGTCACGACTTTTTATTGAACTAATTTTTATAGGTTGAGTTATTAGGATCAATGTTCTAGAATCAGGGGCGTAGCCTGAAATTTGAAGAGGGCGTTTATATGAAAAAATTTAAGGGGGGGGGGGGGGATTTTTCCCCAAAATCCCCCCCCCCCCCCCCCCCCTTTGGCTACGCGCCTGTCCAGAATTAATGGAACTAGGGATGTAAACTAGCGCTAATATGCATGTTGGGATATGCAACAGACCTAGTCTACCTTAAAACAGACCTAGTCTACCTTAAAACAGACCTAGTCTGGTTAAATTGAAGCTAGTCTACTCAAAAAGGACTAAATCTGCTTAAATCTGACCTTATCTAGCCCAAAAAGAGATCTAGAATACTAAATACGGACCTAATGTCCCTCAAAACAGACGTTTTTAACTCCAAAACAAACATTGCCTTCCCTAAACAGAGGCGTATCCTAAGAAAGGTTCAAAAAAGATATTTTTGAGGTTATTTTATTCAAAATATATCACAAAATACAGCAAATTCCTTTCATTCATAATCATCATCAGTTTGATTTCCCATTTTTTTCATCCCCTCGTCCCTCTTCTGATACCAAAAGTCAGTCAGATTCGTTTCATTTGTCGGTATTGGCATCAATGGATAGACATTCTCTAGCAACCATTTGAATGACTTGCAGCCTAGCTTCTTCTTAAGTTCCAGTCTGTCTTTGATGTCGCCGAAATTTCTAGGCTTTGTGCGTTTTGTAGCTGTGTAGTAATGCTTCTTGTACTCATCATCCATCCATATTTCAGCTGTTCTGTCGTGATTGTAGTAAACGCCGCCTTTTTCTTTCGTTGCCATTGTGTATGTGTGCTGTTTGAGCATGTGAGCTACGACTGTACATGGAATTAGTTCAACACGACCACCGCACATCTGGAATTGATGGGGATTTTGAGGTTAGAATTATAAATTTTTAGCAAGGTGAGCATTGACTTACCCAAGTTCTTAAAGCTAGTTCCACATCCTCTCCACCCCAATAGTCGAAATCTAGAAACAAAAATTGAGCAACTTAGTCAGAAGTTTAATTTTACTTATTCATACCCGGATCAAAGAGTCCAATTTGATGGAAGAAGTCCTTCTGAATTGCAAAGCATGGTCCGATCATAGTAACTGTTGCTTTTGGTTCAAATCTTGGTGTGGGTTTGTTTCCTTCAAAGTACCTGATTGTCATGAACTCAAAGTACATGTCCCAACGGAAAACTCCAATCTTTCCTGGCTTCTTGTCTAGCTTAACTTGTAATGTCTGGAATTTAAAGAATTTTTTGTGGCATTTTATGGGTTGCTGTGTAACAGAAATGGGTTGGGAATGTGGGGTACCCTAGGATAGTCCAGGCAGTTGAGTAGTTCTAGAAACTAGTCCCAGAGAGTAGCCAGAAGGATTCGAATCGATAAAGACGGTTCTTCTTTAAGATATTGACTCTAAATCTCTTCTAGCTTCATCTTTAATGCTGTACTGAACATTTAGTTAACTTACCTCAGGATCGATACCTGATATCTTCGCCCAAGCTAACACTGTTGGATTTTCATTGATCCTACTCAACATCGGTTCAATCCATCCAGGCAAAACTTCAACATGCGAGTCTAAGTACACGATTACAGGTCCAATTGCATTTCTCCCGCCTAAAATCCTAGTTGGGATGATTCCTTGCCTTCTATGTGACCTGATTAGTCGAATGTTTGGGTATTTTTTGATGTATTCGTCGAGCTGTTCTTGGTAATATTCCCTGTTTGAATAGTCAAAGACAAGAAGAATCTCTTCAAGCAGATGATCAGGTGTTCTCAACAGAACCGAATGGATGTTCCGCATCAGTAACATCCAGTCGTCGTCATGAAATGGAATCACAACAGAAGCTTTTGGTAGATTTTTCGGATACTTTTTGGTCTTGCAATATTCACTTCGATTGTCAGGCAGTGCTCGATTAAGACTGACCATGCTGGATGCTAAGGCATTGTACTTGTATGTGCCACGAAGCATTTGATCAAGCTTCTTTATGTTGTCATTGTAGCTTGCATTAAAAACGACAGGTGCACCATTCTCACCAGCATTTGTGATGTTAAGCATTTGCATGACTCGCCGTGTCTCATCTGTGATTCCATCATCAAGTCCAAGCCGTTCTGCACGTTCCTGCTCACTAATTCCTTCGAAACTTTTAAATTGATTTGAAATTATTCTAGACGAGCTCATAAACCAGCCAGTGTTGAGGAAAATTGTAACAATAAAGATGAAAATGAATATTTTTATTAAAATTCCTCGACTTGGTGGTCTGATTGGCAGGAACTTCATTGTCAGCTATGAGCTTTATGATGTCTACTTATGAACTGATAAGTAGTTTAAGTTTTGGCCAGCTGAAATGTTTTCAAAATTGTCGTGTGAAGGAAAAAAGTCACGTTTTTGAAGGCATTTGTGTTTTTTTGGAAAGCTCGCGTGTCGTGACTGTTAATCAGGAGACAAAAGTCATTTCTCTTAGAGATTCTTTGTTGCATCACATGCTGCTGTGTTGTTGTTGACGGACTGACGATGGTTTGATCAAGTTAAATAAGGTTTGCAGGCTTAAGCAGACTCAGGGCTAAAGTTTGAATGACTGACTGATTTTTATGGCTTTGAATGACTCAAACTGACTCAAACTGACGTTAAGTGACTTAAACTCATTCTGACCTGACTCTAGCTAACTGGAAAGAGCCCAAGCATTCTAGAAACCCATTGTCGTGTCCTATTATTCCCTCAATCTGATTTATGAGTCACGATTTCTTTTATCGAACAAAATTTTCCATAACTTAAAAGTCTAAATAAACTCAAATCGATAAAACTGAGCCTTGTGTAGGAACAAATCATGACTGGGTCATTAGTTTCAGTTTAATGATCCGCAAATTGTGGATAAAAATGTAATAAAATTTTAATTTTTATGGATTTTTATTGAGTAATTCTAAAGTTAAGATTTTATTATCTAAATTCCTTGTCTTCAGGTCTTCTAATTTCATCAGGAACTCCCATTTTAGGATGAACATTTTCAAGGAACCATTTAAATGATTTGCAGCCTAAACTTTTCTTCAATTCCAATCTTTCTGTGATATTTCCAAAATTTCTGTCTTTTGTGTGTCCTACGGATCTGTAATAATACTTCTTATACTCCTCATCCAGCCATATTTCAGCTATTCTGTCATTATTGTACAATGCACCGTCATTAGCTTTTGTGTTTACTGAATAAGTGTGTGATTTGAACATATGGACGACTACTGAGCATGGAATCTTGTTCACTTGACCGCCGCACATCTAGAAGAATTTTTTTTATATTTGAGGTTAGGTTGAGATTGAATCAGGCGCGTAGTCAGGAAGACCTTGCCCCCCCCCCCTTAAACGTTTTGAACCGCATCGAGAGCACGGCCTTAATTGCTTAAGAGGGGGACAATACCCTCCTGGCTACGCGCATGAATTGAATAATAGATTTTGATCATCATACCCAAGCTCTGAATGCCAACTCGACATCCTCACCTCCCCACATGTCAAAATCTAGAAAAATTTGAAGAAATTTTAGAAATTAAGTGTTATAATGGTTCTTTAAGAATTAGGGCAAATCTTGAACTAGACCCTGATCCCCATCGACCTATACCAGTGATGGTCAACCCATGTGCCGCGGCACACCAGTGAAAAAATGCAGAAAAACCCTTAAACCGTATGCCATGTACGATCATGGCTTACCGTAAAAGTGTGGCACAAAAAAGGTTGGGCATCACTGAACTCTACTATGAGTTTTTTGGGCTTGAAGTAAGTTGACTTAAATCTACAGCTAACCTGGTGTATTTTAAGCCACAGCTACATCTGGTGTATGTAAAGCTAAGAATACCCACAGCTACAACCAACTCCATCACAACCTATCTACTCTTAATCATTCACTCACCTGGATCCATCAATCCAATTTTATGGAAGAAATCCTTCCGGATCGCAAAACAAGCTCCAAGAATTGTTACCGATGGTTTTGGTTCGAATTTTGGCGTAGGTTTGTCGCCTTCATACCAGTCCACGTCCATATATTCAAAGTTAAGATTCCATCGGAATGATCCTATCCTGCCAGCTTCACTGTTTGTCCAAACTTGCATGGTCTATGAAAAAAATTCATTAACAAGGGGGTAAGAGCTTGATGGAAAAAGATTTTTGTATGGCTTAATTTTTACTAAGGGGAAAACAACTTGCATGGGAAAATTTGGAAAGCAAGTTCAATTTTGTATTGCTAAACTTTTTCCCAACATGTTGTTTTCCCCTTTTTTAATCCACATGAGGGTCAATATGTGTCGAAAGTCGTTTGCTGTATACGATTTTGAGTCAACTAATCCAAAAATCCCACAACTCGTATCCAAACTAGTATCAAACGATGCACGTGACTTTGAGCCATAAAATGCACAAATGATTTGGAACAAGATAGATTGAGCCATTCGTGTGCATCATGCATCTACATACTCACATCAGGTGACATTGTCGATATTTTACCCCAAAGAACAGCATTTGGTGCTTCAACAAATCTAGCTAGAATTGGCTCAAGCCATCCAGTCGTTACTTCACAATGGGAATCGATAAAAATCAAAACAGGACCGACTGCATTTCTAGCTCCAAGAATTCGAGCACTGATGATTCCTTGCCTTCTATGTGACCGAATGAGTCGAATTTTTGGAATTTTTTTGATATAATTTTCTAATTTTTCCTTAAAATATTCACGTTCTGAGACATCGTGGATTAAAAGGATTTCCTCGATCAGATGATATGGTGACCTTAGAAGTATTGAGTGAACCGTCCGCATTAACAACATCCAGTCATCATCATGAAACTGAATAATTATGGAAACTTTTGGTAAATCTTTTGGATACTTCTTCATTTTGCAGTAATCACTCCGATTGTCAGGCAGTGCTCGATTAAGGCTGATCATACTTGATGCTAAGGCATTGTAGCCATAAGTTTTGTACATCAGGTCCTTAAGTTTGCTGATTTCTGTGCTGAGATTCTGTGGAAAAATCACTGGCGCTCCATTTTCACCAGCATTTGTGATATTCAGTTCCTTCATGATCCTTTTAGCTTCATCGGATATCCCATCATCTAATCCGAGCAGTTCTGCCTTCTTTGCCTCACTGATTGTCTCCTCAAATTCTAAATGCTGACCAGCAGGCAGTCTTTGTTGTAGAAACTGTCCAACATTTTCTCTTAATATCAAAATTGTCATGTTATCCTCGCGGAACTTAAGGAACACATCCGAATAAAAATACGAAATGTAAAAATTCACAGCAAAAATTGTGAAAAGTACAAGAAAAATGTTTTTTGCAAATGTGCTGGCTAGAACTGACTGTCGTACTTGAAATGCTGTCTTCATTCTTGAAATTTCTGAACTGACTGAATGTTGGCGAATGAATGAAATTATTTTAATTGAACGTCCAGCTTTTGAGGCTAGTTTGATTTATTAGAAAAAGTCGTGAGTCACGGTTTGGCTGTTTCATTGAATTAGCTATTAAGTCGCTTTATTGGCGGAAATTTTAAAGGCAAAGGTAAATTTGTGTGCTTAATTTGAAGGTTAGGTGTAGGCTAGGTATAGGTTAGGTAGCGGGGTATAGGTTAGGTATAGGTTAGGTATAGGCTAGGTATAGGTTAGGTCTACGTATGGTTTAGGTCTTTGCTTGACTAGGTCGTAGGTTACATAAGATTATCTTTTATTAGATTAAAAAGCTGATGTAATTATAATTTTGAAAAAATGCGCTTTATTCACAGTTAACTTTGTGTGACTTTTTGACTTGATCATTTTTCTAATCCTTCTTTTGCAGCTTATCAGCATCTAGTTTCCTTTGTTCCTCAACTTCATTTCTTTTCTGTTCTTCCTCGTCTTTTAGTCGTATTTCTTCTTGTTTCCTCTTTTGCTCTTCTTCGTTCTTTCTCTTCTGTTCCTCTTCAGCCCTTTGCCTTTGATCTTCTTCAGCTTTTCTTTTCTGCTCAGCTTTTTGTCTCTCCTCCTCATCAAAGTCTCTTACATGTTCAGGAAGTGGCATCTTTGGATGCAATGTCTCAAGAAACCATTTGAAGGATTTACAGCCCAACTTCTTCTTTAATTCCATTCTCTCGGTTATATCTCCATAATATCGATCCTTTGTATGTCCCATGGCATTGTAATAATACTTCTTATACTCATCGTCAAGCCATATTTCAGCTATTCTGTCAGTGTTAAATCGAGCACCACCTTTGCCTTTACTGTTGTGTGAGTATGTGTGACTCTTGAACATATGAGCTGCCACAGCACATGGAATCATCTCAACACGACCGCCGCACATCTAGAAAGAGAGAAGCCAAGTCGTTAAAGAAGGTTAAATCTGAATCTTGGACTTTTGTCTTGATTGAATGGAAACTTACCCACGCTCTGAATGATAGTTCCACATCTTCACCGCCCCAAATGTCATATTCTACAAATTCACATAAACTTTAATTAAGTCTTGACATATAAGCCACAACATACCCGGATCAAAAAGTCCAATATGATGAAAATAATCTTTTCTAACCGCAAAACAAGGTCCGATAAAAGTCAGTGTTGGTTTTGGTTCAAAAGTTGGTGTAGGTTTGTCCCCTTCGTACCATTTAATGTCCATCCAATCAAATCCCATGTCCCATCTAAATGTGCCTAATGCTCCTGGATCTGGACCTAAATGAGGCTCTAGTGTCTGGAATTTCATTATTTTGGTTAGATTTTGTATGATTTTATGAAGGTATGGGATAGGGTATGGGATAGGGTATGGGATAGGGTATGGGATAGGGTATGGGATAGGGTATGGGATAGGGTATGGGATAGGGTATGGGATAGGGTATGGGATAGGGTATGGGATAGGGTATGGGATAGGGTATGGGATAGGGTATGGGATAGGGTATGGGATAGGGTATGGGATAGGGTATGGGATAGGGTATGGGATAGGGTATGGGATATGGTATGGGATAGGGTATGGGATAGGGTATGGGATAGGGTATGGGATAGGGTATGGGATAGGGTATGGGATAGGGTATGGGACAGGGTATGGGATAGGGTATGGGATAGGGTATGGGATAGGGACAATAAAGTAAAAAATTACTCACATCTGGGCTGATCCCAGTTGTTTTTGCCCATGCAATTAAATTCGGAGCTTCTTTGATTCTTGCTAAAATTGGTTCAAGCCATCCAGGTGTAACTTCACAGTGACTATCGACCATCACAATAACAGGTCCGATTGCATTCCTAGCTCCCATAATTCTAGTCAAAATGATTCCTTGTCGCTTTGGTGAACGAACAATTCGAATTTTCGGATATTTTTTGATATATTCGTTAAGCTCTTCATGGTAATATTCACGATCCGAGAGGTCATAAGACAGCAGAATCTCATTATATAAATGATCAGGTGTCCTCAACATCACTGAATGGATACAACGCATTAGTAACATCCAATCATCATCATGAAATGGAATAACAATTGATGCAACTGGCAAATCTTCTGGATATTTTTTATTTTTGCAATAATCATCTCGTTTGTCAGGCAATGCTCGATTGAGGCTGATTAAACTTGATGCTAGTCCATTGTAAAGATATTTCTCATAATAACTTTGATTTAATTTTTTAATATCCTCGCTGGCACTTTCAGGAATTATGACAGGTTCGCCATTTTCTCCTGGATTTGTAAAATTCAGTTCCTTAATAATTCTTCTCGCTTCATCTGTAATTCCATCATCAAGTCCAAGCAATTTCGCACGTTCTTTTTCACTCAAATCATCAACAAACTTAGCCTCTTGCATTTGTGGCACTCCACGTTGCATTAAGTTTGCAAATTTATCTTGAAATGCTTGCAGCTGTAAATTTTCATCACGAAACTTTTTAAAAACTGCCGAACTGTTTGTTGAGGAGTAAATGTTGAGGACCAGTACTATGAAGGAAATGATGAAGAAAATCTTGAGGCAGAAGCCTAATTTATTGACTTGTCGGAAGCCCAACACCTTCATTTTTAAACTGAAATAGCTACTTCAAGTGTCCGAAAGTAAATGAAATTATTTTTTTTAAATTAATTTTTTTATTGAGTTAAGTTTGAGTCGTGACGTTAGGAAATAAATGCTTAGTTCTATGTATTGTATAATTGTATATTGTGCATGATGTGACGACATAGTCGGTGTTGTTAGCCGTACATGCTTAGTAGGAGAGCAGCCGGTCAAAAATGCCCCTTAAATTGATCCATCCCTTTCCTGGCTATGCCCTTGATGCTTACTAGAGCGACAAAAAACTATGTTGATATGGTAGCGGCTTGAATGCGACTCCTTGTTGAATTTCTTCTTAGGCCAAACTGTCTTTGTTCGCTTGGCGTTGCCACGAATCACAAGGCAGCATTACAGAAGGAGAAATTGAACAAAGAGTTACTTTCAAGTTGCTACCATGTCCACATAAACTTAATGTGCTTGGGTCAGCCTTTTTAATGAATTTTATTAAAGTTCAGGTTTGGAGGTGTAGCCAATTGGGTTTGGCAAAGATGGAATGACGATGTCTGCCATGGTAAAGCCCCCCTCCCCCCCTCAGCTATTGAGTCGTCCGTTCGTTTTAGGTTGAGGATCTGACCGCACCTTTGATAGAATTTTTAATCATAAATAAGTTTGCATCACCAGATTTGGCACTAAACCCTTTAAAATAGTCAAAAATGTTTAAATCCGTAAATTCAATTTTTCTCATCAAAAATTCCATCAAAGCTTCCTCATTTCCAGCAAAGATCTTCTTCAAATATTCAGCAAGCTGCTTACAAGTGTCTTTATCAGCATACCGAATGACTCGAATCATAAATTCATTCGATTTCAAAATTATGTCCTGAATTTCGGTTCTGTTAAAATATTTCTCATAAATTTGACCAACCAGAATCATCGGACCGCCAAACTTGATTGAATTGAACAAGCTAAAGTGAAATATTTTAAAATTTGTGTAGTCAAAATCGAAGTAAATTTTGCCATCGCTTCCTGTGTTCCTGATCTTGCCAAAATTATCATCTTTAAGTAGAATCTCCTTCTGTTGCTCCAAAGTCGTGTGCTGCACAAAAAATTTCCACAAATTTTCAAATAAAAAATTAAAAACTGTCGCGCGATGCAAAATTGTGTCTTTTTTAAAAGTTTCAAAAATTTCAAAATTTGTCAAAAAAGATTCAGTTTTTGTGAGGATGAAGTTGAGAAGTTTGCTGAGTTTTGCTGGACGAAGGTATGAGCCGGCTTTGACTAATCCATTGATAGCTGGTCCGATGAGCAATTTTGTGTCATTTATGGACAGCAAGTTTATGTTATTTTCCCACAAATTTTCATAATAAATTGACTCAAATGTTGGCATTTGAATGACTGTCTTGGTATAGATTAATAAATATTTTAAAAATTCAATTTGTTCGATTTTTGTGAGGTTAGGTTTGAGGATGTCGAAGATGTTGAAGATGTTAGTGATGTTGAAATCGGTTAAGCTGAATTGATCGTGAACTTTGATGACTTTTGAGTTTTTAAATCGAGCAATTCCGAACAAAATTTTACCTTTTTGATTTTTTGGATTTAAAAATTGAGCGAATTCTGAAGAATTTAACGAGTTTTTAGCAATTTCTTTGATTTTTTGTGGATCAATGTTTAAAGGCCAGTATTCAGGATTGAATGTTGCTGTATAGAATGTCTCATTATCGTCAATTTTAAGCAGCTTAGTAAGAAGTTTGTGATCTTTGTTGAAAAACTTGAAAAACATTTCAAAAATGTCCGATGTTCCTTGATTAAGAGCATTAATGAATAAATTTTTATGTTTATTCATCAAAAGTGACGAAATTTCAGTGCTGAATGGCTGAATATTTGGATTTGAGTCAATAAAATTCATCAAAAATTTACAAATTTTCGGCTCATATTTTAATCCGTCAAACAAAATTATCAAATTTTCATCAAATTTCCGCTCATTTTTTAACAAATAAAAATTCTCAATAAAAAATTGAGCGACAAAAAATTCAGCAAAGGTTCGATGAGCAAATTCAAACTCAAATTCAGTGTTTATGTACAAAATTCCCATTCTTGAAATTTCATCGAATGGCAAAGTTTTTGGAATTTTAACTTTAAAAATTTCCAATTTTTTGACATTTAAATATTTTGGAAAGATTTGAATCAGCCCGTATTTTTGAAAAATCTTCTTAATATCAAATCCAGATCCAGAAGTCAGCAAAAAATTGGTCAAATTCTTAGCAAATTCACTTCTTTCCTGCCAAATTTTGACTTTTTTGCTCACAAATTTTTCATAAATTTTATAGAAATTTTCAGATTTAATTAATTTTGGATCTTCATGGACTTCCGAGATCAGCTTCAGCATCAATGGAGTATAAAGCTTTAACTTTTTGGATATATTTTGAATGTTTTGGACAATTTCTTCAATTTTATCGCTGTCGACTTTTTGGGTTTTAAACAATTTTGTTAAAAATTCATTCTGTTCATTAATATTGAACGGAATCAGCTGGTATGGATGGAAATTAAGCTTATTTTGGATTTGCCTAGAGTATAAAGGTCTAGTGCAGATGTACTGGATGTTTAAAGTACTATTAAAGATGTTCTGGATTAAATTAAGCACAAATTTGCTATAAGTCGGTGAAACTTCATCAAATCCATTCCAGAGGATGACTACATCCCCAGTCTTGTACAATTCTTCAAACATTCTCACCTCAAATTCATTTTTAAGGTCCAAACTTAAGATTCTCTTCAAAACATCCACGAGGGTCATGTCTGACTCAAACAACTCCGTATGATTCCTTAATTCAACATAACTGACCCACTTCATTGGATACTTCCTCTTAATCCTCATTGTAAGCTGTTCAAAAGTGACAGTCTTGCCGGCACCAGCTTCTGATGACAACACAAAGATTCTCTTCTTATCTGTTCTGTAAATTACTTCATCCATGCCTTCATAAACATTGTAATGCTTCATAGCACCAAGATTATTGACTTGACCCTCAAAAATGAACTTCCTTTCCACATAAAATTCAGTCCTATTTTCAATTATTTTACCAATAATCAATTCTTTCCCATCCAGCACATCCACAATCTGCTCTGATGTGAAGGAATTGAGGATTTCTGAATTAAAATTCTCAAATTTCAAGCTTTCTGCTTGAAAAGTAAAGTTTGAGGTTAGAACTTTGTTTCTCAACTTTCCCGCCAAATTATTCCAATCATGATTAATCAAGTCATTCAAATAAGTCAAGTGTGGATCAGTAAAGTTCAAAGGATGTCCATCAAAAATCTGAGTAATGTGCTCAGAAGTCAATTTAGAATAAGCTGTGGAATTGTCACCAAATAAATCAGAGAACCTAACCTCAATATTTTTATACGACACAATCCCATCCCTAAGCCTCAACTTATCATTATCTGACAGATCCTCAAACTTATAAAATGGCTTGTGGACAGCATAAGCTACAATAGCAGCTGCAAGCATTATTCCAATGACTGAAAATACAGCACTTAAAACTAATTTTTTCCTTAATTTTGAAATTTTTTGATCCTTTTTTTCGTTCGCTTGTTCCTCACGTCTTTCAATGTCCGGAATGGCTGCTTTCATCTCATTGATGACTTTATCAAAAAATTCAAATAAATCTGGAAAGATTTTATGATTTTCGTCAAGCTTTTCAGGCTGATCCAAGAACATAGCAATCATATGTGCTGGACGGACAATTAACTCAGCATGATGCATGTCTGGAGGATAGCATTCATAGACCAGATTTACAATCTCTTCCTTTTCAGCTTCCTTTTGACATTTTTCATTAATTTCTTCAAATTCTTGCATTGTTTGGTTGTCATTGATGCTGTATGGATTCGCCATATTGGAATAAACTAAATTGACAGCATAATGACACAACTCGTGTGCTAGAGTAGCTATAGCATGTGATTTTGTTGACTTATCAAGCAGCTGCTTAGCTCCAATGTAAATCCTTCCCATGACATAAAAAACACCTTCTGTATTGTCAGAGACTGTTGGATCTGCGATATTTACAGCATCTCGATTAAAGTCGTAGATTATTTGGAATTTTTTGGATGCAGCCACGACTTTGAGGATCGTGTTGAGCTTTTCATTTTGACTTAACAGCTTATAAGCTTCCTTGATGTGCCTTAGCTTGCCATCAGCATCTGGTACGTCATGGCTAATGGATGAGTTTGTCATAAGGATGTTGATGTGCTTGTCTGGAAGGTCTTTAGAGTGTTTATGATGAAGTTCTCGGATTAATCGTTGATCTTCATACTCTAAGTCATCAAAGACTCCTTGTTCGTACTCATGCGGTGCCAGAAATATTTCATTAATTAACAGAATCTCATAAATATCGAAAGCTTTTGCATCAATTGCGACTCTAGCTGCTGATTTGTTGGACAAGTCGAAGTAAAATTCCAAATTTTTGTTGATTTTTAAAATTTCTTCAACTTTTTCATAGTTTTTGGCATTGATCGCTTGATGGAGGTGCTTAGTTGGCTTGTAGAATGCTTTAAAATTATTTGACAATTGATTGATGTCGATTCCTTCTGGATATGGCAAATTTGCTAGCGCTAAGATGACAAGCACCTCAGAATGTCGATTTATCCATGCTAAATCTTGAGCATTGGCTTCATCATCAGCTACTGGAGAGAGTTTCATATCCAAAAGACTTTTGACAGCCTCAGCATTTCCATCTTCAGCGGCAATGAGAAGTAAGTTGTAGTTTCGAGAGTCAGCAAGAGAATTTATGTCAATTTCATTGTCATTTGAAGTGAAGCTGTTGATGCCTGGAATTAAAAAAATGTCAATTGCCAGAAAAAAGTCATTAAAAGCTTAAAACTTACCTAATTCACCTCTGCTTAAGGAACTTGCCAAAAAGTCAGCAATGTATCGATACAAACTCTTGTCAGGTCCTACAAACTCATCTCCGAGACACTTAAGCGCGAAAAATGATGAATTTTTACTAGATTTCCAATAAATTGACTGCTGTTGCTCATCTTTTGATTCCAAAGACATCACAATGGACTTATTTATGGAATTTTCACTGAGAATTTCTAGTTCCTTCTGCAAAAGTGCTCGATAATTTTCCTGAACTTTGATATTCAGCTGTAGAACATTGTCAGTATTTAATAGTTGATCTTGTAAGTCACCTGATTGGAATGCCTTAACAATAGCTTCAACATTTATGCAGTTAAAAACTGTTTGTTGATTTATTTCACTAACCAAAACTGGCTCATTTTTGATAGGAATGTTCATCATAGGAACTAAAAAGATAAGATGATGTTGATGTAGTTAAATGCCAAGGTCGTTTCTTCATATCAATTTTTCATGTTTTACTTACTTCCATGTCCACTTTCTATGTCTTTTAAATTCCATTGTTGAGATATATTTGACAATTTTTGAGAATCAATTTTAGACATTTTTAAAGAGAATATTCGATTTAATTAGACATTTAAGGTAAGCTTTAAAAATTAAGTCTTCAGCACTCAACAGCACACAAGAAACTGAAGCTGGTTTTATAAAATCTTCAAAAAATAATAAAAAGAAACCGGTAAATTAGCATATTTGTGTGACTGAGAGTTATTTCGTTCGTCACAATCAACAAACAGATGCTAGCCAGCCAACAGACAGCCAAATTTACAAATTTTATGACAGCCAGATAGACCAGTGGTGTCCAACCTTTTTTGTGGCATGACACACTTTGGTGGTAAGCCAGAACCAAAACCACAAACGGTATACGATTCATTGAATTTTCTGAAATTTATTAACATTAGTTGTCCGTACTGAGATAGACGAATCAAATTGTCGAAAGCCAGCCAGAAAACCAGACAGACAAAAAACATACTTAATTACACATAAATGGCTTGTAGTGTTCATAGTTGAGGAAATTCCTGGTTAATCTTCATCAGAATCAGTTTAGAGGCATAGTCATGGGAACTCCTTAGGTGCACGAGAAAACTCCCCCCCCCCCTCCCCCCTTGAAACTGAAATTTTTATAAAAATTTTTTTTTGAATTTTCAAAGCAAGAACAGTAAAATTTGCTTGAATAGAGAAGGTATTTTTTGATTTTTGACATTAAACGTTTTTTTGGACCCCTCCCCCCTCCTTTTTGAAAAGTCCTGGCTACGCCCTAGTCATTGCTTATAATCTCAACTACTAGGGGCAAGGAAGTAGCCAAGAATTTTAAGAGGGGATGACAAAATTTTTTTTTGTATGGAAAAATTTAAGGGGGGGGGGGGGATTTTTGTGATTTTTCCTTAAAAACTCTAGCAAAATAAAGAAATTTCTTTTTACGTTGGGGGATTTGTCCCCCAAATCCCCCCCCCCCCCCCTCCCCTTGGCTATACTCCTGCCAACTAAATCCCTTAAAAAAATACAAAAAATTCAAATTCTCATTTAAAAAAAGCTTCTCAATCTCAATTTTAATAAGTCACTTTCAGTCTCACTTTATGCCTCAATATGCTCGACACAATTATCTCTTGAGACACAATAAATTTGAGAATAATCTTAAAACTGTTCAACTGCACCAATCGATCTCATTACTCAGTCTCATCGCGCTCTTTGGGTCATCAAGTTGTGTCTTTTGCTTATCTTGAACTGAAATTACTGAAAAATATTGACTATTTTTTTGATAAGAATTCGACCTTTAATAAGAATTATTTTATTTTGACTGTTTTAATGATGAAAAGACGGAAAAAGTGAGAATTTAATAAAAATTGTGTGAATTTTCAATCTTTACATGCCAAAAACTCATGCTCGAAAGTGAAGATTAAACTTAAAAAGTCTGGAAAAGTGTTAAAAAATTAAATTTCAATTTTACAAACAAAATCTCAAAGTTTATTAAGCAAAATATCGTGTAAAGTGCACTAAACAGCATCGACGTGCGTCAGTCGAAAGTAAAAACAGGAAGAAAAAAACAATAAATAAAGTTCGAAGACCATAAAAATAACTTTTAGTATTAAAAACAATCAATTCTTAAATGTAAGTTTGACAAAATATTTTTAACTCTCAATTTTCACTCTCATAAGTCGTCCGACTCTAACCTTTGTGCTTATTCTCAGTTATTTTTTCTGTGTCTGATAAGACTTTCACTTAATGGTGCATGTCAGCACGCGACAAACAAGCATGGCTTGATTATTTTTAGATTCTTTTACTCAAAAATAAATTTTATTCTCATTGCTGGAGGTGTGTCTATCGTATGCAGTCATTGAATGAGGTTAAAAGAACAGCTGGTTGAGATTATTGTTTTGTTGTGATGGAACAATCCAGCATGTAGACTTTGGTTGTTCTTATCAGTTTTGAGTCGTAAATATGATAATTTGGACTTTGTGATTCAGTTGGGGATCGACTTTGTTCGTATGTTGTTTACTTGGTTTTCTCATCCTGGATCAATTCCTGAAAATTAAACCAGTGGTGTTCAACCTTTTCTGGGCCATGGTACACCTTGATGGTAAACCATGACCGAAATCGAACCTTGAAACCGTGTTTCGTGAAATTTTTTGCGGCCAACCTATTTCATCACTGTCTTAATTAGATCAATAAAGTTGATATTTATCTGGTAGCAAGGCACTGCCCATGACTTCACTTAAACCTCAAACTATGAATCATCACTCTGGCATGAAAATAAGATCACACAGAGAATAATTGATTGAAGTGTCAGCTATTAATTAAGTAATTAATTGAAATATTCAATTATTTTTAATTGAACAACCAAACATCCGGTTGCATATGCATCAATCTTGACAAAGAGCATTCAAACTTGTTATCTTGACTCAGAGGAGCACCAAGTTCAGTGGTTCTCAAATGTTTTAGGCCTAGGAGCAATGATTCTGCGCTTCACTAGCAACCACTATTGACACATCTAGAATTTTATCGAGTTCCGTGAACCAAAGTTTGAGAAACACTGTCCCGATTAAACAAACAAACCTTAAATATCAAGGAAATCCCCAAAATATTTCTATTCTGCTCTTCCTGAATTACTGATAATTTTTGTTTTATTTATTTCTATATAAATATTTAATACCGGCCGGCATTTCCAGTTTGCAATCTCAGCATTTCCATAATCGATCATTCTAGTGCAGTAGACTTTGAGTTCAACTTTGATTACTATTTGCAATTAATTGAGAATCTTGCATTTCTAGCCTTAAACAATGGAGCTCAACGCAACAGGATTTATGCTTCAAACAATGTTCTTCCTCGTCAATCATAATGCAACAGATTTTATGGACACAGTTTTCAATGAAGTCGCTCCACAGCCAGTCGATCCAAATGAGACGAGATGTTTTGGTTCTTATGGATGCTTTCCGATTGGATATCCATGGACGTCGGAGCAGAGAGCACATAGTGTGTTGTAGGTATCAATAGCTTTAGTCAATTCCAGTCTACAACTTTAATTCTTTAAAATGCGCTTTTGTCATTACAATTTGAAATTTTCTTACTTGTGGCTTCTAAGTTTCAACATTAAGATAGGAAATTTTAAATTAAATTGCATTTTCAAATTTTGCGCGTCTGTCACATCACTTTAATAACTTCCTTACTTGTTTCCAATTTCAGCCCATTTGGTCCATCAATCCTAGACGTTAAGTTCAACGCCTTCACCAGAAAGCACAGAAAAGTTCCAAAGCTTCTGGACATCAACGACCCATACACAATAGTCGATGCTGGTGTCAGTCCATCACATCCAATATACTTTGTCACTCACGGATTTTTAGAGTTTGGTGGAGCTCCGTGGATAAGAAAAATGCGAGAGGAACTTCTGATCAACAATAAGCATTCAACAGTAATTGTGATAGACTGGAAAGGTGGCTCGTCGCCTCCTTATTATCAAGCTGTATCGAATATTCGATTAGTTGGTGCCATTGTGGCTCATATGATTTATACAATTTATGAGGAGCTAAAGTTGAGGAACTTGGATGATGTTCATCTGATTGGACATAGTTTAGGTTGGTTCTTATGATTAATTTGTGGATTTTTGATAGAATATTTTATGTTTTAGGTGCTCATATGAGTGGATATGCTGGATACTATCTGCAAAAGGACTTTGAACTTAAATTGGGTAGAATTACAGGTAGGACTTCCTATAACTCTGAAATTTTACTCAGTTTAAGGAAGTTTTATGTTTTAAATTCTAGGAATGGATCCAGCAGGTCCTTATTTCTTAGGCACTGAGCAAATGGTCAGACTGGACTTCTCAGACGCTAAATATGTGGACATAATTCACTCAGATGCTTCACTTCTTGTTGAACGAGGTTTTGGTATAAGACAGAGTATCGGTCATGTTGACTTTTATCCAAATGGTGGAGATAATCAGCCTAAATGTAGTAATGTGAGTATTTAATGTAGTACCCAAGGTATAGACATGAACTAGTGGTTGGTTATGATTAGTGGACATGTCTAGTCTTGATCGAACTATGACATTGCTCAGGTCGAGCTCACATCGAGTCTGTGATTCAGTTCGAACTATCTTGACGAACTGTGACCTTAATCTAAGTATCGTAGGGATAAATCATAGAAATAGTTGAGAACTAAGGATAGACTTACCTCCTGGATGCTATGCAATCCACATTCCATGCCAACCCTCCACTAATCCTGAGCTTCTTCATCTTAATCATCAACTATAGCCCTTATTTACTTAAACCTAACCTCATTCTTATCTCTATCTTCCAGTCAGTCAACGTAGCATGCGATCATGTCCACTCAGTCGAGCTATTTACTGAAAGTATCAACTCAAAATGCCAATTCATGTCAATCACATGCGAGAGCTATGAATCATTCAAAAAAGGTCTTTGCAATCGATGTAATAGGAACAGCAATTATTGCATAAGATTCGGATTCAACAGCTTTGCAAGCTACAAATCAATATTCTCAAAAGGCTATGCAAATCCAGGATTTTTAACATCAATTCCAACATACTTGATGACATCAGATAAGGAACCATTTTGTAGGGTTCACTATAAAGTCTTTGTTAAAGTTGCCAGCAACGATGAAAGTCGAATGCACGGCGGTGAAGTTGGATTTATTTACCTAAAATTAAGAAGCTCACATGGTGATGGACAGAAATTTTTACTAAATCAACAGTCAATTCACTTTGCACCAGGCAAGAATTTCACATTTTTAGCGATTGGCGATGAAGTTGAGGACATAAAGTCAGTCATTGTGGATTACAAGCATAAATCGACAGCAAATCCACTAACTTGGCGAGTTTTCACACCGAAAATTTATCTCGAATATATTTTAATCCAGTCAATGGAACAAAGTGACAGCGTGGAGCTGAAATTATGTCCGAGTCATGAAACTCCAATATCAAGTGGGGAAGGGCTGCTGTTCCAATGGGAATCATGTGAATATCAAATGAGGAAAGAGGCGAGGGAGAGAATTAAATAAAATAAATGTAAACTTTAGGATTAATAAAAAAATGATAATTTTAAATAATAAATGTCTTGTTTTTTATCTCCAAAAACACTTGTTCAAACCTTAACTAAATAGCTAGGAATGGAATTCAATTGATGAGGAGCGATATCGACACATGAACAAACACAAAAACTTTCTATTTTGATGATATTTCTTTTGCTACGCATTTATGAGATGTAGGAAAATTAAAACTGTGGGAACATGACCGGCAATTGCACGAGTTCAAAGCTTAGATGTTCCCTCATGGTTCCCTTGTTAGGGTTCAATCTAGTCCAACTGGTCTTAATCTTTCATCTAATTTCCTGAATTTGACTTTCAATCATAAAACTAATCTTGATAACTGTCATTTAATTGTCCATCACTATGTTAATACATTACTTCATACCAATCTATCCAACCTTAAAGTTTAAGGTACCACAAACTTTCCCTTTCCTCAATAATACACAAGAAACATCTCTAAAGCTTCTGACAGCAAAAAAGTTTGCCAGAATTTCATATAAATTTGGATAACACGTACGAAAGTTTTCAGTTTTTACATTTATCTGCTAAGATGAAGTACATAAATTTGATAATTTTTATTGCTGTCGTGTCTAAGTCAGTTGAGGCATGGCCTATAGATAATTTTTTTGATAATTCTGGCTTTGATTTTAATCAATTTGGTTCGAAAGATGAAACTGGGGGTTTTGAAATTAACTCTCCAGTTCCGAATGCAGGTGCACCTCAATCTAATGAGCCTTCATTCGTAAAAGAAGCACAGCCTGAAATTCCTACATTTGTGAACGATCAAGAACCCGCTGTTCAATCACTTGTGAGTGCACCTGAACTTTCATCATTTGTGAATCCACCTGAAGTCCCGTCATTTGTGAATGCTCCTGAACTACCATCATTTGTGAATCCACCTGAAGTTCCGTCATTTGTGAATGCTCCTGAACTACCATCATTTGTGAACCCACCCGGAATTCAATCGTTTGTGAATGCTCCTGAACTTCCATCATTTGTGAATTCACCTGAACTTTCATCATTTGTGAATCCACCTGAAGTTCCGTCATTTGTGAATGCTCCTGAACTACCATCATTTGTGAACCCACCTGGAATTCAATCGTTTGTGAATGCTCCTGAACTTCCATCATTTGTGAATTCACCTGAAGTCCCGTCATTTGTGAATGCACCTGAAATTTCATCATTTGTGAATCCACCTGAAGCCCCGTCATTTGTGAATGCACCTGAACTTTCATCATTTGTGAATCCACCTGAAGTCCCGTCATTTGTGAATGCTCCTGAACTACCATCATTTGTGAATGCACCCGGAATTCAATCGTTTGTGAATGCTCCTGAACTACCATCATTTGTGAATTCACCTGAAGTCCCGTCATTTGTGAATGCACCTGAAATTCCATCTTTTGTGAATGCACCCGGAATTCAATCGTTTGTGAATGCACCTGAACTACCATCATTTGGGAGTCCACCTGAAGTCCCGTCATTTGTGAATGCACCTGAAATTCCATCGTTTGTGAATGCACCCGGAATTCAATCGTTTGTGAGTGCACCTGAACTGCCACCATTTGTTAATGCACCTGAGCTTCCATCATTTGTGAATCCACCTGAAGTCCCGTCATTTGTGAATGCACCTGAAATTCCATCTTTTGTGAATGCACCCGGAATTCAATCATTTGTGAATGCTCCTGAACTTTCATCATTTGTGAATTCACCTGAAGTCCCGTCATTTGTGAATGCACCTGAAATTTCATCTTTTGTGAATGCACCCGGAGTTCCATCATTTGGAAATGCACCTGAACTTTCATCGTTTGTGAATCCACCTGAAGTTCCGTCATTTATGAATGCACCTGAACTGCCATCATTTGTGAATGCACCTGAGCTTCCATCATTTGTGAATCCACCTGAAGTTCCGTCATTTGGAAATGCTCCTGAACCTCCATCATTTGTGAATGCTCCTGAACTGCCATCATTTGTGAATGCACCCGGAATTCAATCGTTTGTGAATGCACCTGAGCTGCCATCATTTGTGAACGCACCAGGAATTCAATCGTTTGTGAATGCACCTGAACTGCCATCATTTGTGAATCCACCTGAAGTTCCGTCATTTGGAAATGCTCCTGAACCTCCATCATTTGTGAATGCTCCTGAACTGCCATCATTTGTGAATGCACCCGGAATTCAATCGTTTGTGAATGCACCTGAGCTGCCATCATTTGTGAACGCACCAGGAATTCAATCGTTTGTGAATGCACCTGAACTGCCATCATTTGTGAATCCACCTGAAGTTCCGTCATTTGGAAATGCTCCTGAACCTCCATCGTTTGTGAGTGCACCTGAACTGCCATCATTTGAGAACGCACCAGGAATTCAATCGTTTGTGAATGCACCTGAACTGCCATCATTTGTGAATGCACCTGAGCTTCCATCATTTGTGAATCCACCTGAAGTTCCGTCATTTGGAAATGCTCCTGAACCTCCATCATTTGTGAATGCTCCTGAACTGCCATCATTTGTGAATGCACCCGGAATTCAATCGTTTGTGAATGCACCTGAACTACCATCATTTGTGAATTCACCTGAAGTCCCGTCATTTGTGAATGCACCTGAAATTCCATCTTTTGTGAATGCACCCGGAATTCAATCGTTTGTGAATGCACCTGAACTGCCATCATTTGTGAATCCACCTGAAATTCCATCATTTGTGAACGCACCAGGAATTCAATCGTTTGTGAATGCACCTGAACTGCCATCATTTGTGAATCCACCTGAAGTCCCGTCATTTGTGAATGCACCTGAAATTTCTCCATTTGCACCAAAATCACAGGATCCAGCTTCAAATTCAATCCAAAATATGCCTGAAGACCTAGCCAAGCAGTTTTTTGAACCTCAAGCTCCAGCATCGCAATCAAACCTTTCATTTGGTAATGGATTAATCCCCAATTATTCATTTTAAGCAACAGTTCTTATGTGAGTAAGCATGCGAAGTTTTGAGGTTGGTTTGACTGAAAATATGAACCAAAAAAGTCAATAAAAAAACACAAAAAGTGATTTTAAACAATTTAATTTTTACTTTTTTTTTGAATAAATCATTTAGTTTAATTGTGTCTGTCAGTGACTATGAGCTTAAATGCCTGCTATAAAGGAGTACAATGCCTTGAGCCATGCAAGATTCTACAAAATTTTTATACCAATTATGGTTGAATTTCCACAATTTCGACTTGAATATCAAAAATCTTCTCAGCAATTGTTACCAATTCTGCAGGAATTGTTAACTTTTTCAACCCTTTGACCAACTTTTTAATTATTTCAAATCTTTTGACTGAATTTGGCAATTTTGATGTCAAACAAATTTCCTCCAAGTTCCTCATTTTTGGGAGACATTCCTCAAGGATAACAAGAATGTTTCTATCTTGCGTATCAAATGTGAGCTTCTTGATGTTCCTTAAGTTTTTAAAAAATCCCAGGAACACCCCAAAAAGTCCTCTAAAACCAGACTTGTCAATTAGCTTAAATTCATCAAGTTTGTCAAAAAGATAAGTTTTTGGGTTGATGACTTTCTCAATTGCATCGCTGCAGATGTCGGTGTTGTTGATGATCAAAGTGAATGACTCAATAGTTGGAAATTGTCGAAACATCTCAAATGCAGCTTCAATTTGAACTTCCGTTGCTGTAAAGTCCAAAACTTCTTGCTTAGTTCCGTTGAGAATTAATGGAATTTTTCCATAGTAAAACGTGTCCAATTGCATGTCTTCGATGATAAATTTGAGAACTTTCCCGCCATCAAAGTCAAATGGAAGCTTGTGGATGGTCAGTTCCTTTAAAAAGCCTAACTGACTTACCAAAAAATTAAGTCTAGCCGTCAATATCCCAACATACCAATGAAAAGTAATCGAAGTTGTCTCCAAAATCTTAATTTTAAATGGAAACTCATCTCTGTCAAAATAACTGGAAGTTCCGTCACCAATCAAAATTAAATGATTGAAGTTTCTCAAATTTTCGACCAACTTGTTTAATTTTTTATGCGAAAATCCCTTCCAAGTGTAATCGTAGCTTTGAATTTTAATTTTTTCAACATTTTTTTGAAGTTTTAAAATTTTGAAAATATTTTTCTTGCAATTGTAAATCGAAACTGACTTCAAAGTTGGAATTTCTGGTAAAAAATCATCTCCAAGGTGACAATTTTCAAGAGCAAGTTCAGCCAAAGACTTGAACTTATTGAAAAAGTTTAAGAATTCCGAAAAATGCTCGATTTTAAAGTCTTTTAAAGTCAAGTTTTGCGTAGAATTTTTGTAGTTTTTCATGAGATTCGAGATTTCATTTAAAACTATAGACTCGACGAATTTAACTGAAATATTCACAAAAGGAACTTGTAAAATATTTTGATGATTATTGATCTTGTCGAAGGTGAATTCATCAACATCCAATGTAAAGTTCTTAAGATGGATTGCTGAGGTTGCAAAAGGTATCAAAAATCTACAAAAAAATGTTTTTAAAAAGAATTTGAAGTTTTAAATTTTTAAATACCGTTTAGATGCCAGGATTAGATTAAGCTTAGAACTTGAATCACATTGAGCAAAAACGAGATGTAATTCATCATCATGAAGATTGAAGCGTGTCTGAAATCAAGAATTATTAAATGTATTACAATTCACTAGGCTTGAAAACTAGGCGGTATTTGGGTGTATTTTGCGATATTTGTATGAAACATAGCGATAGTTGGCGGTCTACAACCTAGTTTCCAAGCCTGGACAATTCATATTCATTTAATACATAAAACTACTGTGCTTTGGAAAATTGGTTGAGCAACAATGATCTACATTAACTTGGATGATTTTAGTAATTAATGAAAGTAGCAGGCGCGTTGCTAGGAGGTAATCGGGTGAGAAATCCCACTAGTCAAAAAAAAATTTCTTCATTTTTCTAGCTCTTTTATAAAAGAAAAAAAAAATAAATCATGAAGGTAGGCCCTTCGATTCAAATAAGAACAGAATCTATTGCACAATACCTTCAGACCTACAGTTTATAATGGAGTCCGAACGACTTGGAAGCTCTGTACATTGCAAAGACACGAGTTCGTCTAAAGACCTGCAATGCACAAAGTCACATGACGTTTGTGCAAGATTCTGTATTAAAATCATCCAGATGCTTGTATATCTTAGTATGCCTAGCAAAGGAGACAAGTTATGTGCCGAAGACCTCAAAACTTCACCCAACACATGAACCGAGCTTCGTAACTAGAACGGTGAAATGGAAAAAGAGCTTCGAAAACTTGACTTGGTCTGGGATTGAACCCAGAACCTTTGGCACGTAAGGGCAATGCTCTGCCACTTTTATCGAAAAATCTTAGATTTTATTTAATTGATGTCCTTTCCCCTCTAGTTTTAGTCCTTCCCCTTCAAATTCCCAGAAAGCAGGGATGTAGCCAGAGAGGTTCAAGGCAAAATTGTTGGAAAATTTTGATGGGAATTTTCCGATTGTTTTTCCACCGATTTCTCACTAAAAGTTGGGTCAAAAAGGAAAAATTCTCACTAAATTTTTCTGCGGAGAAATTTTTTTGGGGGGAGGAGGGGGGGGGGCTATTTTTAAGATTTTTGTTTCTTATAAACTTCAGAAAAATAAAGAAATTTCTTTTGACGAAGTGTGATTTAGGAAGATTCAAGATTTGTCGCCTAAATTTCCCCTCCGTGCTACACGCTTGGCATGAAGCAATGAACTGACTAGCAATGCAACTGAGTGCAAACGTCAAAATGTTATAAATATCCACATTGACATGCAGTAATTTCACAATGATTTGAAAATAATCTTTAAAATTTAATTGTTGATCCTTTAACAGTTGGTGTCAGTTTTTTACTTATTTTATAAGGCTTAAAGAATTAAAGGAATTTTCGGTATTTGACTTCCGGAAGTTTGTAAGTTTGAGAAGTTTGGGAAGTTTCTTTAAAGTTAAAATTCTTTACAAGCTTCCTAAGTGCGCACGTCTTGACTTATTTCATCCTTCCTACTCAATTGCTAATCTTTTGATTAACCAAAAATTAATCTAATTATTCAATAAGTCATAGAAAATAATTATGAAATAAATCTTTACTAATGAAATTATTTTTAATCAATTTTACTAATTTTTTTAAATCCAAATTGAGTCTGAAATCTTTTTAAAGGAACTTACCATTTTTATTTGCGACACCTCGAAAAATTAATGTTTCAAAAAATTGTATTAAACTGAACAGATCCAAACAGATGACTGAAAATATCAAATAATCAGAATTACAGTATGAATCATCAAGCTAGATTGGTCGAACGAATAACAAAATGTTATACAGAACATAAAAGCTCATAAAAACAATTACTATGCGAATCTTAAATTTCGGAGAAAATCGCTGAAAATTTATCCAAAAACACTAAATTTCATTCATTTATTAGGCATTTAATGACACAAAATATGTTAACAAGGAACAGTTCCTGCATTAAAAATTTCAATCCAATAACCATCAGGATCCTTAATGAATGCTAATCCTTTCATACGTCCGTCATTTGGCTTCTTAACAAAATCAACTCCAAACTTTTCAAACCTTTCGCAAGCAGCCTCAACATTAGGAACCATAACACCAATATGTCCATAGCCTCTTGGGTCTGAATTTCCAGTATGATAACTTTGACTTGCATCATCCTCAGTTCCCCAGTTGTGGGTCAACTCCAAAGTTGCCTGAAAAATTCACGAAAAAAATTTTGAAATAACAAAAACTTAATTTTTGGACATTCTTACCTTTCTGGACATCGCCCATGACTTCCTAGCTGCCTTATCCTCAGGAATATCAGCTGGATTCTCATATCCCATAAAGTAAAGTGAAAATTTAGCTTCTGGAAAATCCAACTTGACCAAAAGTGTCATTCCTAAGACTTCAGTGTAAAATGGAAGTGACTTGCGTGGATCTTTAATGCGATACATAGTTTGTTGGAACAAGAAGTCTTTGGTTGCATCACCAGATGATTTGCATAGTGCATCAGCTTCTGCATCGGATAAGCCGGACATTTTTGAAGATTCTGGAAATTTTTGATTTATTGAGAAAAAATTGATTGAAAGATTGAAAATTGAGTGTTTAAGATTGAAATATCTTCAAATACTGACACAAAGCTATATCGATAAGGCACTGATAAAATAATAATAAATCGACTTACTTGAAAAGCTTTTGTATTTGTTTTGATGATGATCTGGAAGGGTTTGTGGTTTTGTGAATTTATTAAAGTTTTTTGAAATTATTTTGACCGTTAAAGTTAAGTTTTAATTTAAAAAATATTAAAAGATTGTCAATTTTTGTTATCTTTTGAATACATTTAACTTGGTGTAGCTTAAAAGCCAAGGCGTGGAATTAATCCTGAAAAAATCCCTGAGCCAATAAACATGAAAACCTGAAATCTCTTAAAGGGCCTTTTAAATCCCAAAATTATTCATCAAATGCATCAGGGATTTCACATTTCCATGTATTGGCTCAGGAATTTTTTTTAGGATTTTAATGATTTTCCAGGATCAATCCTGAGTTTCCACGCTTTGTTAAATGTATATTTTGGTGTTGTGGCAGAGTAGAATCAGTAGTTTCGAGTCATATAAAGACGATTCTGCCAGTGCGAAAGCTAGTCCTTGTTGACGTGAGTGGTTAGACAACAGATCAAATATCTGTAAGCTTCATTTTTAAGGCAAGCGTTCAATACCCTCCATAAACTTATCTCTCGAGTGTTGTTGATATGACAAAGATTTGAAAAAAGCCCAAGGATCTATCAGTAGGGTGACAGGCGCATAACCAGGGGGAGATGTGGGGATTTGGGGGACGTCAACAGAAATTTCTTAATTTTGCTAGGAGTTTTATGAAAAATCATAAAAATCCCCACTACCCTATGAATTTTCCAAATAAAATTCCCCCCCCCCCCCAAATTTTGAGAGAAGAAGCTCCAAATCAAGTTTCTGGAGAACCCTTCCATAACATCTAGTCATTCCCATTGTGACCAGCTCAAAAATAAACCCAAAATTCAAATTCTATGTCTAAAAATATTAATCAATCCCCAATCAACTCAAGTTTGACTTGATGTATTTTTTTCCTAGAAACAATTATAAAATTCTCGAAAAAAAACGTTTATCTGTTCACAAGCAAACCCCGTGTGACGACTGAAGCACTTTACACCTTTTATAATTTGCGTCTTTTCCCACTCTTATTTTTAGTCTTATCAAAAAAAAAATTGTGCAAAATCCGATTAAAACTTCATCTTTGATTTCCTGCACTCTTAACGTCAATCTAGTACGTGCAGGCAGTGTGTAAGAAATGAATTTTGGATTCAACATAGTTGTTCAGTTGATGAGTGTCTGCCGATTGGATTTGAGGGAAAAGTTGAATTTATTTTTTTAAATTTAATTTTAATTTTTTTGGTAAAAATGAAATTTTTGATGATTTTTTCGGCACTGCTGTCTATGGCTTTTGGGGCTACTATCTTGAATGTGAGTACAATTTGACAAAGATTTGGATTAATGTTGATTCATAAGACTAGGGCTGGATATCTCAAGTTTATGACACACCTAAGACTAGGTTTTTCTGAGGGCGTCCTTAAGAAGCTCTCAGCTGTGGTATTTGGGAAACACTAAGTCATATTAAAGCCACAAGTCCTTAAATTCACTTAATTTAAATTCCAGATAATTCTCTCAAATCAACTTGAAGTTCCCCGATCCGTTTGTGTGGTAAGAACATCCTCAAATCTCACTGAACATTGAACTTATTAAACCTAGCTTCTCTAAACTTCCAGGGCCAACCAACAGGCACAACATTCCCAATAGCATTAGAATGCAACATGTTCATCATGTGCAAGAACAATGAAGCAGTCATTGGACAATGTAGATTCTCGGAGCCATACTTCCATCCATGTGAATTCAGATGCACAGCTGATCCAAATGTTTGCTCAAAAGCTTGCATAAACTTGCCATAATTTTAATTAGACTGTAAATTTATTTTAAGTTATTTTAAGGAAATAAATATTTTTGAGATTATTTTCTTGTTTATTTTGAATCGGTGTTTGAAGGTTTTTAAGGCTGTAAGACAGTGATGGTCGACCCATGTGCTGCGGCACACTTTTAAACCTCAAAAAATCCCACTAATCGTACGCTGTGTGCAGTTTTAGACATGACTTTTCAATAATATGTGCCATGCCATAAAAAAGGTTGAGCACCACTGGTTTAAGATATAAAAACACAATATATTTACATCAATCAAGCAACAAGACGTCATTGCAACCCCACTTGCAGTGATTAAATTATAAAATTCTATTTAATTCCGCTTGAAAGGAAGGAAAGCTTCCTTAAAAACTTAATCCCATTGGCGCATGGGATTCGCACTTAATCAACAATCTAATCAGAGACATTTTTAAGTCCAGTCAGCATTTTAATTAATTAAACCACCTTCATCAGATATCGCAAATTCCCCACTTATCAGGCACAAAAATTCATTCACAAACTCAAAATCACTCACAGCTGCAATTCGTTGTGTGCTCTTGAACTTTTCGAGTGCCAAATCTAGTACTACAAAATAAAAAGTAATTTCGAGAAGACCAAAAAATCTTCGAGTCTGCAAATTAACTTCAACAACGCTGGCGGATAGACTGGAAATACTTTTGTTGCAAATTTTAAAATTCAAATTTAAGTTGTGTAAAACTTTGATTTGAAGACTTTTTCTTTTTGTGGACATTGAGCATTAATAAGGATGAAGGTTCTTGTGATTCTGACAATTTTTGTGTGGACCTCGAGTAGCTTTACATTGAGAGATGTGAGTTTGGTTTGGGTTGTTGTGTGTTTTGACTTAGTTTTTATTTATATTGACTTTTAAAGGATGTGGAAACACTTGAAGGACTTCCAAGGAATGTTTGTGCGGTAAGTCTACTTATTTCAAAGCTATAGAACAGTGTTTCTCAAACTTTTTTCATCCACCGGACATTTTTTTACATAATAATTTTCATGGCAAACCTGGAATCATTTCACTGTACATAAGTGTGTCGAGGCACACAGTTTGAGAACCACTGCCATAGTATAGAGTCAAGAGTATGTTCTTAAGATGCTTGCAATCTCTTCAATGGTGATAGTCACTCCAAATTTTTGAATATATCCTTATTTAGCTAGGAACGCATCCAGCCAATCTTCCAATTCCCCCCCCCCCCCTCCCCTCCCCCTCTTGATCTAGAACTCCTCGACATTCCTACTTTAAAACAAAACATTCAATTTTTTACAGCACGAACCAGATGGAACAATCTTTCCAGTTGTCTTCAATTGCAATCAGTTTATCATGTGTCTTGCTGGAGAGCCAACAGTTGGACGATGTCGATCATTAGAACCTCATTTTCACAAATGCTTCTATAGATGCGTTAATGATGAAAGCGTCTGCAGTTTGAACACTTGCGATGGGGTAAGGAATCATGACTGATCGAGAAATTGTGTGAAAATTCACTTAAATCCCTCGTTTTAGGTAACATTACAGCCAACAGTTCCCCCGACGACAACACAACCACCGTGGACTGGACCATCGACAACGACAATCTTTAGACCACCAACAGTACCAAGTAGATGATTACATTTTGAAGGACCGCTTAACTTAGCTACTTTTTATGATAAAACAAATGCAATAAAATTAATTTTGACCCAAAAAAAGCTTGTCTTAATTCCACAAAATGATTATTTATACAGTTTATACCTCGAAACAAAAAAAGCATTGAGTTCAATAAATCTTGCTCAATAAAGATAAAAAAAAAAACTTTGTTTTGATGAAATAAAAAATCCAGTCGTGTGCTATTTTATTTTTATATCTGTGACACATGAGCTGTACGTCAGACATTCATCATGTTATTACAATCTGAGATAAAATTCTCTTTAATTGCGCTTGAATATAGAAATTGTGATTCAATTTGAAGAACCTTGTTCGACTTTGAGATGTGGAAACGTGACTTTTTGCATGTAGAGGGATTAGAGAGTCTGTAGAAAGAAGATAAACGAAGACTAAAGAAAATAAACGATGATGAACGAAGATGCACGAAGAGAAACGAAGAAAAACGAATATGCACGAAGATAAACGAAGAGAAACGAAGAAAAACGAAGATAAACGAAGATAAACGAAGATAAACAAAGATAAACGAAGATGCATGAAGATAAACGAAGATGCACGAAGATAAACGAAGATGCACGAATTTAATCAAAGATGCACGAAAATAAACGAAGATTTACGAAGATGCACGAAGATAAACGAAGTAAAACGAATATGCGAAAAGATAAACGAAGATGCACGAAGATAAACGATGATGCACGAAGATAAACGATGATGCACGAAGATAAATGAAGATGCACGAAGATAAACGCAGATAAACGAAGATAAACGAAGATATACGATGATGCACGAAGATAAACAAAGATTAACGAATATAAACGAAGATAAACAAAGATATACGAAGATAAACGAAGATAAAAGAAGATAATCGAAGATGCACGAAGATAAACGAAGATAAACGAAGATACACGAAGATAAACGAAGATAAACAAAGATATACGAAGATAAACGAAGATAAAAGAAGATAATCGAAGATGCACGAAGATAAACGAAGATAAACGAAGATAAACGAAGATGCACGAAGATAAACGAAGATATACGAAGATAAACGAAGATCAACGAAGATGCAAGAAGATAAACGAAGATGCACCAAGATAAACGAAGTTAAACTAGCTCAAGAACGAGCTAACGGATTAATATGCAGAGATCTAGTCAGATAATACACAATACAGACAGCCAGACATCGAAACAGCCAGCCATGAGCACTCAATACATTTCTAAACCAGGAAGCACTCTCTTTATTAATTGCAGATAACCCCCTCAAAGAAGGCCTTTCCTGCACCTAATAAATAATTTTCATAATTCTCACGCAACTCGAATCATTTCCAAACAAATTTCATTTACATTCTAGCTTATTTCGGTTCCCTCGGGTCTGTTTTTATTGTCTCTTCACTTCGTTTATCTTATCGCAGTCCTAGAACATCAAACTTGCCTCTCAAAAGTGATTTACAACATCTCGTCACACTTTTTGACAGCTTATTGCTGTTTATATCTTATCAAGCTTGCTAAAATTGGAGTTTTAAGTGAAAAGCTTCTTCTTTTTTTACAATTATTGTTATAAAAATGTCCACAATCTCTTGTTTTTGTATATAACGTCGTCATGATTTAAGATTTTGTTTTGCTTTTGTCGTTCTTGTTTGAATTTTGAGGCTCGTTTTTATCATTTTTTGTTGTTTTTGGTGTTGGGTTCGGAGTAATTTGTGGAATAAAGCATTTAAAAGTTGACTCTTGAACTGAAAAGACTTAAAAATTTATTAAGAAAAAATATTTATAAAAATAATTTTGTGATAAAAAATTCAAAAATAAAAAAGAAAATTGAAAAAAATATTTAAAAAAAAATAAAAAAGTTTTTTTTTTAAAAACAAAAAGTTTAAAATATTTTTTCATTTAAAAAATAAAAAAAAATAATTCAGTAAATTTTTAAAATAATTCACAAATAATTTTCAAATTTTTGCAAAAATTAAAGTTGCAAAAATAAAAAAATCACGCAAAAAACTCCAAAATTGTGAATTTTTTTATCTAAATGTGAACAAATCGCTTGGACAATTTACAAAATGGGAAAAAGTTTGTACATTTTATCAGCAATCAACTCACTATGCTGTCTATTACTGATCGTCTATCAAGTTCCACCATTCCTTGAAGCAACTGATTATGTGTCGATTTATAGAAGTGAGTAATTGTGTGGGAAAAGTTGGAGTAGGGTTGGGGTAGTGTCATGTTTTGAGGTTAGGATCTGATTGAGTAATGAATCATGTCTTTTGGATCAGGGCTTGAATTTGAGGGCGGAGACGGAAGGGTCACTTGATGTCCAAAACAGCTATTCTCTCCCTTCCATCTCTATGCTGCAGGTTCTGCAAGATTTTGGCAAGTTCAGATGAGTTTAAGTTCTTGGTGGGATCAATTTTGATTCCACAATATTTTTACAATTTTCTGATGAATGTCTATCCCTTGCCTGGAATTAACAAATTGATTATTTGGATTAAGTCTATATCCAGATTGTGTCAATTTATTTATAATTGTGTGTGATAACGATAAAGCCACTTGAATTTATGGTTATTGAACCTGAACTAGAACAGCTAAAAATGCCAAATTAAATTCAATAAAATTAAACAAAGTAAATTATAGAATTTAAAAACATTCTAAAAACTTAAAAAAAATTAAAATATTTAAAAGTGAAAAAACCAAAATTCAAAAATCAAAAGTTTTTTAAATACAATAATTTTTTAAAAAAATTCAAATTCTTTTTTGAAAATTTTAAAATTGAAAAAAAAAAACAAAATTTCAAAAAAATTTAAAAAATCATTAATTTCTACTTCTGAAAAGGGAAACAATATGTGATTGAGACATCAAAACTAATTGCTTATATTCTTGGATTTGCTGCGTACCTGACACTTGGATGCTATAAGAGCTGCTTTGACAGAGTAAGTAATGCCTCTATAGAAGTTTGTGAAGCTATGAAGCTCATGACATGGCCTACAAGGAAGTCCTATGGTGTCATTATCTTGAGGAAAAAGTTGACAAAACGTTAAAACTTCTTCAAGAAGCTGACCTTGACTTAGGCTATGCCTTGAACCCACTTGGTGCTCTGTATTAGCTGCAGCTTACTTTTTGAACATTCAATCTTTAAAAAATAAACTAATTCCCTCTTCCTCAACAGATCCACACAAATTTCAACCTAAAATTCTGTGCTGCTTCACTAATCCTAACATTTGCTGTAACCTACGATGGATTCATGAATGAAATTTACCACTACTTAGCCTACGGTGCCATCAATTTCCTATGCATGTTCCTAGTTTATAATGAAATCATGAGAGAATGGGAAGAAGAAATGAGAGCTGATCAATACATCGACGCAAAAAGTGACAAATATGAGAAAATTAAGAATGAAACTGATTGTGTGTTGGACATTGGCGAGGCTAAACGGAGAGAAGCTGAAATGGTTTAAATTTATTTTTTTTAAATTGAATAAAAAAAGGTTTTTCTTAAAAGAATTTATTTCTCAACATTTTCAATGCTTTCATGCTTAATGGATCGTCCATTCTTACCAATCCATGTCCATTCCAGAATTCTTGCAAATATTTCTAAAGCAAAGGCCAATGGTTGTTGCAGATTCACAAGGATCTGGGTCTGATAAGCCACCACATTCAGTCATGACTGTATCAACTATGGATGTTGAAGCACTCATTGATTCAGCCCATGCAAGCATACCTGATTGATTAAGTTTGCCGTTGGTGATCTGTGAATCAAAATAGGAAGTTTAGGAATAATTTCGAGAAGGGAAGCTGGTTGCTTGCATTCATTATGTTATGGATTAGAATGACTAGTCTAGTCATCCAAAGCTCTGCTAATCATATCCTCTCATGCAACTTAGCAATCAGCCTTAGCCACAATTTAGTCCATAAAACTCATTATTTTAATACTCACAATTCCCATTTTATCCATGACACACGAGAACATACATTTGCCTTCATGAGTCGTTGGTTTAGCATCCAGCATAACCTTTGGGATGTCATCGTCTTTAGCGTTAGTTGAGGCTTTACAATCACTATAAATTTGCATCATTTGAGCTTTCTTCTCTGCTGGGTCAATTGCAAGAGTCATTGATGCAGCTACGATGAGGATGATGATTGAAGTGAATGCTTTCATGATGAATGTTGTTGATGCTTAATTTGATGATTTGGTAGATATTAGTCAGAAGAGAAGAACTTTAGAACTGATGAAGTTGTCACAGATTTATTAGATTTTTAAACAAAAATTTATTGTCACAAGTCATTGTAATTTTATGGTTTAATGAAGAATTTGCGGTCACTTTAGCGAATGACAAGGCATAAATGATTTTTTGACCTAGCTGCACTTTAGTCTAATGTGGGATATCCAAAGCTTTTCTTCACGTGCCATTCAACAGTTTAATAAGATAAATTGTTGGAAGGGCCCAGCATTTTGACCACTGCAATTTAATTAATGTAGAGTCCTTTTCCGAATAGCACAAGCAGGGGCGTAGCCAGCAAATTTTTAAGGGGGGGGCCCATTAATTCATTATTCATACATTAAATTAAATTTTCGTGCTGATTTTGACATTTCTTTCATCACTTCCTCTACATTAACTGGTTCTTCTCTATAAATACTTAATAAAACAATTATCAGATTTTCGTAGGGGGGGCCTGGGCCCCCTATCACCCCCTCCCCCCTGGCTGCGCCTCTGAGCACAAATGGTTAATTGAGGAGAAATCCGACATCAAGCTATCGAAACTCTGGCGTGGTGCTGGATTCGATTTGAGTCCATTTCTATTTGATTAACTAACTTGTGCTTTTTGGGATAGTATCACATCCTTGAGATATAAAGCTTGAAATAAATGTTGGATATTTAGCCAGTTTAGACCCTCTTAGTCCACCCCACACTGCCTATTGAGTTTCATTTCAAGAAGATGAAGGAAAAGCTCTGTTTTTATCATGAAGCATGAAGAATCAAGGGAATCAGCGAGGTCTGGAGACCTTGAACCTCTCTTATCGCTCCTATCTAGAGTTTATACCAATGCTGCTTAAGTGAGTATGTCACTTTAGTCACTAGCTTGAGAAATGGCAATAACTAGAATTTTTTTACAGATTCAAGATTATTTCTTTACTATGTGAGTTTTGGATAAGTTTGATATTCCTAAAAGTTGAAGTTAACGACTTACCAAATAAAATAATTCAACAATTTTAAGAACAAATCGTTCAATTCACTGTCATTTCCTCGAAGAAGTCAAACCTTCAACCTCTGAAATCCTCAAAATTATTTGCAATTATAAAAACTTCAAAAAAATTCAATTTTAAAAATTTCTTTTTATTTTTCTTCAAAAAGTCATTTACAAAAGGATCCAAATACCCAAGCATTGAACATCCATATCCAATTCAATAGCCAAAACAACTACAAATCCATGTCAATTCCTAATTTCCTGCTGACAGTTTTGAAGCAGAGGCCAATAATTGTTGCAGATTCACAAGGATCTGGGTCTGATAAGCCACCACATTCAGCCACAATTGTATCAACTGCAGATGTTGGAGCGCCCATTGATTCAGCCCATGCAATCATATTAGGTTGGTTGAGTTTGCCGTCGGTGATCTGTTGGGAGTGAAACAAATGTTTATTGCTGGAATTTTGAAGCTTAAGAGTGATTTTAGGGACAATAGGCCAATAGATTAGATTTATAGCTTATGGTAATGCTAATACATCTAGTTTGGAGTATTTTTAGTCACGACAGTGTATAAGTCACCTTATGGCAACATCTTACATCCTTCAAACCACGCTTTTGTCCACAAAAACTCATCATTTAAATACTCACAATTCCCATTTTTTCCATGACACACGAAAACATACATTTGCCTTCTTGGGTCGTTGGTTTGGCGTGCATCATCAAATTTGCAATATCATCGTCATTGGCGTTTGTCGAGGCTTTACATCCAGTAAAGATTTGCATCATTTGAGCTTTCTTTTCTGCTGGGTCAATTGCAAGAGTCATTGATGCAGCTACGATGAGGATGATGATTGGAGTGAATGCTTTCATGATGATACTTAGTTTGGGTTTTTTAATAGATTTAACTCATATGAAAGCAACTGAAGAACTGATGATGTTGTGACAGTTCCAATTGGTTTTTATATGAAATAAAAATGTCACAAGTCATCGCAATTTCATGGTTTGGTTGAGAATATTTGGTCATATTGACAGACGACAATGAGATCTAAAGCATAAAATTGATGATTTGACAAAAATGTGGCCTAGCTGCACGTCATTCTTTAGTATGAAATCTGAACCGCTTTAACAGGTGCTGTTCGGGGGGTCTGCTTAGAGGTCTGAGCTCTTCAAAGGGGTTTAAACCATTGTTGCTTTATTTTGAACTTAAACTTTGAGTGACACGGGTTTGGACACACCTTGACTCTTAAATTGGAAGAGGTTTAGAGGGTTCAGATTCCTTTAAACCCTGACAACACACATAAGTCAAATACATTTCAATTTCAGACTGTTTCTAGACAGATTCACATGATTGATGACAATAATGAGTTAAAAAAATAATTCAAGTACCGTAAAGTCAAGACAATGACATGACCTCTCAGCCATCCAATACATAAAACACCGAATATTGACTTAGATGCTCAAATGTGCTCATTTACACATTAATAAATGAAATTGAAGATTAACTCAAATAAAATAGTCACTCTCATGAATATGTAAAGCTACTCAAATTATTTATAGCCACAACAATCTCCTTTATCATGTCTTAATGCTCATATTCCTCTCTTTTGATCTTTTTTCTCTCCACATGCGGTGTTGAGTCATTATGTTTCGGATCAGTTTGTGAGACTCATTTGGCTGTTGTTGTTGAAAATTTATTAGTTTTTAGCTTTAAAATGAGGAATTTTAGTGTAATTTTAGTTGTGCTGGCTGTTCAAGTAGTTTATGGACATTATCAAGGTCCATTTTTGTTATGGGGAGTCGAGAATCTTAATGAAATGAAGATTCCAGCTTTACAAGGTAAGAAATTTGAGAATTGGCCAATATTTGATGGATTTTTAACTATTGTGCCTCAACTTTCCAGCAATTGAGGATCAGAACCTGCAAGATATTTACACAAAAGCCTCGGCAATCGTTATCTTCATCAGAAATGCAACTACAAAGCTAAGTTATGAGAACTTCCCAGAATTATCTGACATAATAAACAAGAATGAGTGGCTGTACCTTCCACAAGAGCTCCTGTCATCAGATCCACTTGATTACAACGTCAATGCTAATGTTTTGACCTTAACAGGATCATCAGAGGCTCAGGACAGTCAAATTGCTGCTTTTTATCATGACGCACAAGTCAAATTTGGGAATAAAAATATTTTAGGAATCATCGCTGAGAGCAATGAGCATTTACGGTCCAAACGTGAAGTCACAACTGATTTATCAATCCAGGAACCAACTGAAACTTTAATTTATGAAGCTCCTGGTAAATGTCTTCTGTACACAAGATCAGCACCAATTTTAAGCTTAACTGAAAAGGGCGTAACAAATAATTATGAGCTAAAGGAAGTTGTGACTGTATCAGCAGATACGAGAAATGATGAAGTCATGCTTATTGTGAATTTTACTGTGTCTGGAAATCCAGTAAGTTAAAAAAAAATTCTATATTTTGATGAAAAATTAATATTTTGTTATTTTCAGGTGACTATAAGCTTTATATTTTATCTTTCTGGAGGGAACTGGTACTTAACTCATATCGAGTATGGTGACAAAGCTGAAAAAATCAGCGTCGTTGGAACTCGGCCATCTGGTGATAAAAACAGCAACAATTCTATTAAAATAGTTAAAATAACAAAGATTTTTTTATGTTTTAGCTCCGTTCTTGTTCTCTTATGCATGCGGCGACAACTTGATGTTCAAATCAGAGAATGTGTCACTGACATTGAAAGGATTTCAGGTTTGTATTTGCATAACTTATCCTATCCCATACCCTATCCCATACCCTATCCCATACCCTATCCCATACCCTATCCCATACCCTATCCCATACCCTATCCCATACCCTATCCCATACCCTATCCCATACCCTATCCCATACCCTATCCCATACCCTATCCCATACCCTATCCCATACCCTATCCCATACCCTATCCCATACCCTATCCCATACCCTATCCCATACCCTATCCCATACCCTATCCCATACCCTAGTACATTCAAAAATCCTAAAATTATCTGAATTTATTGCTTTTTCAGGTTCAACCCCTCCTCAATGGTGCTCGACAATTCAGCAGAGCCTATGACTGCACAGGATTTATGTCTGCTCCAATCCTCGCAGGACTTTTTATCACCGCAATCTTACTTTTTGTATTGACAATAGCAATAACTGCAATTTTGGACATCAAGACACCAACAAGATTTGAGAATCGCCATTCAAAGCCACTGACATTCAATGTCCAGGAATAAAATTTGTTATTTTGTATTTAAAGTAAGGAAATGACAATAAATTTATATTTTTTGAGGTTATGTTGACCAGACATGACCTTTTTACATTCAACAAGTTGTTGTGTATGTTCGAAACATCTGTTTTTTATGCCATGCTGTTGTTACTTCCCCTCACTGAATGATTTTCTCGGGACATGCGCACATCCAGCTGTTCAGTCATCTCGAGAAAAAATTATCGATTTTTCGAAGATTTTCATTTGTCTGACGGAAAATTAAAGTTCTTTTGGTGAAAAATGAGGAACTTGAGTGTAATTTTAGTATCTTTGGCAGTACAAGTAGCTTATGGACATTATCAGGGTCCGTTCCTGCTGTGGGGTGTCGAGAATCTCAATGAAATGAAGATTCCAACTTTGCAAGGTAAGAAATTTGAGATTTGGCCAATATTTTATGAATTTTTAACTATTATGCCTCAACTTTCCAGCAATTGAGGACCAGAACCTCCGCGACATTTACACAAAGGCCTCAGCAATCGTGATTTTCATCAGAAATGCAACTACAAAGCTAAGTTATGAGAACTTCCCAGAACTATCAGACATAATCGGCAAGAATGAGTGGCTGTACCTTCCACAAGAGCTCTTGTCATCAGATCCACTTGAGTACAACGTCAATGCCGAAGTCTTCACATTAACTGGACCAGCTGTGATGCAAGACAATGAGATTGCTGCATTTTATCGTGACGCACAAATTAATTTTGGTAGAAAAAATATTTTAGGAATTTTAGCAGCTCGTTCTGAAAATCCAGAGCATTTGATCTTGAAACGTGAAGTAAGTGAACCCAAAATGACATCAACTGAACCATCGACAACTGAGGCTGCCACAACACCAGCGAATGATGAACCTGTTGAGGATTTAATTTATGAGGCTAAGGGTGAGTACTTGTGGGTCATGGATGATGAACATGAGTTCCCTATAAAGTGACGATTGATAGACTATGGGCTGGTTTCTTGAGCTACTTGGGGTACTTAAACCTAGTCACAGTCAATATTTTATTCATACTTGAGTGAAGTTAGTCCTGACCTAAGACAACTTATTATATGATCAATAATCAACTGACTACTCTCAAGTTTGATGTCAAATTTGGCTGTAATTTGCATAAAGCACCTCAAGAAGCCTTAAAACCAGACCCAATTTAATGTATTAGTAATCAATAGCACTCAATCATGCATCTTAGAGTATCAAATATATAATCACATGTCTTAATCATCTCAAATTTCAGGTAAAGGTATCCTATACACCACAGTGGTTCCTGTTCTTAAAATCGGCGAAGAGAAGTATGAATTGAAGAAACACGCAATCGCAACTGGTGATGAACGTGGGGACATGTTCAGATTGAGCATCAAGTTCATTGTTCCTGAAAATACGGTAAGATTTGGACATATTTTGAGTGGTTTCAGGGGGTTCAATGGGGTTCAAGGAGGTTCAATGGGGATCAGGGGGTTCAGAGAGGGTTCAGGTGGGTTCAATTGGGTTCACAGGGGATCAGGGGGTTCAGAGAGGTTTCAGGGGGTTGAATGGGGTTCAGGGGGTTCAATGGGGATCAAGGAGTTCAGAGAGGGTTCAGGGGGGTTCAATGGGGATCAAGGGGTTTAAAGAGGATTCAGGGGGGTTCAATGGGGTTCAAGGGGTTCAAAGAGGGTTCAGAAAGGGTTCATGGGAGTTCAGAGAGGGTTCACAGGGGGTTCACAGGGGTTCTGGGGTTTCAGAAGGGTTCAATAGTATTTAATGATGCTTCAGTAAGAATCAGTCGGGTTTAGTGAAGTCTAATAGGGTTTAGTGACGCTTCAAAAGGTTTTAGTATGGTTCAAAAGGGATTCAATAAGGTACAGAAGGGTTTAGTAAGGTTCAATCAGGCTTACTGATGCTCAATACTCAAAATACACTCAAGAAACTTTCCAATTTCAGATCACAATCCGTTTCATCTTCGACATCGTCGGCGGCAACTGGGTTCTAAACCAAGCTGAATATGATGACATGTCCATGACACTTGATATTGTTGGAAAACCCCCAGCAGCTCCCATCGGATTCTCATTTGTATGTGGAGATACTTTTGTGTTCAAGAAGAACAGCACGTCGTTGACTTTGAAGAATATTCAGGTATGTTTTCAAGATTTTAGAGAATTAAGAGCATTTGTAACATTTCTTGCGATTTTATTAGGTTCAACCCCTCCTCGATGGAGCTGAGAGATTTGGCAGAGCTTATGACTGCACAGGTTTTATGACAGTTCCAATTTTGTCTGGCATTTTTGTGACTTCAATCTTGCTGATTGCACTGACAATTGGAATGACTGCAATTTTGGACATTAAGACACCAAATAGGTTCGAAAATCGAAATTCAAAGCCATTGACATTCACTGTTCAGGAGTAAGACGGTTCTTTTTGTTATTTAAATTGTTCTGCATAAATTTTTTTTTGAATTATTTTTACAATTTATCCTTCGATTCAGTATTAATCGCAGTTCTTTATTAGCCTACTAATCATATCACAATAATAATCCTTTTCATGCTAATGAATGAAGTTATGAAAGTAGCTAGAAATGATTTTAATTTGACCTTATTCCATCTAGCTATGGTCCTGCATAAAACCTTTAAAATTGACCATAAAAATTTATGATTTTAAAATTGATCTCATTAGAAATTTTAATTATTTTTAAACATTATGAGTTGAATAACCATAAAATGCAGCTTAAGATAATAATTGTACTTACTTTAAGTTACTACTAATATCACGTAAATATTATGAATCATAGTAAATATATTATAATCAAATGTTGAATAATTGAGTTTTGTGAAATAAAAAAAATTAAAGAAATTAAAAAAAAATTGAATTTTTAAAAATGATTTAAATTTTATTTGGTTTTTTTTTGACTACTAACCCCTTTCCATTGCCCCCCCCCCCCCCCTGCCCCATTCGCTACTGGTTTGTCAATTATGGATATGTCTCTCAATCCACCTGGACGTAACCCTCCAGCTTCGTCCCTGCACTTACGATGTCCACAGGTGTGTAGCCAGGGGGGGGGGGGGGGGGTATTTACATGAAAATCCCCTCCCATCCCCTAAATTTTTCCATGCACAAAAAATTTTGTCCCCCCCTCCTCTCCGAATTCCTGGTTACGCCCCTGGACTTTCAAAAACTAGAACCTATGCTGAAGTATATTACCTTCCCCCCATCCCACCCCCCCCACCAAGCAAGCATCAACTCAAAACCTCTGCCAACTCATCCCCAAATTAGAAAATATTCGACGATTCAGCAGAAATCTTGAACTCTCATCTGTTCCTTTTTCAGCCTCTCTCGCAGTCAATGGCTGAAATCTGTGAACCTCAACATGGAACTTATCCCTTAATGTCTTAGAGTAAGATGTTTTGGTGCTGATCAGTTGAATGTTCTTATTCTGATGGATATCCCACATGATATCTAAAAGGAGGTTGTCTAAGTTTGGTGGAAAATTACCAAAGTCATTCCAAAGAACAATCAGGTTGCCTGACTTGTAGCACTCATCAAAGATTCTCTGTTCAAATCCAGTGACATTGGATCTTCCTATTAGCTCTAGAATTGAATTTTTATCAGGCTCGTATGGTGCATTTTTCATGTCAACAAAAGACACCCATCTTGTTGGATGTTCCTTCTTCATTAAGTGAGTCAATCTGTTCATTTTTATTGTATTTTTATCATCGTCGTCTGAAGCTAGAATGAATGTTTTGGTTTTGTCCAAATTTTCTGTGATTTGGAACTTGTTGATGTGAGTCACAACCTCAAAATAGACTTTTAAGGTTAGGTTGTATCTTATGTACGAGTCAAGAGTCATTCCGAGTAGATTTTTTGATATTTCATCGTAAATATTTGAAAAAAATTCGAAATTTTCATCTTTAAATTTGTGAAAATAATTTGTAAAATTTGAGGTTATGTTGGGTTCGGTTTGGTATTTGTAGTACAGCAGGTAAGCATTTTCGGACACAAAATTCCTGTATGGCTGGTAGCCTTTAATTTCATCAATCATTTTACCAATTTTTAAGTCTTTGTCATCCAGGATGTCAACAATTTGATTTGAGGTTAAGGCTGTAAAGGCTGACGGATGTAAATCGTGTAGAATTTTGAATTTCAGGCTTATGTCTTGGAATGTGAAGTTTGTGGATAGAATTTTTGATTTTATTGGTGCTGCTAGAGTCGTCCAGTTGTGGATGATGTGGCTTTGTAAATGACTAAAATCATGTCCCGTCAAGCTCAGCAGTTTTGAGTCAAAAATGCATTCAATCTGCTCAGATGTCAATTCGTCATATCCAGCAGACTCGTGAGGCAGTAAATCCATTAATTTCATATCTAATCCTTTGTAAGACACTCGAGCATTCATTATAGTCAACTTTTGAGGTTCCGATAGCTCCTGGAACTTGTAATTATGCTTAGTCATCAATAACTGAGCCTTGATCACCAACAATCCACAAATACCAATCAGCGAAGCCACAATTATCCCACAGACAACAAAAAAATTCCATCTTTTCGGATACTCTCTGACTATCACATCATCAACCTTAATTTCTATCTCAGCTTTAGCTTCAATCTCATTCAGTGCCTTCTTCATAGCAGGCACAACCCTAACCTCAAAAAATTTGAACAATTTTGGAAATTTTTCCTGAATTTTCAACAGCTTTTCTGGTTCATTTCCGTACAGCATAAGAAGTTGCGGAACTCTGACAATCAACTCGGCATGATGCATGTCTTCTGGATAGCAATCATACACTAAATCAATCACTTCCTCTTCTCCATACCTTTTCTCGCATTCTTCACTAATTTTATCAAATTCCTGCCTTGCCAAGCTATCATTTTTAAAGTAAGGCTTAGCGTCATTCCCGAAAGTCAAGTCTACAGCATAATGACAAAATTCATGTGCCATTATCCCATAAGCCTCATGCTTAGTCTTAAAGTTAAGCAGCTTCAATGCTCCAATGAAGATTCTTCCAGTCATGTATAAAAATCCATTCGACTTTGAGCTCAAATTTGGATCGACAGAATGAACTGACTCGTGGCTAAAGTCAAAGACAACTCGGAAATTTTTGGATGCAGCGACGACCATCAAAATGACTTTTATGAAAATGTTAGCATTTAGTGCTTGATATGCTGAAAAAATTGGCGTGAATCTTTCCCGGGTTTTTATATCTCCTCGGAAAATTGAGGTGTTGCCGATGATGATGCTCATGTGCTGTTCAGGATGGTCTCCTATTTGGATATTTTTGAAGTTATTGTTCTCAATTTCATTGTAAGCTTTAGTAATCTTGAGGATGTTTTCATGTGGAGCCAAGTATAGACCTTGTTTAAGCAGTGCTTCATATATTTTGAATTGTTTATGAACCAAGGCAGTCTTTAAGGCTGATTCATTCTGTAGATTGTAGAAATATCGACTTTTTGGGTGTTGCATGACTAGATTGACTGACTTCTTCTGATTCCCAGTTATTATAGCTTCATGAAGGTCCATTGAGGCTTTATAAAACTCCTTACTATCATCTGTGCATTGGCTGATGTCAATTGACTGTGGATATGTGTGATTCTCATTAATTAGCATTTCCAGGACCTCAAAATGTCGGTTATTGTAGGATAAAATTTGTGCATTGATGCTTCTGTTTGCCAACTCTGTGTTAATTCCGTGATCAAGGAGGACTTTGACAACTTCATGGTCTCCTTTTTCGGCAGCTACAAGTAATAGGTTGTAGTCACGGATGTCAGCTAGGTAGTGAAGTTGAACCTTTACAGTCTCCATTGGAAGTTGGAATGATTGGCTGATTCCTGGAATATGAAAAAATTTGAATTTGAGGTTTTCTGTCAGTGTCTGTGAGTGTCTGTGAGTGTCTGCCAGTGTCTTTCAGTGTCTGTCAGTGTCTTTCAGTGTCTGTCAGTGTCTGTCAATGTCAGTCAATGTCTGTCAGTGTCTGTCAGTGTCTGTCAGTGTCTGTCAGTTCCTGTCAGTGTCTCTCAATGTCTGTCAGTGTCTGTGAGTGTCCTTGAGTGTTTGTCAATGTCTATCAGTGTCTGTGTGTGTCTGTATGTGTCTGTCAGTGTCTGTCAGTTTCTGTGAGTGTCTGTGAATGTCTGTCAGTGCCTGTCAGTGTCTGTCAGTGTCTTTCAGTGTCTGTCAGTGTCTGTCAATGTCTGTCAGTGTCTGTGAGTGTCTGTCAGTGTCTGTCAGTGTCTGTCAGTTTTTATCAGTGTTTATCAGCGTCTGTCAGTGTCTGTCAGTTTTTATCAGTGTTTATCAGCGTCTGTCAGTGTCTGTCAGTATCTGTCAGTATCTGTGAGTGTCTGTGAGTGTCTGTGAGTGTCTGTCAGTGTCTTTCAGTGTCTGTCAGTGTCTGTCAATGTCTGTCAGTGTCTGTGAGTGCCTGTCAGTGTCTGTCAGTGTCTGTCAGTTCCTGTCAGTTCCTGTCAGTGTCCGTCAATGTCTGTCAGTGTCTGTCAGTTTCTGTGAGTGTCTGTGAGTGTCTGTCAGTGTCTGTCAGTGTCTGTGAGTGTCTGTGAGTGTCTATCAGTGTCTGTCAATGTCTATCAGTGTCTTTTAGTGTCTGTCAGTGTCTGCCAATGGCTGTCAATGTCTGTCAATGTCTGTGAGTGTCTGTCAGTGTCTGTGAGTGTCTGTCAGTTCCTGTCAGTGTTTGTCAGTTCCTGTCAGTGCCTGTAAGTGTCTGTCAGTGTCCATCAGTGTCTGTCAGTGTCTGTAAGTCTGTCTGACTGTCATTACCAACTCACCTGAATGTCCATTTCGCAAAGAACTCTTTAAGAACATCATTACAAAATCACAAAGCTTCCTGTCCTTCCATCCAAACTTGTCATTAAAAGGACTCAAGTACATCAAGTTTTGGCTATCTTTGGACTTCCAATAAATGTAAAATGACTCATCATTTCTAGAACAGAAGCAAAAACTAATTGACTTGTTGCTGAATCGTCCACTTAATTCCCAAATCTCATGAGAATTCAACTCTCGAACTGATTCGTCTCCAAATTTGAATTTTACTTCCGTTATTGTTTTTGTGTCTTGAAGTTCTTCCTTAATTTCTGATGTTTTAATAAATTCAACCGCAGCTGCGATGCTGTCTAAATTTGAAATTGTGTATTTCCTGATATTTTTATATGTTTCTTTGTCAACGATGATTCCGGTGCTTGTTGTTATTCTTTCTATGCTAATCACATTGATTCCATCAAGGTCATTTTGATGTCTTCTCATGCTGCTGTTCTTTCTTGTCATTAATTCGATGTTTGATGCTGAAAATGAAGGAATGTGTTAGATTTTGGATGTGATATTTTGGCTGGAGAGGGTAGAATGGGATCCCGAGTCACACAACATTGCCTAAAAGTCAGACCCAGTGGCTGGTTTTTCAGTATCCAAAACCATTTCCGTAATGCACAGCTCAAGAATAAAATCACAAAATAAATAAAAATTCCCCAAAAAACCTGTTTTTACGCAGCTTGTCAACAGCCAGAGCTCAAGTATTTCACAAGATTCTAATTAATTTTATCATAAAAACTCAGCCGAGTGAAAAAGTGTCAACAAAATGATTAAAAATTAATTCTCAAAACTCAACAAAATGTCATAAAAATTAATAAATGACTAAGCATAACTATGTTATTGACTCACAATTTGATCCACTGGCCTGATTATCGAAACTTCTACTCAAATTATTCACAATTTTTCTAATTTCATCTGGAATGAATTTTTTCATGTTCATTTTTGGCACTAAACACTTAAAATTAAGGCTTGAATTACAGAACTTAATACAATTGTCAATCAAAAATCTGTTCCTGATGCAAAGCGATGGCGAAATAAACTGAATCGAATTCTCAAAAATGATCACAGTAAGCAGAAGGAAATAAAATAAAAAAATATATGAAAGGTTAGGCTGTAGAATCCGATCTCTGAGAGTAAGAAATGAGAGATTTTTTTGTTGTTGTTGTTGTGACTTGATCTTTCTCTCATTTCAGACTGTTTAGGAAGTTTTATGCTTAACATGATTGAAGAATTATTTTTTACATTATGACCAAGTCTGTCTTTAATCTTGAATAATTAAATTCGGATGCATTTTGACAGTAAATTGTAAATCTGATTGGATTGTTGGACTGCATTTGGACTAAATCTTTCAAATTAAAGTCAAATAAATCTTGGAAGTCGTAAAACAGCAAAATGGACTGCATGCTTAGTTTGTGGATCCACATTGAAGGTTCATCAACTTTATGACTCGTCACAGTTATTGAATTATTCAAGTTTTCCATTATTTTTTCGATTAGTTGTCCTTGAAAACCCCCAAAATCGATAATCTCAATATTTCTTGAATATTTTGTGTAAAATTCTTCAATAATTTGACAAATCGAGATGCCCACGACTGAAATATTCTGAGAACTTGTCGATTTTGTGAGGATCAAAGCTGAAATTGAAACACAAAAAAATATTGTCGACTTCATTCGACGGCAGCTTGAACTAGACTAAAATTAGACAAGTTGTTTATCTAGAGCAGGGTTGTCCAAACTGTGTGTCGCGGACCACACTGATCTAAGGAATAGAAACGTAGCAAGTGGATAGCCTTTTTCAGGGATTTGGACCTGAGCGCTATAAAGAAAATATCAAAAGTCTCAAACAAAGGGATTGAAAACCACTTATAGATGGTTTCTGCATTAAGTTTGCTGTTTAGCCAATCGATTGTGAAGCTTCACTTTACATATGACTCGGAACTGCTTAATTCTACCTTTCTATAACTTACCAACCTTAATTTATAATGGATTCGGTTTCTAGAGCTACTGGAGCATGCTATTCCAGTCTCAGATCAATTTTATTTACAATTTATGTTATCAGACAGTGGTAGTCAACCTTTTTTGTGCTACGGCACACCTTTATGTTAAGCTATTACGAAACCGCACACGGCATACGGTTTGTAGTTTCTCCCGAATTTTTTCGTGTCACACGGGTTGGCCAACACTGTTGTAGCAGATTAAATTTTGTTCCAAACCTGAAACCGGCCCCTGATTCATAACTGATGATGATAACGGGTTCCTTTTGCTCCACCATAAAGCGTAGGGCGTCCATAAAGCATTTGAATCGTACTCGATTCATAACCAAATGGCTAAAAAGAACATTTTCGATTGCAGTCGTGAAAATAGACGTTATTTGTGAACGACCCAATACATGTCATTATCCAAATTGATGTCTTGATTTGAATCTCTAAGCAATGTTAACAACAGCGGTCGCACGTGCAGGAATGATATGTAGATTTCAGCCAATTTAATGAATCATCGAGTTATTTTTTTGTGAAGCTTTAAGCAGCTCAGTTGACAAAACAATGAATTTTTTGATAATTTTGACTCTAAGTTCAGTTTTGTGTTTAAAGTTGGCTCCAGTTGAGGATGATAAGGACATCTTCATGATATCAAAAAGCCTCCACGACATAATTGATGAGTTTTTTGTAAAACCTCAAATTTAGTTCGAAATTCACGTCCTTGAAACTTTTACAAGTTACACCAAAAACTTAGTTGAGGGTTTTCTGACCAAAAGTGACCAAAAATTCATCAACAACCTTAGATTATTCAATGGCTTGTTTCCAATTTATTACAAATCTGGACTTTTTTTCTTCAGCAGCACAAACACATTCCTTGACTTTTTTGAATTTTACAGACTTAATTTTATAGCAGCGCCGCTTCGATTTGTATTTTATTTTATGAATCAGACATTTGAGCAGCATAAAGAACTTGAAATTGGAATCAGCTCATCCATGGATGTCAAATCAATCTTGTTCTTCTCGTATTTTGTCACTAATGATGGCAACTTTGTGACTTTATCGACTTTTGAGTTATTTAAAAAAGATTGTCGGACTCCGAGCCTTGAAATTGTCAACAAGTTTGACAAAAGTTCATCAAAATGGAGGAAAAAGTTGGAATTTTATGATAAATTTATGGATTATTATGGATGTGAGCTGGTCATGCTCCTGCCAATTTATTCTAAAGAGTTTCCTTACCATTATGGATATGCTGTGGTCAACAATTACCAAACAGACTTTAGAACTTATGGATTGACTCCAGAACTGTTTAGAATTGCAGGTTCAACGTTCAATTTTAGAGCTGCATATCAGCCAGCTTTGATTGATAATCCAAATTACATGATTGGCTATGAAAGTCACCAGATTTATAAATATCCAATAAACAAGACAGTGAAGACAACAAATGTACTTTTTGATGTCCTGGATCTTGAAAATTACAACATGCTTAAAATTAAAGTTTCTCAAATTTTCATGTCCTGGAACAGTGAGTTTGTGTCAACGCCTGTTGAGGATTATTCGCCATTTGAGAAGTTTTTGATGCTGTTTGATGAATTAACCTGGATTTTACTGACTTTTGAAATATTGTGCATGTTTTTAGCTGTTTTGGCTGCTCATCAACTTGTTAAAAGACTATTCACATCTTTAAATACTTCTTGGAAATTTTTTGGATATTTTCGCTTTGTTTTAACATTTTTTGCATCCTTTTTCCTCATTTTTGGGATATTTTTTCAAGGAAAATCATTTGAATTATTGTCTGCTGAGCCTAGACGACCAACACCAAAAACTATTCAGGATTTAATAGACCAAAACTACACAATGCTAGACTGGGGTAAATCAGAACTTCAAACTTTAGTAGAAGAAGAAGCTGATGAATGGTAATTTTGATTTTGATTAGCCCTGTTCTAGTATCCTTCCATTATCCCTCTAGGATCCTTCCAGTTTTCTTCCAGTACCCTTCCAGTTTCCTTCCAGTAACCTTCCAGTTTCCTTCTAGTATCTTTCCAGTATTTTTTCAGTTTCCTTCCAGTAACCTTCCAGTATCCTTCAAGTATCCTTTTCAGTATCCTTTTCAGTTTCCTTCCACTATGCTTACAGTATCCTTCCAGTATCCTTTCAGTATCCTTCCAGTATCCTTCCAGTATCCTTCCAATATCCTTCCAGTATTTTTTCAGTTTCCTTCCAGTATCCTTACAGTATCATTCCAGAATCCTTCCAGTATTTTTTCAGTTTCCTTCCAGTAACCTTCCAGTATCCTTCAAGTATCCTTTTCAGTATCCTTTTCAGTTTCCTTCCACTATGCTTACAGTATCCTTCCAGTATCCTTTCAGTATCCTTCCAGTATCCTTCCAGTATCCTTCCAATATCCTTCCAGTATTTTTTCAGTTTCCTTCCAGTATCCTTCCAGTATCATTCCAGAATCCTTCCAGTATCTTTTCATTATTCTTCCATTTCTAGTTTAAACTTCAGATTTTTTCTAGTTCCCTTCCAGTCGAAATTTTACCCATTTTTTCAATCTTTCCACTAATTTTGATTATTAGGCCTCGTTTGGAACGTCGTGATGGAGAGGAAATTATTGAAATTTACAAAACACAATCGCAAAACTCGTCCGCTAAGATATGCTTGTTTTTCGATAGTATTTTAGTTCCGTTTACTTTTTGGAATCGTGAAATATTCTCGGAATGGAATCGAATTAATGACAGAACAATTAATTTTAATTTTCAAGGCATTGCAACTTATGGTCTGGCATTTTGTTCTGAAATGATACAAAAGACGGCAGTTGGAATGTTTGAGGCTGGAATAATGAAGTATTTGATCGACACTCGAGTTTTTGTGGTTAAGAATCAGCAAAGAAAATTGAGTCGAGCAGATTTTCTGAATTTTTCTGATTTTTCTGTCTATTTTGCATTATATTTTGGCCTCTGTGGATTCTCCTTGATTTCTTTGACTGTGGAAATATTTTTAAATTCAAATGCTTTTAGAAATATTTTAAAATTTATTTACGATCCGAAAACAAAAGCGCCAAAATTCAGATTTGCTAAAATTCATCATGTGGAAAATTGCAAAATTGTTGAAAAACAAAAAGTAAAAAAGAACTTGGACTTGAAATTCAGATTAAAAGGACAAAATATTGCAGATGTGGAGACAGTTGTCAGATGTGGCTCAGCAATTAAGTTTGAGGAGGACATAGGATTGCTTGTAGAAGATATCGAATTGAAAAATGATCTTCAATTAGAAAAATTTGGAATTTAAATTCGAAAATTGCAGAATTTATTTATTGAACTGGAAAATGCTCCTGCAAAATGATTAAAATCGAGTTTTTGGGCTTGAAGTAAGCAAAATTTGACTAAACAAACCTTAAATGAACCAAGCTTAACCGAATGAAACCAAACGGAACCGAATCAAGCCGCATAAAATCGAATTTAACCGAACGGAACCGATGAAAACGAACGAAACCGAACAATGCCAATTTAAACCGAACTAAACCGAAATTTACCGAACTGAACCGAAGTTTACTGAACTGAACCAAACGGAACCGATTGAAACGAACGAAATCGAACAATCCCAATTTAAACGGAACTGAACCGAAATTTACCAAACTGAACCGAAATTTACCGAACTGAACCGAGCGGAACCGATGGAAACGAACGAAACCGAACAATGCCGATTAAAACCGAACTGAACCGAAATTTACCGAACTAAAACGAATGAAACCGAATAGAACTGAAAAATCCCGATTCAATCCGAATAAAATCAAACCTGAACTGATTCTTTCGAATTGATTGATTCTAATTAAATTTCTCATAGATTATTTAATTTTGCATTCACATACATTCACTATATAAAGCTTCACGCTACAAACAATAAAGATTTTTACTCTCATACTCGAAATTCGTATTGAGCTTTAATCTCGCGAGAGATCCTATGTATTATCTCATGTTGTGACTGCTTTTCAGCTTATTTGTTATTTTAAACTTGATCTTAGAACATCAAACAGATTAAGAGGCAATGAAGCTGTTGTTTTTAATTCTCTTGTCTGGAATTATTTGTTCATTTGGTAAGTAGGCAGATGATTTAAAAATTGGACAGCTTATTTGCATTTCAATTAAAATAATTTTGGATTTTCCATTTGATTTACATCAAAATTCCAGCACAAGATTTAAATACAAATGGAATTTGGGTTCCATGGAGCACTTCTCAAGATGGTGTGCCTGATCATGCAGTTGTTGGCGGTAAGGATAAGAATGGACTGATGTATGTGATCAGAGCTGAACATTATCATATTGATGAAAAAAAAAATTTTACTGAATCATTCCGTGGAAAAGTTGTTGGACGTTATTCACCTGATATTAAGTTTGCTGCTGTTCCTTACTTTAATTTGGAGTATCAGAAGGAGAATTTTGAGGTTTGGGACACTTATTCTTTATTGAAACAGTTGCTTTAACTTAGGATGAATACCTAAGCTATAATCTCGGTTATGGACATCCTTAGCCACTCTTGGTGTTCTCTTATCCTTGAGATCTAGCAGCTAGCCTTTGATTAGAGCTTGATTTGCATAAATGTAAATTGAATCATTTCAGGTCCTAACCCACACAAACTACGAATGGAAAACAACCAATGTCCATAAAGTCTTCATCCCCGGTGGCTATGACAGCTTAAATGATCCAATTTACATTTGCAGAGTTGCTCACAAAAAGTTTATTATTCCTGGAAAAATTCATATTGGAAGCTGCTGGATATCATTTGATGGATTTGAGCATCAATATAGGAATTGGGAAACTTTGGTTAAAAAGAATGAATAAATAAAATATTTGAATTTTTGAACTTTTTAAACATTTTTTGAATTTTTAACATTTAGTTGAATTTTTTAAACATTTTTTGAATTTTTTAAGATTTTGTTCAATTTTTTAAATTTTTTGAATTTTTTAACATTTTTTGAATTTTTTAAATTTTTTGAATTTTTTAACATTTTTTGAATTTTTAACATATTGTTGAATTTTTTTAACATTTTTTGAATTTTTTAAGATTTTGTTCAATTTTTTAACATTTTTTGAATTTTTTAACATTTTTTTAATTTTTTAACATATTTTGAAGATTTTTAGATTTTGTTCAATTTTTCAACATTTTTTTGAATTTCTTAAAATTTTTTTGAATTTTTTAACATTTTGTGGATTTTTTTAACATTTTTTGAATTTTTTAAATGTTTTAACATATTTTGAAGTTTTTTAGATTTTGTTCAATTTTTTAACATTTTTTGAATTTTTTAAAATTTTTTGAAATTTTTAACATATTGTGGAATTTTTTTAACATTTTTTGATTTTTTAACATTTTTTGAATTTTTTAAACATTTTTAAACATTTTTTGTTTTTGTTTTTTGATTTTTATACCTTTTTTTTACCTGTTTTGGAATTTTTTTAATTTGTTTAAAGTTTCTCAGCCAAAACATTCTTCAGAACTTCCTCAATTTTCTTCGCAATCCTCATCTCAACTCCTTTCATCTTTTTTTCAACATCAATAGCAACTTTATGTGCAAAATTTCCCAACTTATTCTCAATTTTCTCCATTTTTTCAGATAAATTTTCCAGCTTTTCCTCAAGATTCAATAGTTTTTCATTCAAATCCTCAATTTTCTTCTCATTTGACTTAATTAAAGCTTCAGCATCGTCTTGTGAGTTTTTGAGGTTAAGTAAAGAATCCATAATCTCACTTTGTGATGCTTTAAGTTCATTTGTTGTATTTTTGATGCCTCCAATGGAGCTTATTACATAATTATGGGAAATTTTGAGGGAACCTTGCATGCTTTTGAGGGAATTTTGTGAAAATTTCTGGATGTTTTCAAGCTGGATTGTGATTTTTGAGTCTAATTGGTTAATTGCAACCTTTTGATCATTTTGAGAAGCTTTGAGTTCTGATAATGAATTTTCGATGTTGCTTTGGGATGCTTTAAGGTCATCGAGTTCATCACATTGGGAAGCTTTTATGTTAGGAGCAATAGGCATGTCAGGAATGTATTGAAATGGATTCCTCGATGAATAATTGTACTTATAAAAAACTTCTCGATTGCTTTGATTGTTTGTGGGATTCAGGTTCGATGTTGGTCTAGCGAAGTCATCATCAAATGGCTCAGAATTTCTTATAAAATCTTTTGAATAAGGCAAGCCAATATTACCGCCAAAACGACTTGCAAATAGACTGGTATTCAATCTAACATATTCTAATCTCCCATCAGACACACCAGACCCCTTTCCACAACTTGAATAATCCCCAAGATTCTCAAAATTATTCATCAATGGACGGAATTTCGAGAATTTTGAATTCTTCAATCTTGTTTCCAATGCTTTAATATTTGCGGCGAAAACTTTGACATTCACTGAATCAACTTTAAGGTTTTTGAGGTTCTCATCTATAGCAACAACTTTAGAGCTTACACAATGCATCCTCAAAATATTAAGAGCCATTTTGACTTTGTCCTTCATATTATGAACTGCAATATTGACACAAGATGCATTGTTGAACCAAAAATAACTCAATTTGTTCAAATTATCAAACACATTTGGATCCACATGAATTAAGTTGTTGTCAACGAACCCAACAATCTCTAAATCTGGATTATATGCAAAAAGTCCTTCCTCAATGACTTCAATTTTATTTCCAGGCAGCAAAATAAAAGCCAATTTCGGAAATTTCCTCAAATCTGACTGAAAAATTTCCTTCAATTCACAATTTGCGATCCACAAAGCCTTTAAATTTTTGAAGAATTTTTCGAGATTTTTTGGAAAAACTTGAATTGTTTTTTGATTTGCGTAAAATCCGATGACATCATTATTGCCTTTTGTGCCTTCATGGACACCATCGATTGTGCTAATGACTGCTGATTTATCATTAAATATTTTTAAATCATTCTTTACATCGCACTGATATATCAGTCCAAGTACGGTGTAGCTGAATGTGTTGTAAGTGCATTCGATTTCTGATGATGCGAGTGAGTGGCGGAAGGTTAAGGTCATATAAAGGAGGATGCTAAAAGTATATAAACAAATGTGGAAATATGAATTTGGGTTTTTTGTTATTGATTTATTTTTTTTTAATTTTTATTTTTTAAATTGATAAACAAAAAGGAATACAGATGGACAGACATACAGACATACAGACATACAGACATACAGATATACAGATATACAGATATACGAACAAGTGATAGTTTCTCAAGTTCAGTGCATCTCAAACTATGCTCCAGGACATATTCAAAGCATTTGGAAGTGTCATTGAACTGATTAAGAGCCGCAACAAAAGATGGTCATACTTAAGGTACCTTAGCAGCGTGTTCTAGCAATGCTCTAGCCAAAAAGGTGTCTTGGACACTAAAATAACTTCCCTTTACACCCCTTCATGGTTAAAAATTTGTCTTTCTGGCTCTAGCTTTAAGGATATCAAAATTTATACTCACAGAATTCTTTTAGTCATTATTCCTTGAAGTAAAATTGCAAACCTTCTCAACTAGCTTAAACTGTGGACTGCGATGAATTTTAATGCATCAAATTGATGAGAAAATCCCGGAAAAAAATAAAATTTTTGTTATTAATAACAAACTGACTCTCAATTAATTGTACTGAGAGCATTTTCTCCAAAGGACAGATAAAGCAAGGCTTGTAGTCACACAGCAGGACTGTAGTCACACAGTCGTTCATCAAACTCAAAATTGCTGATCTAAGGCTTACTCCCTACTTTTAGTATTGATAAAGGCTGAAATCGAGTAGCTTTAAAGTCATTAATTTACATTTATTCAATCATGAAACTTCTTATCATCACATTTACATTACTAATTGCTAGCTGTTGCTGCCAAGACTCTTTTAATAGCCACACTTATCCGGAACTGCAAGTTGATCCAAAAGGTAAGCCAAAAGACACTAAGTGCGACGTTTGAAAGGTTTTAAGCTTTCTGCTTTGAACCAAGAACCATAAATTAATTAAAATTGCTCTCTTCAGCATATTCAGATCAACTAAATGAAGATGGCGTCTGGATGAAATGGAACACAACAATATCTGGTGTGCCAAGTAACGCTGTTTATGGTGGATATGATTTATATGGAGCTACTTACATCATCAGAGCTGATCACACAACACCAGACGCTATTTATGCTGGAAAAATAATTGGAAAATATAATCCATGGCAGAAAATGGCTTATGTTGGACATAACAGTCATGAATTTAAGAAAAATGATTTTGAGGTTAGAATTTTTTTTTATTTGAATTCAAGGCGTGGACACTCAAAAATATGCTGGGATTATTCGGGATTATTGGGATTATTGGGATTATTTGGGATTATTGGGATTATTGGGATTATTTGGGATTACTTGGGATTATTGGGATTATTGGAAAAAAAATTATTCAAATATTTTGAATTTTTTCAGGAAATGAACTGTAAGAAATATGTTATTTGAAGCCATTGTGACTTGTAAAGTTTAAACAATGTGAAAATATATCATTTTGAAGTGTTTGTTGAGTATTAAAATATAATTTTGATCATATATAATAATTTTCATAGAATTTTGACTGATTTATTTAAACAATCGGTTTTTGGAAATAGATTAGACATTTCCTCAGCGTTTTTAGTTGTAGTTAAGTAATGTCCATATTAAAACATCAGTCTAAGGAAAGTTTTTGGCTTTATTCCTAGTTTTTTGGGGTTTAATGAGCTACTGTACTAAGTTTTTCAGACCAAAACCTCACTTTGAGGAATCTTAAGGTTACTTTGGTAGATTGCTCATATAAAGTATGTTATAAGTTATTATATAATTATTTGTTAAAGTTTTGTTTTTATTAAAATGTCCAGTATTTTCCCAAACAAGTTCTACAAAATGTACCATGTTTTTGATATTATATACATACTACCAGAGCTCGAAGTCGATAGGGTTCGAGTCGACTCGAGTTGACTCGAGTCGAGTCAACTTAAAAAGATTAAAATTTCGATTTTAGGCATACGAAATATTTAAGCCGGTTAATTTTCTTTTTGTTCTTTCTCTTCCTGAGAAATATATTTTTGAACATAATTTTCTCAATTCATTGAACATAATTCTATTTTTAAGATCATTTTTAAAAAATCAATAGTGTTGTATGTACTAAGTAAATTTTAGGTTTTTTAACCTTCACAGTTAAATATATTCAATATAGAATTTTCCTAAGTCATGTCCTTTTTCAAAATGGTGGCTGGTTTTTTTTACCTTAGATCTGAAACTTTTTTAAACAATAACAATGATCTTATTTATCCACTAAAATAAGTCCTGCTGATCTAGATTCAGTTCAACTCAATGATGCTACCAAATCTTATTACGTTAATACGAGTATGATATCCCGTAATCAATTACGGGCAGACTTTAGTACTTTCTGTTAAGTATAGTTTTGTTTTTGGATCTTTTAATATTATAAAGATAGAAGACACACAATTATGCTTTCTCAAAATTCCGGTGCAGAAAATTTTCGGGATCGGGATCGAGATTGAAATTTTTCGGTCAGCGTTTACTGATACAACTACGATTAAAAATCTGTAAAAGTTTCAGTAAGATTCATTGAGTATAACAAAAGATATAGTCAAAAATGTCTATATCTCAAAAACTTTTTTTTTAAAAAAGTCCCTAATTTTTTCTCCATATAAATTTGTAATCAGGATTTTCAATTTCAATGTTGACAATAAATTGAAGATTTAACGAAGTTAGATTTGGTATTCACTGGATCTTATTATTTCTAAATGCATCGTTTTAAGTGTTTATCCCAGAGTTCAAAGCCGATTTTTTCGGCTTAACTCAATTTTTGATTTTTTTTTTATAGAAAATTCGGCTAAGTTGAAATTCTGAGCTTACTATAGCTACATGCTGACAAAATATTACACAGAATCATAGTAAAGCATGTAAAGTTCAATTTAAATACTCGAAATGGGCGTTAAATGGATTTTTTTCTATCAAAAAAATCGAAAAAATTGAGTTAAGCCGAAAAATCCGGCTTCGATCTCTGGTTTATCCCCATAAAAGCCAAATAGTCAATAATTTAACCATAGCCGTGATTATCACCGAGGACGCTACTAGCTTTAATAGATTTGTCGAGTCAAAAACCTAGTTTGAAGAATTTTTTTTGAGGAAATATGTATCGTTTGATTGATTTTTGGGCTAATACACGATTATTTTGATTAGAATGCATAGTAAAGACATTTTAAATTGATTTTTGACTAGTGCACTAGATTTAGCTGGTAAAAAAATCACTTTTTGACGTTTTAAGGCTAGTTCATTACTTTAGCTAATTTTTAAATTAATATTCTGAACTTAAAAAGTATCCAAAGATTTTTGGGGACATTATTCTTTTCAATACTAGTCAAAATTTTAACATTTAATAAATTTTAAATTTGAAAACTTTTAAAATTATTTTAATAATCCCAATAATCCCAATAATCCCAAACCTGGGATTATTGGGATTATTGGGATTATTTGGGATTATTGGGATTATTTGGGATTATTGGGATTATTGGGATTATTTGGGATTATTTGGGATTATTGGGATTAATCCCAGTGTCCACGCCTTGTTTGAATTACTTGTTTTGAGATATTGGATGAGTTTCTTAGTCTGTTATTTTTTGGTACTCAACTTCTTGAGTCTATGTCCTTGAGCTAGGTGTGCAGCCAGGGGACAGGGGGGGGAGTCAGCACCCTCCCCCCCCCTCACTCCTCCTTAATTTTTTTTGTGAAAATCAAAAAAATTTCGCAGCCTTCCTCCTCTGGGATCTTATGGTTACTTGAAGGTCAATATTGAGAATTATTAGAGTCAATATTGGTTAAAGAGAACTCAGAACCCCCCTAAGTTGATTTACATTCATTTAAAAATCCATCAATTTTATTTTTCCAGATCCTTACGCACGAAAGATGGGTTTGGACCAACAAAAGTGATCAACGGTCAAAGATTTCAGGCAGTAATGGCTTTAACATTTGCAGAATTGAAGTCGGCACTGAAGGATACATGATACCTGGAAAGTTAGACTCTGATGGACGTTGGTGTACTGTCTCCTATAGTGGAACTGAAGTGTTGTCCTCAAATTATGAAGTTTTGTGTAAAACTTGTTGAAAAATTTTGAAAAATAAAAATGATCAAATAAATTTTAGATTTAATTAAAGTAAAGCATTGACACAACTAGCCAGCTGTTGTGTGATAAATGAAGGCAAAGAGTATCAATATAAGATTGGATATCAAGTTTTGAGGAAGAAAGGCACTTGATGGGCATTTTGAGAAGTTCTTGGGATTTAAATCTTTTTTTGTTGTTTAAATAAAAAAGGAAGTAAGTTGAAATATAGGGAAAAAATGCTGACCCCCACCCTCTTCCCCAAACCCCGGGGGGCCCCTCTGATATGCATTTATAATACTTTATCTCCAAAAATCTTCATTTCCTAATTAAAAATTTTCTAAAATGTTTCTCCTTTTCTGTGCCTTAATAATAAATTATCCAACATCATCCACCCCACCCATCCTACCTGAAAAACACAAAGCAGTAAAAAAGAGACAAACAGCAAAGCACCTCATTTTATCATCCTCAAATAAATCATTTCAATGTGTAAGTTTTTGCCATTTTCGAGTCTCTTTTTTAAGCAATTTTATTACTTTTTGTTCATCCATTTCTACCTTGTTGTTACTTCCTCAAACTCAGCATCGTCCTGAAAAAACGACAGCAAAAAATGAAATTTTCCTCATTTCACATTTGTGTGCGTTACGAAACATTTTCGAATATAAATTTTTATTGTTGTGTATATATTTTCTCATCTAGTCGTACATTAAGCGACTCATCAACAACAATTACAGGAACAATAAGGCAAAGAAGAATCGCTGAAATTTATTCGATGTGTTTTTATTGTGTCGTGAGGATTTCGTGAGGATTCTTTTGGGGTTGTCTGATGCTGGGTTGGTTGATGTGATGCGAAAATTTGGCTGGAAATGTGTAAGATTGTGGAGGGGATGAACTGGAATTTAAAATTTTTTGAGCCGTTATTTTTGAAAGTTTGAAGTTCTTTGTCATTTGCTGCAATCTTTCATGAATTTTTGCAATTCTTGAACTTTTTAAGACAGTTTTTTATTGATTTTCTACAATTTTTCCAAATTTTGGGACCAAATGAACTTGTAGCTTGTAAATCTGTTGTTCCTGTAGAACATCCTTCCAAAAACTCCAATAACGGCTACAAGAAATTCAAAATTCAAAGCTTCCAACTTGAGTAGATTCATTTGAATCCCAAAAAGCCGTTATTATTGCTAGACAAAGCTAGTGGCTGCTTCAGGAAATTGTTTGAATATTTTGATAAACTTTCTCGTGTAATTAAAAATAAGACTAGATTTAACTGAAGTGTGATTCATGCAGATGTGTTGATGCGAGCATGAATAAATCAATAATTTTGTCCTTCTTGCTCTTAAAAATGGAGGTTGTGGAAGTAGACAATTTAATGATTTTACTTTAGTTTGAACTATTTTCTAGGTTTGTATCTTGAAAACTATTGTCCAGCACTGTCCTGGTCAGATTTGGCTGTGATGACTGAAGGAACTGATTTCTGATTTTGGTCTTTATGCTGACTGGTTTTCTAAATTCACAGATTTATTCAAAAAATTTATTTAATTTTATTTTTTAAAAAAATTGTTTTTTTTTTCACACTCAACATCAACACTTGCATTAACTTCAACCAACTTTTTATCAATTCCAGTCCTTACCATTCAACCTCTCAACAGCAACTGTCTAAAATATTTCAGATTTCTCCTTTCACAATTTATTTTTTAACCCTTTTTCTTTCTCAATTCTCTCAATTTTATTTATTTTTTTTTGCCTATTCCATCATCCAAAATTTCCCTCAACTCACAACAACAACAGTTAAGGCAAGGAAGCCATGATGGAGCATGCGAAGTGCAAAACATAAATTCTCCTCGCTTTTGGGGTGAGAAAAAGTCACACACAGAAAAAAATTGTCTTCCTTCTTTTTCCAGCCACAGAAAAAAAAATGTTTTGAAGGAGGAAAAAAATGAAAAATTTTTTGAGGGTGGAAATTTTTTTTTTGTCTCGTCCAATAGAAAGGACATGTCAGTTCCTTGATCAATTTTCACTGGACGGAAAAATGAAGAAAAATTTTTGTTGAAAAAATGGAGGAAAATTTTTTAAGGGTGGAAATTTTTTTCAGTTTTTCTTTGTGTTGGTGAGAAATTTTTTTTAAAGACGGTCGCTGGGGAAATAAAATGAGCAAAAAAAGATAAATTTTCTGTGTAAAGCTTCTTTTATCTTTGTTTAGTCCCAATTAAATTCTCAACAATTGGAATTAAATTGAAGATTTTTTTTTGGAAGGTCAAAAAATATTTTTTGTTGACCTTTCAAGGCTGTTTTGCATGAAAAATCGATAGGAAATGAGATTAGTATGATGTGTTGAGTGGTGCTTATTGCGATGAAGTTTTGATATCGAATAGAATTTTCGGTCTGGCTGAGCGTCAATATAGTCAGGCTGAGCATCATTATAGCTGATCTGAGCGTCAATATAGTAAGGCTGAGCGTCAATATAGTAAGGATGAGCGTCAATAAAGCCAGGTTGAATGTCAGAAAAGTCATGCTGAGCTTCAATATAGTCAGGCTGAGCGACAATATAATCTGGCTGAGCGTCAATATAGCGAGGCTGAACGCCAATATAGTCTGGCTGAGCGTCAATAAATTCTGGTTTAGCGTCAATATAGTCAGGCTGAGCGACAATATAGTCAGGCTGAGCGTCATTATAGTCAGGCTGAGCGTCAATATAGCCAAGCTATACGTCAACTTTTTCAAAGTTTAGTTTCAAAGTAGCCAAAGCTGAGCATCAATATTAAAAACTGAGCGTCAACTTAGATAAAATGTTTGCCTTGTTGAGAGTCCATACTAAATTTCAAATGTAAAAATGACACTAAGTTAATAAATAAAGCTCAATAAATATAACTCATCCATGCTAAAATTCAAAATATCCTGAAAACTATTAAAATTCACCTCCACCCAAAAGTTCTTAATCTAATACCCAAAAGACACAATTTAAAACAAGAGAAAAAATGTTAATTATAATTCCAAGTCTACCAAGCAAACCAGACCTTCTCACGCCTAATAAAAATTCTCATATTCATTCTCCCAATAAATCAATTTCAACTCCAAAAACAAGCCCATTGAATACAAAAAATAAAACTTATAAAAAAGCACGTCTACATTGGAAATTAGAATAAATAACAACAAGAGCATTTCCATCATCTCGCATACATAATGACTCATAAATACCACAAAAAAAATCATTTAACAACAATATTTTCTTGCCTTGTTACATCGACATCAAAACTGTGGCATCGAGTGAGAGAATCGGAGGGAAATAAGAACAAAAGGAATTGGATGAGAAGGCACATCACATCATCATATATACATAATATGTGTGTAAAGTGTACAAAAGAAGCCTTCGCATCAAAAATAAAAACAAGGCAGCAACAACGAGCGAGAAATAAAAAAAAATTATTCTAAAATTTAATGACTAAAGAAAGGTGGAAGTTGGTGGATGGCGATGGGTTGGTGTTGAGATGGAGAGCATTTTTTGGAATAGTTGGAATTCTTGATACATTTTTTTTTATCAAACATTGTGATCTGAGCTTCACTCAAGTGTGAGCGTCAAACAAGGCTACAATCAATGCTGAGCATTATTCAAAGCTGAGCTTCAGTTAAGGCTAAGCTACACTTAAGGCTGAGCATAAGTCAAGACTGAGCGTTAATCAAAGTTGAGTGTTAATCAAGGCTATGCTTTAATTAAGGCTGAGCTTTAGATAAGGCTAGTTGTCATTCAAGCCTGAGCTTTAATTAATGCTAAGCTACAATTAAGGCTAAGCTTCACTTAAGGCTGCGCGTTAGACAAGGCTGAGCTTCAATTAAGGCTAAGCTACACTTAAGTCTGAGCTTCAGTCAAGTCTGAGCTTCAATTAAGGTTAAGATTCAGTTTAGGCTGAGTGCAGTTAAGGCTAAGCTTCGAATGAGACTAAGATTCAGTTAAGGCTGTGCGTAAGTAAATGCTTAACCTCTGTCAATGCTGAGCTTCAATTAAGGCTTAGTGTCAGTTAAGGCTGAGCTTCAATTAAGGCTAAGTGTCAGTTAAGGCTGAGCTTCAGTAAAGGCTGAGCGTCTGTAAATGCTGAGCGTTATTTAAAGCTGAACTTCAATTATCGTTGAGCTTTAATTGTGGCTATTCATTAAGCTAAGTGTCATAGTAACAAAAATATCAATAATCCATAAGGATACTCTTTAATTCATTAGCTTTGCTTAGAAGTCACCCAAACTGCACCCCACATCCTTCTCAATCCCGCAACATTTAACGCTAAAAATCTCGTTTGCTGGTTAAATTCTTATATTCCATTGAATTTCTTGAGCAATCTTGTTGCTGAATTTTTTGTTATTATTCATTGCGTCCAAGACACAAGCAAGTAAGCAAAGAGGAACGAAGAAAAAAGAGTTTTTAAATATTCTTAACTCTATGAGTGAAAGAACGAGGAGCGAAAAAGTGTATGAAATGGAAATAAAAAGCATAACGAGGTAAACGACGACGAATGTGAAGACATGCAAAGAGCGGCCGCAAACACACAAGTGCGGCTGCTGGCTGACACGGTCGTGAGTGTATGTGCAATACTTTTATTATTTTTTTTAAAAAATTTCTTTTCTGGAATTTCCGTTAAGAACTGAAAATAAAAAAGTTGTCAATGGCAAATTTTGTGGATTTTTTAGACCGACAATTTTTGTCAATTTCATTTCAGATGACTTTGTTGAATGCGGAATGAGACTTAAATATAATTTAGAATATTTTTGTCTTTCGTCTTTGAGTATGTGAGTGAGAGAGTAAAATAAATTCCATCACATACTGACTCACACCAATACATACAAACGAGGGTCACAAATACACTCAAAGCCTCGTTTACAATCTTCTTGACCTGATCTCGGCATGATTTTTTTCTTGTTTAAATTCTTTCACATTTTTTTTCCTCACTCACTTCGCTGTCTTATCAAGTTTGTGAGATTTTTATGCGTCTGTGTTGGACTCGCGATTGCTAAAGAGGTAGACGTAAGAATAAGAAGGAGTTTTTTTTTCTTT